CGTCATGGCAGTTTTGCTGCTACCCTTGGTAGCCTGGATCTTCTTCAGTATTCGTAGGACCCCAACACCGGCCGGAGCTGTCCCCCCTTTTCCTTCACTCAACTGGAATTGCCCTCCAGGGCCCATGGCTTTTGCATTGCATGCCCTGGTTGGTCACTTATCTGGCCGTCCTCTCGACGCAAAGATCACCCACGCGACCAAACAATCCACTTGTTGGCATGATTTTCTTCCACATTAACACAGAAGAAAGCCCCCATGACGGGTAGGACTTCGGGCTGTCAGCACCATGGTTTCGCAGCTCCAAACACGGACGTTGTCAGTAACTGTGACAATGGCGAGCTCGTCAGCCATGTTGACCAAGAGCAAGAACAACCTCAATCGTCGATGATCAATCGAAGGTGCAACACAGGTTTTTGTCCATAAACATGACTCCCTGGTGCATTTTCGACCGAAAGAGACAGGACATCGGCCCATGTCATCTTGCGGCCAGGGTGATTATTGCAGACTTTGGAAAAACTGACGAGACATACAGACAGAGACAGGGTTGTATTGCAAATCAATGTGCTTTCGTTTCCATGCGTCAGACTCTTCTGAGTTGCAGACCGGAGCCGAATGGAGAGTTGCCAATATTCGATATTCGCTGACGTCTCCGGCCTGCGCGTGTGAGCGGGTAATAGTTGGCGGTTGGGTTGGTTGGAAAGATGACGGCCTCACTAACATGCGCCCAGGCGAGCGCAAGGCGGCACCAACAGACGAAAGCGCGAGAAGCAGCCAACGACATGTTGGTGCAGCATTCCTCGCTACAATGTTCCTGTTCGCAAAGCAGGCGAAGATGAGGTGTGATCGAGGTCGCATTGGCGGTTGCTCTGTTGGTAGCCAATCAGCATCTCCCAACCCTGGCTTTTAAGCGCTGCATCGACGTGCGGCGGCGCAGTCCGCGCCGTCTGACTGACTACATGCTTTCCATAGCCGCCCTCGACCGCGCCTGAAGTGCCTTTCTAAGGCAGCACATCAATGGAAACTACACTTTTCTTGCGAGAGAAAGCTGTCAATCTTCGCCAAACCAAGAGTCACAGGGCAAAGTTGTCTAGGCTCCGAGAATATCCCCCTTTCTTGTGCGCCGTGCTAATGCCGTGGCAGCATCCAGATGACCAGTGAGCAGGGATGGTTGAGTTCGTTCAGAGGACAACTGCTGCAAAAGGCAGCGGATATCTTGCCAGATACATGATCTCTCGGTCATTGGACGTGCGAACGAGTCCTGGCCGAGATGACAACTGCATGTTGTCATTCCTCATCACCAACGAGCAGGGCGCAGGCATCAATACAGGCTTTTGACCGTATACGGACCGACACTTCCGCCAGACGCGAGAGACCAAGTTGCCGATGCGCATATTGCGTCTGTTGCTGCCCTTGTCCTTGTCCTCACTGCCCGTGGTCCCGCAGCTATTGACTGGATAGTTCCTGTCCCTATTCGCACCAAGACCGCATCGGCATGCTGACAACCTTGACCGGCGAGGGCAGGGCAGTACAGCCTCGATAGAGCAAACCGTACCCCGGACGAACCACCATACACCCCTTGACGGGTCATCAGATTACAGGAAGAGACTGTAGGAAGTATCGTTTGGTACAGTACTTGAGGCCATCCACCAGCAACTTGGCATCAGGTGCCCGCTAATGCAAGTTCTCATCACCAAGTATGGGTCGAGATTGTGACGGATATGGAAGAAGTGCGAAGTGAAGTTGCCCCCTCACCTCACGTCGGTGACAATGACCTGCCCATGGGGGCTACTTCATTTCCATTCCACACCTCCAGGCATTTGGCATGCTGTGCCACCCAACTTCCCGTCGATTGCCATGCTCGTCCTGGACCAAGAACAAGTCGGTGACGGCCCGCAGTTCGCATACGAGGTGGTCTCTTGACACCATCTTTCCGTCAATCTCGGTTGCTCGACTCGGGCTTGGCTGTCAGTTTTCTTGTCCGTTGGTGACGGCCATCACCCTTCGTCACAACCGATGTCGAGCTCTAGACTTTCCGCATACCAACATGTTGCGCGGAAGCGGGGTACGTCGTGAGCAGTTTCACCCCTCTACTGCCTGGCTTTGCCGCAACGGAATCGGTAAGGGGCCGTGTTTGGATGTTGAGGCCCGGGGCGTGTCCTTCAAAAATGAGGAGTACGATGTGCTGACCGCTTCGTGATAAGGCTTGCAGACACCGGTCAATATTGATGATGGATCAGGGGGCGGTTGGTGTGTCGTTCTGGGAAAGATGGCTCAAAGCATCATTTTGCGGGACCTTTTGAAGCTACTCCTTGCTCAGTCACACCGGACGGGGAAAGGCCTCGAAGATGCCGACGGAGTTCACAGATGTGGGACGACTATGACTCTTAGCTCTGTTGGTCGACTCTTGACTGCAAGTCGAGCTTCGTTCATCACCGCAGCGTGTTGCTCATTTTGAGCGGAGTAGCAGGCAGCAGTCTATGCCGAAGTCGCCGACTTTGACTGACGGTTGAAGTCCATCGTGGATCCCGCATCACGGGACCTGCGCCGCAAACCTACGCCGATGGCGATGGCGATGGCGATGCCACGCGAAGAATCTTCAACGCGGGAAGGAGCCACAGGGCTGAGGCGGTTCACCCCGCAAGAAAATGACAAATGCAAGGCAAGGCAAGGCCGATCGATATAAGGATTCGGGGCCGAATCCCTCAAGCAGGAACGCATGGCGAAGCGCGAGGTGCCGTCCCGTTACACACATGCGACGAAGGAGCAGCTAACCAACGGACTTAGGTTGCCGAGCGGCGCGGGTAGCCTCGGGAGTCCACTCACGGCCGAGTACCTTGGAGAGAGAGAGAGGAGGAAGAGGCACAGAAAGAGGTGGTGGTGATGGACGTTGCCGAGGCGGACGGACAAAGGCCTGATGATGGAGGGTGAAAAGTGCAGCTCTGCCCGAGCCGGCAGTCCCCGGGTAAGTTACCCCACACGCAGCCGAAGCTCCTTTGCTCCGGGTGGTGTTGAGTGGTGTTGTGGGTGGCATGGCAGCCCCAGCTTTGCCGATTCTCGTCCTTCCGAGAAATCCTCTTTGGCCTCCGGCACGCCCAATGAGACGCGACCGGCGCTCCGGGGCCCGGCAACTTGGCTTCGGGTTCGGGACTCTATTTCCCATGGTCTTATTTCTTTCCTCCAAGAGCCTCAGCACCGGTTTTCCCCACATTTTTCTTGTTCTTCCGGCCTTTTTTGATATCAAAATCTGGTGATGATTTCTCACAACTTCATGACCACAACCTCTTCAGGATGCAGCCATCCGCCCACCACACATCACTTACCACACCCACCCTGGACATCCCCCCCGCTTCGCAGAGCATTTCATTTGCGGGTGTCTCGCTATTTTTTTTTTCTCTCTCTTCAAGCGCACCAACCCCACGTCAGCTGCGGATAACAACGCCAGAAGAGCCAAAGAAGGAGCTGCCAGAGTTCCCGGTCCATCCAGAAGTACACTTCCATAGTGCTGAAGCTGGAGAGGTACATCCTCCTCCGTCCCCGACACCTTCCCTCCATTTCCTTGCGTTTCGCCGGCCTGTTTGTCAGACTTTCCTCCTGACCAATTCTGATTCTACCGTTTCTCCTTTCTTCTCTGCTCGTCCGTCCGTCTCGACACGGGTACTCTGTACAGCCAATTGAGGGCCCACGTGCACTCGATACCTTTTTTGAGCCGAACCTTTCAATAGACTGGTCCAGTCCTCTAGAGCCAAGGGGGGTTGGTAGGAGGAAACATGGCTGAAGTCGCGGTGAGTTAGCTCTCCTACCAATCGAGGGTTTCAGAAGAGCGCCCGTTACAATGGGCCAGGAGTTTTTTTAGTCTCTGATTTTCCAATTTTCTAAATATTCATCGACCCTCTCGTGCTTTCTTGGCGGGTTTTGGCCACTATCTCTCTGTCGTTTCGTACGAGCGCGAAAGTCGCATTCCCCGGAATTGAAACACCCTCGGTACCCAGCACACGCGCGGATCAGGAAGATCAACCGCCAGCGCAGCAGAGATCAAAATTTAGATCTCTTGGCTTTTTTCCGTGGCTTGTTTTGCATCACAGCACACCCCGGCCGGCCACCCGGCTCAGAGAGAGTTGCTGCCCACCACATGTCGAGACACTGACAGGCAATCGCTGTACTCCGTACACACACATGCGCACACGGCAGAGCTGCAAAGCACATCATTGCCTTTCCTCATGCTTCCGTGTGTCCCCGTGTCATTGGGCGCGCAGAGTGAACACGGCATCCCGGCATCCCATCTCCCATACCTACCGTCCGATCATGTCCCTCCGTCCTTCATGTGTTCCTAACATGCCCGCCCTTGGCTTGGCTTGCCTCGCCACCCAGTGCTCCCACCGATATGGGCGAACCATTATCGTATGTATCTTTCGTAAAAAAAAATATTTGTGCCTGGTCAGACTAGTTCCGCTGCACCAGACAGATGCACGTCGGCACGACAGACCAGACCCGCGCCATTCATATCAGAGACTTAAAGAGGGGACAAGAAGAAACAGACAAGACGAGGACGAGGAGCGCCCGTAGGCGTAACGTACCCTGGTTAGGTATCTTTAGCAACCCGGCTGCTACCCGGTTGGGAGACGGCGGACATGGGCGGCCGGGCAGCCCACTCGTCCGTCCACCTTTCACTCTCACTCAACCACCACCGTCTGACCTTCCTCGTGTCAACCGTGAGCCGGGAAGTTCGCGGAGGGGGAGAGGCAAGGTCTAGCTGCCTACACTAACTACCGCCCCGAGGGCCCAGCCAAAGTCTCGACATATAAAGGTCGGCCAGGCATCCCCCTCTTCCTTCACCTCATCACACTCATCATCCACCAACGCTCTTCAACCTTCATTAAACCGCCGGCCGTCTCTCTCGCAAACACACAAGTCTCTCACTCTCTACCGTCGAGAAAAAAAACGAAAGGAAAAAAAAGCAGTTGATCTGTTTCCGTCCAACCTCACAAACCCAACTCGCCAAAATGTCTTCTCCCGTCGACAACTCCGTCTTCCTCTCCCTCGCCCCCACGACCTCGTCCTCCTACCCCTTCAAGGCCCAGCAGACCACAGCCGTGGCCTCGCCCGCGCCCGAGCAGCCCCTCAAGCGCCGCACCTCGAGCGTCAGCAGCGCCGGCAGCAGCAACAACGGCCTGCGCTTCCTCAAGCTCGGCCCCGTCCACTACGGCGAGCACCCGGACGAGCACAAGGAGGACTGGCACCCCGCCCTCCTGTCCTAGACCAAACATGATTTCCGCCATCGCCATGAAGAGCGTTGATTGTCTTTTTCTTTCTTTTTTAAAAGCAGCGAAATCATTTTGGCCACGGGGACGAGGGATCCCCCGAATTTGCCAAACACTAGGTGCAGGAAACCGACGATGGGTTCATGAAACAACAGCAAGCGAAACATAGATTGGGAAGACTGGCGCGGGGACTATTTCTTATCTTTTTGGGAATCGAAAGGGATGTTCTCTCACGGATGTTTTGAGATGAACGGCAGAAATAACGGCATGGGAATCAGCTACAAAAGGACTATTCTACGCAGAAAAAAAAAATACCAATGGAGTTGAGACGGCAACTTTTTGGACCACTTCTGATGCTTCTGACTTGACTTGCGCGCTGCTGTGCTCTGATGCATGTATTGTCTACCTGGGACGATGCAACCCGCCTACTTGTCTAATCCGCAACTAACCATTCGTCGGCTGGAGAAAACAGGGACGCTGCAGATATGGTGGGCTGGCAGCACCTGGAAGGGTAGATGCCAGGTCAAGCGGACCAAGGGAAGGAAGGGTGGAATTGCATGTGCCAGACATGGGGTATGAGCGAAGAGGCAGAGATAAACCCGCGCGATCTTTTCTTTCCCAAACGAGTGGGCTGTCTAACAGAGAGAGAGAAAAACCAAGCTTCACATGTGGATCTCCTTTCATGCAATGATCTGACATCTGACCCCGCCGATCAGAAGTGCCAGATGAGATAGAGAGAGATAGAGAGAGCTGAGCGTGTGTGAGTGAGTGAGTGTGTGAGTGGAATGCGCTGGTTCCAGTCCCCCAGCCCAGCACCCCTCCTCTTCCTCTTTCTCTTTGCTTCGTTCTAAACCGCAAGTGGGTTGAGTTGGTTGATACTGCATTTGTGTGGGGTGCCTGTCTGTCTGTCTATGACTTGCTCGACCTGGGGTTAATTGCCCGTTTCACTTGCCAAGTATTACTTATTGTCCTGGCTTGTCTCGCCTGAATCAGAATTACGTCTCTCATCGCGGGGGACGCAGATGAAGATTGACAGGTAACTAGCAGGACAACCAGAGACACTGAGAGAGTTTAGAAAGGGGCAAGTTAAAGAAGGCGGGGAGGTTTAGTGGTTGATTGACAGGGCGGGTTGGGTTGCGGTGAGACACGTGGGGTGACAAGAGACAGAGAGACACCAGCGCGCGGGGGGCAAGTCGCTACACTAACTTAGGCCGAGTCTGAGCGCGCCGGCGAGCGTTGAAGTTCCCTTCCTCTTTCTGCTTTACCATTTCTTGGCCGGGTATGGCTGTGCTGAAGCTACCTACCCGACTACTGCAAGGGAGATAAAAAACGGTTATCGATTATGGAGTGTGGAAACGATGACAGCGTTGAGGCTGGTTGTGCTTAAGCCGAAGTTTGCTACGCGTCTCGGGAAGTTAGTTGCCTGGTTCGGAGTTTATTCGCACAGCTGGGGTTTTCCTGCTGCTGCTGCTGCTGCTGCTGCTGCATGTTTGCTGCAGCGTCTCGTCGCTCTGTATGTTTGCCGAGTTTACCAGCGCCGCACGGCAAGACGAGTCAGCTTTGTCGTGGGTATCAATCACGGTGACCTTGTCCTGGAAACTGGATGGGAGACAGACAGCGTGATTCGTCCCCCGACGGATGATGGACGGGATCTGCGTCGCAATCTGGCATTGCGGCCTTGGTCCAGAGTTTGCCCTGCACCGACCACATGACCATCGCCGAGTCGAGCAAAGGGGTGGTGGACGGGAGAGATTCAAGAAAGAGGGAGCGCACCCGCCCTGTAAATCCCGTCGATGATACAATCACAGCCCGGATTGACGTCACTACGAGAAAGAGGGTGACGACGCAAGTTTGTGGTTATTTGACATGTGTTGGATGGTGTGGCATTTCGAGGGATGGGCCTTGGAGGGGGGAGGAGGGAAGATGCTGTGTAGATCGGATGCACACGCCACGGATTCAGCAGAAGCATGTGCAGCGAGCACTTTCGGGCGACGGGCCGGCCCCGAGAAGGCACTTCAGGTTCCCAAACCCGCGGCTCCTCCGACACACACGCGCCAAGATTGGATTGATCTGAGCGGAGGGACCGACCGACCGGCTTGTCATCCCAAGTTGCGATGTCTGTTGCTGCCCGCGGAAGTCATCCCGAGTGTTTTTTCTTAGAATAGTCCGTCATCTGTAGGAACGACCGTTCAGCATTGCTTGACGGCCTGGTGCCGTTGAGACTCGGGAATGGAACCGATTCGTGTGTGTTTCACGCCACCGCTTGCGGGATCAGCTTGACTGTCAGAAACCCTCACTTGATACTCAAATTCGCTCGTTATGGCCCATGTGAAAGAAACGTCGTGGGGGCCATTGTTCTCGACGTGGCATCGACTCTTGAAGCAAATCCATCAATCTTGGCGGTTTGCGATTGTGTTGTGCTGTAAGGGGTCCTTGCGTGTTTGTTTCTATGTTAGGATCCTTTTTTCTGGGTGGGCATGGGCGAAGAGGTGGTATTCGGAATCGGCGTGAGGCCCGACCGTCGTTTCGGTGGTAATTATTCTTAGATGAATCAAGAGTGGGCGGGCTTCGGTTTGGGGGGGCCTTGTCGAAACCACGCCGGAGGTGGTCGCGGCCCCACACGGGGATTGCGGTGCGTTCCTGTGGGGCCCCCGGCCGTGTGCAGTGCTACGAGACGGGACCGATATAGTGCATGGCCGATTTTGAGCATAAATGTGAAGCCTCCACAGGCATGACTTTGCATTACTCCCCCTCGCTGCTCCTCTTGGCTTCAACTGTTTTGCATAGTTTCGTCATCCGGAACACTGGACATGGTGTCGAAGTGAGCGGTTACCGATGTGTTTCGGGGGACCCGGATGAAAGTTGCTCGTCGGGTCATGGTCTAGTGAGTGCCTGTTCTGAAAAAGAATCTCGATTTTCCCATGAGATACTTGTAGCACGATGACAGAATCTTATCATGCAAGAACAGCCTACTCTTCTCTTGCAACGATGAAGGGCGGTCGAATAGAGCTGTCGTCAAGCTTTTGAGTAACAGCTGCGTTCAAGGCTGTACATCTCAATACTTATAGGCTACGGAGCGTCCTTGTGTAGCTCGAAGAAAATATAGGCCTGGCTTTTGGTTGAGACTTAATAGCCGACTATGCCATTTCACGCTTTATAGTTCGGGTTTCTCGCACGCGGAAACGAGGATGAAGTTAGGTTACTGCATCAAATCGTCGAAAGCTTCTGGGGCATCGGATTCATGACTCACAAACTGATCGACCGGAAGACAATACTAATGTGCAACTTGCGAGGAAGGTAAGTTACAGGTCTGGTTGGTGTCTACTACTGAGGTTCCAAATAGGAATAGAGACCATACCAGCAAGCTGCAGAACGGCAGACCTCAGTACTGATACACAATACTTCCGGCTATGGCCCAGCCGGCAAAACTTTTGACGCCGTATCTCATATCTTGGCCCATTCTACTTGTGATCTCGTCTCTCACTTACATCCTATCCGGCCAATATCACACTTTCGTAAGGTCACTCATATGTACGGATCCGCGTCGAGAATTTGGGATGATGACGTTCGACTTACGTGACGAGCCGCAAAGTCTCTACGGCGCCCCCGCGGAATTTCAACTACTCGCCGTCTATCCACCACCCCTTGCTGAATGCTGAACGACCCCCCCCACCCCCGAGAAAGCTCTTGCTCCTTCGTGCCGCAAAATCTACCCACTCCAATCAACTTCCAAAGGAAGACGGTAGTCCCAAGACGATAGTCCCAAGTGTACCTCGAGGAAATTGGTTGTAGTAAGGTGTGTCGTCGAACTCTCTGGTGAGCGTCATTCAGTAGCCTACCCAATCCTTGCCTGTCATGGTCTCAAGCTCGTCTTCCTCGTCAAGCATCCTCTCTAGCTTGTCTTGAACATTGAACATGTACTCAAGCTAGTCGTTCTCGTTTGCCATCCTCCAAAGATCTTGCCCCGACTTTCTCACTCCCTTTTCGACCTTATATTCATCATTTAGCATCCCCTCAAGCCTGTCTTTCAAGTTCCACACCCCCTCTCGAGCTCGTCCTCACTAGTGCTGTACCTGCAACGCCGGTTGGTGTTGCTGAAAGTGTCCCGGCGCCAAGTCAGGTCCTTCACCGCCCACATTCGAGAAATAGGCATCAAGATGCTATATTCCACTTTTGGCAGCGAGGACCTGTGATTCTGTTCACAAACATGATCACACAATTCGATGTCCAGCCCAAGCCCATTGCGCACCGCGTCAAGCTTCTACGAACGCAGATCCGAGAAGAGAGCGGCAATGGCTTTATCGCCCTGTTCTTAGTCTCCTGAAGTGACCAGTAGATTAGTAAGTTCACCGTAATCATTGGGATCCAGATGAATGTAAAAATGTATATGCTTGACCAGTTGCTTCTGTCCCGGTGAAATGTTGGCTAGTTGCCGTCATAGATATTATTTGTTCAACTTCAGCTCGCGGAAATACCTGTTCCCAAAGAATGCCATCCATTGGCGGCTGACCCATGAGTATGTGAGGAGGCCGCGATTGGGTGGGCGGTTGGTCGAAGGCGGCTTGCTCTACCGGCTCTTCGAGAATGCGGTTTTGAATGTCTGTGGGAATTTTCTGCCTTATTGCCGGGAACATGGTCTCGTTTGGTCTACATGATGCTTCCGAGCTTGAATTGCGGACTGTGTAAGAATGGGCGGGAATTTACATAGTGGCGTTTGGTGCGGAGCGTACTTTTTGCCTTGAATTGCAGACTGTACGTATATGAAAAAGTGAGGGTGATACATACGCGTGGTAACCTAACTTAGGTGAGAAGACAGACAGGCAGGTGGTCGGTAGGAACGAAGACCTGCGTGACATCTAAGTTGCAGGCTACAAAAGTGCCACAGTACGTTCATAACCTTTATGTCAAGCTCTGCCCAGCGGAGACGATCTAGGCCCAGCAGATTACGGCAGGCTTCAGCTCAGCACCTCAGAACTAGATATCCCATACCGTCTTAGTAGACAGTTATGGACCGTATGAGTAAGCTCTCATGAGATCTCGCACATAGTCTCACAGCCTTAAATACTAGCAACAATATCTGAAATAGCCGTTTCTTCACGACACGCCCTTGTCCGTCCGTTAATATATGCCTCCCCATTAGTTTCGTCGTGAATTAGGAATATCTCTGGTGAGGACATGCTCAGTCAGATATCGAGCCCGGTCATATTACCTTCACATTACCAATGCTACTGCCTTTTTCGCTCTTCTCTACTAATATACTCTCTGCCATCCTAGTGTGCTACATCATGCACCAGACTTTTCAGGATTGCGAAATCTAACTGGACATCATCACGGAGAAAGGGCACATTATTCATGATGCCACTCTTACAATACTCAACTCATGATCCTGCCCATAGATGCCAACAACTCTTCTCCAGTCAATGGGAATCAGCTGCCAAGGCCCTTTCGGCCGACCCGGCTGACAACAAGCCACGTCCTCATGGAACTCACACCAGAACGTACGATGAATAGGGTCAACATAGAGCTCAGCCGTCTCCAAGTCCGGGTCCGCAAGCAGCCGCAACAGCGCCCTGAAGGGCTCCGAGCGCGTGAACGCGTCGTCCCGCCTCGTCATCGCCGCCCTCCTCTGCTGGACGCCGGCGCCGCCGGGGTAGTGATTCAGAGTGACGTTGTCAGTGCTCGTCCCGTACAGCACGAGCTTGAGGTGGCGCAGCGAGCCGTTGAGGATCATGTCGGCCACGGCGGGCGAGATGTGGGTCTGGAAGACGGTGCCCAGGCGGCCGGGAGAGAGCTCCAGGTGCCGGACGCGGCGGCGGGCGCGGGGGTTGTTGAGCAGCCAGGGCGTTGCGGGGTTGCAGACGGCGCGCTCGACGGCGGCGCGGGGCTTGTTGTTGAGGTTCAGGACGAAACGGTTCTGCTCGTAGAAGACGGCGGAGCCGGGGCCGTAGAGGAGCGGGTGGGAGAGCAGGAGGCTGTGCGGGAAGGGGATCTCCGAGTCGGCGGTCGGGCCGACCTGGATCGGGTTCGGGATCAGGCAGAGGTATGAGATGATTTGGTCCCGGATCTCGAGGGGGAGATCGAAGAACTTGTCAAATGTGTTGTTGTTGCCGCCAGCCATTGGAGGAGTCATTGTGTGTCCTGGAATGAGGCGTGACTAAGGTGGGGTGTGATGCCACTGTTGGAGGTGACGCTGTCATGAAGAGGTTGTTGTGAGATGTGTGTGAGCTATCGGAGGGTTGTCCGGAGGAGAGAGAAGGAATCGGAGCCCGGGTGACGGCTACATTGAAGACCGTGGGGGAGGAGGAGGGGTTACCTAATTCGTAACGCTAAGCCCGATTGTGGCGAGTCTATTCCGCACCTCCTCGAGGCCCCGGTCAGTTTTATTTCAACTTCATTCTTAATTGTCCAGGCACCATGGTTTTTGGAAAACAGACTGAAAGCAGTTCAATGTATTTGGAAAGAGCTCTTGAAGAGATTCAATTCGGTGTTTCTAGCAAAAAATGTGATTATTCTTCAGTTGAGTCTCTCAGAGGGTTTAGGAGAGACCCGGGGTTGTTCATGAAATTCGTTCACCGTTACCAATTCATTTTCTTGGAACTCGAGATTAGAAGAGGCTTTCCCCGTGATTGACAACTACAAATGGTTTTAATGATCTCGTGTACTCCACACTTATAAGTGTTACGGAAACAACACTAGATAAAAATGGTCCTGAGAGTCGCTAAAGAAGCCGAAACTGAAGACGCAATAGCTTAGATCTGCCAATCCAAACAGGATGAGTTCAAATTTTAACTTAGCTTCTAGTGAGCACTGAAACTAAACACCCTTGTTTGAAATGAACGTAGAAGCTAAGAAGGCCCCGAAACACCCTCTCCGTTCTGCCCGCCTCGCCGCTTCACGATGCCTTCACTCGCCCACGCCAGCGGCCCTCCACAGCCTGCAGGAACGCAGAATCTGTCATCAAATAATATGGTTTCGTGGTGTAGTTGGTTATCACGTCAGTCTAACACACTGAAGGTCTCCGGTTCAAGTCCGGGCGAAATCAATTTCTTTTGCTTTTTGTCCTTGGATGGAATGCCGCGGACGGCATCGTGTAAGTCGATTTTCCAGGGGATTCGTGCTGACTGGCAGACAATCTTTTGGAAGTTGCAGACAACCTGGAAGCTTTTGCAGATGATGGAGGCCATAGAGGTGGCTTCCATGTGGACAGCGGAGCTTGCACCATATTTTGGAGAGCAGACAAGCACAATGGCCAAACACTGGGCCATTGGGGTTATTTAGACTGCATTGCAAACAGACTTGGGTGGGCTGTTGTCTTTACAAGACTGCAACTATCTTTAAGTTTAACTGCATTCGCCCCAGGGGATCTCGTGATAGCACCTTCGTGCCTAATCTTCATGCGTAATTCCAATGAAGCTTTTCATCCACGTCTCTCTTCTCTGTTGTTGCTGCTCTCATTACCTGACTCAGCGCTGTTGCTCTCCTTGCTGTCTCTGTCCTCGTCTCTGTCCTCGTCTCTGTCGTCGTCTGTGTCGTCGGTTTATGCAGTGTCCGTTGTCAATCTACTTGAAGCTCGTCACTCATACTCGAGAGTCTTGTCTTGTCAGCTCTTCCCGTCCGTCATTTGCAACAGATTACATTCGGAAGTAGCAAATCACAGCCAGAATTCACAGAAGACAGCACAGTGGCACTTTGCAAATGTTTGGAACAATCGTAACGTAGACGTAATTTCATTTCATGTCGCCCTGATCCTTTCTACAGTGTCTATGAAAGCCGTAGAAGACGGCACCCGGAAAGCATTCCCTCTCTCCCGAGAGTCATGCCACGTGTCGTGAGGTTTGTGTGAGAGATGGTGGAGGTATAAGAGGGAGGAAGGAAGGCGGCTGGAAGAAAGAGGAACTTTTAAGTGCCTTTTGATATCACCTGACCCAAATTATTCGCATCCTGGCCGCATTCTGTTCGGCCACCCAAACGCAAGAAAGTTGAACCAGATACACCGCGAGAAAAGCGGCCTCGTCAAGCCGCAAGCTACCATCCGCGCCAAGCACTTGAGGCCTTTTTTTGTTTTGTTTTAGGGAAACCCTTTAGCGGGAGGACATAGCCTTGGTCACGAGGCGCTTGAGGGCGAGCTCGTTCTTCTTGAGGTCCTCGGCGGAGGAGTCGGTGATCTCAAGAGCGGCCATGGCCTCGGAGACCTGCTGCTCGATCTTGTCCTTCTGGCCGCGCTTGAGCTTGAGGGACAGGGTGGGGTCGGAGATGATCTCCTCAACACGGCCAATGTAGGACTCAAGCTGCTGCTTGGCCTCGAAGCGCTTGCTGAAGGCCTCGTCGTTGGTCTTGAACTTCTCGGCGTCTGTAGTCGTTCGTTAGCTTTGTTTCACGTCATTCAGAGGCTTCTGTGTGAACATACCGCTGATCATGTTCTCGATCTCGTGGGAAGAGAGCTTGCCAACGGAGTTGGAGATGGTGATGTTGGCGCTGCGGCCGGAGGTCTTCTCAGTGGCGGTGACCTTGAGGATACCGTTGACGTCGACCTCGAAGACGACCTCAAGGACGGCCTCACCAGCCCTCATGGGAGGGATAGGAGCAAGGGTGAATTCACCCAGGGAGGTGTTGTCCTCGCAGTTGACACGCTCACCCTGGTAAACGGGGAACTGAACGGTCTGCTGGTTGTCGGCAACAGTGGTGAAGGTGCGCTTTTCAAAAGTTAGCGAAATCGAGGCAAGAAACGCGATGGAAAAGAGGTTCAACCTTTTTTATGGTAGGCACGGTATTTCCGCGAGGAACGACGGGAGCGAAGATGTTACCCTCCATGGCGACACCAAGGGACAGGGGAACAACGTCGAGCAGGAGAAGGTCGGCGGTCTCGGCGGAGGTGGCCTTTCCGGAGAGGATACCGGCCTGGACGGCGGCACCGTAGGCGACGGCCTCGTCGGGGTTGATGCTCTTCTCGAGCTTCTTGCCGTCGAAGAACTCGGACAGAAGCTTCTGGATGCGGGGGATACGGGTGGAACCACCAACGAGGACGATCTCGTCAACAGCGGACTTCTCAATGGAGGCATCCTTGAGAACCTGGGCAACAGGCTCAATGGTGCCGTTGAAGGCCTTGGCGTTCAGCTCCTCGAAACGAGCACGGGTAATCTGGGTGGTGAAGTCCTCGCCATCGAAGAGAGAGTCGATCTCGATGGTGGTCTGGGCACCGGAAGAAAGGGTACGCTTGGCACGCTCGCAGGCAGTACGGAGACGACGGAGGGCACGCGGGTCGCCAGAGAGGTCCTTCTTGGTCTTGCGCTGGAAGTCCTTCTTGCAGTGCTCCAGGAGGTTGGTGTCGAAGTCCTGGCCACCCAAGTGGGTGTCACCGGCGGTAGCCTTGACGGTGAAGACACCGCCCTGGATGTTCAGGAGGGAGACATCGAAAGTACCACCACCCAAGTCGTAGATGAGGACGTTGCGCTCCTTGCCGGACTTGCCAGCACCAAGACCGTAGGCAATGGCGGCGGCGGTGGGCTCGTTGATGATACGGAGGACGTTCAGGCCAGCGATGGCACCGGCGTCCTTGGTAGCCTGACGCTGGTTGTCGTTGAAGTAGGCAGGGACGGTAATGACGGCCTTCTCAACCTTCTTGCCGATCTTGGTCTCGGCGATCTCCTTCATCTGTGGTGGGGGTCAGCATGCTGTGTCGCACAAAAAGTTGTCTGGTACTCCTCGGGGCAACTTCGGAGTCGTTGGCGGAGCAGACGTACCTTGAGGAGAACCATGGAGGAGATCTCCTGGGGGGAGAAGGTCTTGGTCTCGCCAAGGTACTCGACGGAGACCTTGGGGCTGCCGTTGTCGTCAACGACCTTGAAGGGCCAGGACTCCATGTCCTTCTTGACGGTGGGGTCATCGAAGCGGCGACCGATGAGACGCCTGCGATGGACGGCTAGTCAGCACACTGTTTTGGTGGTTGAAATTTTTTCGTCGCCCTCTGGTCCTGCTTTACCCCTCCTTGGGCGGGGAAAATTTCCCGCTTCGCAGAGGTAGAAGGCAGAGCCGAAGGCTGGCGAGAGAACGGCGCAGGCTACTCACTTGACATCGAAGACGGTGTTGATGGGGTTCATAGCAGCCTGGTTCTTGGCGGCCTCACCGATCAGACGCTCCTTGTCGGTGAAGGAGACGAAAGAAGGGGTGGTGAAAGAACCCTGCTCGTTGGCAATGATCTCGACATTGGTACCCTCGTATGTCGCAACGCAGGAGTAGGTAGTTCCTTTAGGAAAGAGACGACGTTAGTTCCTCTGATCGTGTATGTGTTGAGGGCAACGTTTGATGCGGACTGGTGATGATATTTCGTAGTGGTGCTGGTGGTTTGTGGTGGCGACGGTGGTGATGGCCTCTCAAGAAGAGGGGAACACCAGCACCGAGAAACCGAAATCATCAAGAGGGGTTTGCGCGCAACTTACCCAAGTCGATGCCAATGGCACCATCGTAGACCTCGTCCGCCATTTTGAAGAAATTTGGATATTGCACAAGACAAAGACGACCTGTGTGAGGGGTGGAGGAGGGAAGGTTGGAGGTTTGCGCGGAGGAGGAAGATATGTGAAAGAGGGCGGGCGGGCGACGTGGGGTCTCTTTCAAAAGAATTTCTCTCTCCCACTCAACACAACCGAACAGAGATTTTGTCAAGGCCGGGCAAAAAATAAATTTCGACTTTTTTTTTTCTGGGCCGGAGCCCCACCAACCCCCCCTCTAGCGTGAGACCGGGCCTAGCGCTGCCACAAAAATTCGAGGACGGCGAAGCAATTTTTTTGCCCTTTTTTCCCGCTTTTGGTGGGCGTTATCTTATCGGACCCCTGCCATCCTCGATTTTTATTTCTTTTGTTCTTCGCTTCTCGCCTGTCTGCTTGCCGCGGGCTTGTCATCGACTTGACTTCAATGGCAATATCAGACGCACATTACGGATACGTACGTACACAACCCGATCAATTCGGTGGCTGGGAATTGCCATTGTCTGAATCTCCCATGCAACACTCAAGTAATGAACTGCTAAAGGGATACATTGCTCGGTCAGGACGACTCCATCATTGCCGCGCTCCGAACACCTTGATTTTCCTTCCGAAGCCTCTAACACGAACCTACGAGTCGTCCTCTTTGCCGCCGCCCAACACCCGGCCCCGACTCTGCTTTTCTCACCGCCTGACTCGGCTTGCGCAAAGCAACCCAGATGCCTGGCAGTGGACTCCCGTCCTTCTGTGGCAACACCACAGGAGAGCCCTTCCTCCCAGCGGCAAACCAGTCTCAACTCCCTTTTTTGTCCGACCTTTGCAACCTGAAGCCCGTCATGCGCATGTCGGACACCCCGAGAGTCGGACTTCAACCCCTCTCTTCGTACCTTACCTGCTTGATCCTGCTGTGGTATCCGTCTGCACGTGGGATCTCAGGAGGATAACATGGGACTGCTGTTCCCCCTCACAGACCGTTTAAAGGGTCCTTCCAGACTTGTCAATGCCATTCAAACGATTGGCTCGGCTGTCTTGCTTGCCCTCCTTCTTCGGACGAACGTTCAGCGTGTTCACCCCTCACGACATTTCCGTTGTCGTTGGCTGAAAGTGGGCTTCTAGAAGCAGATGCGCATTGATAGGCTAATCTGACCGCGGGAATCTCAAATCTGTGCGGGCTAGCAAGGCCCTTGGTTGCTTGCAGCTTGACGAGGGGGGAAATGCCAATGGTGGAGTTGAGAAACGCTTGGACAAAAGTTGCCGATAGTTGTCTAGGGAACTCTGAGACCCTGAAGCCCTTATCCCCCACCAAATGCCCACAACCACGCTCCTCACTCGACATGATAATTGCCTTGCCGCTTGCCCTCGTCAACTCACCATCCTGGATTCTGAATTCAACAGCGCCGATGGTTTAGTGGTAAAATTCTCCGTTGCCATCAAGCAGCGTCGGGGAGCCGGGGGTTCGATTCCCCCTCGGCGCATTCTTTTTGCTTCAGACTTGATTTTGGGTCTTGACTCTCATTTTGCCAGTTGAGACGTCTGCTTCAGAGGCGTACAGTACAGTACATCCTCTTGAGAATGTCTCATAAGTAATTTATAACTTGAGTGGCTGTAAATAGCTTTTTGCAGTTAGATGTCCTAACTGTCTGAGTTACGCTCAATTAGACTTCTCATTCATTGCTGCTTCTTTTGCCAGCAACATCAGCAACACTGACGACAACGATGTAGAGTACTTAAATTGCATCTTGTAACTCGATTATGATCAATAGCTTCGAAATAACAGAGAGGATATATCTAACATAAACAGAGATCCCACCATTTATCTAACCGCATACACCAAAACGCCAACAGTCCCAACGACGAAGACACCCAGAGCCAACATTGCTATGATGGAAACGCCCAGAACTGCGCCGGCGAAGTCCGAACATCTGAATCACTGTTTTTCTCTTTAGGCGGAAAAGTCTTGGTGGTGGTCTCGCCAGTTTCTCTCAAGAATTGCAAAATACACACCACCACAAAACAATAACAGAGAATTTCCGCAACGAACATCATATACCGAAAGGCGTGTCTCCTGCTGCCGCGCAAGAAGGCACCAGGGCTGAACAGTCGTCTCGGTCTCAAGCTCAGCGAGTGTTCCGCCAACGAGCTCCTGAAGAGCAGTTGATCGTCAGATTCGCCTTGGAGCCCGTGGTAATAGACTACTCGGTGGTCTGCCAGGGTATTCACCGTGTGACCGACCGCCGCCCCAATGTCCGGGGCGACCGTGATATCGAGCTTCTCCAAACGGGGTACCACGGAGATCATGACCCTCGCGACCCTGTTGGGCGGCAGACCCGGGGGTGCTGATCCTGCCGAGACGGAAATCCTACTGCTGAGCGCTTCATCATACTCTCTCTCGACGATTTTGCGCCGCGACTGGTACAGCTTCTCGCAGAGTTCGATCTGATCTGGGAGGTAACGGTCGCCGGGCGAGAGCCATGTGAACTTGAGCATAGAGGGCGAACGTCGGGCTTGTACTGCGAACCAGGCGGCGTATGCTACGCAGCTGTGTATGCTCTGGTAGACGTCCTTGACGTCGATAAGTTCTTCGCCGGACGGCCATGTCTTTCTGGTCCAGTTCAGCACGGGAAGGACGAGGATCAACACCTTCAGCGCCAGCTTGTCCACCTCGGACCAGAAACACGGCGGGATTCCGTAGGTGTGGCCGAGCATCATCTGCACAGTCGTTGATCGCATCTTCGTTCGTCTGAAGCCTGTCCACAACGTTATGTCAGCTTCTTTTGAGTACTCGAGCTGGAGAGCGAAACTTACCGTCGTCCTTCATGAACTGCTTGTCTTGATGATGGAGCATCTCCTTCTGCTTCTGGTCCGCCCCGAAGAGAAGCTGAGAGAAGACCTGGTCGGTGAAGATTCTCATGAGAACGGCTCGCATGACGCAAGAGCGCTTTGCTCTGCATTTCATCAGGTCGTCCCACGGGTTTTGGTCGTACGGGTCTGGACGGGCGATTTCGCTGACGATGCTCTCCAAATGGATGTTGTTCTCGCCCGCCGACGGCCATACTGAGCCCTGTATGGGAGATCCTCCAGGTTTGAAAACGTGCTCGACGAAGTTCTTGATATAGGATGTGAGTGAGGCGTAATGATGCAGGAAGAAGTTGTCGTGAAGCAGATGTTCGGCGATATCCCATGAGAGATCGATGCGTTCGGGTTTGAAGTCGCCAATATCTTGTCGTTTGAGATCCTTTCTTGGATGTTTGCTGGTATGTGAGGCTGACATAGCTTTAGCAGGGTTGATATGATTTGGTTGTTGATGGAGTCTAGAGAGAGCAAAGTAAAGGTCCCTGTTGCTGATGACTTGTTAAATGAGAACCGATGATGTTGCTTCTTCACATCTACAGCATCAACTCGGGCAACCGCAAGAACTTATGAATGCCTGGCCACTTCGACTGAGAAACGACTGTATGCATTATTTCTACTTGTTCGTACACTATTCTTTGATGTTGAGAACATAAATCCATTTTCTGATGATCTTCTCTTGATGGACTCAAAGATGATATGAACGAATCTTTGTGCCATCCTCGATGGCATACTCGCCACGTTGACTTATCTCGACTTCGAGAGCTGAAAGGAGGGAGGGGATTGTCTAAGTGAAAGAAGATGATGGTCAGAATATTCGAAAGACTTCCGAGAAGATTGACATCAACAAAGACCGCTGGGTCCTCATCCGCCCTGCATTCCCCAATCTGCTATTGCCAACGAAAACAGGATGTCATTCTTATTGAATGAGATAGATATTCCCTTTATGTGAGTGCTAGAGTCAAAGACTGCCCGGGCGTAGCGCAGTTCGGGCTCGGCATCCGGTGACATGAGAAGCGTGGACGAGCAGTATGGGGCAGCGGCTGAAACAGGAAGGGTACTCCCGTCGAAACAAGCCCCAAGGCCGTCGCCCCAGACTGACTTCGGCTCTTCTTACCCTGCAAAGCAAGAGAAGGATTTAATCGAATGATGTTCCGTGACGTTGTCTTCAGCAGGTATTGGAAACGCGGTTGACTCGAGGTTGAGATATCCTGCATCCATCACTCAGGTCTTAGTGGCAACTAACTTTTGCCCGGTGGGAGGCTATTGGCGCGAGAGAAAAAGCTTCTGGAAAATTCTTTGGAGTCCGAAGCCAAAAATACAGACGTTGGGCATCGAAGTCGAAAAGGACGATCTCGAAACAAGGATGCGTCCTTGAACGTAGGAAGGGGCAGGAGAAGGGGTCAGGAGTGACTCGGCTGCGGCAAAGTCGCCTTTGAACAGTTGACAGGGGGGAGCAAGATCGGATTGTACGGCGAATTCTTTTTGCTCAGTTCCTCCGTGCAACCCGAGTAAGTTCTATTGAATTTGGGTTTGGTGGTGTTGGTGGACAATAGGTAGCAATACGGATACTGAAGTAACGCAGGGCTGCAGGGCAAGGGCAGGTTGGAGACAATCAGACCGCCAGACAAAGAAAGGACGCAACGCAACGTATTGGATGGCATCGAAGCTTGAATTTCACCACACGACACTGCAAGGTTGTCAGTCGGCTGGCGCGGTCATTGGAGCAAAATACCTCCACTGGATTGCTTAAACTTCCGCGAACCTGGTCTTGACCGGGACCAGACCTTTTCTCTCCGGGAATTGGAGGTTGGAGGTCCAAGGTCACCACTTTTGTCATGTATCCGTACTTTAGGGTCAGGTAGGTGAGGTACGGAGTAGGTAAACGGAAAGGCTGGCAGTTTCCTTCAGTGAGGTTCAGCCCGGTAACCCCACTTTTATTCCCTCGTTCGGTTGGCCCGCCCGCTTGGGCATTTTTTTGCGACTGCAAAGGAAAGGCACGCCGCACCGTGACTGCATTTCCACAGCTGAGCGCAATCCTTCGCAAAACCCATCATCGCAACTTCCAATTCCACGAGAACGTCACCACTCCCGTCGTTCCCGCCGTCTCTATAATTCACCTCAACTCCTCCGAACCTGCCGCTTTTTGCTGACTTGCCTGGCGCAACGTCGGAATCCTTACGCTCGCATCGATTTTGGGAAGCAACCACCCCCGCGGTAACTTCCTATCAGCAGTGAAGCGAGCAAACCGTCGTCACCTCCAGCCCTTCGAGCGGAACCTTCCCACTTCCCTCCCACCCCTCCGCCTCCGTCTGCGAACATCAACCTTTTCACACCTGGTTGCTCGTCCCCGAGTCGGCATCTCCTCGTCGTCATCTTTTCGGAGTCTGCCTCATCAGCGCCTCTGATAACCTATCCGTCGTCGACCGATAATCAGACCTAAACACCACAACAAACCATCACGATGGCCGCCCAAGTGCAAACACCCACGAACCCCGACCAGCAGGTCGACCTGTCCACCATCCCCATCTCCCCTGAGGGTGGTGAGAAGAGCGAAAACAAGGAGACTGCTGATGGCAAGGACGTCACCGTCTTCCACGACAAGGAGAACTTCAACGTTAAGCACCCTCTTCAGAACAAGTGGACGCTCTGGTTCACCAAGCCTCCCAGTGGCAAGGTTCGTTCTTCCTCAAACCCGAACACCACACCATCGTCCGCATCATGCTGACCAAACCAGGGTGACAACTGGAACGACCTGCTGAAGGAAGTTATTACCTTCGATTCCGTGGAGGAGTTCTGGGGTGTCTATGTACGTGCTTTCCCCTCCCTGTGACCCCGCCATCTCACTAATCACTTTGAAAACAGAACAACATTGCTCCCGTCTCCGAGCTGGCCCTCAAGTCTGACTACCACCTTTTCAAGGCTGGTGTTCGCCCTGAGTGGGAGGATGCCCAGAACAAGCACGGTGGCAAGTGGTCGTACCAGTTCAAGGAGAAGCGCGCCGTCCCCATCGACGAGCTCTGGCTGCACGTCATGTTGGCCGCCATTGGCGAGACCCTCGAGAGCGAGGATGATGGTGAAGTCATGGGCGTCGTCGTCAACGTGCGCAAGGCCTTCTTCCGTATCGGTGTCTGGACTCGCACCATTGGCAAGAGCATCCCCGGACGTGGTGATGGAGACGTTGCCGGCGGCAAGGGCCGTTCTCAGGATAAGGGCCGTGAGATTCTGCTTAACATCGGTCGCCGGTTCAAGGAGATCCTGAACCTGCCCCAAAACGAGATTGTCGAGTTCTCCGGCCACACGGACAGTGCACACAGCGGAAGCAGCCGTGCGAAGGCTAAGCACACCGTCTAACCGGACACGAACTTGGACTACACGACACACGACTTTACCATGCATTTTATCAGACAGAATACTGCTTCCCTCTCGCGAGATAAGCCGAGTACGTCTGCATGATATCACTCCTCATATTTCTCAGCCAACCTTTTTTTTTGCCTGACGCTGGTGGGGATTCCGAGCACCAGGCATTGCTATGCATCAATGATAACGCATTTTGAGGGGCGGAAAAGGTTTTCTTATGATAGTCTTAGGAGCTCCCCGATGATGGCGTTGCTGAGAAAAAAACAGATGGCTTCACTTCTAGACGGCCATGATCAATAGTACATAGGCGGACGCGAAAAGCCGGAATAGATACCTAGGTTTTAGGCCAATTTGCTTCTTTTGTGCCTGCGGCAGCACTCTGCGACGGTGAGGTTCTCCAATATTTTGTCTATCTTGATTCTATGCACATCCCCCTACTCAAACAAATGTGTGCCTGTCTACGGATATATATACGCACATGAGATATTGTTACATTTCATCACCGCTGAACTGGTCCTCGAACACCGCCTGGACCAGCTGCTTCTTGTTGATCTTGCCCATGGCGTTGCGGGGGATGTGGTCGACGACTTTGAGCACCTGAGGGATCTTGTAATTAACAAGCCGATCTCGGAGGGCCCTCCGCATTTGCATGGGCGTCCAGTGCGGCACCACGTCCTTGTTGAGGATGATGACGGCGCCGACCTTGCTGCCCCACTTGCCCGAGGGCACGGCGACGACGGCCGCCTCGGCGACCTCGGGGAGCGACAGGAGCTCGCGCTCGACCTCGAGCGCGCTGACCTTCTCGCCGCCCGTCTTGATGATGTCGGCGCTCTTGCGGCCCTGGATGAAGTACATGTCGCCCTTGGCCCACGACGCCTGCGCGGCGTTGAGCCCGGCGCCGTCGACGCGGCGACGCACCGCGACGTCGCCCGTCTTGAACCACTTGCCGCGGCCGTCCTCGCCCTCGACGAACTCCTTGGCCGTGGCCTCCGGGTTGCGCCAGTACTCCCTGAAGACGGTGGGGCCGCGGAGCTGGATCTCGCCGGAGCGCTCGCGGCCGGTCTCGGGGTCGACGTCGTGGCCCTCGGGGATGACGGCGCCCGTGTCGGTGTCGACGAGGCGGGCCTCGACGCCGGGGAGGGGCCAGCCGACGCTGCCGTCGACGCGGTCGGTGAAGTCGAGGCCGCAGGAGAGAGCCATGCCGACCTCGGTCATGCCGTAGCGCTCGAGGAGGACGTTGCCCTTGGACAGGGTCTTCCAGGCCTCCTTGATCGGGGTGGGCAGGGCGGCGGAGCCGGAGATGGCGAGGCGCATGTGTCTGGGGGAGACGGCCTCGCGGGTGGGTTCTTCGGGGTCGAGGGGCAGGGACTTGTGGGTTGCGAGGAGGCGGGAGTAGACGGTGGGCACGACGGTGAAGAAGGTGATCTTTTCCTTGGGGGTTTGGTGGTGGTGCCCGTTGACGCCGTTGGTGCCGTTGGTGCCGTCTGTGCCGTTTGTGGTTATGAAGGGCGCGGCGAGGCGTTTCCAGACGGCATCGGCGTTGAAGGGGAACATGAACTCGATCGTGGAGCCGGCGAGGAGCGGGGTGAGGACGGCGTTGACGGTGCCGTGGATGTGGTGTAGGGGGAGGACGTGGAGGAGGTGGTCCGCAGGGGAGTAGTTCCATGCCTCGATCAGGGACTCGGATTGCGCCGTCAGGACGGACTGAGGGAGCAGGACGCCTTTCTGCGAGAGACGGTGTTTGTTAGCTTCATGGTTTGCGAAGGGTCTCAAGACGAAGAATTTCCCATACCGGTCTGTTGGTGGTGCCCGATGTGTAGAGCATCATGCCCGCGCTGCCGGGGTCGGCGTTGTCGAGCTCGACCTGCTCATGCGCGGCGCCGCCGAGGTGCTTTTGCAGCTCGAGCTGGGCGGGCTTGGAGACGAGGTCGGTCGCGAGGACCTCCTTCGCCTTGGCGGCGAACTTGGCCGAGGAGACGAGCAGGGAGGCCTCGCTCTGGTTGAGGATGTACTGGAGCTCTGCGGCGGGGAAGGCCGGGGAGAGGGGGACGGCGATGGATCGGGCTGCGAAGGCGGCGAGGAGGGTTACTGTTTAGGCGGAGGAGGCGCAAATTAGTATCATAGGCGCTGGCGCATGTTTTGTTGGGGTAGTTTGCGCGATTCGTCTGGCTTACCTACATAGTCGTAGCTGTTCTCTACCAGGAAGGCGATGCGCTCGCCGTTGAGGTCGGGCTTGCCGGCCGAGTCGAGCAGGCTGTTCCGGGCGCGGCGCACGTCGCCAAGGAGCTCGCCGTACTTGAAGCGGCGGCCGGAGAGGGAGTGGATCACGGCGGTAGACTCGGGGTCGTGCCGGGAGATGGCCTCGAAGAGGGGCAGCCTCGGGAGGGAGGAGGTTGTGGAAGCCATTCTGAAGGGTTGTTGCGATGCGAAGAATCGGGGTGAGGAGGCGAGGCGGCGGTTTGAGAAGGCGGACGGCGGTGCTCCGGAGGTGAGGACGGCGGCGGCGGCGACGACTGACAGAGATGTTGGTGATGCTCGGGAGCAGCAACAGCAGCAGCCGGGCCGTCGTGCTACATTCCGCAAACCGGAGGCCAACATGGGGTGTGGGGGAGGGGGAGGGGAGGGGGAGATATGATTGATATGCGTGCGGTTTCGTTATCAATGGCGTTATGGTATGATTGAAGGACCGGGACACGGAGTGGATATTTGGGGAGGGGACGGACCCCGTCGGTGGTTGCTCTCGGGAGTCGGATTAGGTAGGTAGCGTTGGGTGCGGTGGTGGTGGTGTTGGTAGGTGGTGCTAGGGGATTTTTTTGTTGGTGTGAGCGGCGCTGTCAGGTCCCGGATCGGACTTCCATCTCCGGCAGGATCAGTGCCGAAGACCGGACGGAAAAGTGTGGCTTGAGCGGATGTCTGCCCGTGGTGCAGCGCAGCAGCACCAGCAGTAATCGGAGGACAGTGAGAAATGGAGGTGTGCGTGCGCCGCGGGTACGGTGCTGGGCGTCCGGTCTTGGTGTTGGGTTGTTGATCAGATAATCACCCACTATCCCGTCCAACCTCCTGGGACACTGGAGCCCGGTGGTGGATGATGCTCGTCGATGTTCCAGTTCATCTCGAAAATGCGAAGATGTGAAGTTTGGTGTTGAAACGCCCATAAGGAACGGGAGTGGAGACCGGCCGAAGCGGCCGACCATTTCCATCATGCCTCTATCCGTCCCTCCATCACATAGCGTCAACAGGGTCTTCTGTACCTGACCACAAGAGGAAGCAGAAGAATCTCGGCCGTGGATCTCGATGCTGTGTGTCCTCTCCTCTGCCTACCGCTTCTCCTGCGCGCTGCCGGTTCTGCTTCCCCCTCCTCCCCTCCCTGCGGCCGTTGCAGCTTGCTTCCGCTGCAAAGGCACCAAAACGCAACGCAACGCAACCACACGTCACCACCTCACTTCCTCTATGTTTTGTTCCGCCTCCTCGTCTTGCTGCTTTCATGCAAGGTCCTGGAAGCCCGACCGGGTTTCCCTTCCTCCCCGCCCGCGTGCATTGGCGACATTGTGAATCACAACGCCCGAAGGAAAAAAAGTCTGGGACGGACGGAGGCGGGCTGGGCTGGAACCGTTGCTGCGTTGGACGGGAGGTTCTGGGATATCTGGACGGTCTTCTGATCAGGTGCCAACGGTGCCTTGCGCCAAAGCGGAGCAAACTCTGTGCTGCTGCTGCTGCTCTCTATCTGCTTCGAAGAACGATGGTGGATTGGATACGCGGTGACGGTGACGGTGACCGGGGTGGACGGTGACGGGGGTTGGGGGCGGGAAATACGCGGTGAGCGTTTTCTCTGACTCTTTTCTTTTCTCCAGCGTGTGTAAAGGTAAGGTAGGTACTGTACGAAGTACGCATACGCCATATTGGCGGTAAGGCACGGTCAAGATAGTCACCGCGTGCTGCCCTCTCCCCCCTGGTCTCTTCCTCGTCACAGCATTCTTCCAATTGTCTTCTAGCCTTCTTCCAGCCCCGATCCACCCTTCTGCGCTAGCCGTTGTGACTCCTTCCTCCGTCGGCTGCGATGGGTGTGATGGGACGAGCATGGGGAAAGAAGCAAAGAAGAAGGGCGGTGGACATAACAGCAAGCAAGATGCGAAGCTAACCACCTCACTTCACACTTCACACACGAGGTTTCCCAGGGGCTGGCACCACGCACCTGGGTGAACCAAAACCTACCCTTACCCAACCCGTGGGCCCGGCCAGCGAAACGGACCCGTGGACCTCAAATCACCACCTCACCCTCACGCTCACGCCCCCCGGACCAGACGGCCCAGCGGTGCAGCCCAGCGTGCTCTCGCTGTGGAGTCCGCCGGTTACCAACCGGAAGGACAGAGGCAGGCTTCCCGGGCCGCTGATTGGCCGCCGAGAAACATCCCGCCTGCCGCTCCTTTTCACCGACACACCGAAACTTTTTACACCCCCGTCCCGTCCGGGGTGCCGTCCGGGGTGGTTTGAGGAGGGGGAGAATTCTTTCTTTCCTTCTCTCCCCCTGGACCATCTCTCTCTCTGCTGCCACAACAACCTTGCAACCGCTGACCGCACCTGAGAGCCTTACCGCACATTCGGTCTACACAGCATCCAGAGAAGCACCACCAAAAAAAAAAGTGCCACACCGCGTCCGAACCGTATCCGTACCTAAACCGAAAAAAGTCATTGGACTGGCAAATCCCTATCCAATACGCACACGCAACTTTGCTTATTCCCTGTCGGTCTTGTTTTGGCTTTGCCTGGCTTGCTTGCTCGCTCCTTGGCTCCTCCTCGATCTTGACTATCCGTGTAGAGAGAGTCCACTGCTGGCCCCAAGGTACGCATTCAGGCACACCTTGCTCGCTCACTCACCTCCTTTTCGCGATACTTCAAGTATCTTCCTCTTCTCTCCCTCTTTTCTCCCCTCTCCTTCCCCTTTCTCTTCTTCTATTCCCCATGAACACTTTCCGCCCCTTCGTCGGCAGGATTGGGAGTAGTTTCACCGGAGGAATATCACCGACGTTTACAACACAAATACCGACTCCAATGTTGCGCAGATACGCCCTCGGTTTCTCGGCTTCCGCCAGACCGCCCAACATGTCCTCCAACACCTCCGTCGAGGAGACCATCCGGTCCAAGGTGAGACATTCTCTCTTCCTCTGCTGCCCGTCGCTGTGTACGGCGCCGGCGTTGGCAAGACATGAACTCGAACTGACTCGTCCCGTGCAAAAGATCACCGCCGCCCTCTCCCCCTCCACCCTCGAGATCTACAACGACTCCCACCTCCACAGCCACCACAAGGCCATGCAGGGCAGCAGCTCCAAGGAAACACACTTCAGGTACGTGGTCTTCCGGGTCTTATAAAAACATGGGCCGCAAAACTTTGAAGCGCTCCAACACTAACACCAAACCCCCCAACAGACTCGTCATCGTCTCCGAGGCCTTCGGCACCAAGATGCAATCCGCCCGCCACCGCATGATCTACGCCCTCCTCCGCGAGGAGATGGCCCGCGAGGGCGGTATTCACGCCCTGCAGCTCAAGACCCTGACGCCCGAGGAGGAGGAGAAGCAGAGGGAAGCGAAGGCGGCCAAGGCCGCGGCCAAGAAGGCCGCTCAGGACGCCCGCTCCTCGTCCGACGACTCGGCTTGAAACGAACAAAAAAACGATACCCCCTAAAGTAACGACCTACACAACAAAGAAACGCGATGCCATACGATACGAGATTATTTTTGATTTACGACGAACCGAAACTGTCAAGGGAGGGAGTGAAGGACATGATGGGACCAAAAACAGAAGAAGAAACAACCGGGTCAACCAACGGGTGTCAAAAACTATTACGGAGTCATGCTTGCTTGCTTGCTTGCGACGAAACAGAACCATTGATTTTACGAATCGGATTTTACGACGAACGCCCCAGTATGTTACCGGATATCATCTACCTCGGGGCGCATGTTTTTCTACAAAAAGATATGGAAGGGGTTGCATTACCTAGATAACCTTCCAAAGACTCTCCAGAGAGCCGGTCGCTCGCGCGCGAAAAAAAGAAGCACCACATCAGAACAGACTTGGTTTGCCTGAGCAATGTCACAGGTTGAGAAATTCTTCAAAGTACCATACTTTTTTTGGCCCGTACAAACATAGTCTAATACTACTTTTTACAAACATCGAGAGAGCTCATTGTTGGGGGGTATCATACATTAACGTGAAGGCCAGTAACTGCAAAGCCAGACTCCTTTTCGCGCCTACCCATACCATACAGACATCCTCATAAAGCAACCTTCGCCCCCAACGAGCGCGTCGTCGAGCCTCGACCAATGTCATACGGTTGATTGGGCATCACCGGACTGGGCCGCATGGGTTCCTGCAACAACTCCGTAGACAACTCAAGCATCCCCGCCTTTGGGCGCCGGAGTGGATCCCGGGAGACGACCTTCCCTGGCCATCCTCTCAATCTTCCTCTTCCACCGCTCATTGTCCCTCTGTCTGTCCTTCTCCGTCTTCTTGGGCTTCTTGACACGGGAGTCCTGAGTCGTCGCGGAGAGCGTGCTACGTGCTGGGCTGTGGGACGCCTGACGGGAGGGGGTGCCGAAGTTGAAAGAAGACGGTAGCGTCCGACGCGCGTGTGGTTTCTCCGGGGTCGGTCTCAAGAGATTGGCACGAGAAGCGGATGGCATGGGCTTCTGTGCCGAGGACCGTGTCTCTGCTATGCTTGCGACGCGCTGCACCTGCTCAGATGCGGCAGGTACCTGCGGCGGAGTAGCTCGAGTAGGGAACGGAGGATTGGGACCTTGCATGGGCTCATGCTTGATAGAAGCCTGCTGGCCGACGAACTTGGGTGGCGCTGGACGGAGTCGCGGGTTGCTGGAGATGAACACGACATTATCGTCTTCCGTAGGAGTGGCCGCTTTCTGGCGGTTACTAGAAAGGAATACCACGTTATCGTCCTCGGCGTCAATAGCCGCTTCTTGACGCTGCATCTTTGGCGTAGCCGACACATGCTTTTCTGGGGTATTCTCATCCACCATTCGCTGCTTGCCCTTTTCCCGGTTGACAGGGCTCAACTTCAGCTCATCAGAAGAGGCTGCTGGGTTAGGATGCTCAGACGTCGTCTTCTGTTCTTGAACACGCGGCTGTTCGTCCTGTACCGTTCTCTGCGCCTCGGGGACACCTTGGGTCTGAAGTGGTGAGCTCGGAACAGGTACGCTCGCAGCAATCTGAGCAGGCTTGGTGCGATCTCCAGGCGAAGGACTGGTTATATGTGCGTCGTTCCTATCAGTCGCCGGCAAGTTGGTCGGCAAGGCAGTCGGCAGTTTGGCGGTGGCCGGCGATGGTGAAACTTCCGGTGAAATTGTGCTACTGGCGGACTTTGATTCATCGGGATAGATCTCAAACACTCGACTCAGACTTTCGACTGTTACGACGTTCCTTTGGAATACCGGCCTATCAACATTTCCGACATACCATTTGACGGCTGTAATGGGCTTCTCGGGGGGAATGGCTTTGTCCATCCTGTCCATATACTGAATGTAGCCATCCCCAAAAGCCCGGATGAAGTCGTCATAAAGCCATTTCGGCAGCGTTTGCTTGCGCTGAATGTACTCGACAACCAGGCATGCCCTGACGAAATCCATGAGGCTTCCCGAGTAGGATGGGTAAGCTGCACAGAAAGCTTCGTAGGGACTTCGCGTAAACTGCTCCGCAATTGTCTCATCTGAAGGGCCTGATGGCGGTGCCGGTGTAGCGTTTGCGTTTGCGTTGTCCTCGACATTCATGGTAGGCAACTTCTCAGCCGCGGCAGAATTGACGCGACGCTCGAGACGTGCCGCCGCCGCAGCAGCCTTGGCAAGTGACGCATCCCTCTTCTCTTTTTTCTCCTGTTCTGCCTGTCGTGCCGTCTGGACCAGAAATTCGATAGACTCGTGGCTGAGGTCATCAGGAAATGAGAGCCTCCCGTTGCTATGCTGAGAAGCTTGACGAAGAGGACCATCGGGCTGAGACCACAAGCTTCCGAGATTGATAGCCCTCTTTTCGGCCAGAAGAGTAATACGCTTCAATGTCTCCAGACTGCTTCGTGAAAGGCGTGTACGATGTTGTTGTAGGCCCACAGGAAGCCAATCAAGCTTCTTCATTCCCCAAACGTCATCCAGCCAGCTTCTGAGATCTTCCCTGAGTTCCTCTTCGTCCGGCACCATGAGTTCAGGCAGCGGGGGGTTTCCTGAGGTTTCGCCCATCACAACGTCAACTTCGGGCGGATTAGCTGAGAGCGTGGCCTGGTACTGCAGGAGGTTTTGTTCAAGGCCTGCAGGCCTGACCGGGGTTACTTGGCGTTCCTCTTCAGGAGCTCTGAGTCTGCCCGGAACGGACTGGTTTTCCTCGTGAATAGTTCCGAGTCCGCTGGAGATGGATGGACGCTCCTCTTCAATATTTCTGGCTCCGCCTGATATGTCTTGGCGTCCCTCTTCATGATTGTTGGCTTCGCCTGAGGTGCCTTGACGTTCCTCTTCATGAGTTCTGGCTTGGCCTGGGGTATCTTGAACCACTTGATTCTCTTGAGGCGTTCGGCTTTCGGTGGCGTAGGTCGATGCAATGAAAGCGCCTGAGGATGCTGGCAGTACTTTCTCACGAGACCGAGGCTGAGAAAGCGGAATTATAGGCTCATCAGCAACTGTTGGTGCGGAGGACGACCAGTCAGCAGCGGAGATGACCTTCATGTTCCGCCTCTTCTTAGGAGTCGATGACTTCGCGGGGCTCTTAGCGTCGTTGTAAGTCGAAGGAATCATGCTGCCTTGGCCGCATGGTGGGCTGGTCACAGCTTGAGAAGCAGTCAGCAGACGTGCCGCAGCTTTGTTGGTCCAAGGTGTTGCTTGGTCGATGGCATCAGGGATGCACGTCTCTAGTTCATCGTCCAGGCCGGCGCTGCTCGAGGGGAAGGTGCCAATGCGAGGTCTTTTCGGGCTCGGCTGAAGAAGCCCGGCAGGTGGATTGGGGCGCTTCGGAGCAGGTGCAATGGGGGACGACTCGTATCGAGGCGGGCTGCTTGGGAGGCCTGCAATTGGTGAAGGTGGAGGCAACTGGCTTTCCACTCCAAGTTGAGACTTGATGGAGAGGCAGGGCGATGAATTTCCAACTCCTGAAATTCCAGGTCTCTCTGGAGACGATGGCCAGGAGACTGGTGTTCCTGGAGCAGAGGAGACAGGTGATCCATCAGCCCCATCTGAGAAGGTATTGACTGTCTGTGACTTTGCTGGTGCTGTCAAAGAAGGTGCGCTTGAAACGGGCGGCTGTGGCTTCTGTGCAGGGGGTGGAAGGGTGTGAGCTGTATGGAAGTCCTTGAGGCTCTGAATGACCTCTGGGGGCACATTTGCATCTTCATTGTTGCCTTTGATGCCCATGAACCAGGAATCGGAGCGGTCCAAGAGCTTCTGCTGATTTTTGTGAATCCTTGTCAGGCTCCGTGGGACTGATTTTCCACTTAGAAGCGCATGGAATGATTGTGGCGTGCTAGAGAAGCCTGAGCTGCTTCCTAAGCTGGCCATCGTGACGGTTGCAAAGGTGCAGCTAGTAAGTTCTTTGCATCTGTGTGGTGCTCAGATCGGCTGCTTTTTTTTGTGAGTTAAACGAGCAGACGTAAGTAACGAAAAACAACACGATCTGGGTGCAGAAGTAAGTTTGTATGTCCAGTTGAAGTGAACAAAAATAAGCCTGCCTTTTGGAGTGATTCACACCCAGGCTGTGATTGTGACGATGTTCCTGGGTAGATCTGAGTGTCAACGAGGTGACGCGCTAGGAATTTTGGGGCGCGTTTTTTGGTGTCGGACCCTTGAACCATCTGAATGAAGGTGACCAGCACTGAGGGTGCTCAGTGCTCCAGGGCAGCTGGCAGACAGCTGTGGGGCAGCCTCAGCTCGCCCTGCCCTTGTCCCAACCATCCAGCCTCGGAATGCCAAAGAAGGCCCGGAGGATATCGACACCACATCTTTCGGTACGTACTTCCTGCAAGTGGGACCGGCTGGTGTCGGAATGCCGGGAATGGGTACCGGGTACATCCACATGCACTGCGACTGCTACAGCCTATCCCGCTGCAACGGCGGCTCTTTACGAATGCCTCACTTTCCCGAGCTACCTTACATCACTGGACGGAATCATCTCAAGGTGGAAGGGAGGTATTATCACCACCGCCACACTTTACAGCTAGTAGCCTGGACTTGCCGTCATCAAGTCGCAAAACTGCCAGCTGGACCCAAGGTGCAACACCAGCTTCGTCATCCCCCGTTTGACGATTCCACCAACCTGGCAGCCGCTGGGCCACGCGGGCCTAGACCTTGGAGGAATAGCGCTGGTTGGTTTCGCAGTAGCCCACGGATAGGCAGCCTCTAAAAGGCTCCCGGTGCCGAACTTGAAGACATTAGCTCGTCCTGCAGACTAAGGTACGGATACCTAAGACAACACACCACATCCTTCGCTGCTTCGTCGCCTTACACGACTAGAACCTGACCTTCGCCACGTCGTTTCTCCTCATCGTCACCTGCGCCTCTCTTTGATCCATATCTTTACCCGCGATCCTGCCGACAAACGGCATTCCGATATCCTCATATCCCTAGATTACCGAAAGCTTTCCACTTCGACCACCCATCTGCCCACGACAGCACACACCGATTCTACACGCGTTAGGAGACGACGAGGGGAAGCGCTGGAGTTGAAGACCCCTCACTTGACCACGTTTTCCCGCAGGCGTCATGTCAGTCTGAGAGCGAAACACGCCTGCGCTGCTCCCGATGCCTTAGAACCCCGAACCTCTCGAACCCCTCGCTTCCACCGTTGCCCCGCGCAAGATGGCTAGCAACAACGTTCCGAAACCAAACTCTCCGGCTGTCTTGTCGACGCCTCCGGGCTTTCGAAGCCGTCACGACTCCATCAACTCTATATCGACGGCTTCGCAGGCCGACAAGGACCAGCTGGCCCATACTCTCAACAGGATTCATACCTCTGCGAGCCAGTCCGACTCCCTTACGACCTTCAACGACTTCGCTCCCCCTCCATCTTCGCTCCCAGCGACCGAAACAAAGGCTTTGACCGGCGAGTACGTACAAAATGGACTCAGTGGACTGTACAGCCGTCTCAAAGAGGCTGTTGGTGCCGTTGGCACGAGGGCGCAGGATGCAGATGATGCAGACAGTTTCGACGCCGCTTCAAAACGCAGCACCAGCACGACGGCTACTTCGGTCAAGACTCCAACTACATCTCTTGCGCGTGTAGAGACTGCCGCAACGGTTTCCTCTTTCAACTCGTCCGCGACCAACGATGGTCCTATGACGGCCACGACCTCTTCAGGAATAAACACGACTTTGTCCGACAGCCTGTCTCAACCACCTCAGTCCTCCAAGGCGACCTCGATAGCTGCGATGACGGCTTCCAAGTCGAGTACATCTAGTCGACAGAGCAGCTTACCCAGTGTGGCTAAAGCATCGGCGGTCACGGCCATCAACCCAGAGGTTGCGCCTGCTACAGCAACAAGAAGCTTGGCACATGCTGAAGATGGACCTATTCGGTCCTCTGGGAGGCGAAGCATCAGCAAGCCGGATTCCCGGCCACTTGTGATCGGTGAAGGCTCTCACAAGTTCGACGTCCTCGAACCCAAGCCCTCCGTCGCTCTGGATCGAAGCCACGCGAGCTCTCGATCCAGACGCGAAGACATCACGATCGTTGATGGTCCTGCCGAGAAGCCCTTGAGTCCCATCAAAACAAATGCCCCGCCGCTGCCTAAGTTACAGACGACGGACCCTCGATCGCCAGTTTCTTCAGCTGCGTCAATGCTTATTGCTCCCAAAAGACCGGCTGTCATCGACCGCATCAGTCGCTCTAGATCGCCAGGGTATGCGCCCTCACGATCATCGTCCATGGAGCATGTCACCGCAGAGCCCAGCCCGATCAGCACTACTGCTCATGACTCGGTGTACCATGATTCTTTTGCCCACGATTCTCAGCCGAAGCACGGAAGAACTGGAGCGCTGCGGATTCCTGGCACAACGACGAACGAGGGCGCGCCGGAACAAGTCAATGCGAGACTCGATCGTATGCGAAGACAGGTGTTAAGTAAAGAATTCTGGATGGCCGACGAGACTTGCAAAGAGTGCTTTATCTGTGGACAACCATTCTCAGCATTCAGAAGGAAGCACCATTGCAGAACTTGCGGTTGCATCTTCGATTCCAAATGTACCTCCATCATTCCGGGCTCAAAGTTTGGAATGACCGGAACCTTGCGAGTTTGCAAAACATGTCTGAAAGTCATCAACCAACGCCTTTACGAGGGTAGTGGTTCGGAAGACTCCGGGGACGACTCATTCTTGCCAGCCATCTTCCGACAAACAAAGGCTACCCCGAAGGTCACTCAGGTTGAGGCCGAGGTTGCAGAACCCAGTTTCGCTGATAGGATGGAAGGTTTGGATGACGCCAGATCTGTCCAAACACCCATGATGGCCATTCCCACCAGGCGGATCAACGACTCTAACAGAAATTCGGCCATTTTGGAAATAGACGCGCCGCAGCTCAGTCGCCCGAGCTCGTCTCGGTCTTTGAGATCTTTGACTTCTGCCAATCGTCCGCAATCGTCGGGTCACAAGAGACATCATTCGAAGCATCACAACAACTTTCTCGCGCGGTTCAAGCCGATGCCAATGCCGGATGTCGACAGAGCCCCTTTTCGCAAAGGCATAACCGACGAGATGACAAAGAAGCCAAAGTATCCTGCATTTCACGACGACAATATCATCGATCCGGAGCTGGCCGCTTATATGTCAGACGAGTCCAGCGGCGACGAACAAATGAGCATTTTTGCCACCATGTCAAGTGCCGATCTCCAACCTTCCAGCTACGACCACGAGAAGTCCAGTTTCGGACCGTTTTTGAGCGCGGGTAGAAGACATCGATTGGGCCGAGGCGAGAAGAGTGTTAGTGGACTGAGCTTCACCAGTCGCGGGATGGACGATAATGCCGGTTCTGGTAGCCTCATTGGGCATGGACGACCAGCTAGGAGACGCAACTTGAGCAACGTGAGCCACCAAATGCGGTCTCCGCGCCCAAAATCCGGCATCTTCAAGGGTCCCTCAGCGTCGAACGAGCACGTATTTACCATCGAGAACCCCGCCATTGAAGCAACCAAGCTCACCAGGAGCGACTCCATGCAAGATGACAAACAGCCGCAGGTGGAGTTGAATCCATCAAGCATGTTACATGTGAAAAAATTGCTGCATCAGCTTCTCGAAGATTCCGGAATACCAAATGTGCCCGCCTGGGAGAAGGCCTTGGTTCCCATCTTGCTTCAATGTACGGATGACGTTACTCCCGACATTAGAGCAGGGGACGACATGGACATTCGGCATTACGTCAAACTCAAGAAGATTCCGGGAGGAAAACCTGGAGACACCAGCTATGTCTCCGGAGTTATCTTCACCAAGAACCTAGCTCTGAAGAGCATGCCTCGTCGCATCATCAATCCTCGGATTGTCATAGTTTCGTTCCCAATTGAGTACCAAAGACACCAGCAGCACTTCATGAGTCTTCAGCCAGTCATCGAACAAGAGAAGGAGTTTTTACGGATTGTGGTCAACCGCATCATCAATTTACGCCCTCAATTGTTGCTTTGCGAAAAGTCCGTCTCTGGCGTTGCTCTGCAATACCTCTCCGAGGCCAACATCGCGGTTGCCTACAATGTCAAGCCTTCCGTCATCGAAGCAGTATCAAGATGCGCAGAGACGGATATTATCTCGTCTCTTGACATGCTGGCGTTACAAGTTCAAGTCGGCAGGTCTGGCGGCTTCGAAGTTAAGACTTACGTCAACAAGAACTACCCAGGCAAGAAAAAGACGTACATCTTCCTCTCTGGATGTTCCGAAAAGCTTGGCTGCACCATCGCCCTGCGTGGAGACTCTACAGAAGTCCTATCGAAGATGAAGAAGATCACTGAATTCATGGTTTACGTCGTGTACAACCTGAAGCTGGAAACATGTTTAATGAGGGACGAATATATTCAGCTGCCTGCTGAAGTTGATGAATCGTCATCCTTGGCATCATCCCTCCGTCAACCAGCCGAAGACGGCTCCCGGTCCCTTAGCGCGTCCATGGAGAGCGCAAAGAATGACCAATCCCTCGTTAAGACATCGCCATCTGAGTCTGAAATTCCTTCTCAGACCAGCAACGGCACATCCATGGTCACTGCCGAGGGCACTGTGTCGTCCGACCAAACCGAAGAACCATCGGTGGACGAGAGGCCGAAACCTGTCTCTATGCACACCTCCCACGTCCCGCCGACGTCTCCTGAGTCACAGGTGCCCGAAGACGTTCCGATGCCAACTTATTACAGCGATATGGTTGCAAGATATGAGACCAAGATTCTGTCTGCGTCTCCATTTGTCAAATTTGCTCAGCCCTACCTGCTCATGAAAGCCCGCGAGCAAGAGCGGAGACTGGTCTACCTGAAAAGGTTGCGGGACCAGGACGTAATAGAGGAGCAAACCGATGCTGAGAAGTCTAAGTCCCAGAAGTTTCAGTTGATAAAACCTGAAATGGTTCATGCAATTGGACAGAAAGCGCCACGCCAAATTATGGAGGTGCTTCATGCCGTTCACGACGCCGAGTACGACAAGGCACTTTACAACTACCAGACTCAGACAAGACAATGGGAGAATTACATCCAAGGCAACCTCGACTTGTTCGATCCTTACTCCCATCAGAACATTGTCGTTCTGTACTCGGAAATTTGCACAGAGACGAAGATCCCTTGCCAAGAACCTGGACTCATAGCCATCGGGTTCTACGACGAACACGTCGATGACAGCGGAAGCATGTATCCTGATTGCACACTCGGTCAGTATATTGAAGATCTCTGTGTCAACAATGACTCTATTTGCACAGCCAATGGGTGCGATCGGAAGATGACAGAACATCACCGCACCTACGTACACGATGAGTCGCGGGTCACAATCTTCGTCGAGCAGCCAACCCTTAAGCAGAGACGTAATATTGACGGCATAACTATGTGGAGCTATTGCAAGATCTGCAAGAAGAATTCGCCTGAGATGGGCATGTCCGATAGCACCTGGAAGTACTCGTTCGGGAAATATCTCGAGCTTCTTTTCTGGAGCAGAGGTTTGCGGCTCCACGACATGACGGGATGTGCTCATGATCATCATCGAGATCACATTCGATATTTCCAGTACCGCGACACATGGGTTAGAATTCATTACGACCCAATCGACCTCCTCGAAATCATTGTTCCCAGGGCTCGGATCACCTGGAAGGTGGAGAACGACCTGAAACTCAAGAACGAAATATTCAACAAGATCGAGGAGCGATGGGTTCGCTTCATGAATTCCGTCAAGCTGAGAATCAAGAGCATCCGCATCGACAGCGTTCTCCCCGAAAAGGCAGAGGCCTGTAAGGCTGAAGTTGACAGACTCGCCAAGAAAGCTCAGGAAGATCAGCTCCTGCTGATCCGCTGTCTGCAAGAGACCTACGTCAACTCCAAGTACTACGAGGTCATTCCTTTTAATGCGATTGTCAGAGAAATGTTGGAGAAAGCAGGAGACTGGGATGCCTCATTCTCCAAGTTCGAGGTCGACTTCCTGCCAGACAAGGATCTGCGGCAGTTGACAATGATTCAACTCAAAAAGATCTTCACCGACAATGAGTCGAGAGAGTCCCTTCCTTCGACAGATGGCACCGCATCAACGGTTGATACGGGAGATCTTCCTTCGCAAACGTTCTCGGATGTTGACGAAAAGGTCTCAACTCAGCCGACGGATGCGACAGAGCCCAGTGCAGACGAAATTACGGACCAGCCCAAGACCGAGGACGAAGAAAAGGGGGATGACGGAGGACAAGTGGAAGAGCAAGAAGAAAGCCAGGAAAGCCAGGAGAAGGAACCCGAATCCGAGGCGGCGTCAGTGCCAATTTCTGTTCCCGACTCTACTCAGGAGACAGATCAGCAGCCGGAACAGAAGGACAAGGCCATTTCCCAAGAAGAATCGACTTCGGAAGCCAGCAAGATCAGCACACCGGCCGAAGCTGTACTTGAGAGAGTAGAGCCTTTGGATCTCGCCACATCAAGCTCACCTACAGTGAAAACCTCATTCTCGCTGGCACCCGCCTCAGAGAACGCAGACAAGTCATCAGTTCTGGCCACTATCGAGCCAGCGTCCCCTGGTGCCAGGCCTCCGCTAACCACGATGTCCACCGGTGTTTCGTTATCCGAGAAAGTCGAACAGCTTCGCCGTGAGCATCAAGCCATGGGTGCAGAAACACCTACGACAGAAGAGCCGGTCGAGGCGCCGCCAAAGCCGAACCCAGAGCGTCTTATCGCCCGCAGAGCTCCGATGATTAGAACTCTATCGCAGCCTGGGCAGACACTGCCGCGGTCGCAGTCAAGCTTTGGCAAGCCGATTATGCCGAAGGATGCCAGTGATACCTCAACTGAATCGTCATTCAAGATCGATAAGAAGCCGTTCGATCGCCTCGGTTTGGGTATGAAAAGCCATAGGAAAGCTGGTCCATCCTCCATTCCTCGCCTGATCACCAAGAAGAAGGATACACACGTGTCTTCACAGGTGTCTAGAATTGCCCGACACTTTGAGCAGTTGAGCCGCGAGTTCGAGAAAGAAAGGCAACGCGAAGATCGGAGAAAGCGCCTGGCTAAGGGACCCCAGCCCCGGGCTGGACTGCCACGATCAGCCACTAAGGCCATTGTGGAGGTCTACCATAATATCGACAACGCCGTACAGGAGCCTGGGCCATCGACAACGGATCACAACAACGACATCAAGATCCTTGAGCCCAAGACAGCTCCTGTCACTCCCGCTCCAGACACGGTCCACACGGAACCTACGCCTGAGCCACCCGTGGAAGACACACAGCCAGTTCCCGAGGCACCTCCTCCCGTAGACGAGCATCATGTCGGTGGAGAAACAGATGACACCGCAACAGTTACTGCCAGCCACGGTGGCTCCGACGATGAGGGGCAAAGCGACAACGAACAGTCCATTCTTGACGACTTGCTCCCCGATGTGAAGGAACTGGCTGATTCTCTGGAGCCCAGCACGGAAATTCCATTGGAACTGCCCAAACACCAGAAGACCAGTCTAATGAAGATGCTCACAAACTTCTGGGCCGAGCGATCTGCAAGTGGCTGGCCTCAGCTTGACTACCCAGTAAACGCCAGCGATCACATCTTTCTCGACTCAGACGTCATTGTGCGAGAGGACGAGCCGAGTTCCGTTATTGCATTTGCCCTCAGCTCGGACGACTACCGAACAAAATTGGCCGACATCCGCCGCCAAGAACGGATCGCGATTCAGAAAGATCACGAAGCTTCAAATCTCGACGGCAAGTCTTCTGGCATGTCCGACACTGGGGGCGAATTCGTCATGGCTGAGGGTGAGTTGGAGAAGAGTCTACTCAGGGCGACTGGTACCCACTTGAAGTACCAGTTCAAAGAGGGCTCTGCAACAATGCTCTGCAAAATCTTTTACGCGGAGCAATTTGATGCGTTGCGTCGGAAATGTGGCGTGGCGGATCGCATTGTTGAGTCCCTGTCTAGGTGTCTGAAATGGGATTCGAAGGGAGGCAAGACCAAGTCAGTGTTTCTCAAGACCCTCGACGACAGGCTTGTGTTGAAAGGACTGTCTCCAATCGAGACCTCTGCTTTCTTACGATTCGCGCCAGCCTACTTTGGCATCATGGCGGAGGCTCTGTTCCACGACCTTCCGTCCGTGATTGCCAAGATGTTAGGCTTCTTTCAGCTTATCATCAAGAACCCAGTCACCGGCGTGGAGATCAAGTTGGACCTGCTGCTCATGGAGAACCTTTTCTACGATCGAGGACCGACACGCCTCTTCGACTTGAAGGGTTCCATGCGCAACCGTAAAATCCAGTCCACGGGCGAACAGAACGAGGTGCTTTTGGACGAAAACATGGTAGAGTTCATTTATGAGTCGCCTCTGTTCGCGCGAGAGCATTCCAAGAAGCTGCTGAGGGCATCGGTAAGTTAGTCGAGGCCAATTTTCCAGAGCATTATTCTAACAGTATAGGTGTGGAACGATACCCTATTTCTTGCGCGGCAGAATGTTATGGACTACTCGTTGATGATCGCGGTTGATGAGTCCAGAAAGGAGTTAGTCGTCGGCATTATCGATTGCATCCGCACATACACGTGGGACAAGAAATTAGAGAGTTGGATCAAAGACCGCGGTTTCGCAGGCGGTGGCAGGAACCGTCCAACGGTCACCAGTCCAAAGGAGTACAAGTCTCGTTTCAGAGAGGCAATGGCCAGGTAAGAGTTCTCACAAATGTTTTGGCGGCTTGTTGTTCTGACATTTGGCCCAGGTACATCCTCCAAGCACCAAATTGCTGGCATCAGTTCGGTGTGCCTCAGCAGATGGCCAACACCATGAGGCCGCGATTCGAATCAGACACCAAGCCGGAGTGAAGTATACTATAAACTACCTTATGGTAGCAAGACTCTCTCCTTGGACAGTCAGAGGTTATTGCATTGCAGGCGTTCGTCAGATTAGGGATAGGCAGGATAAGCACGGAGTTGGTCAATGTCAGAGTCGTCTTTCATTTATAGCATAGGGCAGGGGGCGCAGTGTTATGGCGTTGATGAATCACGGCCGTCGGTTCCAGATACCCGTTAATGAAATGAATGACCCTACATAATCTCAATCATCTGAATATCCTCGTGTTGATGAAATGGCTGATCTTGGTGCCTTGGGGCGCAGGGCAGGCGCTGGAATGGTGAGGTTCTCTGGGGGCACCGCTAAGCGGCCAGGATCGATCCACTAAAGATACTCTCAGCGACTTCTGGACGTGCCCAGGCGCACCTGCTGTGGCTAGGCAACCCAGCTCAACTCAAACACCACTTCACCCACCATTTCTCAAGACCGGACATACGACGCGGCTCAAAGCCTTCAGATTCTATCACCCAAAAGCAAACTTTCCGACTGTTCTCATGTCAATAGACCTCAACTGGGAGACGCTCACTGCGGGTCCGGACGGGGAGGCACTGGCCCTGAGCATCCGCGACTTCATCCACACAAAATTCCAGGCCGTCCCACTACCACGCTTCATCAAGTCTGTCAAAGTACACGATTTCGAGTTCGGCACTATCGCACCGGAGCTTGAGCTCAAGGACATCACAGACCCCTTACCAGACTTCTACGAGGAGAATCCAGACATCGAGGATGACGAGGAGGAGGAGGATGACCCTGAGCCGTCGCCCCCAACGCCGCAACAAGTCCCACGTGAGATGAGGGCCGCCGAGAGGATGAGGCAGAGAGAAGAGGCCTCGCTGCCATCGAGGCTGAGAACGAACACGCTGAGGGGCCAGTCCGGAGACTTTCCGAGCCCGTTTCTGGGGGTCTCGACGCCGGGGATTCTGGGCGGCACGTCGAATTTGCACTATTTTCAGTCGCATCTCGGAACGGGTTGGTCAGGGACGCAGACGCCTCTTGCGGCGGTGGCCGGCGCGCACATGGGTAACAGGATGGACTCTTCCGCCGCCGTGTCTCCCGTGAGCTCGCCGATGGTTCACTCGCCGAGCCACAGCCGTCAAGCCTCGCTGAGCTCGATATCGCCCAGCGACTTCAGCCCGGCCGCTTTCGCCCAGCAGCAACAGCAACAGCTGCAACAAGACCTGCGGGAGAAGGCGAGCGTGTCGACGTTGGCACCCACGTCTGCGGGGGCTTCGAGGCCGCCGACGAGGGACATGCATGTCCCTTCTCCTGCTGCAGCAGGGTCTGCGCCGATACAGGAGGAAGACGACGAGGAGCCGAACGAGAACGCGGCGAGGTTCCGGGAGCCTCGACCGGATGATCTACAAGCAGTTTTCAGGATCCGGTACGCCGGCGACGTCAGGCTGCGGCTGACGGCGGAGATTCTGTTGGATTACCCGATGCCTAGCTTCGTGGGGATTCCCGTGCAGCTGAGCGTGACGGGGCTGACGTTCGACGGCGTGGGAGTCATGGCGCATATCCGTAAGAGGGTGCACTTTTGCTTCCTGAGCCCCGAGGACGCGGTGACGGCGGTTGGCGCGGACGAGGCTGGGCCAAGCGAGCCTGGGAAGAGGTTCGGTGGGCTTCTGCAGGAGATACAGGTCGAGAGCGAGATAGGATTGAGGGATGGTGGGAAGCAGAGCCTCAAGAACGTGGGCAAGGTGGAGAGGTTCGTGCTGGAGCAGGTGAGGAGGATATTTGAGAACGAGTTCGTGTATCCCAGTTTCTGGACGTTCTTGGTTTAGACAGGGCTTTGGCATTCATCAGGTGGCATTAAAATCGTGGGCATCAGAGACAGGCGATTTCAGGTTACAAAGGCATGCATATTTGCTACAGTGGTATCTACTCGCAAAAGAAGAACTTTCGCCTCTCAAAAATCGACGTAAATCATTAGGTGAGCGTGCTCTTGAATCCCTGGTAGGCCTGCTGGATATCCATCTCCAACTCACGAGCCTGCTGCTCGCTCAGCTCGTCGGTGGCCTTCATCTGGTTCAACGTGATGAGCCACTGGACGATCTTGCCCCTACTGTCGAAGTCGCGGTCCGTCACCTTGTTGACCGACTGGATGACGTCGGAGAGCAAGGGGTGCAGCTGATCCTTGGATAGAAGGCCCAGCTTGACGGCGTCGAGGAAGGTAATGAACTCCTGCGTCGCCTCCAGAATCAGGGCTCCGCTGGTGTTACCTGCGGCGCTTGGGGCTGGAGGAGCGCTCGAGGAGGCGGTCACGGTGGTCGAGGGCATTCCGACGCGGATGCGCTCTGTGGCACGGGGAACTTCGAGCTGTTGAATAGGCCTGTTAGCGCTGAAGCCACGCAACGATGAGATAACAAATTGTGTTATGGTCAAACTCACATCCCATTCTGCCTTGAACTCTTCCAGGCCTCTGAAGGCCTTTGCGACAGTCTCGTCAGCCAAGATGGACTTGTATTGCTTCAGTGAGCGTTCGCAGATCTCGGTGTAATCGGCCTCGGGTATGGCGTCCTTCAAAAAGGCCTTCTCGAGCTCGTCAAGGGTCACGATGATACTGAAGATCTCGGCAAGCGAGTCTTGCAGGTCGCGCTCGGCGCGGGTGTCGGCTAGCTTCACCTCCTGTTGTGACGCATCATCGTGTTAGCACAGATGCGCTGCGGGGGCGGGGCAGACGGAGACGTCAGAAGGCGAAGGGACGAAGAGTACGGTACCTCATCGAGATTGATCGTTGCTGATAGTGTTGTGTTCGGGATGTAGCTATGCGGCGTCGGCGCATAGGGTTGCCGGGGCATCATCTTCGCGGCTGAGGTCGAATCGTTGACGGCGTCATGGTCGATCTGCAAGTCGTCACAGCTTCGAGCTGTCGAGCTCGGCGTGTCGCAGCCAGGCACACGCCAAAGTCAGACAAGGGTGTCGAGGTTCCATTCCTCAGCAGGAGCCTCAGCTCTGGCGCGTGGGGCACGCTTTGGCGCTAGTCCTATAACGGTATGGGCTTAACCGATAAGATAACAGAAAATTTTTGGACGCCGCGAACCGTTCTGCTACTGTGAAAGTTCCTGTCCCACGGTCCCTGCAGCCAAACCACCTCTTCTCAATCCCCCCTCTACGAAAGCAGGACCCCAATTGACCGGCCCCCTCCAAACCGTTCATCATGGGTTCCGGCAAGAAGAACCTCAAGGCGACGAAGAAGTTCGAGAAGAAGCACCTGAAGGGTGTTCTCGACAAGAGGAAGGAAACCGCCAAGATCAAGCAGCGCGTTCAGACCAAGGCGAAGAAGCAGGCGAAGAAGCCCAAGGATGCAGAGTTCTTCAAGAACAGCAATGGCGCGGAGGCTAAGCCTAGGAATGCCAAGGATGCCAACGTCAGCGCCATGAGCGTGGACGACTTCTTCCAGGGCGGCTTCGAAGACATCATCGACAAGAAGAAGAGCAAGAAGCAGCTCGGCAAGCGGAAGCGCGATGCGCCCGAGGGCGACGACGAGGACTCCGACGAGGACAGCGGTTCGGATGTCTCCGTCGAGGAGCAGCCGGTTGCCAGCGACAGTGAGGACGGTGGCGACGACGACGATGACGAGGAGGACGAGAACCTTGGCATGTCCAAAGAAGCCATGGATAAGCTCGCCAAGGACGACCCTGAGTTCTACAAGTTCCTCAAGGAGAACGACCCCGAAGCCCTCGACTTTGACGAGAACGACGACATGGCCGAGATTGACGAGCTGAGCGCCGGCAGCGACCAGTCCGAAGACGAGCAGCCGAAGAAGAAGCGCAAGAAGGAGGAGCCCGAGGAGGAGGTCCTCCCCGACAACGAGCTCACGCGCGAGATGGTTGCCAAGTGGAAGAAGTTGATTGAGGAGAAGCAAAGTCTGCGCGCCGCGAGACAGGTCGTTCTGGCCTTCCGCTGTGCCGCTCACCTCAATGAGGACGACGCCGAGGAGAACAACGCCGCCCAGAGATACAGCATAAACAGCCCCGAGGTGTTCCACGATGTCCTGATCGTGGCTCTCAAGCTGGTTCCCGCCGTCATCTCCCATCACCTGCCCATCAAGGAGTCTGCTTCAGGCAAGATCTACGTTCCGACCGACTCCAAGAAGTTCCACACTCTGTCCATCATGATCAAGACGTTCACGGCAGCCATCATCCACCTTCTCAGCACCCTCTCCGACGACGCAACTCTAAAGCTTACCATTGGCTCATTAGAGCCTCTTGTGCCCTACCTGTTGTCTTTCCGCAAGCTTCTCAAGGTCCTGATCAAGACCGTCGTCAACTACTGGGCCAGGCCTGCCAGCTCAGAAGCCACCAAGATCACCTCTTTCCTTGTTCTGCGGAAATTGGTGGTTATCGGAGACAAGGGTGTTCGTGAGAGTGTTCTGAAGGCAACATACCAAGGACTCGTCTCAGGATCAAGAGCAACCAACGCCAACACCATCCGGGGCATCAACCTGATGAAGAACTCTGCAGCAGAGCTTTGGGGCATTGACCAGAACGTTGGCTACACGACAGCCTTCAACTTCATCCGCCAACTCGCCATCCACCTGAGGAACAGCATCGTCAAGAAGGAGAAGGATTCGCACAAGGTCGTCTACAACTGGCAATACACCCACTCGCTCGATTTCTGGTCCTGCGTGCTGGCTGAGCACTGCAGTCCCTTGAAGGAGGCGGAAGCTGGCAAGGAGGGCCAACTGAAGCTTCTGATCTACCCTCTGGTGCAGGTGACCTTGGGCGCGATGCGTCTCGTTCCTTCATCCACATTCTTCCCCCTGCGGTTCCACCTGATCCGCTCTATCTTGCGTTTGTCCCGTGCAACAAATACCTACATCCCTCTGGCGTCTGTCCTTCTCGAGGTTCTCGAGTCAGCTGACATGAAGCGTTTCCCCAAGGCGTCTTCTATCAAGCCGCTTGAATTCAACCTCGCCTACAAGGCACCCAAGTCGTACAACCGCACTCGTGTCTTCCAGGATGGTGTGGGTGAGCAGTTGGTTGAGCTCTTCAGCGAGTACTTTACCATTTGGGCCAAGAACATTGCCTTCCCCGAGTTCTCTCTGCCCGTCATTATCCAGCTGAAGCGCTGGGTCAAGCAGGCGCGCAAGATCAGCACTGGCAACAAGAACAACAAGGTCATCTCCATGATCGTTCTGTTGGTGCAGAAGCTCGAGGCCAACGCGAAATTCATCGAGGAGAAGCGGGCCAAGGTCGAGTTCGCGCCCAAGGACCGCGCACAGGTGGACGCATTCTTGCGCGACTTCGATTGGGAGAAGACGCCGCTCGGTGCCTACGTCGTTGTGCAGCGCAAGATCCGCCAGGAGAAGACCAAGGCCCTGGAGGAGGCAAGGAAAGAGGACGAAAAGAAGCGCAAGGAAGAGGAGAAGCAGGCGCGGGATGCCGACGCACCGGAAGACGACTCCGAGGAAGAGTTCGGCGATGAGCTCATGGCCGACGACGACGATGCTGAGGATGTTGAAGAAATGGATGACGAGGAGGATGATGACGAAGATGTGGAGGATGACAGCGAGTAGAAGGCTGCTGCGAGAGAGCAAATGGACATATATAAAAGTGTTTGACGGCGTAGAACTGCACGCTGGTGTTTTGGGAATATCATGGAGGCAAAATGCGAATAATTCAAGAGGCTATCACCTCGTTCAACACACTGGGTCTATATCTACATTCTGCGTGAGACGCATGTAAAATGGGGAGGATTCTCCCGATCGTCACCAGCTGTGACGTTTTCGTATGTGGTTGCTGCCCATCAATTGTGACCCAGGTATGATGCAAGGATGGGGAATCAAAATTAGCACGGATAATGGCTGTACAGCGGCAGGATTGTGGCGTTTTCACCCCCAAAACTCTAGCAGCTCCGGCGGCACACGACCGAAACAGGCAAGCAGCTAGGCCCTGTCGATCTTCCCGACGTCTGCCTAGATAACCTCAGACCAACCAACCAACATCCAAATTGACTTCATCCCTTTCCACTTACCTATCTGTCCTTTTGCTCATTCCTCTTTCTTTTCAACTTTTTATTGATCGTTCCCCCCAAGTATATGACCAGACAGACCGCCAGACTGGACTTTTGGTTCGATCACGCGACAGAGTCCTCCCATCACAGCTTGCATCCAACTACCTCCCTGAATGAGGTAGGTATTGCAGACCATGGCTCCCCTTGCCGCGGACCCCCGCCAGTTGATGGTTATCCTCAACCCGGCCCGGCGCCGCGTGTTCTACACCCTGCTCTACGACATCACGGGCTATATGCGCACGCAGCTCGAGCTCAAGGACGGCAAATACAACGTCACGTCAGCCGCCGGTCCCCAAGATCGCCCTGCGGGTCCCCTTTTTGTCCCTGACGCTGCGGGCCACGGCGGTCGGAGCAGCCCGAGCCACCCGGACCACGGCGGCTCTGGGGTGCACAGCAATGAACTCATAGCTTTGCGGAGAGCTGCCTTGAAGCACTTTGATGAATGGCGCAGGGAGTTGCTCGATAAAGTGAAGGAGATTGCTTCCGCTAAGGACGATGACAAGATCCTCGAAGCCCGGAAGAAGCGTTACGACGAGATGGAGAGGCTCAAGCGTGAGTCTCCAGGGCTAGGAGAAGACCTGATCAACTTCGGAGATGCACCCAACGCCCCAGCAAAGCACGAGGTCGACAAGGAGGTGGCCATTCTGCAGGAGCATTACCACCCCATTCCTAACCGCTTCACGACTATCCCAGTTGAGGATCGAAAGGAGGTTCTCAGCTGCCTTCTCCTTCTCATTCTTTCAACAGGAAGTTACTCGGCTCACTCTAGAGTTCTGGCGCTGTACCTCTGCTCCGCTTTCGATCTTCCCATCGCAGCTCTTATACAGGAGGAGACGGAGATTGCCAAGTCTCTCGTTGAGTCCTCGACCGCCGCGGAGAACCAGAAGGCCGGGATGTCAGCTGATGCAGAGGCCGCGAAACGTCGTGAAGAGAACAAGCAGAGCCGGTTCTGGAAGGTCGGCCTGGCCTCTGTCGCTGGCGCAGCCGTCATTGGCATCACCGGTGGTCTAGCGGCGCCGGTCGTTGCTGGGGCGATCGGCGGTCTCATGGGCAGCGTTGGACTGGGTGGTGTGGCGAGTTTCCTCGGTATCTTCTGGATGAACGGAGCTCTGGTCGGCACGCTCTTTGGCGCCTACGGTGCCAAGATGACGGGCGAGATGATGGATACTTACGCCAAGGAGGTTGAGGATTTCCGCTTCCTCCCTCTTAAGGAAGAATGGGGCAAGGACTACAAACGAGCCGATCCGGATGGAAAGCAGGGTGCAAGACTGCGCGTCACTATTGGTATCAACGGATGGCTTACGAACGAGGGCGATATCACAAAGCCCTGGAGGAGTTTGGGCGACGAGTCGGAAGTGTTCGCACTGCGATACGAGATGAAGGCCCTCTTGGCGCTTGGCGCTGAGCTTCAGGATCTCGTGTCTTCATACGCTTGGAACTTCGTCAAGGTGGAAATTCTCAAGCGCACTGTCCTGGCGTCTCTCTGGGCTGCTCTGTGGCCTGCCTATCTCATCAGCGCTGCTACAAAGATCGATAACCCGTTCAATCTGGCTCGCAACCGTTCGGACAAAGCTGGCCGCGTTCTTGCCGACGCCCTCGTTGCGAAGGTCCAGGGAGAACGACCAGTTACCTTGGTAGGGTACTCACTGGGAGCTCGTGTCATCTACTCGTGTCTGAAGTCTCTTGCTGAGCGGAAGGCTTTTGGACTCGTGGACACTGTTGTCTTGATAGGTGCCCCTGTTCCCTCAAACCGGGAGCACTGGCAGGTCCTTCGCTCTGTGGTGTCTGGTCGCATTGTGAACGTGTACTCGGAAACGGATTACATCCTCGGTTTTCTGTATCGCACTACATCGCTCCAACTGGGCATTGCCGGTCTTCAAGAGGTTAAGGACATTGATAGGGTTGAGAACCTCAACCTCAGCGAGGAAGTCAGCGGACATCTGCGCTATCCCAGCTTGATCGCCAAGATCCTGACCAGATGTGGCTTCCCTAATGTCAAGGGCGGCGATGGGGCCATTGAGAAGGACGAAGACATCAAGCTTACGGACCAGGAGGCCGGTTCCCAAATGGGCGAGCTTATTCAGCTTGAAGCGGCGCCGGATCCAGAATCGGAGCCGCAGCCGATCCGGTCCAAGCAGACGGCGAGATTTCCCAACGAACTTCGACACCCTCTGCACCCCGAGCCTCCGGTGCAGAAGAAGAAGAACCCGAACCGCACTAAGGTGTCCAGAAGCGGTGGTTCTGCAGTTGATGGAGGCTTCGACCCGTTAGGTGATCAAGGTGGCGACCCTCTGAACCTGAGTGCTCTGAACCAGGTGAAGAAGCCAAAGTCACCCAGTCATGATGACCTCGCCAGCCTGGACTCTGAGTCTCGGCCAAAGCTGCCCCCAAGGCCTGCTGACCCCCTAAATCTCGGAGCTCTCAATCAGAAGAGCGAGGAGACTTCTTCCCCCAGAGCTCTGGAGAAGTCGGCGGAGCCAAGGACGGAAGTCGGTCTCCCCTACCGACCTGCTCCTGTTCAGGCATTCCAAAGCGACGGAGCGATAGACTCTCATTCTCGTCCTGAGCTTCCCCCACGACCTAAGACATTCCCTGTGCCGGTGTATGAGGAGTCGGACGACGATGATGCGAGTTTCAAGGGTATTCAGATGGTGGATAATGATGGGGATGGCGACATGACGACCTACGGGGAGCCTTTGAGGGCTGATTAAGCATTCATAGTTCAGCCACCAGAGGTACAGTCTGAATGGGATAACAGTACCCTCATAACTATTCCGCAACTTCTTCAGCCTCTACAGATCACGGCAGAAAGGAAAGCTGCTGCGGATGGAAGTTTTTGGTTACGTAGAAATCAGGATGCATCCTCTGCGTCGTTTTCATCGTTCTATCCTTTAATCCCCATCACTGTCGGTGTTGTTCTCGTCATCTAGTTGCAAGATTTTGGAAATGTCATCCGTCTCGCCATCGCCTTGTAGAAGATCATCGTCTGAACTCCTCTTTTCATCTTCTTCACCAACAGTTTCAAGCCCTTCGTCTCTTTCGGGACTCTCGTCGGGACCAACGTAAAGCTCAATTCCTATGGCCTCGAACGTGTGTCCTGAGTAGACATGGGTATGCAACGAATCTTTGCTTGAAATGCACTTAAAGCAGAGGTCGTAAGAGAAGGAGCAGTCGAGGCAATGCCATCGCTTCCCGCAGATGTACTAAGAACGATTCGTTAGCAATTTTCACATGCTATTGTGCACATGCATAGTTCAACATGTACATCTGAGCAATGTGTAGTGCTTACCGTCATGCAGTAGCTACATTGGTAGCCGGGTTGGTAGTCGCCTGGCTCGATTTGCTGAATCTCGTCGTCCCATTCCTCTATCGTGCCGTCGGGTCGAGTACGCGTCTTCTCCTTCGGCTCTAGTTGTTCGGAGGTCCCGATCATTGGTTCGTGGAAGCGAAATATCTTCAACGGCGTCCAGTTTTCCTCGCTCTGCACCCACGGATCCGCTCCGTAACTGAATAAAAGCTCCAAGATATCGAAGTTGAGGTATTTGGTCTTGGCAGCCCACATGAGCGCTGTCCAGCCATCTCGGTCCTTGAAGTTGATGTCCACTGAAGCTTGCTGATTCTCGGCGACCATTTGGGGCTCCTTGCCTTCCGCTGAGTTCTGGTCATCTTGAGACTGGACCCGTGGTTCTCCAAGCTTTTGAACCAGAGTTTCCAGTCCCTCGGGTCTGTATTCGTGCGCCGCTGCAAAATGCAAAGGGATCATGTCGATATTTGTCTGCTTCAGGGGTTCGGCCCCTTTACTGAGCAAGAGATCCACCACGCCGGCACCGCATTGTTTTGCCGCAATATGAAGAACAGTCCTGCCCATGATATCAGAGGCGTCTAAGTCAGCCCCCTTTTCAACGAGGTATTCCACTATCTCGTCGTTCCCGAAAGAAGCGGCGGCGTGAAGGGGATATTCGAATTGGGTTCGAGGGCAGTGCTCGTCGGGAGGCATCTTGGCCTCCTCTATCAAGTACTGTATCATTTGCAGTCGGTCTGAAGATCTGTAGCCTGATGCAGCCTTGTAGACCAATGTCTCTCTTACACCTTCCGGTTTGGTGAGATGTACAGTGGCGCCGGCGTCTATGATGGCTTTGAATATCTCCCAATTGCCGGTTGATGCAGCTACGTGCAGCAAGCTTTCATGTGTGGCGGATGAGAGGCTGGTGTCGGCTCCTCTTGCTAACAGCAACTTGAGTATGCCCATGACGCCCTTTTCCGCGGCCTTCATTGCTGGGGTCTCCCCATCCGCATTCTGAGCATTGATGTCGAAACCGGCGCCGAGTAGCATCTTGTAAATGTCCACGGAGGGACTGAACTGGTCGATGTCGTGCAGTATGCTGTTTCGTCCTTGATCAGTCATCGTCAAGTCTGGTCGGAAGCTTAGTATGGTCGCTACAGCGTCGGCTGAGTTGGATTGACAACAGAGCTTGAGGGGATATTCGTCGTCTGGAGTTCGGTGGTTTATGTTTGCTCCGTGCTCGAGAAGCAGCTCGATCATTTCCGAGTCGCGCTTTTGGCAAGCGAGACAGAGCGCGGTCATGCCATAGTCCTCAATCTCCAAGTTGGGCTTCCATTTCAGCAACACCTTTAGAACATCTTTCTGGGAGTATCTGATTGCCAGGTGTGTCACGGTGCCTGAATTACTCACACCGTTGACGTCAGCTCCCTTCTCCAACAAGAAATCGGCCAACTCCGGGTTGTTGTAGGCGGCGTGCAGCGAACTAGCTTTGTCCTGGCCCGTGAGATGGATGTTGCAGCCGCGTTCGATTAAAATCTTCGCGATCTCGTTGTAGCCATGATACACCGCGGTGTACAAGCCTGTTTGCGCAACATCGGTTCCAAGCTCGGGCAGAACACCACAGTCGGCGTACGCGCCGAGATCCGGTTGCGCGCCATTTTCCAGCAAAACCTCGATCAGCTCCTTTCTGTTCGCGACCGTTGCTCTAGACAAAGCGTTGCGCCGGCAATCCATATAAGCATCAATGGCGTTGACGTTGGCCCCATATTTGACAAGCAGACGTAGAATGTCCATAGCTTTACCGGCGTCTAGGTCGGCCTGGTCCATCAACTCCACGATCAGAGTCCCATACTGTTCCGAAGACTCGTTGACATCGGCGCCTTTCTCCAGCAGATGTCGACAAATTTCGACATGCCCGTTGAGTGTTGCAAACCAGAGCGCGCTTCTGCCTCCTTTTTTCACTTTTACGTCCGCACCTTTGTCCAGCAGAAGTCGTGCGCACTCAGTATGACCGAACTCAGCAGCCCAAATCAAAGGGCTGTCTGGCTCTCGGCTACTCGTTATGATAGGCTCGGCCTTCTCGGGCTCGATTTTCCACGGGTCAACATCTGCCCCGGCCGCGAGCAGAGTCTCCGTGGCTTGTATCATACCGGTTCTCACTGCCCAGATTAAAGGTGTATTCTGGTACGTGTCCCTGGCTTCTATGTTGGCACCTGCAGCCAGAAGTATCTGAATCACGTCCACGTTGCCATGGCGACTTGCTTGGTGGAGTGGAGTGGTGTTGACAGATTCACCATTAACAACTCCCGCATCCACGTTGCTCCCTGCGTCAATCAGAAGCTTAACCACCTGTGCATTGCCGCCTCGAACGGCCAAATGAAGTATGGAAGTTTCATAGGAGTCACCAGGTGGCGGGATAGGGATGTTGTGAGTAAGGAGAAGCTTCGCTGTGTCAAATAAGCCCAACAACGCAACTCCTTGAAATAAGCCAAGTGGCCAGCTGAAGCCCCTGAGACGAACTGCTGCCATGATCAAACATCCAAGAGTGATTTCATTGCCTGTGGCCGCGGCCGCAAGAATGGCGTCACTCAAACCACCGTGAGTGTGGACGGTGGCGTCAAGTAAAGCCTGAGCGACCGCGGTGTGCTCACCATAAGCAGCCTCAACCAAGGCTAGGTCGACATCGACTGGAAAAGTCGGCGAGCCACGCTGAGCTTCCACATGTTGAGCAACAAGATCAGTCAGGCCGGTGATCGAAGCTACTGGGAGAGCAGATAAATAGCTCTTGCTGACTCGAGTGATCGGATTGGAAAGTACCCAGAGCGCTTGTTGCCAAAGATTTCTCAAGCTCGGGTTTTCGAAGAAGTGGAGAGCTTGTTCCTTTGGTTTGTAGGAACCCGCGAGTCTGTAGTGTTCTTTCCAGTATTTGACGGCGTAGGAGACGAGACTGTGACGGGGTCGCGATGGGATAGTTCGGTCAAAATATGCGTTCTTCTCTATCAGACTTTGAAGTCTTGTGTGAACCTCATCGCAAGATAGGTATCGGAGACATATCGAGGCCATTTCACCATGTGCCATGGTACTATTTGCAGGAGTGAATTGGCTGTAGCCAATTCCACGCCTGAGTTCGTGGCCATCAGACACGATCAGTCCAGAAAACTGAGTTACGTCAGTTTGGAATTCGTCCAAGTCGATTTCATCGAGAAAAGCAGGCTTATTTAAGCCTTGACGTAGGGAAATATGCAAAGCCTCCGCAACTTCCCACAATGTAGGAGTCTCGAACGCGAGATCAATCCAGGAAACTATCATTCGTGCTCGGACAGCTTTATGACCAAATGACTCTACGATAGAATCGGTCAAAGTTTGCACAGTGATTGACACCAAGGAGGTTAGGATTTCCCGGAAGCTCTTCTGGGTGTTGCCGATCAAAGTGCTTTTGGCAAGCCATTGAACGAACGTTTGGGCCAGTCCAAAGTCACTGCCGCAGGTACCCAGAAGATCTGTGATCTTGTCTGCAAATGAGGCCAGTGCAGGTTTGTTGATCAGAAGCCATTTCACGTGTTTATCCACGATTTCCGTGTCTTTGATCTCAGACTTCGCTAGAACTTCTGCTGCGGAAAAGTTGTCGAAGTCTGCCAGATTAATGGAGTGCGAGAGGGATGAAAGACGAGTTTCGAGTCTCTCGTCGCGGCCTTCTGTCAAGACGACGAACTTGACGGGGTTCTCGGAGTGTCCGATCAAGCTCTCGAGAAAACCAAGTAGTTCGTATCGCGTGGCGTCTTCGCAAGCGTCCGGACAGGCAATGAAGACAGATTCCGAACGATGAGTAGGCCACAATAAGCAAGCCCGGACCAAGGCATTGAAGTCGCGAGTTGTCCAGCCATTTCGCATGACAAATGTCTTCCACACGTTGATCCACAAGAGATCTTTAACCTTCCTTCCGACTCGTTGGCACAGCAAGGAGATCAAGAGGTCCCTGAAAGTATTGAGGGTCCGGTGTTGAACGGAAAAATTGTAAAAAAGGGTTTCCTTGGATTCGTCAGATCCCTTCATGTTATCTCGTAGAACCCGCGAAAGTAGCTTTGCGTCGTGGCTCGAGCAGCTTATGTGTAACAGGCTGGGTCTTGTGGCCAGTTGCCACTGCTTGAACTGGTCGAGTTTCGTGATCCATGGCAAGAGACCTCCTGGTAGACTGTCGGGTTCCTCATCTAGAAAATGAAGGAGAGGTGATGACTGAGAGAGAAGAATTCGTTGAATAGGCACATGAGCCTCAATTGGCTTGACGACTATGATGTCCCAATGTCATCAGTTATATGTACAAGTCATGCAAGCGGTTTACCTGAAGCTGAACGATGTTGGAGTCCTCTAAGACGAGATGGATGGGCAGAGGAACAGGAAAGTGTTTGTGAGCTTACAGTTTGGTCGATTCTGGATGTAGGTTTTCAACGCCGTAAATGGGATAGAATCTTCTTCTTGACCTAGATCCACGTGTTGACCTGACACCTTATTCGTATACTCATATGGCCCATCTACTGTGAAGAGTGAATCTAATGAAGGCTGCTGTTCCAGGTTTTCTATGTCGTTGCATTGGTCGCTGGGCAAATTTCTGCTGTAGATATTGATAATCGATGCACGGTGAAACATTTTGGTGTCGAGAAACTCAGAATTTATACGTTGAGTCGCGTGTGCGAGGCCAGAAGAAATCTCAGCGTAACGACTTTTGACTGGACACTGGTGCAGGTGCAGCAGTTTATCGATGAAGTCTTCTAGTACAGCAGCATTCCCTCGGTGTGGGCAGCCGAGAAAGAACTGAGTAAGTTAGTGCACTGATCATAAGGTTTGAACCTCACAATGAGCGTCGTAATGATGATGCAGGTACAAGACAGGATGAGCAGTCTGAATACTCCACGCAATTTGGAGTCCTCTAGGTAAGATCTTAGTGCAGACTTACCAGTACTGTGGTGTTGCCGAACACGTCGTCATATTTCGCCGGGTTAAGAGCCGCTATCACGAGTGCCTATTCGATCATTAGAAGACAAGATTCGATGAGAACTAAAAATTGCGTTAGACACACCTTCTTCACGATAGTTCCGCCGATATCATGAGACACAAACACGATAGGAGCCCGTGAATCCTTTTTATCTCGTTCCGTTCTTTTCGCCAGCACAGCGTCGAGAAGCTTTTGCGCCTCGCGATCGATTCCACCTCGATTGAATATGTCGGCGTTACTATCATCTGACCCTTCAATATCATAGTGATAGTGCAGCATGCGACTGTCCTCGAACAAGCGAGAGATCCATGAGGTGCTGATTCCAGGGTCGTAGGATTGCTGCCCCCTATTACCAGAAAGCCACCTAGTACGGGCGATGCTATGAACTGTGACAATGCTGTGGAAGTGTCATTAAGAGGATCTATACATAATATTCAGGCAATCAAGCGTTGGAGCTGCTTGGATGTTTTGACGTACTCTGTTGTTTCCGAGTCCTCCAACGGAAATTCTGAAAGTAGCCCGTACTTCGACGATTTTTGAAACATCAATTCTTGGGCCCAGTCAACTCGGAGATCACTAAACCTGGCATTCTCTTCATCGACAGAGGCATTGCTCTGTGTGCCATGTTCAGCATCGATATCGGGAACGATTCCCACGTCCGGACTGCTTTCTCCATTCGTGCTGGACAGGTCGGACTGTTCGAATGGGTGGGCAGGGGATTGGCCGCTTTTCTGAGGAGTTTTGCTCAAATGAGATTGATCTTCATTGCTGTCCGAGAAATGGTCGTCAAGCTCCGTCGCGCCGTCCAGCGTTGCGCTCATAGTTACTCGTGATACACGTGGTTGTGTACGCCGAGTCTCGAGCGTATGGAGTTTAGCTGAGCAGGAGCATAGCAGCTCTAGCTACAGGCGCAGTTGTCTTGAAGCTCCTCCCCAGATCATTATTATTCCGGAGACCACACCGCGCCGGCGTTGCCAAGATGGCTATGAGTGATTAAGTAAAAAAGTTGAGGGGTTGCGTAGCATCTATTGCTGACTGCATATGCAACACCCACTCCCTCGCCTGCCCCCACGTACATCACTTGTAATAGGTACTTCCTTTCAACTAACCGGAACCGACAGCAATTCCCACAAGGTCTTATTTACGACGCTGAGAAAATGAGATAAAAAGGCATTAAGAAAGATCTACCCGACCGTTCGGGCTGAAAACTGGTATGCTATCTCATCACTAACGTCCGTACACCACACATGACAGCCACGCCTGAGTTCTCCGCCGTCAAGGAGGAAAGCGAACTGGAGGCGCTCGAGAAGACGCGTTCTTTCTACGTGGAGCTTGCTTCAAACGATGCCAACTCGGGGTTCCATACCAAGAACGACCCGTCTAGCCCTTATCAGAGAAAGAACGTCGTGCAAAGGAAGGGGGCCGTCGACGTCAAATGCACCTGTGTCGATATCGTCCACGGCCGCTGGGGCCCTGACGAACCGGACACGGCAGCAACACTACTCGTTCTGGGCTTCCGTTTCGACTCGCGCAAGAGAGCGCGGCGGGTGGCTTTGGCTCACATGGAATTCGCCTTTTTTGGCAACGACGGCGATCGCAACAACCCAGAGGTCGCTGCTATTTCCTACGACAACAGCTACAGCCTGGCGCCATCGCGGCGGACCGAGTCGACCACGACAGGCACTGAGGGTACTATAGGCAGTGGCATACCCGGAGCTGAGCTTTCCGGGACTGTCAAATGGGAACGCACGTCAGATGAGGAGACGACGGATGCGGCGCACCTCGTCGGCTCCATTGACCGGCTCGGGGCGCCGGTTGGCCCTTTCAACGCGGCGACTTGGACTCTTAAGGAGAACGCAACGACTAAGAAGGGCGTTCCTGCAGCTATGCGCGTTGGGATCTTGCTGAAACGGCCTATGGATGACGATGAGTTTTACTGCACGGTAAAGGTCGAAACTGAGGTCGATCTCAAGACGCGGATCGAGCAGCTTTTTGGCGGTCGTGATCAAGATGATCCCATTCTCTTCCGCACGGATGAGCCGCCAACGAATAAGTTGATGAAGTATGATGTTGAGAATCTGGGCGCTTTTGACTTAGCTGCGATTGAGGATGTGACGGTCACTATTGTGAAGAACGGAGTAATAAAGGAAATGTGAGAATATGAAATGTATGTGAGAGATGGGTTACGACAGTAATGAACCTTCCAGACTGAGCGGCGGATCATTAGAATTATGTCCACATGTCATACGACTGAGGAATGACTACCCTTGCTTGGAGTTGCTCGATGTCCCATGTACTTCATCCTTGCTTACACTGAAGGCCACTATCGATGCACGAAAGCGGCGCCGCAGCATTGGTCACGCCCATTACGGAGCTCATACTGTATGTTTTCGTAGCCTTGCTCAATTAGAAATGGGAAAACTCAAGAGGTCAATGTCCCGCGAGCTTCGATACTTCTTACATTGCGCTCCAGGCGAAACGAGCCAGCACCAGTCTACATGAGCGCAACATCACAACCAGAAGACTAATCACGTTCAGTTATGGGCATGGTAAGCGGAAGCGCCCAGCCGGGGCACGATCATGTCGACCCCGAAGACGCAGACTCCGACGACGAAGAACCTTTCCTCGAGAACCACGTGAACGACGATTCTGATGACGACTTTGAGCCGAACCCGCGCGACGCGTGCATACGAGGGTTCATGGAAAACTTGATGCGACAGGATAAAGAAACAATACGCATTCTTCTCTCAGAAGCGCCCGAGGAGATCTTCTCGCATTATCCTCATCTATCGGAGCCGTCCGAGCTGGATGACCGGACAGTCCTGCACAACCTGGTCGACAGCTTCACGAGGATAGCGGTGAAGAAGGAAACCAAAAAGGTCGTCATCCTCAGGGCCTTATTCTCGGCCATCACGGTCGTCACGTCGCACCATCCGGAACTCCTCTCCGTATCCGCGAGCGGGAAGACGCCCTTGTACTCCGTGATACGATCCTGTTGCAAGAACCCCGACGAGAAACTCTTTCGCCTGGTCCGCCAAGTAATCTTTAAGTGCAAAAGACCCAAGTTCACTTCGGCGACCCCGGCAACGGCCGACACGATCGCGGACGACGATGCCGGCAGCAAGGAGAACGACGACAATCACGCCCAGCCAAATAACGCAGAACCCCATCCGCTAACTAGAGCACTGCGCGTCAAGTGCTTTGATACCAACCACGGGAAGGGGGAGAACGTGCTTCACCTGGCATTACGCAACCACTGGGTTTTTAAATCCAATATGAAGGCCCTCGTGAGGTTGGCATCTAATGCAGATGAAGAAACCGTCATCCAGAAAGACTGGGATGGCTTCAGCCCGCTACACTATGCAGTCAAGTACGATTGGTGCTCAGAGGATCAGCTCAAAATTGTGAACCATCTACTCCAGCACGGGGAGTCCGCCACTCTCATCGAGGAAGAACGGGCTGTTCTCGACATTCTCACCAAAGACGGGATGTCCGCCTTACAGTATCATATCTGGACGCGTGATAATTCTCGGAGACAGCAGCAACAGGTCTCGATCACGAGCACAGCAGACAACAAACCGAAGCCGGCCCGCGATGGGAGAGCAGAGAATCCGGACGGCAGAGAGGGCCCGCGACCACCCACATCCAAGGCAAAGCCGGGTGCTTCGGAGGCTACGTCTCGTGGCCGAGAAGCACAGTCGAATAATCATGCCGCGACTAGAGAAGGAAGCGAACGGCCGACGCAGAGGAAGGGGGTCAACAGCGGACAGGCGGCCGAACCCCCGGTACGGCCTGGAGTAAGCCGAACTCTGACAGCTGGCCCGAAAGAGGCCGAGAGCACGACCACGGCTGCGGGAGGGAAAGCAACAAATATCAAAGACGAGCGGGAAAAATGGTCCGAGAGGCTTCAAACACTGCTTAAAGTCCAATGTTTACGAAATCGAAAACGCGAAGTCGCCACGCGGCTCTTATACGGCAAGAACCCTGAAGGTAAGAAAAACGTGTGTTCCGCTGTGTATCCTTATTCCCACAGCTAAGGCATTCGTCCAAGATATTCAAACCTGGTTCGACTACCAAGGCGGTGCGGAGCGGTTCACCGAACAGGCCTTTGTGAACCAGTTCGAAAAAGTCACCTTCGAATCCGTCCTCGAGTATGTCGCGTTTCCCCCGGTCTGGATACGAAGAACGAAACGGCAAATCAACAATGAGCAGCTGGTGGAGCGTCGCGGCCGTTCAGACATGGAGTTACTCTTCACGTGGCTGCGGGAGAAGAAGAAGGTCCAACGCATCCTGAAAGTGATCGTCGAAGACTCGGCCAGGGAACCGCACTCGGACGAGTCGATAGAAAAGGCCCTCGGGAAGTTTGACGTCTTATCGCTCAGCTGGTCAAAGCTAGACCTCGATCCCGAGGTACTCTATAATGCAGCTCCTAATCTCGAAGACGTTGTCCTCCATTGGAGCGGGAACAACGCCATCTTGCGAGCATGGGCCGAGCCGCAAGGTCTGAGACGATTGCTCAAGTTGAAAAAGGTTACACTCGTAGTAGACCAGGTAAGATCTCGAAGGCTGAAGTTGTTGGACCCAGATGCTGACATCGATGTCAAGGAGCAAGCACTCGAGTCCAGAGAGCGACTGGAGACCAACCTCGAGAATTTCAAGAATAGGTTGAAGGAGGAATGCCCCGCATATCTCAAGGATTGGAAGCAGAAGAGTGGCAGCGTTAAGAGCAGCGAAACAGGGGTTTCCTCTCTGCCGGCAGTTTTAGAAGATCCCACCCTGCTCTATCACACCGTCGACTGTCACTATGAGCTCGAAGACAGCTTTCCCCGCCAGCCTCAAGCCTCAGTGGTCCCGTTAGGTTCTAATGTCGAGCGACCGACCACCTCGAACCTGCCGCAGACATGGCTGAAGGCCGTCGACGGATTCGCCGAACGCATCAGCAACGTGTGGGAACGAATCCTCATGGACAGCAAACCAGCCCCGGCGAACCGCCCGAATGAAGCCACGCCGGCCAACACTTCCGCGCCTCGGACTGGTAATTCTCTTCCGAACGTTCGGGCGCCCCATGACGTCATCATCGCGCTGATCGACGACGGCGTGAACACAATGACCGAACACCTGTCGCAGTGTATGCTGCCCGGCCGCACATTCGGCTTCGAAGGCGACCGCAACCTCCCCTGGTACGCGTCCGAGACGGGCCACGGGACCGTCATGGCGACCATGATCACTCGCGTCTGCCCCATGGCCAGGATATACCCGATACGCCTGCAGCTGGGCGCGAAGATAACGGCCGGTACCAACGCCGAAATCGACATCGACTCGGCGGCAGAAGCTATCACGGCGGCGGTGAACCGCAGGGCCGACATAATCTCCATATCGTGGACCGTCGGTAAGCCCAAGGACGACAAGCTCCAAGACGCGATCGATTTCGCACTGGGGAAGGGCGTGTTGCTGTTCTGTTCCAGCGGCGACTCTGGCCACGGTGGTAACGCTCAGCACTACCCGGCCAAGTTGAGGCGGGACAAGGTGATCAAAGTCGGCGCCGCCGAGCCTTCGGGTTCGCCGTACGACTGGGCCGGACCGATAGAGGATTTGGACTTCATCTTTCCCGGGGTGGAAGTCGTCCAGAAGCAGAAGTTCCGCGGTCAAGCGATGTCGACCGCAGTAAGGGAGATTGAGGACATGGAGCCGAAGACCGGGTCATCCGTAGCCACGGCGTTAGGTGCTGGGCTGGCGGCTCTTGTCATCTATTGTGCTCGTATCAACCAGATGTTTGCCGAAGGAGAGAAGCTCAGCGATGCCGATGTGTCCAAGCTGCGGAAGTCTGACGTTATGATCAAAGCTATTCGCAATTTTGGCATGAGCAGCTCAGACGTTACGAAGAACAAGTTTGTCGATGTTTCAAGGAAGCTCGAGGAGGGAACACAGCAACTTCACCATAAGAACCCAGGATCTCTCGAAGCAAGAAAGATCATCGCGCGGCTGGCTCGAGACTTGATTTCCGTCGTCTAGACGAGGTAATTCCGTTGGCTTACCGGAAGCCTCTCTGTCTAGCGGGAGATGAGAGTGTAAGAAGCTAAATTATGGTGCACTGCAGCGTCAACAACTACGTCAACGGACTTTTCAAAATGAAATCTTGTCGAAGCTATAAAAAAAGAACCAGTCACGCCAACGCACCAGCCAGCAGCTGACTCAATGCTGTTTCCAATGTTTCTTCGCCGCGAGTCGAAATTACAAAAGCTTGGTTTGGGGTGAAGTTCGGCTAGACACGTGCTACGGTTCCGTCCATCAGAGACCTATAACTTGCTTGGTATGTCAGCAACGGCAGCTGAGGGCATTGTCCTCTGATCTCCTGCAAGAAAACCATTGACAGCTTTTCGACGGTTGTCGGCCGGCAAAATGGCGATTAGCAAGCCTTCTTGCCACGCCAAGTGATTTTGGCTTTCTGGGGTTGTCTACTGTTCGTTTCCCCCCGAAGTTCCGATGAAGAAACCTAATGGACAAATGCGGCCAGGCGAAGCAAGAGTTTAAAGGAGGTGTTTCTGGATGGCAAAGATCTGCCAAACGTCATAACCAAACGGCAGTCGGGCCTCGAACTCAAGTACTTGGGTCAAGGGTAAGTACTTTTGCAAGGTAGATGCTGTCTGATATGAGGGCTACTGTCTTGCCTTTGAGACTGATCTTGAGCTTAGTTTCGTCTGATGTTGGTGGAATAAAATCTGATGACTACGGGCTGGGTGACACCTGCATGGAATGCGATCAAGCAGAAAAGAAAGGAGGCTCCGGCCACTCCGCTGATGTTGATAAGCGGGATCGTGTCTGGAATGCATCAATTAGTCTGCGATGACCGATGACATGCGTTTTGACGGGGCTAGATCCACGATACCTAATCCAACTGTGAAGTCTCGTGCCCAGATAACGGCGCGAACCTGCGGTTATTAAACCGCACTGAATATCGTTCAAAGGCTCTGGGATGTTGACCAGAATGGAACCAGTGAGATTGCGAGTGGCCGTGAACGGGGCGGAGGAGAAGATTTTGGCCCTCGTGCATGAAGCACAGGCAGGGAAGGGCGGGATGTTCGCAGGGATGGCGGTTCCAGATGTCTGATTGGTTCCTCTGGGAAAGACCCCTGTGCCTGAGACGGCAGGGAATGGGTCTGTAGGGCGGCTGTCGGGGCTAGCGATGGACCAACAAGGCGGTCAGTCGAGGTCAGATGGGCCATGGCCGGAGGGGTTTCCGACCGCGTACTGAAGGACGGGCGGGAGGACAGTCAGAGGTTGGTTAGTTGTATGTTGTTATCGGCTGGCGCGACGAGCGGCCGGTCATGTTTGCGAAGGAGGGTGCTGGGGAAGCGCCGTTGGCTCGGGGTCCGCCTCGCCGTGGTTTCTCAATCGTGATCAGGTTGCCGGTCTCAGTAACGGCCTCCTCTCGGCGCCCACAATCCTTGCAGTCATTGTAGAAGCGGGATACGGCGATGAAGAGGGGAGTAACGCCAGTGGATGTTATGGTCGCGCTCGTGCGTTCGTGACGTGAAGAGATGACGGATGTGAACGGACTGCAGGCAACTGATGGACGCCTCGGTGCTCTGTGTGTCCCGTCCGTCATTTCGTTTTCTCGACCGCGGTAAGGCCCCGGCGTCAGCGAAGATTGAGGCCGATGCGGATGTCATCAGCCAAGGTTGCCCGCTGAAGCGTGGGATCGGACTGACTCGGGTTGTCCCTGTCCCACGGGGGTCGGTTTTGACGGATGAAGAGGGGTCGACCTCTTTGGCTTGTTCTGAGAGCCTGATGGTCTTTTCAATTTTGACGATGGCGAAAGTATGAAACTCAGGCGAGGCGGCGTAAATACGACAGGTGAGGCGACGAACTTGACGATGTCGATCTGGGCGTTCCAGGCCATGCAAGCCAGGTGGATTCCCGGGAGGTTTGCGGCATCGGTAGCAAATGGATGTTGTTCTTCATATTGGTGGTTAGCCTGGATTTGGTCAGGTGCTCCGGCAGATTCAGATGGGCGTAGATTAGGAATGTTACCGCCATAGCCATCCATAGGTATCATGTCGAGTTGACGAATCCAAGGCAAGGTAACGTAACTCGCCCTGCCTGAAGCAGCAGCCGTAGCCGTGTATCTGGACGCACGTTCCTTTTGAATCAGTAGTTTCGTTGGATTGACTTTAGGTACCTTACGGCAGGTGTGGTGAAGTCGGTCTTGGGTAGGTACCTTCCATAAGATGCGGGATGTAGCCCCGCACTCTGTGCAGTGCGCTCGGTACCTACTTGGACCCCTAATAAGTCCCTCAAGCATTATCGTCTTAGACGGCGGGGGAACCGTCTTTCCAAGATGGTGTCTTTTGGGTATTAAGTAAGTTCTCTTGGGTTAGGTAGGCACGGATGGAAGGCACGGAAAGCAGGCACCGACAGCCTAGTCAGCTTAGGTAGGTTGTCCAGTCATATCGACAGATGCCGTAGAGAAGGTGCTGGATCTTTATTTTTATTTTTTTATTTCATTTTTCTTACACGCGTTGATGGTGGTGGGCAGTGCCTGTCTGCCTCCTCCTCCTTACCTTAAGAGTGCTGTTTTATTTTTGTCAGCTAAGGCATTCCCAGTCCCGGCTACAATCCCAGTCGATTTTTGAAAAGTCCTAGGTTTTCACGCTGGCCAGTCCTCAAGCCTCAAGGCAAAATCCACGCCCGAAATCCCCGTTCCACGTCCCACGTCCACGTCCCACCCGACAGGCCCACGATCCAATCCACCACACCTGGATCCCTCCACGGCCACCAACTCACGCAACACACCTCGACACCCTGCCACCCGCCTCTCGCCGTCTGCCTTCCGATTTCTCCCCGGCCACTCTCTCGCTCTTTCATCGTCTTCTTCCTCCTCAACCGCTTTCTTCGCCTTTCAGCTCGCCCAAATCTGTGCACAAACCCAACAAAGGACGACTCAGACAAGCGACACCTTCCTACCCTTTCAAAAAGCCCTGTCTTCGGACGACCTATACTAGCCCGCGACCCTAGTTCTATCCGAACCCCCTCTTCACACGACCTGACGCACGACCGGTCCGACGACCACGGGGAACTAAAACCATTCGCTCCCCGTCAGTCGCCAAACGACAGCCTTCGCCTCTCGCAATCACACGCAACTCGGACACGTTGATTCAAGAGCCTCCACGACAGGCCGTGCCAACGACATCGCAACTCTCGTCTCCGCAGGCTGCCACGAGGCCCTGTCGCCGCAACACCTTGCGCGCCCGATTTCACCTACGATCCCGACTTCCTGATAACACCCACGGTGCCAAGTCAAAATGAAGGGGCGTCCAGTTGATCAGCTCGTTTACGAGCACATGTTTCCCAAGCCTCGTGCCAGCGACCCTCAGAACTTCCACGCTCTTTTGCAGCGCAGCCTTATTCTGGAAGTCCGCCAAGAGGTTCACTCTTTCTACGGCCACCTCGACACCCAGGAGGCCAAATACCCGGGCTTGGACTACTGTAACCCTATCCACCGCATTCGTCTGAGCCGCTGGACCTGGCACCGTCGCCTCTTCCGAGCCTTTGACAACCTCCGCCTCACCCCGAACGAGATTGCAGGCCTGACTAAGTGGGAGGGCACCAAATGGGCCAAGGAGCGCTACGAGAAGGAACAGGGCATCACCATCCGCGACACTGCCGGCGACGGTTTCCCTGATTGGGTCGAGCCAGAAGACCGCCCTGCTCTTCCTGCACGCGACACTACATCGCAGTCAGTCGACACAGATGACGCCTCGGATCCAGGCGATGAGGACATGGACGGTGAAGAGAGTGACGAGGAGCTACACAGCGTTGGCGAGGCCCTGAACCAAAGGCTGAGAGAGCGCGTAGCGCAACGAGATGCTGGAGACATGTCTACTGTGCTAGACGAGGAATGGGAGCAGTGGCTCAAGAACGTGATTGAGAGCGGCGAGCTGCCTTTCATCAACAGCAGTCAGATCGCCCAGCGCGGAGTCTCGGACGGCATCTTGACGCAACCACCATTTCCCTCCAGCATGCTGTCTGCTGCTCGTGCCGGACAGTGGCAAGATATCCCCGACTTTCTTCACGACATCATCCGCCGCACGCTCGAGGCGCCAAACTCCAGCGTTGAGGCACCTCCGCCCAGCAACACTAACCCTCCGCGAGAGAGGAGGGACACCGACGACCACTACTACGCTGAACGCATCATGGACTGGCGGCGGCGTCATTCTGGCCTCCGCCTTCCGGTCGGCGACAGCGCTCCCACCCGGGCAGCACAGGCGCCAGGGGCTTAGGATCCCCTCTGGCTCACTCCCCGGGTGCAGTTCTCCACCGAAGTCCCCATGACGCCGCGGGAACTCGCGGAACGGACAGACATTCGCAGATGGAACTTTCCGTTCACCTACCCTCCTGATGTCATCCGGGCCATTGGGGAGAACGACGAGAATTTCCCCTGGTCGAACTTGGAACCCCCGGGCCTGGGCGATGACATGGACGCGGAACCGAGCCCGGCCGCGTCGTGAACAGGCGTGACCGTCCAGCACGGCATGGGGACGCGAGACGGAAAGCACGCCGGTCCATGCTTTTTACACTAGAGTTGCTTGCCATCTATTCTTGGGCATAAGGGAGGTTCGCCAATCATCAGCGCGACAGGATCCCTCACACATCATTCGGTTATTCCCCTCAGCGGCGTTGGACGGACTTGTTTTTGTTTTTCTTTTTTGAGAGACTCTTTTTTTGAAGGTCTGGATCAGCGAGTACAAGGGATTATGAGAAAACGATTGGCTCTGCATTTTCAGGATGGCACTCTCGCAGATGTTTGTATCTAGCAAGAGTACCCTTAGCTACAAAAGTGCTAATTTGACATCACTTGAGATCACGATGAGACGCAAAGACCTGCACACAACGGTGGTACAGACCAACTTGGTATTTTGAGCTAGGTTTGATACTGCCCTGGCTCGGGTAATAATGGGTTATATAGAGCCCTCCGCCTTGAACGCCGTTGCTTTCCAAAAACGCGCCGCGTACACACACAACCCCGAATAAACTAACTATACTGTGATAACTCCGCCCTTGTAGGGAACACAAGCCGACCGACGCCAACTCCCGTTACCGTATGTACCCCCGACCAAATGCCTATTTTCGTGACCTTCGTGGAGGAAGAGAGAGCTGCTCGGTTTCGAAAATCCATGGTGAGGGCTGCATTTTCCCCTCCGCTGATTCCGCCTGCGCTGGTTCCGCGACAGTAGCCGCAGCATTCTTGATCCTGTTCGCTGCGGCTTTCCCGCCCTTGCCGAACTAAGGGTCAAGGTGGGACCACTCGGGGATAGCCTTAATCTGCTGCCACATGTATTTCTCCAGCTTATTGGCGCTCTTTGCGTATGGCGTAGACTCGTTATTGTACTTGCGGCAGTTGTCGAAGATGAGCTTGGCATCGCGGATGAAGTCCTCGGGCGTCGCGTATTGGTCGGCCTCGAGCTTGGTCTCCATGGTGCTGAGGTCCATGGGCTCCTTGATGACCTCGTAGTAGTCGGCGACGTCGTCTTTGTTGACGGGCACGAGGAAGGGCCAGGCCGACTGGTGGTTCTGCAGGTCGTTGAGCAGGTGGAGGAGCTGGTTGTAGTTGGGGCCGTGGCGGGGCTGGCGCGCGAGCTCGTCCATGTCCGGGGACCATCCCGAGGCGCGGATCGCGTCTATGGTCAAGGGATCGATAGGTTTTGCGCCGCTCTTCCACTCCTTGGGGGGCGCGTGTACGATGTGGGACTTGGAGTAGGCGCGGATCTTGGCCTGTACGCACTCCTTTTGCTTCAGTAGCATGCGGCCCATCTCGAGGTATCTGATCCGCGGGAGCATGGAGCACTGCATGATGGTGCCTCCCTCGTAATCCTTGATGTATCCCATCCATACGCTCTTATCGAGCGTGATCTCCTTTGTGAAACCCTGCTTCTTAAAATATCCGATGGCGTAGTTGTCGGCGTAGGTGAGGAAGTGCATCACGTCGCTCGTGGCCTTGACGTAGTCCTTCAGGTGAGACATTAGATGGGCGCCGTAGCCCTTGACTTGTTGGTCGGAGCTGATGGCGCAGAAGACGATTTCGGCGAACTGGCGGCCCTTGAAGGGACGGTAGGTGATGCCGCCGACGACCTCGAGGGGCTTCTTGACGATCGCTATCGACAAGTGGGTGCGGTCGTAGACGAGACGGGCGATATAGTCCTTTGGCATTTTAGGAAGTTGTTTTTGAAAGATGCATTTCAGGCCGGTGAGGATGATGAGGGATTCGCGCTCGTTATCGTTGTTCACTACGCGGAACTCGATCTCGCCGGTGCGCTCTTCGATTACGGCAGGCTGTGCGGGCAGGTGTCAGCTTGTCCATCGCAACAAATATCGCGCCGGGGGTGTGGAAGATGCGCGAAGAGCTGACGGTGTAAGACATACCTTTTCGGGAAACGGGATAGGCTTCATTGCCGGTTTCTTCTCTGGCTCTGCCGACTCGTTGTGCTTCACCCTCTTAGTCGCGACGGGCGACGAGGGGTCCTCCTCGGCCTTGCGCTTCGTGTCTGAGTCGTCGCGTTAGAACGAAACATGTCGAATAAAACTGATATTTGATATGCGACCTACTTTCTTCCTTCATTTTGACTTCGACCTTGATACTGAGCCCTCACAGGCATATTACGATACAAGTTGTCGATGGTTGATGTCTGGGGAAGTTGATGACATGCTGCGCTAGGCTTTCGTATTTCTCCGTTGGCCGAAGTCTCGACGAAGGTGGGGCTCAATTGACCCATCCAGGTGGACAGCCCAGGGGCAGGTAAACTGGCGCTAAGCCTCTTTTGCTCAGGCCACAATTCATGGTGGGTCTTGGAGCTTAGAACACGTTTGGGGAAGCTGCACCTTCCGTGATCTCCAGCACGCCGACAACACCATCTGAGTGCAATTGATTGTTCAGAACTGCGCGCAAGCTACCCCAAGGCCTACCACGAGAATCTCAACGCACCAATTGAACTTCCAAACAAATACGCTCCACTCGCCTCGACCGCCTAGCAGATGGACTCCTCTCTGCTCGAGATCTGGCAAGCGGCTGCTAGCACGCCGTTCCATCCCGCTGTCGCCAAGGATTCGCAGTTCTTCATCGCCTTCCTCCTTCTGCTCGTTGGTATCTTGATCACCGGCGTCTTTGCTCTGAGTAAACTTCTCCCACCTCCTCATGCACCGAAAAGAATCATTGGCCTAACTAACTGCCTCTACAGACCGGTCCCTCACCAACATTCCTGCACTTGGCGTTCCTGCTTCCGCTGCCATTGCGTACGTCCTCCCACTCCTCCCCTCCGAATACCTCTTCTGACAAGTTCGCTACAGATTCGGAACGGTGTACATGTTCTGCGCGGTCGGAGTCTACGTTTAAGATACCCCAAGAGTCATTTCAAGTCGGCGGCGACCTTGTACTTTAGAAACAACCAAGAAGACTTTCCAAACCACCTCTCTACAATCTGGTTGATTACACCTCATTTCGCGCAGCTTCTATCCGTAATGTCGGGAGCAATTTCTCAGGGCGATGCGCAGCCCGAGCCCATTTTTCGCGCTGTGGCTTCTTCGACGAAGCCGCTATACCAACTCCTCAAAACCATCAACTTCACCAACAAAGTCCATGTTCAGCTTCAAGAGGATGGTATCAGATTTGCGGCAGACCTTTCAAGGGTTTTGCAAGGTAAGCTCCTGATAACACCAATGGGCATGGAACTTGCTGCTTAACACACTTCAGGTACTGCATTTCTGGACAAGAAGCTTTTCACCTCGTACTCTCTCAACCTCGGCGACGGCACGGACGGATCGCAGCCGATTCTTCCCAACTTCCAAATCGCCTTGCCGTCCCTTCTCGACACACTTCAAATCTTCGGTGCAGTCGACGTCGCAACCCGCACTCAGAGGGCCGATCACGACGCATATCACAGCAACATCCGCAACTACCGCCCGGAGGCGTTTAGTAACCAAGCTCTCGGTATCGGCGGGACATGTAGCTTGATCTACAAGGAAGAGGGTGGCCAGTTCGACATTGTTATCGAGGAGGGGGGCGTCAAGACCACGGCCAGCCTCACGACATATCTGCCGGAGATCCCAGAGGAGATCCCATTCGATCGGGACAACCTTTCTTTCAAGATTATCATGCAGGCGCGCTATCTTCTCGATGCCCTGGCCGAGCTGGCGCCCACCGGGCCCAACCGCCTTACTATAGCAGCCTCCAAGACCTCGCCATACCTAGCTCTTTCCGGCGCCGGCGACATGGGCAGCTCTAGCGTGACTTTCGCGAAGGGACGCGAGCTACTGGAGACCTTTTCGATCAACGAAGGATGGTCCCAAGCCTACAAATTCGACTTGGTCAAGTACTCCACCGAAGCGATGAGAATTGCGAGCAAGGTCAGCTTTCGAGGTGACGACCAAGGAGTCTTGAGTCTTCAATTCATGGTCGAGCATGAGAATGGGGTCAGCTTTTTGGACTTTCGGTTTGTTCCTTACATCGCACACGATGACGATGAGGAGGGAGAGGAAGAGGGTTCGGAGGATGACTAGACGTGATTATACGAAGCTGACTCGTAGATAGACGAAAGAATCGCGGTATATGTTCCGAGTGGTGACCATGGTATTTCCCGTATACCATGCTACCAGTCTCAACATCCTCTCGCTGATTAGCTAACAAAGATATGGTTTTCTCTTCCGCATGCGTCAAGCCTAGCAATGAACCGTGCTCCACGTTCCCGAGTCTAAAGCGAACAATGTGTTGCTAACCTTTCCTCTGAAGGAGTTGGCTTTGAGCCCACTGAACGCCTCGTGGGGAATGACAGCTCTGGCCCATCGGCAGAAGTCGGCCAAGCAAGCCCGGCTCCTGCCGCCCACGCGCTTCCGATCCTCGTCGAATAGGAATTTATTCGTCGACGCGGTAAAGTGATCTGTCTAGCAACTAGCGGACGCCCATTCCAAGAGCAGCATTCCTCCGTCTCCAAGCCCGAAGCCTGCAGCCCCGAGTGAGGGCTTGAGTGGGCACCAAAACCTGCGCAGGCCGACGAATCGGACGTGTCGACGGAAAAAGCCAACGCGAAGAGTTCCTGTTCGCATCCGGCAAAGGCGTTGACGGGGCGTTGAACGGACCTGTTGATGTCTCGGTCGTCAAAATTCCGACTGGAGATTAGGACCCAACCGACTGGAATCCCGCGCCCTCGGGCAACGCCATCGGCCATGGCTACGGCTGTTCTGTCGAGTCGAAGACGGGCCGTATATCTTTTCATCTGTTTGCGGAAAAAAAGGGCGGGATGGGCTGACTCTTCTTCCCTCTTGCGGACGTAGCTATCGTGAACCGGTCCCCGACTAGACTCTCTCTTTCCTCTGTCAACTTTCACCTCCAACTCAATTGTGTTTTCTTAGCCTCTTTTACGATCTCGTCTCTCGCTCAGCCTCGATCTTTCTTTGACAGCGTCTCCGTTGTAGCTCAACAGCAACAACTGCCAGTTTGACTCACTTCCGCGTGTCTCTTTTGTCAACGCATCGCCAGATCGTCCTCGGTTCCCCTGACTTATAAAGCCAAGGTCTCACCTGCTCTCTCCGTCTCGAGGAAAAAAAACCATCATCACACGATTCAACAGTCTTGCAATCAACTACAACTCCTCTCCAACTCGATCAATGAACTCGTTCGGTTCTTGCGGCATCGTCGAATACTCATTCCCAATGTGGTCCAAGCAGCACGTCGGCAACTGGCTCGATGCCTTCAAGCCCCGTCGCAACTCGCGGAGCTCCATCTACTCCTCGTCGTCCGGCTTCTCCTCGTCCTCCGCATCGGCGAAGTCCCGCAGCGCCTCCCTGTCCTCGCTCTTCTCGCGGGCCCCCGTGGACGATGACGAGCCGGAGCGGGAACGGCTCGTGGCCGACGAGGAGCCGGTCAAGAGGAAGCCGTACGTGCCCAAGTACGCGGCCAGGTCTTTCATGAGGACCACGACGACGCTCGAGATCCGCGCCAAGAACGAGATGCTGTGATGGATTCGGAAGAATACAGCATCGGCATTACTTGCCGATATCACCTGATACCCTTTCCTACACACCAAAAAAAAATACGAAAACACGATACCCGGGAGGACGTCACCTCAACTCCCTCAGTCCGCTTGGACACCCGAGGACAATCGACGTCCGAACCATCACCATCAGATACACATTTCCCCTTAATTCGAAAAACATTCAACCCGAGAAAACAAGCGCTACTCGAAGAAATTCAATGTTGGTCGGCTGGTATACACGCAGTCATCAATTGACAGTTGTTACCTGTCACACGACAATACACACGGGTCTTCGGAGTTCAGCGGCGTCTGGAACAGAAAAGGAAAAGCCAGATTGGCTGGCAACATTGAAGGAGAGGGGCAGATCTCTACTGAAAGAGATGTTTCTATCATTACCCACCATAGAGTTGGGAACTATCCGTGAGGAGGGTCTTAATTGCAACGTAATAATAGTATTAGGCCCGGCAGCCCGGGCCACTGAGCTATCAATACCATATAGTTAAACCAAACTGCGAATGTTACCCTCTCTCCGTGCTTACTCACTTACAAGCCGAGCGTCTAAGCTGCAATAATGCGGCGTCAGTCTTTTTTTGAACTTCGTGCGTAAGCTCAGGGGATCCAGTCGAGACTCTGACGCAGGGTCAGGACGGTATACGGGCGATTGATGGGATATATCCAGAACTCATGATGGAAGTGGCTGATGCTACACGAGCCGCACACGCTGATCGGATACAGATCTGTTTCCCGCCTACCCTCACCGGACCTCGATCGTCGTCGTACCTGCATGTTTCTTCTCTATTTGTAATTTTCTTCCCAGTGTTTGCCATATACGAACATGCGTAACAGGCAAGAAACCGACAGAAATGGCAGGGTGGGAATCAATCCTGACAGCCCGCATGCTGCAGACGTTGGTCTCATTCGAATTTGGGAGAGCAGAGCAGTTTGGGTATTAATACGTCCGTATTCACAGATTTGGAATGCCTGCTCCTCCGTATCTGTGGCGGGCCTTCTCCGGGAAGATCGCGGGGGAACCGTCCCGCTCGGATGTGTCCAAGAAGTGCCGTGAGCATCGTGTGATATGCCAAGACGATTTGTTTTTTGGGCGCCGTTTTTACGTCCGTAGAGAAGGCCGTCCAACGGGCGGGCTTACGAAACCCACCGAGACAGGCATTCAACATGAGAACTAGCCAGTCGAGAAAAAAGCAAAAATGACTTTGTGAGGGTTGGCGGAGAGGAGCTGGATCGACTGCACTTGTCTCAGTCCTCAATGCGAACCGTGGGGCCACGCAGACGAGGGTGGACATGGGTGATGCGGTGAGGGCCCTGGAGCCTGTGAGTTCACTTGGCTTGTCAGCGTAATAATCTGTAATTACTCGAGCTGTGGTGATCTCCCTTGCTGTGCGATTCATGCTTTCCATGTTTGCCATATGTCGGAGTCTTCTTCGTCATCGAGGTAATGTAGCCAACGGACAGATATATTCAGAGCTTATCCGTATCCGTAACTCCGGGCGAAGAAGACGACCAAGGGCTGAGATGGGGGGACGATAGAGGGCTGATGATGGACTGCCCCTGGCTATGCATCCTTGTCCCGCACGCCGCAGCAGGGTTATCAGGTGCATGGCAGGGGGGGCGGGCTCGCGCCGATGTTCCATTCAAGAAGTCCGAAATAGAACGGCGAAGGCGGCGCGGCGGCGTCTTGGGGTCGACTGAAGTCCGAAGCAGGCGCTGTTGCCGTTGTTGCGTACGAGGCCAGGAGATATGTATTCGCAGGATAGATGGAAGCATTTTGACTCCGGATGATGAAGCAGTTCGTACCAGAGTCGTGCAAAGTCAGTGGCGGTCCTGGGTGGACTGATAATCAGAGACTGATAAGGCCACCGGGGAGATTAAGGCGAAACAGCCAATCTGCAAAGTTCGAAGAAGTTTGCGTGTTGAAGAAAAAAGCAAACGAGTCGATTGATTGTTCCTGTCGTGGTTGGTTGGCTTGATTGATTGTGTCTTTGTTCAAGTTCGAGAAGGACGTTCAGAACTCTCCAGGCCTCCCTCAGACCCCACGCGCTAGGATGATACAATGGAAGAGTCTGGTTCAGAGCTCCTGCAAGGGCCAGGCACCTTTCAATGACAGGGCGGGTCAGCTGGGGGGGCCAGTCAGCCGCTGAGCCAGGTTCCCGTCCCGCTCACTTATCCGCAACTCAAGTGAGTGAGGTGAGTGGTGATTGAACCTTGGCTACAGCAGCCAACTTCTTCTGGGCAAGTTTCCAACACGAACGAATACCTATCCTCTTGCTTCTTCACCCAACCACAACCAACCAACCAACCAATGGAGGCGGTATCGGGCCATCCTCAACGTCACCGGACATGTCTCAGTCCTGGTTTGCAGTGGTTTTCCTTACGGCCGGCGGACCGGGGAAGCAGTCTACCGCCCCGTCCTTCTCCTTCCCACTCCTTAGAAACTCGAGTCAATCTCTCGCCATCGCCATCGCCATCGCCATCGTCGTCGCTTTCGGGCGGTAATTATCACCTCGCCCGCCCGCCCACCGGCGACGGGCGACGGACTGACAGCTCGATTATTCCATTGGGAAAAGCGTCTTGGGCTGCTTGGGTATGAAACAGGCCACCCCGGCCTGCCCAGACTCGACTTCTTCGACTCTCCCGAATCCCAGGTCACGTCACCGTCACCGGGAAGACGCATGAGAGCAATGCCGCCCGAATCGTCCACGTCTCCTCTTTCTCGCCTTTATTTTTTTTCTCCCCGACGCGCGCCTGCCCAGCATCGTCGCCTTCGCTTTCATAACCTCATTCGGTCCTAGGGGCTCTGCAATGATCTGCCTTAGTCCGTTTCGACAGGCCGACTGACGAATCGAATGACCCGAGTCTTGCGTATCCGGGTTTGTCTCTCTGCTTGTTCCTGTTCATCAGCCCTGGCTGTTAGTTGTCTGTTGCTAAGCAGGGAGCACAGAATAATCACTGCAAGCATAGGTGGTATTTCGAACCCCTGTAGCTTGCCTACCAGACTACGTTACGTGCATGTTGATCCGGGAACAATCGCCCATTGATAGATCGCAGCAACCTGCTGTATCCGTACGGATACAGATAGCTGCCGTCTCTTTCAACACCAACAGAATCAGCGAGTGCTGGATTTCTAGCCATGACGAGTCTCGGCAGTTAGACATGTCAAGCTGTCATTCAGTCGATCTGTCATTCAGATGCGCCCGGCAGCACTCAGTCGCTTGCATCTGCTTCATCCGCACGTACTAGCAGTACGTGTTGGAGATTGTGGCATCGTCAGTCAAGGGCAAGGGCCCAAAGTAAGGCAAACAGGGGTACAGCCTGGCTCCACGGCTCCAAGGTTCCCTTTCCCTCGGCCTGTCACCATTGGACTGCCGCTTCTATTGAATTCAATCCTGCCCATTGTCAGGTCCTGATCTGTTACTCGTCTCTCTCTGCCTCGACTCTGGCGAGTACAGATACTCGGCAATGAGCTGGCGAGTCCATGCCAGGGAGACGGGCCGGATGGGATCCCACTGGTTGGCTGCCTCTGCACCTCGCCGTCTGCGTCGTCGTACGGCGAGGAATTCCTCGAGTCGCATCTCTCTCGCGTCTGCAGGTGACCGATGGTTTCTCCTCGCCGTACGACATACACCTCCAATGGCGACGGCGGAGCTGATCCTGAGATGATCCATCATTCACGTCGGCCGCCATGTCCCATATTGCTCGACAGCGCAGCTGCGACGGTGTCAGCGCGACCCCCATAAGGCTGACTGCACGATGGGCTCTGGAACCGGGGGATGAGCCATGGGAGAGGGCCGTCGACGAGGGTTCCAAACTTAACACCAAAGCAATATGCAATTCATATCTTTGCAACAGTCACATCTCTCGCGCTGGAAGGGCCGGCCATGAACGCATGCAATGTCACCACACGCAGCCTCTCTGGGGCCGCCCACCACCCCAAAAACACCCCCGACGACAGTCTCCCGCCCCCCCTCGAGAAGAGTCCTTTTTCAAAGGCACAATGGGCCAGTAATAGCAACCCGCTGGCAAGGTGTAGCCAATTGGAGGTTCAAAAATAACGACAAGCCGGGAGTTGACCACATCCACCCCAGAACGACGGACGAGACACGAACCCTACAACCTCCGCCCTCACGCAGCTTGCCTGCACCACCGAGCAGGGGTCAGGATTGGCTTCTTGCACCGCCGCAACTCGCACCGCACACACGCACTCTTGACCACTTCCATTACCACCCTCCCATCTGCCATGGATAGAGCAGATCCGGCATTCCAGCCTGCCAGTCTCACCGACTAACACATCCAACTTCACTCTACATCCCGTGCAGACAGCTAGGTCTGTCAGCTGGCCCATGATGGCCCCGACTCGCTTGCTTTTATTTGTGATACGTGCCGATCGAGAACAACATACATACAGCCAACACTCGGCCTCTACCCTTCGCCCCGGATGGCATCCATCCCTCTTTCCTCTTTGTTCTGCTCTTCCCTTGGTTCTGGATATGCCTAGCAGTCACGTCACTCGTTAAAGGCCCCCAAGAGACCTCAGACCCCTCCCCCTTCGTGTTCTCATATATTGCCATGTACCAGTCGCTTTGGCCCTGCTGTCCCGACCTGCTGCAAGATCCCCTTTGTACGCCCAAGATCTCATCAGGATGTCTCGGTCGAGCTTCAGCATCCGGAGGTTTATCTCACCTCGCCGCTCACAGACCGTCGACGTTGACGAGCGTCGCCACTCGGAAGACTCGGCCATGAGCGAGGAATTACCCATCTTCAAGCCCCGACGGAAGCAAGAGAAGTCTCAGTCGTGGGCACCGTCCAGACGTCAATCCGCCGCCAAGGCTCGCAGGCCCTCGAGGGAGGATACCCTTGTACGAAGGACACAAAGCATCAAGAGGAGCTCGCCTGAAGCCATTCCCTTGCCTGAGGCTTCGCCCAACTCGTCGTCGAGTTCTTTGTGCAGTTGCGAAGGCCACGCGGATACGGCCTCGACGAACAGCACAGATGAGGTCCTTTGTCCGCCTCGACCTCCGTCCCGGGCCTCTCGGTCTTCAGCACCAAAACGGCTCGCGGATCGAAGGCATCTCTGCATACCTCCTCTACCAACACAACAAAACACCAAGCCCGTGAACTCTCCCACAGAAGCTGACATCAAGGCCATCGAGGCGGGCAATACAAACCTGGAAGAACACCCCGCTCTCAAAGGAATCGCAAATCCTCCAGCTACGCCGGAAGAAGGGCTGGAAGGGTGGTCACTAAACGTTCAAGACCTCATCAGAGAAACCGACGAGGCTTTCAAGGCTGTAGGGACGGCCATCCAAGAGGCGAAAATAGCCGTTTCGTCATTTCCCGCCACTTCTCAGACCAGTCGCGCATCACCTGCAGCCACCAGCCCAAGGATGGAGTCGCCTGTGCAATGGCTGAACAAACCGCACGCCATCGTCAACAGCACTCCGCCGCTGCCCCCTCCGAATCGGAGCTCATCAGGGTCGTCGGCGTCGAGACCCAGAAGGAAGAAGTCGAAGAAGGCTAAGCGATCAAAAACAAGGTCCAAGAAAAGCGCCCGCTGGCAACTAGGAGAGGAAGTCACCGACATTCTTACCGGACAATTCTTTCGCAAGATTGAAGTCAACGAGCTTCTTTCACCGGATTACCTTCAGGCTGTGAGAGCTGGCCGCGAGGCCCAGTCCCGGATCTCGAGCGATACCATGAGGACAGTCGACACGGACGGCAGCGAGACACCCGTCGAGCCTTTCCACCTTCAAGATCTGCCCTCACGGATAGGAGCAGCAGGTGTTGATGCCATGGTCGCACACCACGACAGAGTGTCACCTTTCAAGCCCCTCGACTCAGCGGTACGACGCCGCCCCTTGGTAAAGGAGAAGTCCCCGCTGCGAAGGAAGCCTGTACCCAGATCAGCCTCTGTAACTAGGAAGCCTGTACCCAAACCAGCCTCTGCAACTGGAGAAGTCGTCGAAATCGAGGACACGACCCCTCCCCCTCCACCGGCGAAGAACCCGCTGAGGTTCGCGCCTCGGCCGCAGGCATCGCAGCTGCCAACGATTCCTGAGGTCATCGTTACCACACCAGACACCACATCAGACACGATCACAGTCGAGAAACAAGCAACGCGCACATTCGCGCCCGTGGACGAGGATGACTTCATCTTCCTCCATTCCACCAACTACACCCTTAACCATCCTTCCCTGCGCCAGGGACAAATTCGCTTTCGGAAGCAAGACGTCGAGAAAGGCATGAAGATCGACCCCGACGACACATTAGACTGGACGGCTTTCCAGATGGCCATACTCGGCGGCGCAGGCGACCTCTTCTCAGACCCCTCGGACTTTTCCCGGCGATCCGAGGCCGAAGAGGTCGCGGATCTGGTCGAGTGGTTCAAGGACTTTGGCTTCGAGAATCACGGCCTGTTGATCCGCAGCAGAAGTAACAGCGGCTCAGCGACGAGCCCCGCCAGCATCGCCTCCGAGTACTCGCCCATGTCGTCCGTCGCGACGGACATTGACCTGCCGATCCCCGTCGAGCTCGAGTACCCGAGCGGCTTCTGGAACGAGGGCAAGCACGACACGTCCAAGTTCCACGCGCGGGGCTGCAACATCCGGCGGTGGACGATGGAGGGCCATCACAAGCGCTACTGCAACCGCGAGAGCCTAGACAGCCTGCCGCCCAGCCCCATGATGGACCTCGTCATGATGAGAGGCGCGGACGGGGAGCCGGAGATGGTGCCCATGGGATACAATCTCGGACACGATCTCGGGGACTTTCTTAGGTGGGAGGCGGAGCACGTCTATGCCACGGGTGCCTACTGAGACTTACCACGATCATTACGACTTACGGACAATGAACGGAAGAAAGGAACATTCATTACCAGACTACTATAGGAATAAAACTTATTCATAATTCTAACACTGCGTCGATCCATATCATGAAAATCCTCTGTTCAAAACGAAAAACACAATGTGCCTCGATTCTCGTAATGAACGTATGATTTCCACTTCGGGCCGCTGCAAAACCCTCTTAGTCTAGGTACCAAACGTCCAACACCAACGAAATCAACTCAGTCGATCTCAAGGCATTCTTTTCCCAGGAAATAGTCACCATGCGTCATCTAGGGCTGACGGCTCCTCACCCAACACATAACGGTCAGTCTACAGTAACTTTGCCTTCCTGGTAAAGCCATTCACTCACAGCCCGTCTCCCAACGGCCCCCAAGTGGGACGAACCGCCGGGCAGCCGGTTGCCGCCTGCACCCCCCGAACCCCACCACCGACCCCCACCGCAGCCCAGATCGCCCCGGCAGGACCCGCCCGCCAGCTGAAGGAAGCTGACCTACTGACCGTGTTTTTCCCCCCTGCCATTTCACCTCACACTCACATTCACACCAACCGCGCCGAACGTTTGTGATTGTGAGAAACCAACACCAACAACAAAAACAACATCGGTCACATTCATATCTCACTTTCATAATTTTCATCCGCCCCCAATCGCAGAGCGTCCTCCAGCCCCCGAATCAGCAGTTACCTTGCAACGCGCCTCATCGCATCCGCTGAAGAAAAGCGCATCTAGTTCAGCCCCCTCGCTTCCACGGCCGCGTCTCTCGTTGCGTCGCATCGCATTTGCATACACTCATCATCCCCTGGACCGGCGCGTCACATACGGAACGGACCCGATATTTCGAGAACCGGGTAGCTGTGAGAGGCAACTCACTCACTTCGCACCTCGCCTGCCTAATCCCACCGCATACCCTCACCCTCGAAAGACCGCACACACTAAGAAGGGACCCCCACCCACCCATCATCCATCACAATGCTCCGCCGCCCAGCGACAACGCTCTCCGTCACAGCCGAGGACATCGCATCCTACGAGGACCGCCGCGCGCGTGAGGCCCTCCTCCGCGAGCGCCAGGTCCTGCTGCAGGCCCAGCAGCAGCAGCAACAAGTGCAACAGCAACGGGTTCTCCAACAGCAGCAGCAACAGGCATCCCATCAACAGCAGCAGCAGCTTCTCTCATCGCCTCAACACCACCCCCAACAACAACGTCAGATGCAGCAGCAGCAGATGCGGGATGCCGACATGACGGCAGAGTCCCTGGAAGACACGTACGACTACGACGATGACGACGACGATGAGGACCGCCAGCAGGAGATTCTGAGGAGGCAGCAGGAGATGATGAGGGCGCAGCGGCAGCAGCAGGGCCGGCCCGGGATGCAGACGACGCCTACGCCCGGGGACGGGGGCCGTGGGGGACGGAGCCGGGAGGATCGGATCGGGGTTGGTCGACGTGGTCGGTAAACCGGGCTTCAGTTTTGTGTGTGTATCTTTATCTACAGTATGGGTCTCCGGAAGTTGGGATACCTTTTCGGTGTTTCGGTGGACATCTGGGTTTTGGGAGTTTGGCTACTCTGTGTAGTTTTCCTGTATTCAATTGTTGGATTGGTCATCTTTGATAAATTCAGAGCGAACATCAGGGTTCAGGTTCTCCAGGTTTCCAAGTTCCAAATGTGTTCGTCTGTAAATTCTCTGTCCCGACCGTCCCAACGTACGCTTTCCTCGAAAAACCCAAGCCATGCCGAATTCGTCACGTCGTGCCTGAACCGTCTAGAATACAAGGATCGCCAAAACAAAAGATCGATATTTGAAAAACGAAGTGAGTATAGACGCTCTTATGAAACCCGTCGCCCTGAACACGAAAATCCCACGTCGCACCCAATCTGGACTTCCGTGTCAAAAAGAAAAAGAAACTCAAAGCCAATGTCCCATTTGTGAAGAATGCCCGCCCGCTATCGTGAACGCGTGAAAAAGTAGATGGAAAGTCTGTACAAGAACCGAAGGAACGACACGTCGCTGACGCTGAAAGTAGACCGCAGAGAGAAAAGAAATAGAGTACAACTGGCATCAAGAACGACTGTGGAGTTGCCGTTCGACCACGCCCTCAAGAAAGTGCAATTTCGCCCATCACAACGGAAGGGTGCGAAGTTTGTCCAGGCCGTCCGAGGGCGAGTGGACGCCTTGCTTTCGATCGCGTTCGATTTCTTTCGATGGAGAGGAGACGTCTTCCATGTGCATCTGGGGACTATTAGCATGTTATTGCATCATCAATCTCGGTTCCAAACTCACGTTAAGAAAGACGTTGGCTTGTTTGATGCCGGCGATGTCGGCCAAATATCTGAGACGTCCCCTCAGGAAACGCTTCTGCCGCGGAGTCGCAAAATCGCTGGTGTAAGCGGTGACGAGCGGCCACAGGATCATCAGACCGGCGGCGCCCTTCAACGGGTCGTCCGGCTTGGTGTTACCGCAGGGAAATTGGGCGACCACGACACCGTAGCCGTTCCATTTGCAGAAGAACGGCGCCGAAGCGATGGTGTCTTCGATACGGAGAATCGCAGAGCGCTTCAGCTCTTCGTACTCCTCCCCCATGCGGTAGTCATCGGGTGACACCAGCCAAGCCATGCACCGCAGGATGGTGGTTGTGAGCATGAGGTGGCAGCACCACGTGGCGACGTGGAGGACGGCCAGAGGGAGGTTGAAGAAGCCGTACACGGGGCCGGCGAATGTTTGTGCAGTGTCCAATTCTTCATCGAGACGCTCCGGGATCCAGTCGACCGTGTCGACCTTCCACTGCGGACTTGGGTCGTTGTTGAGCTTCTTGAACTTGGCCTCGAGTGCCTGGGCACGCTTCAGCGCATCCAGGACCTTTTGGATCGTCTCCGGCTTACGATCTCCGAGTCCCATGATTCGGTCGACGTCTTGTCTGATCTGGCTGCTCTGGATATCCATGCTGGCAATGGCGTGTTGCATGCGGCCACGGCATTCGTGGTGAAGAAGCCATGTGAACTCGGCTACTTCTGGGGAATTAGGCAGACAGTGAATAGAAAGGCACTGGTTGCGAGTAATGGCGAACATCTCCTCGCCTTCAGGTGTTTCGAGGCCTTTCTGCCCCCTGAGCTTCACAATGATGGCTGCGCCCTTCATATGATTCGTGTACTCGGCGATGGAACCCCGAGAAGAAGTCAGAATCTGGTCATGAGTTAGTCGAGTCCTAAGTTTTGCCCCATCTAGCGCCTCTTACCTCGTAGAAAGCCAACATCAGTACAGCACCTAGAGTCTGATCGCTCTTGACCTCTTCGGGATCCATGATAGCCTTGTTAACGGCCCTGACAGCCCGCATATAATGGTTCTGGGCATGGAACAAAGCTGAATTCGCGTTTACGGTGCGACGACTTGCCAGAGCAGCCAGGGACACGGCCTTATAAGCTTGCGAGAGGCATTTGGATACGTTTGGCCGACTCAGAAATCGAGGTAGAAAGCGGTAGTAGCCCCTGGCTGTAGGCGTGAAGGGGACGATGATGAACTCCGACAAGAAGTAGCAGGATGCCTGTTCGTCCAGGGAATCAAACAAAGACGCGGGGATGTCATCATCTTCTTCGGTAGAGTCGTCGTCGGCGCGGAAGGGAAAAGCTGCGGGATTCGAGTAGTCGAACGTTTTGTATTTTGGGCCGGCCACCGAAGTCAAGCACTGCTTGTTGCACACTGGCGACAGTCCCTTGCCTTCGTCCTCGGAACTGTCCTCTCCTCTCGACTTCTTGAATCTCTTGATCGTCGCTTCGGTCTCGTCGCGAATGTTGGCCTCAAAAGGATCCCGGTAACCTGGACATTGGCGCCTAGACTTCTTGCATCTCATGCAGAACGGCTTCCCCTCATCACACTTGATTCTCCTGGCTCGGCATAGTTTGCAGCCTCCAGATGGCTTTCCCGTGTTCACCATAGTTGCAGTAGTGTGTTGTCGGGATCATAGAACAATTGGGTTGTGCTACAGTCCATAGGAGCATCCTACGAAATTGTTGGAGGGGCCGAGCTCTTTTTCACAAGTTTTTGTTCCGACAGTCCCAGGACCCAGGTTCCGAGGTCAATCTTTCGGGTTAGACCAGACACGGGAGCCGGGAGATCAAGCGGGAGGTAGACTTCAGAACACCACTATGTCATAGCGACGAACTGCAGGCAATATTGTGGGCAATCCAACGTCTAGGGCTGTTGACTGCAAGCCAGATGCCTGGTTGCTCAAAAAGCAATGGAGGGGCTGGATCACCGATGGGACGCTGTGCGAAACTCTGTGCCATCCATCCAAGGTGTTAACGAATGATAACGGCCAAAAGGATAGAGCGGGATCGCACCGTTGGTGAAGGGTGATCTCAGGTAACCGGGGATTGGGCGACTCGTAGACTTCGTTGTCTGGTCTTCCCGAAGGTTTGTTTCATGCGCCGCTAAGCCCTGACGATGCGCGGACTGCGTCGATCAAGGGTGGTCCCATCGGCTCGTGCGTCAATTGTTTGAGACGGCAAACAGAATGTACCGGAAGAGTTCAACAACGGCCGGAATCCTGATGTCGATCATTGAAGGAACAACCCGGCTCTTCGGCAAGCCGGTCGATGGATGGCATCTCAGACAGGTGTCAGCCGGCGTGGGTGTATGTGCGCCCCATCATGTTGGTGGCCCGGCGGAACACTTTCGTCGAATCCCGCCCAGAACTTTGCACGCCGAGCCACTGAGAGCCTGCGTTGCTTATTCTTGATCCAAACAATCAAACAAAGATGGTTCATATCAAATGGCCGCTGGGTCTGACCGCAGATAGCAGACAGCCGTTAGGCATTGAGAGGGGAACAGACGTATTGGCCTATTCGGTTCCGATTCCGGCTCCGGAGCGTAAGGCCAGAGGTTGAATGAATCTCCAGCATCGCAAATGGCGGCTTGTGCGGATTCCGTGGGGCTGAGCACGTTGTTTTGTCGACCAAGCCTCTCCAAGACACCTGACAGGGAAAGTCGATTAATCCGAACCGAGATGTTCGCATTTTCTTGGTTGATAGGTTTGTAATCCATTCATCGAGTCGAGTGGCAGTGCCGGGATAAATCTTTGATGAATTGGCGGTTCCAGCGGTCTGGTAGTCAGATGCTTGCCCACCCACACGCGACACTTGACGGCGTGGAGTCGCCTCGTTCATTCGTCATCGGGGCTGGTGGGATCGTTTCATCCGATCAAGTTCAACCCTAAATAGGAATACCGGTCGTGGCTTCTGCCTTAAACAAGATGCATGAGTCCAACTCTGGCAAGGAGCGTCCGTGACTCAGTCCTAACCGAACGACGATGACAGAGAGGGTCTTCCAGGATCTGGTGATTTTCAACGTGTCGTTCAAGGGTTTCTTTCTCCAGGAGATCGTCGTCAGCCTTGGAAGAATCCAACCTCAATCCCGACGGATTTGGCAGAGATCAACTCCAAGGGCTGTAAAACTTTCGTCGATTCTGTTGAGGCAGGATTCGGCGCGACTTTCCATGTGCTGTAGCAGGAACAAATCCAAGGAAGGTAGGGTTGTCGTCGAGATAGACTGGCAAGCGTGCTGCTTACATGATCCCGCGCTAACCGAGAATGATGTGGGTCCCGCAGATCGTCGGGGTCCATTTTTCAGGTCGTGCCCTCAGCTGCGAGTTTATTTCTAACGTCTTCAACACTCTCAGACGTTCATCCATCTGGATGACGCTGTCTATCAAAGCCTAATAGCATCCGGAACTACGCTCTCGGGCTGACGACTATCTTCACCTGCATGAACTCAACCTCGAATTCGCCGTTCGTTCTCTGACGGCTGTCATGGCTAGTTACGTCTTCGTGCGAAAAGTCCCTTATCGACTGTCAATCTTCATGCGTCCCTGCGAAGAATCCGTGCGTGATTGCTTGCATCAAACTTACTGACAGCGACGTCTGCGGCATCTACCGGCAAAACCTCAGAAACGGCTGATGTCTCTCTGTACGGCTGATTGGGCGGCCTCAAGATATGCAACGGCCCGTTCGAGTTTGACAGGCCCTCGGGCGTTGAACGGAGGGGACGCAGCGCAGGAACACGAATAAGATACCGCCATCGCCGAACCAGGCGCCAACGGCAAGGCTTCATGCAGCCGCGCAAGTGTCCAACGCTGCTCTGGACTATCATCTCAGCAAATAACCTAGCGGGAAGCAACCCTCAGCATCACAGCATGGTGTTTAAGGATGTCGACAAGTTGGCGTCGCACGTCCTTTTGAAGCTGCTATGACTTCCATGAGGCCCAAGTTCCCGTCTGCAGACACTCAGCTAGCCAAGGCGGCCAGCTGGTCGGGGATATGCCGTCAGGCGGCCGGGACCACTGCAGTAAAGGGTCCCATGCCTTTACGACACGACATTTTCACTGCGCAGTCGACGATGAAGTAGTTTGTTGATCATTCTGTTTGTTGCAGCATACGACAAAGAACACGAGCGATTCAACTCAAATTTTGCAGTCAAAGCAATACTATTCGTCGTCTAAGTCCGATTGATCGCTCGTATGGGTGAGGCTGGCCCCGGCTAACAACAACGTTTGACAACCAAAACTTTGAGAGGTCTGTGGGAATACCATCGAGGATACTTGACTCAGAGAAGATTCTATCTCACTGTCAGACTGACTTGCCCCAACATTCTCGGCTGCGGGGATGCGCGTTCGACGACAAAGTTCTGACAAGTTTGACGTTTGGTTCCCACCCTCCTCCCCGCCAGAGATATTTGGGTTAGGCTTGCGTCTTGGCAACTCAGCTTGTTCCCGGGATTCGAATCAGCGACTGTCTTCTCATGAAATGAGGAAAGAGTAGAGGAACTGCACGAAACGATAGACAAGGCTGGTGTGCGATCTCAAAGTAAGCTTCCTCGTCAACGCCCGCAGCCTGCTCGTTCTCGTCAAAATATCGCCTTCTAGCCCTGTCGTTCTCTGCCGCAAGCCAGGGAGAGAGGAGTTTCGTCCACTCGGAGGCCACCCATCGGAGTTCGGAATCGGCCACACAGGCTGGTTCATTGCCGGTGTCATGCGGCTGAGTGGCCACGCTCTTGCAGGGAAGCCCTTCGTCAAAAGAGGACTCTCAAAATTTCTCAAGAATATTTCCCCGTCGTTGTATCACCAACCTGCGCTGCTCATTCTCTTCAGCTTTGCAAGAAATACCCAGGTTGCTATTTTTGTGCGGACCTTTGGACTCTCAGTGAACTAATAATCCCTGCAACAGCTCTCGGTTCAAAGGTGCTCATTATATGAGGAAATAGACCGATTGTTTCTCGGCCGAATCGCAATCCGGAGATAACATCAGAAACTCGGCTTATTACCCGCTCGAAGTTGTGATCCTTAATCTCGAACGTTATCCTGGTCTTTGATTGATTTAGCCAATCACTTTTACTGTCCAAAGCTGTTCGCTGATTATCTAGTACCACAACATCGCAGGCACCGGTGTTGAGTCCAACCAAACCAAGCTGCCCCGATGATTTACCCAGTATCAAAATTGCTGACATGTTTCAATGTTGAGAGAAACGGGTGTGGCCGGGTGAAATCGGGTTAGTCTGACAGGCTGAAATGGTTGGCCAGGAGCTGGAGAGTAATCGTCAGATGACAATGATGATCCTTCGTCATGGATGCTGCTTACTTGGTGCCAGCGTCGAAGTCGGGAGAATTTGCGTCGAAGCAGCGGACTAACGGTCGAATTATCTGTAATTTGGAGTCCGACAGTTGTCAAGACTCGTCAAGTTATCATCGATCTCATTCGCATTCGCTCAGGCAATGGCAAAGGTCCGGCGTTGAGTCCGGTGGTTGGCTAGTGCCAACACGACCTCCGGCTTGGACCCACAATAGCCCGACCGTCGGCACACTAGCCCGGTGCCCCTTCGGTGGAACCATTCGCCCGTTCAGTCCGTTGGGGAACGATTGGTCATTTCTAAGCCTTACCAGGAGTCTGGTTGAGCCGAATCCACTCCGGGATAAGGGTCCCTGGTCCCTCGGAGCTAATTCACTTCAATCCGGCCTGCTTCATGATGTGCGCAGCCGAGGAAGAAAACAAGCGGAGATTTATGCCCCGGGGAGGTGATTCATCATTGGGGTCATGAGAGGTTACGCCCGCTCTTGCGTCGCGAAGATGCCAATCAAAGCTCCTCCGGCGGGCTGACACCATGCGGAGCCGCAAGGCAGCACCCCATGTATGGTTGACCGTCGGAGGTGACGATGTGGGGGGCGTAATCTTTCTGTATACCCGATTTGGCGATTAAGAATCCCTCGGGATCGTTGAGGCCTGGATATAAGTCTCACGAACATCCGGTCACTGATTCACAGGTCTTTGGGATAACCACTGATCAACAAACACAATCGATCAACTAATACCGAAAGTTCTAGACAACCACCTTACACAAAGAAACACCTCGCCCAAGCAAATCGATCCTCCTCTGATCGCCTTTGAGCGTCATCGAAGCCTTCAAAATGTCTTCAGCAGAACCACCAGTAGTGGTCCTCGACAAACCAACAACACATATCGAAAAAGATGGCAAGGTCGTCTTCAAACCCTCCCGCGAGTTCCTCCTCGCCTTCGGCGCCCTCTGCACCATCGCCCTCGCCGTCGCCTTCGACGCAACGACCCTCTCCGTCGCCCTCCCAACGATGAGCTCAGAGCTCGGCGGCACCGCGCTGCAAGCCTTCTGGAGCGGAACGTCCTTCCTCCTGGCCTCGACCGTGCTCCAGCCCACAGTCGCCGGACTGAGCACCATCTTTGGTAGGAAATACCTCATCTACGTCTCGGCCCTCTTCTTCGCTGTGGGCTCCATCATCGGCGCCGTCGCCAACGACTTCACCGTCATCATTGCCGGACGCACCATCCAGGGCATCGGCGGCGGCGGCATCCTCGCCCTCTGCGAGGTCATCGTCACGGACCTCGTCCCGCTCGCCGTCCGCGGCCAGTGGTTCTCGCTGCTCTCCGCGGTCTGGTCCATCGGCACCGTCACGGGACCCCTGATCGGCGCCGGCTTCGCGCAGAACGTGACCTGGCGCTGGATCTTCTGGATCAACCTGCCCGTCGTCGCCCTCGGTGTCGTCATGATCTTCTTCTTCCTGAAGCAGGCCAAGGTGCCGGGCCACATCATGGCGAAGCTCGGCCGGTTCGACTGGCTTGGCAGTTTCCTATTCACCGCGGGCTCCACGAGTTTTCTCTTCGGCCTCTCCACGGGCGGCGTCATGTACGAGTGGAAATCCTTCAGAGTGCTTCTCCCGCTGATCCTCGGCATCTTCATCCTCGTCGTCTTCGGAGTCTGGGAGCTTAGGTTTGCGAAGGAGCCCATGATCGACAAGGGTATCTTCAACAACTGGACAATGATTGCGAACTACATCATGACGGTCTTTCACGGCATGATTCTCTGGTCCCTTCTTTATTTCCTCGGTAGGATACACCCCCTTTCTCCCCATATCGCCGGCAGTCACTAACAAGTTGCAGTTCTCTACTACCAGGCCGTTAAAGGCTACTCTCTCGTCATCTCCGCAGTCGCCGTCCTCCCCGAGACCCTGACCGTTGCCCCCGCCGCGATGGCCGTCGGCCTCGTCGCCGGCATCACGGGCCGCTACCGCTGGTCCATCTGGGCCGGCTGGGTCATCACCACACTCGGTGCCGGCCTCCTCTGCCTCATGCGGCCCGGCACCACGATCCCGGCCTGGGTCTGGCTCAACATCCCCATCGGGCTCGGCACTGGCATGCTGTTTCCGGCCATGGCACTCTCGATCCAGGCGGCGTGCGAGCCGGCCCTCAACGGCCAGGCCGCCGCCTTCTACTCCTTCCTGCGCACCTTCGGCCAGTCCGTCGGCGTCGCCGTCTCGGGCGTCATCTTCCAGAACGCCTTCCGCGAGCGTCTCGCCGACGTCCCAGACCTGGCCCACCTCGCCGACGAGTACTCCCGCGACGCCACCATCGTGGTCGAGATCATCAAGCAGATGCCGTCGGATAGCCTCAAGGCCGAACTGGTCACGGCGTACTGCGACGCGCTGAGGTCGATCTGGATCAGCCTGATCGCGTTTTCCGGGTTCTGTATGATCCTCAGCATCACCGTCAAGAGGTACAGTCTCGAGCAGGAGCATGTCACTCAGCAGGGACTGGTCACGAGCGAGGACACTGATAGAGAAGACTTGAGGGACGTGGAGAAGGGGAGGAAGAATGGCGAGTGAGGTCGAGCGGACGCATACGAATGTCGAAGGGGAGGAAGGGCGTTGCGAAGATGGGATTCACCACTCTAGACGATTTGATACCAGATGATGGCGTTTTCGGTTTTGGATTATGGCTGGGATATTTAGAATGAGGATAGATTTGATTGATACATCTCGCAGCCAGAGGCTATTTTATAATGGTGTCTTAAGATCATAATCAATAATGAAATACATATACAAGCATAGAGGCTGTAAGCTAAGACGTATGCGTTCACGATAACGTCACTTATGACCATACCAATTGGAAACTCGAGATCCCATCCGCTCTCCCATAGATAATCCACCGAGGGCATTATTAGATACTGTTCACTCCTCTATAGGCTACTTGGTCTACAAAGACTGCGGAACTTTGGCCATATTTGCTGAATTCAAGCAGTTTCAAAGAAAACCAAGCCCGCTTTCAGTTCAACACAGTTGCCCTCACTTCGCTATCTCAGTCAGCTCAGCAAGCACCCTCTTCCCATCGCGAACCTGCACATTCGCCAGAATGAGACTCGAAGACTTGACGGCTTGATTCGTCTGCTTGTCCGTCAGGGTGAAAAGCGACATGTGGGCCACGCAGCCGGCGCCGGATCCGTCCGGGGCGTCCCAGGCTTGGATCTCGTCGTTCGACTGGATGCTCATCGAATCCTTCATCCGGCCCTGCGTGATGGCGTCGAGAAATTGGTCGTACGTGAAGCGACTGTGGTTGTATCTGGGGGCGGCGCAGTGTTAGTAGGTGTATGCGTGTAAGTAAGGAAATCCGAGCCTGCATACCTGACGAGTAAATCGGGGGCGATGTACTCCGTGAAGACTTCCTTGGAAAGCGCGTCGTCGGGTTGGAAGAATATCTTTTTGAAGAGCTCGTCTACCCAGTCACCAAGGGAGACCGAGTTGGAGTTCAGTTGAATTTCAGACATATTTCTAAGACTTCTTGTGAGTTTTCGCGCCGTCAGCCACCTGGTTATTCATACTGGACTCACTTGGAAGTTGATATCCGTGGTGGCGTATGAGAAGAATCTTGATTTTGAATTCTCAGTAAGGATGAACTTAATGGAAGAAGTAGAACAATCAGATATATATATGCAAAAACCTTACACCAAAATGTCAGAACAAATACATCTCATCATCTTCCGTTCGGCCTTCTCTGTATCGCAGCGAGCACTTACACGCGGAACTCCGCCTCGAATCCCGCTCTTGCAGGGCCCCACTTGGCTCCGACAACACTGGGCTGGTGAGCCTGCGGAAATCGATTAGTCAACCTCCACCCTCCATCACTCTTCAAATCCCTGTGAATCCAGAGGCTGCTCGTTGCTTCAAAGTCAACAACCCTTTTATTTTCAATTTGTATGCGGAGATATGATCTCTTCGCGGCGGAAGTCATGCATCAATTGCGTGAAGGCGAAGAGGCGGTGCGACCTCGGCTTGCCGGCCTGCCGACGATGCGCAACCAGACCCTCCAAGTGCGTCTACCCTTGGGCTGAGACCTATCAACAGAGCGCTTCGATGCTAGACACAAGCACTTTTGAGCTTGAGATTGAAGATGACACGCCCTCCGATCGCAACATCTCAGATCTGCAAGCTCTCTCAGAGCCCCAGCTGTTGAGTGAGAATGGCGTGTCAGCACCAGCTACAATCCCACCGGTTTTACAGCCACTATCACCAGGGATGTCGTCTTTGATAGACGAAGTCTTTCAGTCGGGTGGAACAAGTCTGTTCTCTCTAGAACCGGGAATTTCAGCGGGCACGCCCGGTACCGTTCAGCAAATGCTGCCGGCAACCGAGTTGGACTTGAACTCTGGCCCTATTACCACAGGAAGCGTCTTTCAAGAGCGGAGCGAGTATGCCGCTCGTCGATTGAGATTACAACCCCGCACACTCGTCGATACTGGTCAGACAGCTTTCATACATTCCACTCAAGTCGCCGCTTCCACGGCCCTTCAAGAAGCACTCGCTGCCAGCGCGCTTCACGCCATGAAAAGTGGAACAAACATGCAGCTCTTGAACTCCGAAATTGACCGGCGAGCCGCTATTCTCATCGCCACAGTTGAATCAGACATGTCCAGCCAGCCGGCCGCGGAAATCGACTTGCTCGCTCCAGCACAAGCACTGCTGATTTACCAATGCATTCGTCTCTTTTCGTCGAATATTCGCCAGCAGGCCCAAGCCGAACGTGACGAACGTTATTTGCTGTCATGGGTCGGTCGATTGCGAGAGCAACTCCGTCCGTTTGGATTCTCTGACGACTGGTGTGGTTGGGTGAGAGAGGAGAGCGTCCGGCGCACGGTGTTGACGGCCGAGGTGGTTTGCGGAACCTATGCGTTTCTCAAACAGGGTTGGGATAGTTCGGAGGCGGGAGTCATGAGCTTGGGATTCACGGCTCAAGCAGCTTTGTGGGAAGCGCTATCCGCAGCCGAATGGCGGGCTGCCTTTTCGCGAGGTCCCAAGATCGAGGTCACGATGAAGAATTGGGATAGGGACATGATACCAGCGACACCTGATAGCGCCGAGGAACTGGGTATAATCATAAGGGCAATGTATTCAGGTCTAGAGCCCTTGGAAGAATGGCTGAAATGGGATAAGCCCAGTTTATTGAAATGGGGGTTGAGGTCATGATATATTAATCTCGTACCAAAGTTCAACGTCGCTCGTACACATACTCATCTCAATTGAATCTTGCGCTGCAGAGAGATGCCAATCTACTAGGTATATAACAAACGGGGTCCAGTTACCGTATTTTAGCGTCTACAGGCACCCATGAGGATGGGTTAGTCAGCGCTTGAGTTGATTAACGAGCCAACAGCGCAAACTCGCTCAAGCCAAGAATACCAACGTACAGCATCTCGTCTCTCCATCTTTCCAGGCGCCTTCCATGGCGGCTGCTTTACCCGCCCTACCCACCATGGGGTCTGCATCCATCATCGACTCCATCGCCACCTCGCCCTTCGAGATATCCGATCTCATCTTCTCTCACCTTGATAACTGCGACCTCAAAGCCCTGCGGTTAACCTGCAAAAGGCTTGCGAAACTCGCCCGTCCTCGCTTCAAGCGCGTTTTCATATCCGCCAGTCCCCTGAACGTGGACGTGTTCCGCGCCGTCGCGGAACATGATACTTTCCGCCACGACGTCCGCGAGATAGTCTGGGACGATGCCCGCTACGAGAAGCCGCCACCTCCAGACCTGAGATTCCGGGACGGGTACCAAGACTTGGATGATGATTCCGACGACTCAGAGGATGACGATGATGAAGGCGGCCGCAGAGAGAAGTTCCCATTTGGCGTTCGGCCCTGGTATGTCAGACACTGCAAAGACAACATTGAGTACTTGGAGTATAGACAACAATACGATGTCGCAACCTTGCCTCAGCATCTCGAGACCTCGAAACAGCTTCTAGCCCAGCTGCCTCTCGAAGTCGCCTACGCTCACTATCAGGACCTCCTTGCACAACAAGACCAAGTGCTTTCTACATCAGCCGATGTAGCCGCTTTCGAGTGGGCTTTAGAAAAGGACAGATTCCCCAACCTGAAGAGGATTACCCTTACCCCTGCTGCACACGGTATTCTTTTCAAGCCACTATATCCAACGCCTGCTATTCGCGCTCTTCCGTACGGCTTCAACTGCCCGCTTCCTCGTGGCTGGCCAGCTGGTCAAGCGGAAAACAGAGAACCCGTTGGGGATTGGGACGGTGAGGATTACAAGAGCAACTGGCGTGGTTTCCGCCGTATTATCAGCATTCTCGCTCGGCAGGAGACCACAAAGATCCCGGAGCTGGTTTTCGACGGTAACCAGGTCTGGTCTGGGCTCACGAGTTGCATTTTCCGCGCACCGGAGCCGTGTGTCGAGTATGATAATCTCGTTTCTGTAATCAAGAAGCCAGGTTTTACGACACTCATCCTCAACCTCATGGTGACCCCGCAAGAAGACAACAACTACCTTGCTTTCCGCACCGGGCGTCTGAGAAAGGCTCTGGAGGCTGATTTGCGACACTTTTCCTTGGAGACCGACGAAGAAGGTAGCCATGAAGACTCGCCGGTTCCCTCGCATTGGGTGTTGGATCACTTTATCCCCTTGCGATCCATTTTCCCCGTCGAGGCGTGGAAAAACTTGGCGCACTTTGGGCTGTCGCGCTTTCTCGTCCAGCAGCAGGATTTGCTTGATTTTCTGTCGGCACTGCCGCAAACCCTGCAATCGGTGGAACTCAGCTTTATATGGTTCATGAATCACCATGGCAACTATAGAGAGCTGCTCTTTGGTATTCGTGACGACTTGGGCTGGCAGAAACGAATCGTGAGGCCTCGCCTGCTCATTAGAGATCACCCTTATGTCATGTTGGCAGGGCGCGCCGTCTGGCTCGAAGATGAGTTGCAACAGTTCCTCTACCATGATGGCGAGAACCCGTACCCGGTTCCTTCACTGCGGGGAATGGTGGTGAGGCCAGGTGATGGTCCTCTGCGTCCGACCCTGGGGTATGGATTCGGGAAGGAGAAGGACGCGTTCGAGCCTAGATTCGAACGACCCTTCGAGTCAGAGGATAAGCTTATTCATGCGGGAATTCTCAGAGATTGGACGGCGGAGTATCCGTAATGTTGTTGACTTATTACGACTAGAAGCTGACGAATAACTAGTTATTCGATCAACGCGTGTAGAAATCTGGAAATATTTCCCCGGGCCGGAGTCGGAAGCTCTGCAGCCAGGACCTCGTCCAAACCTTCAGTCATGTCAATATCACCAGGTTCTCTCAACCAACTATCTTGACGACAACAAATTCGATGGCCCACGTATATCGCCGAGAACACTGGAATACTAATGTAGGCGGTCAAAAAGCCCCCCACCGACCACTGACCTGGGAGGAACATCTGAAAGCCATTGATGAGCATCAAGAAAACAGCACCAATAGTGCCCGCCCACATGCCCCAAGGTTGTACGCGTGACCGATATGGCGATTCAATTCCGTGGAACTGGATTGCCTTCTGATACCTGAAGTAAATCACCCCACAGCAGATCCAGCTAATGAAGCCGGCCGAGTTGGTGATGTTGATGAGCCAGTTGAACACAGTGAGACTGGTGTTTGACAGGCTGAGATATGCGAGGGGGCTGAAAGCGGCGCTGGCGGCGACGGCGAAGTAAGGTAAACCATAGTTGTTGCATCTCTTGAACACGGCCGGAGCGTTGCCGGCGATCGCGAGGGAGTAGAGGTTTCTCGACGTAGAATACAAGAACGCGTTCCCTGCGGTACACGCCGAGAGGAGGATCAACGCGTTGACGATGCTGTCCAACACGGGTATACCGGCGTTTCGGATTGCGATGACGAAAGGCGAGCTGGCGGTTCCGGAAACGCTCAGTCTCGGATCGTTCGAGGGACAGACGACTCCGATCCCGATGATGGTCGGCATGAAGAGGATGATTAGACGCCAGATGTAACGTCTCGCGGCTCGTGGTAAGTTTAGTCTCGGAGACTGCATCTCCCCGGCTGTGACGATGAGCTGCTCCGGGCACAGGACGAAGGCGAATGACGCCAAGATGAAGGACTGCAGCAGAGCAATAAAGCGACCAGCGTCTCCTTCTTCGATATAGGTGTTGACGGGGCCGGGATCTTTCCAATACCGGAACCCGAGTCTGTCATGGTTCGGGCCTCCTCCAAAAAATAGGACAATCGAGAGGAAGATGAGGCCGAGAATCAGAATGACCTTCATCCCTGCACTCCAGAATTCGGCTTCCCCGAAGAAGCGGACCGGAAGCAAGTTGAGCAGGACGATGATAACAAGAATAACAGTGATCCAAATGGCTGGGTTGACGGGGGAATTCCAATAGCCGATCAAGAGCGTCGAGGCAACAAGCTCATAGGGCACTAAGATCCCGAGAGAGTACCAGTAGAGATAACCCATGGCAAAGCCGAGGCTGCGGGAGACGTATTTGTTTCCATAGTAGCTCATGGTTCCTCCGGGTACGGGCAGATAGGTTGCCACCTCTGCGATGCCGGTCACAATGCCGTAGACCAATATAGAAAGGACGCCGTACGAGACCAAGAGGAATGCCGGGCCACCAACACGTAGGACTTGGGCTGTGCCCAGGAAAAGAGAGGTCCCGATAGCGCCGCCGATGGCGATCATTTGTGAATGACGGGGTTTGAACCCGCGATGGGTTGCCTCGGTTCTCTCTTGCTCCTGGGCGCCATCTTGGATGCTCTCCGCATCGCCAGGCTCATCTTCGCGTTTCTCGGGCTGTGAGGCACTGTTGTCATTGGGAGTCTTGAGGGTGTCCACCCCCAATGTCGTTGCCATCGTTTGCGGATGAGTAGAGATGAATGTAGGAAGATAGGAGACTACTGGGTGACAGGAAGAGTAGGAATCGATGAGTAGGCGTACAAAATGAAGCTCTCAGGGCGTCGGGCAGTTGTGACATCAGGAGTTGAAGGTTCAGTCGGTGGGATGATGGCCTTAAATCATGTCTTGCGAGTATGCCTTCCGGGAGTGTGCAGATAAGGTGCAGGTCAAGACTGACATAAACCAAAAGATGACTTCGTCATTGGATCACGAGCTAAGTCCAAAACGTCAACCGCCATCAACTACAGCTCCCTCTTCGTTCCTCTAAATCAAATGATAGGCGGAACGACTGGGATTGACTTGTGTGAATTGCTCGAACTACCCCGACTTACCATTGATACGCTTCCCATGACTCGAATTCAAAACATCCGGAGTCCAAGATCGCGGGGGAAATCTCACTTCCTTTGATGCCAGCCTAGCTTGCATACCGGCATCCGAGAATGAACGAATCTAAACTTCATACATCCGAACCCCGAGCTGACGACAATCCCGATATATCTCCATTCTTTCCATGATGGAGATTACATATCAGCATATATCAAATCGAGGATTGGTGGGCGCCAACGGCGGCTGCGCAGGGGTCCTCGACCTAAGCTGTTACAGTTGTGATAAGCAGTTCCCAGGTTGCATCAGTATTATTACTCAACCATGGTGGTCGGCGGTCTCTTTCAGATTAATAGAGTCATCTAAGGAAATCGTACATTGGCACAAATAACAAAGTTCACAAAGTCTGTGAGGTCTTTAATGTGGCACCGTCTTCTTATCCTTCTATATCGACCGCGTTTATCAAACAGACAAACCTCGAGATCACAACGAGGCAACTTTGCAACATGGCTCATCCCTTTGTTACGGACTCTAACATCTTACACCGTACCTTTTCCGGACGTCCAGAGAGAGTGGTCTCGGCCTCCGGGGTAACCCTCTTCCTCGACTCGGGACGCGAGGTTCTCGATGCCTCCGCCGGCCCGGCGGTTTCCTGTCTGGGCCACGGGCGCGACGAAGTCGCCGAAGCGATCTCTAAGCAAATACGCCAGCTAGCCTACCTCTACTCCGGTGCCCAGTTCACCTGCGACGCAACCGAGAAACTGGCCTCTCTTCTCCTCGAAAGCCGGCCAGGCGGCCTGTCGAAAGCCATCTTCGTCAACTCTGGCAGCGAGGCAACCGATGCCGCCATCAAACTCGCCACGCAGTACTGGCACGAAAGGGGCCTGCCCCAAAAGACACACTTCATTGCGCGGAAACAGAGCTACCACGGAAACACCATCGGTGCTCTCTGCGTCTCTGGGCACTCGTCACGCAGGGCATTGTACGGGGACTGGCTTTCGAACAATGTTAGCTTCGTGGACCCGTGCTACGCCTATCGTCTCAAGGGCGATGGGGAGACCGATGAAGAGTACGTGCTCCGTCTCGCAGATCAGCTCGAAAACCAGGTCCTTCGCGTCGGCCCCGAGAACGTAGCTGCGTTCATCGCGGAGACCGTTAGCGGGACTACGCTTGGTTGTTTGCCCGCAGTGCCGGGCTACTTCAAGGCTGTACGGGAGATCTGTGACAAGTACGATATACTGCTCATCTTAGACGAGGTGTGTGTGAATCCGATCATCTTCAGTAGATTGGGCATTAACGAGATTTGGACATAGATCATGTGCGGTATGGGTAAGACAGGCACGATGCATGCTTGGGAGCAAGAGAGAATCTCAGGCCCAGACATCCAGACTGTTGGTAAAGCCCTCGGCGGAGGATTCATTCCCCTGTCGGGCGTCTTTCTCCGTGACAAGGTCTTCGAAGCTCTGGCTTCAGGCTCAGGCGGATTGGCCCACGGCCACACCTTCCAGGTGAGCTTCTCTAGCGTCTCTCCTTTGTATCTTCACTTGAAGCGTTAACTGACCTTGAAATGCGCCATCCAAGGCACATCCTGTAGCATGTGCTTCAGCGATCGAAGTTCAACGAATCATACGGGACGAGAATCTGCTTCAAAATGTGGCCGACATGGGAGCTGTATTGGAGAGACTTCTGAACGCCGAGCTTGGTCCACTTCGACCAGTGGCGGATATCCGGGGACGCGGTCTGTTCTGGGCCGTCGAGTTCATGAAGGACAAGGAAAAGAAGATACCCTTCTCTCCAGAGGCCCAGTTCTGCAAGCGGGTGGTCGACCGGGCGTTGGCGCTGGGGCTAAACATTCTGGGGAACTTGGGGACGACTGGGGAGGTTCACGTGGAGCATGTAATCATGTCGCCGCCGTATGTTGTGACTGAGGGTGAGTTGCGGCGAATGGTTGACATCCTGAAGAATGCAGTTCAAGATGTTAGTCGGGACTTTTTCGAGCCTGACCAGCCACGACTGTAGTTTCCATAGCATCGGCACCAATATAGGTAGCAACAATAAGCCAAGCTCCTGAAATGACATATTTCATGTTGTCGCTAAATGTCTTCTTTTGATGGGTCGACTTACCAGCCCGAGACTACATTATGTGATGAATTACGTGAATGGAATGAAACAATCTACGTGCACACAAGCATCATCCACAACGTAGACGCAAGTAGGCGACAAAAGTTTTGTCACACAGCACCAATGACAAGTTGCCCCTCAACCGACTGCATCAATTTGGGCGATTTCTGATAGAGAACTGTCTATTGGGGTTCGGTTCTAAGGCGCATCTGTCTTGTGTCGACTACTTACATGAGAGCCGGCATACCCCTGAGTTCCCAACTTGGCTCCGGTCGTACCCACCCCGCCGTTGGCGCCGTACCTCAACTCCTTATCAGCACGTACAACGCCCTCGTCGACCCTCTTCAACCAAACTCTCCCGCATCACGACCGCCCATAGCGCCGAGTATCCCCAAATTTCATCAACAAATCGTTGTTTCGCCTGACTGTTCATACAGCAAAACCGTTAACTCGCTCATCACCATGAGACCGGGGTCCAAGAAAGGTGGATACACGCGCCAAAGACGCGGGTGCGTGACATGCCGACAGAGGTAAGAACCCATCATGCCTCACTTCGTGATCAGCCACGGCTCACAAATGCAAGGAAGAAGAAATGTGACCAGGCATACCCGATATGCGGGCACTGCTCACGTCTGAATCTGATCTGCAAGAGAGAGACTCCACGACCGCTCAAACCCTCTTCCCCCTCCTCCCTGTCCCCCGAAAACCCGGGGAGGACCGACGCAGAGAACTCTGTCATTTGTCTTTGTCGTTCACACAAAGAGGTTGTCCGCATCGCCCAATTATGCAAGCCTTTGGACTTTGTCTCAGCTGGTAATCCCGGTGATGCAGAGCCCGCCAATTTGGTCGCCAGCAGGCGATCCATGCTGCGCTATTACACGGTTACTCTGGCATTTCTTCTCACGACGAATCTAGAGAACAACTGCTTCCTATCAGGTTCGTGAGCCTGATCGGCTGTGGGGTCGACGTTTCCATCCCTGACATGTAATACTAGTTCTCATGCCGATGGCCTTCGAGTGCCAACCTCTCATGTACGCCCTCGCAGCGTCGGCATCTTCGCACTTGGCATTACGGTCTCACGATTTCAAAGACGTAGCCCTGCAACACCGGGGCCTGGCCTTGAACAAGCTCAACGCGGCGATGCGGGACTCCGAGCTATCGCCGGAAATGTGTCTCGCCGTGACCATGGTCCTGTGCTCGATGGAGTCGATATCGGACCCGACAGACATCTGGTATCATCATCTCGCGGGTGCCGCAGCCGCCCTGAAAGCCGAACCGTGTAGCCAGACCCTAGACCCCGGGACGGAGGCCACGTGTCTGTCGTCTCCCGAGGGCAAGTGGCTTCTTCGGAACTTTGCCTATCATGACGTGCTAATGAGCGTCTCCATGGACTGTCGACCGTTTCTGCTCGGAGATTATTGGATGTCGGAGGACGACTCCTTTGCGGATCCGTACTTTGGGTTCGCTTCGCGGGTGCTGTTCCTGATATCGGAGACTAGTGCTCTCAACGCTGATTTCGTCGAGGCCGGGCAGGCATCTGGCGGAGATCCCACTCAACCATCCTTCTCAGACCGCGCTCGGGTTCTCGAGAGCGAAATCCTCGCTTGGGGCTGTCCCTCAGAAGATGAAGGCTCGCCATACCTGACTCAACTGGGCGAGGCCTACCGTCACGCGGCACTCGTCTACCTGTACCGCACGATCCGTCGGCACGTCCCCGGCTATTCCGACGTTCTGGAGGCGAAGATCCAGGGGTGCGTTGACAGGATCTGCCACCTCGCCGAGGACATGCCCGAGGGTTGCCTGGCCGAGTGCACGCTTGTCTTCCCGCTGTTCATCGCGGGCGGGGAAGCGCGGGCCACGGCTCACGTCGAGGCCATCCGAGACCGACTTGGGACGATTGTGGGGTTGCGTAAGTTCCGGAACGTCGAGGCTTGCGTTGATGTCCTCGACGAGGTGTGGAGGTTGCGGGTCTCTGGGTCGCGGAGTGCTGGCCGGGACCGGGTTGACTGGCTGGATGTCGTCAAGCATCGGGGGTGGAAGCTGGCTATTACCTGACGCGCCGACATTCATGTAAATCTCATAATGCCGCACAAAAGTCGAGGAGATGAAGAGGTGTAACCTTGCCTGTCCGAGATAAACCCGATGGGATTCGAGGATCTTGGATATGGGTGTATGCCGCCGTTAGCGCCGGGCAGAGATGGACAGGCATTGAGCTTTGTAACATGGTGCTCTCAGATGGAGTACAGCTCAACAAGACCATCTCACGCAGTTTTGACTGATATTTATTGCGTGAAGCACGCGATATAGGCAGCCTTTCTCTCGTACTGAACAACACACTTCTCCAAGTCATTCTACTTCAACCACCATTTCCTCGAATTCAACATCCCCAAAACCAGTCTTCAACCCAACATGTCCACGGAAACAGTCACGCACACCCTGCCAACGACACCCGCCTCAGACCCAAAGGCAGAACCCCGCCTCGACCAAGCCGCCGTACCCTACCGCGGCCCCCGCCTCCCCGCGGTCCCAGACGACCTCGTCATCCCGGGCATATTCGACATCGAATGCGACGAACGCCTCTGGGTCCCGCAGGCGCCCGGGGTCTGGTTCCGACCGCTCCTGTTCTCGGTCTCGGGGGGCTACTTCGTCAACATCCTCCGCGTGCGCCGCTCCGGCATCCTCTCGCGCCACCGCCACGCCGGCGCCGTGCACGCGACGGTCCTAAAGGGCCGGTGGCACTACCTCGAGCACCTGTGGTGGGCCACCGAGGGGGGCTACGCGTACGAGCCGCCCGGCGATATCCACACGCTCGAGGTGCCGGAGGACGTCGGGGAGATGGTCACCATGTTCCATGTGACGGGGGCGTATATCTATGTTGATCCGGACGGGGTGCCTGTCGGTGTGGAGGATGTGTTCAGTAAGCTCGACAAGGCCAGGAAGCATTACGAGGAGGTCGGGCTGGGGGCGGCGTTTGCTGACCAGTTTGTGCGCTGATGAAGACGGCTTGTCTTTTTAAGAGAGAATCGAATTGAAGTTGACTCATATTGAAGTGAACCCCATCTGGTGAAATGACCATGGATTCCTAGTTCTATGCGGTCCAAGCTATATGTAGCCCCTGTAAAGAAACTCAGAACATATAAAAACTACTTAAGTGTATTAAGCGTCAAGGTTGACCATACATTTTGCTTTCTTCTAGCCTATGTCTGGCATCGTTATCGTCGCTGGGGGTATCGTTGTTGAAAACAACTACTTTCGGGCTGTAATCAATATAACCATACTTGTTATGCTACCAGCAGCTGTAGGTATGTCACACAGTCGAACGCTGTCAATATAAGTGAATTTTTACTACATAAACCTGCTTCTGCGCTGGTTCAAGCCCGAAGACTCCTCGCTGTTCAACACAACATAAGACTGAGACTTCCAAAACAGCAATTCCAATACGAAAGCCATACCCTTCCGAGATACCGAATGATACTTGCCGAGTTCAATCAACGTCGAGTAACCCATACTCGCCGCACTCATCCGACCACGAGTAGCCCTCGTCACCCGGCCGCCGAGAAAACCTCACCACTGCGTCGACGACATCCGAAAGCGCAAACTCGTCGCTGTGCTGGTCGCTGTCAAGAACCCTTACTTCAAAAGCTCTGCTCCATCTCTCCGCTCGTCGGCTGGCGGCGGATCCTCTCTCGAATAGGGCGTTGACCGTGTCCGAACTCGTCTCCGCGTCTGAACTCGTCTCCGCGTCCGAACTCGTCTCCGCGTCTCCGTCTTTATGGTGCTTGTCGGCGGTGTCTTTGCTACCGCTGTTGTCTCTGCGCTGCCGTTTTGTCCTGACGGCGGCCGATTCGTCCTCGGACGAGCTCGGGATTGTTCGTTTTCTGTTCATCGTCTTTGACTTTTGCTCTTCAGCGCCCCCGTCGTCGTCTTTGCGGCTCTCCTCCTCGTGGGGCGATGAGCCTCTGAGCATCTTGACCCAGCTAAGATACTCCGAGTAGGATGGCTTTTTGCGCCAGCGGCGACGGTACCAAGAGTGGTGGTAGTCGCATTGCGCCAGTTTTTCGTAGACGCGGCTCTTCGGTTGGGTGGATGAACACCTGCAGCGGTAGTCTTGAACTAGGAGGTGGCACCCGCAGAGGGTGAAATGTATGTAGAGATTCTTGCACATGATGTGTGTTAGGTGAGGTACAGGTACAGTATCAATGCTGAGGCTGAGGCCGGGAATGGGATTAGACGGAGATGAGAATGGTGTGTGAGGGAGATGGGAGGGAGCGGACGTTGGTGGTGAAGATGCCATACGTGTAGATTTTTTGCACGGAATCTGGAAGGCGCGGCGGAGGACCATGTCACTACAAGAGGAAGGAGCGATGTGGTGATGTGGAAAGTATTTACGTCCCTGTTCCGCTTGGCTGAAAATGCTTCCAGATATCCATGCCTCAAAATAGTCAGCTCAGACTGCCTTCGTCACAACTCTGAAGAACTCATGCTAAAATATGAATGTGCTCATCCGACTTTCGGTTGTGAGGGGGTAGGCATGTTATACAGAAATTGAAACGTAAATCTCATGATATCCCAGCCCTATATCCAACTCGAATCCACCAAACCGCTCTAAATCGCCTGCTTAAATCAAATGTTCATTCAATCCCAAGCCTGTTTGGTTGGGTATTGTCGTCCCCCAACGCCAGAAATCGTGGGGCTCGCACCACGTGGTTCTTTCCATCTCTTTCTGTCATCCCGGGGCTCGCGGTCGCGAGGATCCCATGGAGGCTCTGCCCGTTCACGCATGCGGTCTACATCAGCGTGGCTGCTGGTCCGGCGTGTGTTGTCGGGTCGCACCAGGTGCGCCCGTTCTCGCCGCTTTCGAGCGTCGCGGTCTTCTTCTCTTTCCCAGTCTACCACGCGTTCGCGGTCGCGTTCTCTGTCGCGCTCGAGATCTCTATCTCTTTCTCTGTCGCGCCGGCGGTCCTTGTCTCTGCCACGGTCTCTTTCCCTCCTTTCCCTCTCTCTTTCTCTCTCCCTAAGCTCCCTCTCTTCCATTTCCTTGCGTTTTCTCATCAGATGACGCCGGCGACCTTCCTCTTCGGAATCTGAAGCTTCAGAACCATCCGGAGGGATATGATCAGGCCAACTGCGGTTCAGTTTTGACGTAGGCAGGTGCTCGCGGCTACGGCGTGATGATGGATCGCTGCGGCGACCCGAGGTACTCCGTTGACGGTCTGGTGATCGCCCGGTTGGGAGGATGGATGCGACCTTTTCGCTGATTTTCTCAACAATGGGGATGCTACGACGGCGCGGATCGTCAGGTCGAAGCTCTGTACGATGTAAACGAGCCCCAAGAGGTGGGACTGGAGCAGGCGCAGGCGCAGGAGGAGGTACGCGCCTGAAGCCTGGCGGAGGTGGCTCATTGGAATGGTGCGTATGGGGTCTGCGCTTGGATCTGGGGCTCCCTGGGTCATCCGAGTCTGACGAAGACGATGAGTAGTGACGAGGTTGGCTGTGCCGGCGTGGTTGTACAGGCGGCCTATTGGGGTGAAGGTGCTCCGATGCATGCATAGGCTCTGCGGAAGGTGATGGATAATCGGAAAAGCTCCGGCGCCTGTGATCGGGTGGTGAGTTGGGGCCCCGGTATCGATCTTGCTCGGGGGACCGAGCCGGGATGTTCAACCGCGTCGGAGGATAACGTCCGCCGTGGCCTTGTACATGGTTGTAAGCTACCGGGCGGCCGGGGCTTGCAAAGTAGTCGGGTTGAGGACCGCGGGGAGGCGGTGACGGCTTCGGGTAGGGGTTGCGAACGTGTACGTACGCAGCCTTCACCCTGGGCTCATCTCTATTTGGCGGCCAATTTGGGGACGGGGCTGCGGTCTTGGGCGAGGCAGCATCTTCTTTGGGAGCGGCGGCTTTCCTAAGCTTCTCCGCGCATTTCTTGTGCCAGGCGGAAATTTCAGGATCGGGTTCGGTAGGGAAGGCCTCAGTTGGCAGGTCTGGAGGGAAAGGCTCGTTCGTTTCCGGGTGCTTCAAGTTCCAGTGCTTGACGGCATACTGAATGAAGGGAACATGCTCCTCTGGGTCGAGCAGAATTTCGATGATCTCCCATCGTACGAAACCTCGTTGTGTCAAGGCGGGGACGGAAGGGGCGTCAAAGTCGTTGTCGGAGGGTTGCATGGAGTGTTGGCAGCCGGTGACCTGCCATATGTAAGAAATGGCGGGGTGGGGCATCTCGATAAAGAGGGCTTATGACGGCGCGTCAGCATAACATGTCTGCGCTGCGCGCAAAGGGCAGATGGTGTACTCACCATCGTAGTTTCCGCCGACAGCCCTGTAGAAGGCAGCCAGCTTTTGAGGAGTCAAGGCCTGGACATCTTTGTCGCCAACTTCTGTGATCTTTGGGTTGGCGGGGTACGTCAGTGACTGGGAACCGGAAGCGCAAAGTCAAAGCGGGGTGGAGGAAAGAGGCCGCTGCGGATGGGGAATGTGACGGCACGTACGATGTGATTTCCGATGGCACGCAGCAGAGCATCAAAGGTGGCTGTTGGACGCTTGTCCTGGTTGATCAGATAACCGTAAAATTTTGGAGATTTTTGATCTGAAGTAGTTGGTTTAGGCTGAGGCTGAGGCTGGGGTTGAGGTTGAGGTTGAGGTTGAGGTTGAGCCGTGGACTCTTTCGAGTCGGACTCTGTGGTCGCTGTCGCCATTCAGGGCCGGCCGGACTTTCCACATCAACAGTTTTTCGCGGACGGAAAAGGTCCCCAGGAATGCTGTGCGGAGATCGGACGAGGGAGCCAAATATACCGGTGATGGCTTTTCAAGTCGGCGCCGGCAGCAGCGTTTGGCGCGGCGAACGATGGCGGGCGGCCAGCTGGAGACAGCCCACGACCGAGAGGAGCGTGGCTTTGGAGCGAACAGGTTGTTGAATCGACTCGTTGGGTGAGGAGGACGGGAGGGAGGAACAAGCCGGGCTGTCGTTGAAGTGCGACCAGAGTTAAGGGTATCAGGTGTACTAATAACGGGAAGCTAGAGTATTTGCGCCTCAAATGCGGACTGCAATAAGGTCATCGTACGAGGGAGATGTAAGGCAGCAGCGGGATGAGGCCAACTTGAGGTAGGTAGGTAAGTCCAGTGAGTCAAGTGTGCGAGCGAGTGGGAGGCGCAGGCCGTTGACAATATGCGCATGCGCGAGCGATAGCAGGCGAGGATGAGTATGAGTATTGAGTATGCGCATGCGGGTGGATGCAACGATTAAAGGTGTGTCCGAAAAGTGAGAGACGGAAGGACGAGATGAGAGAGGGAGACGGAATGTTTTGGTCGCTGATAGGTAAGGTAGCTGCGGTGGGCTGGCAGGAGCTGATGATGTAACTGAAGTACTCGGACTGCAAGCGCAGGCGGGCTGGGTACCTGCACCTGCACTGGACCTGCACGTTTACCGCAAAGGTGAGAATCGGGTTGTGCAACTCCAAGATGGAGGTTGGAGGGGTCAATACGCAACAGCAACAGCAGCAGCAACAGCACACGATGGACATCGAGAAGGTCCATCAGCCATCAGGCAGAGACCAAGAACGGGTATCCGTCGGGACAGGGGCCACACAGGGACACAGGGACACAGGGCAGTGGCAGGTAAGAATAGAGCTCAAACAGGGAAAACGTTTGGTTCTGGGGCTGACACGTGCACCCCGGCCTTGCCTTGCCTTGCCTGCCTGCCTTACCCAGGTACTTTCCAAGTTGTACCTCCACCACCTAAACATTCCCAGACACAACATTTGCGATGCGATGCGATGCGATGCGATGCGACGAGATAGCACGAGATGCTTCCTCCCGTTCTCCGCCTTTCCATCCGACTCTCTGTCCGTCCTCCGGTTATGTCACTTCCAGCTGCACAGGGCTGACTCTCACCGGTTCCTCAACTCCCTGCTGTCCCCTCTGACTTGCATGCAGGACGTCCCATCCTCGATGCAGAGACTCGGATTCCCCAGTACATCACTGTCAGGTTGGGATGAACAGTGGATTTTCTGACAGGCAATCCTATCTTTTTCCCCGTCGACAACCTTCAACAAGAGATAGGGCAGGGCAACCTCGAGAATTCCAAGGCAGCCAGACCCAGGTCCTACTTCTTTCTACTCCAGCGATGCCATTCGAAGGCGATGGATGTCCAAAAGCCCCGATGCCCAGCCGGCCACCCGGGATGCAGCCTGAAAGTCTGCCCAGATGAGCCCTTCGCTGGAGACCACCTGCTGCGATGTGCCTTGTTGCGGGGGCTGGCAGCCGCTCAGCCGCCGGATTCCCTCCCACACCCACCAGACACAGAGGCAGAGGCAGAGGCAGCCCGACTAAGCCGACAGGTTGGAACTTGGAGCCACACGACGCGAGGAACTACCTGGAAACTACTGCGGCAGAGGCCACCAGCAGTGAGCCTAAACCTGGGAGACGTGTAAACTTTGCCCATCACGACCTTCAACCCAACCACCACCACCACCACCATCAATACGCAACCATCACCACACCAAGTACACAACGGCATCAGAGCGCGCTTCGACTTTCGCCCCATGCTCTCGATACGCGCCTGACGACCGGATGCTGCTCCGCGGTGCCTTGACTGTCTTGAGCACCGATGCCACCCCGCGATCCCGTCCGCGTCTTCCCCCGTCTCGTCCCAATCGTTGCGCCATCTGTGTATGATGCAGTCGCAGCCAAGCTTTGGAGACGGCCGAATCTGGCGGTGAGCAGACGACGATGTCAAGTTACGAACGAGGCTTGCAAGGACCCGGTGCTGTGCATTGCGCTTACTGCCATGTACCAACCCTACCATTATCCGACTTTATGGTATTTTGGAAACCACCCTATGATGCATGGCCTGCCAGCCGAACGTCTATCGGCATCTTTCTAATACTATCTTTATCCTACATGGATCTCGCCAGCATCCCCTGTCTACACGGGACGGCCGATGTCCTGCAACAATTCCATCGTCTCAACTTTCACTGGAATGCAGAGTACCAGAGCCCGACAGCGGCTCCCGCAATTGACAGAAAACTCCTTACAAAATTGAGCGTCTGCCACCTCGTGAGCAGCTCCTTGGTCTCGGACCATCCCAACGCCGTGACGCCTTGCGCACCAGCCATAAGCTTCTCGTTTGTTGTCGACATGAAGACAAAGGTGTACGGTACGATGGCGATGCTTAGCGCCCCGGCAACCACGAACGGCTTCCACGCCAGTCCGTGGCTGTACCGGTCATAAGCCGAGTAGACCAGCGACACGAAGGCAACGCCGGCGAGCTTGGGTCCCAGTGACTTGCCGCGCAAGAAGATATTTTGCCACAGCTTCAGCGCGTGAATGGGCTCTGCGCTGGTTTCCAGGGCTGCCGACATGCTAAAGATGGACAACGACTGTCCCGCGCCTGATCTAAATTTTAGTAAATGACTTTCAACGGCATCATCAGAGGCTCAGAGGTAAAATGACGAACCTGCCCACCACGCGCATCCAAGGATGCCAGTCGCCGTTGCGATGTTGTTGGCCAAGCCGAGTTGCGACATGTTGCTGTAGGGGCAGTGTGTGGCTGCCAAGTGGCTGAGATGAATCTGGCTTATTGATGATAGGGACTCCCGTTTTCTCACGAGATTTATATTGGATGAATGATTTTAATGCTCTAGGCTCTATACTCTATTCAGCGGTCCGGCCGAAACCCAATCCATTATATACAAGCTATTCGATGGACACGCGGATGTTACCATCGCCGACTCGACACCCGGAGAATCGCGGACGACAAAAAATGTCCGAGGCGTCTCCCGTCCCGTTGCCGCCCGCCGCCGAGTGCTCGACGGCTTTAAAAGGGTGGTCATGCGGTTGCCTAATCTTGCCCCAGAACCCTCAATCTCTTGATCGGCCACCGGTCATTAGCATCCCGGGCCGGTGTTCTGATGACGGAAAAGTCGGGCTTGTTCGGACAACTTGCAATCCCAAGTTTTAAGATGGCAGGCTGCATCCCCAACGTCATAAGCTGAACACCACCCCAAGCTGATTACTGCTTGGGCCGATGCATACTGTACCCGACGAGAACGATCGTCTGATTTTCTCCGTCTTGTTCCTCCCACACCTTGAACTTTTCGAACCCAATTTTCCGCAGCATTTTCTGGCTGGGTCCGTTATCCTCCGCCGTCACGGCCGTGATAAGCTCTTCGACGACGACATCATCGTCCCCTACGGTGCTCCTCTCAACGACGCTCGCCTTCTCGACGCTGATTTCACACTCGGAGCGGGGCAGAGACCACCAGGCCCCGAGAAACGCCAGCAGAAACTCCGTGCCGTACCCGCTGCCCCAAAAGTCCTCCAGGAGCATGTACCCGATTTCCGGCCAGCCCAGCTCGCCGCGGGGCTTTTTACACCCGCCGATGCCAATCCACTGGCCCGTCGACCGCAGGCAGATGGAGACGTTGAAGTTGCCAACGTCATGCGGCGGTAGGTCCTGCGCTAGCCTCGCCCGCGTCTCTTCCAGATCGGCGTCGATGCGTCCCGCGGCTGACCATTTCATCACGGAGGGCTGAGTGCGCAGCGCGTGCAGAGCCTGCAGGTCGTCCGGGGAGACGGGCCTCAGTATTAGTCGCTCCGTGACGACGGGCTCCCGGGAGGCGTGTGGTGGTAGCGGTATTGTTGGCAGAGTCGTTTTGACCGTGGCGAAGCTTAGAGGTTCGACGTCCATGATGAACTGGCTTTTTTCTTGGCGTTGGTTCACTAGTCGTGTCTTTCGTCCTAGTCAACGGGCAACCCGATTCAGGTGAGTTCTGAGGTAAGCTGTTGCTCGGATTTCCGGATAGTGAGACTTCTTTGTTTCAGTCTCTTTGAAGATGCAGTCTATGATTATCCAAGATTTTATAGTCAGCCGAGATTGACTCATTCTCGGGTCAATTTCTATCAGTGAGTAAGTCCTTAGTGCACGATTGAGATAGCGAGGCCTTCGGCATTTTCGCGCTTTACTGCTAGCGCTCATCGCGAGCCATGAAACGAGGGGCTCAGCTCCGCAATATGACTGGGACTACCAGGCCTGATGACTGTCCCGACTGCCCTTCTCTCCTCCAAACCCCTCCTGCTTCTCACCCCGTTCCGAGCTGAGCGTCCTCTCCGGCCGGAATCCCACATGCACCGCACCACTCACCCGGAACCTGGGACATCATCCAAGTGAGGTACGGATACGGACCCTGGGCGAGGAGAGACATCGGGTCTCCGAGACAGACACCTTTAAGCTTTCCCCGACCGGCTCTCGAAGTGGAGATCTCGGCCGTCTAAGGAATTTTGACCATTGCCGAATGCAACAAGTCGATCTCCATTCTTCTAGGCCACAGCAATCCTGCACACATATCTCCCAACTCATCGCCAAGAAAATCTCAACGACACATCTTCCTCTTCATGAGCGTCCTGGATTGATGCTCATCTTCAACGGCCTCTCGTCCAGTCAAATCGGCGCCGCATAAGCCCCTGCTCTCAATGCCTTGGGCCAAAACCACCCGGGCTTACTACTACTACCTACACCCATCTCACTCAACTGCTCACTACGAAACCAGACCCGACTAGCGACACGCTCACACACACACACACACATCACATCACATACGTCAGCACGTCTCACAAAGCCCTCAGAAACGATGACACCACCGGCATCAGGCTCATCGGCGGCCAAACCCCAACAACCAGATCAAGGCGGCAAACAACCCCTCAGCTGCGCCAACTGCAGGCACCGCAAGATCAAGTGCGACAAGGTCCAGCCGCGATGCACGCAGTGTGAGCGCGCCGACCTCGACTGCGTCTTCCCCTCGCGCAAGCGCAACCGGAAGCCCCGCCAGGGCCGCCAGAGCGAGCTCCTCAACCGCATCACGCGCCTCGAGAGCATCGTCTCAAAGGTCGACTCCGGAAACCTCGACAGTAAAGATGGCGCCGCCGCCGCCGCCGCCTCCTCTGGGGCCGTTGCCGCCGCGACGGCCGCCGCCGCCCGGGTCTCCGCCGCCCGCGGGAGGAGCAGCTCCGCGGCGCCCAGCGACTCGGAGCCGTCTGAGCCCGCCGCCCCGGGGTGGGACCAGCCCGCGCCGGCGGCGAATCTGATGAGCGCCGAGTTCTGGGAGAACCTCTGCCAGGAGGTCGAGGGCATGAGGCAGGCGCTGGACCAGCCCTCGGACGGCGACGAGTCGTCCGAGGACGAGGCGCCCACGACGAGCCCCGAGAGCTCCACCAACAAGGGGCTCACCCCGCCGGCGCTGTCCGGGCTGATCTCGAGCAGCGGCGTCCTGAGCAGCACCGACAACGAGCTGAAGCACCCCCCGCGCGAGCACATTTTGTATATGTGCCGGGTCTTTTTTGAGAATGTCGATCCCGCGTTCAAGGTCCTGCATCGGCCGACGACGTCGGCTGAGCTGGAGGCTTTTGCGAATTCGTCCACTAGACGAATCGACGATGCTACGGAAGCGTTGTTCTTTTCGATGTATTTTGGAGCTATTACGAGTCTATCTAATGCGGCATGTTTGAAGAATCTAGGCGAGGAGAGGAGTATTCTCGCTCAGCGATATAGGGACGGCGTCGAGAGGGCGCTTCACAAGGCGGATTACCTTAACAGCACCGAGATCAAAACCCTCCAAGCGCTCACATTCTACGTCGTAAGTCAAACTACCCTTTCGAATTCGAAATCAAAACCTGACCAAAGGCAGTGCTTCCTCCGCACCCACAACGCGTCCCGCGCCACCTGGGCCCTGATCCCGCTGGTCGTCCGCCTAGCCCAGGCCCTGCACCTCCACCGCGACGGCGTCTCGCCCCCGCTCCCGCCCTTCGAGGCCGAGATGCGCCGCCGGCTGTGGTGGATGATCGTGGTCCTCGACATCCGCGCCGCCGAGGACCGCGGCACCGACGCCGCCATCGCCCGCCAGTCCTACAACACCCGGCTCCCCTTCAACCTCGACGACGGCGACTTCGGCCCCTCCACGACCGCCCCGCTCGAGGACAGGACCGGCCCGACCGAGATGACCTTCTGCCTCTGCACGTCCATGAGCTCCGGCATCTTCGGCAACCTCCGGCCCCGGCACCCGCAGCTCGCGCTGGACCACGACGGCACCCCGGAGCCGACGACGAGCGAGGACGAGATCATGGCCCACGCGCAGAGGCTCGAGGCGCTGTTCGGGACGGCGCCGCCCAAGACGACACCCAAGGACGGCAGCGGCGGCGGCAGTGGCGGAACGGCCGAGGCGGAGGACGCGTCGCACCTGCCGGCGAACCACGCGGCGGTGACGGTGCGGATCATCATCCTGAAGATGTGGCTGTCGGCGCAGTACCCGTTCACGCCGCGGGCGGCGGCGGCGGCGGCGAAGCCGCGCGTGGCGAGGGAGACGATGCTGCGGACGGCGGTGAACACGATCGAGCTGGTCGAGTTCAGCACGAGCACGTACCGGGAGCGGTTCGGGTGGTGGATCGACAGCTACGTGCAGTGGCATCCGCTCGCGGTGGCGCTGGCGGAGCTGTGCGTGCAGACGAGGGGGGAGCTGGTGGAGCGGGCGTGGAAGGTGGTGGACAGGAACTTCTCGGAGATGGGGGCGAGGATCGCGGACACGAGGAGGGGCACGCTCTGGCGGCCGCTGAAGAAGTTGCTCAGGAAGGCGAGGGCTGCGCGGGCGAATGCTCTGATGGGGGATTTGAAGATTGGTGCCGGACCCGTGGGCAGTGCTGCTGCTGGTGCTGCTGGAGCGGTAGGCGGTGCGGCTGCCAGACCGGCGCCGGGACCGAGACCAGCTCCCACTGCCGGGAAGATAGAGGAAGAGGAGGATGACGATGAGGATGACGAGGATGAGGACGGGGAGGGAGATATGGACGTCGATGTTGAGGCTGTCGAGAATCGCCAAGCAATGCCGCCACCTATGGCGCCTCCTGCGGTGCCTCCTGCGGTGCCTCCTGCGGCGCCTACCGGCGTCGGCGTCGGTATCGGACCCGGTGCCGGTGTCGGTGTTGGCGTAGGTGCTCCCATCGGGGGCGGATTGGGAGGAGGGGCCAACATCATGGACGATCTGCGGGCCAACGCGTCCATCGCGCCCATGGCTCCGTTCGGCAACACGCCCATGTGGGAACACCCGCAGGATCTGATCAACCACTTCGGGTTCCCGATGGACGCCGGGGAGTTCTCGTGGGATTGGAGCACGTGGAACGAGTTCGTGGACGACGCCAACACGGAAAGGTCGCCTGGGGACGGGTGAGAGGCGGTGGTGTACGATATGATTTGTGTAATTGTAACGTGTATCATTAGTCTTTTTGGGACGTGGGAGCGAGATCTCCAATTCAGCCTTGTTCTTCATGATTTCGGACTGGTTGATGCCACTGCAGCGTGATTGCCTACGATTGTGTCTGCGAGAAGAGTCGAAGAAGTGGGAATCAAGGGCCGTTGTGGCGAGGGCGGCACATAATTCAACCACTATCCTCCAACAACTACGGCCTACTCATCACCAGCTAGTTGAACAATTCACTTCACATGACAACCACTTACGAAACTTCTGATGTCTTGGTGTTCACCGGCTTGAATTGACCTACAGCTTGACCTACCAGGAGCCCCAACCGGCTAACTCGAAGAGACGTCACCAGGCCGGCCTGTATCGGTCCAAGCTGATCTACCGAAGGCATTTTCTCATAAACAAGGTCATGATTCACGAGCTTCGTACTCAGGTATCGTCATTCGCCGGGTCTATCAGAGGACTCTCTTTTGATCTTTTCCCACTTTTGGCCATGCTCGAAAATTGTGATTCTTCATTTCATTTTTGTGTTGGCCCCCGCCTTCAGAAAGCAAATGTGAATAGTTCCATGAGACCTAGTGAACACCTGCCAGTAGTAGTAGCCCACCCCTCCATTTGTCGAAAACCAGAGAAACAACGCCGCACAATGATTTATGCGAAAGTGGTGGGGCGCTTCGCGCTGAAGATCTTCTGGTTGGAGATCTTGGAGACGCGGTGGGGGAGGGGGAAAGAGAGGTCCTTGGTGAGGAGCTGGCGGATGTAAGGGCGCTTGACGTCCTCGACCTTCTCGAGCTCGACGACCTTGAGGATCTGTTCGGGGGTTGGGTTAGCGGTCTGGAGGATTTTCGGAAACGGGAGGGCACGTGACGTACGTGGATGGACCTGAAGCGGGCACGGTGGCGGGCGGCCATGTCGGAGTAGAGAGCCTCGACGGCGTCGGTGCGGGACATCTCACGGTACTCCTTGTACATGTTGTGGGTGCCGGAGCGGGAGTCGTAGCGGATCCAGATACCGAAGTTCTTGACCTTGAGGGGGTGCTTCTCGTGGATCTGCAGGGAAACGCGTTAGGTCACGGGTCTTTGAAGATCGAGCGGGAGTCGAGTCTACATACCTGCTTGACGCTGACGATCTCACCGGTGGCCTTCTTGACCTTCTTCAGGCCGCGCAAGAAGTACCAGTAACGGGACTTCGCAACCGTGACGTTGGGAGCGAAGATGGTCATGCGGTACAGGGAAGGAGTCGGGTTGGACTCGGTGGGCAGGTGGCGCCCGATGACCTCGTATTCCGTGAGACGACCTGGAGCAGATGCTGTTAGCTGCTGCGTGCCATCTGGAGCCAAATATTCCCCCCCATCCACCCAAGTGCGATGTCGTTTGCGATGACCGAATGCGTAGTTGGTAGTTGATGTAGTGCGACGATGACAGTGCGGTCGATTGGAAACAAATCAAGTCGGTATCGGTCAGAGAGCAGACGTCTCCCGACATGGGAAACCGAGATGAGGGCAAAAGACCGACATCACCCATTCAAACAACAAAATTTGCCCATGACGAGGGGTACGTCACGCGATCCCATCAACGGTCCCAAAGGCTCGTGAGCGCAGTTCGGCAAGCAATTGATTCCAGCCTGCTGTCGTCGAAGTCGGTTCGCATCACGGGTGTCGAAAATTCTTGTCGTCGGTTCGCAGGTTTCGTCGGCATCGCACATTCGCATCCAGGTTCCGAGGGGAGGTAGAAGAGATTTCATTTTGCTTACCCATCTGAGCGGCTGTTAGAAAACAATTATCCTCACGGCTGTTGGAAATGTGCTGGTCACTTACTTTGAAGAGCTGGCCGATGGTCGAATATCCGATATCGTGGTGGTTGCTGCAGGGTCAGTTCCGATTCAAAGGGAAAGGGAAAAAAAGAATTTGTGCTTGAGAAATGTTGTGTGCTCCAACCTAAGCGCGGCCGGGCCTTGTGGGGTAAGGGCTGTGGCTGGTGGGTCCCACTTGCCCGTTCCAGCGTACAGGTGTGGCTGCTCGCCTGAAATCTCGGCAAGGCCAGTGGGGAGTAGATTGATGCCTGAATATTGGGGCAAAACAGTCCTTGCTGCCTCACGGCAGCGACATTCTGGCCCCGGTCGTGGTTGCCTTCTTTTGACCAATCACAGCGTGGTTCGATCTTCTCTCAGAAGAGCCGGCCATCACCCAGGAGACGACACACCACACCCTGGCGATCTTAGAGGGTCACTCACTGCCGGATATCAGATGCACTTCATCTGAACGCTGGCCATTCTCATTTTAAACGGGCTCTGAACCAAGTCAATCACTGGATTCTTCCTCGACACCTCGATACCCCGCCTCACCTCTCCGAGAAGTCACCACCACATCACTGCACAAGAGACCACAGCAATGGAGGGCCTCTTCGAGGAATTTCGGAATGCCTATAAGGCCAGATCGGGTTATGCACTCGCACAAACTCTCCAGCCTTTCAGTCCTGTCAACAAGCCGGACAAGCTTCGCTCTATTTGGTTGAGCACCAACGTCCAAGAAGTCAAAGGCGACGTCAAGTACATGCTCCTGGGTCGGTCGTCGGGGTCTAAGAAATTCAAGCTCGACTACGAGGAGACAACTGGCTGGGTTGAGGTGTACTCGGCCTACTGGAAAGCCGTGGGCGAGATTCTCAAGGCGGAGGGCGACTCCAGTGCTGGAGGTAGGGTGAGCTTCTCAAAAGAGCCGCGATGAGATGGTCCGAGCTAACACAGGCTCCAGTCGTCATCATGGACCAAGGTATATGAGGCTTGGAAAGAGGTCACAACTGCCCTCATCCGTGGGTACACGAACTATGGGTTCGAAGCCTGGACGATACCGTGCCTGTACACGGCGGGCAAGCACTTGCGGCTTTTCGCCATTAGCTCCGACGAGGAGCGCAATACCAGCGATGCTAGTGCCAACGCCATGGAGCTGGGTGATGACTTCGATCCAGACTTGGAGAAGCAGAAACAACTCCGTGACTGCGAACAGCAGTTGAAGCGCATATTTACACTATGCTTGAGTGACCGGTATTTCAGTCAATCCCACCATGAAAACTTCACTGCTAACACTTCACAGAGCACCTCTCGAAGACTCAAGGAAATGGGCAATCTACTACATCATTAATCTCCTCTTCAAGACATACTTCAAGCTCAACTCTGCCAGTCTCAGCAGAACGATTCTCAAGGCATTGTCAACAAATCGTGGCGACATGCCACCCTTGGAGGCTTTCCCAAAGTCACAACGTGTTACCTTCAAGTTCTACGAGGGTGTCTTATTCTTCCTGGAAGAGAACTACGTTGAGGTAGGACATATTTGCCTCGTTTATCCATGCCGACTAACATGCTGCAGGCCGAAAAGCATCTCACCGAAGCGTGGTCCCTGTGCCACAAGGACGCAAAGAGCAATCAAGAGCGAGTCACCCAGGCCCTCTTTGACCAACTACTCGCTAATATCCATTGCAGAAGAATTCTCACTTATCTGATACCTTGCCATCTCCTCACAACGCACACGCTGCCAAGTAGCAAACTCCTCGAGCCCTTCCCTCGGCTGCAGAAGCTCTTCATGCCCCTGGCCCGCTGCATCCGCAAAGGCGACCTCCGCAACTTCGACCTGGCTCTTCAAGAGGGCGAGGAAGAGTTCGTCCGCCGCCGCATCTACCTGACCCTCGAGCGCGGCCGCGACATCGCCCTGCGCAACCTCCTCCGCAAAGTCTTCATCGCCGGCGGCTTCGAGGAGGCCAAGGAGGGCGCCGACCCCATCCGCCGGACCAGAATCCCCGTCGCCGAATTCGCAGCTGCGATCAGTCTCGGTAGTCAGGAGACTGTCGACCCGGATGAGGTCGAGTGCCTACTGGCAAACATGATTTACAAGGTACGTGGCATCATTTCCTTGATTCTCTGCGAGTCGGGTCATCCGTCAATGAGTGCCTGTTTGTACACGTCGCTTTCGGTGAGCCTCATCGGGCGGGAAAAGGGTTCTAGAATTCTCACGCGCATTGGTCTGCCTTTCGTGGCATTTTATATCCCTCGCCACTGCCCGGCTGCCTAGAAGGCATCATGGTCACACGGGTGATGTTCTGTGCCCCAGGCACCTATGCACGATGATAAACCCCATCAGAGCCTTCCCATTGGCAGATAGTCTTCAGCCCTGAGTTACGTATTCACTGACACGGCGAACCACAGAACCTCATGAAGGGCTACATCGCCCGAGAGCGCGGCATCGTTGTCCTGTCCAAGAACGGGGCTTTCCCCGGAACAGGGGTCTAGTGGTGGTGTAGATACTAGAGACTATCACAATCCTACCGGCCGAAGGACGAGATACGTCTATATACCTCAGTCGTGCATTTCTAAAGCAGCGACGTGTATGCTCCCCTCATTGGCAAGCGTTCAGAAGGGCCGTCTCGGCATGGTGTAAACAGGCTTAGCGGCTCAGTCATGGCACAGGAGGCCTGCATATTGGATCCCTCTCGGTGAGGGAATACTCATGGATACTCAGCAAAGTCTATCTGAACTCCGTGCACTCGTTCGGCACGTCAAACACAGGAACTTATTTGGCCCAGACGTGACTCCGCGCCCCCCAAACCTCATCCCGCACGAGTCACACTCCATCCTACCATCCGACAGTGAGTCCCAAGCAGCCAGCCGTGTCGATTTGCAATGGTGACCAAGCAAGAACCCCAGCCCAGCCCAGCGTGAATCTTGGTTATGTCACTTCCTCCCCGTCGTGCACGCCGCAACCTCCGCATCCACTCCCGAGCCCCAAAAAGAAAAAAAGCAGTACCTCGTTTTGATGTCCAGACACTAGAAACGTCAAAAAGCAAAGCGCAATTCCTAAACCCCAAGAACAGGTCCTAATCACACTTGAGTCGAAACTTCACGCCTCCCCAACGATCGAACGTCTCACCAGCCCGTGGCCCGACAGGGGTTCGGTTTAAGTGCTTGCATCCGTCCGTAGCGGCCAGAGTGGGCCTGTGCCGTCCGGGGGTGTCAGTGACAATGATCCCAGATACATCCAACCGTCTAAAACCTCGGTCGGCAGCAGCCAAGTCAGGATGTGATATTACCTGTGACTCACATTGTGACAATCAGAGGCGGGGAGGGAGACGAAAAAAAAAATCAAAACTTTTTCTTGAGCCTCGGCCAACGCTAGACTAGAGTGACGGACCAGGGACCGGGCCAACTTCCCCGAGGGACCGGGGCTCGAGGACACAGACAGATAGGCAGGGGTAGGAGTGATGGAGGTGGTCGTTGGTTCGCCATCGTTCGTGTTGCGTGAAGGATGCTGCCTCGGGCATTCACGCTCGTTCACGGTGGTATCTGGGGCGGGGTGGAAGGGAAACCGAGATCCTGGGCCGGTTGTTTCGACGAAAGTTGGACCTTTTCCGCTTTTGGGGGGAAAGGTTCTGAGGAAAGGGGTAAAATCCAACGGAGAGGGGATGGCGATGGTGTCGGAATGATCGTCGCGAGAATATTACCGTGTTGAAACCCAACGGGACTTATTTTTGATTAAAGCTCTCACTCGAATATCGTGACTTTGAGGTTTTCTCGAAACTCACACATGTGAATTTAGTCACATCAACTCCGGTTTGATTTTACGCATGTAAAGCGAGCGTGAAGAATGGTAATTTTACAATGTTTCGTTCTCTGCGGAAACGCGCGCAATCTGGTTGGCTCTCTTTCCCTGTGCTTTCTTTTCCGCTCTAGATGACAACGAAAAAACAAATCATGGCCAAGAAAAGCTCTCAGCAGACCTCCATATGGGCCTCTTCCCGGGACAGCTTTCCAATGTGAGAAAAGCATCGTTGCTTTCCCGTATCATGTGACTCCCAGAATCTCTTGTTCTAAGAGAGGGTCGGTCCTCGACCCTCTGGAGACCTGGGATGAGAATGGTAATTGTACAGGGGTTTCTCGTGAGAAAGTAAAAGAAAACAAGAAATGAAATGAATACAGATTTGCCCGACGACGCCGTGACCCAGTTCCACTGTGACGTGGGATTCCAAACGCCTGATTGTTTATGGTTTTGTTTTGAGATTTCCGCGAATCCAAAAGCTTTGCCCACCCGTGCCCATGTAAAAGAAAAATGTAAGAGATAAAACGGAAATTTGGAAAAAGAAGAAGAAGAACCAGATTGCGTCAGAACGTCAAGTCATTAGGTTTGAGGCGGGTATTGGTAAGTAATGGATGAGATGAGGATGAGACGAGAAAAGGTATGAAATGGGATGAACGGTGCATGGCCTAGAAGCCGCGGCCGCTGCGAGGTGTGCGGGGAGTGTTTCTTGATGCGGAGTCAGCGAGGGCAGTTCGTCAAGAGAAATCATTTTTGGAGACTTACGCGGTAGAGATATCATCGACATGGTTGCAGAGCGCGACAAAAAGATCGAAAAAGAGCTGTGTGCCGCCGTTGTACATCTCCAGCTGCATGGTGCCGCTCCGCTTGAAGGTGCTCCGGCTGCGGATGATGAGGGCGAGGTAATGAGCACGAAGCTTCGAGTCGGTGTCGGGGGTGTTGGCGTATGCGTATCTGGCGGAAGCCAGGATGGTGCTGCATTGAATACCGGACTCTGCGAGAGGTGTTAGCCCAACCATTCGCAATATTCATGATGCGGAAAAACTCACGAAGACCCTGCTTTCTCAGAGAGACCCGCTTGAGCTCCTCGAGACCGTACTTTTCGGCAGCGCAGTAGATGACGGTATCCTTGAGCAGGTCGCCGTCGACACCGTGGTGATAGACGGTCGACTCGATGCCCTTGCCGTCGGCGGACGGCTGCTCGATCTCCCACGAGTTGCGCCTCTTGTTGTGCACCAGCTTCGGGTAGTAGTCGCCCTTGTATAGGTACTCGAGGACGGAGGAGAAGATCTCGGGTTCCTCGTCGGAGAGTGCGATGCGTCGAGTTGGTGCGGCGGACGAGGACGGCGAGCCCTCGATGTAGTTGCCACCTCTGAGTGCGGCCTGGAAGAAGGGGGATGCGCAGAGGACGTCTTCGTGGGCGGCGAAGAGGCGTTGTTCGGTGCCGACGACGAGAGTTACGATCGCAGAGGTGAGGTTGCTGTTCGGATGAAATGTCAGTGCATGTTGGGTTGAGACGAGGTGAAGCTTAACTCAAATGACCGGGACGAGAACTTACTTTCCCATGTCAGTGTCATGGGTGGCTGACGAGGTTGCTGTCGTCGGCCGCCTGCTGGCCCGGGAATCGCGGCGAGGTTTTGAAACACCGCTGGACTTGCTGAACGAGGAGCTGGACTTGGAAGACTTGTGGCCTTTGAAGAAGCTCTTTTGTTGCGGAGGTTCGAAGCGTCTGCTGAACATGATGGCGGATGTGACCCGGTCGGGAAAGTCAGGGGAAAATGACAATGAAAGAATTAAATATTTATTTCGCGATAGCAGATTTAAAAAATGATCGAAGAGTAATGTAGAAAAATGATGGAAACGATGAAAATGGTTGTTGCAGTCGACTTTTGATTGAAATTGGTGACCTACCTAAGGCGCCCGTGAATGGAGAGGAGAAGAAGCGAGGGAAAACCGAGAAGGAAACGGGGAGCCTGAATCTATATATACAGCCTGATAAGAAACCTTGCACGGCCCCCGGGATCTCTACCCAGGCCTCACTGCTCTCTGAGCAGAATGAAGGCGATGGCGAGAGTCGGTCATTGGACGCGTCTTCGCATCCCTGCAGCGCGACTGGACCCCACGGCCTGCCTCACGTCCGGGAAGCGATATCACATGACCCATAAGCGGGTCCCCGACCGGTTGCCTCCAGTCTTTTTTCGCCTGAACGCGGGCACTGTCGCACACTGGCGGGCAGTGGAGGCTGGGCGGACCATGCTAAAGCAAGCCATTTTTACGCAGGGATGTAATTTAGTGGTCCAGCGAGTCAGAGTGCCGGTTTTCTTATTCTGCGTGCTACTTAATCTCAGGGGCTTGCCGTGCGAGCTCCGGTGAACTGGTCGCCTCACAGCCTGCTGACGGTGCAAGAGTACTTCCAAAGGAGAGATAGAGGGGCCCGGAACGTGAAATTTTGGAGTTACTCAGAGGAAAGCTGCCTGGAAAAGATCCACGTTAAGGCGGCGACGCGACGTCCAAGCTCCCTCCATCGCAGCCGGAAGAAGCAATGCTGTTACATGCAAACCGACAATCCCCCTGAATCCTCGTCATACTGGGGGCAAAATCTGTTGATGGGAGACACCGGGGGACTGGATGCTTTTATGAACGTTTCCGGGCTTGCATTTGATGCCTTCCAACGTCGACTTGAGGCCACAACGAATTCTCAGGGTTCAACGGACGTCTTTCCTCTATCATGGCCCGGAAACCTCCGGAGGTGCCGTGCGGTGCTATCGTTTCAAGCCGTGGTGGACCCCTTTCCATAGGCCGGGCTCGATTCCGTGGCATCCAGGATTCTGGGATTCTGAGGAAAAAAATCGTCGAAGCAAATTGAACTGCCCCTGATCATCACCAATTTTTTTCAGAGTTTTCACCACTTCTTCCCGCTCGGAGCCTCGATGCCAACGGGGGAATGTTCCTAGCTTCCTGAACCCTTGGACTGGACGAAGGCGAGTTCCGGGACCAATTCACCGGGAAGAATGTTGAGGGTCTTCTATCCACTTCAATCACACCTTGTCCCTTCTAGAATTTCTAGATGACATATCGTGACCTCAGGTATGCTGAGAGCCTCACTTGATGTCATTTCTGCCGTTAGGGTTTGAACGCGGCCTGCTCAATGGCGTCGACGACGGCTCTGCGTCCCTCCGGCCTAATGACGGCATCATTGTGGAAAGCACCACGAACCGTCACTTTTTGGACTGCCAGCCCGACCTCCTCGCAGCGCCGGACGAGCTTCGCGCCGTGATCCGCCGGCACTAGCTCATCCTTGCCAGCTTCGACTATAACGACCCGAGGTTTGTCATGGTCCAAACCGGACCGCTGGTTCCGCGCAATTGCGCCTAGGTTTGTCCAGCTGTCCAGATGGTTCTTCAGGAACGGCCAGAGATGACGGTAGGGCACCCATTTCTGAGGGTACAACGCTTCCAGCATGGCTCTGATAGAAGTAAACGGCGTCTCGAGGATCAGCGACGTAAGACGCAACGTGGGCGGGAACTCGTCCCAAGCCGCGAGGTTCGTGGCTACCCCGGCGCCAATGCTCTGACCCCAGATCACCAGCGCCGGTGGCTGATGCTGCTGCTGCCTGGATGGTCCGGCTTTGTGACTATGCATCTGCTCAATCCAGCGCAGAGCCGCCTGCGCATCCATATTGATGCCCTTCTCAGAAGGGCGGCCCCTCGACCTCCAGTAGCCGCGGTAGCTCAGGCACACCACAGTGTATCGCGCGGGCCGCTTGCTTCGCTGCAGCGTCCGGAGAACCCACGATAGGTCCGGCAATCGCGGGGGAAGAGAAGACGCATTTCCTGTTGCCAATCGTGAGCTTTTGACCGGTTGGGTATCCAATCGCCCGGCGAGGGTGGCATGGGATGAGGCGGACCCTGAAAGTAAAGGACATAGATCGACGGCACGGCGAGGAAACCGTCGGGCGACGTGGTGCTCTCGTCACCAGTAGATGTCACCGAGGCCACGCAGAGGGCCAGATCCGTCCCGTCGACAGCCTGGACCCTTTTCTCCTCCCACCGCACCTCCCCGCACTGCTTCGCGTAGTCCTCGATCCGCTCGCGGCGCGCATTCGGCGGGAGCCCCGGCATGTAAATGATCTTGTTCTGGAAGACGACCATCATGAGACACTTCCACGCCCAAAGTGCGCCCAGAAGACCGCAGAAAACCAGAGGAGGCAACAGCAGCGTCTCAGCATGGAGTTGCCTCTTGTGGATGGTGACGCCGAGGCGCGACGGCAGCGGCAGCGAGGCCGGCAGAAACGTGGCTCGCCATGAAGAGGTGACGAGGGGTGGATGCAGACGTCGAGGACGACGCAGGAGAAGCCCAATCGAGGAGGGGCGGATGGCATGCATCACAACCGTTCGCGAGACATGAAGGCTTGTGTCGGGCGTGGGGTGATGGAGGTGGTGCCGGTAAGGTGAGGTAGTGTGTTAGTGTCGGACCCTGAGAAATGAAAGCACGAATAGTTCTGATTGCATGCGCGAAGGCGTTATCGGCAAAAAGGTCGCAGCGGTCAATTGAGGCAAGGGCATACGCAAATCAGCATGTCTCGTAGACTGACGGTCATGACCTGGCGCGCATGTGTTCGAAGGCGACTGGACTCGTTGAATGTGACGGATATGCAGCTCGTTCCGTCCAGAGACCGGAGGCAAGGCAATATGGGCAGCAACGAAGACGGCTCAGATTATGAGGAGTGCAGGATTCCAGCCCAATCTCATCTCGACTGCGTTCGTCCACTGCGGCACCGTTTTTTTGAGGTTGGAGAATTCCAGGTACCGTGGTGCCGTCACTGCTAGCCGGGAAGAATATTGAGGAAGAAAGACTCGTGATTATTACTGAGCTGAGACAGACTGAATCAAGACTCTTTGATACCTTAATGGGCAGGGGCACAATTCAAGTTCCAGCGGGATGGGTGGCCGCTGTGCGAAAGACCTGGAAGACCTGGATTGACCCCGCAGTTGCCAACTTTCAGATGCTTCCATTCACCTCAATGACCAACAACAACCCCGAATGCTTCCCAAGGCCTCATTCCTTCTATTGGGACGTCATACTTTAGCGCCAAACTTCCCCTCGTGGATCTCAGAACCAGCCCGCCAATCCAGCGTCCCCAAACCTCGCCATAGGCCCAGGCCATACACCTGGCGTTGGCGCTGAACAAGAGTTTCCACCAGCTAGCTACCTGTGTCCATCCGAGCCGTCACTTTTCACCTCGCCTTCTGCGGTCATTCGTAGTCATACCACATGCGAGTGTTGTACCAGACAAGTGGGCATAATAAATAAATCAGGCAGACCCAGAAACTGGTCCCAGCAACAATCGAACGCCCATCCCGCATAACGTACCTCGTCTTATCCTAGCATGCGACACGGGAACCTCATCGTCTCATAACCAAACGGCCCCTCCAACGACGACCGCCCTCTCTCCTTCAGCCATCCACAACCTCCGCCGTTCCCAACCCCGCCTAAAAGTTCCGCTGAGAAATCACCACCACAACACTCCCCGCCATTTCGAAACCACAGACAAAAACACAGATCGAGATCCTGCACCGAACGGCACTTGAAACCCTCACTCAACCTCACACACGCACACACACCCGACAACAACGCATCCGCGACCCAAGCCAGCCATCATGCCCGGCTCCGTCGACCCAAAGACCCCCACCGAGCACTCGCCGAGGCAGTCTCCGCGCATCGAACTCCCTGAAGAAGACGAAGCCCACGATGGCCAGACCAGCCCCGGCATGAGGAACAGCAAAGGGTGGGACGGCAAACTCAGGGTCCAGCGCACCGCCGTCCTCGCCAACCCGGAGGTCCTCTCGGATCCCGAGTCCGACGACGAGAACGTCATCCCGGGCGAGGAACTGCCGGCCGATGAAGGTAAATCAAGCCAGCATCTTCTCCTTCTCCGTCGCCTTCGCAGACGCAAAATTCTGACCACCTACTTTACCTCCCAGACCTCCTCGACGGCGAGGACCTAGAAACGGACGAACTCATCGTCTCCCACGCCCGCGTCTCCTCCATCCCCGCCCTCCGTCTCGAGCGCTTCACGAAAGTCGTCCGCCTCTGCCTGCGCCAGAACAGCATCCAACAGATCGACGGCCTCTCCCCGCTCGCCCCGACCCTCGAGGACCTCGACTTCTACGACAACCTCATCTCCCACATCCGCGGCCTCGAGGACCTGACGAACCTCACCAGCCTCGACCTCAGCTTCAACAAGATCAAGCACATCAAGCGCGTCGACCACCTCGTCAAGCTGAAAGAGCTCTTCCTCGTCGCCAACAAGATCGCCACCATCGAGAACCTCGACGGCCTCGCCAACCTCACCAGCCTCGAGCTCGGCTCCAACCGCATCCGCGTCCTCCAGAACCTCGACCCCCTCAAGAAGCTCGAGGAGCTCTGGGTCGCCAAGAACAAGATCACCGAGCTGTCCGGCCTCGGCGGCCTGCCGGCCCTCAAGATCCTCAGCATCCAGTCCAACCGCGTCCGCGACCTGTCCCCGCTCAAGGACGTCCCCAGTCTCGAGGAGCTCTACATCTCCCACAACGCCCTCACCTCGCTCGAGGGCCTCGAGCAGAACGAGAAGCTGCGCGTGCTCGACATCTCCAACAACGCCGTCGCCAGCGTCAAGGGCCTCAAGCCCCTGAAGAACCTCGAGGAGCTCTGGGCCAGCTACAACCAGATCGCCGACTTTAACGAGGTCGAGAAGGAGCTGAGGGACAAGGAGCAACTGACGACGGTCTACTTCGAGGGGAACCCGTTGCAGCTGAGGGGGCCGGCCGTGTATCGGAACAAAGTCCGTCTGGCGCTGCCTCAACTATCACAGATCGACGCGAGTAAGTTTTGCCCCGGAACGTGTGAGCATGTTCAATTTGCTAACGGGTGAGCAGCTTTCGTCAAAACATAGTTGCTTGGTCTGTTCTGGAGCATGAACTAACGAGGCCGGCGTGGCGTTACAATGGCGTTTGATTAGAGACTTGGGGTTCGGGAAGGGGTCAATGAACATATCAGGTACTTTTCATTTCACACGAGATACCTCTTTACCGAGCGCTCTCTTGGGCACCATATTTGTTGAGCATCGAGGGTAGCATTTTCAAGGGCGGTTGGGCGGTCATTTTGACTTTACGCGAAAACACGATGCATGCTGTACAAAAGCAGGAGCATGGGTTGTCTTGATCACGGCTTTGGTTGTATTCTAACGGCAGATCACAGTCATGCCGAAGGGAGACGATTATCTAGTTACAATCGACGCATGGCGTGCGTGGTTCAACACACAACGGCTATTTCTCCCTTGCACACCGCCAGTTCTGAGCCACTAAGAGGCGTATTGCACGGGCGGACGCTGATACGATAACAGGCACAGTGAGTGGTGTGAGATGTACAGACTCTCATGCACAGATCACTTAACCGAAGATCCAGAGCTTCTCGGTGGGGAAGTACTATTTGAAAAATGTTAATCACCAACTCTATCATGACCGTACGAGGCAAAGAACTCACGTTTGCGGGCTGGTTGAAGCGAGTCTTGCGGTCCAGCGAGCTGATCTTGTCGATATCGGCCTGCTCAAGGTCGAAGCTGGTGCAGTCCAGGTTCTGGGCCAGGATCTCCTTGCGGCTGGTCTTGGGAATGACGGCAAGACCGCGCTGCGTAGCCCAGCGGAGCAGTACCTGAGAGTTGGTCTTGCCGTGCTTCTTGGCGATCTCAGAGACAGTGGGCTCCTCGAAGAGAGGAACGAAGTCGGTGGCGTGCTCCATGTTGAACTCCTTGAAAGAAGCGGGGCCGAACGAGGAGTAAGCGGTCACGGCAATGCCCTCGTTGGCAGCCAGCTTGATGAGGTCAGGCTGGACAAGGTATGGGTGGTGCTCGATCTGAAGGGTGGCGGGAGGGATCTTGGCGTAGCGGAGGAGGTCGTACAGGAGCTGGCCCTGAAAGTTGGAGACACCGATGCTCTTGGAGAGGCCGCTAGAGACGAGACCCTCCATGGCAGTCCAGGTCTCCTGGATGGAGGCCTTGGAAGGGCGGATCTCGGACTTGCCATCGTAGTGCCAGCCAGGAGGGTATCGGACGGAAGGGTCGACGTACTCGAGGGCGACGGGGAAGTGGATGAGGTAGAGGTCGAAGTAGTCGATGCCCCAGTCGGCAAGCTGCTTGCGGACGATGGGCTCTACGCGGTCGCCATCGTGGAAGGTGTTCCAGAGCTTGGAGACGAGGAAGAGTTCCTCACGCTTGACGATGCCCTCCTTGATGGCGCGGGCAACACCCTGACCGCACTCGACCTCATTGCCGTAGTCTATAGAAGTATCGTTAGGACCTAGTTCATGCCATTCGAGTCGGAGAAAGGCGCGTAGAGGCGCAAAATGTTCGGTTCATGTGACGTCGGGGAAGAAGGGAGCGAGCCCCGAATGTAATGTAAGTGAGTGGTGACAGGGAAGGGTAGGGGAGGGGGTATGAATTCGGATGGGGTGCAGGGATATCTGCGGAGAGCTTTCCGGCGAGACTGCCCGCAGTGATGGGACATTCGGTCGCTGCAGAAATTGGCACCGATCATCCGTGGTGGGGTCAAGGAGGGGTAATCCAGGCTTCCAGAAGTCATGGAGGGGGGACCAAGCAGACCACCACCACAAGCCATTGACCGTGGGGCAACGCGTTTCCGAGAAAGTTCCCTGCTTCCAATTCTTTGCCCATGTTCGCGACGTTGCCGAGGACGTAGACGCGGATGGTTTTCTGCTTGTTCTCCTGGGGTGGAATAAAGTGCTTCTTCGTTGACTTACCGCAAGCGCCGTCGAACAGACGGTATCCGGCCTTGATGGCCTCGTAGACAGTGTCGGCGGCGATGGCGTTGTCGACCTTCCACAGACCGAAGCCCACTTGGGGCATGTCAAAGCCGCTGTTGAGCTTAATGTTGGGGACAGCCATTGTGAGGTATTGTTGTCTTTCTGATCGAGGTCGGGGTATCAAAAGGCAGAATAGACCGTCGAAAGACTTGAGAGAGGAGAGGAGGAGGAGAGAAGGAGGGGAGTGACACACGGGATGAAGAGGAGGCAGAATACACGTATTTATAACCCTCGATACGTCAGGTGCTTAGGTCCGTGGTTGCCAGGCAGATTGGACCGGATGGAGGCGAAGAAAGAAGCACTTGGATCATGATGGACGGAACCTCCGCCTGGGCTGCATCGACAGCTTCCGTCCCGCCTTGAGATTCAGACAGTCCCCCTCATGGCTCCGTCATTATACATTTCTGGCGCCCATTAAAGGTACCTATCTATCAGTGGCTGGTGGCGGGCAAGGGCCCGATAGGAGAAACAGCGTCGACACTCAGATCGCTTGACCCAAAAATCAAGCACCTAGGCAGGCAGAGGCAGGGTTGGCGATTGGAGAGAGCTCAGGCGGCTCGCTGTCCCGGGCCCGTGACACGCTCCATGATTTGAGAAATCGATTGGCATGGGTAAATATCAACAGGTAAAGATAATGCAGCGTAATAAGGCAAGGTACTGGTGTAGAAGCGACCAGCTCCAAGTGGAGGAGGGGTGGCCGCTGCAGCAGCAGAAGCGCCCATTTGTGCGTTTAAATCAGCCTGAGGATTTCGGGAGGAACCACGAACAAGGCCGGGACTTGGGGTAAATTTGGGGGTTCAACTTTGCCGCCGCCTGGTGGTCATTGGAACCCTGTGAAGTTTCGCGGGAAGCTAAGAGGGATCAAAAGCAACCCCAAGTTGCATGGTTGACTTGAGAGAAGACGGGATGTCGTGAGGTTGTTGACTGCCGCAAAGCAACAGGCGGCTTTGGTGGGCTGCCACTGGCTGTCGCGCGCCGCGCCGTAGTCCTGCTGCGAAGGGGTCTTGTGCACCCTCTCAAGCCTCTCAAGCGCGGTGTCCCCAGACGGTGCGAAACATGACATCCGTGGAGTTGCAGCTGCATCTTTGGCACAGGCTTTCAGATGCTTCCTTACCTAGGTAAGGTAGGTAGTGTTTCGTTGTGAAGTGTATGGATGAATTGAAGTTGCTCTGCTGGTCTGGCCTTTCCTTCCAGCGTCGCTGTTTCCATAAAGACCCGCTGGAAAGATGCTTTTGTGGAGAATGATTTGGCCGAGACCCGATTAAATTGCATTTAGCCTAAATACTATCCGGCGCGGCTAATTGGCCTCTTCTTTCCTTCGACAACGTCTTCCTTGAACAACAACACCTGCTAATTCAACATTGTTGTTTCTTCCTCAGAAACACAGCCGAAGAACACACGGCTCTCAAGCATATCTTGTTTCTGCATTGACCATGCACACTAGACCTCTGGATTTCACTAACAGGCTGATGTCAACTAAGGTAGGGGGCGCCGGACTGCACTCAGCTAAAGGTACGCGGAATGTCGCACTTCCCTTCACAGTGTTCCTGTCGTCTTACTGCAGCACGGCGCATTTGCCGGAGCAATCCCATATCCACGTGGGCCGGCGCGTGGGGCTCGACGGAGCTGAACTCCATTTGCACTTCAGCCGGGTGGATCTGCCTCCGACATTCTCCAACCTCCATCATCTTGACTTCTGTCGTCCACCTCATAGTTTCCTTCCCAAACGCTCGCCAAGCCACATCAATCCTACCGCTCAAGCACACCTTTGAACCCTCTCTTTGAACCATAGCTCAATGATCCGACTATTTTGTGCGACGTGGACTTGGTCAGCGTACAGTGCCCTTGTCTGTCGTCCGGATGTAGATATATTTACCACCCATGAAAGAATCCGAGTCGACTTTGATCAAGTCAACTCAATGGATGCAGAAAGGCTCATGGTGCTCTCTACTCAAGTGACAATAAATGCCAAAGAGAAACAGTCCAACGCTGCGGCTTCCAAGTCCACGTATTGGCTTCAACCAGACAATAGACTTTGTTTCCTCTTGTCTCCCAGAATAACTCAACCCTCGCATTGTTTGCTTTGTAAAGGTTTCTTTCTTTCGAGACAGTATGGCAACCACTGCAGATTTTGTATATATCACTGGATGTCTCTTCCAAACGAGAAGAACAAATTCACAACCTCAGATATCAACTCAACCATATATTCAACCTGACAGATCGGACACGACATCATGACTTCAGAAGTTAGGCGCGAAAAAATGCGCGAAGAAATGCGCAGAGCAGAGATACAGCGCCAGATGAAGGTTTTCAGAAGAACATGGAACGGCCTTACGTATCATCCGTGTCATCAACTGCACAACCCTTATGCCACCCCCAAGTTCGAGGAAGACATCGTCCAGCAAAACTCGAACAGAATGTACGAGGGAACGGACAAGAACAAAGGCTACGGCATCAGGCTCAAGAAGATCATCGCCCATGGTGGCTTCGGTATCGCCGCTCTGGTCGAACACACAGGCCGCGACAACGCCGTGACGCAATGCGTCATGAAGGTGGAATTCGCACGCCATCAAGACCGCAACATTTTACAAAAAGAAGAGAAAGCTTTCGAAGTGAGTGTGACCAAAATCGGGCAGAAACATTACTGACTTGGTGCTTAGAAATTCAAAGGCGCCAAGCACATAGTGCAAATCCTCGATCTCACGAAGAAAATCAAGGCCGAGAGAAATGCCTCAAACGCGAAAAACACGACGGTTGTGGCAATTGACCAATCAGACGAAAATTGGGACATCCAGAAGCAGCGCACACGCGACTTCATCCTTACCGAGTTCGCTAAACACGGAAACCTTAGAATGTGGTTCAACAAGGCCTGTCGGAGCGGGAAACCTTGGCCAGACAAGGCTCTTTGGTGGTTGTTTCGATGTCGTAAGTTTATACATCTCTCCCAGAACTTTGAACGATATGTTGCTTAAAAGAACCGTACAGTTGTCAAGGGTCTCGTCGGTATGGGATACCCGCCACTCGAGCATCACAAACAGAACAACCCTGATTGGGATTCAAACGACCCCATTGAAGAGTACATTCCGCAAGGCAGTCAAGGTCCGCAACAGACCTGCCACTTTGATCTCGATCCGCTCAATGGTAAGTCAAGCGGAGCAACCCTGAACATGACGGAGCTAATCAAGTCATTAGTCTTGGTGGATTCAGACGAGGGACATGGCGACTTCCCAATCTTCAAGGTAATACGTGCCCCTTCGTTAACACCATTGAATGCTCACACCTAGCAGGCCAACGATTTCGGCGAGACCGAGTTCTACGACGAAATTCCAATCAACCCCTCTTACTTCAAGTAAGTTTCATCGCTATCGCTGCCGCCGTGTTTGACTGACATTCCTTCTCTACGATAGTAGCTCGCACTTCTGGGGTCACCGTTGGAAAGGAAAGAGACATTGTCTAACTCCCGTGAGTAAAACGAAACATCTACCCACATTCAAGTGCTGACAATCGCAGGAACAATTCACCGCGGAGTGGAATCCTCTTGAAAAGGATGGTGTACCTGACGACGTGTTCACTGCCACCGACGGCAGTAAACCCAGAGTTGCCGGTAACTACGGAATGCACTCCAACATTTTCCAGGTTGGCATCATGGTCCGTAGTCGCCTTACACCCCCCCCCCCCCCTCCACTCTCATCTTCGCTAACGAAGTCTGTAGATGTGGTGCGCTATCACGCGATGCAAGTTCCACTACCCCGGAACCGTACAGTACAACGGATACCGAACCTACGGCGGATTGCTTCAAGATGGAAGATTCAGCGATGTCGACCAGGAGCTCAAGAGGGTGATCATGGCGTGCATGGCCCATGAACCCTCCAGCCGCCCGACCCTGGCTAACCTACTCAGCCGCATCGAACGGGCACTCCAACGCCCCGGCCTTGAATCAGATCACGACACTCAGGAATGGGCGAAGGAGTTTTTCAGCACTCCGCGAGTACCCGGCGATGAACCAGAAGAGGCCCTAGACACGGAAATGGCGGAAGCCCACGCCGCCCACGCCGCACACGAAGCGGCTCTCGTGGCGGCATGGGCCGCCGTCAAGAAGAGAGAGTGTCCGTCCGATGGTGACCACGAAGACGACGAGCGTTACCGTTCGCAAAGGAGGATCGGCGAGTCTCAACGAATGGTTATACCCCGAAGGCTCAGCGGAGGCGACTTTGTACTGTCAGGAGACCCTCAACCGGCACCCCAAGAGCTCATCTTCGACGCCCTCCACAACGACCAGCCTGCTCCTCCTGCTCAAAACGCTCAGCCGATGGAAGGAATTGCTCGCCACAACGCGCAGCAGCAAGGACAACGAGGGGCCGCGGTACCACCGCACCTGCGCCATCTTCAACGGGAACAGACCCAGCAGCAACAGCAGCAACAGCAACAACAGCAGCAAGGACAAGGAGGACGCGATGCCGTACCGCCGCACCTGCGACATATTGCGCGGAGACAGATGCAGCAGCAACAGCAGCAACATCCCCAGCGGCCCCCGTCAGTACTCCCGACCCAGAAGCAACAACGGCGGAAGCAGCGGGAGCAGAGACGGGCGAAGCAGAATGCTCAACGCCAGCCTCCCGCCATCTACGGCCAGCAGCAGCAGGAGCAACAAGATGTCCAACATCCGGCATGGAACGTGGACGCCCCCGCCTTTCAACCACAGAAACAGTTCATGCCTAATCCACTACTGCAGCAGCAGCAGCAGTTTGCATACCCCAACGTGTTCTACCAACAGGCACCTCAGCAGCAGCCGCAGCAACCGCAGCAACAACAGTTTGTATACCCCAATGTGTACCAACATATTCCTGCTCTACAGCAGCAGCAGCAGCAGCAACAGTTTGGATACCAGAATATGATTTACCAACACTTACCTCCGCAGCAGCTTCCCGGCGGGCAGCAAGTGTACGGATTCACGCTCAGGTTTCCCCAGCAGGGTCATCAGCCTCCGCCGCAATAGCGGCGGCAAGCAAGCCTACTGGAAATGAACGGCGGTTCAGTTCTGCCACGATAGGTACCCGGACGTCGAGTCATGATACCAAACGAACACAAGGTGTGTGTAGGGATAAGTGAAGCTATTCGAGGAACAAAGACCTCGGGTGTACATGTAAGGGAAAAGTGTGTTTGTATGTGTGAAAGACCGTGGCTGGACCACACGGAACACAATATGACAGGCGCTGGAAGTTCGGTATGACCATAGACAGGGCTGGCGTTTTCTTGGAGTATCATCTCGTTCATTGTTTCGATTTCAGGGAGGATAGAAGTAGACATTCACATGACCTTTTGGTACGATCTTGTACGCGTACGGTTTTGACGATATAGAACACAATAGATATGATCAATGGAAGGGTATCTTTCGAGATATAACAAGCTATGCGAACACCGTTTCAACGCCATCACCAGAGCACACCACGACCCCTTTTCACCCGCCCAGCCCAAAATTGGCATAGTGACACTCACACTCCCCATCCCCAGCCGCAACCGGGACCGCCGCCCCCTCGGAATCCTTACACTCCGGCCCCCCGCTCGCGACCTGCACGACCTCGACCTGGCCGGGCCAATCCGCCCACTTACTCCCGTCCGAGACGAGCGTCGCGTTCCCCTCCTTGGCCGCGGCAGCAGCACCTCCACCAACACTCGCGCTCCGCCTCGTCCACAGCGTCGCGCTGAACGCCGTGCCGGCCCACACGCACGAGGCGGCCCTGTCGTCCGCCGCGATGGCCGCCGAGGGGACGACCGTCTTGGGCAGGGAGAAGTTGAAGACGAGGCGCTCGTTGTACGAGTTGCCGTCGAGCAGCGTCGTGGTGAGGTTCGCGAACTGCGGGGCGAAGGGGTTCGGGGACGAGGAGACCTGGTAGGTGTACGAGTTGCGCGGGGCGATGGTCCAGAAGAAGGTGGCGAGGGAGGCGTTGGGGGAACCACCGCCCGCGGAAGACTGGGCGTAGGTCGTGTAGGGGAAGCAGCGCCAGGTGGACGGGTTGGAGGTACAGTTCGTCGGGGCGGACGTCAGGGCCGTGGTGAAGGCGAAGGAGCCCGCCGGGAAGATGGAGGGGAGGTTTGGTGGGAGTTGGGGTGTGGTTGGACTGTTTGTTTGGTTAGTCTCGTGTAAATCGACGGGCTGCAAGGGAGGGGGATGGACGTACTTTTGTTTATGGGTTCCGGTAGTGAAGCCTACCGCCAACCCCACGACCAGGCCAATAACTACAATCATCCCGACAATCGTATACCACCGCCTCCTTCTCCTCCTCGCCTCCTTCGCCTTCTCCCCGCTCTTGTCGTCCTCAACCGGCCCGACGGGCGTCGTGATGGGCACGAGCCCCGAATGCCGGGCCCCGGCCTTGTAATACGAGCTCCTGGGCGTCGAGGTCCCGGAGCCCGGACGGCTCCCCGGCGGACTCCCCCGGCTGCGGCTGCTGCTGCTCATCAGGCTGCGCGTGCTCACCGTGCTCCGCGAGCTGGACCGGGACGAGCTGCGAGACAGGTTGCGGGCGTGGGAGGAGTGGGACGAGGGGTTGTAGGCCGGGGGCGGGTACGAGGGGTACGGGTATATGGGCCTGCTAATGGGCGAGCGGGCCCACGTCTTCGGCTTCGTGGTCCGGGAGGGCGGTGGTGGAGGGGGCAGGCCCGGTGCGTCGGAGGGGTGGACGACGGCGGGGAGGGAGTCGTCTTCGGCTATGACGGGCATGCGGCCTGCCAGCATCATGGCGGAGGGGGAGAGCGGGGATTTGGGCATTGTGTGAGTGGGTGGTTTGTTTGTGGTACCCGGTGCGAGGGGTTTGCGTGTAAGTCGGCTTTCTTTCTCTTTGAAAGATGAGGTCGTACCGGGTGTTATGTCGGACAGGGCTGGGTGAGAGGTCGAGGGAGATTGGAATGTCGTCACTTTTGCTATCCTGTGTAGCTTCTATTGGATCCGGCAGACGTTGAAGCCGGAGCTTGTGGTCCTGTGGAAGGCGTACAGACGAGATTTGCAGTCCGTGATGGCAAAGCTGCAATTGTGTAACCTGATTTCTCTTCTCGACAGACGTTTGCGACTGTTTGACCGAAGGAACTTCCTGTGTCTTTCTCCCCAGGATCACTCAATGAGTCGAAGCAAAAGAGCCTCTCCTTGCCGATCTTTCAGAAGTCAAGACGTGATATATCACCACAGGGAGAGAATCGGCTTTCCCAAACAAACACCAATGGAGACCCTGGAGTAAAAGGGGGCGGCCTTATTTGGTGTTCCCTTCCTGCCTCGCGACTCAGCTTAAGCCGAGCACAGCACACAAAGGACAAAGAGACAGTAGATATGTATGATCCGATTTCTGTTTCGGAGGCGGCGATCTCGCGGGGTTACCAGCAACCACACCGGGTCCTCGGGCCACAGGGCAGACAAAGAAAACACAAAGGAGGCGTAGCAGGAATGGAGCGATGTATGAGTAGTCAAAGGAAAGTCGTACCCGTTTCAGGGTTTCCTGCTTTGGATGCCTCGGTGACGGATTACATATGGAGACTGAGAATGAGGTGGTGCTCTTGCTTCTTGGCAGGTTTGCGCCTAGAACTATTCCATAATGGGTGAGATATGATGTGTGGCGGCTGAGTCCCTCCGGGACGCATGGCAACCGGGGGCAATGAAGGGTCTCGACGTTGAGATGTGCTGCATCAGAGCTGAGAATTGCGGCGGCACTTTGCTCTTCTCGGATCCCCTACCATCGTTGAGATTGTTCTTGGTATGCAGTGGCAAGTATTGGCTTGCTTGCAGCGGGAAGCTTCCATCCCGAGCAGGGGGCTCAGCTCAAATGCAATCTGCATCGGAGATCATGGGTACTACCACAGCTTGTGAGATCGTTGACTACACAACGTCGAGCTGTCATCGAAAAACGCGGTGCGCTTGCCAAGACATGAGAAATTCACACAAAGACGCACAACTCGACATTAACCGCCAAACGTCCCATCGCGACAATGGAAGTTTGACGTCGATGAGAATGACAGCGCGAGGTCGGGAGCTGCGGCGGCGGAAGGCCCAGCAAATAGTCCAGAGTCTAGGTGATAGTGGTTGTCTAGCCATAGCCGTCATTGGCTGAAGGGTTTCGATAGTAAGACATTGCTAACTCGATCCGGTATGGCAACGTGAACCACATCGAGGGACTACTGGAGTCAGCATGGTGGGGGGGCGCGGCGATCAACTGCCAAAACTTGTACTTTCGGGAGTAGAAGTTCTTGACTCTGTCACTCTGCACGGTTAACCGCAGATGGAAGACTTCGATGGATGAGGACCCTCTGTTCAAGCCTCAGCCGACTTAGGCAAGGACTCAGGGGGAACGCGACGACGTGGGAATGCCGTGGGGGTAATAAATGGCGGTAACTATTGCCCAGGAAGCCGGATATCCGTAATAGCGATCTTCTCAACGGACGACGAAAGTGCGGCGGCGAGGAGGGTATTTATGTTCGAATGTGTATTGGTGCTGAAGCCACTGACATCGCAGAGTCTATGAACAGAAAATTTCCAGGTCGCTGGCGTGGTCGGTCCGCCTCTACAACATGATGCAGAATCTCGTCGTCTTTTCCGCCTGAGCCGTGTATCCTGTAGTTGTACAGCGGTAGTAGTCCAATTGAAAACTCTCCTCCCAGCCTAAGCATCGCCCTGCCCTTCCTGGGCTACCTCCTTACCCTTGCCCTTCAGACTGTCGCTTTCGCTCTCCGCGTACGATGGGGGATCTAATGTGTCGCCGCCGGCGACCCACACGCGAGACAGCTCCTCCTCGATTTCCTGTCGTCTAGTCTTCCACGTCTCCACCTGCTCGAGGCGCTCGCGAAGGTCTTGCAACTCCTTCTCGACGTGCATCTTCTCGCGTTCGGTTCCGATCCTCTCGAACTCCCACTCGTCACCACGCTCGCCCATACCGAGGGTGAGGTTGTAGGTGTGGTACTTCTTGAGGGAGGCACGGGTGGAGACGGTGATGAGCGCTGTTCATAATCAGCAAAAGAAATCGCTTCACGGTAGACATTGAACTTACTAATGCCCTTCTCCTTGCACATTTCGTAAAGCAGACCCTCAACGTCCTGAGACACGGCGCTGGTTCCCTCGTCCACAATGGCGTATTGCGGCTCGTGGTAAAGCATGCGGGCGAAACCCATTCTCTGCTTCTCACCACCACTGAGAACGTCTTTCCACTCCTTGCGGGTGTCCCAGCCGCCTTCACGGTCGGGGAGGTATCCGAGGCGTGCTTCTTCCAGAATGCGTTTCAGGTCATCCTCGGACTTCCTCTTCTCGCGCATGTCGTGGTGGCCATCAGGGTAGATGACCTGGTCACGCAGAGTACCGATACTGAGGTATGGCCTTTGAGGCAAGAACATGATGCCGTCCTGACCGGTGTCCTTGGGCCGACTGACCAGCCCGCGGTAGACTGGCCACAGTCCAGCAAGAATACGAGCAATAGCCGTCTTGCCAACGCCGTTGGGACCGGAGATCTGAAGATATTAGTACTGGATCAGGTCCACCTCAAGAACAAGTTGACTCACCAGAAGATGCTCTCCTCTTCTAACAACCATAGAAAGGGACTCCATCAACTCCTCACCACCATTTGGCCACAGAGCTGGGGCCACAACGGGAACGCCCTCCAGACGAACTCCGTCAAATCCCTTCTGAATCGTGCCCTGAACATCAGACAGAGAGTACAACTCATTGGGTTGTCCACGCAGATAGTACGCATTGGCATGTACCCGGTGGAGTGTCGAAATCAGCGTATAAACTCGGCTGGTGTAGCCAGCCAGTTCTGAGAGGTCCTTGATGGAATACATCATCCTACCGCCAGCGTCGGCCAGCGAAAGCATGAGACGCTTGTTAGTAATGAACTCCTTCATACGGCCACGCTCTCTGCTGCCCTTGGCAGCAGTCTCGGCCATCTCTGCTGCGCCGCCGAGACCACCCCATGCGGGAAGGAAAGTTGGCAGCGACGACAGCAAGTAGCCGTACGCACTCCAGCTATACTTGAGGATGAAATCCTCCAGCATGTTGTACCGGATCTTCAGCATGTAAATGCCCTCCATCCAGTTCTTCAAAGACTTGAATTCCCTGTTCAGGAACTGCTTCTCCATATCCGCTCCACCGTAGAAGGCAATCTCCTCGGCGTTGGCGATCAGGCGCGCATGCAGACTCCTGAAGTCGCCTTCTTTGCGTCCCTCGACAGCCTTGAGCTTGCCAAAAGGTGGAGACAGCCGTCTCAGGATGCTTGCTGTTAAGAAATAGTTGCTCAGAAGACCCGTCAAGGCCAGCGGACCTAAGGAACGGAAGAGCTGGTAGTTGAACACCATCAGGTCAACAAATGGCTTGCCGAGCGACGAGTACAGATTCGCGGCCGCGGCACAGAATAGCGTTAGATCTTGCGTGATAAATTGGTCGGCTCCTTGGCCAACACCACCATCCAAGTTGGAGAGTTTGTAGTAGTTCAAGCTATCGTTGAGGTATAGATCGTGGATATATCGGGTAAGTCGGGTCCGGAAGGCAATGGACACCTTGGACTCGAGGAACTTGATCATCGCGTTCGTGTACGACGCAAAACCGCCGAGACCACACCACTATGATTCCGGTCAGCAAGCTTACGGTTAACGCAATGAACTTGACATACCTTGGCCAGGCCCCAAAGGAATTTCTTCCCTTGACCAGCCACTAGATCTCTGACGATCTCACCATCGAGTCTAGCAACCACGAGCGAAAGATATGTTCTCAGCATCAGGAAAACGCCATGACTCAAGAGAAGGCCAGCCTCTTTGCTCGACCATCTCGGGATCATGATGCTCATCAGGCTTAAAAACTGGTGCAGAAAGGCCAGGTTCAGCCCCGGCTTCGTCTGAGCCGCAGGCACAGTGCCGTCGCCGAGCCCGGACACGCGCGGCGGGTTCAAGAACAGCCTTCGATGCGCCTCAAAGGTCAAGGGCTTGGTGGTCTGAATGACGACCTTGGAGGTGCCATCCTTGTAGGGAACGTATATCGTGCGGGAGCCGTCCTTGTTGTGAAGCCACGAGTTGGTGCGGACGAGCTTACGTCCCTCGTCGCGCTCCTCGCGGCGACGCTTCCACCACCTTCTCCCGCCAGCGGCGCTGAGGACGATGGAGGTGGCGAGGGCGAGAACGGCGAGCTGGCGGGTGGTGCGGGAGGTGTTTCGGAGGCGGGTGCGGATGAGGGTGGAGTATTTTTCGAAGAAGGCGGCGATGGCCTCTTCCGCTGCCGACTGGCGGAGCGTCGATTGTTCGGCCATTGCGGCGAGGAGGGATGCGGGTGGCGATGATTACGGGTGGTTCGGTTGTCGTGGTTGGGATCGAGTCGCGCAGGCTGCGCCGCGGATGGGAAGGGCTGCTTGCTACGAATGCGCAGCCATCACCGGACGGAGAAACGCAGACGATATGAGGGCGATTCGGGATGCGTGGGGGAGGCAGAGGGAAGAGAACACGATGCGGTTGACGATGGTGTTTTGTTCTTGTTTCCGCTTCGCTTGGCTGACGGACGTTGTGACAGCCTTGCAAGAAGAAGTGGGAATGCGAAAAGTCCGGCTAAGCACGTGGTCGCATTGGAAACCTGAGTCGGTCGCTTGTTATTCGGAGGAGGACGGATGGCGGGTGTTGGTGGAGGTAGTGGTGGTGGTGTTTGTGCTTTGGGGCGGTTTTGCGGTACGGGCTGGCTGGCTCGTGATTCAATTACGACATGTGAAGGCCGGGGGAACGGTGGAGTTCCGAGGCACTGCCAGTACCTAACACCCGAACCGGTGGATAACTTGGGGAAAGCTCCCCCCCCCCCCCCTGGGCCTGGGGTCCTCCACTGCAGAAAAAGAACCGAGAATAAATCTGGCTTGTGAGTGGCTGGTTTCGGGTGGGAATGACGCTAACTCGCTAGGATCTGGGGAGGCCTGAACGAATGACATCCGGCAAAGGATGAATTCCAGATGACAACCCCAGAATCGGTTGTGGGGGAACCGGTCCTCAGTGCAGCTTGCCGTCACATGATGAGATATGCTCACGACATGAGGCGTCTGATGTCTAATTTCTGATATCCAGAGGCTGGAGTGGTTCATGATACGAAGCTTGATGGGTGAGGTGTTCCGCCAGAGTTTGGAAGTCAAAAATGCAATTCCATGAAGCAAACCAGCACTGTTCTAAGAACCGTATATTCCTTAAAGGTATTTCCCCCGTTGCAACCATTATCTGCTACCTCTGTGATCACTCTTGCTGCTGCCTGATAGCCCTGGTACCCTGTCATCAATTATGATTACACAGGCCTTCAAACAGAAACAAGAGGCGCAGAGTGGTAGACATGGTTTGCCGCACAAGCAAGAACGGCATCGTTTGTGGGTTTCGCAACGAAGACATGTTCTAACCCTGTAGCTGAAGAACCATATATCAAGTTCAAGAAACCTGCAACCTTTGTTTGTGTTTCTCTTCTGGAGATGGCTGACTTGGTAACGCCAGTCAAACAAGGCCAGGACGTTGAGGTTTGGGGATGGAACCAAGTCTACAACGTTCTCGCGAAAGACGCCGTTTGGATTTCGAAGTCGGAAACGAAAAGACGGTGACTTACTATGGGCGAACACGGAATAGCTGTTTCCAAACCTCTCGGTCATTGCCAAGATGTCTCTTTGCAGCCGTTACCATTGATACGACACTGTTCTAGAACACTCTATGACTGACACAGGTCACGAATACTGATGGAAATGAAGCGATAGCACGGTAATGACGAATCTTGAAATCATTAGACAACGACGTGTAAGCTTTCAGTTGACTAACAATGAACATCACGTTGAAACATTGTTCGTCCAGGGCCACCTAGTTTCACAATTGCGACCATATTTGCATTCCAAACCGAAAAGTCTGAGAAACAATTGAGTCACTATGAGAGGTAATTAACCTAAGCCATATCGTGGTTGGGTCGAGACCGCAACATTGCAAGGCTGCATGCATCGTGGCCGCATCCGTGGCACCCCGGCCAAAACGGGTAAGCAGCAGAATCTCCAGGGTCCTTCTTTTTCTGACTGGGGCTCGCGACTGCAGTAGCGACCAACCTTAGCTGACATGCTTTCCTGAAACACGCAAGAAAAAAAAAAAAAAGAACAAAAGTCCTTTTTATTCGGTTCGCATCGTTCCTTCTGCAGGATGACACGTTGTGTAAACGTCATATAAGGTGTTCTTGACGTCCGGCTGTCGGGTTGTTAGTTCGTCTCTACACGAAATCCCTCAGGACCAAGCCGCGAAGCCGAGACAGAACCGCCAAGCCCCGTCCGCCATGGCGAAGTTGTGGAATCGTCAGGTGACGGAGGAAGAAGACTTCGAGATCGCCCAGCAGATATGGGGTTATTACAAGGCCGGAGCCAGGCTTTGGACCAAGGCGCAGCTCAGGGATGCCGAGGAGCAGCTGCACCAGACGACGCCGTACATCGTGATGGACGGTATCGACGGCAACAAGTTTCGGATCCCGCGGACTACAGGAATGGTGGTCAAAGGTGAAGATGACAGGTGAGCTTTTCGAGGGAAGGCTTATCCCCTACCAGCAAGTTGCTAATGTTGCCCAGGGTGGAACATCTCGCCATCGACTTCCGTCCCATCCAGCGTCTGGTCCAGGGAATGAAGTCCAGCGGGAGGGGACGACGTATCATGACCGCGTTCTCCACGGTCATGCCGACCTGCGTCCGGGAGTACGGAATGAGACCTGAAAGGTTGGACTCGGACGCGATATCGCACATGTGGGACGAGTGTATACGGAAGTGGTGCGCGGGCGCCACCCGCAAGGCTCTCGTCCACAGGTTATATAGTCTACCGCTGCCCGACGTCGGAGTGGAGAAGATCATATGCTTCGGCCTGGGTGATCTGGATCGGGATGAGCGCCCTTACTTTCAGCACGCGGCGGCGATGATCATGGGCGAGATCATGACTGAGGTGATGGAGAAAGAGGTCCCGGTGATGCTGCAAGATCCCGATTATTCCCCGGCATCGATAGAGGTCCTCCAAAAGCATGGCTTCAAGATTATCGACGGCGGCGTCCGGGGTTTCATTGAGCTCGACGAGACGACGATGGTCTTCACGGTGGCACCGAACGTGCCCGTGAAGCAGCTTGTCACCGAGCTGGCCAGGCCTGCTGTCATGATCTGGAATGCCGAGTTGGATATCCCGGCGAGATCGAGCTTCAAGGGCAGACTGCCGGATATGGAGCCCGAAGAGGAAAAGGTGATGAGGTAGGACCTGAGCTGTGGTGATGGTGTTCTCCGAGGAATAACTGACGTCTTGTCGTAGGTACCAGGACACGGACCCGTTTGCGTCGCGGGTGGGTGACATGCTCCGGGACGAGTACACCAAGTACGACTTCCCTCGAGATATCCAGAACTTCGGGATCCTCGAGGTCTGTGTCAAGGATGATGAGTCTACGACAATTGCGTCTGACGAGAGAGATATACTTCGAGAGTGGGGGAACCAGCCAAGCTCAGTCTAGGGGTCTCGAGCAGCCTCGCACATAATTTGAGAGCGAGAGAGGAAGAGAGAGAGAGAGAAAGAGATTATGACAAAGACAGGGCGGTGAGATGACTGAGTGGGAATTATTAAGGAAGACTCGACGACGGGGTGCGCATCATCATGGGGTTGGTATCGTGACATTGATATCTTTGCATTCCTTGGCGTTCAATGGAGGGGCAAGGCATGGCGGGCAGGAGCACTTCTGGGGACAAAAGCATGATAGACGGCGTCGGTACTTGACTCAATTCCCCATCATTACCTATTCTCATAATCTTCTTGGAGGCGGCGGGAGGTCCCATCCATGTCCGTCCGCCGGCCCGGAGTGTGCCATCTTCGACTGGAAGGTTGAAGACGTGGTCTCGGATCGCGAGATGTGATACAGCACACGCAGGAACCACGACGTGCGTCGCGCGGGATGTATTACACAGCATCTCTGCGTGGAACGTCTGGTCGTTTGGAATGGCCGAACCAACAGTAAAACCTGTTCCTGTACAGCCTGTACAGGTACGATGGTAGTAGGGTGGTGGTGGTGGTCTTCCCGAGTCGGGCCATCTGGCCAGGTAGTCGGCCGACGGGGTGCCTACCTCGTGTTCATCGTCATAGATGATGACCTACCTAGTGTCTGTTGGTAAGAAACCGTCGTGAAAAGAAAGAATGTCACGCGGACACAAACATTGGAGAGAGATGTGTTTCGTTTCTAGCACACGGGAAGGGGAACGTTGAAAAAGAATGGAGATGGGGGATCCCCGCAAAAAGAAGCATCGGCGGCACGGGAAGGGCGACCCCACACACCACCAGAACCAGAGCTTCCAATGTCCGCCACCGAGAGCCTCTTTTTTCTTAAACCCGGGTTCCATTGCCTGGGAGAAATGTCCTTCGAAGTCGAACTCGCACTCCCACTCCTGAGGGCGACGCCAGGTCTGTCATCCAATGTCACCCGCCTGCGTGTCTTGTACTACACTCGCCGGTACGCGCGGCGGACTATGCAGCCGAGACCTCCTTTCCCGCCTTCGCTCGTCAGTCAGGCAGGTCCTTGTGCCGCCGTGATCCAGACGGATGTGGCACAGATGATGAGGCGAATGCACCCTCGCCCACACCACAGAGCCAAGTCTCCTGTGGCGTTCGTACCTAATGTGTATTCGTACGGTGCTCCATTACGGTACATACGACCGGAGAGCCGAGAAAGGTCGTCCCGGGTGTGATGGGGATGGAGGGCCTCGAGTCGCGATCTCTGTCAAAGTGTGAGTCGCGGCGGGTGCGGAATCGGGCGAGCCTTTCCGTACGGCGGTATTGCCCAATTACGGCCTCTCGCCGTGCGGTGCCTGAGTGGGTGGCTCTCTCCTTCTCCCTCGCGATGCAGTGGAATGGGGATTGGGATGGATTTCATGGATTGAGTGTTGCATGAGGTGCCTGCCAAACAAGATCCGTCACTCAATCGGGCGGTAACATGGCCAATCAGGAAGGAGCTTCCAAACCGGTCTGGATCCCCACTGGCTGCGAGAGCTTCCCGTCTCCCCCTGTGGTTGGCTGGATTTCCTGAGCCCTTTTTTCTCTCTTCGAGATTGTCTCTAAAGTCGTGAATCGCAGAATGATGATTATCCTCGTCTCTTCTGTATTTGACTCGTATCGATCGAAATGGGGCTTATTTCCGCCTTTGTCTAACCTCGAGGGATGACCCAAGTTCCTGCGTGACGACCTCGAATTGATGGTCGGCGCAATCTTGTGAGAGTGCTGGGTATTCCGTATCACTCTCACTACCTACCCTCCCCCCAGCTAGCACGTTTTTAGTGGCGACGATTCGGGCGGGTAGTAGATGAGTGGATGGATGGAATCAATGACCATTGTCTGGCCCAGAATCAGGGCGAACAGGCTCGGAGATGGACAGCTAGCTGCATGTACTCCTGGGCGGATGCCCGCTGCCAGAGCTTAGTGCATGAGGATATTGCCAGTTGGAGTTTGCCCTATCCATGTTCGCCTGGCGTGCTGTGCCAATTGGGCGAGAGGTACGTTTCCTCGAAGCGCTGCGAGCAAGGTCTCGGAACCATCCTGGGTTGCCTCTTTGGTGTCGTCGATTAGTAGTGGTCGCTGCTAGCTTTACCTCGTGCTGAACATTGAGCTTCAACTCGGGTGCTCATGCAAACCCCGATCACATCTGATGCGACTGGTTCACTGGCCGGCCCGGCCCAAGGGTGACGATGATGGTTCACTTCCAGACTCGAAGTGACGGGAAAGCTGGGGGGTGCGCGCGCGCGCGGACGGATGCAGGCCAAGCAGCTGCTGGGCTGGACTCTGGACTGCGTTGCTAGCCAAATGGCGAATGGTGTCGCGGCGGCCGGCACGAGAGTTGGGACTGAGAGGTGGATTGTGGACGGGGGACCCGGCGCGCATTGAAGCAGAAGCCGCCCGGCTGACCTTACCCTGTCTGGTCCGGCGTTAGACCAGACGCTCGCTCGCAGGAGACGACGGCGGCGGCGGCAGCATCCACCACATGCGAGCTTACTCTTGCCGTCGAAGCTAATTAAGGCACGCTGATGAGGTGCCGGCTTCCACACGCAGTAGACGGGAGGCAGACGTCTGACGCGATACTGCACCTTGTGAAGTAGTGGGTTCAGCGATGTCAGACCCGGCGACTTACTCGGTGTTCGTGTGTTCTGCTGGACGGCAGTCAGACAATTCTCGTCAGAATGTCTCTGGCTTCGACGACGGACCGACGGGCCAGGGAGGTATGTGAGATGGGAGAGGTCTGAGCAGGAACAGAGTGGGTTTGTTGTTCTCTCTTTGGAATTGCTCTGAGGGTGTAATTTATGGGGCGCCATCGTCTCGACTCTCGAAGACTCGGTTCGGTGTAATCGCGGCTGGCTTACCTTACTCGGTGAATCGTGGGCGAGATATTGACGGCTCGACGGCAGTGGTCAACAAAGATATCGGTCTGAATCTAGCTTTGCAATCTCTGCGGTCTGCACCGCTGCCAGATCAGAGATGTTTGGGGGACCTAGCAAAGGAAACAAGAGAATGGGCAATTTCAGGCTCTAGCTCCTGAATGCTGGTGCTGCGTGATGGCCGGGATGGAACGTCTCTTGTGTTCCCACCATGGAGATTTTTGTAATATGAGCTTGGCAGTCCAGCCGTGAGAAATGGGAGATGAGACATGGCGTCTGATGCAGGCAGATAGTCGTCTGGTCTCCGACACAGTGTGATGCTGTCAGCATGGTCAGTGCGGTACCCGACCCACATTGTGGAGTGTCCATGGCAGACGTCACTTTTACAGTGTTTTCTCAGTGGTTTCCCCCCTGAAGCCGGTGTGGAAATTGCACTAATCGCATGGGCCGTGCACAAACCGAGCAGTGCCGACTCCGAGGCCACACAGTGATCCTGGGTGGTCCCCTATCGCGCCCCATCTGGCAGGCCGGACCTCTGCTTTACCAGGACGGGACGGGCTAATCTCACGGGGAAATCCACCCACACCCATTCAGCGTCGCTCCCAGCCCAGAAAGAGACCAGAAAGCGACGAAGCGACCAGGAAGCTGCAAACCCCCCATGTTACCTGTATCCGCAGTGTAGACCACGGACCAGCTCCTGGTCGACCCTCATCACCCCCATCCAGCGTTGCTTTCAAAGGCAAATCATCTCGCTTGTGCCTTTGATGCTCTTTTGCTCCCGTCTTGCTCTCTTTCAGCCTCTGATAGGCACTTCTTCCTCGTCCTCTTCCTGCCCTGGTTCCAGGTCCCCAAGGTCCAAGGTCCAACTGACTGTCGAAGTCCCGGGTCTCCAGGTCTAGTCTGTCTCTCTTCGCCTTCCTGCACTCGTTGCATTTTGCATCTGCATCTGCACCTGCAACCTACACCCGCACCCGCTGCGCCTGCGCCTGGCTTCTTCCCGTCCTTTTCCCCCAGGAACCTGAACCTGACCTGACTGACCTTGACCTTGGCCTGTCCAGTGTCATTTCTTGTCTTGTCTTGCCTTGTTCTTTCCTGCACCAGAAAGCGTGGCCTGGACTGCATTCGACTTGTCTTGTTGCTCACCTCACCATTGCTGCTCCTATTAGCCCCCTCCTAAATCCATTTTACCTCACTCCGTAATCTCTTTTGGCAAGCCTGCCGCCCAATTCTTCCCGTCTTTCGCTTTTACACACATCTTTCGACAATTCACCAGGTCGGGCTTCGTTTATTCTCTTTCCCACCTCCGTCAAGCGCCAACTGTCAGACTCGACTCGAGATATTCGCACTGAAAAACAAGCACAAAAACCACCAACTTCACTTTTGTTACAGCGAACTTAATTCTAGCCGCCTGTCGTGCTATTCCCTGCAAACGCTCTCTGCTTTCCACCCACTTTTCGCCCGTCCGATTCGACCACCACCACCACCGCCAACACCACCATTACAGCACCACCGCCGCCTCTCAGCGCAGCATCTCACGCCTCCGTCCCCCCGAACCAGGCCTGGCTTGACTCCAACTGAGCGCAGTACCGCAGTAGCACCCCCCAGCCACTTTCGCCTCGCCCACTCATTCATTCCATTGGCGCCGCTTCCTGCGCGACCGAGCCCAAACCATCTTCCATTCTCCGCGTTCGACCGACTACCTCCAAGGACCGTCGCTTCGCTTCGCCCTCCCTCCTACTCTCTCATTCCATCCATCGTCCTCCGCGTCGATCCTTCTTTTTCGAGACTGTCGTGCCCTTCAATCTGGACCGCGCGACGAGCACTCCGAATTGGCCTTTAACGGCCAACATCAGCTGAGTTCAGGGGTTGAGGATTCTGGGAAAGCTTGCCGGACCCGATAAGAAAGGAGGTGAGTGAGTGACGACACTCTTTTTTTTCCATCTTCATTCCCTACTCCATCCACCGCCAGACACGCTCTCATGTCGACATCATCAAATCACCACTGCGCGATCCTGTCTTGTTTGTGTGAAGTGGCACGTTCGCTTCGTCGCTACGCCCCTTTCCCGCGCGCAACATGTGCGTCGTGTCCAGGCGCCTGCAGCACAAGTACGCCAACAGCACCTCGGCCGTGTCTTAGACCTTTGGAATGAGAAGCATGAGGCGGAACTGGTGTCATGGATCATCTAGAATCACCACCGGGACTTTTACCAGCCCCTCCTGATTCCCCAACGCTGCGTGTCTGCGTACGCTCGCTCGCTTGACCCGTTTCGCTAATCATCCCCGATCCAGTTCGACAGCATCATGTCCGAGAAGCCACAATCATCCAACCCAGCCGACGAGATCACACCGCACATTCGAGAGAACGGCCAGTCAAGCCAAGAAATGTCCAAGGAAAAGGTGCTTCTCGCACCAGAGGAGGGTGGAAATTCAAAGAAGGGTAGGGGTCTGCTGCATGTACCGTCGAGGTCTTCCTCGCAGCGCAATCAATCCTCTCCGACTTCGACAGGGCTGAGCGGAATCACAGTCAGCGATTCGAGAAACAGCATCGGCGGACGATCGAAAGAGTCCAAGGGCAGCATTCTGGGACGCCATCGAAATGGCAGCGTCGGCAGCCACCGATCCGGCATTGAAACCGAACCGACCAACACCCCTGGCAACACCCAACCGAACTCCCCCGTGAATCCCCCGCAAAAGAAGAAGAAGGGAGGTCTTTTCGCCCTTTTCGGCTGCTGCGGAGTCCCCGACAACGCAAACGCCATCGAGAACGGCGACGACCCTGCCGTACACAAGCTCGACAAGCTGCCTGCGCGCCCGACAACTGCCAAGTCCCGACAGCCGACCCCACAGGAGCAACCGACCGCAACGAACAAGCCGCAAATCCAGGAAAAGCAGCCCCAACCCGAACAACCAATGACCGCCGGTAACGAGTACAAGGGTAAGCGCGTCTCCAACACGACTACCGCCGACGATTCTACCGTCGGCGGTCAGGAGGGCTCCGAGTCGAAGCACGCGACCGCTGCCGGCACGGGTGCTAGCGCCAGTACCGCTGCGCCGGTAATCACCGTCGAAAACACAAAGGGCGAGACGCTCCAGGAGGCGCAGCTTGAAGAGCCGGAAAAGAAGGATGCCGAGGGAGACGAGGTGATGCCGGACGCGACGCCCGAGCCCGAAGAGTCCAAGCAGCAAATACCGCCGCCGGTCGAGGACGCGCCGACGAGTCAACAGCTTCCGGGGCCTCCTCCAGGGCCGGCCCCAGGCGCCAATGCCGAGAACGGATCTGTCGATTTGGCCGGTCCCGTTATTGCCGAGCAGAAATTCCTACTGCCCGCTATTGCTCCCGAACATAAAGGCAGGAAATGTCTTGTCCTCGATTTGGACGAAACCCTGGTTCACAGTTCCTTCAAGGTATGTCTATAACACCAGCTTGTGCGTTGCAATACTGACCGCCTACAGATCCTTCATCAAGCCGATTTCACTATACCCGTAGAAATCGAAGGCAATTATCATAATGTGTATGTTATCAAGAGACCGGGCGTGGATCAGTTTATGAAGCGCGTTGGCGAGCTCTACGAAGTGGTTGTCTTTACCGCGTCCGTCTCCAAGGTATGAACTCTCATCTTGCTCCTCCCGATCACTTCTAACATTCGGCAGTATGGCGACCCGCTCTTGGACCAGCTCGACATTCACAAGGTCGTCCACCACAGGCTGTTCCGTGAGAGCTGCTACAATCACCAAGGAAACTACGTCAAGGATCTTTCCCAGGTGGGAAGAGACTTGAAGGATACGATCATCATCGACAACTCTCCCACGTCATACATCTTCCACCCTCAGCACGCCGTTCCAATCAGCAGTTGGTTCTCTGACGCACACGACAACGAGCTGTTGGACTTGATTCCCGTTCTAGAAGACCTTGCAAAGTCGGATGTCCAGGACGTCAGCCTGGTTCTCGACGTTACACTTTGAAGCTGAAGATACCAATTTCTTTTCTTCGTTCATCACCCCCGAGGAAATTTGCAGGACCGCGGTCCCATCATAGCGGAAGGCGTTTGGGTTGCGATGGATCGTTTCCAGCAGGTGTAGATGTATCACTGTCTAATCTTACCTTATAATGAGCAACGGCGGAGGTACCAGACCACCGAGCCAGCTCACGGCGGCTTGTACGCAAAGAGCTTAGGGGCCGCTTTCAAAGGACCTCGAGGATGACACTCTCATCGAAAAAGCCTCGGATTCGGAAGGGAACAAAAAAGAGGCACTTTGGAGCCTGGGATGGCCGGACTGGAGGCAACTGACGCTGTTCTGGCACCTTTGGTGTTTTCTCTGGCGCCCCGTGGTTTGGAAGTGAAAAGAGCCCCACGAGAAAAAAACGCCCGTTTGTTGTTGTTGAAGACCAATCGTCACGGAAAAAGGCGGGGAGGGATACCATGGGTCCTCGTGTTGGTTTCTTCTGGGCCGGGGATGCCCTTTTTCTGTGGCAGGATATTCACTGTTTTCCCTTTGTTCATTCTCTCTAACTTCTGTTTGAATCGTACACACAACACACACTCACCCACCACGTCACTTTACCACCCCCATAGAGTCTGCAAGCAGGCTCTCTCTTTTCTGCCCGTGTAGCCGGCCGACCGTCGAGCGGAAGTGGAGGACAGTTGAGAGGGAAAGAAAGCCTTACTCCGTTGTATTTCATCAAGTGCTGCATAAGCTGGCGCCGATCAGATGGATGGGTTTGGGCTGCAGAAAGCGGCTGCTTCCTAGATATACAGTACCCCCTCAAATTCAATGAAAGCGTTCAAAAATAATCAACCAAGCAAAGTATCGCGAAATCAAGGGTCCTGATGTAAACATTCGGAAGACGGGATGACCATGTCTGCCACGCGAGAGCTTTCATCAGTTGATCGAGCCAGGATGAGGGCTCCATTGTGGAGTTGGGTTAGGCGCTGTCCGCCGAGGTGACTTTTTTACGGGCAGGGGGACCCGTTAAGGTAGGTATGTTCGCCGCCCCAGGGGGGTCTGGAACGTCGGGTCGGAAAATCCCACGACCCCCAGAACCTAATGTCAGCCGTTGGTCCCCTTTCCAAAACTGTGGCCTCAACTCTGCACTTTTGAGCGCAACGTAGCCGGACCCCAGCCAGCAAGCTCGACGTCTATCTTTCCCATCCATCCACGCTCCGACCGAATTCGACCTCTGTACTTGTTCACTTCTCGACCCAATTCCGAAATCCTGCAGCGATCTTGGGATCAGTTTTTTGTCACGCTCCTTTACAATGGTTAGTTCTCCTCCCTCCCGATCTTGATATAGCATCGGATAGCTCCCAGTCTGCAATTCGATCGAGGCTCTGATTGCAGCTCGCACGCGACATCCCTCAATGGCACGACATTCGCACCGGGAAAGTCCGCGGTGCTTGTCTGCGATTGATGCTGCGCGTGCTGCGCGCGTTCACTGCCAATGCAATGCTATGCTAGGAAGAAACATTATTGCTAACTTTTGATGCGAATGCGAATAGTCTTCCCCCCGTGCCTCCTCTCCCGTTAACTCGCCCGCCGCCGCCTCCGGCGCGAGCGTCGCGCGTCCCTCCTCGCCCACTCCCCCCGGCGGACCCCGTACCGCCATCCGCCGCCGCGCGGCCGCCGACCAGAAAGAGAAGATTGCCAATGCGCGCCCGAGCAGCACGAGGGCCGCCGGCGCCGGTGGCAGCAGCAGCACGATGCTGAGTATGTCTTTCTGCCTCCCCGTGGACGCTTCCCGCAGACGTCGAATAATGGGCGATTATTGGACTGCGGATGGACAAAGTACTAATACGTCGTCATTGTAGGGCTGTACACCGACGAGTCTCCCGGTCTCAAGGTCGACCCCGTTGTCGTCCTCGTGCTTTCCCTTGTCTTCATCTTCAGCGTCGTTGCTCTTCACAGTAAGTCCTTGGCCCTCTGACCGCAAAAGCACGGTTTCCAGTGAAAGGGATCCGACTGACACGTGCATTACAGTCATTGCCAAGATCACCCGGAAATTCTCCAGCTAAACGAGCTGCCCGAAGCTTGAGGGAACGGCGATGTGATGTTTCTCGAAAAGACCAATGGAAGACGCAGTTTGTGGTGTTGTCGCTCCCCTGAACACCCCGACTCGGAGGGGAACGAAGCCAACGTGACACCGTGTTTCTGCAGCAGACACGGGAAACCATGGGCATGGGCGTGGGCATCACATATATCAGACAACACACACACTATGGCAAAGCTTTTGACGATAATGGACGGTGGGATCGCGCGTGAGGAGGAGCATCTGGTCGGCGGAGGGCCGACACAGAGAAAAAGCATGACTTGATGCGCGCCGCTGTATTATACCTCTTTCTTACACTTTTATATCTACACCTGCGGCTTTTTTTGGAACTCAGTTTGGCGTATGAATCTGGCGAAACGCGACTTTTGTGAGACTAGCTGCTGTCGAACGCCGAGTTTAATGTCGATACCAATGTGTGTGCCCGAGGCTGAGGTGACCTGTTTAGACTTGGCGAGCTCGTGACCTTATTTATCTCTTGACTTCCCTGAAGCACCTGAAGCAGCAGCGATCCACTCGGTCCACCGCGGTGAACGGGGCCTCATCATTTATGGTGTGGAGTTGGAATGAAATCCATCACAGGCACGCGCCTCCCATTTGCGTGCAAGCCCAACAGAGCCCACCACGGCCACGATGGGACATGAAAAGACCTTCTGAATTCGGGAAGACGGTTGTTTGGTTGAGTTGTGTCCTTGGCGGATTCTGGTTTTATTTTAACAGCTGTCAGTTGTGGATACTTGTTCTGGAACCATGATTATAGGTGACTTTTCAGTCGTCAAGCCGTTGATTTTTGTTTGAGTTGTTTGTGTCACAGAGGCGTGAGATGTTGCTTGAAAATGTCTGCCTACGGTGTTGACCTCCGCTGGTCTAGACTCGTGTAATTACTCCACGCGTCCCCTGGCCTTGGCCGGATTCGCAAGAGACCTCTCAACTCCAAAGACCTTGGGACAGAACTTCAACACGGGATGTTCTCGTTGCCTGAATGGTTGGAGTTGAATCGTCCCTACAGACCAACGCGTCGACCAACAAACCCTGTCGCCTGTGGCTGTGCGGAGGGGGGCGTTTAACCTGGAATCGTCCAAACCACTCAGAACAACGCTCAACGCCGCTGCCCACCACTGGAGGATCTTCAGCCCCCGGCCCGCAATCCATTGGACGACCCCATCCGGATTGGACGTCATAGCTGCCTGCTTCTTCTTTCGTGGGGAGGTGACATCCGTGCCAGCCCAAGTGCACGAATGGCAACACGCCTTTGAAGAGAGCGCTACCGCGCAGCAGGGTACGTAGTTGATCTTGGCCAACAGGTTTGAATGGCGGTGCAGTTTTACGCATTGTCATTATCCATGGTAAACCGGGCTGAGGAACCTCCTCTGGGCGGGGAACGTCAGCGCAGCAGCGGCGCGTCTCCCCCACCTTAGGTTGCCTCCAGCTTGCCGTAGCTCAAGGGTCTGGGCCGCGAGCGAGCTTGATCTTTGGCTCCGATGATGAAACGGGGCTGAAATGTGTTGGTCTGCCACATGCATCTTAAAATCCTCTGTCCCCTTTCTCAGTCCAACATCGGATTGATCGTGCCAGTGCCACCGGACGACAACCAACACTACAGCTTGCTTAACTTTTACCCTTTCGTGATTGCCCCTCTCGTACCACTTATCTTGCGCCTCTGCATTGAAACGGTGTTACGTTAGCGCATAGCTCTTCGCCAAGGACCAACACCTGCTTCAGCTGCGGGCGACACCTGCTCTTTCATGGGAAATATCTAACCCGATCGTGATGTTCTAATATTTCAACGCCTCTCTCTCCCACTCTCAATCGTTCCTCCATCGCCTCTGGCCTTCCAACATACCCCAGTAGGCGAATTACGACCCCGCACTATGACGGTCGCCAAAAACCAGCAGGGCGCGAGCTCAAGCTCGAGCTTTGCCCCTCCTCCCACGTCCCAACAGACTAGCGACTTCGACCTCGACAGAGCCGACAGTCAGGAAGTCCCCGACGCTCTCGTCTCTGATGGCTTCAGCCTGCCGTCTCTGGAGGCCGACGGCGAGGTCCCGCCGGCCTACGGCGAACTCCCCGACCAGCTACACTTCTCCCACTCGGGCGTGGAAGCCGGCGCCAACGTGACAGGTACGAGGAAACTCTCTCGCGGTTTCTCATTTTTGGAACGACGGGCTAACCCCGGGTCGCAGGCGACGGCCGAGTAAACATCAATATCAACCAGAGCGGCAACCGCCTCGCCGAGATCCTCGCCCCGACCATCGCACGAAGCCAGCTCCTCGCCGACAAGCGGCCCTCGGGGCCCCTCCCACCGGCGTACATCCCCCCGTCCCTCGGCGGCCAGCCGGGCCAGACCCCTCCCCCGCAGCTCAACGTCGTCATCCAGATCGTCGGTTCGCGAGGTGACGTCCAGCCCTTCGTCGCCCTCGGCAAGGTTCTCAAGGAGACGTACGGCCACCGCGTACGCATAGCCACGCACGCGACGTTCCAGAAGTTCGTTGAAGAGAATGGGCTCGAGTTCTTCAACATCGGCGGCGACCCCGCCGAGCTCATGGCCTTCATGGTCAAGAACCCCGGCCTGATGCCCGGCTTCGACACGCTCAAGAGCGGCGAGGTCAGCAAGCGCCGTAGGGGAATTCAGGAGATCCTGTTAGGATGTTGGCGCTCGTGTATCGAGGCTGGAGACGGGCTCGGCCCGCCGCCCAAACCCCACGGCAGAGACGCCCCGATGGACGATTCGATCGGGTTGCCTGGAGACGCCTCGCAGAGGCCGTTTGTCGCTGACGCGATTATCGCCAACCCCCCGAGCTTTGCGCACATCCATATTGCCGAGAAGATGGGCATACCGCTCCATCTGATGTTCACCATGCCGTGGACGCCCACCCGCGCTTTCCCGCATCCGTTGGCGAACATTCAGTCGACCAACACCGACCCCGTCATGACCAACTACGTCTCGTACGCGCTGGTCGAAATGATGACATGGCAGGGCCTGGGAGACGTCATCAACCGGTTCAGAGAGAAAGCTCTGGATCTAGACCCCATGTCACTGATCTGGGCCCCGGGTGTGTTGAACAGGCTGCGCATTCCCTACACGTACTGCTGGTCGCCGGCACTCATTCCGAAACCCAACGACTGGGGCCACGAGATCGACATTTCTGGGTTTTACTTCCTGAACTTGGCTTCCGCGTTTACTCCGGACCCTGACTTGGCTGCCTTCTTAGCCGCGGGCCCCCCTCCGGTGTACATCGGATTTGGGTCCATCGTGGTGGATGACCCGAACGCGCTCACGAGGATGATCTTTGACGCCGTTCACATCACGGGTGTGCGGGCGCTTGTTTCGAAGGGCTGGGGAGGCTTGGGTGCTGAGGATGTCGGGCTCCCCGAAGGCGTCTTCATGCTGGGCAACGTACCGCACGACTGGTTGTTCAAACACGTGTCTGCCGTCTGTCACCACGGCGGTGCCGGTACCACTGCAGCCGGTATCCAGGCCGGCAAGCCCACGATAGTGGTTCCGTTCTTCGGAGACCAGCCTTTCTGGGGCGCGATGATCTCCAGAGCCGGCGCCGGCCCGGATCCCATCCCGTTCAAACAGCTCACGGGGGAAAAGCTTGCGGAGGCTATCAAGTTCTGCCTGAAGCCCGAGACTCAGGGCAGAGCGCAGGAGCTCGGCCACAAGATCCGCGAGGAGAAGGGAACGGATCTTGGCGGCAAGAGTTTCCATGACCAGTTGGATACCGACGCTCTTCGATGCTCTATTGAGCCCAGTCGAGCTGCCGCGTGGCGTGTCAGGCGCACCAAAGTTCGGTTGAGTCCCATGGTCGCTGCGGTCCTGGTGGATAGGGGTCTGATCAGATATTCTGACCTTAAGCTGCAAGTTGTTCATTGCTCCCGTCACACGATTATCACTAACACAAATTAGGTACCGAGCCAAGGAATACATCACAGACGGCCAGCCATGGGACCCTGTTTCGGCGGTCGCATCGTCACTGGTAACAGACATCGGCAATATTGGCATGGCCGTCGCCGATTTCCCTCGCGAAATCTTCAAGAGCCGGAGCAAAGGGGACAAGACGCCGGAGCCCCCAGAAATCCCCTTCAAGGAGGGCTCGACTTCTCGCACAAGTCTTGCCCAAGGAAGCGACCAGGCGTCGATGGCGCCTCCCAGCACGCATGCATCCGAGTCTTCCACACAGCTAGGCATGTTGGAAGGTGGCTCGACGCCGACATTGCCGTTGTCCCCGCGTGAGACTACATCATCCGCGACTCCCTCCCATGCGCCATCTGCCACCCCGTCCATGGTCTTCAGCGGACCGGACTCGTCTTCCATCGCCCCCTCCGAAACAACCACGTCCGACCAGTCCCGCCTCGGCCGGCCCCCGGGAAGCCCAGGCAAGAAACCGGCCATTAGAGATTCTTCACCGGTGGCTGTTGGCGTCGACACAGCCGTGGCGGCCGGAACGAGCGTGAGCCGAATCGTCACCACGGGCGTCAAGACGCCAATGAACGTGTGCCTTGGCCTGGCCAGGGGCTTTCGAAACGCACCGAGACTGTACGGCGACGAGATGGTGCGGCCGCAGGAGAAGGTCACTGATTTCTCGAGCGGTCTCAAGGTTGCCGGGAAGGAGTTTGCCTTTGGCATGTTCGACGGCATCGGCGGCCTTGTCATGCAGCCACTCAAGGGCGCCGAAAAAGAAGGCGGAAAGGGCCTCATCAAAGGCTTTGGAAAGGGCATTGGCGGTCTGATCTTCAAGCCCGCGTCTGGTGAGTTTTCCCCCTCCCGCAAGCCCTACTCTCAAATTTTCATCCGATGATGCTAACGTTTTGCCCCCGCCAGCTGTCTGGTCCATCCCTGCCTACACCATGCAAGGCGTTCATGCGACGCTGCGCAATGCGTTCGCGACAAGTGTCCAGAACTACATCATCGCCTCCCGCATGAAGCAAGGGCAGCAGGAAATGCGAGACGCCAGCCAAGCAGAGCGTGAGGACGTGATTGTGCGCTGGAACAACATCAAGTTCGACCTGAAGAATTTCCAAGCCATGAAGTTGAAGGAGCAGCGCGAGAAGAAGGGCGACGGCGGCCCGTCGTCGGCATCGCCCGCGCAGCCCGACGCCGGATTGTCCCCTCCCGTCACGGGCTGGTCGCACACGAAGCACCTGTCGTTCGAGGAGCGGAAGAGATTGCACGCGCGGAAGGAGGCGTGGAAGAAGGGCCACGTCGAGGCGCTCGTCCCCGAACTGGAGGGCGACATGCCACCGCAGTCGCCGTCGAGAAACAGCACCAGCACCAGCGTGGCCGAGGACGAGGAGTTCGAGCGCGCCATCCGGACGTCCGTCGCGGAGACGTCGCGCGGGAACGCGGACGAGGACGCGGCCGTCGAGCAGGCCATCAGGGCCAGCGTCAACCACATCCGCAGCAGCGGACAGTCCCTCCCGGACGCTGCTCGGCCTCAGCAGGCCTCCTCCTCCTCCTCGTCGCGCCTGCTGGACGAGAAGAACCCGGATATTTTCAAGGACGCCGACCTTGAGATCACGGATGAAGAGTACCAGAGCCTCATTGAGCAGGCGATCCAGCAGAGCATGGCCGCGCGCGCCGCTGGGGGAACCACCCCGCAGCAAGCCCAGGAACCCCATGACGAGGAGGAGTACCGGCGGGCCCTCGAGGCGTCGAAGAATGCCCCGCCGCCACCACAGTACGAGGACGATGAGGATTTCAAGCGTGCCCTCGAGGAGTCCAAGATGCATCAGCACCACGAAGGGGGCGGCGACGATGACGAGGAGCTGAGGAGGGCAATCGAGGCGTCGGAGGCGGCGCACAAGGACCAGATGAGCCGTGACCAGGCGGCGCGGACGGAGGAGGACATCGTCATGGAGTACGTCAAGAAGCAGAGCCTGGCGGAGGAGGAGTTCCGCCGGACGGCGTCCAAGGGGAAGGGGCGCGAGGGGGCTGACGGTGATGATGAGGACGAGGAGTTGAAGAAGGCTATGGAGGAGAGTCTGAAGATGAGCGGGAAGCCGGGACAGTCGAGTTCTTCGTGATGAATCTTTTTGATCCGCCTTTTCTTCTTGATTTTTGGTTGGCTTTTGAGGGATGCGTGATAGAGCACAACAGAGATACCACTTAGTTCTGCAATAACATCTTGGGTCTGTTTCTCATAGAGTGCAATAGGGAAGAGAAAGTGTACGAGGTGATTGCCGCGGACTAAGACCCCATGCGTCCCATGTTATTCTCGAGGGGGAAGAGGCTGATGGGACATTGAGATTTTGTGGTTTGAAACCGGTTGTGGTGGGTCACTACTCCTCTGCTGAGCATGGCAATGAACTCGACTTGTCCTGGGGTCTTTGGACAAGACCCAACTTAGGAAGTCACTATGCAATTGATCGGAATTTTCGCATCTTCTGCGTGCCTGGGAAGGATCTATACCACTAGTCACTGACTAACTCGCAGTTTCCTTTGAGATTTGCTCCATGGTCATGAAGAGTCCTAAGAAGGAAACGGCTAGTCCAGACTGGGCGGGAGTACCTACCTTCAACCTCTCCTCGCCTTGAGAAGCTGGGATTTGGATAACTTCGCGTCGGCCTCTGCTCCTTCCCAGTCTCCTTTCTACTTTCTTCCTATATCCCTTCCTAGCACGAGTGGTGAGACGGAAAGAGTCTATATGTAGGTAGTTCTTGCTCACTAACTGGGTAGGAAAAGTTAAGTAAGAAGCACCAGCTATACCATACGTCTAATAGACTGGAAAAAGCTAGGGACAATAGTGAAGGAGACTAGAGGAAGGAAGGAGGGGAGAAAGATAGGAAGGAAAGAGATAGGAAGAAATGAGAAGGAAGACTGGGAAGTAATAAGTGGCAGGCACGAGGTTGATTCCATCCATCACGTATAATGGCTTTGTCAACCCCCACTGTCTTCCCGCCAACCTCTTCCCGTTCTACCCTCGCAACGTTCATCGTCATATCTACATTTCAAGATGGAGGCAATCAACATCAATTGGCACGAGACCTTCTCCTTTTTCATCTCTGATATCGAGTATTATCACCAGGTTAGCACGGAGCGTCTCGGTGTCATTGTCCAGAGCGTTCTCAAGCACCACGAACCCTCTGAGGTGACCGACTCTCCTCCCTTGCCATGGTGCTCGTTGCTCCGGGACCTCATGAAGGTTTTGCGATGCCAGCTAGGTAACCAAGCTCCCGAAAGTCGTTGTACTTTGGTAACTGACAATCTGCAGGATGCAATATCTTACCTGACAACGATACCAATTACCCATGGCTCGACATGCCATACATCCAGCAAAGCAAGCCATACGTTGACTGGCTCCTCCTCGAAGTCGAAACAACGGACTCTCCTGAGGAGATAATCGATGACCTCGTATCTTTCCTGGGAACGAAGGCGTACGGCCCAATCGAGTCGCGCCCGACCTGGACAATCAAGCCGTGCCAAGCATGGTGCTCCAACCCGTTCCTGGTCGATTTCCAGAACGCCTACGGGATGCAGCCCTGGAGTGTTCCCATTCCCTTTGTCAAATCGGGCGATGGTCCGGAAGGAAATATTCATGTTGCTGGCATGTCGCAAGAAACTAAGCAGGCAACACACTTTGCGCAGACCTTCCCCCACCGCCAAGTCGCCTGGTCCAGCGTCAGATTTATGGTGACGCCTGAGCACGTCGCGCTCACTTTCGACCACGGGGAGCCTTCCTTGAGCCGTGAAGGTATCAACGGATTGAAGTGTCTGTACACCGCTCTGCTTCGCTGGATGAAAAGCCGGTTGCGAGACAAGAGCGAGCCGCTGTCGAAATTCGTGACGGCAGCCCTCAAGCAGTGGATATTCGAGAAAAACGATACCATGAACACCAACAACAAACTCTGGTTTGAGTTGAGGACTTTTCAGGACTCTTGCAACTCTTGCAGCATCTTTTAAGGGTATGGGCGCTCCTGGAAACGGGAATTTGGGCATCATCTCGACATGACGACTGCTGGAGCCCAGCACAAGTCGAAGGCATGGGAAGGGGATATCTCGAAGTGGACGTGACCTTGAGGATTCGGAATGGAAGGATCAGAGTGTACGCATTATGCCTTCTTACGATGGCAGGCATCCAGGGGATAGCTTACCTTGTTCAGAGGATCAAGTCTTACATGTCTGATCGTGGACATGAATCATTCAATTCAATCAACCACCGTTGCCTTAGCCTATTTCTCTCCTCGTCGTTTGCCAACAGTGCTGATACGGCCATGAAATCTGTCCGTCTTGAAACAGGTGAGCAGGGAAGTAGTAACCCTTTGCAACCAGCTTCGGGTCTTGTCCAAAGACCCGGGGACAAGTCGAGCCCACCACCCATCGTCTCCATGTGAAAGTCGGGCTGTTGAAGACAGGGGCATGCGGCACGATGGCCTGGAGTCGCATTTCCTATTGTGACTGGTGAAGTGGGGTGTATGGAGATGTCATGGGCGAGCGTATTCTCTAGATGCCCTCAGAAGGGCACGCAGCTATCTGCATCGTCGTTGTTCTCGTTGTCTTCGTTATATTGGTAGTCGTCTCCTAGTTACTGCGAGATCCTAAGCTGCTCAGCAGAAAGTGTGTCGAGAGAGCAGAGTAGAAGCAAAAGTAAGTGAGACAGACCCCTGGATGTCCAGAAGAGTGTTGAAAAGTAGTCCATGTTACTTCCATGCAAGAACATCGACACAAGGCCACCAGCAGAACTAACCATCTAACCCACTTCATGTCACATCCGAGAAGCTTTTGCTAATAGTGATTTGATTGTTTCTCATGTCAGCCACTCGCGAGAACTGATTGATCTATGAACTAATATACACATTTTGTACAAAGAAACTCGTTGACCAAGCTTGATCGATCACCATTGTTGCTATTACTGTTTCCTAAAATCCTGTCGTCGTGACTGCGTATGCTCAACCAGAGCTCTCAAAAAATCCAATTTTGGGCCAATGAAATCAGTAACCCGCATCACGTATGTGGGGGCTCAATGCAGCTTTTCCTTGAGGTAGATTACGGCTGCGTACCCGGCGCAGCACTTGGTGGTCATTCCGTGGGAGCACCATGGGCACTTGACCGTGGTCGAGATCACACCGCTCACTCCCAACTTGTGGTCCTCCACCATGCCATCGGGTTGGGCCATGCATTCGTAGACCTTGCTCGGCATGTCATGCAGGAACTTGCAGCTGCAGCATTCCACGAGCATCTTGGCAACAGGCTCAGGGGCGCCATCCGGTGGTACGATGGACGCGCGAGACGCACGACTCGATCGTGGGGGTACCGGCATAGACTTGCGGGCCTGCTCCAGATAATTCGACGGGTTTGAAGAGGCCTTGAGAGAAACGATGGACTTGCGCGCATCCGAGGACAGAGGCGAAGGAGCTGGCGACTTATTTGTCGGGCTGGAGGTTCGCTTGGCTGAACGTGGCGGAGGAGGGGGAACCAGGGGTCGCGGAACCAGCGGTTGGTGCTTCAACTTGGGAAGGAAACTTGTGTCGAGAGCCAAATCAGGGCTCGAACGGCTCTTAGACAAGCTCGGGCGACGCTGAATGAAATTCTGAAGCTCTTCCTCGACCATTCGCGAAACATCTTCAGTCTCCTTGTGAGGCTGTTTGCGTTCAAACTCCTGAGAGCTTCCCATGGATACAGAGGTGGCTGGCGATGCCAAAGCTGACCCATTCTTGGATGTGTCGGTGTACGCCGGAGTAAGACAAGCCTCACTGTCCGACTCGCAATCAGCAACGCTAGCCTTTTTGCCGAACTTTTCCGACACGAGGGCCTCAAGCTCGGAGAGATGAGCCTCATGGTTTTGAACCGGAATCTGAGGCGGAAGGCTGATCCTGGGATTTGAGGCAACGGGAGAAGACATTTGCATCGCGGCCTTGTGCGAGTGTCTGTACGATCTCTCGTCATTGTCCACCACCAGTGGCTCGTTATCCACTCTTCGTACTTCTTCATCCACAGAGTGAACTCCTTTTTCTGACTGAGGCCTTGAGGAGTCTGGTGTCGTTGCTGGTGATGGCGAGGACATCGGCTCCTCAAAAGAAGACATGGAGGACCTGTCCGTCGGGCGAGCTGATGAGTCCCTCGAAGGCATGCTAGGCTCGGCAGACTCGGCAAAGGGGGGCCGAACAGGCGGCGCCGACAGCGGCAAATGATCCAGACTCGAGTATCGCGAGCTTGACGTTGAATCCGGGGTCAGAGTCGTGTCGCGTGCAGCGCGAGTGAAGTAGTTGGAGACCGGAGGCTTCGAGGCTGAGGGAGAGACCCTGTTGAAAGCCGCCTTGGCGGCATCCTTAAAACTTCTGATGGCCGCTCCAGGGGTTGGAGGAAGCCTCTCCCGGGACTCTGACCGATCGGGGGGCAGCGGAAACTCCTTGGAGAGTATTCTTTCCCTTGATATAGGTGGTTGTTCAGACAGTGATCGATCGAATGACCCGTGTCTTGGACTATCGTTAGCTGGAGGTGTGTAAGGAAGACGGAAGGAGATGACGAAGTCGTCGCCCGGGCTCGGATGATCCTTGGAGGAGTTGAGATTCGTCAGAGAACCGTTACGAGGAGGAAAGTTGTTAGCCATTGGGCTGGTCTCCGATGAAGAAGAATACGAGTGAGGCTGGTACTTCTGGTTGGCCTGAGGTGGATAGTGAGATTTGGCAGATGACACTCTGACTTCGTCGTTGAATCCGTTGATTGAGCGTTCCTTGCTCTGCTGGCGATGGTTGTGCACGTAGCTCTCCCTTCTGCGACCACGATCTTGCTCAAAATCGACATTGGGCTCGACAAGAGTGAGCTCAATCTCTTCAGTATCAGTGGGGACAGGCACTGGGTATCGGGTCGGCCGGTCTTTCCACTGCTGAAGCTTGCTGACATCCGGAACTGGCGGTACGGCGGGAGAATTCCACTGCTGGTTCCACGACGGTACCTTCATCGAGATATGCTGCGACTTTGGTCGAAGCGGACGATCCTGTTGGCGCTCCATTCCTGGCGCCATAGGTCCGTCTGAGGCAGAGTGCGGGAGAGTGGGAGGGTTAAAGGCACCAGATACAGCCACTCTTACATCCGGTCCGAAAGACTGAGCCCTTTGATTCGCCAGAGAAACCGGTGGAAGTGGTTTTCTCAACGGAACGCCAGATGCTGTTTGTCTCTCCTGATCCAGCTTCAAGCCGCCGATGAAGCTCGGTTCGTCATTGCCAGGGTAATGCATCTTCTGACCGGTGATGGCGGCCTTGAGCTGCATTGCCACGGAATCTGACCTCTGTCTGGCATGTTGAGGGCGAATGGGCGGCGGCGCTTCATAATACGCTTGAGTGCTCGCGGGTCGAAGTCTCTCATCGGCGAGCATGATAGGGCTGGACATGGACCGAGACGAGTTCGGAGGTCTTGCGACGGGTGGTGTTTTGTGCAGTTTGGCTGTCAGTCTCTTCTTGACAGACTTGGCCTCCTTTTCGGCCAACTTCTCTGCCTGTTCCTTCTCCTTCCTGCGCATCTTGTCCTCGTTCTTCTTCTCTTTCTTCTTCTTCCCACCAAAAGCTTCCCAGCTTGGGGAGTGACAAATTGAGGACTCGTCGTCTTCCTTGGGCTCGTCCTGGGTATCGACTCCCAGGAACGTGACCGTCTTGTGCTTGTGATCGGCGGACTCCCGGGGTACCAATGCACGATCGATCTCAGTATGTGTGTTGGCCGGTGGTGGCACCGAGATTGAAAGCGAAGGTACGGCAATGGTTCGGCGGGCAGCTTTCATGGCAGAGGGTAGCGGCTCGGGTTCTTGAGGCGGAAGTGTATCCCTCCGACGAGACTGTATTGGAACAAGAGGCTTCACTTGCGGTGGAGGATGCAGGGTGGGAAAAGGCGACAATCTCGGAGGGGAGTGGGAAGGGCGGCCCTGATTAAGTTGATGGCTCAGAACCTGCTGAAACGCCATTTGGGATTGGTGAGCCGGCGTGGGCAGAGACTGGTGCTGGTGCTGGTGCTGGTGCCCCTGAAGACGCTCGAGCTACGAGATGAAGCGTGTTAGTGGAAAGGAAGCTATAATAGCCAAATTGGTGTGGATGCGATCGAGGCAGAAGGCGCAAGACTAGGGCGGGCATGGCTCACCTTTTGGAGGTGCTCCAGTTCGAGCATCTTCTGAAGGCTGTCAGACCTGTCGCGGCGAGGCTTGCCCGGGTTTCGCTGAGCGGCCGTAGAAGTCATTGTCGGGATCGAAGCCGTTTCGAGGCGGTTTAGAGATGGGATATTGCGGGCGGAGTTGTGGCGTCAGAGACGAAGAAGATAGGCGGCTAGCGGTCGCAGAGTACAGGAAGAGGTTAAGGCGACGCTAGTTGTGGCGTCTCGATGGTGTCATATCCTCGTGAAGATTGTTTTTGTTTGTTGAAGAGATTGGCAAGATCGACAAACGTGAAAGAAGACGGGAAAACGGTTCGAGAAGAAGGTTGCAGCGAAGCCAGGCCCACAACGGTGAATGGCGTTGATGATGTCGACGATGGCAAGTGTGCGCCCGGAAAAGACGGTGAATGAGCGAGCTGATGAGACGAAGAAGAGGCGGCAAGAGCTAAGACGCAGTTGGATCGCTGGATGGGCAAAGAGAGAAGTGCGACGAAGTAACGTTGTTGTGGAACGGAAAGATGTCCAAAGAGAGTCGGTGACGAGAAGGAAAATGGCAGCAATTGCCAGCAGCGAACGTAATATTTGGGTGATAATGAGGGTGAGGTAAGGCAAGGTGGTAGGTGGACCGGAAGGAGCTGGGGTTGATTAAGAGAAACGGCAAGACGGGAATCCAAAAGTGGTTCTCGAATGCGGGATGCAGCAAAGAAAAAGAACCTAGGAAACACAGATCGGGCAAGGTGCCCTGGTCTCCGGACGATCTAGAATTTGTTTATGGGGAAACGCTTGGGATGATGATGCCACAGACGCAGAGAGGCAAGACAGCACAAGAATAGGTAGGTGAACATCAGCTAGGTAGAAGTTAAACCGGTGAAAGTCAGGACCCAAGAGCGTCTTCATGATCAGATTTCGTCAGATCTCGTCTGCACGACAACCGGGAGGGGCCATGGCTTACCTATCCAGCGGGACACGGACTGGGGACTGGAGCATCACCCACGAGTGCCATGGGGATGGGCTCCTCTGGAGGGCTTTTCCAGATCAAAGGAATGGAATCAACAGAACGTAAGCTGGTCGCTTGCCAATGGGAGGACCCGGCGGCTATCACGTCTGACTCCTTGAGGGTGCTCAGAGGTCAGAGGTCAGCGCAACGCAAGTTGGGATGGTGATCAGCCTTCTGTGGTCTGAGATGAGGGCCGGGTACAAGAACAGGTGCGTCAGGCACGGCAAGCGAAAGCAAGCACAGGTGCATATTCAGCCGGACTGGCAGGAAACGGGAGGCTAAGGTAGGTACCAGAGACGAGAGACGTGCTTTGGCAAGAGAATTGGCTGTCTTCTCCCTCGCACGGGAATTGTCGCTTGGCACTATCAGTTGAGAGAAGAACAATGTACCTTCCCGTGCCATGTCATCGTGGATATATTGCCTGATACAAAGGAGAGCAAAGCGGCGACGCGCATACAGCCATCGGTTGGTGGGTGGTGTTACACAGCAACTGCCAGCGACGGAGGCGGAGTTGGTAGCCAGCAAGACATGCCGGATAGGTGGTCTGCAAGTATACTGATGGCTGATTTTGTGTCTCTAGCCACATGAAGTGTATGAAGTGAGGTAAGAAACGGTGTGGTGGGATTCAGGATTTCTCTCTGCATGTTGCTAAAGGTGGGATGACAAGATGGAAGCTTGATACGAGATTTCGGGACGTTGGCTACCCTACCTAGAAGCCCCAGCTCGACAAGGGAACCTAAAGCTGCAGGCGCCACCTGGCTCTCCAGACCCCGCCCCGCTGTTAGCGAGGACCGGCAGACATCCCCTGGCTGATCAGCACCGGGACAAGGGCTAGCCTAACACGGACGCTATTTCGGGATGGAGAGAGGCGACGAGACGATTATCTAAGCTAAGGCGGGGCACGTTGAGGACGGTACCTTAGGAAATGCCTCCAGTGTCTCATTTGTTCTTAATTTTCACCCGTTTGTTTCTGAGGTTAGCAGACCGTTGCCTTTCAGTTCCAATGTGAGTATTCCTTCCCGTCTAAAATCTTAGCTGCAGCAAAAGAAGCAATCATGGGTGGTTCTGCTCCATGTTTCCCCACATGGTTCGGCGTTCCATTTTGCGAAGAAAACACTTGCGAACCTCCCCGTCGTGCCGCCGCCAAAAAGCCTCCCTCCCACCTTATTTCCTTTCCTCACCTGAATTCGAAGCTGGCCACCAGACTTCATCCCACGCGCCGCACATACACCCATCAGCTCACAATATAGCCTTTCGTCACGGACATTTTCCCTCTCCCGCATCCTCCAATTCCTCATCCGACCTCTGGCTCGCCATTAAGGTTATGGTTTACCGATCGCCTAACAGCTCGCATCATGGCCTTCCACCTGCCTCCTGCTCCTGCAGCTCCATGGAAGAATCCAATAGTGCCTGACAGCACACTTCGTATTACCGTCGTCCCATCAACTGACACTTGCATATCAACCACTTGCGGCGCCTCCCACACCACCATCCCGCAGCACGCAGCATGCGATCGAAGGGTTCCCTTGCTCTGTCTTGGCCCAAGCTCTATTCCACATGGGAGCTGCTGACACTGCATAGCATTTCGTCCGAAAGACACTGGTGGCAAGAAAGCTGCAAGCCTGCAAGCCCACCGCAGAGACGAAAATAGCTCTCGCACAACAGCAATATGCACCTGCGACAAGCCTGCTGCCAAGCCGCACGTCAAGAAACCAGGCAAACAACCCTTTCTCTGACTCTTGTTTCCCAAGACTCAGCCGGCGAAACCATTTCTCCCCACAACATCACTTCTCCAGGGCCGGAACACCCTTGATTCGATCCGATCGAAATTTACTGGACGCCAACGTTCCTGGGGCTAATGCTTTCCGGCAAGGCGTCCGAGCCTCGCCTCAAACTTCAAACCAAGACTACCGTCCTCTCACGACAAAGCGCAGGCCGCACGAGCATCACACTTGTGGGACGCGTCGAGATACCTTCGCGGAAGAGCTACGTACTTTCCTGGTATCGTGGGTAGTCTATGATCTGCTGTGCGCTTCAACAGTTCTGTCCGACCATGCCGATGGCTTGCATGCTGCTAGACCGTTGCCCAGTCATGACACCATTTGGAATCATGTTTCTTCCCGTTTCAACCAAAGACTTTCCAATTCCTACGATGAGGCGCGTCAATCTGGCGCAGGATCCAGTTCGTGGGCTTCCTGGTGGGCAGGACGTCAAAACGCTGTTCTCTACAGCATTGGTACACTCTATAACACTGCAGATTGATTACAGAAACATCCCGAATCCACGAATGCGGTCGGTTCGGTTCAACTCCGAAAACGCCAAACATCAACATCGCTACCCATTTACCCAGTTTAATCGGCCCAAAACACCAACAAGCAGATTCACTGCGTCTCGAGAAAGTTTGCGTCGTTGTAAGCCAGCCGACGTTGATTTAATCCGTCGTACGCTCTCGCTGTCGCACGTACTTTTCGACAAGCTCGCTCCCTGGGCTGAAATGCATGAGGAGCTCGTTGCCTTCGCCCCAGTTGATCAGCCCCGGAGGCAAGCCGGATCCTCCCTTGCGGAATAACACTCGCCTTTTGTGCCGAAGCCAATTCTTCACCCGGAGGCTGGCCTCGTTGTCCACTTTCAGCCGAACCGCAATCCACTTGTCGTCAGGGCGGTGATCTTGCGTCACTACAGCATCTGGTGCTGACGGTGACTTTGCTGTCTTGAGAATCTTTTCATCCACCCACATGTTGTACTTTGTCTGTTCTGGAGGCAGAGTAATCTTCAAGAACTCGAGCGCTGGCGAGACCGTGAGATAGATTGCCCTCAGCGGGTTAACCAGCGTCTTCATCAGCAGGTCCATCCAGGTGGAATACAGGATCGCGAAGTCGGTCTGGGAAAGGTGAGTTGACCCCCGGATGGTCATCATCCAAGTCAGTGCGTCCTCTCCCCTGGCTTCATTGCAGATGTCGACGAGCCTGTCGAAGTTCTCTTGCCAGTGCATAAAGGCCTCCGATCCGATCGACAGGAGTGGCTTCTTAACGCGATGTCTAGCGTCTTCTCCCGGGTGAGGCGTGGCGGGACCCCAAGCGTCGAGGATGATGCCTTGACCGACCCAGCTGAGCGACTCTGTTCTTAGCATTTCGACCGTCGTTGCTCCGCCAAACGAGTGGCCCATGATCGTCACATCCTCCAGAAACATGCGCCCCTTCCAGTCGCTCCAATCGATTCCCGTCAGACCTTTGGAGCTGGAGGCCACATTGCCCTTCCTCCTCAGGTTCATGGCTTCAACCTCGTGTCCTCGGCCTTCGTTGATGTACCCCAGAACACGATACGCCTCCTCCATCTCCGTCATTCTCATTTGAATCTGTGCCGTTCGCAGCTGCGTGTCGACCCCGCGAGCGTTGTGGGGTGCCGTGTCCTGGGCGTTGTCTTTGGGGAAGAGGTAGTCGACGCAATAATGCTGATCGTTGCCCTCCTTCCCTTTTTTCTTGTTCTTGACCTTCTTCGCGCTGACGCTCTTGACATGGGCGTTCGTTATCGACGAGTCGCTGTCGGAGACCTCGCGATGCTCCGGGAGGTTGACATATGTCCTCGCACCACTGCCGTCACGGTGCTCAACCGCCACGACGATGAAGCCGTAACTCGCCAACTCTCCACAGATGGAGCTGTAGCTCATTCTCGACCCGCCGAGACCGTGACTGAAGATGATGACGGGGAACCTCGGCTTGGCCGACGACGTGGACTCCTCATTCCTGGCGGCCCTCCCGGCCGGCCCGCCGTCGCCCAGCATCTCCTCAGGCCAGTTCTCCGCCAGCTTCGCGTTCCGCAGGGCGGGGAGCTTGGTGAACATGGACGTGGAGGCGATGTACGCCGTCACGGGAAGGTGCGGGACGCTCATGAACTTGGCGTAGCCCTTGCACGTGAGCACACGCGGGCGCGGGAGCCATCCCACCCGGGAGAGCTTCTGTTTCTTTTCCTTCTTGGCGCTGCCGTCCTGACGCCCGGGAGCCGCCGCCGCCGCCGGGTCGTCGTTGGCCTTGGTCTTGAGTGTGCACGGGTAGTAGACGGAGAAGAGCACGGTGTCGAGCCTCAGCAGCGGAACGTTGTCGCGCCTGAGCTCGGAAAAGGTGCGCGGCTGGCGGGCCGGGGCCTCGATCTCGAGGAAGCCCACGCCGTACGGCCCCGTGTAGTACGGCAGCGAGTGGAGGAAGCGTTCGCGTATCGTCCTGGGCGGGTGGGCTTCCGATCGACGTCTCCTGTCGTTTGCGGACGTCGTCTTCTCCGCCATTGGGGTGGGCATTGCGAGGTAGCGCTTAGTCGTGGACGACTAAGCAGGTGTAGTCGTCTTACAGGTTTTCTTGGGTTGGGTGGTCGTCGATGTAAGTGTGTCAATGGTTCGAAAAGAATGCGAGGGTTATTGTTTGATTATAGATCTGTTTCCACCGGACTCCATCTCTCAAGGTCCGGCATGTGGGAAAAAGAGGAATGCAAAAGAAAAAAAAAGCGGTTGGTTGGTTGGGGGGGAGAGAGAAGGGCGATCGGATCGAGGAAAGGATCAGTCAGGGTCTGAACATTCCAGACTGACGCTTCCTCGCTTCTTTTTCGCCCTTACGAGGAGGGCCTTACGGAGGAAACGTTATCTTAGTTAGTCCCCCCTCCCTTCTAGCCCGAGGTGATTTGTCTTTGCGTGCGCGCCGCGCTTTTTCTGCTTTCTCGCTCGGTCTAGAAATTGGAAGTTCGCAAGGGGTTAAAAAAGGAGGGACGTGTGTTGTCGAAGAACTACCTACCTACCGACGAGTCCGGATGAACGCACTGACGTCATGAGCGCCGGGGTTTCTGGTGTTCTGTTAATTATCCCCGGACTGGATTCCGTTTTAGTGCGTGTTCCTTGCAGGAACACGTCCGGGCAAGGAACACGACCGGGGGTTGTTTGGTGGGTGTCGGCAAGCCAACGAGTAAGCAAAGAAGATGTTGAAGTTATTTCAACAAGATGGAAAAGCCGTTTTGGAATCGTGGAATTTCCTGTCGGAATGTTTCTGAGATGTTTTTGCTAGTACATGGCAGGGCAGACGCAGGGGTTCACTCAGCGAGACATGCAACTTTGGGGAATCCGTGCGTTTTGGGTCTCACATGTTTTTTGTCTCTCTCCCGTGCTGCTGCGATGAAGCAATTGTGAATTAACCCGAAAAAGAACATGAAAGTCAATTCCTGCTGTTTTGGTTTATGCTGGTATCTGTATCCGTATCCGTACTATATACGCAGGACCGAGGTCCTGTTTCGCTTTCTCTCTCTCTCCCCCGGCGCTCGGTTCTACACAGTCAAAGGCAGGACCTCATCCTGCGACCTGCCACCCCCCCTGCTCGTCTGACTGCCGGCCCGGGGATCTATCGTCCGGACAAATTTTGGCCGGCCGGTCGTTGCCCGTTCTCGTGACCGGATTCGTGTTCGACGCGAGATCTTGTTGATGATGCGCCGTCCGGCGCCGCAAGATGTTGTGCGACTTACGTTCGTCGTGCTTTCGTTCAAGCCGGATTCGCTCGCTGCGGGTAACTCATCCGTCATTGGGGCTTTTTCGGGCAAAAGATCGCGTGCTTGACGATTTCTGATGCGCCTTTTCTCGCGCGAACGCTAGGTACGTTGGCAAGCGTCGGCCATGATCCGGCTGGTCCAGCGGTTCCTGTCTTCGCGTGAGAACATGAATCGGGGGGCGCGGCGCTGCTTCTGGAGATGGCGGGTCTCCCGTTGTGGAGCCGATGACGCCAAGCCCCGCGCGATTCTTCGGCCCTGTAATTTGGAATCTTTCGATTTGCCGCTTTTTGGTGATGTGATTCTAGAAACACCTAAGCCTCAAACCGAGCCTCAGTTCTGTTCCGAAAAGCGGCCGTCGAGGACGTTGTCGAACTGCCACAGCTCCGGCTGGTAATCCATCGGCAGCCGCCAGTCCGACATGTCCATGTACCCGTTGTTGAAGAACTGGCCCTCGGGCTGCATCCCGCCCATATCCATGAACCCCGGCTGTTGCTGTTGCTGCGGGGGATGGTCCGACATGCTCAGGCTCGTCATGGGGCCGAGGACGTCCCCGCTGCTTCCGGTCCGGGCGGCCGCGGCGGTGGTGCCGCTCATGGCGGTGTCGGGAGGGAACCCGGCGACCTGCTGGCGGGCGACGCCGGTGGCGGGGGATGTGCCGCGCATGGATGTCGGAGGCGGCGCGATGGCGTTGGAGGGGCGGGAGACGGGGAGCATGTGCGGGGGCAGGGTGGGCGTGTTGGCGAGGACGGAGGCGGCGACGTCGGCTATGACGCCGATGATCTGGTAGGAGATGACGGACTGGTGGCCCGGGTCGAACTTTTCGAAGAAGGAGATGACGGTGCGGATGAGGTCGAGGTCGCGGCGGGCGCGGGGGGAGGTCTTGTTCTGGAGGATGTTCACGAAGAGGATGTCCACGCTCCATGCTACCTGGTAGAGGAGATACCTATGCGGGAAGTTATGTCAGCATGTGTGATGTTTGAGAGAACATGAGAGCGGGAGGACTCACGGTGTGTACGGGTGCTCGATCTGGTGGTAGTTCAGCAGCGAGATTGCCGCTCTCGACGCGGATACGCAGAGGGCTAGGGAGGGGCCGATGTCGGGTGCTTCCATGCTCTCCTGGTCGTCCAGGCTCGGGAGGCGGAAGGCGGCGGAGTGGATGGCCACGACGAGCTGGAAGTAGGTGAAGTGCAGCGTCGTCAGACACACCATGCGGTGGTAGTCGCCGTCGAGTAGGGCCTCGACGCGTTCGGGATGTATCATTTCCGGGATGCTCTCCCTCCACTCCTGCAGCTCAGCGTCGAGGCGGCGGATCTCGGCCTCGAGCTCCGAGGGCGGGACACCGCTCTTGGAATAGAGCGCCGACGAGATGCGGCCCTGGATCTGAGCGAGGCGGATCTGCTGGAGGAAGAAGTTGAGGGTGACGTTGTTGGGGTAGTAGTACATGCTGTAGCCATCGGCGGGATGCTCTTCGGGGAGGTCGAGGAGGAAGTCGTCGCTGATGAGCGGGGGCTTGCCGATGCGGAGCATGAGGTCGTGGTCTATGATGTAGGCCTGCCAGAAGAGGCGGCGGCGATGGAGGTGCTCTACGGGGTTGAGATTGGAGGGGTTGGCGAAGGCGAGGTCGGGTTCGGGGCGGTGGTAGCCCGACATCAGGAGCAGCTGGACGGTGAGGCCGAGGACCGTCAGGGCGATGTGATTCTCGGACATGAAGCTGTAGTACAGGATCTGGTAGAAGCACAGTCAGTTTTGCCAGTTGTGGTGAATGATGTGAGATGAGTTTGGAACTCACGATTGAGAGCAACGAGCCTATTGTGAGCGGCGAGGGCGAGCGAATGATGACGTTCGGGATCATGCCCAGCGCGTTGTGGATGTACTTTTCGTACTCTTCCTTGTTGCGCATGCGGTTCCTCTTGCGCAGCGTGTGGGCGATGATCGAGTTGACGGCCATCCGCCAGCCCGGGTCTGCGATGGGCTGGCCGTGGAAGTAGGCTCGCAGCGCCGCTCGCACTTCGTGTTCCTGGAACAGTTTGATACCGGCGTTCATGGTCACCATATAATCTGTAAAGCAAGATGATTAGCTCGCGCTCTCTGATTGTGTGCTCACAACGGTTTCGGGAAAGGGGGGAAAGTGTCTTTACCGTTTACGCAGTCCATGATGACATGGTTAGGAGGTAGCGGGTGGTTGGTGTCTTCTGGTGTCAAGTACGGTTCCGGGTTGTTTGCCAGAATGCTGGGCTGCAAAGCGTTCAGGGCGTTGCTGAACCTCGAGTCTCCAATGAGGAGCTCGATCTGGTTCAGGCCTTGCGGCGAGAGCAGCGAGCAGGCGCCTAAGGGGTCGACCGCGTTAGTTTTTCTCTTTATCGTCATCTTCACGCAAGTTGTCGTCGTCGACTACAACTGGAAGTTTCGTTCCAGAATAGACGTTCGACCTTGAAGCGGAAGTTGCTGGACGAGGGCCTCTTCTTACCTGCGGCAGCGACCACCTGCTCACTGGGAGCCCCCACATAATACGGCCTTGCGCCGGTGGAGGAGGTGGCGGACGGCGGCGACGGGTACGTGTCAGGGTTCCCGGACGACGGGCTTGCGCTACTGGCCTTCCGCCTCGACAGGGGGGAGTGGGAAGCCGAAACCGAAGCCGACGCCGTGGCGGAGGAGGCTTTGGCCGTGCCCGTTGCCGTGCCCGTTGCCGTGCCCGTTGCCGCCGCCGGCGGTGCCGGTGGAGTGGTGTTTGTGGCAATCAGAGGTGAGACGCTTGATGTCGTCGGTGTTGCCGTCATCGCAACCTCGCTGGACTGCGGAGGAGTCGTCCCCGGCTGGTTGGTGGTTTGAAGCTCCTCCACGAGCCTCTCCATCTGGGCCAGTCTTGTGACGACATCTTCATAGAGCCTTGATTTTTCGGTCTCGTATTAGCTGCGAGTCCCACGTCTGAAGGGAGATCGGCAATGTGACAGGCGGGGGCGGATACAAAAAGAGGATGCTTGATAAGGGTAGGGGTAGTTCCTGAGATGATGATGGAGTGGAAAAGGGGGCAAGAAACTCACGGCCTTTGACGCCGTCCTGAGGAGCGTCGACCTTCGGGCCAGGTACATTCCAAGCCATACCTGACGCAATTGGAACAGATTGGCGTCTTGTGGTCGCATCTGATCTGTAAGAATGCCGTACCGGATCGCCGGTCCGCCGTCAGCCAAGATCCATCATAAGTTCAGATATATTTCCCGTCCGCCTCACACGAACCCAGATACCCGGATACTGGGCTCACTGAGCCAACCCACCGGCAACGATCGTCCATTCAAAACCCCTCAGCCAGTGATGAAGTGCTATTCCCGCCCGTCCAAGGGCCATGAGCGGCAAAGATGGGGAACGAATCTCATCAACGTACCTTGCGGCGCCGACATGGAGTGCAAGCCAACGGACGCGGCCTCGGAAGTGCGTCGGACCCGCGGTTCGCCGCTTGTCCGTCTGGCGGTGACTGCTGAGCTTCGGGGCTCTGGTCCATAATAACAGCTTAAATTTTTTCCTTCTACGTCCTTCTTGGCAATAAAACCCGGACTTGTTCGGCGTGCGGTTGGCCGTTGCCGTGCAACTCTTTTTTTGCCTGTTGTTTTCTTCCTCGTGGGGTTTACCGTTTACCAAGCTGTTGGAACCGAGAACGATGCCGAAACCAAAAATGAGGGCCCTTCTTCTTTTCCCACCCCTTTCAATGCGCGAAAAAAAAATGTTAGAGGGCTGCAGAAAAAGGCCAGCAGGGCGTCTTTGCGTGCTTCAAGCGGAGATGGGGATTTGGGACGGGGGGGACTTGATTGTGCGGTGTTTGGGGTGGTGGTGGTGGTGGTGGTGGGCGGTTGGGTTTGGGGGCCGGAAAAGCATGTGCAATCCAATCCAATCCAGTCCAATGTCATGGATGGTGAGTCCCCTACCTTGCCTTCAGCTTGTTACTGACCGTAGTTCTGTCTCACCGATCTTTTTTCCTTGGTGCTCGTCGTCGACCTGCTGGTTTCCTAGCGTCTTTCCCCCCTCTTCTCGTCTTTGTCTCTCTGTCTCTCCTTGGCTTGCCGCTGGCTCTCTTTTCCCCGGTCAAAATTTGGTGTCTCTCTCTCTCTCTCTCTCTCTCTCTCTGTGGCTCCCGGCTTCCCTTCGAATTGCGCAAATTGGCGGATATTTTTGATTGTCCGTCGGAGTGCGCGGATGGGCGTGTAGGTGGTTTATACCCAAAGGGATGGTCAGCGCCGACGCGACCTGATGCTTGTCTGGTGTTTTAGGGGTGAAGTCTAAATGCCCCCAACCTTAAGCCGATTCCACCTCATTCCTCTCCCGTCAATCTCTGGCGTCTCCACGGTCGAAATTCGGGCGAAGCGTCCGCGTCGCATCCCATCCGGGGGAGAGAGAGAGAGTGGTGGAGGCCCAGGGTCTCTCTTTCTTCCTCCGCGAAAAACCTTGGCTTGCTGACCGCAAATTAGACCGAAATATTAATCTTTTCCCCAAGTGACGCTCGCAATAGCAACGGGTAGGGCGTAACGCAATTTTATATAAACGCTCGTCCCACGTCCTAGTCCGCCTTCAACTGGTGTTGGCCTCTGCATATTTTCAGTCTCATCTTTTATTTCCCTCCTCACTCTTAACCCCCCCCTTTCATCCCAGGAGATGACGACCACGAACTCTCAGTGAGCCCAGCAGCGCCCAAAAATTCTCCAACGGCGCGCAACTCTAAAAGCCCTTAGCACCCCCACCGTCATCTCCCACCGAGTCAGTCGCCAACACCGATTTCGCTGCTCTTTCGCTGCATAGTAATCCTGCATTTCCACGCTGTGGCTGTAGCGTAGCGAGCCCGGCTTACAAATTGATGCTACGCTGCCTACCTCAGGTTTGTTGGACGGGGCCCGTTTCGCCTCAGGTCGACGTGCGAGCGAAATGCGCGCAGAAACTCTGTCGGTCTGGATGCCTCGAGAAGGAATCACGCCGATAGGCTGGGCTGCGTCGAATCAACAGACGACAACCCGGCCAAACCCATCCCTTCGGTCATTTCGCGACAGAATGACAGGTTCGGGAGTCCTCGAATGGGCAACTCAGACGAACGTCTCCTTACCAACCTCCGAGGTCGCATCGACGAGACTTTTCTTCTTCTTACTGTAAGAGCTATTGCAACGCTATCGCCCACCGGAACTCGTGTTGCTATACGACAGATATCAGGAAGGTCCAACTCTAAAGAGAGGAGCCCGCGCTCTTGATGAAATTGCAACGGAAATACCGATACTCAAAGTCTTGGGAGAAAATATGAGTTCCCTGTCAAAATTGGCCATTCAAGCCTTTTGATAATTGACAGAAAGTTTCTGTCAATTTCCGGATCAGCCTGAGGCTTGAAGTCAAGCTCAAAAGCAACTGTCATGGCAAAAACACTGTCAATGATGGTGCCGTCTCAAAAGGGTAACCCGGCTGAAGTTGGTAGGGCAAGCCAATCACAACAACTGTGTGGTAGTCGATCTGAGAAGGTTCAACTAGTCCTTCAACTACAGACCCGTTAATGCCATTCTGCCACGCCGCCACGCTGGCTTCATCAACTACGAACCCGCACAAGAACGTCGTTCAGTAATCACCACGCGGAGGTCTCCGCGGCACGAAATGTCGGGAACACATGCTGCGGGCATAGCTTCCAATTGGCCGCCGCACGTAGTCGTGCATCCTCAACTCGGCATCAGCATAGCGCTTGGTTTTCTAAATGAATTTTCACATAGCATAGCATTGATATGGCACTATGGAGTTGACGCCTCTCGAATGATCCGGCCTCTCCTGCGATCTGGTTCAGCAACTGATCCGTACGCTCCATGAGCACTTATACAAACTCGTCCGTTGCCTTAAAGACGTTACACAGCTAAAGACTTACTGGCATATCTGACTAGGGGAGACATCCCTATGTCCAGACTCCAACCCAATACACGTGAAACGCAGAGATCCGACATCTCTACTCTAAGCTGCGTATCATCTTGGAATAGTCCGATGGAGACTTGCAATGTTTTGCTTGTCTCCGCGAGTCAACAGCTTCTCCTGTTGTTGGTGGTATCGTTATTGACATCGCCCTTGTCGGTCTCGTTCCGTAGTGCTATCCTCGGTCGTACTCCGTTTGCTTGGATAATCTGTTCGAGCTTATGCGTTTGGACTATTGACTAAGTACATCTTAGTCCTCCGCTTCGTCGACTGTGCCGACACGGCGCCATATCCCATTGCTGTACCGGATGATGGTCTGCACCCGAATATCGACTCGGTGCTGGCGCTGCTCCGATGCCAGACTCACTCTGTAGTCACGCTGTTGATGATAGAGAAACCACTCGAATGGCACGGTGAATGCTTCATTAAACGGCAACATCCTCCAAGATTCCCGAAGGTCGTGAACTTTCAAGCGCAACTGCTGCATCTCGCTCTGGGTGTACTGCTGCATTTTGCATCGGCCAGTAGGCGTTATGAAGTTTGCGGAGACCGTGAGGCCATCATAGTCGTGCGCAGCAACGAAAGAGAAAGTCCTCAAAATCCGCAGAGTCCTTCATCAACGGATCGTATGAGGAATAATGGGCGCTATCGAGGTTGTGGTAGGCGGGCACTCTCATCGCCAAATGCTGCAGCCCTCGGAAGCGATCGCACAACCGCTCCGCTTGGTACAAAAGTGCCGTGACGGTTGGGTTGGAGACGTGTATACTTTGCGTGTCGAAGAGAGTGTCCAGATCTGGGCGAAAGCTACGAATGGGCATCTTGTGGCCGGCATATGTAGAGTATTTGAAGCGGAAGGTGTCGAAGACAAACTCCCGAGAGGCGCTACAAACGTGTGCCAAGTTGGAAAACGCCGTTTTGACCGTCAAGCTCGCGATATTTTTAGGCAGACGTTCTAACGAGGCTATGATGCAGACCTCAGGTTCGTCTTCGGGCAGTGCGAGCTTCTAGATCATGGCCTGCAGCTTGTAAGGAAGCTCCAATAGTCTGCTCGAAGTCATGTTGTCGAAGTTTTGAAGGTGGAAGAAAGGAAGCTCCCACAGTCCGCTCGAAGTCATGTTGTCGAAGTTCTGAGTGTGGAAGAACAAGCTTCGATGAAAGGATGAACAGCAAGGATGTCGATGGATGGGAAGAAAGTGACATGGTCGGTGAGAGGGAAAATGATTTTGACATTTGCTGGGAGCAAGGCGTCCTGATTGAGGAGAGGCTGACTTAGGTGCCTATGTACCTAGTAAAGAGTCAGCTCCTTCCCCGACCACCTTACTGTGGTTTGAATAATCCAAAGGCAGCAGCAGCAGAGGCTACAGTGCCTGCCCGAATGAGCGGGACTAATGATCACTATTGCACGTGAATTGGAGAGTATAAACAGCTTCAACCATCTCTGATATTAGGGGTATTGCGTCGTATCTGAAGTAGAGAGTGTGACACGTGTGCAATCGAGCTTGATATTGTTCGCCTAGCTGAAGAACAAGTAATAATATGTTTTCCTAACTTCGCGTCATAGCCTTTCTACCATTGAGCACTCGAAGTTGATACACACAAACTTCGCTTGCGCAGAATACAAGTCTCTCATACTGAATGATCTGAATTACGACTATATTAATGAGCTAGGTAACTTGGCTAGCGCCATGGGGTATCGCAGGTCGCAGAATAGACATTTGATTTCCAACTTTTCCAACCTCTCAAACTACATGAGGTCCATGAATTAATGACATATCATGACGGTCAAGATTTACTTGCGCCTGGAAGGGCTGTTGGCTCTGCTGGCAGACGGGGTGCCTCTCGGGGTACCGCGGGGAGTCACGCGGTTCTCGCCAAAGAATCTGGAGTTCTGGCTGTACTGGCGTCTGTTTGGAGGACGTCCAGAGGCATCAGCACCGGAAGTGCCTGAGTGAAACTTGTCAGCGTCTTGGTCCAGTCTGGAAATATTTGAGATTAACTCACTGGCATCTCCAGGCACATGGCTCAGGCGGCGGCCGCCAGCATCATCCCTGGCACCGGCCAACTTCTGAGCGAATGGCGACCGGGCACGCAAAGTAGGTCCCTTCCAGTAGATGACGTAGACGGCGGCGACCAGCAGGAACGAAATGCAGAAGAGAATCGTGCAGGCGTATTCGAGATTCTTGCCGGTCTCGGTACCGATGTTGCTGAAGAACGGGACAGCAGGCAGAGTAAGCACACCGGCCAAGAAATCACGAGCCCAGCCGTTACCACCAGTTGCAGAGGCGGAGTAGGGGCCGTAAGCGCAAACCATGTAGTCGATGGTGGCCATGTAGATGGCGTAGTTGGCAATACCGACGATGGCGGCGAAGACCATGGAGCCGATCCAGTGGATGGGAGGGCCCTGAATGGTCCAAGCGAATCCGATGAGGCCGATGGGCAAGCACGGAGCAGTGTAAAGCAGGAACCAAAGGCGAGACTCGTACTGTGCCCTGTCGTCGTTGGGCTTAGCCTCGCGTTCCTTGATGTTGCGACGGATGGCGGGGATGAACAGAGCCCAGGCAAGAAGGTAGCCGATACCGATGGGGATGAAGGCCAGACCAATGTCAACGGTGGAAAAGTTCCACTGCTTGTAGACAAGGGCGTAGGACTGAATGAACATGAAGATGAGGGCATCGGAGAAGCCGGACAGGAGCGACAGAACCAGAACGATGGGCTCGGTGAGGAACATCTTAAAAGGTCGAACCCAGGTAGAGAGAACCTCCTTGACGGAGAAGCGATCGGCGAAGGGTACAAGCTCGTCGGGACCCCAGATGTTGGGGTTGCCAGCCGCTCTGCGCTTCTTGGCGATCCTGTTCATCAAGATGGTAGTGCGAGTTTCGGGGACAGCGACGGCGTGAAGCAGCTGAACAGCAACACCAAAGATCAGCTGAACCCAGATGGACCATCTCCAGTGCAAGTGCTCCTCGGTGAAGCCGCCGACGATGGGGCCGAGAACAGATCCGAACACAGAGGAGAAGACGACGTAGGCGACGGCGTACTGCTGCTTATCGGACTCGAAAAGATCGGCAATCATACCCAGGGTGACGGAGCCACCGGCAGAGGACAAACCACCGAGGGCACGGCCGACCATGATGGTGGCAAAATTGGGGGCGAGTGCGACAGGAAGTTGCCAGATGTTGACGAGGAACAGTGAGAGCTGAAGAACTGGCCAGCGACCAAACTCCTCGGACCACGGAGCCCAGAGCTCGCAGCCAAAGGCGTAGAGAACCAAGAAGATCATGGCACCACATCTGGCACCCTGGGCGCTGACGCCAAACTCTTCCGTGATACCAGGGATCGCGTTGGAGTAGAGCGAGGTGTTGAAGTTCATGGAAACCTGGACCCAGAAAATGACGGTGAGAATGAACCATTTCTTCCACTTGGGAAATGAGTAGCCGAGCTCATCGTAGCAGTCGTCCTCGGTGATCTCGTACTTGTCGTATGTGCCCAGCTTCTCAAGCTTGGCTCCGTTGGCGTTCTCGCCGTGTTCGACGGCTTTGTTCTCCTTGGCGATAGCATCCTCGCCTGAGGAGTTTCCATTTGTGGAAGATTTCTCCCTTGACTCGAGCTTTTCGTTGGCGAGTTCAAGATCCGCCTGGTTGATGACCTGAGGCGGATCGTCGGCGAAACGTGCATTCGACATGTTGGACCGTCAACATGCAGATGCGCAGTGTGGATGGAATGGTATCCTGTTTCCGGTGAAAGAGTATGTTAACTGGGGAAGAAGGTGGGTGATAAGAGACAATTCCTTCTCCGCCGATCGACCTGCTTATGTATAGTAGCAGAGAACGAGACAACCTTAGCGGATAGTTTGATCGCCAACCTTGGGGAAGCAGCGGTTTTATGAAGCGACCATAGTTTCCCATCATCAAGGTCAGATCCAGAACTTCGGACGGAGACCGAGGAACATCTGCCCATGGAGCCCCAACTCTCCAGGTCTTCGTACCATGGTCGATTCCAGTGTCCCCAGAGCAGAGGACATACACCCACCCGTGACATCACCGGTGCAGGAGGGTGGCGCGAAACAGGCAACCTCTAGCGCAGCACAGTCCCACTTTGAGATGCAGCGCTGTTGAGATAAAGCAACTAGTGCCGGTCATGTCGCCCAAACGTTCGACCCTTTGCTGGTCGCAAGCCGCAAATAATCGGGACAGGACGGTCCACTGTGGATGCGAGGAGCAGTCCGGAGGAGGGTCAGAGCGAACGCGGAGAGCTGTGAGAGACACATGGCTGAGCTCTCGTGTGAATTGACGCCATCCACGAGCTTGCGTTGACAGTGACAGTTGGAGATGGGTGAGGTCTGTGAGAACGACGGAGAGAAAAGATGCGGCTGCTCTTGTGTGGCTTTGCCAAGTTGCGGCAAAGCGGCAGCGAAGCTTGTTTCCCTTGTAGGCGGCTCTAGTCCGCCGTGCCTGACAAACCTTCCGGGGCTTCTCATTGGACGAGACGGGCAGGCGGGTCTCGATGACGATCAATGGTCGTAAACTTTTTCTCTTGCTTATTCCCACCTCCCGCTACCTTTACCTTACCTTGCCGGATACACGTACCAACACCAACAAAAAGTCCTCCGTCTCCATTCAGTCTGTCACTCAGTCAGTCGGACTGCCGAACAGGGCAAGGCGGGATGCGGGTGTGCGAACGGCTCCAGCTATGACGTCCTATGTCCGGGGACTCCGAACTACTGCGAGACGGTTAGAGACCGCCTCCTTTCCCTCCGCATTATTATTTGTTTGGTCAACATTCGGCACATGACATTGAATTGACGTTCTCTCAAGGTCAATTGGGCTTCCTCAATCTGCTTCACGTGCGGTCTGGAATTCTTCAGGAGGCGAGGTCAGTTCAAGGTCAGCCACTCCCGCAACCCCCCTCCATCTTTCGCCTCATCCCATCTCCAGAACCTTGAAGCCAAGCCTGGCCAGCCGCATCATTACATCCGAATCCTTCCTCGACGGCCCGAATGTCGATGAAACATACTTTTGCACCGCCGAGGCATTCCGAGCTGATCAAGAACTCAGCTTACCGCCCCTCTCTACCTTTTCGCCGTCTCCATTTCCTGAGCCTCAAGTGAACCGACAAACAGGAGTCTCCGACCACTAACTTCTTTTCTTCGCTGGTCTCAATGCCACAAGGTATTCCACAACGGTGGAGGCGTCGTACGAGCCGCCATCCAACGTTACTTTCGTCCCCTCGCCATGGTTACGACTGCGCCAGCTGCAAGATCGGATCACCCCCGTTGGCCAATCGAACCGTTCCAACCGAAAATTCATTTCTCACCATCTTGGTGGAAAGATTATGTAATTACGTACCACACATCCACCTCCAGAAATGCATAATGGAGATCTCCACGTGCGGAGGACGGGCGTTCACAATGTGCCCCCTTCCTATTCCGTCTCCTCGACCAATCACACGTCTGAATCGCTTCCCGATCCCCGGAAAGGTCGAGAATGGCAATCCGTCGCGAACAAAGAAAAACATTGTCGCCGCGAAACCGCCGGACTGCAGAGAACAGTCGGCAAGGGGCGGTGAAAAATTCTTCCAGGTGCACAACGGCGGCTGCATTCCCCTGCGATTTCGCGAATCGCCGCGATGGAACATGGCCGAGGTGATCGCCCTCGACCCGTTCTGCCAAGTCGATGCTCGGAGCTTGATCTCCTCATACCCTGGTACATCACCGATGACGCCGACCGGTCAACCGCCGACTTTGACGGGTCACGATAATTTCTCTCCGACCACATCGGAAGACGAAACCAGCGATACCGGGGTATGTTAATAGAAGCTGCAGCAGCAGCAAGGCTCAGAATGATATGACTGTCATGTGATGAGAAGTGCCCTCTGGGGACCGTGAGGCAAACCACGAATCCGGATCCTACTCCGATCGGACACCAGATTCCGGTATCTACCCTTATTGGCTCAGAAAACTCTCTCAGTCAGGGGAGGGAGCGGCGAGAACCGGTCGCGCTCATCAAAAGACTTGGGGCGCCAGGCCTTGAGCGCCCTCCAGTGATCCAAGATGTTCCTTTCGGAGTCCATCTTCTCACCAGTGCTCTTCGCAACTCTTCGAAATGCCTCTTGCACGATGTCCTCCAGCGTCTGAGGCGCCTTGCGCTGCTCTTCCCGGGGATGCGAATACCTCGTGGCCTCAGTGAAAGGATTCTCGTCCGGTTTGAAGAGTTCCTTGAAAGACGTGAGGAGCTCTACGTGAAGCACTCGGAACTCATTGACAGTGCCCTCCAAGTTTCTCACAAAACTGGGAGAGTCTTCATCTAACTCGATCCGCGCCGCGCCGGCTTCAGGATCCACTGAGATCCGAACACTGTTGCCCCTCGGGTCCGGATTGTGGGGCCTGAAAATCCGGGACCGGGTGTCGGCGTCGGCTGCGAACAGGCCGATCGGGACTGGTACGCCCCAGTTGGGCACTTTGTAACGTTTCTGGAAGTCGACGAGATAAGGGTTGGATGTCCAAGCCCATTCGATACATTTTGCGAATTGAGAGGGGGTGAACTGGCGGGGCCGGCGGGCGGCGTGGATTTGTTGTGCCAGGTCGTGACGTAGGGCGTTGAGGTTGCTCGTGACTTCGTTCATGGCGTCCGTTCGTTGGGATGAACTAACTGGCTGTGATATCAGGGCTAGTATCTTCTTGTCCAAGAGTAATGGCAGGTTCTCTTCTGGTGGCGGGCTTTCGAACCAGGTCTCTTCGCCGTAGATGATCGAGACGGGCTCAGTGGTAGATAGACGTCGGGAAAGTCTGAGAACTGAAAATGATGAGCAATATCCAGGCTGCCTTTTGGTCCTAGGACTCACTGGTCCTGGGCTTCATGGCCTGGACGATTCGCCAGGGGAGATAATCCCACCACGGCACCTCCTGCGCGTCCTCCGCATCAACTATTCGCTCGCGTTCCGCAGCAGACAGAATGGCGCAAAGCTTCCTCCTCGCATCATCACCGACGGATTCTATGTCGTAAAGGAGAAAACAAAACGTGTCGACTCCGTAGAAGGGAGAGTGTCTCGTGTCGTTGAGGTTTTGCTTGAGCACCCTCCGCGTCAGGCGGCGAAGCCAGAGACAGTGGGGGAAGAGGTACATGTAGACGCACTGCAGGCTGTTCATGGTGAAGCAGAACCACCGGATGGCCTGGCCGGATAGCCAAAGGTAGATGAAGGCGCTGAAGAAGGGCGGGAGGTAGACGGAGAGGATTGGGTAGTTGGCTGTGAGAGCCTCCAGGTCTGGAGATGGTGTGATGTCTTCCAGCATCGTGTGGAGTGAGATGGTGGTTGAGGTGTTGGCTGAAGTGAAGTTGGAAGTCTTAGAGAAGGGATGAGGAGAAAATGAGTATATGTATTTTGAAGGACGGCGGCGTCAGACTATCCATCAGGTGAAGGGACTGGAATGTTCTTTCCACCTCGTGAAACGGTATGTCATGTGCTTTGTTGTCAACAGTGTCTCTCAAACTTATAAATATGAAATTGAGAAAGTCGAAAGAGACTACAGACTGCTTGATATACTGAACGGAGAGATTATATCATTTCGAACTGCATTCCCATCCAACATCAGTACCAGACCGCTCGTGGTTCGCCTCAGGGATTGTTCTCGGAGTCCAGAAGCCTATGAGCTCACCAGATTGGAGGGCTTGAGGCTAATTCATGCAGTGATCACCAAGCTTATGAAGATATATAGAGAGATAGGACTATATGTCTGTACTGAAAAAATGAGATATCGAGTGTCATCAGAATGATGCTTCAGTGCCTGATCTACATCACCGCATCGGGTGGGACTGGGGTTTCAAGGAAATATTTCCTTGAAATGGCAGAAAATATTCCAGCCATCTCCGAGTCTAATTTCAGACCGTCACCCAACATTTTCCTTTTCATCTCGAGCAGGTCGGACTAAGGTAGCTTATGCTTTTCTTCTCATCATTTCATCAACTCCCTCTCTGCCTCACACGTTATGAAGCGAGACGCTATCGCTGGAAACCTGCCCTTTCCTCTCTTACTTACATCTTCAAGGCTCAAAGTTTTCTGATGTACTTAGAGAAGTATATTGTGCGCCTGTAAAATTGTGGAGGGATACTGAAAAGGGTCAGCAATCTTCGCTCTTCCCAACCCTACCGATCTTCCAACTTCCTCCACGGACATCACAACTCACAAAACTCACAGGACCAGCACCAGCACCACGCAGCACAGCGACAGACGACACGAACAGCCTTCTTCTTCTTCTATTGGGACACCCAGGACAAGACGAAGAAGAATTTTCCCGACTCTACAGAGCAGGTCAACATCCTCATCCAGACGTTCTTCCAGCAGAATGAGTACGATGATCTCATGTCGTGGGATGTCTTGTTGCGCGATCTCATGGTCTTCGTACAAGACAATCTAGGTAAGTACTCACCTGCTGCTTCGACCTCACCTAGCGGCGGAATTACTCACACGGCATAGCGTCCGACGTCATGCCCGAGAGCGACGATTACGAGTGGCTCAAGTGCGCGGCATCCAAGATCGCTGAGCCTCATGTCAGCTGGTCCCAGCTTCACCAGAACCTCGAGGACCACTGGCTCACGTCGGCGGCCATCCCCAACCTCATCGCTCACATCCAGACCGTGGCCTACCACCCCGTCGAGACGCGTTCCTCCTGGACCCTGAACACCGCTTGGTCCAGCAACCCGTTCCTGGTCGAGTTCCAGCATTCGCAAAACGTCGGCCCCTGGGAGATCAACCTTCCTCTCCAACTCGACAAAGCCGAGCTGCCAGGACAGAGAGATCTCGAGATCGTCCTTCAGAAGATCAAAGACGAAACTTTCCCGAGCCTCCAGATGTACTTCAGCATCAGCATCAACACCAGCCTGAACAAAGTGGTCCTGACGTGGGGCTCTGCGTCTCAGCATGTCAACATCCAGACCGTCAACTTGGCCAAGCGGTTGTACACCGGCATGCTCCTCTGGGTGGACGACATGAAGCAGACGAAGCAAGTCGCGTCTCCCCACGCCATCCTTTGGCACCAGTTCGGACAGTGGGAGCAGTGTGGTACATTGAAGACCAACAAGGAGCTTTGGGAGGCCATGAAGCGTCTTGAGCAGATGAGCCCTCCCGAGTCTCCCTGGCGTCCCATCAAGCCCGCATTCAGGAAGACCACCGAATTGAACGAATCTCCTACGAAGGCGCCTCGGAGAAAGTTTTAGAGGACACGTCATGGCAGGGTTTGTGGTGGCCTGAAAAGGCACATTCAACACGCCTGGAAAGGATTCATTTCGATTTGGGTAAGTCGAGAGAATTCTATTCTTGTGCAAAACAGCAGGATAACGATTTTCTCAGAATTTGCAAATACGCTCATCGAAAGCGGGATGCCGCAAATAAATCATTGCCCAGCGTCGCAACCACACGATATCGGGAAAACGGATTGGAAGCAAGATGGACAGCCTGGAATTGCATTTGTAGCTGAGGGGATTGTGGGCAGATTAGTAAAAGCAGAAAAAAAGAGCTTGTGTACACGGAAAAGAAATTTCTACTTTTAGGGACATTGTGCAACGTCCGAAGCCAACCTGCCATGAGTAAAAAGGTTCCCCTCGTAAGGGCTTCCTAGTTCAAGTCGGGGTACAGTCTTTTAAAGCTTATATCAGTATCTCGCATCTTGCTCTCGACTCATCCCGAGCCGGCAATGCAGGCCTTCATCAAAAGGGTCGATGGTTCTGCATCAGCTTTTAGTAGTTATACCAATTCGGAATCTTCTAGAAATCTTCTGGTATCATGCCCTGGCATCTAATAGGCCTACTTACCTAGCGAAAGCCCAGTTTAACAGGGAGCGGGAACGGCCGCTTAATGGGTTCAATAAACAAACATTCCTATTTCGAGATTAGCCGTTAGTTTGTGACTTCGGATAGGTGACACGGATAGTTGCTATGAAAGACAAAGGATCTGGTGTTTTCAAACAAGCTGCCAAACATTTTGTCTGGAGCGCAGTGAAAGTTCTTCCAGTATCGCCTTCATCTTTCAAATGCCATTCCCACGTGTCGTTGTATTCATATCAACTGCATCAAACTCCAAAGATCACCAAATCGTTAATCCCTGTTTCAATTTCTATGTCTCGATCGGTATCGCTTGGGGCGCGGAGTCCTAGTCGCAGAGAGTCCTCGCCACTTCAAACCTACTCCTACAAGTCAACCGCCGAATTCGGCACCATGGATCACAATGAGATCAATTGGAAGGAGGCTTTCCTGTTCTTCTACTGGGATATAGAGAAACACTGCCCAGAAGGAATGAACCGCGTGAACGAGTTGATCCAACACTTTCTGTTCCACAAGAAGCCTTCAGCGGTTGACGATATCCGCCCTCAGTCATGGAACACATTGTTGGCCCATTTGATGAGAGTCTTGCGGTGCCATCTCGGTGAGCACCAATTTGATGCATTCTCTCTACGCCCAGGTCTTTGAACTGATACGGGGCAGCTTCCAATATCTTGCCGGACAGCGACAACGAGTACGAATGGCTGGACTCAGCCAACGTCAAGCCCGCAAGGCCGTATGTCAACTGGATCCGTCTCGCTCCGCATTTCGCAGAGCATTGGTCCGGCAAGGCCCCCGCAATAGAAATCCTCGCAGTCATCAACCATCTGGAGACCGTGGCCTACGGACCCCTGGAGTCGCGTCCGACCTGGAGCACCACCATGCAGTCTGCGTGGCACGCGAATCCATTCTTGGTGGATTTTCAACAGACCCAAGAGCTCCCGGTAGCATGGAGCGTGCCTCTCGCTTTTGATATCGACGCCCGATCGGAAGAGCTGAAGGGCATCGAGATTTTTCTCTGGGGCGTCGACGATGCTTTAACCCATGAGCTCGATGGCACGCCGGAAGTAACCTTTGACTTCACTTTCGACAATAATCTGGGCTTTTCTGCTCTCATATGTCAAACACCTGACCCATTCAGTCGTCGCACGCTGAACTTGGCGAAGAGGTTGTACACGGGGCTGCTTCTCTGGGTGGACGAAGTTCGCGAAACAGGCCGGATCACATCACTCTGTGTTACCCTGGAGAAGGAGTTGCACTTGTGGAAGGCCTTAGGTGATACGATGGAGGTCAACAAGGCGCTGTGGAATGCCATGCGCAAGTTTCGCCTGCGAGCCGTGCAGCGGAAACGGCAGAATCAGATGTCCAAGGAAGTCCCCTTGAAGTGTCCCCTACAGACTCCCGTTAAGCCTTCGGGAACGATACAAATCGAGACACCCACGAATCCGAATGAGAAGATGGCCATCAAGAGCGACTACACGCCAAGGACTCAGGGAATTCAGAGAAATACCACATTCCAAGAAGTTTCAGTCGAAGAAGCGGTCGACAAAAATCTGTGCCAGCCCGCCTTTAAGGGAACCAAAAGAAAACACATATTCGAGAAGGCTTCGATCGGAAAGAAGGGGAAACGAATACGGCGCCGTTCCCTAGAGTCAGACACCTCCGAGTACATGCCGTCTGCGGACGAATCCCTGTACTCGGGATACTAGGACTGAATCACGGAAGAACCACGTTTCAGGGCCTGCATGTAGGCTGTGGGATGTTGTGCTTGATGGGTTCGAGTTCAAGGATGAGCATGCTTAGGCGTACGACGTTGAGTTAGTAGAATAGAAAGACTGGTCACGGTCTCGATAGACTCAGGCATGAGAATGATGTATATTTATTCGTCAATTGATATCCACGGAGTCAAACAGATGCCGCAGGAAGAGATGTAGGCAGCTTCTAATGGTCATGGGCGTCGACCAGCAAAGTCAGAAGAAGTCAAACATCTCAGAATCAAGATGGATCTATGAAACATCCTTCCATGCCCAGTACCTCATCGTCACCTTTGCTCCATCTGTGTCTGACGGCGCCCGGCGGGTGCTCTCGAGCCCGACGGTCGCCACCATCCGTATGCCACCAATTCATGCTCTTCCATCCTGGGTCGTCGGGAGAACGGCATTTTCCAAATTGCTTCCATGTAGATACCGTCACAGACCATTGCTTGCGCTTGTAGCACCAGTTGACCTTGATTTGAGCGTCTGTCAGACACGCAGGACAGGACAGTATGGTACCGAGCAGCAAAGTCTTGTGATACTCTGCTCCGGAGCGACGAAATGAGATTGACTGGGAGTCGTGACCGTTGGAGCGTGGCTTGCCCCATACATTGCGGTGGCAACAGATCTCGCCAGGGTGTAATCTGAAAAAGCGTTCAAGATTATTCATATCACCCGACAGATCATATACTGTTAGGTCCATAAATAGGAAGAGCTCGTCGTCAATGATGCGTGCTCGCCAGCTGTATTTGATGTGTACTCCTTGTTGATGGAAAGGTTTCTCCACGTCCCTGTTGAGTATCCGAACCGGGAAACCATGTGCGTCTCCGTATAGATGACGGTTCATAACCAATCTGACTTGGTGATAAGATATCATCGCCATTGCAAGAGGCGGAGTAAAGCTGATTAAGAAACATGGACGTTTAGAATAAAGCTCCCAACTAATTCTCGGTTCAGACCATTGTCGCCCCCATGGATGAAGGATAATGCAGTAAGTGCAGTATATAAGGTGAGGAATATCCTTTTCCAGTAGTGTAAGGAATGTCCTCTTTGATTCAAAGCTTTGGGTTGACGAATCAGGAAAATAAGAGACGTAATATAGCCGACAAGTTAAAGCAAATGATAGGATCGACTCGGGTTCCAGGTAATTGAGGATGAGGAGTATGATTTCTGGTGGTACTCTGAGGGTTGACGTTTGTTTCTGAGTTTCACCGGGCGCCTCAGATGCCGAAGCAGACGACGCATGACGGGGAACATGCCCATCGAGGGCGAAAGAGCGAATGAAGATTGTTCGGAGTGCGTTTGTGTTATGGCGGAGCTTTCCGTGGATGCGTTGTTGGTATTGGAAACACTTCACGTCGGCTCAGATGGATAGACTGTTGAGGTGAAGCGTGCTCATAAGTGAAGGGCGTTCTGTGATGGGCGCGTGACGGTCATCGAAAGGTTACCGGCATATGTAGGCACTTTTTTCCGGGGTTATTTATGTGTTGACGACAGATTTCACTAAATGGTCACACCTTGATAGTTTGCATCGAAATCTTGTTCCTGGAATCACCATCACGGTCAACCACACTGACTGCTAGGCATCAGAGACTACCACTGGAATCGCTGAAGGGTTTGAGAGTTTGGAGGCTGTAGCGAAGTGGCTGGATTCAGTCTAATGCCTGTATTTAAGATTAAAGACGACGACTATGAGTGACTTGTACTAGGATGTATGAGAAGATCCACGTCAAAGGCGTTGTCGAGATACGAAGTCCAAAAGTTATCGTAAAACAGCTGAGAGTTTTCTTGACTGAAATCTTCGTAAACCTGGAAGTCCTGACTTTGGGAGTTGTTTATGCTAGTTCCATCCGGTTCTGGACATTCGATATCTCGAGCGCTCCCAGCACTTGAGCTCTCGTTCATCACGCCGTGGCATGGTTCCTCGAGGCCGGTTGTCTGCTGAAGATAACCGGATGCGTTATGATCGAGGTCTTCACGTTGACTCACAGGCAGGACACTCACTATGCTTGACAAGACTCTGACAATCGACCCACTGGAGGTAGCCGAGCCCTGCCCCGTCAATCTTGACATCAGGTTGACAAACGATTTGGAGATCCAGAGCCTGACGGGCCATGATTTGGAAAGCTCGCTCAAAGCTAGCAGGCATTGTCTTGACTTGTTCTCGGCAAGCTGTCGACGGATGGAGTCCCTTCGGCAAATCACGATGGTGTGGATAGATAAGGCTCCGAATAGGGCTGGCACTCTGTAGGATGTATGGGATCAGAGATGAATCTCTGCATCTTTTGGGAGGTGTTCTCACAAGTGTATTTGTGCAAACCTGATGGTTTCGGCTGACAGCTGGTCTTCTGCGTTGCGGGTGATGGCGTCGGCTGCCATTCGCGCCCGCGTATCCCTCTCTGCTTCTGTTGGAGTCGATATCTCGATTGACTTGGGTCGAAAAAGAAGTATCTGACAGTACCTATGCGATGATGAGTAGAATCTCGATATATGATAACACATAGGCGTCTTACTGGTAATTAAACTGCAACATGCTGGCCCAGAATGGTGCACCTAGGGAGCCATCAAGTTGCGACATCCGAAGTTCATTTGGCAGATCCGACTCCCATTGAAGGAGCCTGGTTTTCAGTGCTGTTGTTTCAAACCTTTCTGTTAATTCACGTCGAGGGCTGAACTCGGCGATTAGGACATCTCCAACTGAATAGAGCAAGCATTAGCATATGTGACGAAACTTTCAAAGATATTTGGGGCTCTATGCAGCGTACGTATTACAACAAGCTTCGACATTTGGACAACGTATGAGACGTGAAACTTTTGTTGGTGCGGTATGAGCATCTGATCATAATCTAGATCGAAATTGAAATCTCCCTCTGTGAGGGCTTCGACATCACAGTCCTCGTCTCGAATGCGGCAAGGCCGACCAAATGCTGCAGAGGTATGCCTTTCACGGATCTATCTTGGTCAGCTTTGTCAATCGATGTGCCTCAAAGGTCACAGCCGGCCTTACGTATATTGCCCACCAAATCCTTCTTCTCAGGGACTTCATTCGGGGGCTCATTGAGGTCGACGAGGTCCTAAACCATCTCTAAGCACATCTTCCCGAGCTCGGAGGTTGGTCGCTGATCTTACAAGCGGTGCATACCGAGAGATTGTGCGAATGTGGTTGCGCATCCAACCCAATGACAATGATCTTTCTGCTCATCGTATCCGGCCCACCAAAAGCCCAGAAGGAACAGAACAGCCACGACGTTAATGGGGTCGGTGTCATAATCAGCATCATACAAAGTCTTTGCGCGACAGTAGTAGGTCCTCCTGGCGGTGGTCCTGTCACTGAAGCCGCCTTCCTGAACAAGACTGTCACTGCAAACTGTGAAACCTAAGAGGTAAATCGTTTGCAACACCATTGGAGACGCCTTGCCTTCGAGATACAGTTTCGAGAACTTTTGGCGGTCAAATACGGGGAAGGCCACGTGAACCTGTTCGAAGAAGGCTCGAATCAACTCGTTGGCCACAACAGGAGCCGGCATAGTCAGAGCTTCTCCCAGAGACATGGGTAATTGAGTCTTCTTGGGTCCGAAGCTGAGAGTTGACTGGTCTACGACAAACGCTGGGATTGGATAGTGTACCCGAAGAGGCTCAGTTGAACCATCTTTGGGCCTGTGAACCACTTCGACAATGTATGATACGTTAGATGTGGTCGATGGTTGACGCTGCTGAAGATCTCCTTGCGGCTGTGACCACCCTGATGTTTCGTGCTCCCGATCAGGTGGAGGATAACTCTCCTCGAATGAAATGGAGACTTGCTCGACATCACTGTTTGGCTCTTCGATACTGCGTGGTGTTTCTTGTCGATTCAAATTGACTGAGGGCCCATCAGTTTGAGGCCCTTGAAGACTGGTTCGATTTCGTGGCCTTTTGCGAATGTATCTGGTTTGCAGGTAGTTAAGTAAAAATTTTGACACAGTTAAATAGGCTCGCGAGTATCACATACTTGCCCCTCCTGGACTCGATCAGTTCACAAGGCGTCTGGCGTGTGCGGCATTGCCAACACGGTTGACCTTGGTCCGCGTCACATTTGACCCGCCTGGCGTTGCAAGCTTTGCAAGCTATTCTCACACGCTGTGTTCCCGGCCTTGGTGTACTTGCTGTAGTCAAGTCGCTGCTGGCGCTAGGAATCGATTCGGCCATCTTTCCTGGCAAATGATAGCGTGGTACTTCGTTCAACAAAACGGCGAGGTTATTCGCGGCCTGTGTGGCGAATGGCGGGTGTCTTGACTAAGACCCCGCGGCAAGTTCAACCTAAAGTGCGGAGAAGAGCAGCCCAAGAAGCCGAGGGCTCTTATTTGGTCTCCACGTGACCCTAGCTTACACCTCGTTAATGACGACCCTCATGACATTGAACACGTGAATTGTACCATTTCCAGATTAATTGGAGAATAGATCGTCTGTTTTGTGTTCAGGAAAATCTAGTTACAAGCCTCTATCTCTCCAATGGCTGTGGAAAGCCGTTTCAAACCCTCTACCAACGCCTCTCTTCCGAAGCTGAAAGTAACTCGAAACCAGCCAAACTCCTCCGGCATATAGACACTGCCCGGCGCAATCATCACACCATGCTTGACACAGGCATTGATAATTTCTACTTCGCGCTGCTGATGGGCAACTGAGCGCTCGGACGTGATCTTCAACGTGCTAGAAAGCAGGTACTGGGCCGACCGTAATGGAGGCGATGATATGAAAAGGTGCCGTAAATCGATCCAGATGAAGAGTCCAGCGTTCCTAAGTTAATGTAAGTACTGAATACGATGTATCATTAGGACAAGAAAAGCCCACATACATCTCAAAAAAGCCAATGTTGCTTTTTCTGAGGAAAGATGTGGCGACTTGGTAGTTTTCAACCATGAGGTCGGTCTTTCTGATCATGAAATCATTCGTCCACTTTTTGTTCTCCAGCATTGCAGCCCAAACATCTTGAAGAACGTGTGGTGACCAAGAGAACATGCTTATGTGGATATGTCAGATACGATAAACCCGAGGTAGTTGGAGAACTGACCTGATGCTCGACATGGCGCCCAACATGGCCTCATTCTTGCTGTAAACCATTCCCAGACGCAAACCATTGGCACAGAAGTCCTTGCTCGCCCCATAAAGCACATGCAGAAGCGTTGGGTGAATAACTTCGCGTAAGTCAAGCGAGAGAACAGAAACAAACGATGCTTGGCCAGAGATCGCAGGATTAGGGAAGACGGACTTGGCGTATATCTCGTCGGAGATTAAATGAAGTCGGTTTCTGCCACAGAAGGAAGCGAACTCCCGGAGTGTCTCGGCAGGATAACATCTGCCCAAAGGATTGTGTGGGCTTCAAACCGCGGGTGTGAGCTTTCTTGTAAGCCCGCCGGGGATACTGCAGAAAACCTACTTGGAGATGATAAGAGCACGAACGATCACGCCTCCAGACTGGGCTTTACGTAATGCCGCTTCCAAAGCAAGCTTGTTGACTTCGGGTCGAAACAAATCGTCAAGACCGTTGAACCCTTGAATTCCGTCGTATGGGACGCCGACAATGCGAGTATTGCTCCGATTGAGGAGGTCGAAGCTGAAACCATTGTAGAATGGCTGCGGAATCAACACGCATTCGCCCTCATCACAGATCGACCACGCCACCGCATCCAAGCCACTCGCCAGACCAGGTGTGATGAATAGGTCGCCAGCGCTGACCGGCTCGCGAGGATGAAACTCGTCATTCATGTAATCACTCAGAGCATGACGAAGGCGCAGTGATCCACGTGGTCCTGTGCTGTAAGTCAAATGATTCAGAGGAAGAATATCGATCTAATTTCATTCCGAAGTCAGCCCTGAGAGGCCACACTGGCGCGGAAGACTTAGGGACGTGGCGGTATAACCTGGTCTTTCATAAACTCGGCGACTTCTTTATGTAGAAGGCTATTCTCTGCCAGACGCAAAATGACTCTGACTGCCACTTAAGCCATGTACGTTACTAAGATTGAGGATGCTCAACTTACGTTCCGTCAGGGTTGTTTGGCGACCAGGGATTGGCCATAGACTTCTCCCGTGGTCCCCATATGTCTCGATGCACAGAATTGTAAGCGCCTCTCTTTGACAAGCGACGCTCAGAAATTGCCCAATTCACGAGCTGTTCCTCTTCCGCCGGATCCATCTCACGAGTTTATCTGGGTTGCAGAATCCGGTGCGGAGTTGGAGAAAGTCAAAGTGTGTTGGTTAGATTGTGATTCTTTCCGTCGGATCTGTGTTGTAAGGTATATTATTTGGATCTTTCGGTGCAACATAATGTTAACTAGAGAGTATATGAGGGATAAATACACAAGAATATTCTGCCGTCAGTGACTCTTCGATTCTCACCCAGCACCGAGCTCGCTTCGGGTTCTTCCTACTATGCCGAGTCACCTCGGGTTCTTACTATGTGGGGCCGATCGCCGGTCCAGCAGCAGTTAGTTAGTCTACCTTCATGGCATCACACAAGTCTCAGCTTTTGACCAGGTCTCTGATATCTAGCATCCTGAATGCCACTGTTGACAAGCACTGAAATAAATTGACTCCCTCTAGAAATGACGTAAATCGTTTACCTACTCACTGCATCCTCCGTGGCTTGGGCTCAGGAGTCAGGACCGCGACGGCTCATCGTATCAATCTTTCATCAGATCGCGCCAGAAGGACTTTGTCGGCAGAGAGCACGCGTCATGGCTGAGAAATCGGAACACACCCTGGGTCGGTGTCTCGTTGATGTCAGCCATGACCCTCTTACAGCGACAACACCCGAACGCGGAACCTCACCAAATGCCCATATTGCTCATTCCTCCAGCCAGGACACGTTACGCCAAAATCAGGGGATTTCGACATCTTCGCGAAAGGAGCAACCCAAGGCGTCTGACCATGACAGCTTCCTCGTTGCTTTCGATGGCGCCGACGACCCAATGTGTCCTCACAGCATGCCCCTATTCCGCAAGTGGCTTGTCGTGAGCATTGTATGTCTGGGAACTATTTGCGTGTAAGTCTACATTCTCAACCTTGTCTTTTTATTGCGCAAAATTTGCGATGCAGTTTTCCTGGCGCCTTCATCCTGTGACATAACAATCATGAGGAGAAAACCTCGCCTACATCCTAGCAATAACGTCAACTGAGCAGCCACTAACCATGCAATCCTAGTACGTGCACCAGCTCCATATATACGACCACTTATACTCAAATGAACGCTGAGTTTGGTACATCATCACTCATATCAACATTGGGTCTGTCTTCTTTCGTCCTTGGAATTGGTCTAGGACCGGCGATCACCAGTCCTCTGAGCGAGGAATACGGCAGACGGCCGATTTACCTTGTGTCGTGGTCACTGTTCATCATCTCAACTGTTCCATCAGCGGTTGCTAAAAACATCGAGACGATTGCAGCCACGCGGTTCTTCAGCGGATTCTTCGGCGGCACTTTCTTGTCAGTTGCAGGAGGCACTGTGGGCGATGTCTTTCTTCCACATGAGATTCAAACGCCGATGTCTTTTGTGTCTTTAGCCCCCTTCGTTGGGCCCTCCACCGGTCCCCTCATCGGTGGTTTCATCAACTACAGTCTGGATTGGAGATGGACTTATTACATCATGATCATTTGGTCCTCAGCCCTGTTGTTGCTCATCATAGCTTTCGCACCCGAAACATACCATCCCATCCTATTGCGAGGGAAAGCCAAAAAACTCCGGAGAGAAACCGGAGACATTCGATATCGAGCACCAATGGAGAAGGACGCGGCGAGATCAAAGACACAAGCAGTGACAATCTCAGTCTTGCGACCGTTCCAATTTCTCATCTTGGAGCCCATGTGCTTGTGTTTGAACATCTACTCGGCAATCCTCCTTGGAATCCTGTATCTTTTCTTTCTTGCCTTTCCTCTGATATTCCGAACCCAGTACGGTATGAATATTTGGCAAATTGGTCTCACTTTCTTGGGTATCATCATTGGTATGTGTTTGGCGGGCACAACGCCACCGATGTGGGCTCGAATGAGGAACTACCTGCTGGAAAAGACTGGCCACAGTGAGCCTGAATTTCGTCTACCCCCTGCCATGGCTGGTGGTCTTCTCATACCTATAGGCTTGTTCTGGTTTGCCTGGACAGCGCGCTCCGGGACTCATTGGATACTCCCGATGATTGGTTCTTCAATTTTCGGCTGCGGGTTAGTGATCCTTTCGCTTTCCGTCCTCGCAAATGCTAACGTCGACTCTTTGGCAGCACTGTATTGGTCTTCACTGGTATCTTCACATTTCTGGTTTGTTACCTGCATCCAACAAGTCCCGAGGAACTTGCAGAAACTGATACTTCAAACTCCAATAGGTCGATGCTTACAAAAAGTATGCCGCATCTGCAATGGCTTCGAATGGTTTGATAAGGTGTTCTTTTGCAGGTACGTGAAAGAGTTCTGATGGAATCTACATAAGCTAACAAATTAGCTGCATTCCCTCTTTTCGGTATCCAGATGTATGAGAAACTTGGTAATGAATGGGCAACGAGTCTCCTTGCCTTTCTGACAGTAGGAATGATGCCTTTTCCATGGTTGTTCTTCAAATATGGAAAAGCCCTCAGAAGCAAAAGCAAATTTGCAGTCCACACAACATAGAAAGCACTTTCACCTCATGCAGTGGGAAGCCACTGGTGAATAAAGACGTAACATCCAAACTTATCATTTGGTTTTCTTATGCTTTTTGATTGAGTAACTGAACTTCATTGTTGCTAAGCCTTTCAAGCTCCATACCTGCTAAGGCTCTCGCTCGTCATCGTTGATGTCTGGTGCTTGTCAGTTTTGTCTCTATCTTTGATCGCCTTCACTGGTCTCTGTTGCTCTTCAATCTTCTATTATTCTCCCAGACTGTTTTCCTCTTGGAATACGCACCTATAACAACATGAGCTGCGCTCCGACATGTGTGCTGTCACTCAATTGCGATCCGGATCTGGCTAGAGTACCCTCATTGTGGCTTGTTCTTGACGTCACTGGCTGTTGGCTGAGTCTACAGCGTCTACAGCGAAAAGTCAAACCAAGCAGCCCCTGAATCCGACGTATTGTTCGCAGTCCCCGCGGGTCCAGCATGACACGGCCTGACGACATCAACTGGAAAGAAGCCTTCTGGTTCTTCTACTGGGAGCTTCTGGCAAATGACGAAGACCATGACCACGCGAACGATGGTTTCATTCTCACCATCTTCCAGATGGAGCGGCTTCCAATCAACGCAACCAAGCCTCCGAGATCATGGGATCATCTGTTGTGGCATCTCATGAGAGCTATGGTGTACCAAAGAGGTGAGAAAATCCAAGATTCTTTGCCACCTGAGCTTTCCCATCTGACGACTACTCGAGGCCTCGGATCCGGCGCAGAAGAAGTGGGAAAATACGATTGGTTGAAACATCCTCCCACCTCCACACAGAGACCCTTCGTGGACTGGGTAGACTTCTTGGACTTCCGTTGGGACGCTTCGCAATTCAACATTGAAGACGACAGCTTCTGGGTGCTCGGATACCTCGAAGAGTGCGCCTACGAACAGTCTCAAGGACAAACCGCTCCATCTACGACAATGGAAAAGGCTTGGTCTCGCAATCCCTACCTGCTCGAGTTCCAAAAGGCCCACGGTCTCGCCACTCCTTGGGCAGTACCGATGCCGCGGCAGTTAAATCACCCGTCATACATGACTCTCTCAAAATGGCCCTTCCAGGTCATTTTCGACAAACAGCACGGTGTCGCTTATCTCAAGTCTCTGCGCAACGGTAACCTCACTTGGCAAGCGCTCAACGAAGCTCGATACTTTTATACGGGGATGCTTCTGTGGATTCACGAGATGAAGGTCAATGGCTACGTACGAAGCATCAGGTCCTTTATGCAGCTCAGATATGAAGACTTGCCCAGCGGCTCGTCTGGCGGAGAGCAGGTGGCGTTGTGCAAGAGACTCTGGGAGGCAATCAGGAAAGTGGGACATCAGCGTATCTTTCAACAACCACTACGCCTTGCTGTACCCCAAAAGCGGATCGTCCTGCCCCTCCCAGCCAAGCGTACGGCACCGGCCGTACTCGCCCAAGAATTGAGCAAAAGATTCAAGAAGTGCGTCAAGTCAGAAGGTGAATCGGATGAGGATTGACGCATTAGAAGACTTCAATTTTACAGACACCAGCGGTGTTGAAAACCCATAGGGATCGACAGAGGTCATGTTGCCCGCAAGATTGTAGCGACGGTCCTGTCATGTTACGGAGTTGTAATACTTAGAATGCATTATCAAACAATACAGCATTATGTGAAGAAAGAAAAGCCAAAACCAGGGGTATACGTCAATATCAAGTATTTGCTGTATTAATCGTATCTAAACTCAGAGAGTTTAAAACAGGTACATTCTTTTCCCCATCAAGCCTGTTTCTTCTTCACCAAAAGAAGAACCCCAGACCACCCGATCGTCAACTTCTCATTTCCCTTCTCAACACCAGCATCATGAAGTAGGCCTTCAACTTCCCTCCGCAGCATCCTGACAACATCGCGTTCAGTCCCGGCATCATCGGGGTTCGCCTCGCGCCATCGTGTGACTTGGCTTATGGTGCTCATCATGTTCTCCATATCATCCAAACTCCAAGTCAGCTGGTGGAAGAATTTCCCATTTTTCTCCAGCAAACCATCTTTGTTCCACTCCTTGCGATAGAAAGTGCTCTCGTCAAATTCCGGGATTGGCTCCTCCAAATTCCAAGGAAGAGGCAGCGTCTCGTATAGGTTTTCACCAAGGAAGTTACCCTGCGCCATGTAGGGCACTAGATATTTCTCCCGGCAGACTTGCAGGGATGTCTGGATGCGTTCGTGATTGGGCACCGAGGGATGGATGTACATGGAGCCGCCGCTCCAGAGAGCAACAGTACCACCTGGTTTCAGAACGCGAGCTGCGGCGGCCCAGAAGCCGGGCATGTCGAACCAGTGAGCGGCGGTGGCGGCAGTGACGAGATCAATGCTGCCGTCCGCGACGGGCGGAGACAGATTTGACAGCTCTTCGGCGGTGGAGATATCGAAGCGGATCGGCTCCGAAGTGGAGGAGACTCCACCCAGGGACCGGGCCGCGGCAATCATGCCCGCAGCGGGGTCCAGTCCGATGACCCGTGCAAAATGCGGACCAAGCTCTCGAGCAACAGTGCCCGGACCGCAACCGACGTCGAGCAGGGCTTCCAGCTTGCCGCCCGTAGATGTGTGGTGGTCTAGTATGATCTTGTACAAACGCTCCTGGTAGCCGCGGCGGCCTTTGGCGTAATCTTTGCCTTGCTCTGCAGTGTAGGCTCGGAAGGTTTTCTCAGAGGAAACTGGGGCCGGGATGGCGGCAGCGGCGTGGGGCTCAGCCATTATGTCGAGTTTTTGAATTGCTAAGCTTGGATGATATGAGCTTGAATGTGGAGTAGGGAAGAGATACGTAAACTGCTAGTAGCTAGATTAATGAGGAGAGAGACTTTATTTTTTGGATACCATCCAGTAGGTCTTTATATTCCAAGTGAGTGCCTTCTGAAGTCAATTCACATGAAGGGAGGCTATTGCATTTTGGTACTTTGGTTGAGACGACGCCGCTGGCTGGGTATTCCCAAGAAAGACAACGAAGTGACCAACAGCGAATCAGATGCTAAGGCGCATGCGCTATTCCCGATTCAGGTCAAGACTGCGAGCTGGGGCTTGCTCCGCCCGCCGATGCGCTGCCGGCCACCCGGATCCCGCCCGGTTGTGCCCCTGATCTTTGCCATCGTTAACACTGACAACATTCCCAAAAATTGGTTACGCGTTTCTCAAAAAGCTGAAGACTCCTAAATTCAACCGCTCATCCTTCTTCCTCTTGGGATTTTACCTCAGCCCTCGGACCGGTGTTTTCGGGAGAACGCAGAGTAAAGGCCACAACCGGAGGCGGAATTTTATCGCAAAGTCCGAATCCCGCTACGCTGAAATCTCTCTTCTCCGAAAGTCTTTGGAGGCAGGGTATTGCGACTGATCTTATTAGCGACATAATTTGTACAAGATGGTCTACTATGGTGCACTGAGCAAAGGTTGTCAGCGCTGTCGTCAACGCAAAGTTAAAGCAAGTGCTTCCTCAATCCCGGTTCGGGTCAATCCCGAATGCCTTTCGAGTTACTAACATGGCCTTGATAGTGCGACCAACGAAGACCGGGATGTGTCAAATGCGAGAAGGGAAAGAAGCCGTGTCCCGGGTATCGCAACCTAACCGACATTGTGTTCCGAGATGAGTGTCAAAGGATTAAGAATAGATTCTACGAAGACGTCAACGCAGAACAGGGCGAATCTCGTACCGTTCAGAAACAGAGGGGTGCTTCTCCGAGAGCAGATCCACGGTTGCCCGTTTCCGACCCGTCGGCCATCTCCCCAGGCGGCATTTTGCCCGTCTTATGCCAAACTCTTGAAGAACGAGCAGCCAACTTCTTTTTCGCCTATTACACAACAACTGGCCCGCCTTTCTGCGATACTTACCAAGCATGGCTGGCCCAACAATACCTGGAAGACGGTCCCCAGAATTTAGTTCGCGCCACCATCCAGGCGGCAGGAATGGCAGCAATCTCCAATATCTTCAATGCCCCAAATGTCGTTCTTCGGGCGAAACAACGGTATTGCCAAGCTCTCAAGGCCACTCATTTGGCACTACGTGATCCTGGTCAAGTTGTGGCTGATTCAACTCTCATGGCAATTCTCTTGCTAGGACTATTCGAGGTGTGTCAGTTCAACTTACTGTTCGGAAACGTAGGCTGCAAAACGTCGACCAGAAGCTGATACTATCATAGATAATCAGCTTCGAAAATTGGAAGGACTACCATACATGGATGACGCATATTGAAGGAGCCATGGCTCTGCTGCGGATTCGTGGCCAAGAGCAATTCTCGCGAGAACTGGGTATACAGCTCTATGTCCAGTTTCGGAATTACATTGTAAGCCTATGTTCCTGGTGGCGTGTCATTTCAAGTACCTAAGTGTGTCTCAGCTCCAGGCTTGCATACAACGAGGCGCGCAAGTGCCTCCTGCCTTGGTTGAGGTGACGACCGCCTTCGAAATCAGCAGGCTCGGGAAGCGCTACAACAGCATTCGACCAGGATCCTTAGCTCTTATAGGGTTTCGAATCGTCAACCTACGAGCAGACATCAAAAGCCATAACGTCACTGATCCACAGGAGATCTTCCGTATTGTAGTCGACATCAATGACGACCTACAAGCTTGGGCAAGCTTGCAGACAAGCAGGGTCTACTATGAGACAGAAGCCGTCGATGACTGCACAGGCGCCTACTTCAATGGTAAACGTCACATATACGCCAGCGTATGGGGTGCGCAGGTCTGGAATAACTGGCGATCACTGTCAATCCTCACCAACCAGATCATGTTGGACTATGTCAATCAGCAGAAGGTGTATGCCGAGGAAGTCAGAGGAATAATGCGCGAAGATTCCTTATCAGCCATACGCAAACTCTCAACTGAGATCTGCATCTCGACAGCTGATCTCTCCGATTCCCCACGTAAGTCCACTCAGCACCAGTATCGCGTCAAGAAAATAGAAAAACTGATAATTCGGAGGCGCATCCTCAATGATCTGGCCTTTATATATTGTGTCGCAAGAACAGATTAATAGCACTGAAGTGCGATCTTGGGCTGCTGACAAGCTGCACGGCATCAAAGTCTCTCTGGGAATCAATCAAGCAGCAGTTTTGGCTGATGCAGCTTGTCCTAACTGGAGAGAATATGGCATAATTTCGAGCATGGACTTCCTTCCATGACGAGTGCTTCTTCGCACGCTGATTAGGAGCATATAATAACCAAACGAACACGTATTAGCTTATCATATTGGCATATTCGATCTTGAATTGGTACTCGTTGCCCGTACTTCTTTTTTCTTCCCACGTGCAGTTTGCCGCGGTTTCCCAGATGGTAGCCCCTCTGCTGCGGTTCAGAAATTCTCAAGAGAATGCAGCTGTAGTCTCAAGGTTTATTTCGTCCGAAACCTTCAGCAGCTGGACGAAGCTCGACCTGAACAGCTTGAGATTGTTGCTCACTGATTCAGTCGCTTGCAGGATGATTAACAGTAACTTACGGGTAGCCTTCTTGATTTCGGCTTTCGGACTGTTTTGACAATCAATAGCTGAGCAAGTATTAAGAGCCACGCGTTGCGCTTACCACAACCTGTCCGTAGAGAACGCCATTTCTTGATCATTGGAGCTTCATTCTTTTCTATCCAAACACGTCTTGCAGACTTCTAAGCCTGACAGTGGCCGCTGCTGTACACCAAGCTGTTCAATGAGACGTTTTGTCTGCCATGACTCGCATCGAGCAAAGTCTCGTAGCTGTGACCTGGTTTGGTTGGAGCTTAAGCTTCTCGGCGATTTCAAGAAAGGGTAATGTAAACACATTTCCGCTTTTGGAACTCCGAGTCGGTCGAGTGCTTCCTCTTAATTCAGGCCCGGTATATATAGCTGCCATCATACCTAACTTCCTTTTTCGACCAAATTTCTGCGTCATCCTTTACAATCACTGATTCGAGTACTCTTGGCTTCAATCCCCTCGAACCGTATTAGCAGTCATGGGTTACATGATCTCATGGACACCAGCGGCACTTCTGTCGCTGGTCCTGAAGCTCTCTGCCATTTTTATCGGCACTCTACTCCTCAAGGTTGTATGGAGGGCTTATACCATTCGAAGGAAGTTCAGACAAGTGAGAGCGCAGGGTATTGTGAGTATTAATGATCGGGCTGGTGGTGTCAAAGACTAACATCACTACACAGCCTATGCTGCCTCACTCATGGATAACAGGTCATCTGAACGTCATGTTCGAGTTCCGGAAGGAATACCCGGGAGACATCAACATCGGGAACTTCCATCCATGGATCATCAACAACTATAGGAGATACTTCCCCGACATGGACCACTGCCCTCCTGTCATATACTTAGATCTGTGGCCCGTTCTGAGGTCACCTATCGTGGCTGCCTACAGAAACACCGTGGCAGCGCAGTTCACTCAGATCAAGAACCTCGACAAGCATCAGATTTCTCTCGACTTCATGAATCCCCTGACCAAGGGCAAAGACATCGCCACTCTCCAAGGCGAGGACTGGAAGAAGTGGCGCGGGTGGCTCAACCCCGGCTTCAGCTCGAGGAATGTTTCGACCATGGTGCCTGAACTCATCGAGGAGATTAAGGTCTTCGCTGAGAACCTACGCCAGAAGGCTGGTCAGAACGGGTCTTGGGGCCCCATGTTTCAGTTCCGCAACATGACCACAGCGCTCACCTTCGACATCATTGTTCGTGCCTCCTTGTAAGATACCCCTTTTCCACAGATTTGTATTCAGATTTACTTATATAATCAAGGGACGAACGCTTGCATGAGCAAACGAATCCAACTGGCGGACCACTCAGGGTAGCTCTTGCAGATCAACTGAGATTGATGGGCATCCGGCAGGCGTTCAGCTTCGGCTACCTGTTCCCATGGCAGAACAAGGCAGTCGAACGCAACAATCGAATCGTCCACAACCAACTATACCCTAACATTGTTCGTTCGGTAGAATCGGGCCTCAAGCCTTCCAAGAAGAAGACCGTACTCAACCTAGCTCTGACGAATCTCGCGGAGGAGGCTGGCGGTCGCCCAGTAGACCCAGCTACCGACCCTGACATGATGGAGACCATCATCAGCAACCTCAAGACTTTCCTCGTCGCCGGCCACGAGACGACCGCCAGCGCGCTGTGCTTCATGTTCAAAGTTCTTCAGGACAACCCCGACTGCATGGCTAAAGTCCGCGCCGAGCACGACGAGGTCTTGGGACCGGATCCGGACCAGGCGGCTGAGATCCTCAGTGGCTCCCCTCAACTGCTCGGCTCGCTGAGATATACTCATGCAGTCATTAAGGAGACGCTGCGCATGTATCAGATGGCTTCAACTATGAGAGGTGGAGAGGCCGGCTTCTACCTGAATGACCCAGAGGCTGGGAGGCAGTATCCTACGGAAGGCTTCCTTGTATGGGATGGTGGCCCGGGAATGCAGCTTGACCCGTCTCTGTGGCCTCACGTTGACAAGTTCATCCCGGACCGCTGGCTTGTGCCTGCCGAAGATCCGTTGCATCCTGTCAAGGACACATGGCGAGCGTTTGCCAGAGGTCCCCGAGATTGCATTGGTCAAGAAGTCGCGCTGGTGGAGATCAAGTTGGTGGCAGCTCTGATCATGCGCAAGTTCGATGTGGAAGAGGCGTGGGAGGATTGGGACATCGCCAAGTAAGTCGACTCAGGCTTTCCTACGAGATGATGAATGACGATTGACTAACCATGAAAAACAGAGGACTCAGTGGAAAGAAGGATATGGTCAGAGGCCAGCGTCTGTACGTGGCTGGGGACGGTATTGGGCATCCTAAAGATGGCATGCCGGTCCACGTGAGGCTTCGTCAAAAGTGATCTCCTGGGACAGGACGGTTGTTCCATGTGCGACCGCTGTGTTTGGCCCAGATCAAAAGGATGGTCAAGTGAACTTTTCCATAGAATCCAAGCAACTCAGAGACTTGATTCACTTCCGTACTGGACCGGGGAAATCGTGACCTCCAGTCTATTGGTAAAGGATTGCTCATTCAGAACGTCACTCCCCTAGGCCACACCATTCTTTTTTTTCGATGACACGGCCCGGTTTGGCATCAACATGTCGTCGGCACGCAAAATTACCGAATTCGGTAGTTCCCAGGACGTTAGCGTCGCAGCTGTCGAGAAACATTGTCTCAGATGCCTCCCGTTTTCAGCGGCCGTGACGACTGCATCCCCTTTGTCTACTATACCCCAATCTCATAATTCCCCGCCAGAGGGCGCAGACGGAAAGATGCTGAAAACTTGGGACTCTTGCGTTTCCTCGCCATGGCTGTTCATAGGAGATCGAGGCCTTTGTTGCTTCTTCTGAGCGCCGTTTCTGCTGTCCTTGGCCAAACGGTATCAGTGGAAAGCAACGGTTTGAACTTTCTTGGCGTCCAAGATGAGAGTTCTGGGTAAGCTATCTGTTTTATCACCGAGGCGCCTGATTAGACACTTACTATTTGCACAGAATCAACAATTTCTTGGGCATCAGGTACGCAGAGGCGCCGGTGGGAAACCTGCGATGGAGACCACCCGTACCTATCCGGTACGAAGCCGACTCGGACGCGGCGGTGCACATCAATGCGACGACGTACGGGCCGAATTGCGTCAGTGGAAGAGTGCCCTGGAGCCCATTTTGGGAGTTGGCCAACAGCAAGAAGAAATCTCATCGGAGGAAAAACAGCCACGAGGAGAACTTCGAAGATGAAGACTGTCTGGTATTGAATATTCAGACCCCTATGAAGCCCAGGTCCAAGCGGCTTCCAGTCCTGGTCTACATACACGGCGGAGGTTAGTAATATCAGGGGATTTCAACTTCTACGACTCTGTTCAGCTCATAATGTTTAATGAACAGGATACGTGAGCGGCAGTGCCTACCCGGTAAACGGGAACAGCCTCGTGGCCCAGTCTGATGGGTCGATCATCCACGTTCAGTTGCAGTACAGGCTCGGAGCCCTAGGATTCCTCTCGGGCGACGAAGTCAATCATGACGGCACGGCGAATGCCGGCCTTTTGGATCAGAGAATGGCGTTGAGGTGGGTTCGTGACAATATCCATGTCTTTGGCGGCGATCCCACCCGCATCACCATCTCGGGCAGCAGTGCGGGAGGGGGGTCTGTTGCAATGCAGATGGTAATGTTCGGCGGATCCGAAGAAGCCCCTTTTCAAGCGGCGATTTTGGGTACGTCGGTTCCCTTCTCTAGCATCGCGATTATCCATCACGACTTACTTCATAAAACCCCTTATTAACATGAACAGACTTCCCCTGGTGGTCTCCAATGTACGACCGAGACTGGCAACAGAACCAATACCGCAATCTCTTAAGAGCAGCCAGGTGCTCTTCCCTAACCTGCCTCCGCAAAGCCTCCCTCACACGCATCATATCCGCAACGGAAGAAGCCTCCCAAAGAGCCTACAACAAAAAGCAATTCGCCCACGGCACGTTCTACTGGGGCCCGGTCGTGGACGGCCATGTCATCGTCCGCCACCCCATCAGGGAGTTCCGCGACGGCCGCTTCACCAAGATCCCCGTGCTGACGACGCGGAGCTACGACGAGGGTTTCGTCTTCACCAACGTCTCCGTGGAATCGGAGGCGGACGCCATGGCGGATCTCTCCACGCTCTGGCGCGAGGACGACGGCTTCTTCGCCAAGACCCTGATGATGCTGTATCCGTCGACGGTGTACAACAGGTCGCACCTGGATACCTTCAATCGTCGTGGTGGGGCCCAGTTTTTGAAACTCATTGACCACCCCCTTTCCGACGCCTTTGTCAGGTTGTCTACGATCTTTGGCGATGCGTTCATAAATTGCCCCACGAGCCATGCGGCCAGGCACGTGGTCAAGTACGGCCGGAAGGCGTGGAAGCTGGTCTTCAAAGCGGGATATGAATGCCATGGAAGTCCACTTTCCTTCCTTTACAGCGAGAATGAGAACGGTACGCCCAACTCTCCCAGGTTGATTCGTTACTTCGGTGCTAACTTCCAGTCTCACAGCCGACGGTCAACAAGACGTTGGAGATCTGACCTTCCCTGGGAATCCCACGTTGGCGGACAGGCTCCGCAGCTATTGGATCTCGTTCGCCATACACCACGACCCCAACAGAGGCCGATACTCAAGGCTTCCCGCGCCTTCGTGGCCGGAGTATGACCCGGAGGATCCGCATGTTCTGTGGGTTGAACAAACTAGTATGCGAACTCGACCAGACCCGGACAATTCGGCCAACTGTCAGTTCTTCCATGATTGCCGCGGCAACAAATGTGGTCTTGTGGAGGAATGGTGATCGCTTGGTCTGGTTAAGTGGTCATGGGACGCCTTTTGGTTTTCAGTGTCAGAGCTCGTGTGCTCCGGTCAAGGGTGTTCAGGACAAGAATCACGTCGTCTTTATTCAGTTGCCGGCATAGCGTACTGGAAACATGTGTTAGACAGCGTTTCCCATATACGAACTTGATTCCTCCGGAATAGTCCCATCAGTCCCTCACGACAGGCTTCAAATACACATTCAGCGGTCCCTTCGCCCACAGAACGTATATCATCTGCTTTTCCATCCAATCCTGGCTGTCGTCCGCGAGCAACAGATCGAAGTTCCATATAAGTCGCGCCAGCATGATTCTCATCTCGACGTATGCCAAGCTTGTCCATCGTCAGCGTCCATCACACTTCAAATACGTAGTCACAGTACTCACTTTCTGCCCAAACAGTTCCGAGGTCCGACGTGGAACGGCTGTAGCGCCTCTCGTTTGTCAGATGCGTACTCGGGATCTTCCAAAAACCGCTCCGGATGGAATTTGAACGGGTTTTTGAAGTTCCTCTCGTCGTGATACGTCGCCCACTGATGAATAGCGACTATCGTCTGTTCGCGAAGTCAGCAAATATCCAAACCGGCGGGTGATAGTTCCGGGTTTATCGATAGTTCTGGAGGGTGTCAACTCACATTCTCCGGGACGTAACGCCCGGCGACTGTAGCGCCGCCCTCCGGCGCAACTCTCGGGAGGCCCGTGGGCACGGGCGGATACATCCTCAACGTCTCGTCGAGACACGCCAGCATATAAGACAACTTATTGACAGAAGTGAGGTCAATCTCTTCTTCCGTTTGGAACATCGTCCGGACCTCTTTCGTTAACTTGTGCATCTTGTCGGGGTTTTTAAGTAGTAGGTACGTGACCCCTGCGAGGACCGATGCCGTAGTCTCAGAGCCCGCGATGATGAGAATGCTGCTGTTTGCTTCGAGCTCGTCCAAGGACATGTTCTAGTCCCGATAATGTTAGATTATTCGACCCTCTCTTGATCATCAAACAACAGACACTGGGCGAAGACGTGCGACCGTACTCACCCACTCTTCCCTTTTCTTCAGCAGCCCTTCAACCAAATCCGACCGCGGGCCATTCTTCCCTAGCTCGATCCTCCGCAGAACCTTCTGCATTGTCATCTGCCTGTGTTCTTCCCTCCTCCTATGCATCGCCTTCGTCGACAGCGCTGCAGTGATAATGCTCCTCAGCCAGGGGTAGTGATTCGCCGTCTGGAAAGCCACGCCGACTCTCACCATCTGGAACACCGTTCTCACCCACGGATGGTAGTCGCAGTTGTCTAAACATCCAAAGGGCTCCCCAAACGCTAGGTCTCCAATGATATCGAACGTGCAATAGTTGTACCACAACGATATGTCGATCGGCCTCTGCTGTCCGCCCGAAGACTGCGAAGAGGTCGTCGATGCGGCCGCATGTTCCCGCATTCTCTGGATAAATAGGTCGACGTATTTCATGATGACGGGCTGCTGCTCCCTCAGCGCGCGGTCGCTAAACCCATGCGACATCTGCCTCCGCAGCGCGGCGTGCTGGGGCCCCAGGGCCGTGATGATGTCTCGCGGGAGGCCTGGGATGGGTCTGTAGAACGTGTCGGACTTTTCAAAGCTGAGAGACTGCGTGGTCGTCGGCTGGCCTGCGGCGTTGCTGGTGTTCGTTCCTGTCTTGTGGCCAAAGATGACTTTCCACGCCCCCGCGTCGGAGAAGGCCAGCTCGTCTGGAGCGATGCGGACTACTTGGCCATACTTCCGGTGGAGTTCTAGCATGTCGAAAGAGAGGGTGCCGCGAACGAGTCTGTAGCAGTACGCGGCGCGGGTGGCGCGCATTGCCAGAGGACCGGGGAAGTGTCGTAGCGGATGGAAGAAAAGGTTGTAGATTATGTAGTATACCGTATAGACCGAGATCTATGAAGATTTAGGGAGGATTCTTAGGAGAAGCATAAATCGTTTCTGGGTTTTATCGTAGAATTCTCTGGTAACGGAATGGCAAACTTACAAGAATCACGCCCAGGCCAAGGGCCTGGAGAGCCAGGGTAATCACCGCCATCTCGAAAAATTCGTGGTTAGAGCAAACCAAGAGACGAGAGCTTGATAAACGTAAATGAACTTCTAACGAACAAAAAAGGGTTTTGTCGTAGTATTCATACTTCTTCAACCTGCCGAAAAGAACGAGGTCCACGCGTCGTGCAGCTCAAAGATGCCAGCTCCGGAAACCCTCATCGTCACTAAGACCGAGTACGACGGCAAAAACCGAGAATGGGCCGTTTCAACGGGTTTAGACGCCGCTAAACAGACAAGCATTTTCCAAAGACGAAAGAAAAGGGACGAAGCCAAGTCTGGGGTGTTTAGCAGAACTCAGAAAAGTGAATCATCGGATGACAACGGTGGCACGAACCTTTCCGCAGTCAATGTCGTGAGGGTTGTCTCCATAACCTGGGCGCACGGCATACCTTCCCGTCCCCTCATCTTCCGGGATACCTGCTTGAACGCCGCGCGTTTCGCCCAGGAACGGCAACTGTCCACCTGGGCTGCCGCTGCTATCGGGAATTCGTTGTGATCCGCGATACGAGCGACGAATCGCGTACTTACCCGAGCGAACACGAGCATGTCGTAACTATATCGAAAGCGACGGTATAGAGAACTCATAGCATTGGTGCCCGGGGATTCAGTTGCCAAGAGCCTCGGTGTAGTGCATGCTTTCCTGCCTCTGGAACGCCGCCGTATATGACCATCCTTGCCGCCGTTCCTGTTTTGCGTATCTGCGTTCGTCTCAATCCGACCTGAAGGTGCTTTCTTTTGCTTCTTTTGGAAACCAGTAGCCGTTCTTGGGCCACCATGGTGGTAATCTGAGTTGAAGTTGGCTGTTCGCGTTCAGCGATGGCCTTCTGCAAATGTATTTGATCTTCCTGTGGCGAATAGAATGTTAGACCGACTACGCGTTATGTTGTTTGACACACACACCTTGGTTGTTTTCGAAATCACAGCGGCTCCCTGCCGAGAGCATGATCTTGCTGAAGGCCGCCATCTTGTTCCCTATGCATCTCCATAGGTTGACTGCCACAAACGAAACCAACAATGATGCTCGAAGGTGTTCTTGAGTCCTCGCCCGGGTTCGTGTTTGGCACCGTGGTTAAATTGCCCGCAACGGAGCCGATCGAACAGCCAGCACCGATCTCGTTGGACATGACGCAGACGATACTATTGCAAACCGTTTCCACACCGCGCCAGTGTCTCCCAGGCGGCAGCCTTCAGCCTCGAGGCCCAGCCCTTTGATCAGCGTACGAGGCGTTGTGGAGCGACGGAAAAGGGTGGCTTCGACAAAATACACATCTCCCAGGACGAATACAATCCGAACGCTGGAGGGCCGTACGAAGAGTTCCATGGAAGCCGGTTATGGACGACGAGGACGTTGGTAGCGGCGGTGATGATGCTCGGCTTGCCGCCAAAAGCGCCTTCGGCAGGGGTTGGTAGCTCCGGTGCCTTCGCAATGACAGGAGTGGGCTTGAGATGCGAGGATGATGGGCTTGCTGGAGATCAGAAATTGAAAAGCAAGAATATGCGAGAGAATACCGCTCAGAGATAATTTTGAACACAGTGTTTATCAAAATAACAGATAAGGTCTTCGATTTGAGTGAAAATTCTGCATTGACGATTGATAAGCTGCTGGCATCTTTAGATGGCAAGAGGGGAGGAAGGAGGGAACCCCAAGGTACTTAGACAGGTTATCAAGACTGATGTGCCCTTTCTTTGATACTCTCCGAGGACAGTTAATGCCTTCCATTCATTGCCGGGACCTTGTCGCCGTTCCAGTAAGTCTTTGCTATGGAAGGCACTGTCACTGCCGGAGCGCTTGTTCCACCCAAGGCAACCGCCCATCCCTCGCTGTTTTTGCACCACAGACAGGATCTTGAAGGAGATTAATTCAACGACAGAAAGGAAATAACTTATGTCAGATCTTTGGAGAGAGAACAATCGTTTTCCCCTGGAGAAAAAAAACGATCCTCCGCTATAAATCGTGGGTAAAACAAAAAACAAAAGACATACAACACCGGTCATTCGCTGGCCGTCACCGAACCAACTACTACTCCGGCCCTCACTGGCTTATCTAGGGGAGATCGGACGGGATCCCGAGTTTTCCAGTGGGTATGGTCGTATGTGTGTGCCCTGTCAGGCGGAAGACTTTCTGCTCAACCCTTAGATAAAGCATGATTGCTCTGTCATGAGACCCGTCATACCCTCCATAGGTTATTGATTTCCCTGGAAGTTGCTGGCCTAACCTTTTCAGCTACCCCGCTCGTTTTACGGACAACGTTTGATCAATCTGTGGTATAGATTCCAGATCGTAGAATGGGAAAGGAAGAAGCTCAATGGCGGAGAGAGATTCACTTGGAACAATCCGCGGATGGGGAGAAACATCGGGCAAGAGATCTGGACACGCATGAGCATCACCCATGATCAATTGCCAGATCACTGGTCGAATCGAAAACGAAGTTACATTGAATTACGCGCCATGTCGGGGGCCCAGTCATGTCAGCTTTCCGACAAGCGGCTCAATTTCGAAGCTGATGCTTGGAGAGCTTTCTTCAACCTTGTACATCAAGCCTGAGCATATAGTCATTCGAGGAAAAAGAAACATTTCGATGAGCAGGATCTCTAGATTTGAGGCTCTTCTGAGCTTGAGAGACCTTCAAGGGATAAACAACGTCAAGAAATGTCTGCCGGAAGCTGTGGTGCTGAGGATATTCTGGCTGCAAAGGAAGCACCAGTCTCCAGGCTGGGGAGGGCAGCTCCAAGAAGCACTCAAATCTGCAAAGCAAACTCGATCTCACAGATAATGAAGATTTGAGAATGTTTTCTTCTCCTTGTCGCGGCGCAGTGGCTACGATCCAAAGTGAAAAAAAAAAAAAATGAAAAAAAAAAAAACCAAACCCCCAGGTGCCCACAACGCCCACAATGCCCACGATGCCCACGATGCCCACGATGCCCCAGGTGCCCACGATCCCTCAGATGCCTACCCACAAGACTGAAGTCTGAAAACCCCCGGGCCCTCTGTTCAGGCGACCATTACAGCCGCCCTGAACTCCCCTTCCTTTCCCTCCCATGGTTGGGGTGCTACGGTCATCACATTGCCGGAATGGTGACTCTCCAAAAACCTCGCCTCGCTGCTACGCCGACTTGCGTCAGCTCGTCGCCCAAGGGGTGAACGCGCGGGCTGCGGCCGGCGAACACCACCCGAGGTTGACGCCCCCGGGGGACCATTACAGCCCGATAGCTTCCCGACTAGCTCCCGGTGGAAGCCCCTACCGACAAGAGTCGCAGGCCGGAGCCTGTTGGGGCATATTCCTGAACACGGTCAACCCGTAATGTCGGGACTCAGACGACCGGCTAGCCGATCATCTGAGCGAGCATTCCGAAGAACAGGAAAACGGCGGCGGCGGCGAGTCTGCATGAGAATACAGCCCAAAATACCGGACTATCTGGCCCTGTACGACAGAGAGTCAGCAAAGTCCGGAAGAGAAAATGAGATCGGAGCAGGAATGGCACTTACTGACAGGGTCATCGCCCCCAACCCGACGATGCAGATAGATCGATATACACCACCCCGCCAAAGCGATTATGGCAGACAAGATATTCCTTTTAGTGGCGTACACTGGAAGGTCGTCAATCCAGCCGAGCCAGATGAGACCCTGCAGGACGACACTGAGGGAAGAAAGAGAGAGCACAGCGTAGTACATGTTGCGATTTCTTGCGAGGTGAGGAGAAAAAGAGAAGATGGAGGGTCGACGGCGAGGAGGAGGGGATTAAGTAGATTCTCTGGGGCCAGCTCCAGGCAAGCATAGGCAGGAGGCAATCAACGCTGTTGCCGAACGTTAGGAAGGACGGCAGGGGAAGGAATGAAGGAAGGAAGGAAGGAAGGCGCGGCTTGTCATTTGTAGGAGAAAAGGGAAGGAGACCGCTTGATGTTCACAACTTGGGAAGGAGGCAGCATAGGTCAGAATACAAAAGGAAGGCACAGGATGGAGTCGAGAACAAACGGGAAGGAGACTCCAGAGATCTGGGGAAAATGGGAAGGCGCCGGCCCGAAAGATGAAAAATATGAGAAGGAGGCAACTGCTGGCTTCCAGAGAAGAAGAAGGAAGGAGGCAGATCAGCACCACACTTAGGAGAGCATGTAAGTGGAAGTCGCGACGAAGATACAGGAAGGGGATGATTGGGAATTATGAGAAGGGCAGGAGGGTGCAGACTTATGGAAAGCTGGTGGTGTTCGAAGTGAAGAAAGAGCAAAAGGAGAACGAGGTGTAGAACTTTCCAATAAAACAGGCAGCAAAAAGTCAAAATCAAGAAACATCAGGAGTGATGGAGCCATTGGTGTTTCTTCAGCAGGTGGTATCTTTCGATCACAAATGCGCCTCAAACCTCACATCTATGAGCTGAAGTCTGGAGATCACGTCCCCAACGGGTTAAGAGGAAGAAAATGTTTCAGCGTGGTGGGAATTCATTCAAGTACCTACACGCTTGTAAGGACTCTGCACGTGTGTTGTCGATTTCGCCGATGCATTGACGATGCGACGACAGGAAGGAGGGCAGAGCTTCTGTGATTATCAACCCTCCGGAAGAATATTCAACTTCTTCCTGTGAAACACCAGACCCCTCTTAAAAGGTGGCGACGGCAGAAACCAGCTTGAGGAGAATATCCTGGAGCTGCCTACCTGGTACTTTCTTGTCGCCAGCCTCGACGACCTACCTTTATCTTGAGGTGATCCTGGTGCCGTCTCACTGCGCTCGTTGGTACATTAAGCTGCCTTGCTATCTTTGCCTTCTGCTTCTGTCGCGGTTAACAAACTTCCTTCTGCGTCATCTACCTCAGACGTGGACGTTCTCTCAGGCAATCGCATAGTTGGCGCATGTATGAGTAGGGGAAGCCACGGCTGCTCCATCAGTACGGCGGTTGATGGACCGTTTGATCACAAGTGAAGAAAAGTTCCACCATTTATGCAGCACGCTCACTCAAATAATGCGAGGGTAACGTGATGACGAAAATGATATTGATTCTTAGGGGTTGTCTCATATGTTCCCTTGGCCCTTCAGGTTGGAGCGTCTAATCCAGACGAAGTTTGTCTCCGTTCCAGTCATAGTCCGGCTTGCTCAATCGAATTCTTTCCTGAACACCGCCGAACCAGAACAGCCCTAACAAAGTAAAACCCCCGAAGACCGAAAACGCGGCCATAACACGAGTCGGTCTTTCGGGCGGTTCGATCTCCAGGAAAACCCACAAGCACAGCACTACCCAGACGGCGACCGCGGTAAGTGAGATGATGTACGAGGCGCCTTGCGCAGCTTGCAGCCGGGGAGGACCGTTCGAGAAGTAATGGAGTCGCGCGGGAATGTGGAGGATGTTGGTCTGAATGTGATATCCTCGGGCGGCGACCGCAACCAGAGCGGGACTGGGGCGATTATCGACGATCTGAAAACTGAAAGCCTGTCTGGTGGTCCAGAGTGTGTCTCGTATTGAGCGGAACATCTGTACGCATTAGCAGCTGAGGTATTTAGGAAATAGAGCATCGCGAAGTACCTTGATTTTCTTCTTAGTAAAATATAATGTGTAAGGTAGTATGCGAGGTGTGGTTGTTTGGGTCAGGTTGGCAACCAGCGACTGTGAGTTTGGGAAGGTAGGTAATTAGCTGGATACTTATATTCACCTATTCGTACATCCCTCAAGGTCAAAATAAGCTTACCTGGCGTGTGGTGGGGACGCACAATTCATTCGAACTTCCCAAAGGAGATAGATATCCAGCCAATAAAAGCAGTCGCTTGCCACGACGGTTCATCAACACCTATCTGCGATACCTAAGGTTAGGTACTCTCCCATGCACAACTGCTATCCTTCATTCCGTGTGCTGTTTTGTTCTTGTTCTGGCTGGTTTGGATGAGTACTACCCTTGTCAGCAAGGCCAGGGTTTTCTTGCATGTCACCTAGCGGCGTTGCCTGTACCGTTGGTGATGAGGGGATATGGGAGTATGAGCTAGAGTCTTGGGCAACGCACGATCTAAGCATCAACTACAGGGAACTGCTTTTCATTACGACCCCGCGATCTGTCGTCGGGGGACTATGATTCAAAACCAAACAACGCCGACGGACCATTTTCTTTTGTACCCAAAAACAAGAGACCCCGTGTCAAAACAGCCCGCCAATGCAACCGCGCTCAATGCCGGAGTTCTTCAAAGAGGACGATGACAATAATAATACATGCTCGAGGAAAGAAGAAACGGGCAACCGTCGCCCGTTCTATCCCTTATATGCAAGATATGCCCAAAACAAGACGACCATCCACACGACCCTCCACGTCGAGAAGCCAATCTCCCGCAGCACCCTTCCGATCGTCGTCCGCGACCGCTGGGACGCCGCCTTCCACGTCAGGCGAGGCTTTCCCGCACCGTAGAAGTCGTCCTGGAAGATTTCGATCCGCGGGGCGCGGTGGCCCCAGGCCTGCTTTTTGAGCTTGCTCTTCGGGGGCAGCGCGGGCGGAGCGGAGCCATTCATGAGCGATCCGCTCCTGGTCCGCGACGAGGAGTTGGTCTGGTACCGGGTTCCGGATGACGCAGAAGTCGAGCGCATGTTGTACGTGCCTTCGTCTTCCACCTTTTCCTTAAAGGTAGGTAGGATGTTAGTCTTCGGCTGCTCTGCCTCCAGAGCAAACGGCGTCAGGTTGAGGACGGGCACCAGGAAGGATCTGATACTGATCGCGACGATGCTGACGAAAGCCAATCCGATGTACTTCGCGTAGGTCGCGAGCTGGTTCGGCAAGAGACACAGGTGAGTCTGCAATGTCTTTTCCGGAGCTCCGGGAATGGGCTTGCCGTTGGCATCGACAGGGTTGTAAAGACTGAGCATGAGAAAACCAGGCGTGGGTACACCCATGGCCATGCTCACACTCTTCACAGTGATTTCCCGCACATTGTCCTTTTGAGGCGAGTGGACGATCTCGCAGTAGTCGTGGTCGTCTCCGGAAAGAACTTGCACAATGTTGCCGACACTCTTGACAAGCTTCACGGAATCGTCCTCGCTCAGCACGTTCTGATACTGATAGCCTTTAGAAACAGAGATGGCGTTCCGGTGGTCGGGAATAACAGGGCCCTTTTGTCCCTTTGGCGGTTTGGCAGGGGGCCAATGCTCGCGGTTCGGTCCGCAGGGGGTTCCAGGGTCTCGGTACAATGGCACATGTGTGAGGAGGATCGTGGGAAAATCGGGGCCATCTTCGCCAGGCGCAATAGTCGGGACGTTGTCCACGTTTGCCGTGTCCAGCTCCTCGACTAGGTGGTTGTAGTTGAGGCCCTCCACATCGCCCCTCCAAAAACGCAGCTCCTTTTCCACCGCCTTCCTCTTGGTAAACTTGACATCTTTCAGGAAGATGTCGGTTGGTGTGTGAATTGGTCGCAAGTCTCCCCGTTCTGCTTGAGGCGAGGAGCTTGCGCTCAAGGAGACGGTGTCAACTGAGACGATCGAGTGATTGCCAACCACATCCACGCGGTTCACGTCTCCGAAGTAGGAAGCGAAGCGCTCCCTGACCGAAACCTTGACTTGGTCACCGAAGCCGAGATCGTGATTTCCTGGCAAGCCCGCCACCAACTTGCGCCCCCTCTGCCAGCTGCCGGCTTTCGTGCCGCCTAGGTTCGCCCAATTATTGAAGAAAATTTCGCCAAATCGCTCGTACTCGCTCAACCAGAACTTGTCTCCGTAATGTTCGTTCCACTCCTTGACATGCTTCAACTCGTTCTTCGGCCGACGGGCAACCGCCCACTCGGGGTCTGGCCAGTCGGTCTTGCCCGTCTTCCACTCTCTCCCGCCGTCGAAAAGATCGCCCAGGAAGAACAGCGAGTCGGGTACCAGCTGGGACTGGAGCTGGGTGAAGCCTCTTCGAAGGTAGTTGTCGGTAATGAGTATGGTCAGGTCGGACAAAGGCCACGGCCTGCCAGGGTATGAGTGAGGGTCGATGATCTGGGGGTCGGCAACGACGATGAGGTGGTGAGGGTTCGTTCCGGAAGGCTGCATCTGGTCAGCATCACAGGAAAGCTTTCCTTATGCATTCAACATACCCAATTCTCCCAGTTGCTCCATCTGCATTCGGCAACGCGACTGCTAAACACCCAGCGCTCGCCCCAAAGAAGCACCAGCATCCAAAAGCACACCAGAAGGTGGGGGAAGCTCAGGAGACGTCGCGCCGTCAGGTTCTGGCGCAACTGCCAGCCGGCCCTGTACAGCATGTTGATCGCCGAACGCCGTCCGCGGGTCTGCCAGTAAGCCCAGATTGATCGCGATAGGCGCGCAGCTGCGTCGATGACAGGTCTGGCGCGGTCGCGGAAGCTGGCGTCATTGTGTTGAAAGGGCAAAGAAGAAGCCGATTTGCCCTTGTAGGCGTAGCCGTTGCTGTTGGGCGGAGCCATCATGCCGTAATGCGCAGTGCGCCTGCCATTCCCCTGCAGCTACTACTGCTCCTTTTTTTACGGGGCCCCGGAATGGAATGGTCGCAGGAAACCTGGACCAGCGTGTCTGTCGTGTCTGGGCAGGGCTTGCGTATGCGGGAGTGTGGGCGGGAAGGGAAGGGCGCGCTTCTTCGGCAACTTGCGCGCGATCGTCTCGTTCGTCGAGGAATGGATTGGTCGGAGGGGTAGGTCTCAAATCGTGGATTTGATACAAAGTCGCATTGATTTAACGGAGTAAGGAGAAACGACGTCGGGTCGGTTTGGCCGAAGAGGCAACAGACAGAATCCAAGAGAGACACAAAAGAAAACGGTGGTATCCAGGCTGTCGAGCGCCTGCGTCGGAAAACTAGTTAAACAAAACGTTGTTCATGGAAATTGAAGAAAATAGGAGAGAAAGACGCGTGGCGATAATGAAGGGAAGGTGGTAAGGTGCAGAAGGCCAATTCCACGTCACGAATCACGATATGAACACGGGGTGGCCCCGGCAGCTTGGGATCGGGCCCGGCGTCCATGTTCCAGCAAGGTCCCCGCTGGGGAATCAACGGCACGATGCACTGGACTGGAAACAACCAGCGCTGCATGATCCACTGCCAGCTCGACTGGGAAGGGAGCTCCTGGTGCTCTTTTTTTAAGGGGAACTTGCTCGGCAAGTCTAACCCGCAAAAGCAACGCTCCAGGCCCGGGCGGGGCCAGCTGAGCTGCATTTTCCGGGCCATTTCCCTTGACGTTGCCGAATCTGCGGCTTGGTATCCGGGGCACTGAGGGGTTTCCCTGGCACAGACATGCCGTCGTGACCCAAAGACATCACCAATGCTTCCCCATAGAGGCACGAAACTCCCCTCGCCGCGCTCCCTGATCCTAATCATATGGGCGGTAGAGATCAAGAAGCTTCAGCTGAAAACATGATACGGACAACTTGGCAATCCACATGCGTCCCGGACTACAATCACCGGCCCCGGGCGCTCCTGGACGGAACTCGAGACCGGCATCGACGAGCAGCTTCCCGACGCCGATCCCGCCAGCGCGGGTACCCCATCTACGCCGGGCTCGGCGTGCCAACGGCCCACCCATCTTCGTCGAACGCCTTCATGGAAGACATCTACCTCGCCGAATGCTGACATGTTCGACACCCGCCGGAACCCGGGACGGCACAAGGGCGTTTACGTGTAACGTCTCGCATACCCATTCCCGCGGATGAAGAAGCCGGGCAAGACATACATGTAGCATCGAAGCTCTCCTCGCAGTCATGTGTGGTAGTGTTGATAGCTTTTGGCTTCCAGCACCTTAGGTAATCCCCTCATCGAAACACCAAAGACCTCACCACCATCACCATCATCACAGTCCAACAAAACCACCCTCCCCCCTACACAACCCATCACGCCCCAATCCACCCCAGCCCTCTCATAAGCCGGCACATCTTAGACCGACCACCTCCGATCCTCGCGCCTCAAAAGTACCCGCGGCATCAACCAGCACGACGGATTTCCTGGAACCGACAGCCAACCTCGTGACACCCTCTCATTCAGCCGGCTTCCGAGGCGAGATTGAGGGGACGCTGAACACCCGAAGAATGTCTTTGGGGGGTTTAAAGTATCTCGAGGCAGCAGAGGAGTGTCACGCCGGACACGACATCGCTGCTCTGCATCTTCTTCCGGCGACTCCATGTTCAAGATCATCCTCCGTCCGGTTCTACGGACTGAGAATCATCCAGGTAGCAAGACGAGACTGTGCTCCCGAGGCATCTTAACGCCCCCCACGAAGCACGTCCTCGTCATAATCATCCTGAACCGCACACGACACGCCCCCCGTGTCCTTGGTTCATATGACTACACATCCCAAATAACCCAGCACGTGGACCATGCTAAACAATCTCCCGAACCATGCCTCTCTCAGGCAAGTATATTGGTGGAAACACAAAAGGTCTTTGCTACGAACAAGAGGGAGATAGGGTACCATCGAGCGTTCCCCTCACGATGCAAGATAAGGTAAGGCTAAGCTCGGAGCCCCGTCACCATCAACCCGCTCTGGGAAACATGGAGGAAGCCTCCCGAAGTTCCCACCCCACCGTATAGAGATCCGGACGCTTGACAGAAACGGTGTTCGGACGACAGCGACGACAAAGATGGTCCGTTTTTGATAGACAGACGCGTGATTATGTTGGTTGGCTCTGGGATATTGACCCCCGGTGCGAACCGTTTCTCGAGGAAAAGCACCGTTTCTGATGCCATGAGACTAATCACGGAGCTTATCACATCAGTGGGTGTGGCATTTCGGTCAAAGACGTGATCCATGCATCTACATGACCTACATCTTCAATGCACTCAAATCCACTCAGGCACAGGCCGCTGACGTGGACATGTACCCGTTCAAGGTCAGGTTCATGACCAACGTCTGCCATCTTCGTTTGACGACAGAAGCAAAGGGAATGGCACGAGACTTGTTTGGTCCCAACTTCAATTGTCATTGGTGTCGTGGGCATATCCCCCACTTCCCTACATCTATTCAAACCACACTGCACCCAAGATGGCGCGTGATCAGACTACTGACCGAAAGAGCAAGCGAAATGGTGTTGTGTATATCGCGGACAAAAGCAGACCGAACTCTAGAAGACCCAGCTGAAAGACTCCTTGACATCGAATTGGACCGAGTGCCTAGCATAGTGGTCAGCGTCAGCGTGTTCAGGGAGAAAGGGCGGTGGACTCACTTGATATCAGCGGACGACGCGCCAATGAGAACCTTGAACGTGCCCTCCTCTGCGATCCATCCGGGAACAGATGTGTCATAGTAACCCACGGCGTACTTGTCGAGATAGATGTGGAGGTGCTTGGTCTCCCCGGCTTCCAGGAACACCTTCTCAAAAGCAACAAGCTCCTTCTCCGGCCGTGGGAGTCTCGACTTGTCATCACGCACGTAGATCTGCACCGCTTCAGAACCAGCAACCGACCCGATGTTGCTGATGGCAAAGACGACCTCGATGGTGCCCCGGGATGTAAGCGTCTTCGTGCTGATGGACGGGCGTCCGTACTCGAAGGTGGTGTAGGACAAGCCATGACCAAAGGGGAACAGGGGCTCGATCCGAGCTCGCTCGTAATGGCGGTAGCCGATGTAGATTCCTTCGCCGTAGTTGACCTTCAAGTTTTCGCCTGGCCAGTTGTTGTACGCTGGCGCGTCCTGGATGCGCTTGGGGAAAGTAGACTACGGCTTATTAGCATGTACCGTCAGTCAGATGCAGAGAGCACCTACTGGAAGCTTTCCGCTTGGGTTTTTGAACCCAAACAAGACATCAGCAAGGGCATTTCCAGCCTCTTGTCCTTGATACCACCCTTGGATAATGGTAGGAACTTGGTCGACCCAGGGCATGGTGACTGGCGTGCCCGATTGGTTGACTACGACAGTGCGGGGGTTGGCCTTTACAATCACTTCGATGAGCCTGTCCTGACTTCCGTCAGACGGAAGGTCCATGGTTTGTCTGTCATATCCCTCAGACTCCCATTCGGCATCAAGGCCCACGATGACGACGGCAACGTCGGCGGCCTTGGCGGTATCAACTGCCTCTTGCAGGAAGTCGACCTGATCTTCTTCCTTGAAACCAATACGGCAACCTCCATACTTGTGCGTAATGCCGAACTGCTTCTGCTTGGCGATCGGTCGGAGCTCGTTGGTCATCTCGACTTTGAGTTCCACTGGCTTACCAGCCTCCATATCGACCTCAACCAAGTAGTCTACTGAACCGTCGAACATGGCCTCGCCCTCCTCTGTCCAGTCCCATAGATCCAAAGCAAGCTTGCCGTTGACGAAGAGCTTGCCAGGTCCTACGCTCATGAAGCTGACGGTGTGCCTGCCGGTCGTCTTGGGTGTCAAGTAGGTCGTTGCAACAGCAGACCATTCGGGGCCAATCTCATTGAGTGGTGCAGAGTCCCAGAGAAATAGATCAGTGTTCACCCGCCTTTGGACGACAACGGGCTTGCCCTCAAACTTGTCCCCAGCGTACCACTCAATACCGACCCCGGGCTTGCCCGACTTCTCAGTACAGTACGGAGAGGCGACCGGAAGCCACTTGTAGATGTGGCATCCCTGCGCAAAAGTAACCTCCTGCTCAGATGCAGCTCGAATACTCTCGAGAGGGATCGTTCTGTAGTACGGGTTCAAGCTGGCGCTGCCACCGCCTCCCGCAATGGCTCGATTTGCGTTCGGTCCGATCACCGCAACTTTGGTCGTCTTCGGATTGAGCGGCAGAATGGCACCGTCGTTCTTCAACAGTGTCAAACCCTCAGCACCGGCAGTACGAATAAGACTCCTCGTCGATTCTCGGTTGTCTTCCCTTTCTGCTTCCTCCGCAGACATGTCGCTGCCTTTCAGGCGTTCAACCAATGTGAGAACATTCTCGGCCGCGCGATCGATATCCTCCTTGGAGATCTTGCCCTCATCCATCGCTTTGGTGACCTTGTCAAATCGCCACTTCGGAGAATATGGGAACTCGATATCGCACCCCGCAATGATGGATTCAGATGTCGAGTTGGTGCCACCCCAGTCGGAAACGACTGTCCTGTTGTAAGTCAGTTCAACGTCCAATCTTTCTACTCAGCTCACATACCCATCGTAGCCCCATTCACCGCGAAGAATGTCTCTAAGCGTCAAGTTGTTCATGTCCGCATGCACACCATTGATCAGGTTGTACGATGACATCAATGCCCATGGGTTCGCCTCACGGACGGCGATCTCGAAAGGTCGAAGGTAAATCTCCCGAAGGGGTCGTTCTTGAATGAGCGAGTCAATCGTCAATCTGTGGGTTTCCTGCTCGTTGCCCACGAAGTCTATCAAGTGTTAGCGGACGGCGACAAATGCATACAGGCCACGAACGTTTGATGGTAGCTGCAACCCCCTTCTCCTGCAGCCCACGAATGTACTGAGCAGCCAGCTTTCCGGTCAGAAGGGGATCCTCCGAGAACGACTCGAAGTTGCGTCCGCCAAGGGGATGACGGTGCATGCAAACAGTTGGAGCGAGGAGAACGTTGGCGGATCTAGCCTTAGCTTCATCGGCCAAATGTTGACCGACTTCATAAAGCAGGTCCTTATTCCATGTCGCTGCCAAGGAAACGCCACAGGGGAAAAGGGCGGCCTATGGCCATCAGCCATGTCAACTTCTTTGGCGAACTTCACAACATACCTTTGTTCCTCCAACGAAGATGCCTCCACGAGCTCCATTGGGCCCATCTGAAGTTTTGACTGCCGGGATGTTCTTGGACGGAATGGTCTTCGTTCTCCAGAAGTCTGCGGCCGTGAGAAGCGATATCTTAGCAAGGTTAGCATCCATAAGCCAGGTCCAGAAGCAAGATGTAGATGATACCTTCTCTTCCAGTGTCAGCTGTTCTAACTTCTTCCTTGCTGCAACTCGGGTGTCCTTCATGAGTTGTTGGACCTTCTGTTGAGGACTGTAGGGCGGAGAAAACTCCGTGTTGGGCGTTGAGTTGGACATGTCGGTGTCCCTTGGGGACGTAGGAGGATCAAACTCGTGATCCTGAGTTTGGTTTTGGACACTGTTCATTATTGAAAGTTCTCTTCTGGTCTTTTGCCAGGATTGCAGTAAGCAGTCGTGTGGAAAGAACGTATAGTTTCGCTGTTGTGGTGACTGCCTCGTCTTATATACGCATGCAGGTTGAACCAGAATAACGACCAGCAGCGATTCGAAATTGGAGGGCAAGTGTTGATGATATACTCAAAAGAAAGACCAGGAGAACGATCCTCCAAAAGGCTGCTTTTCTTATGCCTGGCCAAGAACGAAAATGGCCATGTCAGAAATAGCATAGGCAGTCTGGGAAGGGTCAGGCAACAGAACAGCACTGGGTTCATGTAAGTCTTATATGAGACCTGATAGCGGGCAAACTGTCAAAGCGAGAGCTCAAGTGACCGACATTTAACCGGCACAAATGAAGGATGATCACTGGATATGAGGGTAATATGGGCTGAGCGGTGGGGAGAACAAGGACGGAAGCAATAGGAATGGGCAGGGAAGTGGGTGAGTAAGAACGGGAGAGAGACGACACCGCAGCGGTTGACGTATCTGGACTAGTATGCGGCTACGGAGGGTGACTTTGTCCATGACAACGAGTAAACGGAAGCTCAACGGGCAACTTGCCGAAAGCTTGAGGACATTCCTCCGTCCGTTCATGATAGAAAACGGAACCACCGGTTGAATAAGGAAACATGGGAAGCTGGGATGGAGAGATCGCCCACCACCATGCAGGGGCCTTGCAGGCAAGCCCTCTGTTGGTGAGGACTGAGGATTGCCGGGGAGCCGCCGACTGCGTGGAGTGGAGAATTTGGAGTTGCTTCGAATTGTGTCACTTGACTCTAACGCACGCCAGGCCCGGGTCTCTCCTGTCCTTGTCCTGTCCTGCCCTGCCATGCTAATTCCCAATGGGATCTTTATCGATGCTGAGTATTCGGTTACGGCTTTCTGGGCGACGTAGCCACATCGGTAGGAGCGGACCGTTCGAGCGGTGCAAGCTGGACGTTTCCTTTGGAGCATGATTGGAGTAGGGATTGGGGAAGTGCAGGAAGCTGGCCGCCAACTAATATTGGTACATTAGGCCTTGCGGGAGGTGCAGGTGGGGAATTGGGGTGGTTGCAGTGCTGTCCTGTGGTTGATCAACTCTTCGCAGGGCGTGAAGTTAGCAACATCGTTCCGTCTCTCTGGTTGTGCCGTGTGATGCCCGTCTTGTTCCTGTATGAATGTATGCTTCCGCTGGAGATGTATATGAGAGTCACTAATTGCCAACTCATTGTTGTCATCAAAGCTGAATTTGCAAGACAACCGTCGGTTGGTCCAGATCGCAACGATTGGTACCCGCATGCTGGAGACATTGCTTTCCAGCACATACTGATGTCCACTGATGTCAGGACGAGGTTCTCGGCATCGCGGATACCTTCGCCGAGTGGCCGACGCTTCGAACAGGCTCGGGGTCGTTTCGTAGTAATGCGTGAGAGTGCAGCTGATAACCGTAAATAGCGAGGCAGTCGGGCCATTCTAGCCATGTAGCAGAACGTTAATATCTGGTGGGCGAAAAAGCTGGTTGCGCAGTATGCTCAGAATTGATACCATCGGGGAAGCAGCGAAGTGCAACACAGCAGGCAGTGCCTTCCGACGGCCCTGCGTTGCAGAGGCCTGAGATGCCGGGCCTTGGCTCTTCTCCTACAGGTTCCCTGCACCAATACGAGAACGCAGCCGTCAGCTCGAGACGTATCGAGGAGCTGAGCTTCTTTCGAGCTTCCAGAACCTGTAACTGATCGGCATTCTGTGCAGTCGAGTGGTGAGAGATATAAAAAGGCGGCATTTGGCCACCCCTAGTTGTGTGCTGGTGGCGACGCTGCCTGCGAACTCGATGTCCAGTAGGATAGAGCGGACGGGAGAGTACAGCAGTTTGACATGGCGATATCGAGATCCCCAGCGCCCTGAGCTTTTTCATGCATGTCCCTCGGGATCCATCCGCGGTGGAAGCCCGACTAGCGGCACGGCGGCCCGGCTACCCCAGCGGCCCCGCCGGATTGGCTGGCCGGGGAGAAACTGTCAGGGCAAGACGTTGAATTGGAGCGTGGGGTCCGACTTCCGGGTCCCAGAGAGACGGCTTTTGGCCATGCCTTTTCCATAACTGCATTGCTTGTCAGCTTCCAATTACGGGGGCACTGGATGAGTTCGTCATTCGCTTGCCGTCCAGTGCTAGAGAGATTCCCGTTTGTCCCCCATTCGCCATTGATAGCTGTTATTGCGAAGACGACCCTGGCGATGTTGCTGATGCTTTGCTGGACCCATCATCGTCAGCTGGCTGTGCGCCAGCTGAGCATGGCTTGTGACGGCCACAGAGACTGCAATGAGACGTTGCGAACCGCTGATTATCGCCCGAGACCTAGACGAATTCGCTGTCGGTCTGAGGTTAAATCTGCATAGCATGCGGTGAATTCTGTTTCCATGAACCGGAACTCGATCCAGATATTTCTTGTTTACGGCGCAAGAGATTCGAGGCGGGAAACTTCAGTTGATGCTGTGTACCAGAAATGGAGGGTTGCGTCGAGGCTCAACGGTGCCTGGCCCTCGGCTTGGCAGAGTGCGACCCGGAAGCGGGCGACAGCAACACCATACCGTAACTTGAAATGCAATTGACATCTGCCGAACGCTTCTTTGGCTGAAAATTGACCTTGGGATTGCGGTCAACGATGGCGGATTCGGGCATTTCCTGCTTGGTGCGTAGGATTGGTTGCATCCTCTGTTGACGGAGGGTTGTCGCCGCGTTGCATTCCCATCTTCTTAGAATGAATGACACCCTGGAAGAGACCGAAAGATAAAGTTCATCCAGGGTCACCACCTGCGTCCGAACGCAAGGTGCGGATGTCTGTTCCAGGAACGCGTTCGTTTGACCATGACATGGCGGTGGTTCATCCCATTCGATGTAACGCGGCAGACAGACGGCCATGTGTGCTCCATTTTCGTTGGAACTTCACATGCAAAACCGTTCAGTATGAGCGTCGGAAGTTCATGGATGAATTTGTTGCTTCTGAAAATCTCAGCGTCGAGACGGCATCTCGGGTAGTTGAAGGTAGGATTCCCAAGAAACTGGATCGCGGAGGTTGTGAAGTTGGGGAATATTGTTACGAATCCGTAAGGTGCGAACGGAATGGAAGGTGCTCCCAACCTACCTACCTAACCCCGCTTTCCTGTACCAGATACACTATTCAATCGGGGAAGGAGAGGCATTCAGACAGATTTCGGGAAACCGAAGAAGAAGCGGAGGAGACTGCAGTACGGCATCGCTGATACAACTGTGATGGGCGTGACTTGCATCGCATAAGGTACAGTACCTGTACTGCCATTCCTCCCGTCACTTGAATCATTCCAAAATCCCCTCTGCGCCTGCATGACATAGGTCGTCCCTTCGACAAGCTTTCACACATCGTTCTCCAAACAGAGGGCGTCAAGTCCGCTGAATGGGTCCTCTTATTTCCTTATGTCGAGGCTCCTCATGTCGAGCTTGCTCATGATCCTATTTTCGAGCGAAGACAGGGTATCCCCCAGCAATTCCGTCCTAAGTCCTGCTACGCCATGGATTTGAATCAAGACCTTTCCTTTGGTGCAGTAAATCGTTTCTTTCTGGAACGCCGGTAAGGTAACTTGCGAAGGAAATCCAACCCTGACACCGTTGACAGGTTCAACTTCCTGCCTTTTCTCCACTCGGCCGGCTTTCTGTGGCAATCGGAGCTGTTGCAACGGCATCGAACTGCCGCAGAGATGAACTCATTGCACGCTCATCCTTGTCCGGTGGATCGCCGGATTCGTCCGCTTCTCGGGGACCACGCAAAGTGTCCTATCGCGGATGGCCCAATTGTCCCCGAGTTGTTTCCTATCACCGGCAGCCGGTGTCTCCTCCACCCAAGCATCAATATTGTCGTTCTCTTCCCGTTACCGACTGCCGTCCGTCCGGATCCATAACCGAAACACCGCTACGGATCGTCCCAGGTCTTCGTCGACATTTCTTTGACTTATTTTGTTTGTCGACATTCGAGGCAATGAATATCTAAGGCGAGACTTTCGTTGTCACTTACACGCTGTCCAAAACCGACTGATCATTTGCACTTTCGACAACTGCCAGATACCACTGCCCTGCATAGCAACCACATCACGCCTGCATCCGGTCAATCTCGAACCAAACGAGACTGCAAGGTTCCAATTGTACCAAGACGATCGCTGTCACCTTCCGAATCAGCCTACCGGGCCGCCCCTTCAATTCAAGACTTGTCTTGATCTGCATCAGCCAATTTCAAACCATTAGTGCCATTCCCGCATCACGCTATTGCTGCCGGTCATGTTCGAGTATGAACTGCAGATACGACGGCCAGAAGCCTCGAGTAACGAAACGAAACCCGCTCGTGATAACGAGATTTTGCAACGTCCTGAAAAAGAGGAAGATGAGCAACACCCGCCTGCAGACTGCAATACAGCAGAATCGGACGACAACGGGACATCGAGCTCATCCTCAGGACCATCGGGCCAAGTTCCGACTTCAGCAAATGCAAAGTGCATTGTCCAGCGCTTTTGGAATGAGCAAGTCAGCGTTGTAGTTGATTTTGACGACTGTCGTGATCATTTAGGTACGTATCATTGGTTTCTTAGTTGCAAGTCTGTCCAAGTGGAGTTTCATATAAGAGCGCTCAAGATTAGATTCGGAGGGGACCTCCCGGGGGCGACCTCCTCATCATCCCCGCCTCATGTAGAATCAACCCGGTTCTACGGGAAGAGAATGAGGTGCGGAACAATGTCTGGTAGTACCTGACGGCTGGCGAAGTTCAGGCACTTTTACCTCCGCCGCTACACCATCCTAATCTGAGGCCATGAAACGAGGCATCCATCCGATCGATTAATGTGCAACCCCTTTCATAGTTCATCCCTTGTTAGATCAGTTCATCAGCCTGTCCATGTAAGGGTCTTCCTGCGCGCCAGATAACATAGCAAATCTTGTTTTACCCAGTCGATGGAACATGACGCAGCAGCGCAAATTAAGACCACGGCACACGAGTTTTGTTCTCCAACTGTTCAGACGGTTGAAGGCCTTGCCCGAAAGTCGAGTGATCGGCCCGGTAGTGCGGCCATCTGTGTCCGAAGTCTGCCTCGAGATATGACATTACGGTTCGATTACTCCGGCTCATCGCTAACAGACCAACCTCCGCCATCTCCAAGCCCTCGAGCGGACCTTTCTAGGATACCTCCGCACCGGACTCGCCACAGCTATTCTGGGAACCATAGTCGCTCAGCCGCTTACGCTGCAACAGTCAGACTCGGGTTTTGGCTACTCCGCACTTGGCAAGCCTCTCGCCAGTGTGTGTTATGGCCTGTCGATTTGCACAACGCTTCTCGGCGCCTGTCGCGCTTGGAGGCTCCAACATGCCATGCTCCGCGGAAAGACGATCTCTGGCGGGTTTGAAATCATGTCCCTGGCTCTGGGTTTCCTAATGGTATGCTTCTCATCTGTGATCTTTCAACGCGTCAGATTGTGGGCGCCGCTGATCCATCGCAGCTCATAATGATATTCTTCGGTCTCTTGATCGCTCTCGACGTCGTCAAGGAATCTTCCAGTGTCTAACCACCATTCTATTGGCCGCGAGCATGGCTCATGGATTCAAGTCAAAAACTCTGCGGCGCCGCTTGATGTTGCCAGCATGGGGTTCACAGATTGAAACTCAAGCTCGACACCTACAACAAGATAAATGCTGATCATCACACGGGGTAAGTCAAGATCCAGTGTCATCGTGATGATGAAAAATTGCGGGCTGAATTAAACAATTTGAGATAGATTAAACGGCCACAGACAGCTTCGCGGTTACAGAGCCCCTTCCAGGATGCAGGTCCAGCTCTATTTATCGTGCCGTGTCTTGGCAAAACATCGTTTCCGCTCCGCGGATTGATCCACCAATTGCTGCTGGCAAACGACCTGCTTCGGCAAGTCTCTATAATATGGGGACTGCATCTTAGATGAATTATGCGGAGGTTCGATGCCCCTTCGCTGCCGATCACGTCGTATGAGATCCTGGTGCGTAGCATGCACGGATAGACGCTACCGAACTCATCGGCCTCTTGAGGCTCTACTTGCGAAGCCTCGAAATTATTTCAACTGCGGTAATGACCTTTTCAGTGACTTGTGTAAAGATCAGGCCGATTCGGATGTGGCTCCGCCGACCCCACACGGCGAATTTCGGGTCTCGATCGGACGGATCGGCCTGGGTGGGGCACAAGTCGCCGGAGCTCTTGCGTCCTTTAGGCAGAAGTTCACGTGCCAGCTTTCAACTTCACCCCCCAACTCGAAAATGCACCCAGGCAGGCTGCTGTATCGAATCTAAACAAATTTCCACCTGCGTCCTACTTGCTCTCGAGGACTTTTTGCAACCACGGAAGCTCATCGGACGGTTCCGCTTCTCAGTTCTACCACGGCACAATATCTGAGGTAAATATGCATACTTTGTCACCACCCCGCCCGTCCGCCAAAGGCTCATCGAACGATTTTCCAGATCAGGTGTGTCACAACTTCTCCATGGACTCCGCACATCCGGAAGGTGCCGTTGAAGGGGCGGCGGCAGCTGCTCCACTCGGCGAGCAGGCAACAACTGCCGGCGCCCGAAGGCGGCGCAGAGGTAAAACTTTCTCACACGCCGCTTTTGAGCAAAGCTTTCAGCCAAGCTGAGGGATATTGATGCAGGCCCGATCGATGTTGAGCGCCAGTGTGGGGTGGCCCTTCCCGATGGTCGGCGGTGTGGTGCGGCGTTAACGTGCCGGCGTCACTCGATGGGGAAGAAGAGAGCCGTGGCTGGGCGGTCGGCGCCGTTTGATGTCCTGCTTGCTGCTTTGATCGATGAGAGGGTGCCATGAGCTAGTGAGTCGATGGTGAGTCACGGTCTTTGGTGGGCGGGAGCTAGGTTGGATAATACGGAAGTTTAAATGAGAAGAGCCTTGAGCGTTCGCATCATACGGGGCACGAAGTGGACTCTTGGTCAAGTGATGGCGTGCAGGCAGAACTGGTCAGAAGCGCGCCGCCTTATTGACAAGCCAAATCCACTACCATCATGAACTCAGTTCGGAGAATCTGGTCAGCCTCGTTCCTCAAAAGACTAAAACCTTAAACATATACTGCGTGGTGTGATAGATGTGGACTTGGGAGAACACACTGTGTGGAAAAGAAAGCACATATTCACATCTCACAGGGCGCCACTGGGATAAGCTTCGCGACAGCCTGGCTATCCTGCAACTATGCTACACAGTATGAGCCTTATCGCGTGCCGAAAGAGAGGGCCCTATTTCTCTCCCGATCAGCCAAGTGACTGGTCATGTGGAAAACCAGAACCTCGTGTGCCGGCTCCGAATCCAAGTACGAGGGCGGCCTAGGTCGCCCTTCGCCTTTGTCTTTACGTTATGTGTAACTCAACGTGTTGATGTTTTCTCTGACTCACAAAACGTTGCGTATCGTGTCAAGTATGTAGCTGTATACGTACTTCCATGTCATCGCGAGTTGGTGAGTTTACGGCTTCATCGTCGACAGCAAAGAACGAGGCATCGGTTTAGCGAGAAGTTATGTCGTGGATATGATGACACTTATCGATGAAGGGGACCCGGAGCAACGCCATTTGTGCATCTATATCTATCGAATCATGATTAATCTACAAGTAGCAATGAGATGATCCCACCCATTTTTATCACCCATGAATCAAACGCCATGGTATGTATGCACCACCTTCGGACTTCTAGGTGATCCCAAACAAACGCCAGGGTATCTATGCATCACCTTCCGGTGTCTTTTCCCAACCAAACGCCACGCTTATCCATGCTCCCAAGTCCCTGTGTCAATCACGGGTGAGTGCTCGTACTCTTCCGACCTATTCGTAAACTCCACCATCTCCGTTTCCTCCCGCCCAATGCCGTATTAGGTATTGCCTTTGATGTGTTTCGACTACTCCCAGCTATTTGGTTTTCTCTATGCTGTTCACGGAGCGCTTCCCACTCCGCCTGTCGCTCAGCTTCAGCCCTCCTTGCATCTTCTTGTACTGATGAATCAAGATTGTTGATGCAGGTCTCGATCGCATCGCGGCGGTGGGCCTCGGCCTGGACTCGAAGTGGGCTGAAGGCATGTGGTGAGGTGACTATCATGGATCATCAGTGTTAGAATCGATATGGAACTGATTTTGCATCAGCTGAGTGCGGCTCAAGACTTACGGTCATTGATAAATAGATCCTCGATGCCTCGAAGCTCGGGGCTGAATTTCCCAATCAGCCTGAGATAATTCAGCTCTGCGGCATCGTCGACAGATTCGAGATCGATCAGGCACTCCTCATATCTGGAGTAGACGTCCATTTCGAACAGAAAGTCGTTGCTGAAAATGATATCGGCTGGAAGATTCTCCAGCACGTAGAAGTCCTTCGCGACACGGTCTTGGGTGTCCCCGAATCTCCATTCCATCTGCTCTTGGACTATTCCCGAGGTGATGACTGTTGAGCCGTCGGCCAATTGTAGTTCCAACCAGTGTTCGGGACTTCGATCGATAGCGAACCCGCGCGATTTTGCGTACGATGCATCGACCAACATCACATCGGAACCTGTGTCTGGCAATGCAAGAGTGGGCAAGCCATTCATGTAACCTCGCAGACGTTGTCTTCCGCCACCGATCAAATTCAGCCTGAGTGTTTTCGCGGCGTCAGATATGATGCGTCTGATACGGCGCTTGAACTTGGTCAGCGTCTCAGTGATGCGAAGGAATTGGCCGGAGAGGATGAGGTCGTAAGAGCATCCAGGCATGATCAGGCAATTGATGTCCGTTGCCCCCTTCTCTTCTGCAAACGCAAAAGGCACTCGAATCATGCCTGGCGAGAAAACGCTTTTGCCAGATGGTAACCGAATGATGCCGTAAGTATTGGGTTGAGGAGACTTGCCTAGACTGCTGGCAATCTTGTCAGAAATGAAGTTGAGCTCGGCGCCAGTATCAGGCACGGCAACAACCCTTTTGAGGCCGATTCTTCCAATAACCAAGTATCTCGGTGGCTCTTCACGACGATAATGCTCGACTGTGGAATATCTGGTTCCAATAGGCAAGGGCAATGTTCTCATGGCTAGGCGGCGCAAGGCAACATTAGTAGGTATAGCATCAACCTTTTTGTGGTGGCCGACATTTCCACGGACCAAGTGTGTCGGTGGTTCTAAATGACGGAAATGCTCGGCTGGGGAATTTTGCGAAGCAAGGACCTTGCTAATCTCCATGTCGTTTCCACGATACATGTGAGTTTTCATAACTCGTAGTGGTCCCTACTTGATGTTATCCCACCTGGCATGACTGAATTTGGAGGGAAATATCCGCTTACTACATCTTCCTGTGTATTCAGTGGTGGTCGATTGATTGCTTCGAAATCGACTGCTTCGAAATCGATTCGCATGTTTACGTCGCAAAACTAGACGAGCTGAGTTCAGCACCAACAAGGCGCAGACCCCGCTAGAAAAATGGAGGATAGATGGAAACGATTACAAACGGCCTGAGAATGAGCATATTCTAATGTGTTGTGCTCGGGAAGAAAAGATAGATAACTTCGGAAACAGATTGCACTCCCCTAAGTATGTCAGCGCCGATAAGGCGGCTCAGTTGGCTTGTGTGAGAACACGTGGCTGTGCTTACTCAAGCCAAATATGCAGAATTTGCGGCCCAATAAGTGGCCAAGGCAATCTGCGCAGCACCTGGAAACGCCTGGAGGAGCGGTAAGCCAAGCCGAATGTGCAGAAGTTGCTGCCCAATAGGTCGTCGAGGCTCTCTGCGAGGCGTTCCGAACAACCCTTGGTAGAGAGGAGCTGATATGTCCTTGACATACTATGCCATATTCATTTCAAGTCCTCACTGACCTACCTGGTACCTCAACGACATTATGGAAGATATCGAGAAGGCGGCCGACGAGTTTCGGCAGAAAGCCGGCGAAGGATTCGCAGCCGCCTCTTGGTGTTGGCTCAAGACGAGGATTCGGAAAGCTTCATATTCCGTAAGTTCAGCCAGTTAGGCGCTCGGAATCTGCTTTACTTGCAATGCGAGATACTCGTTATCGAAGATAAGTTACGCAAACTTGATAGAATCTTTCTTGACAGCAGTGAAACTCCCATAACGGAGGCGGCGCGGAAGTGGGAAAAGCTTGTGGAACAGTCCACGAACAATAAGGATGCGGAAGAGATGATGCAGACGATCAAAGAGCTGAGGAGCAAATTGAGAGAGTATCGTAAGTCTAGGACGTTGATGATAATTTGACGAGAACGCTGACTTGAGGGAACAGATGAAACTTTGAAGCTGCAAAGCGAGATAGCTGGACTGCATCGTCCAGAAAAGAGAGCCGTCGAAGCGACAAGACACTGGCTCGAAGAACCTCTCCCGATTCTCGGAGGGAAAGCGGCGAGGTACCTCAGCGAAGATGCCGACTTGGTTGCTTTGAAGGCGCCAACGGAGGTCGACATACTCTCAAAAGCGCTGCGAGCTTGTTGGCCGGGAAAGGTGAGGAGAACCGTTGACATTCTGTCTCCATCATTCTTGTAGCTAGCGTTCTTCTGTCGTCCGAGTAGTCTTGCTTACACGTTTTAAGGATGAACTGTCAAGAAATGGACTCCATCGAATACGTCGATATAACGAGCACTCCATCACAGTAACTGTGGGCATCATCAGCATCATTCTTGCGGCGATCCTACTCCTCGGAGCCATCATCGGGTTCTCTTTTGTCACGACGTGGGCTGCGAAGCTAGTCATGATATGCTTCTTCACCATAGCATTCGCTCTCAGCGTAGGCCTCACAACGAATGCAAAACGAGCCGAGATATTTGCGGCAACGGCAGCGTGGGTATTCGTCGGAGCTGGTGCAGCCTTCTCTTTTGCTAACAATCTGTAGGTATGCTGCCGTACTGGTCGTGTTCGTAAGCAACGGAGACCTCTCAGGGAACCAACAATGCTGCCAGGCAGCGGCGCAGCAATGAAGTTGGCCGCTCGCTCGGCGCTCAGGTTGTGGGAAAAAAGTTTAGGAAACGGGGCCGATGCGCGTGGACGGGTTCGTCTCCACAACGGATCCCGGCTTGGCCGACCGAACTTGGGCCGGCGCCGTGGGTCCTCCGGGGACCAGGGGGACGGGAGATCCGTTGTTTTTCTAGTGTAGGTAGCGTGCGAGAAGGTTGCCAACACGAGAAGGAGAACGGAATCGGAATGGTGTTGCAAAATTCGGGCGGGGTGTCTTGGGAGGATGCAGAGAGTCCAGGGATTGCGTCAATAGTTTCTGGAATGGAAGGATCGACCTCCAATGACGATATGGGCGCATACGTATTGTACCTATTGTGTGGTACGGGTGCGATCCGATGGCACCCGACGGTGCGACTCCGAGCCGAGTGAAAACCCGCGAGAACGGTACGCGGTTTCCGTACGGATAGTCCGACCCGAACAACTCAGTGTTGCCTCCTTTTGCAGAAGTGTTGAACTGCCCGTGTGAGTCGGGTGACTTTGAAGGGAGGAAGGGGGCAAGCTGGGCTGGAAAGTGAGACTCCCACATTCGGAATCATGTGGAGTGGATAAGTGGATGTCGCCTGGTGGAGAGAGCAGGCGACAGTGGGCTCTCAGATTCGTCGCGACGGTGGTTCATGTACCTGCATAAGCCAATCAGAGGCCGATCGCAACAGACCTCGCCGCAGTATTCGTAGTCAGCTCATACTAATATGCTTCGGTATTCGTATGGATATATTATGAATAGGCTTTGAGGTGTCAAAGTGAAAGCATGGAGAGGCGTTAGACCTTTAATAATTCTGCATCATCTCTGCCTAATGCATGTGGGTTGGTTGCCTTAGATGCAATACCGCTTCTCTGACTGCGTGTAAACAGTTTCTGGTGTAGGTACCTACCTCAAGTGAGCTCAGGTCCGATGCCCGAGCTTCGGAGGCATCGTTGGTGTACCTAAGGTAGCTTCAGGCAGGTTGAAGCGGACGACCGATGCAGCCCCAAACTTCATTTCGCCGTGTTCCGTGACAAAGGGCACATCTTTATTCAGCTGGAGCAAACAGTTAGTTGCAGCTTCCTGAATCCCTGACAAGCTCCCTGCGCGTCTCCTGCTCCCTAGTGTTCCCAAACCGAAGACATGACCGCCTATCTGCATCGCTTTTGGAGGCGCCCCTCATCTCATTTTGGACGATTCGATTTGTTTGTTGTTGCGTGCTAGGAAACAGCACGTGTTATTCGCCCGAAGGCCAGGGAAAACGGGGGGAAAACACTAACTGCCCGTGACTGTCGAATGCATAAGCCACACCAAGGAAGAAACTGTACGTATTCGTTGGGTCGTGATGGCAAAGAGTAGAAAAAAAAGAAAAGAAAACACTAATTCCGTCATAATACCCACCCAAGGTCCTGGTACCTACCTGCAACCTGCGCACTGGGCAGTCTTTGTGTGTCCGACCGCGTTCCGACTTTTTTCTCCCCGTTGACCACGGTGCCACGGTGCTACAAACAGTAGCAAAAACGGTACGAGCGAGCGGCAAACGGACGAAGGAAAATAACAGACCTTTCGAGTCGTAGGTAGGTGGTTAGGAATTCCCCGTATCTTTCGACATCACCCTCAGATACAGCATAGCGCCGAATCCAGCTTGCCGCCGCCTGCGCCTGCCGCTTGCCCTTGTCTCTTCTCTTGCCTCTCCACCTTCTTCTTACCCCCCGGCCGTCAAAAACTCAATCTTAGCGGTACACAAATATAACCAGCCAACGCCCCTCCTCCTCCCCCCTTGCCTTTCCCCGATTCCGCGCTCGCGCAATCTTCAACTTCAACTTCGACTAACGTACAGGGCAACCAGCGACTACACCTGCCACCCAACAATTGCTTTTACTGGCCCAACCCATTAATATTCAGAGCTCTTAGAGCTCACTTTGCCTCTTCTTACCCTCATCGTCCGCGATAACATCGATTTTTTGCCCATCATGGCGTGGTCAAAGACGACGCGGATCAGCATCATGCTGGCCATCGATATCGTCTTCTTTCTGGTTGAGTTAATTGTTGGTTTGCTCGTCAAGTCGCTGGCCCTGACCGCAGATGCCTTCCACATGGTACACATCACACCCGTACTGCGGAACCGCTATGTGTGACGCATTGCTGACTGTTGTAGCTCAACGACATCATTTCCCTTTGTGTTGGTCTCTGGGCCGTCTCCGTCGCGAGAAAGGCCACTACCGACAAGTACTCCTATGGCGTAGGTCGCCTCCCATTCCGAACCTGAAGCTATCACCCCTCTGACTCCATTTCCGCAGTGGCTGCGAGCCGAGATTCTCGGTGCTTTCTTCAACGCCGTCTTCTTGATTGCCCTCTGCGTCACCATCATCCTCGAGGCCATCACCCGATTCTTCGATCCTCCCGAGATCGAGAACCCTCAGTTGATCTTTGCCGTCGGTGCCCTCGGACTTGTTTCCAACCTCGTCGGATTCTTCGTTCTCGGCGGCCACGGCCACTCCCATGGTGGCCACGATCACGGCGATGACGAACACGACCATGAGCACGCTCACTCCCACGGCCACTCCGACGAGCACGCCGCCGAAGAGGGCCGTGCTACGACCCTTGCCAGCGATGATACCGGCAACGTTGCCGACGTTCTCCCCGAGGCCGTTGTCGCTAGAGCCACCGCCGCCCCTCAGTCGCCTCGCCACATCAGATTCGAGAGGGAGTCTGATGCGTCCGGCCGAAACCAAAGCCGTGCTTCGGGAGCGTCCAAGGCTCAGGACCGTCGCAAGAGCGGCAGCCGTCACCACTCGCGCCTCACTAGCATTGAGGATATCAGCATCTACCCCTCGAGCTTCCGACAGGAGATTATTGCCGCCAGCCAACCCCAACTTGATGGTCAGGAGTCCGCAAGCGAGAGCGAGATCGAAGAGACGGTCGTAGAGGACGGCGATGCGGACGAGGAGTCCCCTCTGCTCAAGTCAAATGGCAACAAGTCTTCCTACACAATCGAGCAACCCCGTGGTCGTTCCGGCTCCAAGCGACCTAGAAGAGAGTCCAGCTTGCACGTCGGCCACAACCACAACAAGGAGAGAAAGAAGGCCTCGGGCGGACACGGCCATAACCACGGCGATATGGGCATGAATGGCATGATTCTCCACGTCATTGGTGACGCCCTGGGCAACGTCGGCGTTATGGTCTCCGCCCTCATCATCTGGCTCACCGAGTGGCGTGGCCGCTTCTACTCCGATCCCGCCGTCTCTCTGCTCATTACCCTCATCATTCTCAGGTCCGCCTTTCCCCTGACTAAGGCTACGTCCAAGATTCTGCTGCAAGCGACCCCCGATCACATCGACCTCAACGAGATTCGCGAGGACATCCAGGGCCTCCCCGGTGTGGTCAGCTGCCACCATGTCCACATCTGGCAACTCTCAGACACCAAGATCATCGCCTCCATGCACGTTCAGGTGAGCTTCCCCATCTCGGCAGAAGGCGGCGAGAAATACATGGAGCTCTCCAAGAGGGCACGCAAGTGTCTCCACGCCTACGGCATCCATTCTGCCACCATTCAACCCGAGTTCTGCGGCGATGAGAACTATCCCGAAGACCCCCACGCCCAACACGCACTACAGTACGACGGAGCTGCTACTTACGGCTCCCCTCCCAAGCAGGCTTGCCTGCTTGAGTGCGTCGACGACTGTGTTGGCAAGGGTTGCTGCTCCGGATCAGAGTCGACTGCCGCCGGCAGCGTACGTAGCCACTCGGCCCACAGCCATGATGACCATGCTCATGGTGGCCACGGCCACAACCATAGCCACGACCACGGTCACTCACACTAATTCTGATCACAACGCGGTTTCTCATTAATAATACCCCCATTTTCTCGGCCGCGACAGTTGGAAAGGGGCTACATGGGGCTTTTGTCATTATTGCGACATCACTACAGGCGGGCGGGGCTTTTTTGTTTTTGCACACATTTTGCAGACGCGAAGTCTGGCAATTAACCCAACAAAAATACCGGCGTTTTTGGGACTGGGAAGGGGGCGGATACACTTGACACACTCTGAAGTTGGGGACGGAAACATTCTTCGTTGCCGCCAACCGTCACATGACAAATTCATTTTCCTTTCTTTCTACTTGATTTTGCGGGAGTGGCATTCTCTATGTAAGCGTATCAGTCACCAAGTCAGTCTCAGTCGTCGACTGCATCGTGGGAAAGGTCATACAGGAATGGCGCCGCATACTTGCTGCCATTTCTGGTTCTGGGTGTTTAGACCGTTTGTAAGACTATCAAAATATTACTTTTAAATTCGAAATGATGCGCCTGCAGAGGGCATGCACAAGAGATCCATAGTGCCGTAACAGTAAATGAGTTTCGGCGACGTAGAGATCTCTCTCCCGTGTTAAGCAATGCATTCAACGAGCAAGCAGAGGGTCTTTGAGGGTCGGAACATCACGCATCTCGGTCGCGAAGAGAGAAACAGGGAGGGACACGCACACGTGGCCGATGGAGTGTCAACGTCCCCGGCTCCGACAGATCTCCTGTCCGACGGGCGAAACTTGTTGATCCCAGCCGAGGTCCTATCTGGCTGGCTCACACATTTTTCGTCGTTCCTCCTTGTGGAACAAGACTGTCTTTGCCAAGCCCAGCCAGCATGAGCCGCAAGTTGATTCCTTTCTGGGTAGATACCCTCGTCTTGGCTGAATACGGGATGCCAAAAGAGGGCTCAACGCACTCGAGACAGTTCTAGGAACGGCGCAGATCCAGCTAGACATCCAAAAGTCAGGCCACAAGCACGAAAGTATCTCCTTCAGGGTCGAGGGTATCATTAAAATTTTGCTTCTTTTAGAAGTAGTTATGTACACACGCTGACCACCCGTCGAAAGATGGCATCCTCTTGTCCTCGCTTTTTCTTTCTTTCCCCGGCTCTCCTTTAAAAGCCGCTGTGCCCAACGTACCACCTGGCCCGTCTTCTCCCTCCTTGTGTGCCCCCACCTTCAGACCGAACGCCCGATAATGCTGCTTGGTGTAATGTCTCGGGAGCGTAAAGCGCCGCCGACCAAGAACAGGAAAAAAAAAAAGAGTTTAATAATAAGTGAAATAAATGATGCCACGACGAGTCAGCGGACTCTTAAAAGCGCTTTAGGGGAAAGTAAAGAGAGGAAGACACCCCCTGCCCGATGATCCCTCTGTTGACGCTCCCTGTCGGACGAAGAAACCCATCCTCTCTCTCAGCATGGGCAGTACTATTTCGGAGGCGCCGAGGACGATGGCTTCTTGATGACGAGCTTGACGCGCTTCGGCGGGGGCTGGCCATCAGCCGGCGGCGGAGATGCTTGCGGCGGAGGCGGCTTAGGCGGAAGGGATGTCGCTGGCGGCGGCGGGGGACTAGCCGCTGCGCCTGACGAGGCCCCACCGGGCAACGGCTTGCGCGCGGGCTTGGCCATGATGCTGCCGTCAGATGGACCGGGTGCTGGAGACGCAGCGGGAGAAGCTCGAACGCTGAGCGGAGACGCAGGCTTGCGAGACTTGACCAGAGACGGGTCTCTTGGCGGGGGCATCTGGGATACCACCCCGGCTTTCTTCATGATTGCCTTGAGGTTCGGGTGCTTGAATCGAACCATTCTCCGGCGCTTTGGAATGGTGCCATCGGGACGAACGTTCAATTTCGCCTTCTTCAGAACTGGAGATGCGTCGTCAACCCCAGGGACCTTGTCAGGTCGAGGTCGCTTGTGAGCTTTACTGTTCAGGGTGTCGGACGACGGTCCGGGCTGAGGTGTAGAGCGCCCGTTCGATGTAGAACTTGAACCAGATGGCAACGCAGATTTGGCGATGGGAGGTTTGGAGGCCGCGGGTTTGCCGACAGAAAGCTTGGTGGTTTGCGAGGGCTTCGATACCGTAGTCTTGATGACAGAAGGCTTGGGTGTCGACGGCTTCGGAGTTGTCTCCTTTCTGATCGTCGATGCGACAATCGAATCTGCCATGGGCGAAGGCGCGGAAGTTGGCTTGGGAGACTGTACAGCCGGGGATGGCGAAGGACGTGGGGCCGTCGAAACAGGCCTAGGGGCTGACGGCAACGGTTTGTTGATCTTGGCAGAGCCACTCTTCATGTTGACGATGAGGCGCTTCGGCTCAGGGGGCCGGGCCACAGGCTGTGGTTGCGGCGGCGGCGGCGGCTGAGCTTGCGGCTCGGGCTCCGGCTCGGGCTCCTTCGGTTTGACTTGCGGCAAGGCTGTCTTGTAGTAGGACTTGAAGTTGACCATGAACTTTGATGCTCGTTAGAAGAGAACAAACACACTACACGCAGGTTTCGACTTACTCTGCCTGGGTGGGGCTTCACTGGACGAGTGGCTCTCCACCGCTTGGGGAAGTTGAGAGTGATCGTCCATCGGTCAGCAACATCAAACATGGTAGCACACAGCTCGAGGAGCGTGATCTTTTCGGCACGACCGAGCACTGCAGAGTTCAGTGCCTTCCAGACTGCTTTCTGCAGCGCCTGCTCATGTTCCGAGTACTGCTCTTCCATCTCCGTTCTCAATGCAGCCAGTGCAACGTCGACATCGTGCTTCCTGTCGAATTGTTTGCGGCGCTCCCGCGTCTGAGCCTCTTGATCATGTTCGATTTGAAGCACGTCGCCGCTGATAGGGGCGCGGGCTGACAAATTCGGTCCGGACTGCTCGCCAAAAGCCAGAGCAGCCAAGCCGGAACAGAAAATGTTGAGAAGCTTGTCCCGAACGAATGGGGACTTGTCGGTGCTGATGACGGACAAGATCAGGCGGAAGATAGGCATCTCCATCATGTAGCCAAGATCGACAAGAGCCTCGAAGGCTTTGATCCGCACTAGATCGCAGGTCTCGTCCTGGAGATATTGGATGAAATCCAGTGCGTTTTTGGGAATGACACCGGCCTTCATCAACTTTCGTCTGCACTCAAGGGCAGTGGTGGTCCATATGTTTTGATATGAGTTGGCCCACTCATCCATCCTGCGGAAGCGATCAATCTCAACCAGGGCTTCGCCAAGAAAATGGTGCTCCTCGACATTTGTGTCCAAGTCCATTTGATCACCAGACTTCTCTGGGATAAGACTGGTTGCTAAGGCATCCAGAAGCTTGGCAACGTAGAAGTGGTCCGAGTAAGGATTATTCGCGTTGTTGTTGTACTGAACTTGGTTCAAAAGGAGCCTCCGAGCTACTTCGGGACACTTGCCGCTTGAGTCGCGAACCCGAGCAATGGCCATGGGCAGTGCACTCTGGACGATGTACTGCTTCTTGTCCGAAAAGTCATTCGGCCGGGGCGTTTGCGTATCGGGGTAGCAGAAAAGCTCCGTGAAAGCCTTCAGCAAGTGCGTCATGCCTACCATAGAGGTCTTGGCCGTAGCTTCTTGGGGCAACGTCTCAGCCGCCATCGTTCTGATGCCATGGAAGTATCGACGATCCACCAGAGTTCTAGTCAAAAACGTGGACACCAGCGGATGTGCAGGGACCTTCTTCAGATAGAGCATCGAGTCCTGTTGCGCAACCACGTCTCGGTCCTGCTGTAGTTGAGACACGTACATGTAGCTCTGGAGGTTGGTCTTCATCTCGCAAGCCCATTCGAAATCAGCGTCCATCCGGATCCATTCATAGGATTCTTGGTCCATAGCCTTCTCGATGTCAGCCTCCCACTCGGAGAACTCCCATTTTTTAAGATCGTCGGGCCCAGTCAAGACGTCTCCCAGACAATACAGAAGTGTCTCCTCGTTGTTATCTGGGTCTGCCGCTGATTGCGCGCTGAGCTTCTCGGTCGCCCGCCTTTTGCGCTTGAGCCGCTTGTACTTTGTGTTGTATGGAATCTCGAACTTGGCAACCTTCGCAGCGTCTTCTCGGATCTCTACGATGTGCTCGTATGGAGTACCGTCGGCTTCGTGAATCCTGATGGTCATGGGACCTGTGAATAAGCCAACCGTGTCCTCGCCTTTGACACCGTGGAACTTCTCTTTGACGGCGCGCAAAAATTCCGTCTTTTTCAAAACTTGTGCCTCAGTCAAAGTTCTATCTTGAACTTGCCGAATCGTCATCTCCACACAGAGACGCTTTTTGTTAAATCGCTGATAGACGTCGAATCGAGGGCAGCCTGATCCGTAAACCCACTGGTGCCAGAATGCCTCCAGCTTGTTTCTTGCGTTCTTCTCACAGACCCGTTGGAATGATTCCGTGTTGATGATCCACTCGCTCTGCTTCTCTCCAATGTTGGCTTTGTAGAGAATTCGCGAGATGATGCGGGTCAAGTTGGTCTGAGCAGGCGCCTTCATAAGACGTTTGTCGAGGATGAAGAGAACCAGGGGGGCTTTCAGGATCATGAAATCCATCTCGAAGTCTCCGATGTGTAAGAGGTTGCCGAGTTCATGTAACGAAGGCCTTTTGATGTCAATATTCACCAGCCGGTCTGACATTTCCTTCATCCGAAACCTGTAATCGTTGTTGCCACAGAGCTTCTTCAGGAAGAGGTCGGTCATGTAATAGGCAATGCCTATAACCACCCAAAGATCTCTGCGTGTGTTGGGAAAGAGATTGATACCACTCCACTGTGACGCTAGACTGAACACCAGTTGTCTGGTGACGTCCACCTCTGTGTCGATGATGTCCTCGGGGAAAAGAAGGCGGGTGCTGACGAAGGACAGAGACTGCAAAGCCACGGTGTCGTTGACCATGTCATCCAGAAAGCACATCTTGTAGTTCTCAAAGGGGTATCGGGCGAACGTGAGGGTGAAGAAGTCAGCTGCTGCCGCAAGTGCGGCACATGAATTCTGGACCTCCGCAGCCCTCCCAGGCAGACAGTAGCCGTGAATTTTGAGAGCACTGGCGCCAAGCTTCTCGTCGTTCTCCTCGGTGCGGAAATCAGAGAAGAGATCCACATGCTCAAATGGGCCGACGGCGAATCCAATCTTTTGGACGGACACGCGCTTGTCCATATCAAAGCTCATAATCTTCTTGCGTTCGTCGTGAGGATCCACAATTTCGTCCGACAGCGTGCCGGAGCAGACCACTGTCATCTCGAGAAGCTTGTCCTCTTCGGTGAGAGAAAACTCCCTGTCCGACTTGTGGCTCACATGCCCACGTTCTCGGTTGCCGTTCGTGTTGCCGTTGGACCTCTGTTGGGTGGCCAGTGGTTGCCAGAGAGCGTCGCCGAGCGTCCTTGGACATTTGACCGCTATTGACCAGGTGGAGAGCTGTCCGTGATCATCGATGCAAGGGAAGATGCAAGAGGCGGTACCAGGTTCAATCGAATGTCGTGTGTAGGCGTGAGGGTATCTGAGGTCGCCAGGGTCGACTCCGACGAATTGAATGCCATCTCGGACGAGTTTGGTCTTGAACGGTATGGTCACTCTGTACTCGCGTCCAGGAATCAAATCGTTATCGAGCTCGGCACTGCTCGGGTTCACGTTCGAGACGCGAATCTTGAGCGTCGGTCGCTTCGGGACTCCCGCTCCCGGCTCTTCCTTGACCTTCTTCAAGTCGCGGAGGTTGACTCGCAGAGCACCGTCCACGGGCGTACAGCCAACCAATTCTCTATTCTCGGCGGGCACGTCGCTCTGTCGGGTGTGCGTGAGGGGTCGCATGCGGATCTTCCTCAAGTCGTGGTGTTCGGCGTTCCAGTTGTAGTACGAAGGATAATCCAGCAACTTATACGGGTCCTTGTAGCTCGCTGAAACCTTCTTCGGGGCACCGGTGGGCTGAAGATCCTTGATCACCTGTATCGTGATTTTTTCGACGTCGATTTCTGTCTGTCGCGCATCGATGGCGAGCTCGTCGACCTGACAGCCGGCGACAACGGCTATGACGATTTTAGATTTTCCCTCGATCCGCTTCTCGCGAAAGTTGACCTCGAGCTGGACATCTTGTCGGACGACGAAATATGGGTACGGCGGCTTGTCTTCGATGGGAGGGAGATCGTCTTCTGAATCACTGCCGACGACTTCTTCGACGACGGCGGAGGCAGCCGCAGCTGGGTCGAGGGGGTTCATGTTGGCCTAGTTTGCGCTCGAGACTGCGGCGTCGCAGTTAAGCATCAAGGACGTCCACTCGCTCGACTCGCTCGAATCGCGAAGGCTGGTCGGGGTGAGAGGTGAGGTCGGCGGAGGGCGGGCGAGGAAGGGGCGCCGGCGCGAGGTTCTCAGGTACGAAATGCGTCGAGGGCCTCAACCATCCTGTCGCTGTGGCCGTGGTCGTCGCGCGATGTTTAGGTTTGTTTGAGGAAGCTGTGACGAAGGGACAACGAATGAATAAGAATGAGAAATGAGATCCTTCGCCGTTTGGGGAGAAGCGAAGCTGCTGTAGGGTGTACGGCGAGGGTGCCTGGGATGAAGTGGCCAGGAAGAAGACGAAGACCAAACACAGATTCTGAGGTCGACAAATCGTTGATTACCTTGCCTCAGGTCGGGCCTTCCACACTCAGCGCGTCCAGGTCCACGGTTCGCCGCGACAGCGCCTGCCAGAGATGGAGCTGCCGGAGCCACCTTCCAGGCTGGCTCGTGCACCCGTTGGGTGGACCTTGTTGGATCTATCCTGCTTACATAATTACCTACCTTACCTAACTTGCGTCCAATCAGATGCTTTGGCTTTCTCGAGGGGGGGTTTGTTAGGTAATTAGTTAGTGGCTTTCAACAGCTGGCCCGTGCTTCTTCTTGAGCCTGAGGTGCCTTCCATTTGCTAGGTATGTAATGCACATGAGCTTCTGCGGCCGATTCAAGACTTCCCCCACCAATTCTTGGTGTCTCTAAAAACGGCACTTTACGACGGACAGCAACACTCACGGCTGTACATGCTGCCTCTTTCTATCTATTTCGCAATTGCCTCCACATCAAATGCGCACCATGCGTCAGGTCTTCTTTTGGGCTTTTTGTTTTGGTTCAAAGTCAAACGCTTGTTCTTCGGCCATGTCATCGACTAGTCTACAATGATTAATGTTACAAGAGTGGTATCGCGCCCTCAAATGCAAGGCCAAACAAGAAAGACACAGATACACAGATTTTTACAAGATGACCTCCGATTTGAGAACACAGGAAACCTCAGTGTCTGCCTCGGCGGTCGCGGCGCCTCTTTCGCGCCTGCATCTTCAACGTCTCCTCATCACGAAATTCTTCGGGGAGATCGAAATCGATCTCGGGTATCTCTGGTATCGGAAGTCCCCATGCCACCACTTTACGGCCCGCCCGCCTATGCCGGTGTAGGGCCGCGTCTCGCTCGTACCTCTTCTTGAAGAACGACTTGAATTCCCTTGGCGGTTCCGGCTTCGGGGGTGGCCGAGGCTGTGCTGCCGCCCTTGGGCGCTTCTTACTGTTCTTTGCTCCTTTTGACCTTGCTGACGCTTCATCGTGAAGCTGGTTGGTAGCGGACTCATCATCAGAATGGCCCGGGGGATCACCGTCGCTGATATCACCAGCCTCATCGTCGTCATCGTCGACGTCCTCGTCACTCGCAGCCGCTGAAGAATCGTCCTCGCTCGTTTCCTCGGCCTCGGCTTTTTCCGCCAGAGCACGATCTTTTTCGGCCTTGCGACGCTTCTCCTCCAGGCTCCATTGTCGAAACCTTTCGAGAATGGCCTGACAGCCTTTGATGAAGTGCTGCCGCGCCGGCTCATACTGCTTCTTTCGACTTTCTGTTATGCCACTGACACCCATGACTCGCAGCCAGTCATGACCCTGCAGACCACCCAGTAAACGAGCGATCTGATCCTTCTCATGTTGAGCCCGACCGCGTTCCGTGTTGCGGATGGACCTCTCCGTCCTTTCAGCCCTCTTGTGCGAGGGCACGAAAGAGGCATCGGGAAGGGGGTCCTCGACAGGTTCTCTCTTGTGAGAAATTCCAAGGAAGTCAAAGTCGATTCGTTGGGCATCCACAAGGTCGGTGAACAGTGCGTCGCCGTAGCCACGGATGGGCACTTTGTGGGAGGTCGTGGACGAGTCGTTTGGCGCACTGGGTTCCGCACTGGTAAAGGGAAGCCACGGTGCCGGCTGAAGACGTGTGGGGTTCGAGTCAAAAATGACTATTGGGGTGTCGACGTTCAACAAGTCTAGAGGCCAAATGTCAGTAAGTGTACGACAACAAACGGATGTTCTTGTGCAAGGAGGGCGGAAAAACAAAATGGGAAGTCCATACGTTGTTCTTTGGGGTCGTTCCCGATGACCTCGTCATACTCGGGGAAATAGGCTGACAGATCGCTCTTGAAACGGGTGGCTTCTTGGGAGCGCAGTTTGCGGCCCCCCTCCTTTGTGTGGGTATCGCCTTCGCGGGGCTGCAAACGATCCAGCTCATGTTTAATACCGCTGATGACCTTTTCTTGGTGTTTCGTCAACTGAGGCGCATTATCGGTCGCGATAGCTGGGGCGTCGTTCAGGGGATGCACTGTCGCGACGTGTTGAGCGGGTTGTTTCGGGGTCGGCTTCGGTAGGGGGGTGGTCGTGGTCGTGGTCGGTTGCGGAGTTGGGGCGACGCTGGGGACAACAGTCGCGTTCGCAACAGCGGATTTGACGCTCTGGGGAGCTGGTTTAATCAGGATCTCGATACTCGAACGCGGTCGCTTCGTTTTTGGGTTGTCAAAATCGACGAGATCTGCCTTTTCGAGGGAGCGCTTGGTGCGACCAGGCAGCTGTGTGTGGTGGTAGGCGGAGATGTTTTGGGGGTGGGCGCGCGTCACAGTGTTCGGATTCGCGGCGGCAAAGGCCTGCTGCTGCTGCTGAACGGGGACGGCTGGAGGATGGTGAAGATGCCCTTCAGTGTTCGCCCTCCTGGTGGAGCGCGTGAGGGAGGCCATTGGCGACGATTGAATAGCCATTCATTGTTCTCCTGCCGGATCGTCGCGAGGGCGATTGACGTGTCGATCGATGGAATTTTTTTTGGTCGTCTCTGCTGCGCTTTTCGTCTCGTGTCGGGTTCGTTGATGCGATGCGGGAAGTGGCTGCCTCTGGCAGGAGCAGGAATTTGGGGGGGTTTTCCAGGTTGTTTGCTCTTTTCCTTGGGCAATTTGCACTGTCTTTTGCTGGGCGCGTCGTCCACCTGGGCACTAACTACTACTGCTACTGCTACTGCTACTGGACTGCCAGTGCCCTCAGTGTTTGCGTCCACCACGGGAATGCCTGCCTCTGTTGGACTGCTGTGGTCACGGTGGCGGCTCACTGCCATCGGCGGTACCGAAGGAGGGGGAAAGGTATGATTGTGGTACTTTCTCGCATGTGCAATTCCTGGTGACAGCAGATGTACACAATGCATTTTCCTTCCGTCAACCGCATTTGGAGACGACAAGTGAACCTGACCTCATCCATTTCTTCGCTCTCTCCCTATTTCCCCCTGAATTGACATCCCGCCAACCCGACGCCAAAGCATTGTTCTGCCATCGATGATTCCATGGCTAAGAGCCACTAGGGCGTTTGGCCCTGAGCCGCATGTCGCGAAGGCATTGACCTGAGTCAGGCATCGTCTTTTCCGAGCTCTTTCGTCGTCATTACATCACTATCCTGTCGATATATCCAGGCAACAAACGTACCCATTCTTTCCGCCTCAAGTTGAAGCGCGTCAGAAAATATCGCGATATCACCTCTCATAGGTGCCTGGAAAACTCGATTTTGCACATTATCATCAAGACCAAGTACCATACCATACCTATGCGCCGATAGTGGCAAGCGTCACCAGAGGAAGACACTGCTCAGAGTAGCTTTGTCATTTTTGTCGACCCAAATAGGAAAGAAAGTGTCTTCCACTCAGAAGTTGCTTTGGAAGTCTCAACATTTCACGGAATCACATTCAAGTCCTTCTGGCTTGCTTTCTTGATGTACTTTCATGGCGTCCTCTGCCTACAGAGTCTCGAACAACCTCGAGGAAGGAGTCCTTCTTATCGAGTCGGCCTGGGATGCTCCAGCGAGCTGGCCTTGTATTAGTCCTCAGTCGACTAAAACTTTGGGCTAAAACTCTTCACAGTCCGCCCGGCACTGTTAGACGATCTCAAACTTCTCCAGAACACAGCCATGGAAATGATCTTGACCATCTCCCACCACCCCTACGTCCGACAGGCGAGTGCACCAAGCGACTCTCTCGTCCGGTTAGCAAAAGACCGACTGAGGTGGAAGATGCCTAGCCTGGTGAATCTCCTTCTGCCATTGTCATTTCGGGCGGGAATCTCCTCCCAGACCAAGCCCGCGAGGCCACTCAGACCGAGGCCGTGACAAGCACCTAGATGCAGCAGATGAACCTCCAACGAAGCGTCTTTGCCCGATTTCCCCGACAGGAACTACGTCTCACAACTGTCCGGAATCATACGAAGCAGCGGAAATGGATGGCACCCTCCCTTCGGCTCGAGCCCACGTCGTGTAGAACGTGATAATGGTCCGGAATATCCTGGCTTCCGAACCATCACGCTCTCCGTATTGCACCCCGATTCGTAATTTTGCCGCTATTCACGAACTCGAACCTTGCAGTCGGCTCCTGGATGTCCGCCTGCGTCCGCATGTCAAAACAACGCGGTCCGGTGGAGCAGGCTCGGAACAGCACGCCCTCGCATGCCCAAGACCAAGAAGGCGCCTGGCACTGATCCGGGCTGTTCTGTGCCTTTCCCGGCACAAAGTTCCAGAGCAAGTCGTAAGGCAGCGTCCCTTTCCGATGGCCGGCGAAATGCTGTTGTTCCAACACCCTGGAGGAAACTTCGGCGATGCCAGAAATGGCCAAGATGCGGTCTCGGGTGATGGGCAGCGTTCTTCGCGTGTAGATATGAACCAAGACGCGCCAGGTGACGATCACACCCTCGTACACGTCTACGTTTCTCTTGTGCCTACGACGGGTCTCGCCGTACATCGCTTCCCAGAAGCTCTCGCTTGGGTGCAGCCCGACATCGTCCTGTTTCGGTCCAGTCCTCCAGCCGTCCTTGAAGCTTTGTTTCTCGCCGACGAACCCGCACGTCCAAGACAGCTGCTTGGTGTTGTACTCAAGCAATCGCGGCGCCAGGTAACACTCCGGCAGGGTCCAGCCTCTGTAGTCGATCGGGTCGGACATGCCCTCCTCCTGGCTAGTCAGGACGGTTATACCGTCTGGCGAGTGCAATCCAGGGCGCTGAAAGGGGGTTTTGACCGCCATCGAGGCAGCGCTCGTCAAGTGGAGGTCGTGGAGGAAACTGTCCACAGCGTGATTCGATCGGGACGCCATGATCGTAACCACAGCGCTGGTGTTAATTTGTGGCATCAGGGCGATCTGCTTCGCCTTTTCGACCTCGTCGTCCTGCACAATGCACAGGGAGTCGATCCAGAGATACGAGAAGCCCGTTCCATCCATGCGGGCAGGGCGTTCCAGTCCAGTACCATGTTTCCAGAGTCGATACGAGCTTGAGTGGTCTCGTGCGGTTGGTCATCTCCTCAGCAATAGCTGAAGGCAAGATATAGCTGGGGTGACGACGGGAAGTAAAGGGCCACTGGGTACGCATCGTTTTCGGCTTTAGAGACCTCGAGGACGGCCTTAGCATGAAGTTGAGCTCTAGCTTCGGACATATATCGTGTTCGGCCAGGCATTCTACCACCCAACCCCCGTTTGGGGTTCTCAGGAGAACCGATCTTGGAGTTTATGGGACGAGTGCTGAGGCAAGGCGCAGCCAGGTGATCTGAGTACATCTTGCCACGAGAAGTCACTGTCAAAACCAAACTCTCATGCCTTACCTGGTTCAGCGAAAACATCAAGTCAACCGCAAAACTGCGTCCAACATCTCCCTCGCTCCCTCTTGAAGTCCTCCACCGGATCCCGGAGTCCAATCCATAACTCGACAATCGGGAATTGCTCAAAGGTGTACTATGTCGTGAAAGCTTTTCTGCGCAGAGGACCTAGCGAAGTCATCGTCGCATAAGCAATGCTACGGGATTTGAGGATGTCGACTGTTAAAGCTCTGTCCTGATTTCCAGGCATATATGGTGGCGGGCATGGCCGTAGGGTCGAAAGGCCCGGTACCTTGATGATGAGAGTTATATCCTAGTTGTTCAGTCGGCCTTTTATGCCTAGCGGGACACCTTTCTGACTGAAGGACCATGAGGGCATCGTGAAGAATTTTTACCACCTGCGTGGCACCCTACCCCCCATAAACCGCCGTAAAGCTCCTCCACAACCGGGCCTAGTTCCCGGTCAATAAAACTTTACTCTGTTGAACGTAATATCTAGAAGCCTTGAGAAGGAGAGGACCTTAAGGAGATAGGCTAGACTATTTACTTAAGTACCTGACTACATTAGCTAGACAAGGACGAACATCCCACATCTTCATCTTCAACATATTTGTCTCCTGAATACCTCCCTCCCTCTTATTACGTCCTGGCCCATGACCTCCCTATCTCTCACCAGACTACGTCAACACAGCCTAACGATGGATATTTTCGATGTTGATCCAAACAACGAGCTGGGCTGCCTCATTATTTTCTTTTTCACACGTGCCGTCATCTCGCTCGGGCGCACCATCGTCTCGTACTTTCCTACACACAGCATTCCCGCCCGCTTGGAACGGAGTTTGACCCAGGCACGCATCCCGGAACGATTGGGGATCAGACCTGACGGCCAAAACTGCACATCGAGCATTCAGTGTAGCGTCTGTCTCACGGAGTTTCTTGTCCTTGGCACCATGATCATCCTTGGACTATACTTTGCTATTTCCACCACGAGGTTGCCTACCTTTCGACGCACTCCCGGGGCCTACGCTTTTGTCTATCTCGTAGCTGTGGGCAGTCCCGTCCTGTCGCTGGCTATAGTGTGGTGGAGTTGTACTGCCTTTGAATCGCTGGACGGGCAGTGGGCGTACCTCAGTAAAGATTTTGGGAATCAAGATTGGGTAAGAGACATAATCCACCACCTCCTTCTTCCGACCCCGTTCCGCTAACCTTCGGGCTCCCAGACTACGCTGGCCGGTCTTTAAGGCAGCAAGACGTCCCAAGTTGTACAAGTTTCAAAAACTACAGCTTTGCGGCAAAGGCAGCATAATATCATCGAGGGAAGTGAAGCATGTTGTCACAAATCGTCACGCGGAACATCACTGCGGAAGATAGACAGTGCTCCTTGCCTAGGCAAATGCTGGAAGTTAGTCGCTTGCATTTGTTATCTATCCGCACAAATGTGTATGTCGCCGCTTCTTGGACTGGCTTGGTCCCTGTGTGGGAAGAGTGGGAGGGTTTGAGCAACGAAGGCGCTCTCTGGGGTCATATGCAACCCCTCACATGAGAACTGGACCGCGAGCTGCAGCAGAACTTATAGCTTTGATCCTTATTGTCTTCTTAAAGGGCGAATTACTGGTGGCGGATCCCTACGCGATAGCCTGCGTCTCCATGCAGACGTCTAGGTTGCTTGCCCTGCTCTACGCCACGTCCATAGCGATAGAAACTCTACAGGCCTACGGTCTCGCAAGTGCTTTAGACTGAGTTATGCATCAACAGAATTTCATCTGATTCAAAACCTAGCAGTTGATTACTGTATCGTCTATCTCTTCCATAAGCTCTAAATGGAGTCCGGGCTTGATGTTAGTGAATACTACGAAGCGACCCGGGGCGCTTGCGATGTAGGGCACCATGTGTCCTCTTTGGCTGATGTTTCGATGCGGCTAAAAAGAATTCACAGAATCGCCTCTTATAAACGGCTTGTGGTCGGTTGTGCCGTGATGGAATTCCGCCGCACGGCTAACTACCACCTGCCGGCCGGACGGTTAAGTGGGGCTCCGTATCCGGTTCTCTTTCTCCACTTTTACGGTCCCGGGTCACGCCGGTCAAGCCGCTTCAGCTCTCAAGTCATCCCCGCCTTTCTTCCCATGGCCATCTCCATCCTCCGCAAGATCCCCAGACACTTCTCGTCCTCATATCGGCGGGTGACCAGCTGAAGAGAGACAGGAGCATCTCTGTACCTCCCGGGACCGGTGTAAAGCTCATGATTAAACTTATCGTCCGGGTTCTGGGGTGTATACCCGTCTTCTGCTATGTCTAACCTCTGATCGACTTGCGTGACCGGGAATGACACGGCTGGGTAGTCCAGGAGATTCCACTGGGACGTGTAGCTCCAGTACTTGGCGCTGTCGTGCGGCGGAGCACACCCCGGCCCGACAGGGCACAGGATCGCGTCGACGGGGTGGCCGTCCCGTTTCCCCGTGTCCAGCCAGAGCTGGTTGTACATTGCTCTGTATGAGTTGCGCGCGGCTTTGAGCTAGATTCGCGGTTAGCGGATCATCTATCAAAATCTCGTATGACACCAAACCAGAAATCCTTCCAGCGATGGCAATCTTGGCACGAAGAAACGTATCTAAAATCGGAGTGAACTCACATCCCACACTTCCTCCACAGTCCGAGGCTTGATATTGGTCTCCTCTAACAACCAACTCGTGAGAGGAAGCGTCTCTTCCCCCCCGGCCGCGATGACCTCCCTGAGCCGACGGCCGCCGTCCTCATAGTACAAAGCGCTCGTCAGCCTCCAGCACTCGTCATGGCCCCTCGACTCCCAGTCTACCACTTCAAATTGTTCAGGCGCCGCTTTCAGTGCATCAACCACCGTGTCCATAGCCCGGAGGACCGGCGGATGCGGCCTGACAACGCCGTCGGAGCGCATGATGCCGATCTTGAGCTTCGGCGGGAGCGCGACCTTGCGCCACGGGATCGGGAGGAGAGTGTTTTCTCGGTTCCATGGACACATGTTGAGGTAGGCCCTCATGAAGAGCTCAATACCGGATAGGGTCGGGGAAAGGGGCCCGATGCAGCCGGTGATTCTGGGAGGGACTTAGTGGCTTTCTTCGCGTACAAGGTTCTTGGTTGTCACTCTTCTTGGCCAAGAATTAGGCCCATCCCTCCTGTATTGCCGACTCGATTAGAAGTCGGTTTGAAGCCGTAAACACCGTTGTTGGCGGCCGGGACTCGTATCGAGCCGCCGATGTCGCCCCCAAGCCCCTACGTAACTCCTGTTAGCTCCTTAACATCGAGACACACAATTCGCTTCACGATGATGGAAGAAGACATCCCGTGGATGGTTGTATCTTACCAATGAGCTCCCCTTGAACCCCACTAACGCTCCTTCTCCACCGGAGCTTCCTCCCGCGGCCAAGGTCCTGTTCCATGGATTCAGGGTCCTTCCATACACGTTGCTGTTCGTCTCGAGGTGCATGACGGACTGCGGCTGCGTCGTGCGGGCAAGTATCACGGCGCCGCACTCTCGCTCAAGTATCTCGTTGAGGCTGCAACGAGGAACCTGCTGTCTGTCACACCATGCGACGAAACCGTTGTTGTTGATCTTCCCCTCGAACCCGAACTGTTCCTTGACGGAAATAGGGAGGCCGTGGAGAGGACCGGCGGGCTCTGGTAGAGAGTCTAGATACCTAGCTCTCGTGATGGCATGGGTGTATAGTAGCTCCGTGATACAGTTTACCTGGGGGCTGGTCATTACGGCGTTCGGATGCGAGACTTTGGAGGGGCATTGTACTTACCGTCTTCTGTGCTAGGGCAGCTCGGGCGAGGAAGGCTTTGACGACCGTCTCGCAAGACAGTGTTTTCGAGGCCATCTTGTCTATCAGAGTCACCGCGTCGGACTCGGTGATTTCCAACTCTTCTGCGGTCAAGATTTGTGCGGGTATCCCCTGCACATTCTGAGGGAGAGGTTCCGGTAGCTTGATCGGGGGAAGTGCGTCGACGAGACTCTCGTCTCTGATTGCGAGAGCCTTTGCGACGAGTTGGGTCGGATTCATGTTGACTTAGATGAGGCAGGAATCAACTTTGCCAAGAAGAGAGGTGGAGGGCGGGATGTTGAACGTCTTCCACGGACAGCGAGTCCTGCCCGGCACGAGCTAAATACACAATTACACGGACCTCGAACCAATTGAGGTCTCCTGTCGTTTGCAAGTCTACGAGTTACTCTGCCGAAGACACTCCTTCGTGAGGCCCATGGCGGTGCGGGGTTCGTGACTCGGCTCAGTTGTTCAGGGACGAGAGTGACTCGGCCCAAAGCTGTTATCAGAGCAACCAACAACGATCTAGATCCTGCTGTATGAGCCTAACCAATGAATGAAAGTTGAAGCGTTCAAGAGCGCGATAAGCTTGCTTAAATATAATATTCATGGCCGTCGGAACAGGTACTCATCCACCTCGAATGTCGCCTCGAAGCTCTGTTCTTTACTAAACCGCCTTACATATCAACCTCAAACTCGGCAAAAGTCGCCGATGATGCTTTCCTCCGACTCAAAGCCCGTAAAAGACGATCTCTCCGAGAAACACGCGGAAACATCAAGCGTCATCCTCGACCAGACCGCCGACGCACACGTGCTGGACTCATGGGAGCAACACATCAGAGATGAATATCTCAAGCTCTCCCCTGAGGAAGCGCGCGCGGTCGAGAAGAGGTTGAAGCTCAAGCTCGATCTGAGACTCTTCCCTTCGCTCATGGTCATGTACATCCTCAACTACATCGACCGCAACGCGCTCCCCATCGCCAAGCTCGCGGGGATATCGGAGGAGTTGGGCCTCTCGTCGACGCAATACGGGACCGCGATTTCCATCCTTTTCGTCGGATATCTGTGAGGAAAAGCTCTAGCCTACCCCGAAAGCTACATGAAAAGATTCTGACGACACATCTCGTATCCGCCAGGTTGATCCAAGTGCCCAGCAACCTCTTCCTCTCGAAGCTCCGACCGTCGTGGTATCTCCCGGGTGCGATGGCCGTCTGGGGCGTGGTATCAGGATGTACCGCTGCGGTACACAACTTCGAAGGCCTGGTCGTCGTCCGCTTCATCCTCGGTTTCTGTGAAGCCCCGTTCTTCCCAGGGGCCGTCTTTCTCTGTTCCTCGTGGTATAAGAACAACGAGCTTGGGCTCCGCGTCGCTCTTCTTTTTGGGGGCAGCATGCTGTCTGGTTCCTTTGGCAGTCTGATGGCCATTGGGATCACCGAGCGCATGGGTGGTGTCGCCGGTATCTCGTCCTGGAGATGGTGAGAATCTTATCAAGACAAGGATGTTCACGTGCGTTACTGACGTGGACGGCTGGCAAGGCTGTTTATAATCGAAGGCGCTCTGACTGTTGCTTTCGCCGTCGTTTGCGTCTTCACGCTTCCGAACTACCCTCACAACACGCGGTAAGCATACCCGACTAGATCGATATGTTGAATCTTACTGAAGAAAAGGGGGGACATGGCAGCTGGCTAAACGAGAAAGAGTCCATCGTAGCACAATATCGCCTCCTCGAGGACCTCCACGACGCCCCAAGCAGCTCGGCCGCACTGTCTGAAGGACTCGTGCTGATGCTCAAAGACATCAAAGTGTGGATCATGATGCTGAACCACCTGCTCATCACAATCTGCGCATCATTCACAAAGTGCGTCATCCATCTACTCCCACTCTCTACAACGGCACGATCTTTGAACTTCCTACTCACTAACCCAACAGCTTCTTCCCCACAATCATGGCGACCCTCGGCTTCTCGCGGAAGATAACTTACGCGATGCTCTCGATCCCGTACCTGACGGGCTTCTTCATCGTCCTCCTGACCTGCTGGCACGCCGACAGGCGCCAGGAGAGGACGTGGCACATCGTGGCGAACCTTTCCGTCTGCGTCGTCGGGCTGGCCGTCATGGGCGCCACACTCGCGGTGCCCGCGCGCATCGTGGCGAGCGTCCTCATGATCTCCGGCGTCACCAGCGCGTCAAACATCAACCTCGCCTGGATCGGCAGTTCCGTGCCCTCGCCCGCGCCCAAACGCGCGGCGTCTATCGCTTCGATCAACATGGTTGGCAACATTGGTAACGTCATTGGGGGTTATTTGTTCCCTGCTAGCCAGGCGGACCGGTATCCCATGGCTGTTGGCGTAGAAGGTGGCGCGGCGTTGTTGGCAATAGGGGGCGTGCTGGGCTATCGATGGTATCTGAAGGGGCAGAATAAGAAGATGAATGCCGGGGATGCAGATGCCGTCAGAACTACTGGAGTTTCTGACTTTCGATATGTACTGTGATTCTATTGAACTGAAGGAACCTGGTATGCCTGTTGCCCCTTACGTGGTTAGTATGGCTCAGAACTGGACAGGGGTAATCCGTAGCACAAAGTTTATGCACTGCATCCAAATTCACCGTTCATCACATGCCAACTATTCATTCATGAGATGTATTCTGTTTATTGATGATACGGAATAATCTTGCGACAGGTCTAGCCATGTAATCCTGAACCCATACTTAGGAAATATCTATGATGCCCATCGTGAATATGCAGTAATTTCGGTCGAGAAAGTGAGAATTAGAGAATGTAGGAAGTTCCTGTTCCACTGCTTGCGCCGTGGAGATGTAATTTGCGTTTTGATGTCTTCACTCAAACCTTCTTCTTGCCCTTCGGCATGCGTACAAGCCAGTAAAGGACCAAAGAGGCGACGATGTTGAAGACGATATACACCATGCCAATACCCCAATCGCGCCACCTGTTGTCGAAGTTGGCGCTGATGGACGTAAGGAAGACGTTGGTGTCCGCGATCGAGCAGAAGCTGCAATCGGCGGTGGCTTGGGGATTCTCAAGCTTCCCACCCGCAACTTCCATGTATCCCTTCATGAAGGCTTCGCAGGTTTGGTTGGCTGGGGGGTTGAAGTGAATGAACTCGTTGCTGGAGCAGGTCACCTGCGAGTTTGCCAAACCCGTGGAAAGAATCGACGAGAGCAAATACGTGAACGGCGACACCCTGTACATGAAGATCCAGAAACCCGGCATGTTATCAGGGCTGGCCAGGACACCGCAGAACAGCAGACACATCATGAACATGACGTTGGCCAAGTTACCGCCCATCTCAGCCGTCTCAGTGATGGCAATGCAGGCATGCGCGAAGGTGCAGGTGAAGATGAGGAACTGCCAGAAGAGAAGCCACATGAGACCGGCACGCTCGCTGCTCTGGCTTGCGAGACCGTTCTCCGAGAGGCCGACTGGATAGTAGACGCAGATGAACATGAAGACGGACATGAGGGTGTTCCAGGGGATCTCGGTGACGATTTGCGACAGCATGAAGACCTTCCAGCTGTATGTCTTCGAAGGCCGTTCACGTACTTCGTAAAGGGAACGCTGCGTCACGAAGTGAGGCATCTGCTGCTGAACCAACTGACCGAAGATGGATAGAATGTTGAAGATTGCGAACATTTGGTTTTGCAGGCCCTGAATACTGAGGGGGGCATTGAGGAAGACGAGACCGATGAAGAGGGCGACGGAGCAGCAGAGAATGAACTTGGCGTAGATGTAGGAAGGAGTGCGCCAGTACTGTTGGAACACGCGGCGAGTGACGATGAGGAATTGGTCCCCCAGAGAAGCGGCGAATTCGCGATGAGCGGCGGCCTTGTCTTCCTCGGAGTCAATGTGCGCAGCGCCTTCTGACTTGAGACGCTGAAGCTCGTCCTGAACAGCCTGGTATTCCGGACTGGACTTCCATGCCTCATGCCAGTCGACTTCGGTAGTTGATCCAGGGGCTGCGCCAATAGCAGAAAGCATCCATTCGGCCGGGTTCTCGCCAGGAGGGCACTTGGGAGCTCCGTTCCTCTCGAAGTACGACGTAAGGTGGTGGGAGTTCTCTCCAATTTCGCCGAAGTAGACGGTTCTACCTCCCTTAGCGAGGAACAGCAAGCGGTCGAAGCGTTGGAACAACATGGCGGACGGTTGGTGAATCGTGCACAGGATGGACTGGCCGGCCTTGGACAACTTTTCGAGCAAATCCAGAATAGCCCAGGAGGTTTGAGAGTCCAATCCAGAAGTCGGCTCGTCGACGAAGAGAAGAAGGGGAGGCTTTGCAGCCAACTCCACGCCGATAGTAAGTCGCTTGCGTTGTTCAACGTTCAAACCCTCTCCAAGTACACCAACAACGGCGTCAGCGTATTCCTGCATGTCCAAAAGCTTGATGACCTCGTCCACATAAGCCAATTTCTCGGCCTTGGGCGTGCTGGCTGGTTGTCGTAGAAGAGCGCTGAACTCCAATGCCTCACGAACAGTGCTCGTCTCGAGATGAAGGTCCTGTTGCTGAACGTATCCGGTTTTCCGTTGGAAGGACTCGTCACGAATCTTGCCATCAACGAGCATTTCTCCCGTGATCACGCCCATGGAAACACGATCGGCCAAGCAATCGAGCAGGGTGGTTTTTCCGGCACCCGAAACACCCATTAAAGCGGTAAGTGTACCTGATGATTATGTCAATAAAGTCCGATGAACATGAGGCAAAGAAGACCAACCTGGCTTGACCCAACCGTCAACGTGGTCGAGAATCCTTCGCGGTTCACCCTTGATCTTGATGTCGTAGCAAACATTGTTCCAGTGAAAGACGCTGGTGGAGGCCTGGATCATGCCGTCGTTGCCGGAAGCGGCTTTCCCTCCCTTCTCCACAATGGTGGAAGGCCCAGTCATGGAGGTCTCGACATCATCCTTGACCTTCGAAGGAGCAGCGACGCCGCGGCGGAAAACGAGAACTTCGCCCTTGGACTTCTTGGCGGAGACGTACTCGGTGGCGACGAAGTAGACACAGTGGAGGGCGATAATGAAGGCGATGAGAATGCCGATGTTGCGCCACTTGTGGGAGGCGAAGTACTTGTACTGGGAGTTGATGAAGGCGTCTCCGCTGACGGTCGAACGACCAGGAACTGCACCAACAGTAGAGCAAGCTCTGTTTTCGAGAGTGACGTTCTGGTAGCCGTCAATCAAAGGGCTGGGGACGAAGGCACCGCATTCAAACTCGCGGTTGTGGAACTCGTTGATCATGAGCTGGAGAGGGGACATCAGTACTGCCATGCAGAATCAGGCTCGAATGGAGCAACTCACCGATTCGAATCCGTACGCCACAGGATCCAAGTAGTTGATCCATCTGCACCAGCCAAGCATGTAGTCGACGGGGATGACGAAACCAGTGAAAATGACCAGTGCCAAAATCAGAATCGAGGCAGGAACCATGGCCTGTGACAAAGTGCGAGAAAGAGATGCGCTTTCCTTGTGTTAGCTGCGTATTCCATGTGAGAAGAACCAAGAGGGTACTTACATCGATCTGAACAGACCCGACATGGAAAGCACCATCAAGAAGGTTGTGAACAGGAAGAAGAAGAAGTTTCCAGGCTCGCGATTCAAGTTCGTCATGAAGTAGATGATCAAATCGTAGCAAATGGTGTTCAAGACCTTGTATGGCATGTCGACGAGGACGGAGGAGAAAGATTCGGCGGAGGCGTGGTAGAAGGCGTATCTCCTTTGCTTTTCAACAATGGGCCGCTGTGCATACTGCGTGAGAATTTCGAGGGCGCTGGAGAAGGCGTTGGCAAGGATGGCGACGAAGAGAACAGTAGCTCGCATTTGGAAGGACGAGGTTGTATTCGGGAGATTGTAGAACAGAGAAGACATGATCAACGCCGTGCAAGAATTGGCAATCAAGGCGAAGAGTGTCAACCCAGGACTGCCTTTTAGTAGCTTGAAGCCACGCCACAGGCACAGTTTGACCTGCTGTCCGTAGGAGAGGATGAAGGGGGACTTGAGGCGCTGGTTCTTGGCCTGAACAGTCTGCTTCTGGTTTCGGAAGGCTTGGGCATCAACGCCGTCGATGGGGTGGTCGGCCTTGTACTGTTCGATTTCCGCGGCGAGTTTGTTGGAGGCCTGGCTGGCCTTCCAACAGGCAGCGAATTCGTCAGGGGTGCGAGGTACGCGACCTTCGAACCCGGGACGCACGACGCGTTCGGAAGGCGCCGTCATCGAAGTGAGGAAGTCGGGGGTCGTCTGGCGGGCGGGACATTCGAACCCGAGATCGATGAAATACTGTCTGGCTTCGGTGGCGCGTCCGAAGAAAATCTGGCGACCTTCGTAGAGAACAAGGGCCTTGTCGAAGAGATCGTACGCGCTCTGCGGCGCCTGGTAGATCGAGACAGCGCAGGTCTGTCCAAACAGTTCAGACTGGAGACGGAGCGTCTTGCAGAACTCGACCGCGTTAGCAGCATCGAGACCTCTCGTGGAGTTATCCCAGCACTGCAACGGCGCGTTGGCCAAGGTGGCCTCAGCGATAGTCACTCGCTTGCGTTCTCCTCCAGAGACACCACGGATGTATTCGTTGCCCACTTGAGTGTTGACGGTGTGGCTGATGCCGTACATGGCCATGACGACGTCGCGAAGGTGGTCGCAGTATTGCTCGGTTGTGATACCGGGAGGCAGGTTGCGAGGGCAGCGAGCTCGGGAGGCAAAAGTCAAGGTGTCGCCGACGGAAAGCTGGGGGAAGTGGACGTCGACTTCGGCCGTGTAGATGGCATCGCCAGCATGGTGCTTGTGGAGCTCCTTGGCCGAAAGACCCTGGTAGTTGAAGTACGCGCGCTCATCGGTATAGATGCCGTTGGTCTCGCCGGCGATAGTCTTGAGGAAGGTCGAGCAGCCAGATCCGGGGGGTCCAAGAACGACAAGCATCTCGCCAGCCTCAACAACACCGTTGAAATCGCGGAGAATGTCGATGCGGCGCTGACCACCAGTCTTCGAGGTGAGCTTGCGGGTGATGCTGGGAAGCTCGAGCCAAATGTTGCCGACATCCTTCTGATAATCCGTCTCTTGTCCATATCCGAAGACGTTCAAGTTCTGGAAGGCGAAACCAGCAGTTCGAAATCCGGAGCCGTGTTCGTTGGTGACGTTGGCGAGGGTCTTTGCCCACTTGCGGGCGTTGAACTTGGAGCCACGAGGGTTGAGAGGTGAGTCGGGGTCGTCGCTGCCGAAAAGAGCCTGGTTGTTCTCGCCGATGTTCACTGCGGAGTGTCGGGTGTACTCGCGGGCCAGTTCCTGGACGATGGAGTGGCGGCGTTCCAACTCGGTGTCGTTGCCATCTCCATCTGTCGACGTAGAGGCGTCCCCCTCGTAGAGTGAGCTTCCTTCAGCAGCCTTGGAAGCTGGTGGTTTCTCGTTTGATGCCGCATTCGCTTCTTGTTCGTCCACATAAGTCTTCTGGCTGCCGGCGGGAGAGCGACCGGCCACCCGCGCCGTGTGGTCGGCGTTGAACGGTACGATAGGCGCAGACATGATGTGATCCGGTGTCTATTATCGGATGATGATAAGGGGCGTCTGGCTGATGGAGCGGTTGCAAGCGTGTCTTGCTATCCTGAGCGGTACTGTTAACTTTTGGATCTTTCCCATCACAATCCCATAATGAAGCTTACCGATCAGCATCAACCAGGTCTGCGCTCAAGTTGCCGTAGACAGCCTTGAAGTAAACAATAAAAAATTAGGTAGAGGTGTAAGACAGACTTAAAGTAGAAAGTTGAGTAGAGCAAAAGGCAAGGAAATGGTGCCCAAGGTTATGAAACATGGCATGTAAATAAGGCTAGGTCTAGATTTATCATGAGCTTCACGGACACTCTATGCTCCCCGTCTGTCCACGGCCCATAATACGCAAGGGGTCCATCTCAAAATCCGGGCTGTCAATTTCGATCCAGCGCCCCGGGTCTTCCGTGCGCCAAATAAGTCAAATCTCACGCTTTTGACGTAGTAAGGGGGCCATGTGCGTTTGTCAAAACCTGACGCGGGTCTCGAAAAAGTGCTGCGTGTTGTTGGTCGTCTGCGAGCCTTGTCCACCTGCGTGTAAGTGAATGGGTCTCACAGAGGCGGGCCGCCTTGGCGATGATCATCACGTAAAATCCGCCATGTCGTCTTGGAGCCCGTAGGTTGGTGTGGATCCGTAGAGGCGGGCTCTCGGAACCTTGAAGTGCCCCGACGCGGACGCCGTCCACCCCCGTTTTTTTACCGAGAAGTCCAAATTCCCCAACGTCTAAATCCAACCTTACTCCCACTTCGAACCCTTAAAAAGACCACCAGTTCGTTTGATCTTTCTTCGTTCTGGGTGTTCTTGAACGTGTGCCGCACCACCCATTCCGGGCTGTTACTTGCCCAGGCCCCAGTTCTTTTCCACAAACAAGCAGTTCAGTTTCATATTCCCAATACTGGAATCTTTTCCAACTGCGAGTCTACGAAAGATAATGTCCTTGTGGAACCACGGAGTTAACACCGTCTACGATCTCATTCTTGTATGATAAGGTTTGGCGGAGATCTTCCATTCTTCTACTCTCTTCCAGTCCCTGTACTCGCTCACACCTCCATCAGCACCTCGAGTGACATCGTTGCCGTCAACTTCCAAGAACAAGCAAAACGTGGCTTCCACATACGGATACTGAATTGAGTCCGCTGGTGACTCAAAAAAAACACGACATGCACGGTAGTGGGTGTGGCAGGGACTGCCCCTGGCGTCGAGCCCGCTACCCTTTGCCTAATCAACGCTCGAGGCTTAAAGGATGAAGACTCCATGCCTTCGGGGTCCGCTTGCAACACCGGAAAGAAAGTCTTGCCTCATTTGTAATCCGAGTTGCCGCTACGAGCAGTGCATGAATGGAGCCCTTCGGCTTGCTCCCTCGGGACAAACTTCAATTTTTCGATACCAGCTCTGAGTTGCTTCAGGGGTTATCTTGCTCGATCAGATATCAACCTTGCAAATTGCTGATGGCTCGTAATAGGCTTCTCCATCACCCCTTGTACCCACGTACCCAGCTACAGACGAGGGGAAAAAGGGATAGCTTGAGGCGCGGCAATTCGTCATTAACACGAGGTGCCGTCAACTTGCCAGGATCCACGCATCCGTCTGCTAAATCCGAGGTCCCCAACTCTTCATATGGGAGGCGACGAATCACATTCTAGCTGGGCCCAAATATCTGCAAGTATTTCGTCTGTCTGCGGCTGATGATCCCCTGACGGAGTGACCCCCGGTGCTTCTAGAAGATGCGTTCAGACATTCACCCCTTATTGGTGCATCTGATGTCGTTATCAGGGCAAACAGGACCCCGACGCGTACCGAATCATCTCGGATGCTGTCTTGCACCCGACGCAGAATGGATTCGAAGGACGTGTTGATGACCGATGCGGAGGCGGGATCTCCCTGCCGCCCCGGATCTGGTCGACCGAACGGGGTCCGACACGGCAAGTCAAGTCTTGTACATGCCATTTTCGGACTCCCATAGTTTGTGTAACCGCGAGACATGTTTCAGTTTGAAGCGTCTTTCTGCGGAAGACGACCTGCAGCTACCTCTGAGATGTTCCCAGACCAACTATCTTCCCGGCCAATCATCTCTCAAACCATCTTTCAGACCAACGAATAAAATATTGAAGGAACGGCGATGTTCATCAACAACGAGCCGAGCATTTCCCACATGCTGCATAATAACTCCGGTCAACTAAGAGATAAGTCATGCCCTATCAAACAGCAATGGGAGAAGGACCTCAATGTGTTGTCTCAATTGAGCTGTATTCATGACCATAAATTTCGTTTCCCAAGCCCGTTTTAATAGACACAGCGCAAAAAGTTGCTGGAGCTAGAGATTATACCTGAATGTTAACTATTAAGGTCTTCTTTGAAGGTAAAAGAGCGATTTCCGATGAGAGAGACGTGCAATTGCCGTTATTCGTAAAATGACAGAGTCGCGTACCAAACGATAACCCGAGAACCACTGCCAGAAGAACAGACAATCTAGAAGTCAGTCGTATCCGAGATCGACTGCCACTCATCCATCAACCGAAGAGTCTCCTCACACTTCCGCCGAACCGCAGCAAGACAGTCCGTTCCCAGCACAAGCCTGACAGGAACCTCCCTCCCCTCGGCAACCCCAGACTTGGTCATGACGTCCACCACAACGCGCGCCCCCTTGACCGGGTCCCCGGGCTGGTGGTTATCCGCGGCGTCGAGCAGCTTCTTGTACTTCCCCGCCGGGCCGACGCTGTACGCCTCCAGATCGACCTTGGCCTTGACGCGGGCGCCCGGGTTCAGAAACCCGGTGCGGAAGTAGCCCGGCTCGAGACTGCACACCGCGACCCCAAAGGGACTCAGCTCGTCCCGGAACGCCTCCGTCAGGTTGCTCACGGCGGCCTTGGTCGCGCAGTACAGCCCCGCGGCGGCGCAGCCCTCCCAGGTGCCGAGGCTGCCGAAGTTGACGAGCACTCCGAACCCCTGGGCGCGGAGGTGCGGCGCCGCGGCCCGGCACACCTTGAGCGTGCCGAGCACGTTCGTGTTGAACTGGTCAAAGGCCTCCGCAGCGTCGGCCTCCTCGACGGTGCCCTCCAGCGCGTAACCCGCCGAGTTGACGACGTGGGTGATCTTGCCGTGCAGGGCGAAGGCCGAGTCGACGGTGTCGGTGATGGCGGCCTCGGAGGCGGTGACGTCCAGCGGGAGGAGGTCGGCGCCGGCGGAGGCGAGGGCGGAGATCTTGGAGGGGTTGCGGGCTGTTGCGATGACGCGGTGGCCGCGGGCGAGGGCTTCCTTTGCGATCTCGAAGCCGAAGCCGGAGGAGGCGCCGGTGATGAACCAGACGGGGGAGTCCATGATGTTATGATGTTGCGGTGAGGTTTGCAAATTGTTAGTATGTGATGGTGGTGCTAATTGGCACAACTTGTCGAAGAACACGAGTGAGAGGTATGAGAAGTAGGAGGTTTATAGTAATGAAGAGATATTTCAAGAGTCAGTTTGAATACGAACATCACCATATTTAAATAGTAAATCCCCTTGAATAAGTTACCTGAAGACATAAGAGACAAATCAGGGTGTCGTAACACCAAATCCCATTGGCAGAGGCCCAACGCCAAACTCCTAATTGCTGACACGGCGATAATCGTACGGCGCTGTCTCCGCCCGACTGGTGTGGCTGTGTGCATTGCAGGAACACTTTGAACGAATGTAAAGAAGCATCGTGTTGAACCTTTCCTGGCTCGGGGCTTGATCGTACCATGCGTGGTGACGACTATTGACGAGGGTTAACGCCGAAGGATCACAAAAGACGATTGAAGTCTCCCTGCTGTCGGCGATAGGAGATGCGATGAAAGGCGCACGCTAAGTGTAATGTAGCTCAACACTATTGGCGCCGCATTGATGTCATTGTTAGATTGTACACTCTAGGGTCGGCCGTGGTACCGGACTTAGTGTCGGACTACGGAGGCAACTGCGGGGTCATCGGCGATGTGGGTACATCGGAGGAAGTGGGACCGCCAGGCGGTCGCGGGCCCGTCGGCGACTCTAGGGTCAAGAACCGGCCCTCCCGCTCCGTCTCCAACTCTCAACTCATTCTGTGCCTTATTACGCAGGTACTTCTCCGTTTACAAACGGCCCCACTCATCGTTGTTAACATCCCTCTCAAGCCACGCATACTGCACTTCCGACAGCCTGCCACCACGCTCCTTCTCGAGTCTGGCGCGCTCGATGTTGATACGGTGCCGTTCGAAGTGAAAATTCTTATCCTGTATAGCAATGTATTCCTCCTCGAAACTGTCCCAAGTTTTGTACAGCTCGGGATCGACCCCGCCCGATAAGCGGTGAATCCTGAAGGCCGCTCATCGGAGGCGCAGAATGTCCCAGTCGGGAAGATGGTCGGGATCCTTGGCCCAGATCCTGATGACCTGGCCGTCCTCAACCGGACGAGTATTTAATGCGCGGTACTCCTCAGCCAGCTCGCTCCAGGGTTTGAGCATGTCTCGCGGGTCGGCATCGGGAGCGGGCGAGTCGGTAAGGTGGCTGGGCACCGTTGTGACTCGGAGATAGTGCAGACGGATGATGATGCAGTGCTCGTAGCCACCATCAAATTCATTTTTACGCAGCCGTCGACCCGTGCTGTAAACCGAATCGGGGGAAGATTCCTCGACGTCTACACGCTGCTTCTTGGTAGAGGCGTCTGCATTCTTCTCGAACGCTGGATCTGTGAGACAAGCAAGTATCCATAATCCTCGCGATCAGCTTTTGGCGTGGGCGAGGATCGACCTCACCGAGGTAATACTCCCGCCCTTTCATCAGGCCCTCGGGGGTGGGGGTCTCGCCTATGAATGTCGTGTATGGCGGGAAAAAGATGTTCAACGTCTTGTGATTAAGTAGCAAACGGAGAGAGAAGTACACAATGTGAAGGTTAATATGGATTCTCTAAGGATCAATTCGTGTTGCCTTGTACATAAACATAGAGTAACGATGGAGAAGTTAGGGAATAAGACAGGAGAGGAGGCAGATATTGGATCGAGAGTGGTAGGGCATCGCGGTTAGGGCGGTCCCATGGTCGGGACAAACAGGAAGTCTCACAAGGTTGACGAATGAATCTACCGACCAGTTACTGATACTTATCGACCAGACTGTCAGGCACTGTTATTGTCTCGCAAAACAGCGGATACGTTGTAGGAACACTGTGATCTCCCGCTATTCACACTTGACATTCAACACTACCAGTTGAAGTTTGAACTTTGATATTATGCAAAGGAGATCTATACCCCTGAATAGTTATAGTACCTGTAACGTGGTCCAGTCATGCCATATCCACGGCATGCTCACCTCAAGCGCCGAAAAGAAGGAACAACAGCGCATGCAATGTTGAAATTGAGATCAGCCTCCTGCAACGCCGACTTCCATGCAAAATAAACTCAATCGTATCCCTCGCGGCCGCAACGAGACGTGCTGTCATTCCATTTACTCAAAAAAGCTCTCTCGTCTTTGTCGTCTTCTGTTGTCTCGTCATCACCGTTCTTCCGCACAAGTCGGTCGCTAGTGTTGAAACCCCCTTATCCACCTATTACTAAGCCAGCGGCCAAGTTCTATTCCTTCTTGAAACCGTTCGCGGTACCGTTGAGAATCGGCCCCGTCTTGGCTGCTTCAAGAGCTTGCTTGTTTGCGAGCTGCTTCTCCTTAGGAATTGTGAGGGCGTTGATGCCGAGGAAGTTGCAGATGCTCGTGATGACAAGGTACGCCCAGCGGAAGTAGACGACAGCCGAAAAGATGAAGTAGCCGTACAGATAGTACAGCTCGGTCTGAGCGCTGATAGCAGAGATACCGATGACCGGAAGGTTAGCCAGGCAAGCACCGCCAACAAGGGGCACGAGCATGACGGTCCAGTAGGGGAAGGGCTGCTTCGTCAGGTGAGCAAGAATCATCTTGGTGGTCAAACGGCCGAAGACGAAGGACATTGTCAGGCAGAAAAGCACGAGGTGGTTTTCGCTGCGGAGGCTCGTGTAAGGGGAGTAAATCCATGCGCCAATAGCGAGGGTGTACACCGCCATAGGCGTCCACTCCAGGAAGACGGGAGCAACGGGCTCACCGCGGGCACGACGGGCCTTGATAACGTGGAGAACGCAGAAGGGGACGTGAGTCGCGAAGAGGGAGAAAACGATCATGCCAATCCAGATGTCACGGATGGAAGTGTCGCCCATCAGGTGAGCGAAGCCGAAGGTGTACTGCTCATGGCCCTCGCCGAGGAGATTGATGATGGGCTGGGTCCAAATGCCAGGTCCGTAGATGCCTGAAACCACCATGACGCTGCAGGCAATCAGAATACCCTCGGTAGGTCCGTTGATTCTGCCCAAGTACAAGGTGTGGGTGTGGTAGGTCTCCCAGGTCGAAAAGAACATGGGTAGGCAAGGCACGAGAGCCGTGAAGACGCCGGACTTGGAGCAGCCGAGACCCATGGCGGCAGTCTCGAGGAGACTGGCCAGGGTGCAGTTAAGAGAGTCGATACCGTGGTCGAAGAGTTCGCCGAGTCCGCTCGAGGTTCCGGTGCGACGCGCCTGCTTGCCATCGAGGTTGTCCATGGTCTGGTACATGAACAGACCGAAAGCGAAGCTGTAGTATAGCCATGATGGCCCCTGAGCGGTATCAGCAGCCGCTCGCAATGTTCCCATGTCCCCTCAGATGTATTTTGCGACGTACCGGTCCCACCAAATCAGGCATAAAAACGACCAAGAGGCCAATGTTTCCCAGGATGAAGAAGAAGCCCAACAGCGTCACCATGTTCGGGGCCAGCCATAACGGCAGGAGCTCAACGGCGGCGTTCCACTGCAACGAGGAGAGTTAGCTAGCTGTCGTGGAGAGGTCGCGTGATGGCTGGCAGGCTAAAGCCGCTCGGACGGCGCGGGGCAGAGCGTCGTTGGAGGGGATCGTCGGAGGGGTTACGCACGTATGGGCGAAGGATGTAGTTGGAGATGGGCGACTTGTCGACGGCAGAATATTTGTAGGACTTGAGATGAATGAGGGCATCGTCCGAGATGCATTCGGCGGCAGCGGCCCCTACTCGAAAGAAACGATCGTGTTAGCCACCATCGTCGTGACAGAAGCAAACCCCGCCATAGCTCCCCACGAGGAGGCTGCCATTCATGAATTGAAGGCGCATCATTCCAAGGAGCTCGGCGCCAGCTGTTGCCTGAGCTCTGGGGAGGGAGGGAAGGGAGGGAGGTTCGTGCTCACTGTCAGAAGTCTTGGTGCCCATTCTGAAGAATTGCGTCAGAGGCAGCGAGCGTGGTCTGGAATGACGGCCGTCGGTAAACTGCTGTGGGGGTTATGGCAGGTGAAGTAACGTAAGGTAGGTAGGAGGAGGGGAGGAGGGGAGTAGGAGTTGAAGGAGGACCAGAAGCAATGAGAGCCAGGGGGGATCAAACAAAGGGTCTTTTTGGTGGGGGAGATCTGAGATATCTATAGCACGAGATGAATGCTAAAGGAGATAGGTGCGCGCGGTTTCCACCGCAAAAAGAGAGCAGTACATGCAAAACTTGGGATCGAAAAAAATGATGGGCAGGCAGTGGTAGTCGGCCACCTCATTGAGTTCGCATCATCGACGGTGCTGGCCGTTATTTTTTTAGGGGGAAAAAAGGACCGGGGGGGGTCGGTGGCCTGCACCCCAGCTCCAGGTCTTGCCAGTTGGGTGCATGGTCCACCGCTGAGCTGGGCAAGTGGGCTTTGCGAGCAGCAGTGGCCCCCGCCCACGGCGTCCAGCAAGCAGCAAACAGCGAATGACAGGTGCGAGAGGCACGAGCTTCTCCTTCCGGACCAGGACTCTGGGCTGGGCGCGGCCGGGGCGGGAAGGGAAGGCAAGAAAGAGGCTCAATGCCGTAGGTACGCGGCCGGCTCGACGTGCATCAACCCGCCTCAGGCAAGCAGTCATTTGGTCGTCATTCGCTGCGGTTGCAGGCGTTACGTAGCTTCCCCACGTACCTGCGAATTGGAAGCCTGAAAGAAGCTCGTGATTCCTTCTTCTCCTACATCAATTGCTACCTCTCACTTCCACTGCTGAGTACCTCTTCGGTGTCCTCCAGATCGCCGCCTTACCTAAACCTCACATCATCAACACCATCTTCTCCTTTTCTTGATCTTCCCCTGCAGCAAATCGCGCCAGGTATGGCCAGCTTCGAACGTTCCATCTCATCTTGATCACGAATCACAGGCCGACCACCGCGACCCTGCCACGACGTCCAATGACATCGCCGTACTCGCCCCCGCTTCATCTCGGCGATTCAACAAAAATCACAAAGACCCTATCAAAACGCACGCTCCCGACGCCCCAAGCTCCTCACCCGTTTTTTTTTTTCTGTCGCGCTCTCCAAAAACCCTCGCTGCAAAAAGCCCGAGAGCGACGAGACAAGACAATGACCATGCAAGGATGGCCCTTCTGCCCATTTACCGCCTTTTCACTCCGTCCTCACCCATTGGGTTGGTTCGAGCCTTTTGAAGACGCTTGAGATAGCCCTAAGGCAGCTCCAAGGACTCGCAGCTCCTGGACTCTGACAACGACGTGATTGACATGTGAGAGTCTCCGCAGCCGCTGCTACTTCACCTGATCTCACGGAGGAGCTACGGCGCATGTCGGTAAGATGGCATCGCGCGCCGACTAACACAAATCTACCGACCACCCCGCGCACACAAGAACCAAGACCAACCGATCTTGAGCCAAATCATCCTATGTTCGGCACTCTCAAGAAGACCTATCGAACAAAACGGAGAGAAGAACCGCTCATTGGCTGACCGCATCTTCCTGCGAGATGACATGTGAGGGAGCCCTGGTTTCCCAGCCCAAGATACCTTCAGCCTCAATAGCGTGACGGATGGACCCACCATGGATCGGGTCCGGCTTTTGTGCCGCCAGGCTGGTCCCCGTGACCCCCGCCCCGGCCGCCTAGAATGGCCGCCGTGGCACGGCCAGAAGCATGTGGTGGTACAAGCAGCTTCCCGTCTTGCTGGCCCTATCGTCGACGATGCCCAAGATCTCGAGTTTGTCCCCGTCTGATTGGCGCCCGCCACGCCGTCACCGTCCCCGCCCCGTCAACCCCGTTCATTCTTTGTTCATTGTTCCGCGCACGCGACGGCTTGACGTCCCGACCTCGCTTACCAGACGGCTACCTACCACCTACCGACCTTAGCTTCCCTCACGGTATCGGAGTCATCGCCCTACGGGAACGAGCCTAGCGTCAACCACGTCACGGGACAGATGGGACGAACATGGAAGATGGTCTCGTGCCCATCTTCTCGATAACATCACATCTTGTCTACCTGCGTGATGAGCGGCCCATCGACCGAACTGGCCGCAGACCACCCGGGATGGCTCAGCGTAAGGATGACGAGCCGATGCGCACTTGAAATACATAAGAAGCTGCAAAACATCGTGCAGACTTCATTCCTCACTTTAGACACACTCTTGAGTAACAAAACAAGCCGCGAAACACACACATATCGTGGAATGTCTTCGTCCGATTGATCACATCCCACACACCCGAGATCACTGCATCAAGGAACGCCATCTTCATCTTTAGAAGTCGGTGCCCAAACCACAGGCCCGCTTCCTTCGCTTTCATTGACTCGACCGAGCCTCTTTTTGGCCAAAACTAGAACGCTAAATGACAGATATTTCACCCACGCCGCTCTCTATCTCTCTTCCTTTCTCTCCTCCGCCGTCGTGTGTTCTGCTCGGATGATATTACAAGACATTACGATGATTGTTTTTTCCCACGAGATTTCCCAGTAGTTCCGGTTCCGTATGATTGAAATGCCGTTGAGAGGAGGGAAGCTGATATTCCCTCCGCCGTATGTAAACGCCGAGCATGTGAAATAGTTTGTGCAAATATGGGGGGTATTTGAAAGAGTGGACGAGACAGAACACACGACTGCAGGATTCCCCCCTCATTATTTTCCGACTGACAGAACGCCTGACAGAACGCTTCCCAACGAGGACACGCCTCTTACAGCAAGAGAGCGACGCCGCCGAGCAAGCTGCCGACGAGCACGGCAAAGCCAGCCTCACGGCCCATTGCCAGAGCCGCGGCGCCGGAGCTGCCGCTTCCGTTGCTGCTGTCGTCACCGGCCATGCCGGTGAAGATGGCGCCGCTGGTCTGTGTGGAGGAGGCCGTGGCCGTGGCCGTGCCGGTGCTGGAGGTCTTGTTCTCGCGGGTGGGGTTGCTGGCTCCGCAGGGGTGGTCCTCGCGGCACTTGGACGCGCACTGGTTGGCGCCGAGGCCGCAGTTTGTGACGCACTGGTTGCCGTACTCCTGGCAGACGTGGTAGGGGAGCGTGAGGGAGTACTCGGTCATGTTGGGCTGCTTGCCGTCGCCGCAGATGCAGCCGTACTCGAGGGTTTCCTGAGATACCGTGCGTTAGCCTCTGTGGACGGATTTCTGGGACAAGGGGGAGCTACTCACGGAGTTGCACGTGTTGACCAGGGTCGTCCTGGGCTCGACTTGTTGGCAGATGATCGGGCAGGTGTTCGTCTCATCCTGGCACCATGACTCTGCACGTTCCCGTTAGCATGGAAAATCCCGGATCTCAGCTTCCGCGGCCGCGGTCTGAAGAATAAACAACGTACTTCTTGTGGCCAGAGGAACGGACTTGGGGTTGATAACGTAGTCGGCGTGGGCGGAAGCAACGAATGCCGCAGCAACGGCGAAAATGGTGCTCTTGAATGAAGGCATTGTGACGAGTGTGTGCTGATGTTTCGAGTCGAGGTGTTGTTGTAGTTGTTGTGGACAAGGGAGCAAGGTCCAAGGTTCGGGAAATCGAATTCAAGTATTAATATCAACCAGCTGTGTCGTTTCCTGGTCAGCAAAAAAGCATTTTTGTAGATGAGAAAGCCGTGGGCTCTGCATTCCAGAGCTCTCCCACAGCCTCACAACTCCACCGGGCTTCGATAGTTGTTTGAGCAGCACATGGCTGGGAAGGGGGCGATGTGATATGAGGCGTTAGGAATGGGGGTTCCTACTTACAGACTAAATGGATTGACTCAGAAGCCGTTGGTGACCAAAAAAGGCGAGTGTCCGAATTTGTATTAGTAGCGAGAGGCGGGCTATTTCGTGAAGGCTGCAACTAAGAAGAGCGAGCGAGCTTCTCTTGTATGAACGAGGGCAAGAGATTATATGTGCAGGAGGACTAGACACGGGAGGAAGAAGAAATCTCAACTGTGTAACAAAAGATAAGACACGGGCTGAGGATGGATAGGTCGGAGGAAGAGGTGAGGAGGGAGGAGAAGAAGAAGGAACGGCATAGACAGGAAGGTGATGGGTTCATATCAAGCAAAAACTCGAGCGTTAGCCGTGCATTCACTAGCTTCGCTCAAGGTGCCTGGGCAAGAGGAGGAACTAGGAGGAACATGGGTATGGAGGAAGCCATTTTCCTATGCTAGGCCAGGCATCGGGAGCTTCTTCCTACTCAAGGTCCAAAATAAAGGAGGCCCGGGGGTCCCTGGCTACAACGCCACGGGCAGCGGGCTCGCGATATCGACTGGAGAGAATAAGCGCAATTGGGTTTAGCTCGTCTCCACGCCAGCCATCCGGTGTATTTCCTGCTAGTAGCCAGGGCCAGGGTTCTTGGGGTCTCTTCGCCGGCTGCCAATCACGGTGTCGAAATTATCTCGAGATGGAGACGTCGTACCATGAGTGTGACCGTAAACTCGTGGAGTCACCACTTGGGGTCCATCATAGCGGTGCTTCTACCGGCTTCTCCATATCGTTGGTAAGACGTCCGTATTCGTAGGTCGATGAGACTCGGTGTCTCATCGCCTCAGCCGAAGATACTCTCCTCTTCCGTCTGACATTTGTGGTTCTCTCTCCCTTGTTCCTTAGCCCTTGGCAGAAGAGGATAGCAGAGATCCGCTCAAAACAATCCCGAAGTCGACCCTAGAGTGCCAATCCCTCAACTTCAGGCAGGTCGGCAAGTCGGTCAGTCAGGAGTCCAACAGCCGTGGCGACCTGCCATGCTAGGCACGTTAGGGTGATATTGTTCTGGGGACGGCCCAGGGTCTTGCGTACAAGAAAGAGCAGGGCTTCATGGTGTTGTTTTTTTGGTGGAGTTTGAGGCTTAGTGGAGGATGGAAGGGTTCAGTGGCCTTCTGGGCAGGGATCGGACGAGGGTTTCTCTGCAGCTCCCAGGGCCTCTGCACTCTGTCTGCAGCACCGATGGCACTAAAACGTGCTAGCATTGTTTTTGCCCGCTCCGCTAACGAGATCGGGTGTCCATTGTTGCCCGGAGATGAATCTCCCCTCCACAAACTGACACCCAACGCTGGCGGCACTGGCAGCGGCAGCATTGGCACTGAATGCCCTCGGTATGTCCAGTCGAGGTGAGACCTGTGAGTTCCCTTGCCTTGGCTCGTTAATTTGCTGCGCTGGACCATGTCCAGAAGAGAGGGCCGGTCTCTCCGTTTATCGCCATCTGTTGATCATCAACGATCCGTCCACCAAACCCATGGCCAATTCCAGCCTCGCTGTGCAGTCCCGTCCATGCTGTGCGTTCGAGAAGGAAGAGTGAGCGTCAGCACAGCAGCCACAACATTCCCGCGGTTGCCCGTATTCAATGCGGCGAAAACACACTGACGACTCCTCCGTGTCTGGTCGTCGGTCACGCCCGGATCGATCTCGCCAAACAGACCGCTCAGAATCAGTTCAATTCCCACTTGACTGCCAGTTTTGCAGGTCGGATGACCGGCCCCATAGTTGATTACGAGGTTGCAGAATAGACCGGAACTGTCTTGCTCTCCATAAAACCTGCAAAAGCGGCGGATAGTTTTGAGGTCTTCGGAGCCAAGGCTCCATCAAAGTCCCCCCTGCCAGTCGCCGCCAGACGGATATCGTGCAGTAAACTTTTGCCAAACAGGCCAGACCCCTCGGTCTCCCCTAAGTGCACATCTTTACGAGACCACCTCCGCTTGCAAGATGCATTTGTTGCGAAACAGGAGCTGTCGTTGTGCCTCTTTGGCCGTACGGAACGGCCTCCGATTGTCCCAACCGCCGACATTTCTCAGCCGTCGACACGACCTGCTGTACTGATATCGCTGTTCGCAGCGTCTCACTGGAGTGATCGCCACTCGTATTCTGCAGTCTGCACCTCACCAAGCGGGTTGTGCAGACCATGGACGCAGCTAGCTCTGCATGCTAGAGGGCCTTGGCTAGGCGACTGTTTGAAATATGATACCTGGTACCAGAAGGAATAAATAGTAAAGAGGTTGGAGAACGAAGTGGCTGGCGGAGCCCGAGCCGTTGTCGTTGGCGTGGTGTCTCTGGAGATGGCTTTGTTGATGGCCGAAGCCCAGTCCGGTCTCACGCCGTCCGAGATCCCCAATGAGTCCGCGTGGCCGTTTCTCGCGTCAAACGAAACTGTCCGCAACGAATAAAGTCGTTGGACGTCACGAAGACACCGTCGTGCTCGTGATGGGCGTTAAGGCCAAGGGATGCCGCCACAGCTGGATGTGTCAAGCTGTCAACAAAACCCACACTTGCATGCGTCTGCCTCTCTTATTGACTTGTCGTCTGATGCGACGAAGCTTGCGATGCATTCCTCGATGCAGAATGCGTCAGGTCTGGTTGCCGCAAGTACCGAGGAAACTTGCCACTGCGCCAATGAGGGCGCACCAGGGTCTACGACTTTAGAATCGGAGTCGAAGCCAAAGACCCTGGTCAGCGAGATGCACCCTTTCAACTCTCCGCCTCCACTCGGGATCTTGGTTCTGCAGCTTCGTATCCGCACCGATGACTTAGACCAGATGCGATAGCGCGGGGAAACAGCGCTTGTGCCGAAGGAGTGTCTGCCAGTGTTTCCCAACGCTTGCGTCTCTCGAAGCGCCACAACCGGGACTTCGGTGCGTTCTGGTGCGTCTTGGTGAATCGTCGGTGTCACCTCGCCGTGACTGTTGGAGTGGTCGATTCCAGGGAGAGACCCGAGAATAGAATAGTGGTGTGAGACTGATGATGTGTGGCAAGAAAGATAAGACAGAGCATCTCTCCCTGCTTGAAAGATGCTCTGTTTCTTGGAGTTTCGAGTCTTGTTCTTGGCTGCACATCGCAGAAGTCCAGCGCTCCGAGCGGCAGCTGCATTTCCATCCCATGTGGACCTCGCATATGTATTTGGCGGCAGGCACCGCTGGACCCCTCAAGCGCAAGGTCTTTCAAGACAGCAGGATAACCAATCCATTACAAAAAGACGATGTCAAGTAAGGACGACGAGGTTGATTTGGTGATGATAAGGGAGCGCAGGAGATGACAGTAGCAGCCAGTGCTGGCGGCATTGAAAAACGCTGCTTCTTTGGAGTGCCTACCTAGGTAGGTAAGGTAGGTCGTCCTATTTTGCAGGTCCACCCTCTCTCGTCCGATAGCACCTGCCAAAACATCAAGACGTCCTTGCGAGACTTACCTAAGCACACCTCAACTTGGCAGAGTTTGTCTTTCAACACATGATCCTGGGCAATTGAGGGGAAGAACGTTTCCTCAGGTAAACTATGGTAGGTGCTTTCGTCCTAGCTGATATTAATGATGTTTTGATAACACAAACAAACAATATCAGAGATTTTCCTTCCGAACTGCTCCAACAGTGAATACCGTCATCTTTGTTTGACAATTGCATATCTCGCTTCACTCTCGATCCTCATTTCCCAACTCCTAACCGCCAGAACATTCGTCACGTTGCAATCAGCGGCCCGACTTAATCGCCGCTCGCACGTAGCATCCATCCAAATCCATCATCCATCGGAAGCCTCAGACAATTGGACTGCTGCACGCAAGCCAAAGTAGCTTCTAGTCGATCTGCACAGCCACCGGACCCTAACGCAGCCCAAACGGACCGGAGTTCAAGAAGCGCCCCGAGACAAGTCTTTCCTTTCCCTAGACTCGGGATATCACCAATACGTCACATATCCTCACGCAACGAGACACACGGACTTTGCACCAGCGCAAAACCACCAAACCTCAATCCTCACGAATCGCATCGCAGCGCATCGCAACCGCAATTGAGAAAGACGAAACCACGGCGCCTGTTCAATGATATAGCGGCCGCACCGCACATGGATTCATGGACTCGGCGATCGCATCCCAGTTCCCCACGAATGGCACCACACACGGCAGCGCCCTGAACGGCAGCCACCCGAAAGCTTCCCCCAAGGTTACGAACGGCACGATCGCGGGCTTACTGTCCCGCCAGAACAATGACGGTACGCGCGGCGGGCTGTTCGGGGACGACGACGACGACGACACGGCGTCGGCCGACCAAGCTTCTTCCGTCGCGAGCCCGTCATCCGTAACGTCGCCGCCGTACTGGATGAACCATCACCAACGCTCCGTCTCCAATGTGTCGGTCGAGTCCGTGCTGCCCGCTGGCGCGATCACGATGCACGACAACGAGGCTAGCGACCGAAACGATCGCAACCGCGCGTGCTGGGCGAAGAGCGTTGAGATTACCGACTACGTGATCGTCAACGGCAGTACGACCAACATCGGGGCTTTCGTCGTGTGGAATATCAGGGTCGAGACGCTGCAGGTAAGTGATCAGGTCGTGACGGGCGAGGTGTCGAATCAGCAACTGACAGACTCTGTACAGGGGAGCTATATGAACATCCGCAAGCGATACTCCGAGTTCGACGACCTCCGCGAAAAGCTCATCAAGTCATTCCCCAACTTCGAAGCCGCGGTGCCCCCTCTACCGCCCAAGAGTGTGATATCGAAATTTAGGCCCAGATTCCTTGACAAGAGAAGGTCGGGCCTACAATACTTTCTCAAGTGAGTTTCGTCTCGCCAAGATAGCGACCGGTTGGAACATCGCTAACTTGTGACAGTTGTATAATGTTGAATCCTGAGTTCTCCGGGTCGCCAGTACTCAAGGATTTTCTTTTCTCATAAACATAGTGTCTAAATACCTAACCTATTTTTACTCTTATTGTATATTGTTTGGAAGGTCCTGCAGCACGGCACGGAGATAGCCGTGTTTAATCGCGGGGGCGCAGCGGCGAGCCCGAAGAGAGGGGAAAAAAGCTTTCCAGGCGGATCAGTCAACCAGGGAGCTGAGGGGCCGGTTGCACATACATAGCGGGCACAGACTGACCCGAATCATGAACAAATGAAGATGAACGATAATGTGTCGCACGGGCAGAAGAAAACCTCGAGCCCGGTTTACGGTGACCCGTTTCTGGATGGCGGAGACGATGGCCGGTAACCGCCCTGCCCGTTGCCGGAGCATGTCTCGGCGGCCGCGGGGGTCACTCGGGTGGGGCCCTCGCGCAAAAAAACACAAAGGGCTGCCGTTTTGGTCGCCGTGGCAGTGAAGTGTCCTGTGCTCTTTTTTCCCGTCTTAATAGGTAATTTCTCTTGTTGGTTAGGTTGTCAGCTGGGCGAGGAGGGTCTTGAAGGTGGCCGTCTCTCACCCCGCAAGATTGACCAGGACGCGTAATGTACAGCCCTCCTCGCCAACGTTTAGCGGGGGCCAGCAACGGTTTGGCATGCTTCCAAGGCGGACCAAGACCGTCAAGACCGTCAAGAGCGCCTAACGCAGCCCAGTCCGTACGCAAAAGGCCCAAATGGAGATGGCGTTTAGCGCTTCAACTGCACAGCAACGCCTCTGTCGTCGGGCTGCAAAGGTGGGCGAAGTCTGCTATTTCTGGGTTCCCTGTCCACTCCGTTTTCTTCCCGCCCGTAAAAGCCACATCGTGAGGAGAACTGGAAGTGTCTGAGTTGCGATCACCTTTCGGGTTGGCTGGACAGAAACCCATCTCTATTGGCTCTTTGGCCGTCAACATCTCAACCTGGCGGACTGCGGATGGATGAATAAACCGCGATGGCGAGTAAACGTATATGGCCGCGTACCAAGCACGCTGTGTCTATGTTCACGGGTTTTCTCATGGTCGTCAAGACGGTTGGTCATGTTGCGTCACAGCCCCAGCAAATACACGTTACGGCTGAGCAACGACCACACCATGTTGCTTTCGCTGGGTAATATGGAGAACGAAAACCGCCCCCAAGCTTGTCAGTTGCAGAGCCTGACAAGGATGGCCTGTGGTATGATGCAGGGCGATGTTGATTGTTTTTAAGATTCCTCTTCCTGCTGTTCTTCTCAAAGGAGATGCCGATGGTCCTTTTCCCACGTTCCCCCCAACCTAATATAATTTCATAACAGAGAAAGGTCTCACCCTTACTATATCTTCTTTAGTTTATTTGCAATAGCCCCCCGTCTCTCGCCTTCAAGGTTGCTTACTTCAACCACATGGTTACCTTTGAAGCTGTTCGACAAAAGTTCCAATTCGCGATCCATCTGACGCCGTTTACATCCCACCAACCTCTCACCAACCTAATAACATAAGCTTGCCGCAAGATCGCCCGATATACACACTTCAACCTAGCAACAACCTTAGCCAGCGCCGGGCAACCCTACCCAAAACACCACCAAAAAATCATAGTTCCAACCTGGAACCACCAGAAGACCGGATGCTCGCCCCAGCCGCCATCGGCTCTCGGGCCAGATCCATATCCCTACACCGTCGTCGCAAGCAGGCGGCGGAAGACCCCGCAGGCGCAGTAGCAGCACTCGCCGCCGCCGTGGCAGCGCCCATGATGACGAAATTCGACCGCCCTGCTTCTGCCGTCGCAACCGAAAATGACCTGCACGCTCAAAAAGAAGCAGTCGGCCGCGACGAATCTGGACCCCGGAAGACCCCTCTTCACCACCACGTTTCTTGCGCCGCAATTACCCCGCCGGCGAGCCCTCCCGTGCCAAGACCCGACCAGCAAGAACAGGAAGAACATCTTAACCCGGACTTTTCTGCGACCGTGACGACAACCACGACGGCGCACAGCCAGAGCGGCGACGACACATGCTCGCTCGCGCATGATAGCATCACTAACAGCGCGCGACAAGAGTACATGGACAGCCTGGTCCCGCCGTCCCGCGACGAGTTTGACAAGATCGCAGAGGTGCAACGCACCAAGGAGGAGGAAATCAAGCGCAGTCGCAGCAAGAGGAGATCGATGCAGAGCCAAATCTCCGTAGAAGGTGGGGTTGGAGAGGTCGAGGCGCCGCTGCAGTCGCCCGCATCGAGGGGGAGGGGAAGGAGTAGCAGCGATGCGATGAACAACGCTGCGACAATGATCCAACGCAACTATCGTGGCTACCGCGTGAGACGAGAGATGCAGGGTTTGGGCTTGGATGCCTCGACGAGGTGGTCGTCCGCCATTGAGGAGGCGCGGTTCCGCCAGCTGAACAGGCCGAGAGCAAAGAGCTCCGCGGCCTTGTCTGTGAGCGGAGACCAGCACAGCGTTCTTTCGAGAGACTCTGATGGCGGTATGCGCTCGGCGACGGCGCGGGATAACTGGAGGAAGGCGGCGACGATTGCGCGCCGTGCAGGGCACGATGACGCTGAGACGGACTCCGAAACGTCGTCCTCCTCGGATGACTCTGAGGAGTCGCCTGAGCAGAGGGCTGAACGGCGACGGCGCCGCGAAGAGGCCAACGGGAAGCGGAAGAAGGACTCCAAGATGATGGGCCTGCAGTACTTTCTCGAGATGGTCGACCTCAAGCACCGCTACGGGAGCAACCTGCGAGTGTACCACGAGGAGTGGAAGAAGTCGGACACTAACGAGAACTTCTTCTACTGGCTTGACTACGGTGGCGGCAAGAACATCGAGATGGAGGCGTGTCCTCGTGATCGGCTTGAGAGGGAGCAGGTGCGGTATTTATCACGAGAAGAGAGACAGTATTACCTCGTAGAAGTCGACCAGGAGGGACGTCTCTGCTGGGCGAAGAATGGCGCCCGGATCGACACCACCGAATCGTACAAGGACAGCGTCCACGGCATCGTGCCGGCCGACGACCCCACGCCCGCCTGGTCGCAGAGCAACGTCCCGCCCTTGGAGGACCGCGACGTTGACGACAGCCGGTCGGAGTCCTCCGTCGAGTCGGCGCTCGAAGCCGACCGCGCAGCCAAGTACGCCACCCCGGAACTCGACAACGCAACGGGCATGAAGAAGGTCTCGCACCTCTCCGCGGCCACCGTCTTCAACAAGCTGCTGCGCAAGTCCGTCAAGAAGAACACCTGGATCTTCGTCGCCGACACCAGCTTCCGGCTCTATGTCGGCATCAAGTCCTCGGGCGCCTTCCAGCACTCGAGCTTCCTCCAGGGCAGCCGCATCTCGGCGGCGGGGCTCATCAAGATCAAGAACGGCCGCCTCTCGAGCTTGTCGCCTCTGAGCGGGCACTACCGGCCCCCCGCGTCCAACTTCCGCGCCTTCGTCAAGTCCCTCAAGGAGGCCAACGTCGACACCTCGCACGTGTCCATCTCCAAGTCGTACGCCGTGCTGGTCGGGCTCGAGGTGTACGTCAAGTCGCGGCAGAAGAGCAAGAAGACGCTCGAGAAGATGAGCCTGAAGAAGGAGAAGATCGTCGCGCCCGAGGAGGCGCGGAAGCGCGAGGAGGAGGAGATGGACAAGAGCGAGAGCGCCGCCAAGGAGCGCAAGGTGCTCGAGAGGGAGGCCGAGGAGAGGGAGGAGAACCGGGCCGCCGTCAAGCTGATGAGGAAGCTGCACGTCTCGCCCAGCGAGCCGCATGGCCAGAGAGACGGGGATCCTGCGGCGATGGAGCCGCTGGCGGAGGAGAGGACGAGGGAGCAACGGGCTGCTTCTGGCGTTTAGGGTGTGCTTTGTGGCCACCGCTGGCTCCATTGACCGGGCAGAGTGTGGATGAAGGTATGCATAGTTGGTCCCACGGAGGCTTTGGATAAGGGGTGGAAGGGTTTGGTTTTTGGATGTTGTTTTATACCCATGCGCGCTGAGGTTTGATCTCTTGCCCTGAGCGTTTAGATCGATGAGCAGATGAATGTTTAATGAGGCCCTGCATGATACATCTTCACTGGTGATACGCGTCATGTCACATGTATTGGGCCAAGGGTTTTGCAACGTTCATGAAGAAAAGCAAGCTGAGGTCTTCCAGACGCACATACAAGCAATAATTAAAGCACATTAACTCCGTTGACCGCCGTTATTATGGAAAAAGCGTCATCTAGACTCAGACCTGCTGTTCTCGCATTTCACGCGACGGCTGTTCCTTGCTCAAAGTTTGCTGCAAAAGCAGCGGTAACAGTTCCGGCAACATCTGCTGCAATGATCGCTCCATCGACTGCTTCAGCGATTCCTGCAATAACTGCTCCAACAGCTGCTTCAAATCCAACGGCTGCTGCAACAACTCCATCAACGGCTCCCGCAGTGCTTGCCCAAGTACCCTCTGATCATTCTGTCCTGGTACGTGCCCTGCGGACGGTTGTTGCAACACTTCTGGTGTTGACTGAAGCAGTGCTTGTTGCAGTAGCTGCTGCATATTTTGTCCCAAACGTGGCTCCGAAATTGTGCACTCGTCTTGTTTCATGCCATTCCGAGCTTCCGAGTTCATTGAGAAGAAACTCAAGGCTACGCAAGCTGTCGATATGAAGAATATGAGAATCTGTAGGTTAATATTCAGTACTGCAAGGCGAGAAAGGGAGCCTGCTCTTACTCGGCAATCGTCATTCAACTCGCCACCGCTTCGTGCAACTGGGGCGATGATATGTGTAGATAGCCCCAAAACCAGGAAGAATAACGCGTAAGAGAGACACATGTAAGGAGCCTGCCAAGCAAGCACACCAGTCCAGTGCAATCCACCTCCCTTAGCCAGCCAGTATTTGCTACTGAAGCAGGCTAGATTACTTTTATGCTGGTTTGCCTCTATCAGTACTATCTGCTCGGCGGCAATTGTGATTGTGACCACTGATAACAAGATACTGCTATACAAGAACGCGGGAACAATCCAGTGGTTGTCATAGATAGTTGGCCATGACAACATACCCGCAACGCTCCCGATTGCGAGGCCGGCCTAGAAGGTCTATATCAGCTTAATGTCGCCGCATATTGGGCGTTGTCCATTACGTACGCCTAGTTGTGCGAGGTTTGCTTCGCTTCTCTGTTGTTCCAGCCACTTCTTGACGTGCTGTTGCGTAGTCAAGTAGCTGTGATTGGTTAATTCATCGAGTAGGGCCCGAGTGGATGGACGGAAAATAGTGGCGTATGACCTGCTGAAAGCGTAGCTGAATGGCTTCAAGCCCAGTTGCACGAGCCCAATCGCAGCTAGAGCGACCTTGACCCTAGTCAGTGACTGAACACGTTTTGATACGTATTGATTGAACTAGATTTGCGAGTAACGGACTTCCATGATGTCTGCGTGCTTAGTGGCACTCAGAGCTGCTTGGGGTCACGGATTGGTAAAGAAATCGCAGAATACGTGTATGTTCAACAAAACGCAAGCTAAAAAGATATCTGAGAACCCAGTGCATATACGTAACAATCAAAACTATTGCGCAAGGATAGCTGGAGCTGGACAACAGGCCCAGGACATGAAGCGCAGCAGAACCTGGCTTTTTAAAGCAATACTAATAATTAGGGTGGACGACCCCCATGGCCCAGACTTGAAATTCCATAGGATTCTATGCATTTCATGTGTAACTTCTGTTTTGGGGTGGCCGCAGTTGCAGGTTGCATCTGCAAAGAGACGAATTGCGATTAGTTGAAATTTATGTCAGCACCGCATCCAGCGACTCTGGCCGTTGAGGATTTTCACTCATATCGGATCTTGAGATGGAAATTCATGGAGAGAATAAAGTCCAGCAGGCTCATCTGCAGTGTGGAGTGGGTGACTGGTAGCCTGAGAGACGAAACGTCATGTTGCCGGCTGGCTTTCTCTCAAAGTGTTGCCTATTGTTCTGAACTCGATTTGGCTCAAGTCAGCGTTGTTAATTCGATTCGCTGGGCAGTGCTCTGTTTGTGAAACGTAGGCAACTATGAGCACATTCGGTAGCAACATGGATGCCCAACGAGCTGATTGATGGAGAACAAGACTGCGTCGCCGCAAACCGCGGCCCAGAGGCCGTAAAAATGGAGACCGGGGTAGAACGCTCGGGACCGGAGCCCGGAGACGGCGCCCCACTTGTCAAAGCGGGCAACCTCCATACGTAGGTCGTTACATCGTAGCTAGTTGCGATGCATAATTTCATGATAAACATTCAAAATAGGACACTCAGATGCCACTATTTAAACGCAATGTTGGCTGCTCTGTGAAGATCTCTTTGCCCATGGGACCAACTTTGGTCTGGCGATCGACTTGACAACCCCTCACCGTCCCTAAGCTACCTACATCGAGATATACGGAAGGCGGTTGTCGACCGTCTCGACGAATCGTTTTGGCAGATTCAAATTCGCCGGCCTGTCTCTTCATCGGCAACCACGTTGAGCCGGCAGTGAGTTGGGAGATGAAGTCAGATTAGTGCGTGGTTTGGTCGGCAGTGGGCTCTGTTGGTGGAGCCGCTTCGGAACATTTTCCAGCAAGCACCGACCGCTAAGTTTGGCGGGGACAAGGACCTGCCGTGGACCTGAGTCGCATTTCGACTTCAGGGTCTCCTTCATCTTGACACATTTTCCCCCGCCCAACATGGCCTCCGCGACTTGAGAGCCCATTTTGCACGCAGCCGACGAGCGACAATTGACAAAACTCCCAGTCGTGGTTCACAGCATGATCCCGCTGTCCCCGACCTGGTCCGCGGAAAGATGGGTCTCCTGACCTCCCTCCCGAAGCTACCCCTCGTCGGGTCCATCCTCCTCGTCCTCTGTTCGCTCTTCACGCAGGCGACAGCCTACACCGAGCTCGGCGACGACGCCCTGCGCGCGATCCCGTCGGGAGGCGACGCCTTCGACATCCAGACCGGCTCGCTGCTGGCGCCGATCCTCATCCCTCGCGTCCCGGGCACCCCCGGCTCGGCCAAGGTGCAGCAGCACTTTGTCGACTTCTTCCGCGCCAACCTGCCGCAATGGACGATCGAATGGCACAACTCGACCTCCAAGACGCCCGCGACGGGAGATAAGGACATACCCTTCACCAACATCATCTTCCGCCGCGACCCGCCGTGGGCCAAAGACGGTGAGGTTGAGCGCCTGACGCTTGTGGCGCACTACGACAGTCTCGTCCACCCTGATGGCTTCATCGGGGCGATTGACAGCGCGGCGCCGTGCGCGATGCTGCTCCATGCGGCACGGAGCATCGAGGATGCGCTGGTGAAGAAGTGGGAGGCTATGGAGGCTTCCGGCGATGCTGGAAGCGGGCTCGAGGAGGAGAAGGGAATTCAGATCATCTTGCTGGATGGAGAGGAGGCATGGGTATCTTGGACCGACGAGGACTCGCTCTACGGAGCCAGGTATGTCCCAGTGGGTGTCGAGCGTGGCCTGTCTAACATTACATAGGGCTCTGGCTGCAAGCTGGGAAGAGGAGATTCACCCGAACTCCATTTACAAGACCGGACTTTCGTCCATCAGCCTATTTCTCCTTATCGATCTCCTGGGCGCTCCGAATCCCCAAATTCCCTCATATTTCCAGAACACTCACTGGGCGTACAAGAAAATGGCCAAGATCGAGCACCGCATGCGCGAGCTCGGTGTTCTTGAGACCAAGCCGAGGCGCTCATTCCTCGTAGACAAGAACAAGAAGAGCGGGGGTTTCACTCAAGGCTATGTTCTAGACGACCATGTACCGTTCATGCAGCGCGGCATAGAGATTCTGCACATCATCCCCACTCCGTTTCCTGATGTTTGGCATAAGATCACGGACGACGGGGAGCACCTGGACCTACCAACGGTTCGGGACTGGGCTCGCATCATCACGGTGTTTGCAGCGGAGTGGATGGAAGTGGATGAATTCTTACCCAAGAAGACGGAAGCCGAGATGCCGCATGACGAGCTTTGATCCTCTTTGTGTTCAGAGTCATATAGAGGAGCTTTTCTGTGTTGGTATCGACAGTTACTGCGCCTGATTTGAGATGAGACTTGCATCATAGACCTTTCAATTATGAGAAAATGTTCTAAAAGTTGATTTATGAGGGATGTTGGGTTCTAGACTTTCAGAATGCTGCGCTCATGGGCTGGAGTGGAAGCACCACATGATCCTTGCTCCCTCTTCTATTTATGTCACTTACAAAGCCTTCATCTCATGAAATTGACCCAAGGTGTAATACTCCAAACAAGTGAATTTAGATTTCTCCCGAATTTCTTCCATTTGTATCTAGAGCCAGTATTTGTTTGTTTTCGGCTCTGCCATCACCTCACTGTGTATCTTACTGTGTTAACAGTCGCCGCACAGTCTCCGAAGCTCCACTGTCCATGGTCCGTGCACCAATCGGTAGTTCGTCAGGACACGAAAGCTGTCCATAAGTGCAAGCACCTGGTGATGTTGAAGCTCCCGCCCCAGCTACAAGCTGCAACAGACAAGCCGCCCAACCAGCAAAAATGCGATTTCTTCACTCCTTGACGCCCGCCCTCGCGCTTTTTGCGGCTGGTGCCGCGCAGGCCGCTTCATCATGGGGATTCGACAGTGCCACCGTCTCCGTCTCTGGAAAGGGCAAGGATGCCACCAAGGAGAAGTAAGTCGTTGGAGCTGCCACGGCAGGCGGCCGAGGGAATGCCCTCAATTCCGGAACCCAATTGCTGACGAGCTGCGACAAACACAGGTTGAGCGTGACTGCCCCTCTCAAGACCCCCGTCTCCCTCGGAGCCAAGGACTCTCTCAAGGTCATTATCACGGCCAAGGAAGGCGACCAGGCCAAGCGCCCTCACCAGGCCTTCCTGATCCTCAAGGAGACCGAGAGCGGCCTCGAGGCCCCCTTCCCTCTGGAGCTCAAGGAGAACGGCCGCGGCGTCGTTGATGTCGTACGTGCACCCGAACCAGACTCCTACCTTTCCAATTGATCGTCCATCACAAGCTAACACAACCAAAAAAGGCCCAGAAGGACCTCCCCATCCAGCATCTCCTGGCAACCAAGCCCCTCCGCGCCAGCCTCGTCATCGGCTCCTTCGGCGCCTCTCAGGCCCTCGACGCCATCCTCTTCGATGTCGACGTGAAGCGCGACCCCTCCGCCGTCCTCCCGACCTACGACGCCCCCCTCCGCTACGGCAAGCAGCCCGAGATCCGCCACATCTTCCGCGAAGACCCCCGCAGCCCTCCCAAGGTCATCTCGCTGGCCTTCGTGCTCGCCGTGCTGGCCACCATCCCCGTTCTCCTCGCGGGCGTAAGTCATCCCTGAATGCGGAATCGCATATCCGATCAAGTAAATGCTGACTTGACCTCCTTTTCAGTGGCTCGCCCTCGGCGCCAACTTCAACCACCTCTCCAAGGCCCTCGGCGCCGCGCCTCTCTCCCACGCCGCCTTCTTCGGCTCCATTGTCGCCATGGAGGGCGTCTTCTTCCTCTACTACACCACCTGGTCCCTCTTCCAGGTCCTCCCCGTCATGGGCATCGTCGCGACCTCCATCTTCCTCAGCGGCTCCAAGGCCCTCGGCGAGGTCCAGAGCCGTCGCCTCGCCGGCCAGAGGTAGACATTGCTGTTGTTTTCACGACTACATACATATCATGGGGAAAAGCGGGAGAGTGGCAGGGTAGAGACACCATCAGGCTTTACGGCGGAAACTTTGGTTGTCTTTTTCAAAAAAGTTCGGAAGGGGCATGTTAGCCGTTGAGACGTATCCCCCGGCCAATTGTACATCAGCATTCACGAAAGCATCTGGGCATCTGTGGAATAGACGAGACCGAGGGAAAAGAATTAAAAGGGTTAAACGAACCAAAGGAAGTTGGTATTCAAAAGCCGTCTAGAAGTAACGCCATGCTCGCTCGCCCAAGTGAAACCCATAAACCCCATCACATCTCATCCACCTGTTCCCTAAGCCTTCTCCCACCACTTCTCGTCACTATCCCCTAGAACCTCCACGCTCCTCCTCGCCGGCGCCGTCTCCTCGTACGCGGGCGGCGGCGCCGGCACATCGTCCCCGGTCGAAGCCCTCCTCCTCTCCACCCCCTCCTCCATCCTCGCCGCACCTTGCCTCGAAGACTCTCCCCCCATGTATGAGACCTGCTGCTGCTGCTGCTGCTGCGGACGAACCACCATCCCGCCCGGGACGTAACCCGGGTACCGGCCGTTGGAGTACACCTGGGCCCTCTGCGCGTGCCTCATGGCCCTGCGCTCCCTCTTCTGCTGGCGGCCCTTGCCGAAGGGCAGCGCGACGGCGCAGATGCCGCAGGGCTGGCCGTTCGGGCCGGCCGTGCAGCCGCGGGCGTCGGCGTGGTCGAGGGGCACGCCGCAGGAGTCGACGGCGACGGGCTGGCCTGCCTGGTTGTGGTTGTGGCCGTAGGGGTTCCTGCCGGCGGCGACGTGGACGACGGTGGAGACGAGGCCGGTGATGAGACCCATTTGTGTGTGTAGGTTGTTGTTTTTGTTGGTTGAGAGAGGATATGTGGTGGGTGGTATTGGTGAAAGTTGTAAGTGCTGTGATTCAGGTACTTGATAATTCAAAGTGACTTTGAGATGAGATGCGTAGATTGAGTATAAAAGCTCTGATAGAAGACTCAAAGATGCTGATGTTGCTGATGATGTTCCCCCGAATCCAAAACCTCACGACCTCCGTCCTTCTTTTAAACAAAAAATCACCGTTCATCATGCCCCCCAAGCCTCAAGCCATGCCGCCCTCCAAAGCGCTGGACCTCCCGATTGGGAAGCCGATTCGAAAGCAGCACGCAGCGGCTTCGCTGCAGCCAAGCCACGGCGGCCCAAGTGGGCCCGCCGGCACCGAGTTGCCGGGTGCGTCCAGTCGCGAACCCCGGTACAATGGAGAGGAGGAGAGGGCTGGGTCTCCAGCCGCGGACGCTTGCTCGAGAGGAATGTCAGCTCTTCGCACTCGGCAGTGTGGCCAATCAGAAGAGACGGGGAAGAAGGAGTGTTAGCGTTGCGCGCCGGTGAGGATGTGTTTAGAACAAGCGGGTGGACGACGAGTGTAGTTAGTCAGGTTGATTAAGTAGGTAGTCTAAAATTCGACCACGGGATGTCCGATTGAAAGCTAAGGATGCGCGCACGTTTCTTGCAAAGACGATGAGATGCGAGTGCGAGGTAACAGACAGGGCTGAAAATGTGTCCAAAAAGAAGGCCGTCGTTAAACCGTCCGGCGGCTGTGCAATGCGTATCTACGGGTACTCATCTAACCATGCTTCGTAGGCACGGAGTAGGTACGTTATCCAATAATTCATGACTTTCATCTTCGTGGCTGCTGCTTCGCGGCAAGCGTGCCGTTCGAGGCCGCGGCGAGCTCCCACCAGGCCCGCATTAGGGCCATGCCGCCGTTTTGCGTCTCGGGGGTCCTTCCCCTCCCGCGGTCGTTCGGATCGCCGCTCGTGCCCGCCGCCGCAGCGGGTCCTCGCCGTTCGGTTCCGTCTCCGTGATCATCTCGTGGTCCCTGTTCGCTTAAGCGACCCAGCACCTTCTGACCAGTTCGTTCCTGACCACCAACCAGCACATAGCTCCTCGTCTGGTTCTTTTGGGCTTCGCCGTTGGGTGCCCACACCTTATCTGGATTGCCGTTGGCCCAGACGCCGTCGTGCGGAAGTCCGTAGTTACGGTAATCCGTCACGTTCGGCTCGTTATCGGGAATGCCGTCCGTCTCCACCGTAGGCATGACGCCCTTGAAAATGCCTGCAGCCCACCACATGCCAAAACGTCCCTCGCCGTCCCTACTCAACAAGGCTGACTTTGCATTGTGCTCTACCCATTTCAGATACGCCTGGCATGCGGACCCGTGAGCCGCCTTGATCTGGTCATAGGCTTGTGCATTTACAGTCATGCCAGGTTGAACGTCGGCTGGGTCTAGGTGTTGGCAGAATGTAACGAAGTGGTGGAAAAAGATGCCCTTAAACGTCTGACCATCCTGTGAGCATGTCGCGCTGGCATCGCACCGGTCTTCCATGATACCACCTCTGCCCAGGCCGCGCCAGGGAGGCAAGTATCCTGGTGGAAGGTCTGAAAGATCATCGACCGGCCTGTCGGCCGCCAAGTCCCAGCCCGAAGCCTTGATAACTGCCTGGATCAACCTGTGCCCATCTTCGAGGTAAGATGCGCTACCAGTGGCGGCCCAGAGTCCGCGCTGACCAGTCAGAAGCACGCCTTGATTGTAAGTAAAGACTGCCTCACTCCGCGAATCGCACACGGTATTGCCTGGCTTCGACCTGTCCACGTGATAGCCGTCAACGTAGAGACCTGCTTCATTGGTCATGTTGACACCAGTGAGCCACTTGTAACCTTCAATGGCAGCGGCAAGGTACTTGGGCTCTCTGGTAGCCTTCACCCCGCTCGCGCCGTTGATCCAGGGAGTCGTGTTATTGTCTCCCGGGAACCACAGGTACATAGAGATAGATGCGGCAATCCACAGCTCATTAGTGATTGCGTTCTTGTAGGGCTCCAGTCTGGGGTTCCAGTTCATGCCACCGCCACAAAGGCGGGTGTCCCAACCTTTGGATCCGAGGTCCCAAAAGATTCTAGCTCTGTGTGCGAAAGTAGGGATCCAGTACTGGCCATGCCAGGGGCCATTTGCCAATGCATCTCCAAGTCCGGGGGTCGCACTCTCGTTAAGGCCCTGTCGCGAGTAGAATAGTCCGGAGTGGATGTCGATGAATTTGACGGCATCAACCCAGCCGAGAACGACCCAGAGAATGTCGTCGAAAGCCTGCCGAGCTGTTAGGTACTGCTGATATTTTTGTTTTTAATCCGTCGCACGAACCTGGTTGCGAATCGCAACGGCATCTTGGCCAAAGTAAGAGGCCACGAGCTGGGTGAAGAATGTGTCTATCAGGTTGCGCTTTGCGCCCTTGTCGGAATTTCCTCCGATATCGAGGACTGCCAATGCTTGCGACAAGGAAGTCAGAGCACCTGACAGCATTGTCTCCATAACAGCAGCAGTCCAATCGATGGCTGCGGGCCAGGTTCCTTGGTCTGCAACAAAAAAGTCATGTTGCATGACCGTCATGGCCTCGAATGCAGCCTCGAGAGGCTCATTGTTGGTCGTGGATGTATCAAGGGATGTCTTCTTCGCAGGCCGGGGTGTCTGCAGGAAGTTGGTTGGTTGTCTAGCTTCGCAATCGGTCGGAGGCTGGGATTCGGAGTAGAAGATGGGGCAGTACGGCTTGGGCGCATTCGGAGGTGTCGCCGCAGCGAACGCCGTCGAGGGCGAGAGCAGAGCAAGCGCTGCGAGGCAGGCACCGGACAATCGGAGGAGAGTCGATCGGGCCATGATGGCTGTTTCAAAGGCAAATGACTATATTCAAGAAAAAGAGCAAGGAGCTCTCTAAAAGGCCGCTCACGTAGAGCAGGGCAATGCCATGTTCAGGAGGGAATCGCAATCGCCTCGACGAGTTTCGGCGCAGGAAAAAGACGCAGGAGTAAAGCGATCGTACCGCGACAAGCGATTGATGGGAAAAGAGGGAAAAAGAAGACAAAAGTGAGGGTCGTTTAAGGGTAAAACAAGGTAACGAGCGGAAGGATGGCGGCGCTGAGTAGCCGGGCGTTGGCGATGGCTGTCAGGCCAAGCCAAGCCAGCCCACTTTACCAGGTAAGATCCACCTGCACGAGGCACTCGAGTGGTCGCAGAATGGTGCACCGAGGAGGGTGGTGACCTCGTTCGGAAGGTGGCGGCCACTACCAGATTATGTTCATGCGGGGCATCTGGAGTCGCCAAGACCCTGATTCCTAACCTGAGTGCTGTGTCGAGGTGCACTTTTGGCACTACGAATTGCTACAGATCATCTTTACCGCAGATATTCTTCTGGTCCAGCTTGATGCTGCCATCTACCAGGAAACTGGCTACACGCATGAGGAAATTGATCACGAGTACTCGTCTAAAACGGGCTAGCCGAGTAATGCCTCCGTCTTGTACTAACATCTCAGGTTCGGTCCAGCTCCCTCGGCGGTGTGAAGCCCACGATGGCACAGCCCACCCAAGGCGTGATCACCTGCCGATATCTGGCGATGAACTGGTGGATCTGGTGACTTGTATCTGACCCTCGGACATGACCATGAGAAAGTCTGCGGATACGCTCAGCCATCGAGATAATCCATGTGGAGAAAGCTGTCTGCGGTTTTGGTCAAATACCTAGGCGAGCATGTCTCTGTAAGCTGGAACTGACATTCAGTTGGAATGACGAGAAAAAGCCGTTGAAGAGGGCCCTGAGGAATGCATCGCTAGACTGAAACGAACTGAGTCGGCTTCTGTAGATGTTTCTAGCGGTGCGCGACCACCCGCCAGTCCGTGTCATGAACTCGACTAATTGGCTTTGATGTGGAAGGGTCTTCCCGTTCTCCATTGGCTGCCGTCTTACTCAGCGATGCTATTAGCGGCAACCCAGAACATCCCAAGACTCGAGAGTTGGAGGAAACATCGACAGGCCAGCTAAAGTGCCTCTGGCACGTGCGTCTTCACCGAAGCACACCGAACCGAGCTGGCCCTGTCCGAGGTGGAGAGCTCAGGTCATCCGCCGGGGCCTACGTAATTTAATAAAAATATGGACATTTCTAACCTCATAACCATCGATACCTACTCGTTGCAGTACTGCCGTGAGAAAAGAAATCGACTATTCGGTTCAGTACTTCTTTGTACACCCTCATTGGCCCGCTGACGTGCAGACAAAGAACGCGCTCTTTGTGTCTTGCAGCAGCAGGCAAGACGCGTTTCTGGTTTAGACGCCTAAATCTCAGCGCCCATTCGCTGACAAAGTGCGCTGGGCCTCCAGAAGCAGGGCAGTCAGCCCCACTAACCTGCTGCCGTCCCGCCCTCTGCCCACGCCCGGCCGCGGGCCAATTGTTTACACGCTTCACCATTGGAAAGTAAACAAACGACCCCTGCCCTGCACGTAGAACGCTTCTTCTCCATCAACCTTAACCTCCGCGAGCTCAACATCTCCAATCTTCACACTTGCAGAGCCATTGCGTCCGCATTCATGCCTTGAGCAGCTTTCTCCTGCTCGGTATTGCTTCAGTGCAGCTTTTACGATTAATACAACCCAAACATCGACCCGCCGACGCGTCGTCCCCAGCTGCTGCTGCGCGAGCGACGTGAGTTTCCCATTCTGCCTTCCCAAGTCGCCTCCCGTCCTGGAAACCGCGTTCAACGCGTGAAAGGGTAGTCATGGAGTCCGACGCACTACATGGTCGCTACCGCTCCCGCGTTCTACGAGAGATGAACGCTAATCGCGAGAACCCTTTCAACTCCCCGCCATCTTCCACCGGCTCCCACGGCACCGTCAGCCCGACTATGTCCTCCGTCTTCTCGGATCCCGACGGCGAGTCCACGCGCAGACTTAACGAGGATATAGCTCGTCTTGTCAATCCTAATAACGGAAGGCTCCAGGTCGACTTGGAAGCTGCCCACCGCAAGTGGCCCGAATTCTACGCCAAGCCAAAGAACCCCGAGCCCAGAGCAGCCACCAAGACCAACGGTTCGTTGCGGCACAAGGAGAACGTTTCACACAAGAGCATCGTCCAAAAGTATCTCTCAACCATTGATGACACTGAGCAAGATACCTGGCAAGGTTCTAAGCGGACCCGCGCTGAGATGCAGCCCCGCGTCGACAACGACTCGGATCTTTCTTCCAACATGTCCAAGTCGCCATTCCAGTTCGATATCAACGCCGAGAACTTCCGTTTCAACCCCCAGCAACAACGACACCAGAGCCCTCTCGCCAAAGGCCACGCTCGCACCGCCTCCGGAAACTACAAGGCTGCTCGACGGGCCTCAATGGCCGCGAACGCCGAACGCAGGAAATCAGACTTCTTGGCCCCTCCTACGCAGGCCACACCCAAGCCTGAACCGGTCCATAGCGCTCCTGCAGTCGAGTCTACTCCCGTCACCTTCAACACGATTAAGAGCCACTTCCCCTCCCCGGCGACCACAGACAGTCCCGCTCAGAACAACGTCACATGTCGATCATTCTTCATGCCCGACATCTCTCACCTGAACGATTTCATCACGGGCAAGCTCCGCTTCGACGGCGGCGTGCAGAACGGCGTTCCCGTCTTCGTCAAGAACGGCCGCGTTCGCAATCGCATCGAGACTCAGCCGCCTAATGACCACGCCGAAGTTGACGGTCTTGCGATCCCTCCAGACGAGGAGAACTTGTTTGTGTCTCTGGATATGATCAGGGACGAGATCTGCAATCTCCAGGAGCACGATGATCTAGTGCAAAGACATGCGCTGGCGTTGGAGGAACAAGTGGTCGACTTGAAGAATGAGCTTAAGCGGTTGAAGGGCCGCAAGTCAATCGATAGCGCCATTGGTTCCAGGACGGCCTCAGAACCTGAGACCGCTGCCGATGAGCGTTACCACATGGAGAAGCTTCGTAAGTTCAATTGCTATGTACCGAGGAGAACTTGATCTGACCAGATACAGAACTTGAGTCCCAGATGGCAGCATTGCAATCTCGACTTGAACAGGCGACTACCCGGATTGGTGTCAGCGAGGCCGAGAACAACACTCTATCGCTCGAAAAGGACCGGGCTGTGAAGAAGCTTCAAGAAGCTTGTGTGAACATTGGCGATCTGATGGACAAGATTGAGACGCAGGAGAGAGCGCTTCACGAGACTCAGGAAAGACTCAACGCTACCCTGGAGATCAATCATAACCGGGAATTCGTCCAGAAAACATCCAGCTTCAAGCAGACCAGCGAGGCTCTGCAAGTCGACAACAAGTCCCTCCAGGCAGACAACAAAACGCTCCGCCAAGAACAGGAAACTTTGCAGCGAGAAATGGAGGAACTGCGAGCGGACAACAACTCTCTGCGCCGCGAGCAGGAGTCGCTCATCAGTGAGAACAGGTCACTACGCAGCAACGCGCGCTCACTCATGACCCAAAACGAGGAGCTCCGCCAAACCGTCGAGAATGCAAAGGAGGACATCCAAGCTGCTCACGAAGAAGTCGAGGCTTTGCAGGTAGAACTTCAGACTACGGAGCAGGAACACGGTACCCTCAAGGAGGACAACGATAGCCTCGTTCGCCACAACGAGAAGTACTTCAACGAGAACAAGATCCTTCGTCGCGAAAACTCGGGCTTTGAGAAGAGCCTGCACGATTTGCACGACGAGAACATTCGTCTGAAGGAGGAGATCGAGTATCTCAAGCAGCAACTCGACCACTGCCGTCCGCTAGGCAAAACGGAGGAATTCTCTGCGCGCCTCAATAAGGAGGTCGAGGATGACGATGATGAGGAGGGAGAGAACATGACCTCGGCGTTCTTCATGCCTGACATTACGATTGACAGCACGCAGAACTCGAGAGTCGTTGACGTGACTGCCGAGGAGAAGGCAACACCGAAGCGGACCCCTAGCAAGAGGACCATCGAGGTCACCGAGACGACAGAGCAGACCGACCGCAGTATGAACGATCAGGACACCATACAGAGCCGGCGAAGCTCGGTCGCCGAATCTCGCCCCAAGAGACGACCGTCCGCCTCTCGGGCTCCCAGCTCTTCCCAGAAGGTCGCCTTCTCTTTGCCGGAGGGATCCGCCTCGAACGGGAAGAACAGCAAGGCCTCGAACCTCGCGAACAAGGGCAGCAAGAGAAGCAGTAACTCTCACACGACCTCCAAGAGCTCCGTCAAGGGTGCTTCCGTACCGGATTTGGATCCCTTCCAAAGTGATGACGAGGGCACCATCCAGTCGCCGGAGCATACCCAGACCCACTCCATGGTCGTTGACGTGAAGAGCCGGAAGGAAGGATCCTCAAAGTCTAGGACTGTCCGGGAAGAGACCACAAACACTACCCGCAACTTGACCAGCCAGAGCCAGAGAAGCGTGTCTCTCAAGCCGGCCGTCAAGTCCTCCCAGAACAAGTCAACCACCATCGACTTGATGACCCAAGGCGGACTCGATAACACGACCACCGAGATGAAGGGTAACTGCCCTGGCCTGTCTCCGGATGCTCGCCGCGTCCTTGATACTTTGTCAGGCCACAGCTGTAAGAACTGCATTGTGTGCACTCGGATCAAGGCCCACCGCGGAACAGTGACTGCGGCCGATATTGCCGAGGGCAAGAAGCGGATCAAGGTTTCAAGACCAGTCCCTCCGTCCGAGCAGTACAAGCAGTTGGGCATGTCCACAGAGGACAACACCGTGCGCCCTTCCCAGCCTCCCGGCCACGCTTTGGCAAAGGTCATTCAAGGCCTCAGGGACGAGTTGGAGCACATGAAGATGGAGGCGGCGAAGATGCAGGCCCGATACGACCGACACAATCCTGCCCTCAGCGAGACCAAGCGCAAGCAGCTGTTTGCGGATATCCAGGTCAACCGGAACCAACAGGAGGTGAAGAATGGGCAGATCTACGCTCTCTACGACGTAGCAGAGGGTCAGAAGCAAGCAGGACAGGACATGTCGGAAGAGGAGCTCGACGTAACCGTCTTTAGCATTACAGGATTGAGTGTCAGGGATATTACTGACCAGGTTACTTGGGAGGGCATTTCAGCATAGGAGGAGCCATCCAGACTCGTAACATGATGCGAGTATTTTGTATGGCGTTCATGGGGATGCATTTGACGGTATCACGAGGTTGAGCCCCGGAAGGTTTTGGTTTGGCCGGAGATTGACAAAAGGCTGTTTTTGTTCGGTTTATCGCGTTTGGACCGCGTTGTACATATTAGGCCCTTTGGCAGAGGTCGTTTGTGGGCAGGAATTATACCCCAGGTCAGAAACACAGTGTGCATTACATTAGTAGTTGGCATGGTGAAGCATTTCGTGGTCTTTGTTTGTTGATTTGCTGCATTGTCTCGCAACGTCGGCTATTGATTGCATCGTCCAGGTTTGCCTCGAGTTGATCATCCGGGTGCTCACTGGTCGTTGAAGCCACCCGCTCAGCAAGGTGCTCTTGCCAAATAAACTGGGAGGCAGCACGCAGGCCATCGGCGGAGCCTGATGCCTGAATTTTCACGGACTTTCCAGTCCTGTCGTTTCGACTGAGGGTCTTTGAGGAAGGCGCGCAGGCGTGGGCTTGGGTTTCGACGGCCTAGGTTCGTGGCCGCCGGCGGGCTCTTTGCTCTCCCGCGAAAGCTCCTCGTTGCCGTAGAAGGTAGGAATGCTTGGGTGAAGGGCGATAACGGAGGGCAAAGTGCTTCCGCTGGTCGAGACGGCGATCTACGAACGCCCTGGGTCGGCAGGCAAACATCTGCTGAGCGCGTTGGGTGGGAACTTTATTCACTCTCTTCGGTCGTCGCGGGCTGTTGGGACACTGCCCGTCAGGGCGGAGGTGGTGGAAAGCTTTTCACGCGAGGCAGCCTTTCTTCAGCCGCCAGCCAGCAGGACAGTCTGAAGTTGCGCGGCGAAGATTTCATCTCACGGTGTATTCATTTAGTCACATCACGACAGCAGCGTGGGCTTTCGTATCCAACGAGGCGTCCCCATTGCCACACCCTGCTCAAGGGCTCCAGACGCATTTTCCTCCCCTTCTTGTTTACACGCGTCCAAGAGCCACAGCAGCACTTCCCTCACTCCTCCGACTCAGCAGGCACCGTAGCTTCCGTTCTGGGCAAGACTCTTCTTCATACCGCCGCGCAAGGCGACGGACACAATGAAAAGTGTTCAAAATCAAAAATTGCACCCACGATGGCCCCGAAGGGCAATCGAGAGAGGTCGACTCCGCGATGTGCAATGCAGGCCTCCCTCTCTGCCAGCCGGATTTCTTGATCCCCAGCGGACTGAGCAAGGTAAGTATGAAGAAAAAAAGATCCAAAGGAAGTCTGAAATGTGCGGGGAGAGACGACGTTTATATAGATGGTGAGGGCGGTGGTCGATGGCAGAATCGGGGGGCGCGATCACTCCTGGGGTGGGTCTGCGGTTGATTTTTTTGATTGGTCGGGAGAAGAGGGTGCGGTTTGGTGGGGACCTGGATGAGGTGGGCCTGAGGATGAGGCTCCAAAGGGTTGCTTGGGACGCCGCTCGAATGTTCCATCTTCAGAGTGAGGAAGGTACTGCTCCAGGCATGCGGCAATGATACGTCTCCATTGGGGACTTGAGGCCCTACAGCTGGTGTGAGTGTTACAAGAGCAACTCGACAGGCCCACCCTCTGCTTATGGCACTGCCTTCTCTCGACCTGTGCGCCTACGTTGGTATGGGTGGCATCTTGGTGTGAACCTTGAGGTGGCACGCCAAAGCGCCACAGCTCCTACCGTGGTCAAATCAACGCAGCCGACGAGGTAATACGGAACAACCAAAACTTGTGTATCTAATTTGCGGAGTGCAGCAGTATGCCTTGTCCAACAGGCGAGGCCGATGCGACTTCTAGGGCCAAGAGATCGAGTCTGTTGCTTGGGCATCCGTCAACTAAACGACTTTGATTATTCCACGAGGGGTGGACATGCTTTCCGTTGGCCTGGGTCGTCACTGCACGTGTGTCATGGTATGAATACATACCCGACAGCAGCCCAGGTTACACACGATGTCATACATAAACGCCAATGCCGACCCTCGTCTGAATCGCATACGAGTGACCATTTTCTTTCCGTCTTCGCTCTTCGCTCTTTGTATGACATCGGTCTCTCCCTCACTCAACAATGGCGCCTACATTCGCCAAGCGCTTCAGACTCGACAACGGACTGAAGCGGCTCCCGGGCGGATGGCGAAGATTGGCAATTTTGAACGTCACCATTATGATTACTTTGTTGATCGTACTTCTGGTTACCCTTGCTATTGCCGCATCAGCAACTGGCGAACTGGCCAGAGCCTGGCCGCTATATAATGCTAAATGCAAAGGCAATAGCACCGGCATCATCGACATCCTTCTACATTTGGTTATTAATACGATATCGACTGCTATCCTCGCTTCGTCAAATTTCTTCATGCAAATCCTCAACTCTCCTTCACGAGAGGAAGTTGACACCGCTCATAGGAAGAATAATTGGCTGGACATTGGTATCCCATCATTGCGAAATGCATTTTATTTATCCTACTTCAAGTTTATTGCCTGGTTTCTACTATTTCTAACATCAATTCCTATTCACGTGTTCTTCAATAGCACCATATTTCTCATGGACAATCGTTCAGGAGACTACCACGTTACTATCGCGACTGAAAATTTCACCAGCGGCGGCAACTTTTATCTCCCAGGGGCTAGCCTCATGACTACTGATCTCTTTACACCCGACACAGGAAATCGGAATGAACCGGCGTCTTTTCTGAACAAACAAGACTTCGGCGCAATTCATAGCTTTCAAGATTATGTCTACGACAATTTTGAGGAACAATCCCGCAAAGTCCGGAAGGCAGCCGCCTCGGCCTCTCAATGGGAAAGGTTGGAAGCTTCTGAGTGCCAGAAATTGTATGACAACGAACTATGCACTGGTGTAAGAGGTTATCGAGATGTCGTGCTGGTCACCACAGGCGCAGACTGGACACGCAAAGCACTTTGGAGCCTTGCCCCTGATTCGGACAACATCTGGGAACCAGTAGTACCGCAAGGCATGACAAATTCGGTGTGGTTCTCGACTCAGTGCAACATGGTGGGACACATTACCTCCGGAACTGTCCCTTCCTGCAATGCCAGCTGCAGCATGGTCTTCAAATCGCCAAACCCCGGCGAACCTTGGTTGATCAGTATCGGAGACTGGTATAAAGTCCTTCGTTTCAAGTCTGCTACCAGTACTACCTGGAACACTTCGGTGTACTCCTCTGCTATAGGCAATCATCACATAGGCCTCAGATTCAACTCATTCGATACATCCAGCGACCTGGCATCGCTCCGCATATCACACTGCTTGGCAGAGCCTGTGCAGTCGGCCTGCTCCGTTGCGCTTTCGAAAACCTCCCTTCTCATCGTCGTTTTATCAGTCTTGACGAAGATTGTCATTTGTATTGTCGTTATCAGGGTTCTCGGTCCTCGAGAACCACTTGTCACTCTTGGGGATGCTATCGCGTCATTCATCACAAACCCAGTCAGGGGAGCTCACGAGCGAGGGCTTCTAACCTTGAGGTCAATACGACACGACGATTCAGCACAGTACTCCGGCAAAATTACAGCGCAACAGTGGACCAATAAACGGTTCAGGAGGGCTTCTGCTGTGCCATGGGAGATATCATACGCAACTTACGGCATATTCACGGCGAGCGTCATCGTATGCCTACTTGTGTTTCTCATAGAGTTGGGAAACAACATACCTCTGTAAGAAGCCGAACTCATGTTTGATAACATGCTGATTCTCTTCCTTAGAAAGTGGATGGGTCTTCGTGGCAAAGACCCAAGCAATGTCGTCGCAGCGATTCAGGGCAATGCGCCGTTCATGTCCTCTGTTATCGTTGCCAACACTCCTCACTTATACCTTTCCTTTTGGTACTTAGCATATAATTCAATCGTCACTCGGCTGGAGATGAGCCGCGAGTGGGCTATGTTTTCAGTGAAATATCGCCCGTTGCGGGTTACTCGACCACAGTTAGTAGCTAAGACCTGCCATCTACAATAAGCTATCGATAGAAAGCTGACCACGTCTCAAGAGGCCAACAGATTGGAACCTATCGCCTTCAACTGCCGTATAAATACAGCGCAGCACTGATGTTCATCAGCGTGATGATGCACTGGTTGATGTCATTGGCGATCTTCGTTGTTGCATCTCAGGGAGGTAAGTTCTGCGTAGGCTATATAAGATTTATTACTTATCAACTTCTCACTTTAGATTATTATCTCTTGGAAAGACCTGGTCAGACTGGGGACTTGGTCGGGTATGTATCCGACCAAGTCAGCCTCCCTGAAGGTGCCATCGTCGCTATCGGAGTCGCCGCTCTTCCGGTCTTGCTACTTACCATATTCGGAGCCATCATAACGGCGCTTCCTATTGTGCTCTCCACAAGATACCTGCCAGGATACATGCCGGTAGTGGGATCGAACTCGCGAGCAATAGCTGCTGCAAGTCAAATCTCACCGCTTGCAAAGGTTACTCGGCTGAATCGTCATAACGAAGTCAAAGAAGACGGGGTCGAGCTTGAAGACTTAATATCAGAATCAAACAATAGCGGATGCCTTACTGAAGAAATTGTGAGGTCTGACTCTCAAGCCAATATTGCTTTCCGCCTCTTGAAATGGGGCGAGGTCCAAATGCCGGAGCAGTGGTATCATCGGATGAACCGGAAAAGCCCAGGGGGGGAAGACTTCGGACATTTGAGCTTTGGAACCATACTTGATGACCCTCGGCATCCACTTGAAAGGAAGTGGTATGTTTGAAGTCTCAGCAGTATTTAATTGTGGCGCCGGTATCTTTGAAAGGGGAACACTAGAGAAAATCATCAATGATGAACTGAATAAGATTAGAGACATGGGTAAAAAGCCGATAAGGGACTGGCTAACCCCGATAATCATCCTTCCTACCATCTATACTAAAAGGCAACGGTCTTGGCCCCTTCATCCTGCGTGTCGCTACACGATTTCCCTGCCTTTCTAAGACTATTTATGTTCCATCCGCATCTAGGCTTTCTTCTTGGGAAAACAAACCTCAGTATTCCTTGCACTATCAACAGGCTATAGCAAGGTCGAGTTCCTTGTAGGCTTTGATGAAACGAACCCGTCTGCGGCAAAACGCCATCTCGAATTGAGTGTCGAAGCCTTCCCTGTGGACTGTGTTTCATGCAGTATCGCAGGTTTCTCGAAGGGTGGCATTCTCCATGTATGGGGCCACTCATGGTCACTATAGGCGGCACGACCTTGAGCTAGTATTGCTTCCGGATTCTTGCAACCTCTTTGCTGGAGTGGAAGTCTGTCAGAGTCGAAGAGCTCCACGCCCACACGGGAATGCTGGCCTAGGCAGTCATGATCGGACCGGCTCTTGGTGGCTTCAGGCCAAGGGGTCAAACCTTTCGTTTGGTACCTGGCGGCATCGTTGAATTCCACCTCTTTCAGTCGTTTGGAGATCGCATGATGAGCATATAAATTGGCGTAATCAAGAGGTGTGAGTCCGTTATCGTCGGTGGCGTATAACGACCGCCCTCGATAAAGAAGCATGTCGACAGCTTCTGGAACACCAGCTCGTGCCGCCCAGTGCAACCCAAGATCACCTCCACATGTTGATGATGTTGGATCCATGCACATTGTTGCCCGATTGAACCAGCCGCTGATTACGGGAGAATAAAACAAGCTGATTTTCTCCAGAGTCCATGTGTTCAAGAAGAACTTGGTAGTCTCGGAATGAAGAGGCGTGTGTCTTCTGGAGTGTAAGGCCCATGTCGATGCGGCATACGATGCAAATTCGAATGGACTGCAGCGTGCCACGCTGCTCGACTGCTGATATGCCACTACGTAATCCGGAGAACACCACCCATAGACATTCGTGATTATAGTGAGGTACGTGACACATGTTGCTGCCATCACTGAATCAGCTTCAAGGAAGTAGTTCAGCTTGGCATGCCGGAAGTATTCTGCTGCTGTGTAATGAGCCAGATGAACTTGTCTCTGAATGTCGACAATGAGAAGACCAGCGCAGACGGAAATCAAGAGATCCGCCGCTGTGAAACCATCGTAATCGAAATCGGAATCTCCAGGCTGAGTGGCAATGGCATATTGTAGCTCGGTTGTGGTTAGTGGCCGAGCTGCAAAAGTGACCCAGGAGATTACCTTCATTGCCAAATCTTGATAGTTATTCCCCTGCGCACTGATCCTCTCCAAGATCTCATCATAGGCGAACTTAAGAGCACTCTCGTGGTCTCCTTTGTATTGTTTGAATGCAGATAGAGCGCGTCTAACGTCTCTTACGGAAGTCTTGCATTTCAACATGTCGAGGTAAAGTTTGGCTAGAAGAAACCTATATAAGCTTATAATTAGCACGCCTGTTAGGTGTCTTCATAACTGAAAACTTACATTCCATCCACTGCATCAACTACAGTCTTTGTGACAGCCTCCTCCAGGCCATCAGTTTCAATGATCCTTGACAGAACTTGGGGCGCGTGAGCCTCGACGAACTTTCGCACATCGGAATCGGTTGCGTTGATTTCGAGAGTAGACGAAAATCTGAACGCCTCATCTATATCTGGAAGGCTCCTCGAAGTGACGAAAAGATTGACCTTGGGTTCTAGCGCGGACTTGAAGTTCAAGAGAGTAGAGATGCATGATGATCGACAGCCGTCGGCCTCTTGGCACTCATCCAGTCCATCTACAACTATGAAAAGCTTGGTCAGTTTGCCTAACGCTTCGCGCAATGCTAAGAGCAATTCTCCGGTTTTAGGCCTCCTCTTTTCTTTGGGCGTATTGCAATCATTGTAAAGATGTTCTACTGGGCCAATGATCGAGTTTCGCGTAGCCAGTTGTCGGAGAAAAGTAGATAAGAGTGCTTTGTCGTCTTGCAGTCGGGCTTGTTTGTATTTGAAGTACATGTAGACGAGCCCGACGGACTGGTTGTTGCTGAAGCGGGTGCTAATGTCCTCGACGACCACTGACGTGAGAGTCGTTTTCCCTGCTCCCGGTATACCGGGGCAGAACAGGACCTCCCCCCTTGAACGACGCCAGTCGAGATACCCTTGAGAGTCAAGGAACCAGTTGACTGTGCCATCTTCTCGTTTGGAAAGGAAGTATTCTTGCTGATGTGTGTAGTCCACTGGGTCGAGCCAATTGAGCTTGTCGGCTAGCTCAATATCATCTGTATGTTGCCTGATTTGTATCACGTCTTCTTGTGTTGCAGAGGTTCGAAGTCACTAACATGCTTTTAGTCAGATCTCTAACATCGAGCTTTGCATCTAGATGTGTTTCAATACTAACATTTCCCCACACTGTCTCGCAACTGACGGGGCAGCTGGTCCCAGACTGAACGTTGACTGCTCATCTCGACTGGAGGCACGTGGCTCAACAGCTCCTTCGCATACGCGGCAGCCACGGCAGCTGCGTGTTCCTGTCATGCCTTGTTCTTATGAGAGTCGCAATAATCGCAAATACCTCGGATAACGAGACATGGGAGATCCATAAGGCCGGCGGCCTCCATTTCGAAGCAAAGAACCTTGCCGCCTAACCTCGCATTGACCGTATCTCGCACAGCAGCATTTGCCGGACGCAATCAGACCATAGTGAACAGTCATGTCTCTAGGCTGTCTTTTGATTGCGTTGGCTCTGTCGCAATGGCGGCAAGAAATCCTTAGACTAGCCATCTTGTCGTCTTGTCGGGACTGGGAAGACCCTTTGTTCTCAGATGGTTTATCTGCGTGGCTGTACTCCGCTGGGAACAGGATGTCTTCAAGCCGGTCGGTTTTCTGATACTTTTCAGCCAGTCTAGGCCATTTTGCCACCATGGCTTCAAGATATTTCGGGATATTTGTCCCCTTCATTTCATGCTCGCTTTGAAGCTTAGAGAGGCGTGATAGAAGAAATTTGGGTGGTCTGTTCATAGACCCAGTCTTCTTGAACCCTCCCTCCTCAGCTTTTCCCATATCCCACTGCACCAAGCCAGGAAACCCTCCTGTTGGCGTACCCACGACAATATCGCCAAGTCGGATGTCGGTTCCTTCGTCGTCATCAAACTCGAAGCCTGACGGTACTCCGCCGCCTACTCCAACCATCAGAAGGAATTTCAGCTTCGGAAACGTCGTGATCATGTTTGCAGCAGTCTGGGCGGCTGCCACGGTTCCGATTGTGCCCTTGGGAAGGCAGACTATGACCACATTATGCTTTCCTACTGAGCCGAGGGTGTATGCGTTGTTGTCATTCGGCGGATTAGGGAGTTCGGGATGCTCTTCGTCTAGCATGGCTTTAGCGGCAGTCTGCTCTATGGGAAGGGCACATAGCCAGCCGACTGAGTATTGGTCGCGTTGGGTTTCGAACTCATCGCTGTTGTAACTGTAAGTCTCTTGCTCGGCACAGCTTCCGTCGTCAATCATTCCCCATTCGCTTGAGCCATCTTCTACCCCGTCTGCCGTCTTCGTAGTAGTCGATTTCGTCCCCGGCAGCTCTTCATCGGCGCCTTTCAAAGTCGTTTGCCAAAACTGCCCAATGCTCTTGCGAAGTCTTTCGATGTCCATCTCTTGAATACGCTGCCGTTTGAAGCTTCAAGGGCCAGTGTTGCATTGACGCGAGCCAGGTAGTTGAATCCCAAGAGCGCCGCCACCTGACGAAGTGGAAGACAATCGATTCAACGGTGAGAAGAATTGTTGTTCTCAGGAGGTGAGGGGTATCAGCCTGTTCCCGAAGCAGCCATTATTGAGTGGTCCTGGTTGGTCAATCAATAAGACTGTGTTCAGCTGCACGTCATCTGCATAACGAGACCTGCCGCAGCGACGCTCCGTATGCAGTTACCAGCGCTAATGAGTGAAGTTCTGCTGTTGTTAGGTGTGGTTACGTTTTGTTCAATAGAAAGTTTGTCAGTTTTTCTCTACTTGACACCACGATTTATTCTGAAGTGAATACTCTAGAAACAACAGTGGCAGGCAACGACGACAACAGTGACAATGACAACGGTCCATAATGACAACGGTTTACAATGACAACCACGGTTTAGAAAGACAATCATATTTTATGAAGGCAACAATGGTTTACGAAGACGGCAACGGTTTACGAGGCAGCAAGAGTTTACGACGACGACGACGACGACGACGACGACGACGACGACGACAAAGACAGCATGAAAATAGCATTGACATTGAATATCGCCATCACCAACAATAGAAGAACAATGACTGCGGCAGGAACATTGTGACGGGTAGGATGTAAGCAAGCTGCGACACTGGGGATAGTGACAATACCGAGATTCAAGTTCTTAACCAAACAAACCGCGGTCAAATGAGCGTCTGATCAATCCGTTGACAACTTTCCATATGTCCAATGGTCGTTGGCACAAAATAGCAGCTAACATTGCCCTCTTGCTAGGGCTAGCTCCCTACTGGGATGAAGGTAAATCCACTAAGCCCGCTAAAAGCACCGAAGGATTTATCTCAGTTCACGGTTCAGTGGTCATTTGACCAAAGTTCTTCTCCAAACCCTCAACGTGGGCTTTCATCTCCCAATTAGTACAACACTGGCAAGAACCCGTGAAACTCGGTGGCTAGAGAAAGCCACGGGAAGCGCAATATCAATGTCACAGGGTATGGAGTCTCACACAGCTTCGTTGGTATAATATTTCTCATATCCAATACCCAGATCCATCAAGTTCTTTCATGGCTAACTTTACCGATCACCTGGAGCAGTATTTTCTGATCAGAATCAGAACAGTGTCGGCGACGATAGCAGCGGCGACGACAGAGACGGCAGCAGCGGCAACGCGGTTAAAACTGCTGCCTTGAGCCAAGATGGACCGCGCTAATTGCTCCCGTAAGCCAATATTTCACTCATATGGCAGCGCCCTTCCATCTTGCGACAACGAAAGACTTCGAGAAGCGTAAAGATGCCGTTCCAATACCAACCACTCCAGGGCGAAGACATACGTCTTCTCGCAATTGAGCCGGTAGAAGGGGGCAACTCCTCGGCTCCTATTCATTGCAGAATCGAGCATGTCGACTTGTCTGCCCAAGCCTCAAGCCAGCCGTTCAAGGGTCAGAACAACGTCTGGCCCGAGGCTAATTCAACCCGCGATGTTACCGCCATATTCAAGGACGCAGAGGACGCCATCGCCCTGAATCAAGCTGGCAATGACGGCACTCTTCCGGGAGATCCACCGCCAGAATGGAACTCCAATGACAACAACCTACCGTGGAGGCATGCTTGGGGAGATTTTCTAGCCCTCTCGTACGTCTGGGGCCCTCCGACTCCGGTTCACCACATCGTCCTGGAAGGCCATCAGTTCCCCGTTGGACCGAATCTGTACCAGGCTCTATTGCATCTTCGTCAAGCGCAAAGAGTCCGCCAAGGCTTCAAGCTATGGATCGACGCCATTTGCATCAATCAGGAGGACATTGCAGAGCGAAGCGCCCAGGTCGGCCGCATGAGAGACATATACGCCGCCGCCTGGCAGGTCGTCGTTTGGCTCGGGCCGGAAGCTGACGACAGCGAGCTCGCAATGTCCGCGCTGAGCTGGATAGCCGCCAGGAATAGGACACCCAGCCCTTACGACGGATTCTATCGGGAGAGCACAAAGATTGATGCACGACCGCTGTTCATCATCTGGGGTACCTTCAAGAGCCCGTTGAAGAAGGCAGTGTACAAGGCTTTGTTCTCCCTCCTTTCGAGGCCTTACTGGCAGCGGATGTGGATTCTGCAAGAGGTGGCTATGGCCCGTCCTGACGCTCCGGTTGTCTGTGGGAAGAGCTGCCTGCCATGGCGAGACATTCATGAAGCTGCCTTGTTCATCAGCAATGACGAGACAAGGTTCGGCAGAGAACTAGTAGGAAGCACTCGGCCACGCATATTGGAATCTTGGTCTTTCGAGTTTGCCAGAGACAGAGTTGTCCAGGAGAGGGACTGGTCTTCAGAGAGGATGTGGAATCTTCTGACAGATATGACCAAGGTTCAGCAGAACCAGAAGGAATCAACCGCAGAGGTAGACACGAGGCATCCCTTTGAAGTGCTTCAACCACTCGTGCTCGCCAGAGACGCGAAGATCACAGAAGAGAAGGACAGAGTATACGGCATCCTGGGTATCAGAGCCATTGCGGATAGGGTTCACATCGTTCCTGACTACAAGCTGCCTATGGAGGTCCTCCCAATTCCTTGGTAGCATTCACTCGCGGGTAACGGCGTGGTACAAATGGTACGCCGCCACAATGGACCGCGTGGCGTTGGCTAAGGCGATGCCGTCCTTGTACAGCAGCATCATGTGCCTGTACGTGATCAAGCCACACAGAACGGGGTTTCTCTTGAGCAGACGGTGCTTTTCCAGCTTCGCCTTGGCTTGGGCTCTGGACTTTTTCGGCACCTCTTGGAGCCTGGCCTCGAAGATGGGGTCGTCGAGCATTCGCTGGGAGTCCTTGCCCACCTGTCGCGCATTCATGTCGTACGGCCCCATTGATTCCAGCGTGCCCAGTTCCGTGTTGATGGCAATATAGTCCTGGACCAAGTCTTTCATTGCCCTCATTTTGTTAAGGAATTGGTCAATGAGATGTGTGCTGCCAACATCGAGGCCGAATCTCCATATGATATCCAGGTGCAATTGCGCGCTGAAAACAAAGTGAAAGGGGATCTTTCTGGTCTCGAGAGCTTCCTTGAAGCCGCGCAAGAGGTTGTCTTCGACTGGCCAGTCTTGGACAGACTTTATGACGACCAAGAGGTCCTCCAACATTGCCTTGAGATGACCATGGTGGGCGGCGTACCAGCTGTTTTCCATTCCGGGCTCGTCGGCTTCGTTTCTCGGGAGGATTGGACCGATGGGCTCGCCTTCTGTCGACAAGGCAGGGAGGATTTCTGCCAACATGTTGTAGGCATTCACGAAACTCCAAGAGCCGGCGTTATGCTTGAGCTCTGCAGCATCCGGATTTTTGGTAAGACCAAAATAAGAGTTTTCGGGGTTCGCCTGCTCTCGATAATGCGTGAGAATCGCCTGCTCCTTCAACGTCTTGTAGAACACTTCCTCTCTGCCTTTGAATTCTGAAAAGACGTCATTGATCATGTGTCGTGCGAGATCAAGAGCGGTGTTGGTAGCAATCGCCACAGCAACGAGATCGACTTCGTTGATGCCGTATCCTTCCATGTATTTACGCCAGAGCACTCTAATGCACATCCGGATGTCGTAGAGATCCCTCCACAGAAGTTGGAAGAAGAAAATTGCATCCTCGGTGGAGTCTCCGGCCTCAGCCTCATAGATGACATTCGGGTCGGGTCGGGGAATCTCAATGTCAGGAGCGTCAAGGAAGGCCTGGGAAGGCTCAAATACAGACAACCCTGCGAATCTGTTGGACAGGTGATCGAGGCCTTCATTGCTAGCCCGCGCTCCGTCAGCCGTCATACGTGGCCTAAGGACCTCGCGGACTTTATCGAGAATACCGAGGAAATAGTTGTGCTTCAAGTCACTAACAACATTGCGCTTCGCCCCATGCTCGGATAGCTTAGCGCTGAACTGGGCTCGAAGGGCTATGACCCGATTGAGAGCAGAAACGAATGCGTCGGGAACCTTGGCCTGTTTCTTGGTACTGATGAACTCGGCTAAAGGGACGAATTCCTTGACAGCGACGGTGTATCTCTTAGGGACAGCTGGCGCCGCGTCGTTCTTCTTCGCGGGCTTCTTCTTCTTTCCTTTGCCGTTGGTTTTGCCTTTATCCTTGGCCTTTGGTTGACGAGGCGTGTCCCCAGTCGCCGGGTCGGCAGAGGGTGCCGATCTGGCAGCGACCTCAGAGAGGAGGTCAGTTGGATAGCCACATGATTTGGCTGTGGTAGCAAGCCAGGACGCGACAATGTCGGTGTCCTGCTTGTACCTCTGGTAAGTGCTGAGAAGTGGCGCCGGCAGCATGACTTCAACTTGTTTGAAGAAGAGCTGAATCAAACAAGAAGACCAAGTTAGTTTGGCGAAGGAAGTGAAAGAAGACCTTCGGTGACCGCGTGGAGGGGACCGAAAGTTTAAGTGAGTGGGGGCCGGTACCTCTGCGACCCGACGTGATAGCAAGACAGTCTCACTTCTGCATGCCAATAGCTTTGACCGTCCACCAATAACATGTTCTATTTGAGGAATGGCTTACTCCCTGACAACAATTATTAAGAATTGCGTTGACGAGCAGAAATTTGACGCAAGAATGCTTTTACCCAGTAAGGAATTCCTTCTCGCAGTTCTTGGGCCTTGGAAAATGCCCCGGTACTTGAGCGGCAATAGTGGATACCAGACTCGGATCCGAGCCGGAGCTTCCACACGGTGCTCTACCGGGACAGTCGGGTAGTCGGGCATTTCATCGCTGGCCACCGGGGCTATTGTTGAAGCTTCATGTACGTCAAAGCGCGGAAACCTTCTCGAAGAAGAAAAATTTGGGACCAAGGTTCCTAAGTTTTGGGACTTCTAGGAATCATCATTTCACTTGTGGCGTGGATGCAATCATGGCATTGTCAAGCGCTTCAAACCGCGCATTTGATTCGATAACATCCGACTAAGATCGTTATGATGAAGCAGTCGGTGTACGCAGTCCGCGAAGAAACTCAAACACCCAAACTCCAAGAGGTATTCCCATTCCAAACCGACGCCCATTTCAAGGACGCGTACACCGAAAAGCAAAGAAAGACCCAGCATCATAGCCAGATCATCATTTGGCGAACAGACCAATGTGGCCGTTCAATCCTTCACCCCATCTTTAAAAACACACGTATTGCTAACCGCGCATGCACGCCGCAATGCAATCGAGGCAACTGGAGCAACATTGGGCCTGTGAGAGTCGACCGATCAGCAATGGGCAGCCTTACAACGTACGGCCCACGATGTGACCAGATCGTCAGAGCAGCGACTTACACATGACCAGGACTTCTTCTCCTCCTTTTCCCTCTCTTCTTTGGAGAGGGCGTTGGGGTTCGGCTGAGGCTGGGTTGGCTGCATGGTTTGCGCCGTGGGCTTGGGCTGCTCTTGAACCACCATTTTGACGGGATGTGGGATGATGCGCGGAGGAGGGATTGACGTGGAGTGTGGGTTGATTTGCGGTTGCGACTGCTGTGATGATAACCCGTTGTTGATAGATCGACGACTATGTCACTGAGAGTCAATCGATTGAGAAACCTCAACCTCAAAAAAAGACGCGAAAATTGCAGTGAAATCTTGCGGCAACGAGATCCCAAGAAATCAAAAACAAGGGGTTCATCCTCAGTTATATCGCAAACAAGCAATCCCCGATTCCCACCTCACCTCCTGCAGACACAACCAACAATCTCACCCCCTCGAGGCAGTGCAGCATCCCTCCGCCAAGGATCTCGTCCGTCCACATAATTTAACATAAAATTCGCCCAAAACGGGCCCAGAAAAAATACGCGGACTCTTTGCGCCTGGGTATTAGCAGGTAAGCGTCGTATGTCTTGGCTCGAGGGTTGCATGGACTGCGGGTTTCGCTTCCCGTCCAAATCTGCCAAGCGACGAACCAGACGGCCTCAATTAAATGGGATCGTTGATCGACGCGTCTGCGTGAGGCCGTAAGCCGGTGCCCCTGGATCATGAATTGCACCACGGCCGCCGTCATTGGGCCCCGGCCGTCATCCCCGGGCGGGTAGGTCGTGAAACGGAAACGATGAAACAACCATCATCCCGGCCGAAATCTCTCATACTGAGAGCTCTTGCCCAGTTCTCGGCGTGCGTGCTTGCAATAACAAAGCATTATTCGCTTTCTCGGCATCCAATCTCCCACGGTGGCAGTTCTGGCGTGGCATTCGCGCTGCAAGACGGCCCTCCAAAAATGATGCAGGCAGCAGTTTATGCCCCCCTGAGATGTTGGCCTTTCAGTGGGGAACCGTTCATCTGCTTCAGACGACTCCCGCCAGTGATCGTGAGGCTGAGCAGTTGAAACAAGATGAATTCTCGTGTCAAGTCGCCCTGAGACGACGAAAGAAAACGCCTCGTCAATCTTGAATTCAGGTCAGGCTGTCTTTCGGCGGTGGGTAGGGCTGAGACGGAGGCTCATGCCCCCGTGCCGTGAGTCTCAGGTGCCCTTCTTAGCTCGACAATACAATACCATCAATTGTTGCACGTGTTCGAGACTTCACAGACAGCTGCTATTGAAAAGAGCTAATTCAATTGGCATTAGAGACGGTTGTGTTGAAGATATGAAGCTCTCACCACTCAACCCTCAACTGATCGGATAGCGCTGGCTGCCACGCGAGGATCAACACGCCGTCCGTGCACAAGCTCCGGAAGATACGTACCGAAAGCCACCGTCCGTCCACTTTTTTCCTCGACAGCCTCGTTGACCTCAATCGCGCCCCGCCATACAAACGACCACCGTTCAACCTCACCCACCGACGTCACACTTACTCGCCGCCAACACACACGCGCGCCTCGCGAAACCACCTACCTCTTCCCCCGTCGAAAGCCACATTCACCCGAAAGAAAAGCCCTGCGACAAGCAGAACACAAGCATCCAAAGATGGCCGACGTAGAGATGGAAATCGACAACCCGCCCTCCCCGGGCAACGCCGCCGCCGCCGCCGCCGCCCCCCCGGCGCGCAACGAAGAGATGCAAACCCACGGCCGCGCCACCGCCGTCCGCTCCATCGAGGGCTGGATCGTCATGGTGACCAACGTCCACGAGGAGGCCGACGAGGAGACCATCCAGGACAAGTTTGGCGAGTACGGCGAGATCAAGAATTTGCACCTCAACCTGGACCGAAGAAGCGGTTACGTCAAGGTAAACTACCCGCTACTCTCCCCGGATGCTCTACGCCATCTTGAGAACAAGTTTCACTAACGTCTACATCTACCCAGGGCTACGCCCTCATCGAGTACGCGACCCTGTCCGAAGCCCGCGCCGCCATCGACTCGGCCCACGAGACGAAGCTCCTCGACCAGACCGTCTACGTCGACTTCGCCTTCGTCCGTCCCCCGCCCGGCGGAAAGGGCGGCGCCAACAACCGCGGCGGAGCGAGGGCCCAGAACCGCGGTCGCGGACGCAGCCGCAGCAGGAGCAGGAGCAGGAGCGCCGAGAGGGACGCCGCCGCCAAGGACGGCGATATCCAATGATCCCCTCACGCGTGTGGTCTAGGGCAAGATAAGACGATGGATGGAAAAACGCGCGGCATGCGCCACACAGCCCGCGCGGACGGAGGTGAATCTCGAATGAGAGAATGAGGTCAAGAACAAAACGACCTGCCGATGTGTTCGCGGTCTGAATAGAAAAGAGACCGCGGAAGATGACACGTCGGCATATGTTACATAGTCCGAAAAGGTGGGTTCACTCACGTACTTCCTCAGGTGGTGTCTGGGCGTTGCTGACGAAACGACATCACAGGCTACCAGAAAGTTTGATATGAGAAGTGCTACTACGAACCAAGACGAGCGGGGATTTAACATTTGGAATATCCCGAGTAGCCCCGTAAGGCCATACGATCCAATGCTTGATTGACCCCCGTGACACGCACCTTACACAACAGTGGACACTATTCCGCGTAGCATGAGTATGTTTGGTTGTCCATTGAGTAATCACGCCTACGTTTTGTCTAGAGCTCGTCTAGGGCAACATGCTTAAGGTACGGCAACACAACATGAGCCAGCCGGTGGTTGAGGTATCTCACAGAGCAAACCGTGTCCCCGCCAATCTCTCAAAAGTCACTACAAGTCACCACTTCAACATCAACGTTCAAAATCGAAGAAATCGAGGTCATAATCATCATTAATAAAGGGCCTGAGCCGTGAAGGTATTGGAACTCCCGAGTCCCAACCAACAAATCCAAAACGAACCCAACTTTTCGTTGCCCTCGAATTCGTAATCCTACTCCATTGCAATGCCTCATAATGCTCGTTGCTCAAATACAATGTTTGCGGGTGTATGCAAGAAGAGAAGCTTCCGTCGCCACAACCTGTTTTGCAGGGTCGAAACTCCCAATGGCTTAATCTGATGCAATGTAAGCACTGCTACTTCCTTCCCCACTGCTCACCTCACCTCCTCTCCTGCCGCCCGGCATGCTGCTGGTATCTCGCGGGTGAATCGTAACGCGCAGACGAGTCGTATGTACGGGAAGAATCGTATCCTCCAGGCGACTCGTACCTCGCGGCGGCCCTGGGCACATCATACCCGTCCCGTCCGGCAGGTGGAAGCGGCGCCGCCGCGGTTTGAGGTCTGCCCGTGACGGGTCTGTCGAACTGCTCCTCCTCGCCCTCCAACTCCTCCGGCGGGCGACTCGTGTCTCTCTTCTTGCTAAGGCTGAAGAAACGCTTGAAGCCCGCCGGCGCGGGCTGCTGTAGTATCGCGCCCTCCTTCGCGTCGTCCCAGAAGAGTCGTGGGACGAGAAGTCGGTATTGCGTCGTTATGCCGGTGGGATCCTTCGGGTTAACCTCGACGTTGAGGCAAATGTCCAGGCCGCCCTCGAGGTCGACTGCGAACTTGTCGGCCTGCTTCTGCTGCTTGATCGACAGTCCGGTGGGAGTGCGGTGGAAAGGCCTGGGCGGCGGCATCGCGGCTGAGCGCTCGGTACTCATAGTACGCGCGCGAGTCGGCGGGCGGGCGGTGAATTGTGACTCGTCGCCGGGCTGGTACTCGTCGTGGTGCGCACCGGCTCTAATGGGCGCACCTCTCATTCGCACGGCGGGCTGAGCCGTGAAGTATGAATCATCCCCAGATTGATACTCGTCGTGGCCTCCTCCGCGTAGACCCATGCCTCTGACACGGGGCTGCACGGCGGGCGTTCCGTCGTAGTGGTCATATCCGTAATGACCGTCTTCAACTGAGCTCACATTGTCGTCTTCATCTTCTCCCCACGATCCATTGATGCCACCGTCATCGGGCTTCGACTTCTTGCTGCCCTTACGGCTGAAGAAATTGCGCGTCAACGACATCGACCGCTTTGGCTTGTCAGGTTCGGCAGGTCGGCCCCCGTCGGTCGAGTTACGACGGGAGAGCCTTCGGAACAAGCCACCGCCAGCCTTGCCGCTGTTCGAGATTGGCGGGCGAGATGAATCCCGAGGAGAGTCTTTCTGAATGTCAGGACGGTATGCCGGTCCCTTGTTGGAAGAGAAACGCCGCAAGAGACCACCGCCGCGACTAGGAGGCGGGCTAGGGCTTCTATCGTAGGCCGACAGAGGCGGCGTGGGCGGCGGCGTGGTGCCGGGACTCCACTCCCGAATGGCACACCAGTTCCGATGCGGCAGGAGATGCTTGTTGTTTCTGGGTTTACCATCAACACCGTGTCCGAACAGCGGGATCATGTTCTCATCGGTGGAATCATCAAAGTGGTGGATCTTGTTGCGCTTGTTCAAGATGTCTGCCATCAGATCGGGAGGCGGGGTGTTGACGATGGCTGATGAGATGACGTTCGGCATATAACGGAAGTCCTTATGCTTGGGCAGATTCAGCTTGGGATTGGCGTAGAACTGGCCAACAGCCGCAAGGTGAACATCGCCACTGAGGAACGTGACTCTCACGGACTTGTCTGCCGACAGATCCTGCATGTCCTGAATGACAATCTCCCTCTCCTTCTTGTGGTTCTTGGCGGTCCAGTGGTCATCGAGATCGTCAAGAACCTCGACACCACCATCAATGTGGTTCAGCGTGTTGCCAAGCATTCCCAGCTTGCCAAGCGCCTTGACGGGATCCATAGCTCTCGATGTGAGACTAATCTGTTAGTGTGTTACAAGTCATTTAAGATGGGCGAAACTCACATGTTCTCCAGCCAAACCAGTCTGGGATAGGCAATCGGGACGCCGAGCAAGACAAGCAGATGCTGAGTTCTACCGCTTCTGAGTTCTTCGTAGCATCGGTCCATCATGTGCTGCCAAGTCTCCTCGCTCACAACATCACCCTCCGTTCGCTCCGTTCTGGCATCGACGGCCAACAGCGACACCTTGGAGCCGAGCTCTACGAACAAGCTGCGGCTCAATTCGTTGATGTATGGGCCTGGCCGAGTACCAAGAATCCAGCTGGGTTCAGATGCTTCCGTCTCTTGAGGGACGCTCTGATGCTGGAACAGCATGTAGTACTTGTACGCCACGTTGCCGAGTCCAGAGAATACCGGCGAGTTCATGTCGTGGTGGGCGTACGAGCCGAAGCCGTCGGAAATGTCGTGGTCGTCCCACATATTGACCATTGGGATCTGTGAGTTGGCCACGCCAAAGAGACCCTGCGAAAACCACATGCAATATCTCTCAAGATACGCCTTCTCTAGTTCGTCCTGCATCGTCGAGGTGAAAGGCGCATTGTGCTTGTGCAAAGGGTTCTTGATCATCAACCACTCCCGGAACTGCTTGCTCTCGTCCATCAAGCAGTCGTTGTAGATCTGATCACCACCGCCAAGCATAACATGGAACGGCTGCGACTGATGCGTGTTGAGGACGTCGCGCCACATCGGGTCGGGTCCGCTGAAGTCGTCGGGGTTGACGCTCATGCTGAAGCCGTTGCAGCTGTAGAACATGATGTTCATGGACTCTCCCGCAGCAGGAACCCAGAAGCCCATAGACGGGCCGCGGTTGATACGGTACGCGATCCGCTGCTGCTTCTCGCGGAGTTCAATCTCGATGTTGAAGCGCCAGAAGGTGTAGCCACGCTCCGCGTGCAAGCGGAATCCGCGAACGTCCTTGTACTTGGAGACCTTTTCGCCGTCAATCTTGACGCGCTTGCGGCGGCTCGAGAATGATCCTGGGTAATCCATCGAGCCATCTGCCGGTGGCACGTCAGGAGGGCTCTTGGTCTTCTCAAAGAGTCCGTTATCCGACTCATCTCTCGACAAGTCCTTGGCCTCCTCAAGGTGGTCGACTGGTCGTATGTAGAGAGTTTCTCCTCTTCTGCCCAGCTTGGGCATGCCAGCAATGGGGTCTACATACTCAGGGGGCAGATCCTGCTCCCCAGAGATGGTATGCGGTGGAGGTGGGAGCAGATCGAGAGGCTGCACGAACAGTCTCAACGTCGGTGCAATCTCGTAGGAAGAGTCGCTGTCTTGCGTCACGATCATCACCGAGCCACGCCATGTCGTCCTCTCGGTGGCGGCAGTGTTCCTGCCGCGAGGAGGTACCTTCTCATGCTTGAGTCCGCAGTATCTCAACAGCGGACCGCACTTGAGGTACAGTGGCGGCTTGAATCTCGTGGGAGCTACCAGCTGTTAGCATCATTTCTTCATCAATGACATCGTGAAACCCACCATTAGTCTCATCGTATTCACCGTCGAAGGCTTCCGCCTTGCGCGGGCGAGAGGCACTTCCTCTCCGCTTGCCACTGCCCTCCCACCACGGCGAGTTCTTATCAGCTGCAGGGGGCTGGTCGTCGTTGAGCTCAAGCAAAGAACCAGACAGAGTGCCAACTGTTGCTTTCTTCCACTCGTCAAGGTACTTGGGAGGCTTGTAGATGCCCTCGCCCGGGCGAAAGCTGTCTCGGCCATGGTACAGCCTGTTCGAGATGCGATGACCGCGCTCATCGTACTCCTCATCGTCGGAGTAGTACTCTCGGTCATACTGTCTCCCGCGATCCGTCGCCTCCTTGTAAGAGCCGTGGCGTGGTTCATCCCCTCGGGCGCCCGAAGCAACAGGCGCATAACGAGGATCATCCTCATGGTCGTGCTCGTAGTCTCGACGGGTCGTAGGGGCCGTCGCACGTCGTTGGACTCCTCCCATGTCGATTCCAATTAACCTCGCAGCCTTACTGGGGATGCCCGCCCGTCTGACTTCTTCATGCGTGGCGTCCGGGGGCAATGCCTGTTCATGCGCCGCATGCGACGCCGACCTCTTGACGGGAGGGCCACCCTTCGCAGCCGCAGATTCATCCAAAGCTGCGTTGCGGAACTCAATGTCGTCGTACTTGGCCTCAGCGTCCTTCCGAATGTTGAACCACGGATCATTCTTCGGCGCCTTCTCACCCTTTGGCTGCTTCTTAAGCTTGTTGCTACCGCGTCTGGTGAGTGACCAGCTAGGTCTTCGAGAACTGGTCACCGGGGGCGTCGGCTCGGGACTAGACTCTGGGCTCTGTTGCCTTTCAACCGCCGCCGTCGGCAAGTTCATGTCATTCTTTGCTGCCCGTTCACGGAAGCTCAAGTTACGTTTAGGGATACCCGAGCTTGAAGCTGGCGCCTGTCTGGGTTCCTCACGCAAACTAACGCTTCTCTGGGGAATGGCCCCGGCAGACGGAGGGGCGTGTCTGGTTGCAGCCATGGCGGGGGCTCTCTGCTGATACTGACCAGAACCGTACTCTTCATCCACAAAACGCGGCTGCCGTCGCGCATCATCAAGAGAGACTCGCGCTGGCGCATGCCGCCTATCATCGTGATAATACTGCGTGGGAGCTCCACGAGGAGCAGCGACATTGGCCTGTTGCTCGGGCGCCGGGCCCCTCCAGTCATCATCGTCGTCGTACGAGACGTCACTGAACCGCACCTGAGGAACAGGCGCAGGAGGCTGCGGCTGCTGTTGTGGTGGTTCTGGGAGTGGCCGTTGAGGCTCTTGCTTGATCAGCGGTGGTTGTTGCGGCGGCGGCTGCGAGCGGGGTGCGCGGTGTGATGCCTCTGGAGGCTGTAGGAGATCCGGATTCTGCGCCGCCGCAGCAGCAGCCTTCTCTCTCGCCCGGCGCTCCGCAGCCTCCACACGAGCCCGCTTCTCCTCTTTTGTGATACTGTCGAGCGTCAGCTCGAGTCTTTGAAGCGGAGAGCGGTCGTTGGCGAACTGTCTGGATCCTCCTCCCGAAGCCTTTCTGCGGCCTTCTGACCTCCTCCTCGTCGAGCCATGCGATTCGCGGCGCTGTCCCGTCTCATCGTTCGTATCGAGTGTCCGCTGGGACCGGTCGAGCGGCGGGTACTCGTCCTGTCGTTGCGCCTGTTGCGGCGGCGGGGCCTGCCTCTCGGGCGCGGGGTCCCTGTAGTACCCCTCGGGATTCATGTCAACGTCGTCACCGTCCTGGCTCACCAGCGGGCTGGGATATCGCGGAGGACGAGGTGGACCTTGGGCGGGGTGCGTGTATGGCAATCCACCATTGCCGTATGGATGTCTGAAGCTCACGGGAGGACCCTTGGGCACATCGGGCGCAGCTGGAGGCGTGGCACCCACGGGCAGAGACTCGTGGTCGACAACCGGGTAGTCCTCTTGCTCTTTGCGCTCCCGACGTCGTCGTTGGCGTCTCTCGGCTTGCTGGTCCTCTGGGTACTGCGACTCGCCGTAGGGGAAGGTCGGCGGGCGCGGGGCGAGGCCCTGGTCGGCGAAGTGTGAAGCAGTAGGCGAGGCAAAGGGGCTGAGAGTCGAGTCGGTGACGGCCTCAGTGTTTGTCGTCTGGAGAGAGGTGCGATTTGACTTTGGGGGAGGGACTGGAAGAGGACGACTGCCCGAGGCTTCGTCGGCTGCCGAGGGGGCCAGGAGGAGATCGGCGGGAGAAGGTTTGCGATCTGGCAGGCTAAAATCCTCAGACTGGCGTCGTTGGCGTCTGGCGGACTTGGGGCCTGACAGGTCGCCCCAATATGGTGCACTCGGCATGGTCGAGGAGGGCCAACTTTTTTCTTTCTTTGATCTGCTGCCGTTTGGGAATAATTTGGTGCAGCGGCGCTATAATCGGGCTGCAGGGCGGCGGCTATCGACGTTGAGAGAGGGCTGGGCTGGACACGCGAAGGACCGGTGAGTCTGTTCGTGCGTGCGTTGTACCGTCTGTGGGAAGCAGACAGCTACGATTTACTCGGCAACTAAAGCGTCAATCTAGCAGTAAGGTAAGGTAGGTAGGGACAAAAAAGGCCGGGCGTCAGAGACATATGCAGCTTGCCATAGCAGCCAATGCGATGCAGACACGCGCGCGCAACGGAGGGTCGGCGGGATGCAAGACAGGGCCTCTCGTAAGTGAGTCGCCGAAGTTGCGTTGAGGTTTTCCCTTATGGAAGGAGGGTAATTCACTTGAGTAGGAGATAAACCAAGTTGCAGCGAAAGATGCAGGCTGGAGGTTGGAGCAGAAGGAAAAAAGAGGAGCTTCGTCGTTTTTTTTTTTCACCCTCTCTCTGCTTCGATGCGACTCAAGCATCGAGGCTTATAAAATGGCGAGGTTGACGGGTTGTGCTACGGCGTCATTTGGTCACCTACTCGGGTTAGCTATGGGGAGCTTGACCAGGGTTGAGGGCAGCTTGGGCGGAGATAATCCTGGCATCGGGACATGGGTCTTGAGTCTGTTTCTGATCCTGCTGCCAAACCACGCCTGTCATGACTGTCATCGATTGGGCTGGCGAGAGCTTGCCTGGGCCCGGCTACGGGAGAGGTAGGGAAGGTATCCGTAGCGGGCAGCTCCTTACGAACAGCCGAGACGGGGTTGATGGTTGACGGGGACCAACCTTCCAAGACGAAGGCATGACGAGACGGTAAGAGAGCAAAATCATCGAAATGATTAAAAAAAGACAACACCGAAAAAAGAGGCGGTCGGAATGGAGCCACTGAAAGCGCTCTCCTTCCCCATTGACCAGTGACCACGACTCCAATCCCATGTGCAGCTTACATGCGCCCCCCATCGCACCATATTCTGGTCCATCGGATGCCCAGCAAGCTTGCTACGCGCTGCAGCTATCCATGCCGGCTTCCTTGGCTCTGGCATTTAGTATGCGTATCCATACCTAGGGTATCCGTAAGGTAGCAAAGCATTCATTTTTCCCGTTGGGCCAAGGTGCAATAATCCGAAGATGCATGGGACTTTTTCTCGGATGACGGTCAATAAACGAAAAAAACCAGGTGGCTGAAATCAACAAAATCCATTCGAGTAACAACAAGGTTAATTGATAGACGCGGCACACGTTTGTATCCGTATGCTCCCGTCGATTCGATGAGGTAGCACTCCGAGGCCTACCTGACTTACAAACGGGCCCTCTTCCCGTTACGAAGAAAGGACCTCGTCCGAATATTGAGGTGGCTGGCGACGGTCGACCTCGATACGGCACAGTTGTTCCAAGGAAATCCAAACAGGGCCCCCCGATTGACTCGGCACTCGTACCAACAGACAGGCCATTGTCTTGAGGTGGATGCAGAAGACGTCGGCGGAATAAGCAAAAAAATGCATGAGCAGGATAAGACAGATCGGATAGTGCAAACGAGAGGATGAACAGGACTCTGAAAATAGCAATGCGTGCTCAGCTCAGACCCGGAGTTTATTCTGCGATGGCCCTGCGACCATTCCTTACTAGCATTAGCGGCAAGCGAAGAGAAGATGACAGACCAACTATTCAGAACTTTATTATCGTTGTCCTGGTCGTTCTGGTCCCGATTGTCGTCGTCTTCATCGTCTTCCACGCCGTTGGTGTATTCGCCGCTGTATTCCTCTCGCCAATATTGATGGCTTACCGTGAACCACGAACCACGACAAGCTAGCTAGCTGTCGGGATGGCCCGCCATTCGTCATCGGCGCAAACCAGGCCCCCCTTCCATACTAACACGGGCTTTTCATGCACGTTGTGAGGCTCTTAGAAAGGCTTCTCAAACTCAATACGAACATGGTATTTGTACGAAGATATATGCGGTTGATAGATTGGTTGAGCCTCAAACACCAGATCCCCTCCAAGTCAATTGAACCAACTACCCGAAATGCAACAGAAAAAAAAAGGTCAAGGTATTTCTATGCAAAACGTCCCATGCAGCCGTACGCCTATTTTTCAGTCAACCTGTCCGTCTCCCCGTTACCCCTGCCATCTCTTGAACGCTCGCGATCCCTGTCATGGTACTCGCTGCTGTCATCATCATCATCCTCGTCGTCTCCTGCAAATGCATCGTACAACTCGCGGCCGCGGGTGCGCTTCTCGCCGTTCAGGCCTTCCGTCTCGTCCTCGTTAAGGAGCTCGAATTCGTAGTTGTCGCGAGGCGCGCTGTTGCGACGCTTCCTGATGTAGAACCAGATGCCGAGAGCAGAGCAAAAGACAGCAATGAGACCGATCGCGCCGTAAACCCAGACGCCGGCCTTGCCGAACGAGGGCAACCACGAGACCCAGTTCGAAGGGCTGGTAGTGCTTGCCGCAGCATCTTCGGTGCCCGTTGGCGCTCCCGTCTCCGCTGGTGTTCCACCCTGCACCTTCGTAGGGCGGTTAGGGTGATCCGAGGGGACGACTGGCTTGTCCGTGGCCGGCGCCGGGTGGGTGATTGAAGTGGTGGCAGCAGGCAGCGTTGTCGTGGCGACCAAGGCGTGATCGTTGTCGTCTTCCTCGGTAGGCATGGGGAGAAGCTTGGCCTTGCTTGCGTCGATGGACTCACCCCAGAGCTTGAGGTGCCAGTCGACGAAAGTACCCTGGTGCTCGTTCTCTTGGGAGTCCTTGACAATGACAGTCCACTTTCCAATGCCAGACTCGCCCCTGGTTACCAGTTAGCACAGCTCTAATCAACTTGACCGATACGAGTCAACTCACCAATGCGCAACACTCATAAACGTCCAGTCAACATATCCGGAACGGGCCGAGTCCATCTTGCGAGTAACGGACAGATGGCTGGTGACGCCTTCGGGACTGATCAGTTCGGCACTCAAATCACCGCGGCGGGTGTGGTTCACGTTCATAGTGACCGTCACATGCTCCACTCTCTCGAGGTTGGCCTCCTTGAGAGCTTCGGCAGTAACCTCAAGATTGACCGCAACACCATCCTTGCCCTGGGGAATAGCCTTGTTGACGTGGACCCACGGGGAGTAGTACCACGCCTGCGGCTTGACGTTCTTCCATGTCTTGGCCTTCTCGACCATGGCCCAGGCGTCAATCTTGCCGTATCCGTATGTGTGACTGAACTTCTTTCCGATCTTTGTCGGCTGCCATTCTCCGTCCTTCTCGTCGATAGGTACGGCGGTGTTCATAGCGAGCCACTGCATGTCTCTCCAGGTCAGGTCAGGGCGGGCTTCGAGAACCAGGGCGTAGACGCCGGCACCCAGCGGGGCGGCAGCAGACGTTCCTCCATGGCCGTTGTAGCAAGCATTCGTGCCAACATCAGTGGTGTGCTGCGACAGTGTTAGCTTTGTTTCATCGCACGAAAGCATCGAGTACGTACAATGGCATCTCCGCTGCCACTGCTGTATGTGACAACGAGCTGAGCAGAGCACTTCTCCGAGTAGTAAGGGTGTTGACCCTTCCTGTCGATAGCGCCCACGGTGATGCTGTAAATGGAATTCGTGTAGCCGTCAAAGTTGCAGTTATCATCATTGGCGGCACCGTTTCCACTGGCAAAAACGTAGATGGATCCCTTTCCGCCACGGCCTTGCTGGATTCCCTTGAGCATCGCACGCTTGATCAGAATGCCGGGCGCGTCCATCGACCGTCCATCGTCAGGGGGTCCCCAGGAGCAGGAGTAGATGTCGTTGTGCTGGTAGTCGTAGGTCATGGCGACAGCTTCGTCGGCGTCCGAGATGAGCTTGCTCAGAATGCGAATACCGGCGATTTTGGATTCGTAGGCGACACCAACGCCGCAGACGTTGTTCCTCGCGGCCGATACTTCACCGGCGCAGCGAGTGCCGTGCTTGTCATCGCTCAGCGTGGGCTTCGGCTCTTCGCGGTGGTCGTTGAAGTCGTAGGAACCGGCGGCGTAGTAGTTGGGCTTCAGGTCGTCGCTGTACATATCGAGGCCGTCATCCACAATGGCGACAGTCGCGTTCTTGCCCGTGATACCCATCTGCCAGACACCGGTGACGTTGATGTCGTGTCCTGGCTGGACGGTGTTGAGCAGATGCCACTGCTCGTTGAAGATGGGGTCGGCGATGTTCAGGGACTGCATGATCTTGTTCATCTGTTGAACCATGCCGGGATCCGCCGTCTCCTGGCGAGCGAAGTTCTTCGGGCCGTGTAGGCGAGGAGGCACTCTCTTCTGCCAGGGCTGGCGAAGCTGCTGCTTTTGCGCCAGGCGGACGCCATCGAGAGGATCAGAACCGCCCAATCCTCGCCTCCTCAACCTCCGTTCCTGCAAGGCAGGCTTGACGATATCGTGCGGCTCCTTTCTCGTGGAGAAGATGTGATGGCCGTCGAGACTGCCGAGCGAGCCCTCGTGGCGCAAACCCAGGCGATCAGCGACTTGACCAGGAGATGTAGACGAATCCAGCTCGAGAACATAGTAGTCGTTCGTCTCGTAGTTTCGAACCGAAGCACCGGCTGCGAGGCCGAGCAGGCCTAGGAGAACCGCGGACAGCTTCATTGCGGGCTAACCGTGGATCCCTCGTAGGGACAGAAGGAATGTGCAGAGAGGGAAGAGCTGAGGACAGATAGGCGTCAGCATCAAGCACCGTAACACAGCCAGAGCTCGGTTGGAGGTGTGTTGCTTCTGAACTAATTGAGTAGGGGGGAAATAATAGACACGATCGTACCTCGATTAGGGGAACAAAGAAGCGGACCGGGGCCGTCTAGGCTGGGGGAGAGAGAGTGGACGTGGAGGACGAGACGTGTTCGAGTCGCAAGTGGCAAGGGCCGCCCTTGAAGATGGCCAAAGCTTTCGCAGTCTTCCCGGCGCGATCTCTGTTTTTTTATCGTAAAACCAAAGCCGGAATTCGCAAGCAGCGCGTGAGGCGAATTCTTGTCGCTGCTTGGCAAGGGCAGATTTGATGGAACTCGCCGGTGATTGTTTGTCGGTTATTACTTAAGAGGCCAGAGTTCACGCGTAGGAAACAGCGGGGAAGCCTCGTTTCATCGTTCGCGGGCACTCAATATGCGATATAGGGGATACGTCGGGACCACGGCGAGCGTTAATGCCAACACGGAAAATAAGGAATGGGAGCTTGGAATGACAATCCAAAAGCGATGATGTTGGTAGCAGCAAAGGAGGAGAAAACCAAAAGGCAGGAAAGGTAAAATGCGAACAAACTATCGATGCTACTCAGGGTAGGAATGAGAAATCCGGAACACAGGACGACCTCTGCTGAGGTAAGATGATGTTTCGTGGCCTTCTCGAAAACGGCAGGAACATAAAGCACTCCCCAATACCACCTACCCTTCACAACTATCCAAAGTACCTTACCTTCCGAGCTCGTCTACTCTGCCTCAAGACGGACCCTGTCTGGACCCCAAGCGTTCCTTTCGTTGCCATTGCTGCAGACAGAGGGATTGCGCTAACGACAAGTCGCGGAATGGTACCTGCACTACAGATCACCGAAAAGGAAGGCAGCGATTCAGGTGCAGCAGAGACCAGTGGTCCACCGCCCACACTGCCGTTTCAATAAAGGCGCAGCCACCATCGAGGCGCCTCATTGGCCACGCCGCGCGGCGAGCATCCTGGGACAGCCACGGGGACAGATTCAGGCTGCTGCAGCGGCGAGTTGCTGCTATTTTTTACACGGGCATTCTTCACCCTGGATCCAAGATATCGCGAAGTACGTACCGTACCACCTGTATTCGTAATGCCGCCTTGCACATGCTGCAACTCCCAATCTCCCACATCATTTAATCGCAAATATCTGCCTTCATCAGGTATATCCGGCGCAAAACACCACCAAGACCATCGTACTCGTACGAAGAACCAAACCCGCCCAATGACAAAATGAAGTCCCAGACAACATGCATCGCCTAAAAGTCTTGGCTGAAGAAAAAGACAAGAAGAGGCCCAAACGCCCAGGAGTCCAGACGTCAAATCATAGGTTCGCGGGCCGGGAAGGGCTGCACATCTTGGTTCCTTGGCGCTTGATACAGTCAACCGTTTCGGAATCGATGCCGTACCTCGAACACCCATCTCATACACACCCGGGTCATAAAACGCTATAACAAGTAGCATTTCGAGCTCACAGTCTTCTTCTTGCTGCCTTAGTCTGAAAAATTTGAACAGTGGTTGTCCAGGCGTCTGTCTCTCTTCTCCGGCAGTCGTCATCCTCAGTATTGTCCTTGTTGCTGTCGCTGTCGCTGTCGTCCGCCATCCCCCAGTGTCTCTATCGTATTACTGGTCTTCTTATTCAGCTCTAGCCTGGAAGGAGGTAATCGCAAGTCCATCATTAATAACATAAGAATAATAAGGCCTTCCATGATGATGTTTGTGTAATATAAAGCTTCCTACTTATCGATCGTCCTGGGTTTCTTGAAACTTTTTCGTTTTCGTCCGGCAACGGCGGCGATTAAACTACGTACCAACACCACCACACAGAAGAATATGTGTGTGTCGTGCATGGTCGTAAACGTCCAGCCAGGTTCCTGAGTCTCAACAATCAGTCAGCCCAGCCCATCCACACATGCATCTTTAGACCGTTTGACACTGCGTCCGGATGAGAAACATTTTTTTTATTCTCTCCCCCGCCATCCATCGGCCATCCCTGTTTCCGCATGAAAAGGACCCTGACTGGAGTGTGTTCGAACGCAGCGCAGTGCGTCGCCAGAACCACCGCGTTCGATTCAAACAAGACGCAGGCGACTGAATAGTAGTACGCCGCGATGGGGTGCCCTGTCAGCAAAACTCTGCTTGGCAAACTCGTCTCCTGTGGTTTGTGTTTCCCAAAGACACGGCTAGAGAATGTTTGATCGCCATGCAGCCACTTCAGTGTTTGCGGGTGCGGGTGCCGTCGTGGTCGTAAGTCAAGCTGCTTCAACTCGTATGTGCTCGTAGTCAGGCAGTGGTAGGCCAGCCTCGACCTTACATATCGATGACTCTTGACAGAAAGGTCTCTCGAGGTGGCCTCAAGCCATCTCTGTTGATATCATAGAGAAAAAAAGTGATATTCGTTATCAGCAGAGTTGCATTGCCTCTTCATAATTAATGTCCAGCCCTCAATGTCGGGGTCCGAAAGGTATCCCAGAACTCCATCTGAATGGCCGGCTCTCATCGCCGGGCTTCTTCAAAGCATTGTTGTCCCGGTGCCATCCGAAGCATTTCCGTATTCCAACATACAACAACCCATTACGCGTAGCTACCTCCCACCCATTGCTTGAATCCATTTTTCTGAGGTCTCGTCGTCAACTTTGACAGTGCTGTCTTTCAACTATTCAGCCAGCCTACGGCCGGGAGGCTCGACGCCAGTGCTGCGAGTGCCCGAAACGCCCTCCTTTTCCATCGCCTTGACATACCCCTCCCAGATCCCAATCACGTCGTCGTAGAACTCAATGTGAGAGTCGGCGAGTCCGCCGAGCTGCTTCTTGAACTCAACCCGCTTGATCCGCTCGAAATCGGCGACTTCCTTCACAACCTCGTCGTCGAAGAGCTCGCTTGTCTTCTTGGCTCGCTCCGCCTCGGTGGTGAGCTTATCGATGCTCATCTCGAGTTTCCGTTGCCGGTCACGGCGCGACTGCTCGTGGTCTACTCCGCGCACATCTTCCAGCTTACGCATGAGCCTTCCGCTAGCACCCGAGAGACCGCCAGAGCCTTGTCCGGACTGGAGCATGTCCCTGTCAGCGGTATTCTTGTTAAGATACTCGGTGAGCTGCTCGTAGTCCACCTGCTTCTGCTCCCGAGCCTTCAGAAGGCTCTTCAGCGCGATGCTGTAGGCTTGCATGTCCCGGAGACTGCCCAGATAATCCTGGTCGGTGACGTCCCTGAGCTTTCTAAGGCCCACCGCGGTGTCCTCGACCGAATTGGCAAAGTGCCTGACCTCGTTCTCGACGCCAGGCTCAAGGGTGATGAGCTTCTGGAACTGCTCTGCCAGGTCCTTGAAATCGAGCTCGAGGTCGGTCTCCCGGCGAGCCACCCTTGCGACCACTTTTTCGATGTGGGCCAGGTCCTCGTCCAGTTTGTCGCTGCGCTCGCGCACCTCGAGAAATCGCTTATCGTGCTTGTGGGCTTTGGTGAAGGCGTTGAGGAAGCTGTCCGTCAGGTTGTCGAAGACACCACTGCTGCCTGCATCGCTGCTCTGCGATCCCCTCGTACTGCGACTGCGCATCGTGGCGTTCCAATCGGGGCTCTCGAGAAAGATGTGTAAGATATCGGCGCGACGAAGGACGGGATGAAGGGAGAGACGGGTCAAGAAGCGCTGGAGAGAATGCGCCCGGCGGTTGGTGAAGTCCGAGCCGAAGCGGTTGCCGCTGACATATTCCATACGCTGCTTGTCGGGGAGAGGAGGGACCGCGGCGGTGGGATATTCTCTGCTCAGTGCCTTATACAAGAAGACGAAATCCGTGAACCGTCGGCGGACGATTGCCTGCGATCGCTGAAAGGTCGCAAATGTGGTCTAGGGAGCAGTGTTAGAGCGCAAATCTCCAGCGGGGACAGCCTTGTAGAACATCGCAACAAAGCCTTTGGATTCCCTTACGTTGGTAGTAATCATGTATGATACAAAGGTGTCTTTGGAGCCATCGTTCTCCTTCAGCGGCTCGGAGACGGTGCATTCCAGCACTTCCTGGCCGGTGGTATCTGCGGCATCGCTGTCAAAGGCTGAATGTCCGTTGCGATCGGCCTCGTCAGAGTTTCTGCCTGCCACTGAGCTAGAGCTCTCAGCAGCAGCGGCTTGCTCCGAGTGCCAGGACACATTGGAGAAGTCGTCGTGATGTTGATCAATAACCGCCATGTCGTCCAGCAGGATGGACGTGGGGTTACGTTATTGTCGTCGTCGGAGTTGTTGGATCGGGTGATGGGGGCCAAGTAGTTCGCTATGGGGTATCGTCGAAATGATTGATAAGCCCAGGTACCGTCGAGTGACCGAGGTCCGAAAACTAGTATATCTCGATTGTCGCAAGAAAGAAGGGATGGCGGAGGGATCGTCTTGTTTGCCGGACAATGGCAGGAAGTGTCGGCGGCAGTGGTGGGGAATGGGTTGGAGCTGCCTGCTGTCGCCCAGCCGTGGTGACCAGCTTGAGTGTAGCTGACCTGATGCGGTTGGGCAGTGCGATAGCGGGGAGTCGTTCAGGTACCCACAGAGGTCCCCTGGAACCGGCGAACGATGAGGTAACTCGCTAGCATCCGGGAAACACCGTCAGACGAAAGGCTATGACGAAGTCAAAGCAGAGAGCAGTGCGACCTTGACAAGGTGCCAGAGCCAGGTCCGGGGCCGCTTTTCTTTTCACTTGACAGCATATGCAATTGCAGCAGCACTGAAGCTCTGGCCACAGTCTTAGCTAGTAGAGATGGGAGGAACCGTTTGGAAAAAAGAATTCGTATGGGGTAAAAATCTACATAAATGGTGGCATCCTACACAACAGCCGCCCGTTATACAGTAGTGGAATCTATTCGGTTTCCTGAGATGGATCTTTCTAGTGACCTGTGCTGTTCCCCTGGGTGTCATGAACCCTCTTTTAGTACACGCTACCCAGCCTTATGCCATACACGTCTAACAAAGAAAAGAAAATGTGCTTGTTTACAGCTGTCGAGCGATCTATTTGTCGCTCTTCTCCGCCTTTTCAATCGTAGCATTCTGGTCTCTCGCCGCCAGCATCTCCTTCTCTGCGTCCTTGGCCTCCTGGGCCTGGCTTGAGGGAGCGGCCTGAGCCTCGGCAGACTGGTTGCTCTCCTCCTTCTCGTCGATGTCGTCAACATCACGAGGAGTGGCAAAGCCGGTGCTGGCATTCTCCTCGTTCTGGCTGTTCTCCTCGTCGATGAGCTCCTGTTGCTCCTTGAGAACCTCGAGACGCTGCTTGTTGGTAGCGGCGCCCTCGGCGTTGTGCACCTCCAGGGAGATCTCGTGGAAGAGCTCATCGGGGATGGAAGAGAGGACGCCAACAAGCGCCTCAACCTGGCTGTGTGCGGGGACTTGGCCGTACATGTAGGCGTTGCTCAGAAGAAGCAGAGTCGAAGGGACACCATCCTTCAATCTCAGGTCCAGCCACTGCTGGAGGTACTCACGCATCCTCGCAGGGGACACGCTCTGCGTGCGGATGCCACGGCTGGCACACGCCATCTGCAGCTCGCCGACGGTCAGACTGTCAACACCCTCGTAGCTGATCTGCCTGTCATCTCTCTTGATCTGGCGCATTCTGTGCCTGACTTGGTAGCGGAGCATGTTGTCCGTACCAAAAGTGTTCAGGTTCATGTACCTGCACATGGAGACCAGCTGGGGTCTTGAGAGGTTGTCGAGAGTGAGGTCGTCCTTGAAGACTTTGCAGACCTTAATGATGTCCTCGTGGGTGGGCGACTCGCCGGAAGAACGAAGCTTCCTGAAGAATGTGGTGAAGGCCTCGCTCCGGGTGGTCGCGGGGGTCAAGGGCAGCCCGGTCTCCTTAAGACTAGATCGGAGGAACTCGCTGACCTCTTTGCGCGTGGCCCTGAGGATGTTGGCTTTGGCGTCCTTGGACTTTTGGCCCTCGTACGTGCTGGGCAGCAGGTTGGGGAAGAGTCGCAGGGCGACGGGGAGGAGCAGTTCGGCGAAAGGAACGATGACGAAAACCGAGAACGGCACCAGGCGACCGAGATCCTGGACGGTGCGGCGCAGTTGCCTGTTCTCCCTTCGGCTGAGTTCGTAACCGGCGGCCATCTTGAGAGCAAGACGAGTGCTGATCCTGACCTCTGCGGCGAGCAGCTTCGTTCCGTCCCAGTAGTGGTGGACCTCCTTCTTGACCTTTTGCCAGAGTGTCAAATCCTCCTTCTTTGCAGCCTCTTTGCTTTCGACATCGGTGTTCTTCGCCGCAGCAAGCTCCGACAACGAGGCGTCGGAGTCGGCCTTGTTGGCGACGGCCTTCTCGGAGGACTTTTCGGATTGAGCCGCATCCTTGGACTCCTGTGTCGCCTTGGATTCCGTCTTGGCCGCCGGCTCCTTGGGGAGAGGTTTCTTAGCCTCCTCGACATTGAAGCCCGGCGGCGGACCGCCCTGGCCGTGGTTGTGATGGTCGGTGCCTAGATGGCGGACGGGAACGAGTAGGGCGATGGCATTTGTTCGACGAGGCAGGTGCCTTGCGTTTCGGCCGAGCACGGCTGGCGAAACACCGAGACTAGACAGCGCACGCGCTGCGGAGAGTTAGAGATGAGGTTCAGAATCGCCCTTCGCCGCAGACCACGGCGATGATCGGGCAGAGAGGCAGACGCAGGAGGTGGGCTTACCGTTGCCCAGGAACGGGTTAGCAATCACCGCCCGACGAGCGACATTTGCTGAGGCGCTCATTATGCAGCCGTGTTTGGGTGGCAAGGAGGTGCACCGAGAAGGTGGGAAAAGTGGGTGTGAATAATCAACAGACTACCGTAGAGCAACGAGCATGGGCGATGTGTTGTGAGTCGGCAGTATACTACAAAATAAGGAACTGTGATGAAGGAGAGGACGGGGAGATGTATGTAGATAATGCGATGCGAAACGACCCAAGAATTCTGGAATGGAGGGCAACCGATCGCATCAAATGGGGTGCTACCACGACTTGTCCCTGGCTTCCGAAACCACCCATTCTGGGGGGGTCCAGGGACTGGATTCAACACGTGCAAGATCACGGGGTTTGCCTCTTTTCGCTCTCGGGGTTCGCTTGCGGCGTTGAAGGTACTGGGACCCCAAGCACGGACGAGGCACCGAAGCCAGCTCCGGGACTCGGTACGTACCGATGAAGGATACGTACACCACTCTTGGGCTGAGCCCGGACCAGACGTCCTCCACTGTTTGGATCATTGGACAGATCCAATTGGTGCGTCTGTCCTATCGCCACATGGGTAGCAAAGAAAGACGACGGCGGTCTCCTGTAGATCGGTGGGTCATCCTGGCCTTAGCTGGCGGTGCAGGCAGCGCTGGCTTGAATCCCGTCTGCTGGCAGCTTATGTTTGGTGAGCTGCGTGGCTGCTTCCACGCTGTTCTGGTTCTCGTCCACCCGGGCTGTGCCTATGCGTGCCTTTCACCCGTGTCGGCGATAGGGGCAGAATAAGCCGGGTGGAACGGCCGGCGGACGCTGCGGCACCACCGTGTACTGTGGATTGCCTGGACCGAAGCCATGTCAGTTGTCGAGACTGACGTGGGCTTTTCAGATGGCGTTGTGTGGAGGCCAGATCGGCGGTATCGGCCTTGCTACTGTATCCGTATGAATGTTTGGATGCCAACTCGGAATAGAAACTTGGCTTCCTTTGACATTTTCCCTCTGGGGCTTGGCTCCTTGGTTGCTGTGAGGTACACACGCTGTTGCAGAGTCATGGCTAGCCCGGAGAGAACGGGATGAGAATGTTCTTATTGACTTTCAAATGTCTCCGGTGCAGATGAGTCGAGGTCAGGGTCCAATACGGTCGAACCGAAACAAGGGCCTACTGACAGGTATATGAGTTCCGAGCATCGTCAACCAATCCGACTTACCAAGCAACCAACTCACCAGTCCAATTGAACGACTTGCAGCCCGGTCGCTAAACGACGCGAGGGTAGGATTGGGCTATTGCGCGATCGGAATGTTATGCGCTGATAATGACGGATATGCAGCCGAAGACCGCCTCAACAAATGCTCCCTAAATTTTTTGGACTCCGCTTGCAACTTTTTTGGTGGGAAGCACACATTCGATCTGAGGGATCTGGGGGATCTGGGGTTCTCTAGCAAAATTGGTCTGCCAGCTGGCAGAGACCGCAGCCATCTGTGTCAACGGCTGCGACATCAAGACCAGGTACGTACCCTCCAAGACCTTACCTCCGTGCGCTATCTTATCCCCAAGATCTCGTCATCAAAAGTGATGACACCACACTGTGCCTATTGCTGGCCTGTGATGTGCCAGGTGTTAGTGTACCCCGGACTTTAGAGGTTGGCACCGTGGCCCTTCAGGGAATCAAGCATCCAATGGTCCAAGACATCCGTCAGGGAAGGCATCGAAGGGTCCAACTATAACTTAGGTTTGGTTGCTCAATGAGGTATCTCCGACCCACCCCGAGGACAACGGGCATTAAGGTGTAGGTAAGCACGTAAGGTAATGGAAGTGAAGCTGTTACATTGGAATAACCTGGAATCCACCCAAAGAAGGCGTCAACGGTTACTGCTCAACCGCGTCGGACCTCAGGGAGAATGGAGATGGAATGCAGCGGGGGGATCCTCCCGCCGTCGGCCACCTACGCAAAGTGCCCACGGTAGTGTCTTGGACGCGCCGCTCAACGCCCATCCGACCATCGACCGATTTCCAAGCATCCCCGTCCGAGTTACCTTACACGCCAATCTCCATCACACTCACTCAACCCCTGCACTCACGCTGCTGCATCCCACCACCGCGGTTCTGCGTCCGCCGCTTCTCCACCCGCCCTGCTCGGCATTCCTGCTGTACCACTACCAGGACCAACTCGAACGCTTTCCATCCACCTTTCTCCGATTTCTCTTTTCTTCCCTTCTTCCACCAGACTTATCCTCACCACTCCGACTTCTCGCTGTAGCCATGGACTTCTCCTAATCTCCTCCCGACCACGATCCCGCTTGGGTCTCGCGATTCCCGACCAGCAACTCTTCCCCCGCACGTCCCGGGGCCAGAGCCAATTCCGCCATCCAATTTCGAAGCTGCTCCAACTTGAACGACTCTCGTCTCCTACTTCGTCCCCCTCACTCCCCTCCACCAAAAGCCCGAGGCACTCAGTCGACCACTTGCGCCGATCAACTGTCAACCCGCCTATACTATGAGACTCCATAAAGCCGCCCGCGTTATTCTCGTCGGAGCTCCCGGTGTTGGAAAAGGAACCCAGTCTGAACGACTCCTTCAGCGCTTCCCGCAGCTCCAATCCATCAGCACGGGAGACCTTCTCCGCAACAATGTCAAGCTCCGGACCCCTCTCGGTAAGTGTCACATGCCGCGCCCGTAACCGCATCGCACATGCTAACCACTATTCACCGTAGGCATCAAGGTCGAGAAGACCATGAAGTCCGGCGGCCTCGTCGCTGACGACTTGATTATGCGCCTGATCTCTAATGAGCTGTATAAGAACGGCTGGCTGCTTAACCGAGGCCGCCCGCAGGTCATGACCCTCGCGTCCTCTGCCGCCACGGTGGACTCCTTCTATGAGGAGCATCTCGACGACTTCGTCACCGCCTCGGGCGCCCTCGACAGCCACGCGCCGCCCGAGGCTTCGGAGGATCCCTCGGCCTCGTTTATTCTCGACGGCTTCCCCCGCACAGCAGTCCAAGCCGCGACTTGCGACAAGCTCATCCCCATCAACCTCGTCGTCTCGCTCAAGACACCATTCCACGTCATCATGGAGCGCATCTCGGGTCGCTGGGTTCACGAGCCCTCCGGCCGCGTGTACAACACTACCTTCAACGCTCCCCTGGTGCCCGGCAAGGACGACATCACCGGGGAGCCCCTTATGCAGCGCCCAGACGACACTGAGGCTGTCTACAGGGAGCGCTTCCGCAAGTTCCAGGAGACTAGTGAGCCATTGCTTGAGCATTATGCCAAGAAGGGCGTTCTCTGGGAGGTCGAGGGCATGAGCAGTGACGACATTAGTCCCCTGCTCTTTGACGAGTTTGAGAAGCGCTTCGTTCACTGAAATGTTTTTGAATATTCATTCCTTTTATTGTTATATCCAAAGGAGTTACAACGTGGTCAAGATACCTCGGGTTGGCCATCAAAGACCCCATGGCCAAAAAAGGGCAGGTCGGGAGGAATGGGTATGAACCCCATGGCACGCGCAGATGTTTCCTGCGGTTTGGTTAAGCGTCTGGTTGGCACTATACATCCTATACGTCCTATACGTCCCTTTACCAATGTACAAACTTTTCATTTTCCCATGAACCATCCCGATGAGCTTCTTGTGCCCAATGTCTAATTCCACCACCACCAGCCAGCGTCAAGAAGCTTCAGCCGCCTACGCATAAATGATGTGCGCGCCAACTCCAGTACCGCAGCACACCTCGGATATCTCGTCCGGGGACATGTAACGCGGTTCGCGGGGAAGGTTCAACTTAGCCATCGGGCGGCAGGGATGCCTTGCTGTCATCCAAACAAGTCAAACCATTGCTACGCAGCGCGCGTTTAATGCGAACGAGGCCCGGACCACCCATCCACCCACCTCCACTCCTCGGCTCTCCGAGCTTCAGTAGAAACCTCGGTTGGTAGGGGCGTCCGTTACGGCGCCGGGAGGTCGCGGCCCGGAAGGCCCATCCGCATCGTGGGCCCCCGACCGGAGTTGTTCGTAGCTCGACATGTCGGCGGGCTCTTGGTCGGTTTCCGAGACGTTTGGAGCTCGTGCACAAAGCACTCTGGGAGACAGTTCTACGCGATCGCTACTTCGCTCTCATTCTGGGGAGCGTTTGCGAGACGTTGAGATGCAGTTTGGGGTGAACCATTAGCTACGTGTTGGAACTGGTGCCCGGCTCTAAAGGAGCTTTTCAGCGATTTACCAATGCGTGTTCTTCGGTTCTTTACTACACTGTTAGCACTTTAGCCCGTGCTATCTCTCAATAAAGTCAAGTGAACATAACTAACAACAGAACTGATGTTGACGAGCTGAAGCTGGCTCAGAAACATTACGTATACTTCATATTGTTGATGGGTGGAACGTTTAGGAGAAATAAATCAAGAATAGCCAAATAACTATTCGATTTCTCCGAACACTTGGAGGAGTTTCTATTGACTTCCCGCACCTTGAGAGACCAACTTTTTCAAATTACTTAAGTACCTTACTCATCTACCTCACGATACATATGTCCATCAAGAAATTTCTCTTACCTCGTCAAATTCGGCAGAGGCATCAGCGAACAGATCACATCATGAGCAGCCCCGACCCGTCTATGCCAGCCCGAGGCGCCACCCCCACCACGGACCACGTCGTCAACAAGCTGAAGAGAGCCCTGGAGAGAGACGATAATGACGACACGGATTCGTTTCGGGCTCTGAAGGTCAGAGCGGTTGATGCTGTCCTGACTGCCATCGATGATCCCAACGTGGCAGTTGGCGACCTTCGGAATATGCTGCGCCGCTATCAACTCCCCCATCTGGACGCTCGTCCAAACAAGCCCCCCTACGACTGGGCCAACGATTTTGACGAAAGGTACAAGTTGAACAAGGCGACTTTTCACAAGCTTACAAAAATCCCCGAGGGAAACGCATTCGCGCGGGGACGTATCGTCTCGGCGGCCGTGATGCTTGCCCCAATGTGGCGGTTGCGAGAAATCTGTAACATGACGGCCAATCACGAAGTCGATTTTGTTCTCGACTGCTACCCGCTAAGGGACGGTCTGGCTGCTCTCTGTGACCTCTGTGAGTTAATTCCTTCAATCTGATGGACGTTGCTAATCCTCATTCAGCTTTGGCTAAGGACAAACCTCGAGAATTGGAATGGTCTGAATCCGATAACGAATATGACGACAGCGACGACGAAGACGACAACTACAAACCTGCATACCATGAGTGGTACGGCATAAGCAAAGAGGAAGTCAGCGCGGAGCGGTCGGCGATAAAAGAAGCCTTCACAAGAGACAAGCACTACGTCATTACCAAAACGCCAGGAACCAAGCCGTGCTACTTGTTCAACCCTTTTCTCAGATCATACTTGAGGAAATTCCGACGAGCGTTGAAAACCGTTTCTCCTATATGGGGGGAAGAGAAGATCGACGGGTATTTGGCCAAACTGACAAAGGAGAACCTCAGCGGACCGTCAAATATGATCTCCGTGAGCCCTCTTGCGAGAGCCTATTGGAAAAAGGGGTGGATTGCGCTGGAGCCGATTCGACAAGAGACTCCGACAAGTCTCAGAGTCCGTTATCACGTCCTGAGAACCACCGGGGATGTCGACTGGAAAATCCGTCATGATATACGAAAGCTTTTGCAGCCAATTCGCGACGAACATGGAGTGGATATCGCACTTTTTGAATATGGCACCTACGAGCATATCTCAGACGGCTTTGAGTTCCTCATTACTGCGGATGATGCTGGAGATCTGCCTGATCTGGAATTGACGAGGCTATGCTGGGAGATTCGCCAGATGGCTTCGATGGCGGGATTTGGGATCAGTGAAGATGGGTTTTATTAGGGAAGCGCGTCGATATAGGACAACTAGTGTCCATCTCCTCTCCTTTTTGGCTTTTTGAGATGATGGGAAGGAAACTACCTGAGGCGTAGACGAGCAACTCAAGGAAACTAATGTTGCCAAAGTAGCTGGGTAATAGAACCTGTAGTCTGGGCTTATGACGTGAAACATTAGCAGGTGATTTTTGTTCAGCCTATGCTTGCAGCCCATGAGATGCAGAATGAAAACATGTGATCTGGTGCCTATCAAGAAACTGCAATTGTTAGTTGGTCCCTGATGCCTCACATTGAAGTGATTATTGTAGACTGGATGTCTTTTATTTCCGATCTGGTTGTCTGATCAACTACAAAGGGCAGGTACGTCCACATCCACGTTCTTTCCGTTATTGCCTTCTCTTTATTATTCCCCCCACCTTCTTGCCCAACGACAGGTACCAATTTTTCCCCTTGGTCTACCTTACCTACCTTACCTCCATATCCATCCTTCTCTGCAGCATACCTTTTTTCCCCCTGTTCCTTCCTTTCTCACCAGACTCAACCACTGCTCGTCGTCGTCCACATAATATCTCTGCACCCCAACACACAATGAGCGACGCAAAACGCCCAATGTACACGGACGATCCGGAGTCCCTTGAGACTATGTTGGTACAGATTTTGGCTACGCCTGCCGAGCCTATTCTTGAGGATGGCGACTTGATCGTCTCTGTCGTCAACACAACTTCCTCCGAAATCAACAACTTGTGCGTCTCGTCCGCCGTTCTGAAGATCGCCTCGCCTGAATTCGCGGCACTGATGGCCATCTCGGAGGCTGCTCGCGAACACAACGTCGTGCCTGTTGCAACGAACCGACCGTTGAACGTTGGTATGCGGTGCATCCTTTCGCTTCTTCACCACACCAATACCGACGAGTACGAAACCATCGACGCTCAACAGCTTTCGAACATCGCCACCGTCAGCTCGATGTTTGGCTTCCACAAGGCTCTTGCTCCCTGGATCTCCCGCTAGTGCCGAGAGATCCACGAGAAGATTGCCGCGGACTGCAACGCTGACGCCTGCGACATTGGCGCCTTCCTGTTGGCCGCTACGAACTTCAAGACAGATGCCGAAGTTGTCAAGATGAGCAAGCTGGCATGTCTGAAGTTGCCGGCTACGTTTGTCGAGATGTGGTCGAACGACGAAGATCTGGCCCAGATCCCGCAGACGCTCGTGGGTAAGATCCCCCGGCCCCGCCCTCTACCATGATTCGTCACTATCGTCGTTTTCCCTCGTCACTGTCATGATGTTATTCCTCTCGTCTCATGAAGTATTACTGACCATCGCAATAGCCAAGCTCACTAATGATATGCAAGCTTCCTTGGGTGCCATCACCAAAGCGCTCTTTTCGTTCGAAGAGCTTGCAAAAGCCCGGGGGGCTTATGACACTCGTCAACAGCTCTGCCTTGGTTGCGGTCGACGACCCCCCGCCAAAGCCAAGAAGTGCAACCCTTGCCACAACCTAGACCTTCTACCCGATGTCTGCACCACGGCTTCGCGCATAGGAAACTACTTCCTTGCCCTTCAAAGACACGGTCTCTGGCCCCCTACGGTGTTGTTCAAGGAAGAGATCTCGCCGTCGGACATCATCAATCGCATCGAAGAGATGGCGCGAGACACCAAGCACACATGCAACGGTGAAGGAAGATGCCCCCTGGTCATCTGCCTGGAGAAACTGCCTCAGACTATCAATGTCGCGGTGGCAGCTTTGGACGAGATGTAGTTCCGACCAAGCGCTACGATGATTCTGTATACACGGACGATGAATGGCAATGAAGGCGATGGCATCAACGGGCTGTATACACGGAGGATGTAGAGAGGAAAGGAGTGATAATGGAGGCAATAGCATCAACAGAAGGGACCATGACATGATCGGAAGAGGAAGAGCACCGAGAGACGTACAACGCAGAATGTGTTAGGATTGTTTGCTAGTCAGATTCCTGGGTATCCCCCAACGCCATACAGAAAAGTTCTTGATTTTCCCCATCAACGCCTGAAGTTCTCCAATGCGTTCGTATCATACAGCCTTGTGCTTTTGTAGATCAGAGCTCCTGCTCAGGAACCCACTCCATGTCGTTGTCCACGAACTTGTGACTAGTCGAGTGGTTAGCATCCTCGCCATATCCTCTCACCAAAACAGCAAACTTACTTCTTGATCTCCTTGTTGATCAACACCTCCTCCCCGTACTCCGCCAAAAGCATGTCCTTGTACTTGAACGGGATCTTGGTCCTCACGCCCTCGAACGTCGTCTCGAGCAGCGGGTACAGGTACGTATCCCGGAACTCGTGCCCGTCCTTGGTCGCCAGCACGCCCTCGCCCTGCGCGTGGCCCTCAGCATACCGCACCGCCGTGACGTCGACGAACACCCCGTTCTCCATGTCGATCCAGCGCGCGTCCACCGCGTCGGAGCCGTCGACCGCAGCCCCGCTCACGTAGGCCGGGTTGACCTCGAGCTGGAACTCGCGGCCGCCGGGGACCCTGGGGTACTTGTAGTACCAGGTGGTCATGTTGTAGTAGGCGGCGAGGAACTTGATGCCGTTCTCGGACAGCTGGGCCGCGGGGCGCACGTCCCAGGGGAGGACCTGCTTGTTCCACCACCAGCCCAGCAGCGCGTTGTGGGCTAGCCAGGTCTGCACGCCCAGGTCGCGCAGCGTGGACAGGTAGGTCTGGACCAGGACCTTGACGGCGTCGCGCTCCGCCGTCGCGTTGAGCGGCTTGGTTGCGAAGCGAGGGTCGTAGTGGGCGGAGAAACTGGATTTAGAGTCAGTGCGTGTGCGATTGAGTAGAGGTTTGGGGGGAGAATTGACCTCGACTCGGGGAAGTATCCCGCGGCGGGCTGTTCCCGGGACTCGTCGGTGCGCGTCACGGCGGCGGCGGCGCCGGGGCTCGGGATTTTTGAGGTCGGGTCTTGGATCGGTGTGGCTTGGGCGAGGGCGAAGCCGACGCCGATCGTCGAAAGCAGGCGTCCGAGCTGCATCTTTTTGTCTCCAATTTCTCAGGGGAAATCACCAATTCGTGGAGGTGAAAGTTCTGGGAAAGCAAGCAGGCAAAAACAGCGGCTTTTGTTGGGACTACGCGGTGGCCGGGTTTGCTTATATCCTCCCCTGCCTGGCTAGGCGTAACGTCATCGAAGGTCGTAATAAAAGGATTGGGAAAACGCGGCGCCCACACCCGGATCTTTCGGCAAGTTGGAAACAGCAGAGCTGACCTGAACAGAGGGAGATTTGACGTTTGCCCCAAGACAAAGAAGAGTGGTATAAATAAAACAGTTTGCGATTGATGCTACGCTGTACCAACCAACAAACAAATAAGCGCCATGAGGGAGGTATTGGGGGAGGGGACCAACGAGTTATCATATATCCAAGCGCTGTACAACCAACAACCAACAAACAGACCCCCAAATGAACCGATGCGTCTTCCCGGGTGGATTGGGGGAGGGGGACAGAACCCCCACGAACATGAGAATACTACCTATTAGAGGAGGGCTGCGTAATTCGACCGGCCCTGTCGAAAGTGGCATTGCTAGGGGAGAGCTTAGCCCTTCCGGATCGCGAACCGCCCTACCCAACGGGCGGCAAGCTTCACAATTCGCGGCTGGGAGCCCCCACAGCACGGCATTGCGACCAACAGCCGGTGGCTCCTTAGTGGGCCGGAGTGTGCCGTCCCCGCCTCAGGAAGGGGGGAAGGGGTCGTCGTCGTCGGCTGGGCCGCGTCATTATCCGCTGTTAAAGGTATTTTAGCACAACTAGCACTGCCGTCAGTCCCGCTTCCCGCACTAATGATATCGCGGGCGACACCTTGTCGGAGCATTTCTGTTCGGCCGTGGGGTTGTGGGCGCCCACATCCCGATGGCGACGACGTTTTTTTGTTCGATGCTTGGGCATGCTGCGCGCGGCCGGTGCGATGACGAGAATGACTCTACTTTGTGGGACCCAAAAAGGACGGTGTTATGCTCGCCCCGAAGTTCTGGGACTGGTGTATTCGTAAGACGAACTTTAGATCGTCTGAATTTGAGGAATCGCGGTTGTTTTCCGTTGATGGCGGAACGGATGTCGTGTCTCCCGGGCTCGGGAACGGCGTGCGACGGCGGGAGATGAGATCATCTAGACCGAGCAATTCGGGACAGAAGTCTGTTTTGCTGGATGGACGAAAGTGTCTGATGAACTCGTTTGACGACCGTGCTAGTGCGGACGGCGTTCACACGTCGTTTCGTTGTGACCCAGTAACCATGGCGATGGCCTGATGAGCGATACTCTTGTCATCGTCGAAGGTGATAGTATTGTTAATACCACCGAAATCAATCCAGACAGTGTCGAAATCTTCATTCTCCTGCTGGGTTCCCTCGACCGGAGGAGTCATGGAGTCTGCCGTGGCGATGTACCAGAAAATAATCTTGAGAACGCCGTCTGTGACACGCTGAGATACGGCGATGGGCTCTGTGATGGGACGCCGGCTGTCGCCAGTGGCTAGGGTCGACATGTGCATCGCAGTGAGCCTGGCTCTGATCCCGGTTTCCTCAAACGTCTCTCGCTCTGCTGCTTCCTCGAGAGATTCGCCAATATCCTTGCGGCCTTTGGGGAGCATGCACTCGCCCGTTGGGCGGTCACGGATGAGGAGGACCTTCGATCTGTTGACGTCGATGGTTACGGTGCCGCAGCTGATGACGAATTGGCCGGAGAGGGCTAAGCTTCTGGTGACGCATGCCATGTTGGAGCTTGAGTTGTTTGGACTGTGATTGAGAGAAAAAAGACGCAAAGTCCTACAAGTAAGTCGCCCTTGAGCCGGACTCCTAGCAGAAACAAAGTCGGCAGAAAATTGTGTCTTGGTTTTGGCTGCCTAATTTCGGCTTGCTTACGGGAAGGTGCATACCTAAGGTGCTTACCGATCGTGGCCGCAGAGGTATCGTGGTGCTGGGCCTTGATTTTCCCGTTCTTTATGCTGGCCAGGAAAACCGTTGCCAAGCTCAAGATCGGGACCTTGTTCGTAGTGCCTCCGATCTTAAATACTACCGGACCTTACGGATAACGTTAGCGCTTCCACCGGCGCGGCGCTCAACGGGCGGCGTCTCCTCTAGGCCGGTCGCCGGTCTGGGCCCTCCGGAAGGAAGCGAAGGAGGGCCCACCTCAAGCGCCGAGCCGTCAGCGAAGAGGCGGGAGAGCTGCAATGAAACTCCAATCTGCCAGATTGACGCTGCCGCTGCCGCTACTTTGGCGGCCCAAGCATGCGGTAACGTCAATCTCCAATTTCTTCAGTACCAGAAAGAACCCTGCAAATTCGTTCAAATCGTCTGAATGAATACCTTGCGGAGGCAGACGCCCGCCTGCGCCAGACCAACTACGAAGTCTCTGAGAATGGCTTCTGACACAGATGGCTGCCTGTTGGCAATTCGCGGTGGATAAGGACGCCAGATGACGATGCAAATGTCCCGTGTATGGTGAATAGCCGCGCGTCGAAGAAGACTTCTCGGTCATTTCAACATCAATTGAGGGGCGGTTGCGAAATTATTTAGTGGTGGTACGTACGCTGCTGTGGTGGAGGATCCTGGTGCAAGAGAAGACGCGAACAACGGACGACAATGTCTGCCGCCGATTCTCCCAAGAACTTTGAACACTTCGATAAGCAAAATTGGTCCCGGTGAAGTAGAAAACACTGTTAAATAACTCACGAATGGCATTCTGCCCGTTCTGAGCTCGCATTCCTTGAAATGGCATGGTCTTCGCAATCCGCGCAGCAGGGAACCCACTCACTCCCCGCTAAGGGAGCTATCATAGCGGCGGGGCATCTTCTTAATCGCTGACGGCTGCATCTTATGTCTGCTATTGACTCTTTCTTCTCAGTTGCTATACCTCTGGCTATTTTTTCTCTCTCTCTCTCTCTCTTGTGAGATTGCTCGGTTCAAAAACTGTTTGCCTAACAGAAACCCAGTAAAGAGTGACGAATCTCGTGTTACTCTGAGACTTCGGATTCCGCAGGACAGGATACGCTAATCGGCCGCAGTGGGGTTACATAAGCGACCCTGCATCATCGGCCCAATCACAGCGCCGGCAAGCGGTGCAACGTGGCTGGGGGGCCAGGCTGTCGTCACCTTTCGCCAGCACGGATAAGGCACAGGCTCGAGCTGATAAGGCCAGCTGGGCAGCTCTCCTGCCTCTGAGGGGAGCGCATTAATTACCTGCCCAAGCAAGGTAGCTGAATGAACCTAGAACCGCGCGAGGCATCTGGAACTTGTCAACCAACCTACAGCCGCAAGCCGCATACCTTACCCGTATTCGTAGCTTCGTCCCCTCCCTTCCCCTCCATCTAAGCTTCCCAACAATCCCGTACGCACGCAACGTCCGCCCGATTCTTCCGCTGCATCATCGATATCCTGAAGACGTCCGATCCGTGTGATGTGAAACGGCGCCGGCGTCTTCCCTCCCGTCCCGTCCCGCCGTTTGCTTCTTGTCGTGCGCAACCCGCAGTTTCCGAAGCTATCCAATCCAGATCAAAACACCCAGACGATCAGCCATCAGACTAGCGGAAGCTCGACTTCCCACCGTACGGCACCATGACTGCGTGGAACGTGAGTTGTCGAGAACCGTCGAGGGCCTCGCGCCAGAAGCTGACGGATTGGCAGGTTTTCCGATTGCTGGGAGATGTCTCCCATCTCCTTTCCAAGGTCATCTTGATGCTTGCGATACATCGCAACAGAAGCGCTGAGGGTATGCATACTACATTGAAGCCACGAAGTTTGAACCACAGCTAACGCACGCGTGCGCAGGTGTCTCCCTCATCACGCAAGGGTTATACGCCCTCGTCTTCTGCACGCGATACCTCGATTTATTCGCCGAGCAATCGGCATGGAACTTCATGTTCAAGATATTCTACATAATGTCGTCCATCTACATTATCGCCATAATGCAGTGGGCGTACCCCCGATCCAGGGAGCGTGAGATCTCCTGGAAGGTCGGCGCCGGCGCCCTCGGCGGCTCCCTCCTCCTCTCGCCCTTCACCATGCTCATCTTCGAGAAGTTCTGGGGCTTCAGAGTGGTAAGTCAAAGCGCGCGCCTACATGCCGTTCAACGAACAAGAATCAGCTGACAGATCCTCCTGCCCAGTGGCTCTGGGACTTCTCCCAAATCCTCGAATCCGTCTGCGTCCTCCCTCAGCTCCTGCTCCTCCGCCAGACCACCGTCCCTACCGTCATCGACTCCTTCTACCTCGTCACCCTCGGCTCCTACCGCGCCCTCTACCTCATCGGATGGATCACCCGCGAGCTCGACATGAACGACAAGGCTCCCAACACCGTCTCCGTCATCTTCGGCATCGTCCAGACCGCCCTCTACATTGATTTCGCCTGGGTCTACTACACCCGCCAGCGCGTCAAGCTCCGCAACGGTGGCATCGTCGACGCCGACGACATGCGCCGCAGCTGGCTCCTCAACCGCATCTTCGGCAAGCGCTTCGACACCCATTCGGAAGACGAGGAGAGCGCCCCTGCTCTCGGCGACGACGGCGCTCCCCGCCGCGGCGGCAGCCGTCCGAAATGGGGCGCAAGGGGTATCTCTGTCAGCGCCGACGAGGGCGTTCTCGATACCGACCGCGACAACCAGCGCCGGGACGAGGAGCTGGACCCCGATGCCAAGATGCAGGATCCCGATGAGCTTGCCCGGGTGCTCGATGATGACGATGAGGACGACACGAATAAGGCCTCCGGGAGCAGCGGTGCGCCCAATGGTATCCAGAACGGCCAGGAGTGGCGTGACACTTAGATTCTGACCTACGGCGTTGTCTTGACTTGGTGGTACTCCGCCTCTCCTGTGGTCATTCTCTTTGTGCTTGGTCCTTACTTGCAACGTATTTGGGATGAAATAAGTCATCACGTCGTCCATTCGAGCGGAATACACCACGAGCAGAATGGATGGAATGGATCTGCTCAGCATGCAAGAGGCGTCTTCTCAGCGAGACATGGTTTGACGATTTGTTACAAGAGGTACGAAATGGGATGACCTCTCGAGCGAGGATTGGACATGTTTTCTCCTTTTTTTTCACGCAAGTTATAAGGGACTGTAAGTTATGATGTTCAATACAGCCAGTTCCTCAAGTTGAATCTCAATGTTTCTGAATCTTTGAATCTACACCTACGGCCGTTGCCTGTGCTGCCGCTCGTGTTGCTGCGTAGAGCCCTACTGTATAAACATGTATCTGACGGTCCTAGACGACCTGTCATACCGACGCTGGGGGTCTAACTACCAAAGGGTATCTCTGTACGTATGTATGCCGCACATGTTAACTCGAAGTAGACCGCCGTCATACCCATTCGTGCGGCTGCCCGGACAGCCCTATCGTTTGCTTGTTTAGCCGGGATATTAAGTGCCGACTGCGTCCTCCTCGCAGCAGCTTGCCGGCCCCTTACAGATAAGAAGCGAGGTGGACGCGACGTAGCCTTTTCAGCACAACGCTTCCTCACTACGCGCTGATCCTAAATCCGTCCGTGACGCCGGGCGTAGAGTCCGCCACTGAAAAATCCCAATATATGCACACACACATAGTACACATCACGCGCCGCCAGCACTCAACCAGCCGTGGTCGTCGCGTTGGACCCAACCTCGATGTTGCCGCCAAAGGCAAGCGTCTGTTCGACGCTGGTCAAGTTGGCCCAGTCGCCCACGAGCACGGCGGAGTCGACCCGGAACCCACCGGCGGCGGTGGTGTCGTTGATGCCGGTGGCGTTCTTGAGGTAGCAGAACTGGCCGGTGCCCTTGATCAGCGCGACGCCGACGCAGATGCCGCCGCCGACGTAGACATCATCGCCGACGGCGTCGCTGTAGCCCTGGTTGTACTGCGCGCAGAGCGTCATGCACGAGAGCATGTCGGGGACGGTCATGACGAGGATGTCGCGAACGCCCGGGTTGATGCCCTGGCGCTGTGGCCAGAAGGTGTTGCAGAGGACGTCGAAGGACATGACCTGGTCGTTGTTGAAGCGGATCGGGGAGCCCGAGGCGTCGTAGGGCGTGATGCTCTTGTTGGAGTAGCGGGAGGGGTTGCTGCCGTCGTAGCAGTACGGGTTCAACGGGGCCGGGGAGGGCACGCCGAGGATCTGTGTCACTGTCGACGGATACCCGTCTATCGTCCTCGTGGTGGTCCTCGTGGTGCTGGAGGCGATCGTTTCGCGTCAGCCAGGGCTGCTGGCTGGGATGGTTTCTTTAGGGGGGAAAGAGGGAGATAGAGAAACGTACGAAGCGGTCTTTTCTCTTTTCGTTCCGGTCTGGGGAGGGGAGGATTGGAGAAAGAAGAAGTAGATATAAAGAATGAAGCCCGTTCAGATTACGGGTTCAGACGTACCGGTTAGCCAAACCCAGCCCCAGGCCGACGGCGATGGCGACGCCGACGATGATGATGCCCAGGGCGACAGCCGCCCAGAAGCGGAAGATGGTCAGACCGAGGATCGTCTTGCGCGGCTCCCCCTCGACCTGCCCGGCGTTCTCTAGTTTCCGCATCCAGCCCGCCATGGCGCCGCCGCCGCCGCCGCTGCTGCTGGCCGACGGCGCGGACGCCACTGCCGCCGGTACCGCTGGAGCATATGTGTGCGCTATCGGGAGGACCGGCGCGTTCTCGGTGCTGATCCTGCGGGATTCGGGATACGGCGGCGAAGCATCGGGGACGTCTTGTCGGAGGTGTGCTGCCTGGGGATATGAGTTGTCGATGTGTTGTATCCTGGGCGCCTCGGGGGCCGGTGATGTTGTGGCGTATTGCGTCTGCGTCTGCGCCGGGTCGACTGTGACGGTCCCGGGTTGCCGCCTTTCGTGGACCGGGATGATGAACTTGTGTTTCTCTTCCTCCATCTCCATTTTCGGGTATGCCACCTGCGCGGTTGTCGATAAAGAATGAGTTGGCTCGTCCCTCGCTGTTTGCCCCTCTAAACCCCCTTCTGGTTGTTGTCTCGTTGCGCCAAGTCAGAGCATATGCAGGTCCCCAGGCGTCAGGATTCGACGAAACAAGCAGGCCGCCACTGCAGCCTTCCTCCTTCCGTCGGCTCGGGAAGGAAAAAAGGAGAGAGAAAGAATATGTGTGGTCGGAAGGAATCCCCGACGGCCAAGTAAGAAACACACGGAAAGGAGGTTGTACGGCCTGGAAATTAAAAGACGACTGAATGACAGCGAAAGATGGGAGAAAAGACAGCACGCGGGGCGAGCTGGGCCGGCAGTCGTGCGTGGGTAGCAGCTTAACGAGGAACACTAAGGGGATGCAACCCAACGTGGAGACGCGAAAAAGCAGAGGGTGAGGTGCTGTAATGCTTGGCTTGGCGTTGTTGGACGTCTGCTGCTCGCTCTCTCTCGGTTGGTTGAGATTGCCCTCTGTTGCTTTCGTATCGCTCAAAATGACGATAGTGCCTTGACTGGTGCGTTTAAGGTCGGTCCACTCGGGGTTCTTCCTTCTCGTTCTTCAAGGTGTCCGAAGGTAGGAGCAGGCGGCAGGCAGGCGGCGGCTGAGAGAAATGCCCAATTCCGAATGGGAAGCTGTCTATTTTGCCATTTTGCAAAGTTGGAAACGCTGGGATTAAGACTTCGGGCGTTCCCCGGACCAGGGGGGCGGGGATAGGCGGGAAGCTTCACTTGAAGCCTGTTGACCCTGTTCTGCACCGCTGATGGTGATTTTTGAGATGTGGCTGTAGCCGATATAGTGGTGGAACCGGTGTCATGGATGGAGCACTCTCGTGAGCATGCGAAATGGCGTCCTTGAGCTTGGCGGGTTGGGGGGCACGACGTAGCAATTCGTAGAGATCCAAATTTAAAACCAAGGAAATCCAGGGATATGCGAGTGGTGCGGGCGCTCCATCGTGTGTGCGTTGGGTGTGTTTTGCGTGCTGTTGCTGCTGCCGTGTGTTAGTGTTCATGTTGGTGTGCTGTTCAGCGACCCGGCAGCTCTTCGGACCATTGACAAGACAAGATTTCATGCGTTGTAGGGGGGGTTTGGAAAAAGCAAGTGTTAGCACTGGCTGGCGAGAGTCGCTTTCTGGTCTTGGTCTTTTTTCGGCATTTGGAACCGACCTCTTTGGCAGGGATCACGATAGCGAGCGGTCCCCGGTCGTCTGCAATCGATCATCCTCCCGCCTTGCGTGAAAAGGGGAGTTCGTCCGGGCTTCCACTCGGGGGAAATGTGGAGTTGGCTCTCCACGCGACGGTCCGCCTGAGCTGTTTGGTTTTCAATTTCATGGGGGTCGCAGTCGCGGTCGCTGTCGCTACCGTAGGCGAGTGATTGCTTCTCCGGGGGAGCGGGCGTTGTTGGTGTTTGTCTGGAAACTCGGATGTCGGGCGAGTTGCTTTTTCGACAGAGCGAACGAAGATATTTGTCAACGTCGTCTGCCTCATTTGAGACTTTCCTCCCAGATTTCGAACTGCTGTCGCTCTTTGTCGATAAGACCTGTTCAACGTGCAGCAAATCTGCGGAGCGGTCACGCGGAATCTGTCGGCCAAAATCCGGCGTACCCGATCAACGGGATGTAACGGAAATGGCCTGTCATCTCGGAGGCATTGTGGGCTTTTTGACGTTGATAGGGCCGAAGTTCGAACGTCTCTCTCTGCTCTCCACGGACGAGGGCGGATTCACCCGCCGTCTCCAAGGGCATTGTCGGGTTCGGTGTGGATTATCGAGTGATTCTGTCGAGGACGCTCGCGAAATGAATTCCGAGGCATGTCACGTGGTCTCGCCGGTTGAGGGAGCTTAACAGCAACACACGCTGGTAAGTGAGGTCCCATGCCATGAGGTAAATTTGACGACATGTCTTGGTGGTAGGTGGCTTATGCAGCTAAGCTTTCACAATGGTGGCTGAAGGGATTGTGTAAAATTCTCTAACAGTCTATCGAGCGAAGTCAAAAATCAAATACTTTGTTGCTGGTCCCAGAGATCCCTCCCACGCATCAGAAGACTAGTCGTCTCTAGAATACGATGACGCGCCCCTCATATTCGGAGTAACGCTTCAACAGCTCAACCTGCAGTTGTTTCTCAGAAGTCTTGGCGATGGTGTCCAGTTTCTCGGGTAGAGCAGCAAAGTGAAGTCGCAAGGGGCAAGCATCACCGCCGGAGCACTCATGCTCGACTCTCTCGCTCAACTCAGAATATGCCTTGACGATCTGGTCTGCCATGAATATACTCACGAGTTCAGAAAGAGGGATGATCTTGATACTCTCGAATATACGCATACAAAACTTTGCGCGAGATTGCGCGGTGCACATGTCGGGCTCTGAGGGCATGTCCTGGCCACACTTGACGCAGACCCGGCAATAGAAGCTGTTGGTTGAAAACGACTTGTGAGTCTCCAGTGTATCCGGAATGGAGCTCGCGGCGTTGCCGATATTGATGGTAAACATTTGCGACAGGAGTCGGATGTTGCCTTTGATATTGACTTGTCAGTAAGCTTGGACAGGCAACAAGAACGATGCGGTGACTGATACGTACCCTTGTATATCGCTGACGATTCGATATCAAGTCTCCTGATCACGGGGCCCTCGGGCTTCAAGTTGGCAAGCTCCACCAACTTGGAGAACAGACGCGTGTCCTGTAAGTGTTGGGCGGCCGTCAACAACAAACAAAGTGTGGTCATCGCGCCAGGGACCCGGCGCCAGCCGTTTGAGCTGCTGCTCGCACCAGCCAGAGAGCAACGGTGCAAGCGCCTTCTTGAAATCGAAAGTCACGGTGTATTGCGCGACTCCGAGGATGGTTTTGGCTTCGGGTTCTCCGCAGTTCACGCGGTGCAGAGCCGCGAACATGCATCGACCGGCGTGGGGATCCAAGAGGTCGAGGACCATGTAGCGACGGCCGTCCTTCTGCGGTGCAGCGAACTGCATCATGCAGCTGAATTTCACGGAAGCCTTTTCGAGGACCGGGCGTGACACGCGGATTGTGTTCACGGACTGCGAGTCGTTCTCTCGAAGCCCGATGATGAGGGAGCCGTACTCAGACATCACTTCCGGGCTCGCGCTTTGGAGCGTGGGCAGTAGCGTCGCGCCCCGAGCAATGCCCTCGATGGCCTTGTTCTCCTCGATTCGGAAGGACATCACGCGCGTTCTCATGTTGTCAACGTTCTCGTGCATAATGAAGGCGGATGTTGTTGATAAACAATGAGTACAGGCTGAGACAGATGAGAGTGATGGGTCGACCGAAAGGGAACTTGACTGAGCTTTTGTAAAATGAGGGCAAGGCTAGAATATGAAGACAGGGACGTTCAAGGGATGGAGGGAACAAGGGCATGATAACTCCTAGGCGGAAGGAGGAGCAAGAAGCGAAAGCCTTGATGATGTACAGGAAGAAGACGTATTCGAATGCGGAAGTATTGACGGCACAGTCCATCAACGTCTGCCACTGAATATACGTTCTCGTTTCCCATTCTTCCTGCAACTTCCAAGGCTGCGTTGTTCGAAGGTGAGATGAGTTGAAAAGTCGTAGTGGTGACACCAATACCTTTGAGGCAGCCCGAATGAATGAATCCCTGGGAGTCGACTGACATTGCAGCTATTAGAAAGCGTCCCCGACCAATCTCAGATGAGCAGGGACCAATGAAGGAGTATCTATACAGTACAATGAGTCGGCGCAGTTGTAGAACGAGTGTTTGATGCTTTCGAATCCCCTCGAGTCTTGCGTCACTTCAGCATCTTGGCGCTGTTGATATCGAATCATCTTTGTTGCTAAATTTGCCAATAAGACGAGTGAAAACCGCTCTTTTGTCGAGCTTCTACATTCCTAGTGTTTCTGTCACTATCACTGCTATCTCTCTGTTGTCACCTTCGACGTATTCCGATAGAGACACTATTCGATGTCGATGAGCTTGGCTGGTGGCCGAATGTTACTACCGAGCCGCAGGATCGGGGAATGTCTAGTCTCTCTAACACAACACATGAACACTCTGCCCGATCCATCATCTCCCTAGTATCAATTCCCCCCCATTGCCCGTAAATTACCCCTGAAAAAAGCCCGAAGCCTTCAAGTTTGGCTCAGGTACCTGCTTGAGCGTGCGGTTCAGTCTCTGGGAAAGACCTGTGATATGGAATCGCAAAGGACAGCTATGCTCGCCGGTGCAACTGTGCTCAAGGTATTCGTTGAGCACGTAGACGTGTTGGGCGAGCTGGTTAGCGGAGAACTTCTGACGTGGTACGGAGGGCGGCCACATTCCTGCCTTCATGAAGATGTTGAAGAAATCAGCGATGCGAGACTGCTTGTTGCAGTTGCTGACATCTTGGTCATCGAAGGGAATACAGCAGTTGCTGCAAGATGATGTATTTTGTCGTCTGCCGCAATCTGGGCAACGGTAGAAACGAGTGGCAAACTGCGTACGACCAATCTGCAGTGGGCCATCGAGGTTTGAGATATCGTCCGTCATCCGAGTGAGCAACGCAGCCACGTCGATGGAAAGTGCGTCTGTGAGATATGATGTTAGTAAATCTGAATTTGGAAGAAAGAGAAGAAGAAAACCAAGAAAACCAAACGATCAGGGCATACCTTTCATACCCTCCGGTACTAGAGGTTTATCGTGCATTGCTGGAGTGAAATCGGCAGGGGAAAGCTTCCGGACAGCTTCCATCCAAACTTTGGAGAACTGTTCGGGTGCTTCGAAGTCTTTGGCGCTTTCCAAGAGGGGGCCGAGGGTGTCGGGCTTGATGTGGTTGCCACAAGCAATCTGTGCAATGTGCGGCTCGTACCAGCGGTAGACCCACGAACTGAGGGCTTTGTTGAAGCCAAGTTTGGAGCTACATCCGGCAACACTGACGATTTGGTCGATCTCGAGAGACTTGTATGCGATGATGTTCCAATGGTGCAGAACGGAGAAGATGCAATCGAGGGCCTCTGACACCACGCCTTCGACAACGAGAACCCGGTGCTCGCCGACCGTGTTGGACTGCGTCCTGATCAAGTTGGCCATCACTGGAGATGCCACCTCCAATACCGGGGACAAGACGTGGTACCACCTCTTGAAAAGTTCATTGTCGGAGTCGTAGAGGCCGATGAGGAGTTTGTTGCTGTCGATGTGCGGGCTGAAATCCTCCAGCTCTGCAGCGTCCAGCATCGTCTCCGTGACCACACGGGGGTCTGGAGGCGTCTTGGCGACTGCAGCGTAGCTCATCGACATTGTTGCGTAGTCCGGGCGGTGGGACTCGTAGACTGAGGTTTGTGTGAGGAGAAACAAACGAGATGGGTGGTCGGAGAGTTAGAGACCTGGACTAGATTAAATTTAAATACACAGCCAGATCCGAGTTGGAATTTGCAAGAATGGTATGGGGATCAGAGAACAAAGAGGAGCAGACGAGAACTCGCGGTTAGAAGCAGGAAAGGTGGTCAGGCATCTAGATCAATGCACGGAGAACGTTTGGTCCTCTGTCAAAAGCCTACGCCGACAAACGGACCCGAAAAGAGGTGGCATGTCATAACTTTTTGATCGGGTTGCAAACGGCGAGTCAATACCTTGCCGTTGCCTTTTTCGAAATCTGTTGGGAGCCTGCTGGATTGTCCAGGAAGGCAGCTGTCAGAGTCGAGAATAACCATTGGGACTTTCTAACCCAGATGAGTACCTGCATTAAAGTTGCCAGAAGCACCATCTGGTCCGTTCGGCGACCAAAAATAACGTGAAATTCCAAACTTATTGATTTGCAAACGCTGTGGTGCCATGTTGATGCTATGGTATCGACTCAACTCGCCCGAAATCGCTCCGTGAATGCTATGCCCCCATGTCGCAGGTACTTTTCATATCTAGAGCCCTGAAACGATGAAAGATTCCTGAAATGTCAAAAAAACTCCGATTCCCTTCTATCACACACAAGCTCCCCATGTCTCTGGGCACGCCCTGCGTCAGCCCCTCAAGATTCCTCGGGTTCCGGCTTCACAGCAACCGCAGTCTCGACACGGGGCTGGAAGTCGACTTGTGCTTGCTGGAAGATGGCGGTCGTGGCCGCATGCAGGCCGTCTAGGTTCTGTCTCAACGGGCAGTTCTGCTCTTGGTTGCAGCCGTGAACGTTCATCTCCTGGAGCTTCTGTAGGTGAGACTCGAGTGTCTTGAGGGACCACGTCACGGGAATCTTGCTGGGAGGCCACAGGGAGTTCTTCATCAGCATCATGATGAACTCCGTCGTGCGTTGCTCTGGACTGCAGAACATGGGAATCAGAACGTCATTGCAGCCAGCGCACTCAGGTTCGGAACACTTGTTCCGCACTCTCGAATTGGTGGCCTTGAGACAATGTAGACAGCGTCCTCTGTGCATCAGACTGACGCGTGCCTGGTCGGCGAGGCTCACGATCGTTCTTTCGATGACGCCGCGAACGCTCTTAGACGCCTCGGCAATGTGTTCTGAGATGTGTTCTGAGAAGAAAGTTAGCTCTAAGATCCAAGCGATTATGCGTGAATAAATGTAGATACCAATGATTCTCTCATCCAGCTGCGAGATGACCGAGTTCTCAGTCCATTCGTCGAAGTCGAAGTCAAGGGGAAGAGTCATTATGGTCTTCTTCAACATCCGCTGGAACTCGCTCTCATGGCCGAACATTCGGAGGGATACCAACAAATAGCCGGCTTCGATGGGTGTGGCCTTCTTGCAGTTGGGCTGCTCATTCAGCCACTGGCCGATCCATGCCTGCAGCGGACCGACGCAGCCGTACTTGTCGCAGCACATGGCGACCTTCGCAAGCTTCTCGGGCGTAAGATGGACTGGGCTGGAGTGTACTCGGTAGTGAAGAAGGGAGAGTATGATTTCCATTGCTTCGGGGCAGTCATCCTCCAGCGGGATGATCGGGCGTTCGCCGTTCTGAACTTGGGTTCCTTCCCTGAAACTAGACGTCAGAAGCAGTTTGAAGTACGGAGATGTGACTCGAAGAAAGTGCGACGAGACGTATAACTTCTTCCGAACCTTCTCGTCGCTGACCATAAGGATAGTATCCCATTCGGGATGAAGCTGAAGCTCGACCTCCTTGATCATCTCTTTGGCGGCCGTGTCGGCGGTGTGGGTCTCGACGGGTGTTGACATGGTTGGTAGTGACGGTGAACTCTGCGAAAGTTCAGTAAAGTGATGGGATTGTGTGACTGTAGAGTGTGTGAGATGGGTGAGTGGAGGCAACCTGGGTTCTGAAAGTGAGTAAGTGGAGAAAGTGAAGTCGAAAGCGAAAACCAATTTTGTGTATATGAAAAGCTTGTATCTGATGAGGAAAGAAAGTTCTCTCGTAGGGGAAAGAAGTAACCTGTTCGCGGCGAGTCCGATAGGAACTGTTGAGTGGTTGAGCCAACTTCTGCTGAAAGGCTGCGTGAAGCAGGATGAGTGAACGCAGCTTCAGCGCTAAAGTTTGCGTAGTGAAGTGACTTGAGAAAGGCAGTAGCTAAGAGTTCTTGTAAGTTCCGGAACGAAGTGAGCTTGATCAAGTCGGGTGAAATCGAGCGAAATATGTCGAATCTTTATGACCCAGGTGAGCGATCTCACTCGGATTGCGGGGATGGTATCTCGGTTGTAAAGAGGAAGTCCCACTTTGAGAGTGGGATGAAGGTGAGAGGCCTCAATGATTAAAGCTGCATCGAAGTAAGAGGTGCTGGTATGTTGGATGCCTCGGGAGTATCACTGAAAATAGTTGGATTGGTGAAGGAGTTGTTAGTGATTGTTGTTTCTGTGGGAAGTGAGTTGTGATAGCAATTCAGTACGTTGGTGCTGCGGGCAAGAGCAAGATCAAGTCCATGAGAAAAGCAAAAATTAAATAGGGAAAGAGACTTTGACATCTCCATTCAATTGGCTTTCAATTTTTGGAGGTTGCTCAAGTGAAGTTGTGGTTTGATGACTGGGGTGATGTCGATTCGGGCTTCCTTACCTAACTAAGACCCTTGTGAATGCACGGACCAACATGCAGGGGTTCCAATGTAAACTGCCAGTGCGCGTCACGTCTTGAAAGTGCAGCAAGGACGCGCCCCCTCCACCCTGCCCAAAGTATCTTGATTCCAGCTTCAAGGCTTCATCCCGATAACAACAATCTTACGACGTCGGTCTCGTCTCTGATGAATCGCACAATTTCTCCGACACATATCCGCGGCTTTCCCGCTCCTTCATTACCAATCTAGACCGCCAGCATGGAATGTAAGTGCGCGATTCAACGTGAACCCCGCTAAATAGTTGCTGATTTCCTATAGCTCGGGCGGATCGCATGCAGCAGCGCATGCGCGGTGCTGGGTAAGTCTTGACCTGGCTATGGCTTTTCGCCAGAATGGAGATTGACAAGTCGCAGCCACGGTCAGATCGAAGACGTCTCGTTCCAATTGGACCTGGCAGGAGATGACCTGTCAAGCGAAATCGACACCCAAACCAGCCCCGAGGTGCCACCGCCCCGAACGACGCCCACACCGAACACATCTGCGAAGAGGCGAAAGTTGGACACAGATGCAGCCCGGACATTACTGCCGCCGCCCGGCAGTGCGAGCCAAGCCAGCAAGCCGGACCATTCCGAGCTGCAGGAAGGATCATCCACCGAATCTGCTCAACCTATCGTGGAGGAACAGACAGACCCAAATGCAGTCACGGAGGAGGACCAGCCAGACTCTGTTGAGTCATTGCCGCCATCTAGGCCTCTCGCAAATGCACCGCCGGTGTCACCGGTACAGAGGAGGTCCATCGCAGACAACTCCGAGGTGGAGGAAAGCCCTGCGGACGCACCAGGAAGTGGTCGACGTCGCACGATTACAAGCAGCGCTCTTGCCTCAAGTGCCAGATTGCAACAAGCGCTCTCCCCAGACGAGAACGCGACCGAGACGGTGCCTATATCATCGCCATTGGAGCGTAAAGTTCGGAGGACCACAATCAACACGCGCAGATCAACAACAAGCAGCCGTGGAAGTCGCAATTCCGCCATATCTGCAACCGAAAATGCCCAAGACCTGTCAACCGAGGCAGCAGAAAAGTCTGACGACCGCATAATATCCCCAGAGTTGTCGTCGCGCTCCACTCGACCAGACGAGTCGGCAGCAGAGGCAGAAGCAGAGCCGCAATCATTTGTGGAGCGAGATGAGCAGGAGGAGCAGGAGCCTAGCCAAGATCATGACGAGAGTGTGGCTGAGGAGATTGATGCGAGAGAAGCGGCCCAACAACTGGGGCGGAAGAGACCCCGCAGGAGCCCACGAGGGCCATCTACCGAGCCAGACTCGACCATTGCGGACGAAGAACAAGAAGACCCATCTCCAAAGAGACGAAAGAAACAATCGAAAGCGAGTCCAGCGAAACAAAGACAAGGACGGCCAAAAGGAAGCTCTACAGCAAAAGCCGCTGCACCCAAAGCTGCCCGAAAGCGCAAAACCAAAACGGCTTCTGACGCTCCCGGGGGCGACGAGAAGTGGACTATTCCTGTGCAACGTTTTACGAAGAAGCAGGCTATTGAAGGCCACGACGATGGCGAATCCACTTTGGATATACCGTTTGCAAAGGTCGGCGGAGTAACCACTGTCGATGTTTTGGCAGCCGTGTGCGATGAAAGCATCCAGGAAGCCTTGCAGGTTTTCAAGGAAGGCGTTATAAATGCGGAGGACAGGGCCTCCAAACGAGAATTGCAGATGCAGGCGCAGGCTTTGAGGTCTTTCCGCGACGAATTGCGAGATCGATTCCTCCATCAGGTAGGTGGTGATTTCCTCACGCTTGATTGCCATCACTGATCCAATCTAGGCTGTTCTGCTCGACACACAACACAGCTTGCGCCAGCGACTACGTAGTGTTCAAAAAGAGCGGACAACGCTCAGGGATGAGATAATGAGAATTCGTAGCGAACGGGAGCAAGTGGCGATCCGGAAGGATGCTATCAGAATTAAGCACGACAAGATAAAAGAAGAAGCTCTGGTAAGCACCCAAACAAGACAAGCTATCTCAGCCTTGCAGCTAACGGGTGTCCACAGAGCCAATTGAGCTTATCTTCGCAGATGCACGACATCGATCTGGCTGTAGAGCGAGGTCGTGCGGCGCCAGAGCTCGGCCCAGCTGAGAAGAAGACGGCGGAGTTGGCCAACCTAGAGTTAATGATATCCAGAATCACGGACCAGGCCTGCACAAAAAGCGATACAGGGGGAACCTTCAAACAGATCAAGGACTTCAATGCATTCCTCGAACGCGCCGCAGTGGCGTTGGAAAACAGATAGCAGAATCCGGGGCAAAAGGGGCGAGACTAGGCCCCATCAACGTCATGTCTGATGTTAAGCGTGGTGCGGGTGTCAAATGTTCACGTATGGATTTGGTGTTTGGGGTTTGACGGGTGGTTTGGCTGGGGATACCCATGGATTTCGGCAATCGGCTCCTCCAATTGAGGATTATTTTGATCAGAAAACCTGCTGGCCGAGCGCGGGTGGCAGCGCTTACTACGCAACATGGTGCGAACCTTATTTGGCCGTCGCCAGTCCTCGCGTCCCGAAAGAGGGAAAACTACGCAGTAATAAAGTAGCATATCATTGCACATCATTTCAACACGAATTGTCCCCTCTCATCGATTTCAAGGCCAGGTCGAGGTCGAGGTCGTTCTGGGCTCTTCATTTCCAAATTCTGAAAGCCACCTCTATTTTTGTCCATTTGCCGTCTTCGGTATGGTTCTCTTTTGACGTCACTAGCCTCATTCGAGGCGCAGTCCACCTCGACCTCGGATTGTTTTTCGTCCCTTCAACCCTGGACATGAGTCGTCGGGGTGGCCGTGTCATGGCGTCCGTGAGGTGTTAAAGGTGCCCACTCTCCGCATGTGGCGGTCGCCGGCAACTTCCACCACCTGCTAAGGTAGGCGATCGTTGTTCCCGCCCGCTGTCGCGTCGCCCGTGTCATGACATGTGTGCCGCTGCGCGAGTGGTTCTTGAATTCTCATCCGGAAGTACGGCACTTGGACGGTGGCCCTGGCCCCAGGTCCGTCATCAAAGTTCCCAACCCACGGCACCGCCTTACACGCCCCCCCTTCCTTTCCCCTACCCTAGACCCCGAATGGACAGGCAAAACTGGGTTAAGCCTCTGCTTGAGGTTCGTGATTGGGCGCCTGGTTGCCGTTTTACTTCCGACGAAGGGGGCACTCGTGGGTGTCAGTTGATTTTTACGGGAGGGAAAGTGGAGGGAACGCGAAAGAAGGGGGCGTGGGCGAGGCAGAGTTAGGGATCCTCGGCCACCGATAGCTTTCATTCTGCTTCAGCTTAGCATGGGGGGTTGTTCGATGAACGGAAGGGGAGAGAAAGGCAGAGGTTGGTTGTTGTTTTTGTTGTGCCTTGTGAATGGGGTGTGGACGAGTACATAAGTGCGAAGGGGACGTCCTCCTCTCCCTTCTCCAGACTTCCTGTTGCTTAACTCAACTACCAGTCTTTTATTCCTATCCACAAGCTTCCTTTCGAGGTCTCACCTATCGCCACTCTTTCTCTACCACATCTCCATCTCCAAACTATCATCAAAATGCCCGCTCCCGAGGCTCCCCAGCAGCAGGCCCCCATGGAGGTCCCCTCTGACAACGGCATCGTCACTCAGCAGCCCGTAAGCACTTCCTTCTCTCACTCATCTATCGAGATCGATGACTGACATTGGTATCAACAGTCCGCCGAGCCCCAGCCCGAGATGAGCCTTCGTGGTGGTGAGGAGGCTGGCTGCGAGATCTGCTGCGGTCTCTGCGGCTGCGAGGAGTCTTGCTGCTAGACGACTTTACAAGAAGGAACCTCACGGAAGGATGAGGGGGAAGCATGACTGAGACGACTACGATTACCCACATACCACCTGTCTCTAGTTCACAAACCCCGATGGCGTTTGGCGATACACTCCTGTTGGAGGAATGAGTGATTTACGGGTTACATAACATACAAAAATATTTACAAATATTGAACAAAACATCATCGATCTTTGTGTGTTTTCGAATGTACGTTTGCAATGCATGTCGTCAAATGTCTTGGTGTTTTCCAAGCGAGCTTTGGCTGTCCCTGGACTGCCAAGAGCCTGCCAAGAGATCTACCCGCAAAGCTTGGCGTGCAGTGGTGCTCTGGGCGGCGGGAGGGCTGAAGGGCGCGCTGCAGAAGTTCCAGGCCAGACGGGCAGTCCTTCGCCAGGTGGGAGGCCACCCGAGCTCGGGCTACTGGCACCCTGTCCAGTCCAACCCATTAACCTCCTGTATCATCTCTGCAGCTCAGGGGGGTGGGCAAGCAAGATAAGACAGACCGCTCTTCGTCATCCCGCCTGGCGATCAGACTTCTCTCGAGTTCGCTCGCCAGTGAAGAAGCAGGGACGGAAAGTTTTCCAAGCCCTTCCGTCGAGCCATCCGCGCCCGTCTTTCATGCCGAATAAAACGACCAAAGCGGGAGTCAAACCCATCACCTTGAGGGTACGCCATGAAAACTTTGATTCATTCGTCTATCGAGTTGTTAGTTCAAATTCACCTTGCTGCTATCGTTATATGGCATCATGTCGCTTGGGGCATGACTAATCAGGATAAATAATGGGTTTTACAATGAGTATCTAAATAGTAAAGCGCCCGTCTTTCATGCGAAAGTTGTCGTCCAATCCTTACCCTCTCTCTCTCATCAGCTCGTGAAGACGAGGCATTTTCCTATCTAGCCGGCGGCTGGTTCTGGGCCTAGCTAACCTAGGTTTTACGTTCCCGCTACCCGCGCCGCTCGCTGATTCGGGCGAAACGCGAACTCTGCATACGTACTTCTTCCCATCCCACGCGCTGTTGATCCAATTGCCGTGATGCTTCCTGGCAAAACCGGGAGCTGAATCCTTGAGTTGAGTTGGTCTGGTGTTTGCGAATATCCCCGTCCCTTGCCTTTTTTCTGGAGGGGCAAAGTTGAGATGGGATGAATTTTTGGAGGGAGCGGTTGAGTTGGCTACGTTGCCCCTGCTGAGGGAATTATGGGGTTCGTGTGGTGTTTCGTTCTCGGCTGTGTTGGATTGATGAGGTCACACTCTTCATGTGCTGCGAGAGTTGATCGTGATCTTTAATAGTCCTGCTATGAACATGATTGACTTCAGAGAATTTTCAATTGCGGTGACCAATCGTTCGTAGACGACGGAAAATTAGATGGATTAGGAATGGGATGGTAGATAATTCAGTCGATGGATTAATGGCCAGGAGCACTTTGCATGAAGGACGACATCACCGACGATGATAATGGCAACTTAACACCGGTGGCCTTCAATGGGTCTTTTTGTGCATTTCGAGATGCTCTTCTAGAAGTACACGATAGTCTACAGACATAATCACCCGCCTGCTTCGTCGCATTCCGACAGTTGCAGGCTGAGTTGCCAATCGCCTCGTGGATGTACAATTACACCAGCTTCTCGCCCCATCCGAGCAAGCGGCGTCCGCATCACACCATCACCAACACCCTCCACGGCCTCGAGTATCTGATCGACTCTACTTTCCTCCAAACGCCCCCGAGATCTTGTCCATGACGGTGGCCTTGCCCTCCGCCTTGCGCTGCTGCTTCTCCTTCTCCTGCTCGTCCCACAGCTTCTGCACGTTCTTGGCCACCTCGGCCTTGGCCTGCAGGTCCGCCCGCAGCGCCGCCTCCTCGGCCGGCCGCTCCTCCTCCGGCAGCTGCTCCAGCTTCTCCCTCCACGACTTCTCCAGGTCCGGCCGGGGCTGGATCGCGGCCGTCTCGGACGCCGCGGGTATCGAGAGGTCCAGCTTGGGCAGGGGAAGGCCCTCCGCCTTGGCCGCCTCGATCGCCTTTTCTTGTTCGAGCATGCGCTGGTAGAGCGTGTCGGCGTGCATCTGGATGTTTTCTTCCACCTGCTCCGGGCGGCCGAAGGAGGACTGGTAGCCCAACGCCTTCAGGAATCTCTGTGTGCGCGAGGTGTCCCGTCAGTAAAACTGCCTTTTGTAAAGCCCGAATCCACCAAGCCCCCCGAGGGATCAGAGACGTAAAAACATACCGTCTGCATCGTATAGCACCTCTCGAACCTCTGCACCTGGTGCCTGCACATCTGCATCCTGTCCTCCCACGCGCCGCTCTTCATGCAGTTCACCCACTCCTCCTGCTGCAGCGCGCAGTTCTCGAGCGCCGCGCGCCCGATGCTGTGCTTGCGCTGCTTGTACCCGTCCAGCACGTCCATCAGCTTCTCGTGGTCCGTCTTGCTCTCGGCCTCGACCTCGGCGTACGGGCGGTATGTCTTCCACAGGTGCGCGTACCTGCCGTCCTGGAAGAGGCTCTCCTTGGGCACTTTTGGCCTTGAAGGGTCCGCATTCTGTGATGATTGTGTTTGTGCGGATATTTGTGCTTGTGCTTGTGCTGATTCTGCTGCTGCCTTGGCGGCTGCGAAGGCTTGTTCGGCTTCTTGGACGGCGGCTTGCTGTACTTTGACAGGCGACTCGCGCTCGAGGAATTCGCGGAGCTTGGGGTCGAGGGATTTGAGGGGGTCGGAGGAGGAGGTGTTGGAGCTGAACCAGCCGTCGAACCAGCCCATCGTGTAAGATTCGGCCTCCGAGGAGGAGAGGGATCGTCGGGGGTTACGAGACGTCTGGCTGGGAGCTAGCGGTGCTCGGAGGGCTGTCGCAAACTGAAGCTTCTTGAGAATTTCCAAGGTGGGAGTGCGTGATCCAATCAGATGCTCAGAAAGACAGGGCAGACATGTGTCAAAGTCTTTGACGCACTGTCATTTGCACTGTCGTTGAAACGCAAATTCATCGAATCTTATTTGCCAGCCTTTTGGGCAGGGTGAAAAAGCTATAGCAATATCGTAAATGTTGAAATGTCACCTGATTGAGTCTGGCGATGGTGATCGGCAGCAGTCTTCAATATCGTGGAGTTCCATTCAGACCAATTGTTCAATTCCCAGAGATTGTTGACCAAACACAGAAACCTCAGTCTTTTGGCTCCCGAGCTAAAGGGTGAAGAGGAATATGGTTTCTGACCATGTCGACTTACACCGTCACCAATGCACGAGTCACATGTGGAAGACAGTTACACGTCCAATACCTAATCATTTTTTTCGTTCATCCGACCTGAGGCGCATCGCAGTTTTCCGTTCCCGCAAAAATCACAAGCCCATCGTAAGTGTGTGCCCAAGACAGCCAGAGTAAAAGAACCTCTAGTTCACAACCGAAGCTTTGGCTGATCGAATTCATTTTGGTCTTGATTCTGCAACTATAACACAATCATTGTGATGTGCAGTTTTCCCGATGACCTCCCATCCGGTATGTAATGAAGAACCCACACCGCAGTCACGCCGTAAATGCCAATGAGCCGATTTAGAACTTGCTGAACTTCTTGACAGCCTTGCCAGTGCGGGGAAGGACACGCAGGACGTTGAAGCGGACCTGGGGGAGCCGTGTTAGTGACCGTTTCTCAAGCTCCTCTTCACGTCGAGAGCTCGTTGGGGGGTTCGTCGCAACATACAGTCTTGCTCAGAGGTCTGCACTGGCCAACGGTGACCTGGTCACCCTCCTCGACACGGAAAGCGGGGGAAACGTGGGCGGCGAGGTTCTTGTGGCGCTTCTCGTAACGGGCGTACTTGGGGATGTAGTGGAGGTATTCGCGGCGGATGATGAGAGTGCGGTGCATCTTGGTGGAAACGACGGTGCCGGTGAGGATACGGCCGCGGATAGAGACCTGGCCGGTGAAGGGGCACTTCTTGTCTGTTAAACGGCATAACGTTAGCATTCATGCTTTCCGGTGTGTCGTGTGCGCAATCAACGCGTGGTGTCGTTTGTCGTATCCCGAAAAGTCCCCCCCTCCTCTTTCCCTCGAGACCCCCAACACACTTCGCAAATTTCCTCTCGAGTGTCGCCAAATTTCGTATCCAAGACTGGTCGCGCCGTCGCGTGTGCCCGAATCCTCCAGCAGTATCATTCGTTCTCGCTCGCAAACGTACCGATGTAGCTGCCCTCAATGGCAGTCTTGGGGGTGCGGAAACCCAGACCGACGTCCTTGTACCATCTGCGACCAGACTTGCCGGGGCGGGCAGACTTGGCCTTGACCTTCTGGTTAAGGAAGATACCCTTCTGCTTCTGGAAAGCCCTCTCGGACTGGACGGTCAACTCGGTAGCCATCTTGAGGTCGTGATGCGGTCGGGTCGACTGGGCGTGGGGTGCTGTTGGGTTAGGAGCGTCGTTGTCGAGCACTTTGTCAAAGTATGCGGGATGGAGCGTAGAAAATCGTTCAGTTTTGCAAGCCCTAGAATGTGCGCGGCGGAAAATGGTCCGTGCCCGACTGCCCTTTCCTCGCTTACCTACCTTTAGCTGCGGACTCCACTCTTTTTTAGAGTCCCTCCCGTCAGCCACGACTGCATGTTGACTGTGGCTGGAGAGGTCGAAAATCTTCGGGAAAGTGGTTGGCCCAGCACTAATCGGGCTTGTTGACATCATTCCTTTTCGGCCAATGAGAGGCCTATTCGAAAGTAAACAGTGACCCATGCAGCCCACCACCCGCTCTTCTGCAGTGCAGTGTTAAGGGACTTTGGCACTTGGACATTCACGCCACTACATTCGCGTTCCTCTTAAAAGACGTGACATGTGCACGTCTAGCCCTGCCATCTGAAGCCTCACAGTCATCCGCCAAACCGACATTCAAGATGGCTTCATTCGGCGACGCGACCATGCCTGCCACGCGGCGGACGCGCAAGTCCATCGGAGCGCCGACGTCGTCGAGGAAAGGAACCGACAAGGAGAATGCGACGATAGACGTGGGCAGTACGCTTGCCGAGAGTCGTAAGAAATCACGAAGCAAGAGTATCGGCCCGGGCGGCCTTGATGCCCTCAAGAATGCGAGTGGCAACCGCAGAGCAGTAAGAATGCTCGTTTTGGTGCTGTGCACGCCCAGCTAACCGTCGCAGTCACTCGCTGTGCCTTCGCGACCCCCACCACGATCGATTCTGAAGCCTACGATGCCGCTCCTGCCCGAGATCCCGACCTTCCGCAAGCGCAACGCAGACCTTATCGACCTGGGACCGTCCCGGGCCAGCACCCCTACGAACACCACCAACAGCGACCTCCCCGGGTCCTCTGGGTCTAAGATTGCCCTGCGCACGGAGGAAGAGCAGCAGGCCGCAGCCAGAGAGCGAGAGGAGCGCGAGCGTCGCGATGCCAGGCGCAAATCTCTTGCCAACCGCAGAGTATCGTTTGCCGCTGAGGCGACATTGCACACGTTCCACGAGGTCGAATTCAATCAAGACTCGACAGGATCAACAGACTCGACGCGACGTGCATCCCGCGGAAATGCACAGGGGTCTGACCGGCCTTCCACGCCGCAAGAGCAAGAAGAGGAAGTTGTCCCACAGTCGCCAGAGAACCAGAGAGAGCTGCATCAGAAGAAACGCAGGCGTAGCTCGACCGCCAACCTCATGGAGTTCTCCGACCACGAGGATAACACTACGGCATCCGGTTTCAGTTCAGACTCTGAGCCGGCTGATGCAGTCGAGGAGATGGATGCCGATGAGGAAGTCGACTCAGACTCTAACAGTGACTCGGACGACGAAGGTACAATGATGACGATCGACGAGCATGAGGTCACCGGCGCCTCGGTCATGTCTGGTCGCACAGTCGGCACAGACGACGAGAACGACACATTAGATGAGGCGCTTCGGATGGCTGCACGCCAAGCAGGGACACAACGACTGGGATCCGACGACGAGGAAGAGGAGGAAGAAATCATCCCTTCTTTCGGATGGATCAAGAAGAAGCCAAGCGACGAGGCAGCTCAAGATCGGGAGAACGTCCCGCTCCCACCTCCTTCACGAAATAGTGCTCCCGAGGAAGAAGAGGATGACGATGATGGTATGGACATGGACATGGACATGACTTCTGCGGTCGGAGGCATTCTCAAGGATAAGACCTCGCAAAGTGTCCCTGACCCCAACGAAGACATGTCTATGGACGTTACTCGTGCCATTGGCGGCATTCTTTCTCGAGTCAATTCGCAACAGTCCGAGTCAAATCAAGAGGACCAAACCATGGACTTCACCACTGCTGTCGGTGGCATCCACAAACAAAATCCCAACGACACCCTTTTCGATGAGAACGAAGACGAGGATATGTCGATGGAGTTCACCACCGCTATCGGCGGCCTTCTGCCTTCTCAAGTCAAGAGAAACACAACGCAGAAGCGTCGTAGGACGATGACTGCTCGCGATGATTCTGTCATGGAGGAATCGACAATGGATATGGACATGACCGTCGGCATGGGACGCATCCTTCCCGCGGCGGACAAGACCATCCACGGTGATGCTACCATGGGCATGGACATGACTGTTGGTCTTGGTCGAATTATGTCTTCGCCAGACAGATCTATGGAAGAGGAAGATGCCACAAGAGGCATGGATATGACCGTTGGTGTTGGTAAAATCCTTGGCGATGTCACCGAGTTGCCGGAGCAAGACGAGCCGACAATGGGCATGGATATGACTGTCGGTGTTGGTCAAATCCTACCCACTGCCCAGGCGTCTGATGCTGAGGATGTTACCATGGGTATGGACATGACCACTGCTGTCGGGGGAATCATGAGACCACCGCAATCTCCCGATTCCAGAATCGCGGCCAAGAAGCTTATGGAGGAGGAAGTGGACAAGCCTGATACGCCCTCGAAGACGATGTCAGTCAAGCCTGCGTCACCTGCAAAGAAGCTGGCTGCGTCGGTCAAGAAGAATGCGTCTACTGGGTCCGATATTGGCAGTAGCCCTGGCTTCAACCCTTTCCAAGGCAAGGGTCTGCGCAACAGCATGCACCGCGCTGGTAATATCGCCGAATCTCCCGCTAGAAGCCCTTCAAAGAGTCCCGTTCGCAGCGTCAGGAGCGCCAGAACCCCTAGCCCGGCAAAGTCTGTGGCCGCGCCTAAAGTTGCCTCTACTCCACTAGACAGCTCGCCTGTCAAGACGCCGCAATCCTCAAGAAAGCGAGGTCGCCCTCCCAAGTCGCCAGCGAGATCACCGTCCCCACCGAAAGCTACTCCTCAGTCCCCCGTAAGGAAGACTACCACGCCCTCTGCTGAAAAGACGCCCAATCGTTTGGATATTTTCCAGCACAATCCCGCGACTGGCGCTAGGACACCTACAGTTGTCCTCACACCTCAGCCTCGCAGACACTCTGGCATTGGTGCGGACAAACCTGGCCTGGGCTCACCCCGTGTCGCTGCTCTTCTGGATCGAAGAGGGTCTCTAGGGGATGCAGCCCAAGAGTTCGTGCCTGGGAAATCTCGCGGAGTCACTTTCGGCGACCCAAAGGTTATCGAGATTGAAATCGACCAGGATCGGCAGGATGAAGAAGACAAAGAAAACGGTCGCAAAATTCTTGAGCGCGAGGCAGATGGCGACAACGAGAAGGATGCCACACTCAGCCTGAGAGACATGATTGACAGCTTGAGCCCCAAGAAAAAGCGCATGCAAGGTCGCAAGAGTCTCCACGTCGGAAGTGCAAAGGGTCTGCTTGGTAAGCGTCCCGCTGAGCTCGATGACGAGGAAGATCGCGAAGACAACGACGGTGTCAAGAGACTCAAAGGCCACCAAGGTAGTCCTGTCAAGAATGTCAAGCTCCAACAGCCCCCGAGCATGGCAGAGACAACCGGCCGGAGGTTGACTCGGTCGTCCCAACGATTCTTGGAGGAAGATACGGTGCCCAAGTCCACCCCTACTCATTCCGAGTCGCCGCTTAAGGGTGGAAGCAAGGCCAAGTCTCCCCAGTCCCAGGGCCGCTTCAGAGATGTCGAGGAGGATACTGTATCTCATCCGATTAACCTCGATGGCTCGCCCGCCCGCGATGAAGCGGAACTTATGGATGGTCAGCCGGAGGAGCGGATTCACCTCCAAGACTTCCTCAACATGACATCAATTAGGTTTATGGAGCTGACAACCACGAAGAGACGTCACACTCAAGCACCTGATATGTTCAAGGATATGGGAGGCAAAGAGGACATGTCTCTGGAGCGCTGCGTCGTCGCTGGAGCCTGCACGGTGCCGATGCTAGAACTGTTCCAACATTCCTGCCGCGAGCTCAAGAAGTACATTTCTGAGGGTCGGAGGGTCGTTCGCGAGATAGAGTCTGAAACTTTCGAAGAAAACCCGCCCCTCTTCCGAGAGTACATGTCCGCATCCCCGGACTTCAAAAATCTTCTCGATAACCAGTTCAAGAACGGCAAGACTCACGCCCGTCTCGAGAGCAAGGCCCAGTGGTACGACTGGCGCATGAAGCTCCAGGAGGGTCTGAGGGAGGGGCTTATCAGGATGGCCGAAGGCATGACGGCAGATGAGAAAGTTCTTTCGCAGCAACAAAAGCTTCTCTCTTCCGTTCTTCCTGCGATTGTGGCGCGCTACACTGAGCTGGAGCAGGAGCACGGTCACCTCCAGGCTGCTGCTGAGGAGCTCGCCGACTGCGACCCGGAAGAACTCGAGGCTGCCAGATCCGACTTGGTTGAGGTTGAAAATGACGTGCAGGAGAAGACTGCGCGCATCGCTGAGCTTCGACAGCAGCTTGAGGACGCCGAGCATGGTGTCGAGGAGTTGACGCGTGAGAAGCAGCAGTGTCACGAGGATATCAAGGAGGCAGAGAAGATTCGCGAGGAATGCCGTGGGTGGTCAACAAGCGAAATCAGCGCCCTCAAGAGTAAGTCTTTCCTCTGATCCATGGTCCTCTGGACTATACTAACAAGTATGCAGGCCGAGTGGATGCCCTCGAGAAGCAGCACGGCTGGGCTGTCACTGGAGTTTCTGGCAGCCAGATCTCAATGACATATCGTCGCGAGATTGAGCTGGTCTTCGACATTTCATCCTTCCAACCCAAGAAGAAGAACTCGCGGATTGACCTGTGGTACATCGCCGACAACCGTGCCAACCACCCTATCCCGGTGACGGCGGAGAAGGAGTTTTTCCTGCAGTGCATCAGGGATCACATTCGTGCCCTGCCGCAGAGCCGCACTAAAATTGCGGACCTCCTCCACATGATCCGCGCTGCATGGGACAAGGCTAATTCCACGTCAAACCATGTCCGGCAGCTCAACATCACGTTCCCAACCACCGTCACCAGAACCTCGGACTCGTCTATCGCCGTGAGGTCAATCATTCTCATGGCGCCGTTGGAGACCAAGGTTGACATTGCCCTCGAGATCCGCGGTGCAAGCAAGCCTGACGGCATTGAGTTTTCGCTTCATTACGAAGCTGCGGTTGTGTACGGAGAGCACTTCAACACTGCCAAGATTGCCGAGTTCTTGACAACTCACTTAGGCGACAAGGCTCTCTCCCAGGACGAGGGTGGTCCGTCGTGGAGCGATGTGGTGGTGAACCTTCACGAGAGACTCTTGGCGCGGGGGCGGAAGCAGTAGTCGTTGCGCATTGCTAGTATTGCTTTGTAATGAGTGATGAGGGAGAGGTTTATTGTGTCGGCATACTTTTGTGTTGGTTGGGTGGTGGCAGGTGTGATTTCTCGGCGCTACGGCGGATACCCTGTGCATAGTCAAATTACGACATTGTTTTTGTTAGTTTGCAGACTTATACGCAACTAAGAGTTGATTTAATTGTCAGTACTCACTCAATGATCGGTCATTGTGATGAAGCAAGTACCATACTCGGTCATTGTCCTACGTAGCTAAACAGACCTATCTTTGTTAACGCCTTGAAACAATGCCTTTTACTTTCACCTTTTAATGTATGTCACCGAACAGATTGTTGATTTATTTGTGAATTTATTTGTTCAACCCCAGGCAAAGCTCTAAAGTAATACACTAGGTTTGATATTACTGTGACGTTGAGATGATGGTTTCCACTCGGGAGCGAACCGGGCCTCGGTGAACGGGCCTCTCACCGAGGCCATCACGACCTCGAGATGCCTCACGGCGACGTTCCTGCCTTACGCCCGCTCAAGTCGCGTCCCTCGTGTGTGCCTCAAATCCGTGGTAAAAAGAGACCGACGTCACTCGGGCAACGAGTCGAGCCTGAGGATCGCCTTCGACCGGCGGCCAAGTCCACTGAGAGGTGCGCTGTACCCCGGCGGCTCGCTCACTGTTATTGTCTTGACAGCACCGCGTCGAAACCCACCCGAGTCGTGGTCACGTGCCCCACTTGCCCTCGTCTTGCTCCTGCCTATTGATATCTCTCTCGCGCGTCGAGGTTTTGAAAAAAACCTCCCTTCCTTTTTTTCTTCGCCAACGTTGATTTCAAGTCAGAACACCGCTTATCACCGCTTTACAGCGTTTTCGTCTACTGAATATCAACATCGCTCTTCTCTATCGTCTTTTGACGTCGTCTTACTATTACCCCTTATAACACATGCAATCCCCCGGCTATTCAGTCACCATGTTCGAGTCCGTTGCGGAATTGTTGGATCGCTGCCTCCAAAAGGTCCTGGCCCTGTTTCCCCCAGCTGCCATCGGAATCCTTGGCCTTCTCGGCATGATCCTTCTTCCCTCGGTGATGGATGAACTGTATAACCTATGGACGAAGTGTGTCCTGCTTTACGTCGACTTGTTCGTTCGTATTTGCGTCGCCCTGTCCGAGGTCAAGCCCGGCAGTGGCCAAGAGCCCAGGACCCCTGGAACCTGGCCTGGTTATCCCGGCGTGGATGTTGCCCATTAGGACTGGGACACCACGACCGCGGAGCCAGTTATGTGAGTCTCGCTGCTTCGCCCATTGCTCCTTCCAAGATTGCTAACCTCGTCGCCAGGCCCCCCGGCACACCGCATCCAGAGGTGTGCCAACACCATACTCACGACCAGAACGCCCCGTGCGTTTCTGATGCTTGCAAGAACGAGAAGGACAAGTTGCGCGACGAGATTGAGACCCTCCGACAGGAGAATACTGTTCTGAAGGATCGTTTGGTTGTCAAAGAGAAGAGAACGAGCGGCCGCATGGTGCCTACCTCGGTTGCCTTCAAGCATCCGAACTCGAAGACATCCCGCCTGCGAAGGCAATTCTCGAGCAAGCAAACGAACGCCAAGTTGGATGCCGTCGATCTTCCGCCTTCCGCGCCTGCTGCCATTTCGCGGGCACCGCCTGCTTCGGATGACGTTGTTACTCCGGTATCGCCTTCTTCGCCTGCTTCGACGGTCGTAATCACTTCGATCCCGCCTGCCTCACCCCGACCTGTTTTCGTTGCTGCTTCCTCGCCTGCTGTCGTTGCCCCGAGCGCACCTTCCTCACCACTCGCCATTGCTCCGATTTCACCTGCATCGCCCGCCGTCACACCTGCCATCGTTGAGGCGGCCTCCCCTGCTGTCGCGACCCCAGCTCTCTTTATCCCATCGGCAACTGTCTCTCCCGTCGCTCTTGCCCCGGATTCTCCTCTCTCTGATGTATTACCCTCGCTTGGCGAATACGTGGAGAACGACAAGAACGAAGATGACGAGAAAGAGTTCAAAGAGAAGCGTAGCGATAAGGGGAATGCGGAGGACTTGGAGGTATACCACAAGGATGATACCGACGACGACGACGACGATGATGAGGATGAGGATGGCAACGGCCCAGAAGGTGGCTCTGCAGCGCTTCAGTTGAAACTCGCGCCTTCACTCGCTCCTTCCTCGGCATCGACTGTTGCGCCTGCCCCCTCTCCTCCTTCAGCTCCCATTCGCGCGCCTTCTCCTCCTCCGTCGGTACCGGTGATCGCGCCTGCTCTCCCGTCTGTGGATTCTTCCTTGGGTTTCCCGATTCCGGTCGCCGCTTCCTCTTCCGCTTCTGCTTCGGATTTAGTTCTTGCGCTTGCCGATCCTGATTGTGGTTCTGTCCCGCCTTCCCCTGCTGCCCCCAATTCTCCGGAGAAGCGAAAGCGAAAGAGCTCGGGACCACACTCGCCTATCCGAACGACACCCGCTCCGACTTCCAAGGCCATCGCCGACGCCTACCACACTCCTGTGGGTATTCCCGAGGATATGGAAGGTGTCGTGCGTGAGGCTGAATACGTCAAGGATGAAGACAACCACAATGATGTCGATCAGATGGATGAGGACGAGATTTCGAGGCCCCCGACTCCCATGGATTGGGGCACGTACATCGATGAGGATATCGACATTTACGACGCAACGCCCTCTCTCAGGGCCGTCGTAGGAGACGAAGACCTGGAGATGGCGATACTTCCAGAGCCAGCTATGGACACCAACGTGACTGAGTTACAGATAGCAGTCGACAGGGAGGTGGAGATGGACTCTGGTCTTATCCAACCTCCAGTCGCAGCTCCTCGGCTGTTGGCAGAAACTCCAGATCCGACGACTCTTGTGCTCGCTCCGGCAGTACAGGTCGATGTCAGTGCATCACGCTTCTCGACCGAGATGTGCGGACCTCTAATCCAGGAGCAAGCTGTTGTGTCAGTCCCTGCGCCTGTTACTCCCGTTGCTGCGCCCGCTTCACGGATGACAACTCCGTCGCCGACACGGTATTTGGACGAGACACTGGACGATTTCTCCCCTACTCTTCCACCATCACCCGGAAGTTTCGGTGGCCCGGCATTCCCATCCTCACCCGTCTCCGAGACTTCTCCGGGATCTTTCGCCCTGTCGCCATCCTCTCTCATCCTCTCGCCTTCCTCTCTCGTCCTTTCGCCTTCCTCTCCTGTCCTCTCACCTTCCTCTGTTGTTCTTTCTCCTGCCTTTTCTCTTTCCCCAGTCCTTGAGGATTTGAATAACGAGGAGACAGAGGCGCAGACGGAGACGGATGCGGGGGTAATTGTCGAAGAAGTGAAGGCGGACGATTCGGAGGCAACACCGAGAGCCCCAGCCTCGCCAATCGTGGCACCATCCTCTCCTTTGGCTTCTTGGACTGTGCCTTGGACGCCGACCCCGGCTCCTAGAGTCGTGGCCATGGCTCCTGCGCCATCGACACCTGCCATTCCGACCCGTAGAGATGTCACCCCTGCACCACCGACAACTCCGGCGTCCAGCAGAACCGTTGTTCGTCCCCCTCCCCCTCCTGGGGTGTTTCGGAGGCCAGCGCGGTCAGCCAATCCTCTGCTGGCACCGCGAAGGAAGCCCAAGCCGCAGGTTCCTCGAACGAAAGACGCACCCTGTGCGCAGCTTGGACAAGATGGCCGTCCAATTCGTTCTCGTGCACCCTCGCCGGCTCTTGAACCATCGGCTCCTGCCCCGACCACTGCGCCTGCGCCCGCTTTTGGCGGCTTTTCGCCCTCCCCGTCTCCTGCAGGCCCACGGCTTGCAATCTTCCCAATCTCCGGACCGATGCCGGCTACGCCTACGCCCCCATCCCGCCGATTGTACCCGAGTACACCTGCCGTCAAGCGAACCCTCTCAAGCGCAGAGGCAGACTATTCCCCACCCCATATTGTCAACTTCCAGGGACGGGCGATAGCCCAGCTACCAGCTCGGGCCAAGAAGGAGCGGTCTGCGGCAGACGAGGAGGGGCGGCGGCAGGAAGCAGCAAGGGCCAGAATGGCATGGAAGCAGAGAGTGGAGGAGTTGGAGAGGCAGGAAGCTTCGCGTGCTGCTGAAGAAGCACCTCGGGCGAGAATGCCACGGGTCGGAGCCATCACCGAGGAGGTAGCTCCTCTGAACAACAGCCTGCTTACGGTGGGCTCGGATGAGTTGCATGCCGAACTTCGGCACATCCTCTCGCCGTTGTATGGCATTCTCGACCGCCCCACCCCAGACTGTCCCGATGGCAGAACCCTCAAGGCTTACGACCGGAGTGAGCTCCAGTGGCGCGCTCTGCGAATGTGGAGAGCGTCGCTCGAGCAGCCCGATGGAACATTCCTCACGAGGGTACACTTCGAGGGACTAGTCAATATGTGGATGGAGGAGTTCCTCGACCTCCTAGTCAGAATACGGATCCTAATCAAGGACGAAGAGGAGATAGAGGCGATACTAGACGAGTGGAGGGGAGAAGTCGATCATCAAGGACGACGCTAGGGGTAAAGAAGCCACCATGAAGCAGAATGGAAAGCGAAGACGTCGAGACGCCAGAAAAAAAAGAAAACACAACAAAAACAGAGAGACAGTGAAAGACGGAGAAGGAGACAAATGTAGGACTACAAGAAAGCCTGCCAATACAAGCAGGCAAGCACTGTTATTGTTTTTGTCTAAGTATATCGGCGGAATGTCTTTGTCGGAATTACCTATTCTTCACCTTTGTCCAGCCATTTGTTCCGCCACCTGCCGTGCGATTCTGCGTGCCTTCGCTCTCTTCCATGGCCCAAGCATCATCCTCCAAGACTTCCCACTCGGGCGCGGCTACCTCACTCAACAGCTTCTTCTTGAGCTTGTCGGCAAGCTTCAAGGGGCTCGGGAGCTTGAAGCTGCGGACGAAATCGGAACCCTCTGCACCACCCAGGAATGCGTGGGCGGTACCGTGGGAGTATCGTCCCATCCAAGATGACACTTTGCCGATCTCCTCCTGCTCGGGGGTGTCATGCTTCGTTGCGGGAGATGACGAAACAGGGGGGTAGATGCGACCCGTCTGAGTGCTATGAAGCTGCTGGCCGATGAGAAGGTTGTACAGATTGCGACCCATGTGGCAAACGTCTTCGAAGGAGTTACGGTCACCGACGGAAACCCCTTGAGTGGAGCAAGCCCACGCGATATCGTACGCCAAAAGAGTAACTCCCTCGAGGAAAAGAGAGTGGACGGCCGGGTCTTCCTTGGCGAGGACTGGGAGCGCCTTGTCGACATAGAGGGGCCGAGGTCGCGGCACATACTGTGGTTGGCTGTCGCGTTCGTCTGAACTGAGGTTCGGGATGACAGACGTACCCGGGAAGGGTACATCGCCGTGCTGATACGACGATGTAAGGTTGAAGATCGTGGGGCGCGGGTAGTCCCGACGCGGCAACGTGATCTCTGCAGGCAGGCGGATGGAGAGGTAATGCGACGTCAGGGCGACAATGTGGGCCATGTTGGCGAGTGAGGTGGATAAGACCTCGGGAGACGCAGCTTCGCAGGTCAGTAAAAGTCATTGTCATCAGATGCTCAGATACTCACCATTCATAGACGAAAGATCAATGACATCAACGCCACCGATCTTGTAGTCGTATCGAGACGAAGAGCCTTTCTTGATCCGACGAAGACCATAGAGCTTTGCTGCTTCCATACACAGAAAGGCTCGAGTGCCAGCCATGTTGTCGGCGCTGCGGTTCCATTTATACTTGTTAACCGAGATGGAGCGTTCACTCTCGTCCAGCTGCCTTGCTCTGCGCGCCTCGATGCCGTCCGAAACAGAGGCTAAGTCCGACTTGCGGCGCGAGAGAGCAGCCTTGCGATCCGCGATTTCCTTCTTGGCGGCAGCGATCTCATTCTTCAGCTTGTCGGCTTGTGCGATGATCTGAGCGGTCCGGTCTTCAGCTTGCTTCTGTTCGGATACGGACGACTCCATAGCAAGATATTGATTGGGCGCATCAGTGGTTTTGTCCTGTGAGAGCAAATCGTTGATCTGTTGCTGAAGGCCCTCATTCTCCATCAAGATCTGGAGGTTCTTGAGACGACCCTCATAGCAGTGGTTGCGCGCATCAACGGCGCAAAGGAAAGGCCGTTGCTGGGTATGATGCGGTTTCTGACATATGTCGCAATTCATCTTGACGGCGTCTATCGACACAGCGAAGGCGTCGAGTCGATGCGGTAACCACACGAGGACTGAGCGGCATGAATCCAAGGGTCGGCAATAGCGATGACGTTGGGAATTTGAGTTTCCGACGGATATAGCTGAGTTGAGCCCCCAGATCTTCGGAGGAAGCGGCGACCTTGAAATACGCAGTTTCCGGAAAAGAAAATGAGTCGGCCGCGGTGCTCAGGCGACCTGACTGGGCAGGTCTCGTTTGAAGGTCGTCGAGTCACGAGGACGAGGTCGGGTGAGAGACGATTGAAGTGAAAGGGAGCCAGAAGAGGAAACACTCGAGTGCCGTTGGCGCAGCGGGACTCCGGCAGGCAGCAGGGGTGGTCCTAACTCATCCCGTCCAATTTGGATCCCTGTCGGGCGCCACATTTTTCCATGGCCGCGCCACAACTGCCATTTTGGAGTTTGGCAGTTTGCGACAGCAGGCACCACGCACGACCACTTTCCCACAGTCGGGGGCCGTTCAGTGAGGTGGCCGCTGTCAGTCCTGCTTTCTTCCACTAAAACGACCTTCGGTTTGCACCAAACCTCAACCTCAACTCAAACCAACCAACAACGCTTTCCTCAAAGCGCGTCGATTAAAAATCTGAGTTGGGCCGGCGACCAATCTTCCGTACGGTCAAGTCGATACGAACTTAAGGATCTCAAACATCTCAGAGACCTCAAACAGCGAAAATGGCCGACGAAACCAAGGAACAGCAGAAACCCAAGTCTCTTCCGAGCACCAAGACGCCCGAGCCACGGCTGGACCAGCAACTGCCAAACGGCCACGGCAACATCACGCCCGACACTCCTGGTGTCTTTCCTTCTTTCGACTGGGAGGATTTTGAGGCCCGTTATGAGAAGGCTCTCGTCGACGCCGACGAGAAGGAGCGGGAGTTGTTGCAAGAGTTCGAAGGTCTTGTGAAGGTGCGGTGAACTGCATCAACTGCACTGATATTCACTGACCTCGCCTACAGTACTTCAACGTCTGGGCATCCACATCCAGCGCCCACGACAACGACCGCGCCGTCAAGCGCCTTCACACAAGACAGAGATTCGTCAACATACAAGAAGAGAACATGGCTCAGAAGCAGCGGCACAGTGAGTTCCTCCCTGCAACATACTATCGACGTGCTTTACTCACACCGTCTCAGTGACGGAGGTCCTCCACGCATTCCAGAGTGCGCTTGCGTTGTTGAGCCGGACGTAGACTTCTGATCGAGGAATTGGGGGCTGAGTGATGGACTGTAATGTTCCTACACTTATGCAGAGAAATGCACACGATTTTGGTCGCTGCACCTGATCGTGTTCACTTCTCGCCCTTTTCCAGCGTGACGAGGTGAGGTCCCCACACGTGACCCAAGCTCGCGGACGCGCCTGGTCCACCTCATTTCTTTGGCCTCAGTCCGTCATCTTTTCAACATTTCTTTATTTCATCCCCAGCTCAACCACGAAAACTCTTTCATCACTATTTTTGGCCAGCCAACATGGCCACTGTTTGCCCTGACCAGCCCCGGGCTCAGTTAGCCATCCCAAACATCAGCAATGTGAGTATCTCTACGCGAAGCATCCGTCGCGTTCCAGTTACTAACTCCTTCCAGGATGAGTTGGTATCATTTTTCGAGTCGCACTTCTCCGACGCTGCCATTCAAAAATTCAGTACGGATTTTCTGAGCCCTGAGAAGAACGCAGGCGCCACAGATGCGAGTGTTTTGTACCATGGTGACGTCGGCGAGGAAGACTACTACGAGGAAGAGGAGGATGACCTCGGCTACTACCCTGACGGCGTGAAGCGCACGCTCACCGATGAGCAGATCGCTATGTTCCGCCATTCCGAAATTGAGGCTTTGAGGAAAGAGGAGGAGAAGACCGCGGAGCGCCGCGCAGCTGCTCCTCAGCAAACGCTCGAATCTGGCGAGGTCGGCGACCATGTCGACACAAACGACACCGAGACATATCACCAGCCGTCCAAAACCAAGAACAAGAAAAAGCGGAAGGCTGGCAAAGCCAAAAACCAAGAACCGAAACCCGACCTGCGCAAACGAACCTGGGACGTCGTTGAAGCTGGTCTAGACTCGCTCGATTACGACTGATTCAAGCTCAACAAGATCAAATTTAATCACAATCAACGCCCTGGTTGTTGCTGGGAGGAATAATCGGCCGGACACACGCTGTTGGACCTCCCATGCACGCCAAATATTCTGACTGGCTGGCGGAAATTGTAGGCCGGTCACACGCTTGCAGATCTGCCAGTTCAGTCTGATGCCGATGTTGAGAGCAACTGACTCCATCACTTGGGCTTGATCTTACAACGAGAAGAGCAATCTCCAACCAACGCCTGGTCAACGAAACGCAGAGGTATGTGGATGTTTTTTCCTTTTGTCTATTTCACACATGCAATGATGAAAACTTCGTATCGTCATCCTTAGTCGGATCCGAAGCTCCAGGCAGACGACGGCAATCGGCCTATGGTTGACAGCCTGATCTCTGAGAGCTTGGACATGTCGAGCAATAATCTTCTCTCTGAGCATGCATCATGAACTTTTTTCCTTTCCTTTTGGCACAAGCTTGACTGCGGATGCTAACTTGTGCAGACAGTTTCACTGGCAGAATTGGTGTCGAGGAGGGATTTGGCAGAGATGATATGTTGATGCGTTGGACTATGCCTCACGGAGACTGTTTGGTGTCACTTGATGGTGATTCAGTGACGAGGCAAATAATCTTGTGATATGAATACAAACAAATACCAGTATCATGACTTCAAACTGAACGATGGAGGATTTGACTTGTCTCCTGTCTGCATGTGACGTGATTGTTTGCTTGCTTACCGTTTTAGGGACAATCTACATCACACCTCCACGCTGTAATAACTGCGCGGATACGGAGCCAATACCACGACGATGACAACGACACTGACAATAGTAGTGACACCAGGTTGTTGACTTGCCCTTGGGGTTGGCGTTGACTGAACTTGTGACGGTGTGATTTAGTCCGCACCTTGTTTTATGAAATGCATTGTTTCGACTTTCTTGTACTCGAATCGGTCTCTGACACGCCTCGGGAAGAAAGCGGCAGGACATGCGTCTAGAAGCCTGCTGGCTTCGGGATGGCATTCGTTACCTGCCCTACGGATACTGAGCGCAACTGGCAGCTGGCAGCATCGAGATTGGACGGTGGGGCTTTGGTGACGCACGGATCAGGTGGCCTTGTGTTATCGGGCACGGTCTGGACGATAAGCGCGTAGGGACCCGCCTTGCCGCCTCGGTCGAGGGCCAATCACTGAGAGGTCCGCTAAGCCTGATTTTGGACATCCCACCTTGATTTACTCCCTGCCCCGTTCCAGTGTCCCTTCCACCACTCACTCCACGTCCACGCTTGACGCTTGCCAGGCGACCAACCTCAGCCACGCCGAGACCCCTCCTCCCGTCGTCTTGCCCACCTTCTCCGACAAATTCCAACCTCACGCAACATCACCAACCGTTCTTCTCGAGTCCTGCGCCCGATCGCAGGCAACGGTAGCCCAACATGGCGCGGGTTTACGCAGACGTTAACCAGAACATGCCCCGCAGTTACTGGGACTACGACAGTGTGAATATCAGTAGGTTTTCCTCTGCGCTGGTTCCCGTCGCGCCGATCCGGTAGTTTTGGGTTCGACCGAGGCTCTACCATCTTTTCCGGAGCTTCCTTACCGCTTTCTGTCCCTCCTGGAATCGCGATTACTGACATCTTGTCCGGCAGGCTGGGGCGTGCTCGAGAACTACGAGGTCGTGAGGAAAATTGGTACGTTTTTTTCCTGCATCCGGTTGGGGGTGGCCCACGCGCGCCGGCGCCGCGCATGCGCAATCCTGCATACTTTTTGCGCGAGTCGAGGTCGAAGCAATATCGGGCAAAGCTGACGCAGGGCTACAACTGCAACAGGCCGCGGAAAGTACTCGGAGGTCTTCGAGGGCATCAACGTCGTCAACTACCAGAAATGCGTCATCAAGGTCCTGAAGCCCGTTAAGAAGAAGAAGATCAAGCGTGAAATCAAGATCTTGCAAAACTTGGCCGGTGGTCCCAATGTCGTGGCATTGCTGGATGTTGTCAGAGATTCGCAAGTACGTTGAACCTCCTCTTTGCTCAATGTGCGCCATCAAAACTTTGGAACCAATGACTGACACACACCCTTCTTCGCAGAGTAAAACGCCGTCGCTGATCTTCGAGCACGTCAACAACACCGATTTCAGGAGCCTGTACCCCAAGTTCAACGATCTGGACGTTCGTTACTACATCAACGAGCTCCTTAAGGCTCTCGACTTCTGCCACAGCAAGGGCATCATGCACCGCGACGTCAAGCCTCACAACGTTATGATCGACCATGAGAACAGAAAGGTATGTGGTTTTAGCGGACAACATACGGTTCAGGGCGTTAGCTAACGGTGGAGTAGCTGCGGTTGATTGACTGGGGTTTGGCCGAGTTCTACCACCAGGGCACGGAGTACAACGTTCGCGTCGCTTCGAGATACTTCAAAGGACCCGAACTGCTGGTTGACTTCCAGGAGTACGACTACAGCCTCGACATGTGGAGTCTAGGGGCTATGTTCGCATCCATGATCTTCCGCAAGGAGCCCTTCTTCCACGGCAACAGCAACTCCGACCAACTTGTCAAGATTGCCAAGGTTCTGGGTACGGACGATCTGTTCGACTACCTTGACAAATACGAGATCGAGCTTGATGCGCAATACGACGACATTCTGGGTAGGTTCCAGAAGAAGCCGTGGCACTCATTCGTTACCGCCGAGAACCAAAGATTCGTCTCTAATGAAGCAATTGACTTCTTGGACAAGCTTTTGAGATACGACCACCAGGTATGCTCCTTGGATACTGATGATAATAAGACATTGCTGACAGATTTGTAGGAACGCCTCACTGCCAAGGAGGCCCAGGCGCACCCGTACTTCAACCCCGTTCGGGACCCCGAGGTCTTCAAGCAAAACCTTGCCGAGCAGCGCGCGTCCGGTGTATCCAGCAACTGAACCGCGAACATCGCTCTGCCAAGAACGAGAATTGACTCACGACCGTGATATCCTGCAGTCCGCCGTCCGCATCGGGCCTGCATTCACTAGTCAGCACAGGACCCGACGAGGATGGGTAATAGGCGGCTCACCTGTCATCTACCTAGACCAAATTCACACATCCACTCAATACGACTCTAAACTGATTATGGACATCGCATGCCACGAAATCCCTCCCGCTCCTCCACCTCCACGAAACGGAATGAATCTCAAGACCGGTATCAATCTATTTTGGACGACGGTACAGATGGCAGTGCACGAAGAAAGAAACAAAGGCGTAATCGTCGATTGGGGCGGGAGGGTCAGGATGAAGTTTAGCCCGGCGGAGGAAAGCGAATGGGAAACGGATAGGGGAATTTGGCATGCTAAAGGATCCGGCCCGGTATTTTCACCACATTGAGGGGAAAGGCGTTTCGCGAGGTTGATGCCCCCTATTTCGTTCCAAATGCCCCCCTTTCTCGAGGCATCCCCTCGTCCATGGTTTTGCGTGGATGGCTTTGCATATGTGGTTACATCATGATTTTCCTTTTTATTTCTTTATTACAGAAGCTATCGGGTATTCGTCTATGCAGCGATTAATGAGGAAGCGTTTTGTCCGTTTCCATACTCCCAACCAAATCTTGCCAAACTGCAAACGCTCCATCCATGATGAAATTTCTTTTGTTCGGCGCCAACCGTAACGAAGGGCCTGTGGAGAGATTCCACCAAAACCGTATAGCAATTCTGCCGGAATCATGAACAACCGTCTAAAGACACGCGAAACAGAAGTCCCTGTCACACTTGAACCCTTCCTCCCCGCATCGACGCATGTTCCCCCCCGGCGTGCGGACGAGCGAGCCGGAGGGACTGCCGACCTGGGTCTTCTTGGTGGGCGTCGCGGCGAAGGCCCACGCCAGCTTACGCTTCTTGCTCTTGCCTGTCGTCGTCGTCGTCGCCGTCCCGCTGCCGCCCCCGCCCGCGTTGTGGCTGCGCTGCTTCATGGGCGTGGTGACCTTTGTCTGCGGCCCCGCGAGCAGGACCGGCGCGTAGGCCGTCGTCTTGCGTCCGCTGGACGAGGGGCGCTCTGTGTTGTTCGTCCAGGACTTGAAGAGGTCGAGGGTGAGCTCGTCTTCGTCGTCCGAGATGAGGGAGGCGAAAGAGCGGGAGGGGGTTTTGGCGGGTTTGCGTTGGCGTGGCGTTTTTTGTGGGCGGGGCGTGTTCTTCTGCTCGCGCGGGGTGCTTTCTGCCGGGGTGCTTTCTGCCGGGGCGTCGGTGGCGGTTTCTTGGGATTTGCGCTTGCGAGAGCTTTTTGGTTTTGAGGTATGTTGGCGGGGAGTGGGCTTTTGTGATGTAGAAGTCGCTGGGGGTTCATTCGGCTTCGATACCGGCGCTGCTGGGCGGTGTTCTGGGAAGGCTGCTACTTCTGGACGTTGTTGAACCGATGGGTCTGGGGAGGCGCGGTGCTGCGTCGTTGAAGTAGGGGACTTTGATTTGATGGACTCACGTCTTCTGCGGACCTTTTGTGCGCGGGACGTGGATGGACTGCTCGAATCCAGGTTCAGATGGCCCATGGGGGAGGTTGCCCCCTTTTGGTCTTGGAAGTGAGTTCGTTTGGGACGACGTGGGGGAGTCTGCGGTGCTGCGTCGGGTTCACTTGGCTTTGGAATCGTCGGTAGCTCCACGTCCATGGGTTCGGGGTCGAGCTGAGGTTCAGGTTCTGGCTCTAGCCCTGGCTCTTGCTGTTGCTGTTGCTGTTGCTCTGCCTCTGGCTCAGGCCCAGACTCAGACAGCTCTGCATCGTCGACATCATCCAAAATGATGACGTCGAAGCCACGATCCGCCTCTTGCTCTGCAATGTCAGGGGGTGGCGAGTTCGGCGGGATTGCCATGGGTTTGCTGGGACTAGATGAGGGAATGCCCGCCATCAAATCAAGGGCCTCTGCGACAAGCAGGTCCTCCAACGATTGTTGCTCTTCGGGTTCCACGACGGACTGTCTCTCCAGCGTCGACGGATTCTCGTTGTTTTCCTGCGGAAGGTTGTCGTGCGGGCGGGCGGGCCTGTCGGATGCTTCCTCAGCTTCCGTGGCTTCTTCTACGTCGACCTCCATAGTGTCGATGTTCTCGGAGGAGGGCTCGACTTGGGCCGCAGGCGGAGCCAGAATCCAATCGTCATCTTCCTGCTCAACTCTAACTACCGGCAACTCTGCGGTTTCCATAAAAACATCAGGGGCTGGCGAAGGTGGCTCGACGTTGACGGGAGCGGGAGCAGGAGCAGCTGGTTCATTACCGCGTTTGGCCGCCGCACGTCTCTTTCTCGGTATTGCTCGCTCTTTCGGCATTGCCTCTTCGGCGTCTGAGAAATCATTGTCGTTTTGGTATCTTGTGAAGATTTCTTTGGGGGGGGTTGAAGTCTTCTCAGGTGCTTCACCCGTGGTTATTGTAGTTCCTTCCACAGGAGCAGCGATTGGCCCGGAATCACTTGCTTCCTGAGTGCTAAGGGGCGCCGAGGCATGCGAGAGATCCTCCGTCACGGGGTTGTCCTCCTTTTTGATACCGTAGGTATCGGCGTCTTCGGGTTCTTCAAACTCGGTGATCGTCCCGGGCGGAGGTGACTTCATAACCAACTCGACTACTACCCTATGTTGTGAGATAGTCTGCGTTTCTCCCTCTGTAACGAGACTTGATAATGAGGATGCAGGATCGATGCCGATAGAGGTATCTTCGTTTGGTCCACTTTCTGTCTCATTCTGGCTCTCTACCGGTGTTACGGGCGTCTTCTTTGGTCTTCCAGGGCGCCGTTTGTTATTTGGCCTCTTTTCTGTCGAATCATGTTCCTCGGGGTTGCTCTCGGAGGGCTTCTCGGAACTCGACTTTGCAAGCACCTCGTGGGTATATAGGTCTTCCACTGATGGTAACGGCTGCTCTCGAGCACCGTCCGCAGCCACGTTATCGTCGCTGATGGGCTCTTTTTCTTTTTCCTGGGTTTGAGGTGGCCGTTCCGTCATTGAGACACCGAGAATGTCATCTTCGTCGTCTTCGTTGTCGTCACCCTCGACCGTAAATGCTCGCAAGAGCTTCATCGAAGGTGGCCTCGCCGGCCTTATGTACTCCTGCCTCGCGCGGGAGAACGTAGCCATGTCGATGCGAGGTGGTTTCATGATCATCTTGTCCTGTTCGTCGTCTGGCCTCGAAGACCACACAGATCGGGAACTGATAGGAAACCGATATCTCGCATCGCGCAGATTCGACATGATGGTTTCGCTGAGTGTTTTTGACTCTATTTCAGGGGCTTCCCATGTTGGATCCAAGGTCTGCGGCCTTGAGCCCCAAATGTCGGCGGACGGGTTGGAGCTGCTAGACCCTGGCCTGCCCAGCGTAACAAGGCTGGGGCGTCGTTGAATCTCCATACTTGCTCTGCGAACCAGAGTGGTGGAGTCACTCCCTCCGTTCTTCTTGCCGTGCAGGATCCTTTCTTCGTCCTCCTCATCTGACTGGTCAGATCGGCGATTTCTCTCTTGGTCATCATCCTGGGAACCGAAGGCTTCTTCCAATAGCATACCCTCGTCTTCATCCTCTTCACCAGGAACTCCTGTATCCATCTCATGACGCATGTTCTCCAAGTGGCCATTGTTCGTAAGCAACTTGCCGGTTGCGAGATCAATTTCGTCGCCAATTCCCGTGAAATCTTTTTCGTACTTTTCGAAAATATGCTCAAAGGTTGATTTGAGCCTATGAGCGGCGAATCCTCGAGAAGTCTCGAGCTGAATACCGGGATCGCGCATCTGAGACACATCTTCGGGGTCATAGTTGAGTTCGTCGTATTCATCATTTTGCGACTGGGCCAACGGCGACGGACCCTTCCTCGGTCGTTTGGCTGGAGGTTCCATGATCGTCTTAAGAAAATAAGAATTAATAGTTTATTATGTATAACACCAGATGAATGAGAACTTCTGACGTGAGGAAGGCGATGGAGGATGGACCAGCCCACCACCAAACCTCGAAGTGGTTGGCCGTGAGATGAAAGACGCGGTTCAATTGAACGCGGCGCACAGACCTTTCCGGATTTCGCGTAAAGTGGAATGGCACAGACCATCTCATGTGGGGGCTGACTTTTGTTGCCAGGGAGCACCGCTGTGACCGTCCCTGACTGCTGCGGACTCTAAATGATTAGCGTCCAGGGCACCTACCTACCTAGTGACATTGAGCTTGCGGCCCCTAAAACAGGCGGCTCCCATCCACCTCGCCTGCAGCGACAGTCAGCTGGGCACATCCACTGAGTTCTACCTGCACCTCGACGCCCGATTACATCACCAGACCTCCAACTCTTTTCCCTCGTCTGTCTTTCACCTTCATTCTGATCCGCGCCAGCATGCGGGCAACACCACGATGTATTGCCAGAAGTGCCGCACACCGCTCAGACTCGACAGCTCCCTCGAGGACCTGAACCCCGCGGCTTACGATCTCCTCGTCGGTTCGTACCAGCTGTTGCCCTGACCTATTGTGCAAAGCAAAGCTAATCCCTTCAGCTTCTTCATCGCAGACGTCCCCCAAGAAAACACACTCCTCGCGACTTGCGAATCCCCAGGATAGCCAAAGAAGAGCGCTTTACGACAAAGTATCCCAAAATGCAGCTTCCGCGACCTTCAAGCGCCACGGGAGCGGCCCGTCGACCTCGGCGCAAAGAGACTCGACCATGTCCTTCATTTACCTGACAGAATCTCAAGTCGCGCAGCCCGTGCTTTCGAGACCCGATCCCCCACCGACGAATCCCAAATCGAGAAAAGCCGGGAAGAATGGAACGAAGGGCCAAGACGAGGCGCTGAGTGAAGCCCACAAGCGAGAGCGTATCAATAAGCTCTTCGAGATTCTATCCGCACGATCCGACATCGACCACCCTATCTGCGTCGAGTGCACCGATATGCTAGTCGAAGGCCTGCAGAAGAGACTCGAGACCGCTGCCAAGGAGCGCGACGCCTACGTTGGGTTTCTGAAACAGGTGCAGAGCGATAAGCCGAGCGAGGAGGACATCAGAGCTCAGGAAGAGGCGCTGAAGCAGGCGAAGCAAGCCGAGGCGGATGCAATGTCAGAGCTGCTGCGCGTAGAAAAGGACAAGGCGGCGGTTGATGCCGAAATCGTCGCTTTGGAAGAGGAAGCTGCACAGCTCGACCGAGAGGAGGAGCAGTTTTGGCGCGAGCGTAACGCCTTTGCCACCAAACTTGCCGACTTCCAAAATGAACGCGACAGTATCAACTCAAAGTTTGACAACGACGCCCAACTGCTGGAGAAACTGCAACGATCCAACGTATACAACGACACTTTCTGTATCAGTCATGACGGCACTTTTGCAACCATCAACGGCTTGAGACTGGGTAGAACATCCAGCAAGCCTGTGGACTGGCCCGAGATCAACGCTGCCTGGGGACACGCCCTTCTCTTGCTTGTCACGGTGGCAGACAAGCTTGGTTACAAGTTTGATGGGTTCGAGCCGCAGCCGATGGGAAGCACCTCAAAGATAATCCGATACGAACTTCCATCTCCAGCCGCCAGTCGCTTGGGGTCGCATCGAAACGCGCCCCCGCCAGCGCCAAAGAAGCATGTTTTGGAGCTCTTCTCAAACGGAGACCTGCCTCTTGGCCTGACATTCATGCACCGCAAATTCGACAATGCCATGGTTGCGTTCCTCGAGCTTGTGCGGCAGCTCGGCGCCTTCGTGCACAGGCAGACTGAAGCCGGTGGCCATCCACTCAGTCTTCCCTATAAGATAGAGGGTGACAAGATAATGGACGTCAGCATCAAGCTGGGTATGACACAAGACGACGGGTGGACGAAGGCATGCAAGCTTACTCTTACGTGCTGTAAGTTTTTATTGGCGCACGCTAGCAACGTGAACACTACAGCCAGAAACGCAAACAACTAGGCAACTTGCCAGCAACTTCTTCTAAAGCACCAAGAGAAACGGATTCTCGGAGTTTGGTGGAGGGCAAAGGTTGGGAATAGAAGCGTTTGGGGATACTGGCGTTTCGGGACACTCATCAAGGGGTGGTTTATCTGGAGACGCGGCGCATATACCTGTAATCAGGAAATCAAGACAACACCATTTACCATTTCAAACTCTCAAGATGAAGCTTCGTTTCACGTAGCTGACGAGCAAGTAGTTGATTATCGGTGAGATTACATCCGTACACGAGCCCGAATAAGCCTGGGTATCACCGCCGTATCAACCACGACTGACTGGAACATTGCAACCTAAGGTATTCTGCAATAGCGTCTCATCCGGATCATCATCCGAGTTCCACGTGATGACGCTAGTTTCAATGCCGCAGTCTCACTGCATCTACACTTCAGTCAGCCCCGAATCTCAATCTCGCTCGCCGATTGGCGACTTCGGCAGAGCCAGGCAGCAGAGTGCCTCACAAACCACAGTCCGCCTGGCTGCCTTACCGTCTCACACCACAAGCCGCCTTTATGCAAGTCCAGAACAAATACACGACCGAGTACCAATCCCCTTGAGGGTGAATCGCTCATACCGAGGCGGGGTATCTGCCGCCCCGTTTCCGGTACCAATGAAATCGAGAGCACGATATGAGGTAGAATCATCGGTTTCCAGCCTGTCGTTATCCTCGGGGGAGCCGCATCAGGCCGCAAGTGCTCATAAGCGGCCTCCGTTTCCTCCCCTCCATCTCCCCCCGTTTTTCTTTTCATCTCTTTTGCCAGTCTTTCAGCTTGAGACTGACTCCCAATTCGAGCTCCAGCCTGATAACAACACCACTCAACATGATCGGTCGAGGTGATAGGGTGAGCAACATCCAAACATGCGTGCCCACAGTCGCTCACATGGCAAAGACCATCGACGAGGAGACCGGCTCGACGGTGAGCTTTCAGGAAGTCGCCTTTAGGCGTGTTGTACCCCCGAGCGACGACAAGTCTCTGGTTCTTCAACAGGACACCCAAGACACCACAACCCCAGACGTACTATATGTGTTGCATTATACTGGAGCGGGTGGCAAGATTATCAACAGTGAGTATCAGGCATACCCCTTTCTGTAGCCTCCGTACTGAGACGCTTGGTTAGCCCGAGAGAGCGATACGCCATTCAAGGAGATCCCCGACTACGGAGCCGATGAAGGCGAGAGCACATCAAAGCGTGCGGTAGAGCCTGTTATCGAGATCGTCACGAAGGTCTCGTCTGGCACCAGGGGCAGATCTCCTCGGCGCATCCGCCATCCCCCACCCGTGCGCAACTTCGACGATGACGACGACTTTCTCTCGAGCTCTTCCGATAGCGAAGACGATAATGCATCTGACAAACCGACCAGGGTTGAACGTACCCGAATGATCATACATTCTCAGAATCTCATCAACGCGTTGAGAGCTATTGTGTCCTATTACCCTGACCTAAACCTCCTCGGAGAGACAGTCAAGATTGATGCACCCTACCGTGCCGTCGTGCATCACCGCGAAGCACTTTCCAGGTACAAGTTTCACCAGCCGGCGCATCACTCATCCGACTATGCGCGCGTGACAGCAGAGCATATCGATATCCTCTTGAACTTCATTGAGCAGATCCTTGGTGACTCCATCCGCAAGGAGGAGGAGCGGTATGCGCGCAACATCCCCGTCGCCACATTTGATAACTACTGGATGGCGCTCAAGCCTGGAGAGGTCATCTATGCCAACAACGAGGATGTCTGGCAGCCGCATATCGTCAGCACATTGAGCCAAGAGGCGACATCTGACGGATACAGACGTCAGTGGCTGGTCTCCTGCTGGTTGCTCGAATTGGCCAACAGCAAGATCGTGCGGAAGATGTTCCAGTACAGACTGCCTTCGTGGACTGGCGAGCAGGTCATTCACTCATTGGACGTCATGCCGGCGAGGTTCTTCCCTGGTGACCCCGAGAAGATGCTGCAAAAGCAGATCAAGCTGGGCAAGTTGTACTGGGAGCTACTTCAACGCCCAACGTACATGGAGTATGATGGCTTGTTGGTGCAGAGCCCAAACTCCCGAATTGGGCCTGCATTCCGTGAGCCTTCAGGCTACGTAAGTTGATTCCCTCTGCTATTAGCTTCTGGGAATTTCAACTAACAATCAAATAGATGACTGGCCGTGTCATCTGTGATGCTGACGGTTACCCTCGATTCGCAATGCGTTCCCCGGAGAACCAAAACCGCCATTCGCGCAATGGACCTCGCTTGCCCCCAGTGCCTATCAACCAAGGACCTCCACCGGCGCAGGACCATTTACCATACTTCCTCCCTCGTTGTGGCTGCGATGTTTGCAACGCCGCCAAGTTTGAGAACGAGCCAGGCCCATTCGCCGCTTTCATCAAAGTCAGCCCGAAGAAGTCCGCCCCTCCAACTAGTGACCTGTTCTACATCGCTTGCACCAAAGTCATCCCTGCCTTCCTTCTCGGCGAGCGCAGATGGGGCCACTTAAACCTCGAGTGCCTCAAGCCTGTCGTTACCGACCGTGATGCCTTCAAGTACCTCGTCCTAGACGACGAGATCAAGATGACGGTCAAAGCCCTCATCGGCAAGTTCGCCGCCAGCGACTCCGGCAGCGTCTCCCCTTGGGGCAACGACTTCGTCAAGAACAAGGGCGAGGGCCGCATCTTTCTCCTCCACGGCGCCCCCGGTGTCGGCAAGACATGCACCGCCGAGTGTGTGGCCGAGCTGACCAACCGGCCCCTCATCTCCCTGACCTCAGGCGACCTCAGCGTCCACTCAGACAGCGTGGAGAACAATCTCTCCTACTTCCTCGAGCTAGGCCAGCGCTTCGGCGCCCTCGTCCTCCTCGACGAGGCGGACGTCTACCTCGAGCGTCGTCGCGCCAAGGACATCGCCCGTAACGGCTTGGTCTCGGTCTTCCTGCGCGCCCTCGAGTACTACCGCGGCGTGCTCTTCCTGACGACGAACCGCGTCCAGGCCTTCGACGCCGCCTTCACGTCCCGCATCCACGTGGCGCTGCACTACAAGAACCTGAGCGACCTTGACCGCGAGCGCATCTGGGCCAACAACTTTGAGCGGCTAGACAGGGACTCCAACGGCCGCGTCAGGGTTTCCGTTGCCACCCGGGACTACGCGTACGAGTCGAGGGATGTGCGGTCCTTGCGCTGGAACGGCAGGGAGATCCGCAATGCGCTGCAGACTGCGCTTGCGCTTGCTGAGAGTGATGCTGCTGACGAGGGGAGCGAGAAGATTACCGTCATGGACAAGCATCTCAGAGCCGTTGTGAAGATGAGTCGTGGTTTCAGGGACTATTTGCGCAGCGGGAGTGTCTATGATGGCGAAAGTGAGCTTGGTATTGAGGATGAGGAAGAGGAAGAGGAGATCTACTCGGACTAGGCACCTCTGGCAGGATACGGGATGATCGTAGGATGCTGGCCTCCTTTGTTTGGGGTTTACTAGTGGCTTTCAACGTCAAGTTGTGAATCAAATTGTGTCTGATGGTTTGGTTTTGAGAAAGTCGGGTTGACTACACGTTTTGCGAGCCAGGTCTCGTCCATACTTGCACCGGACAGACGTGCTTCATTCATTCAAGAATAATAACATACGTTACTCAAAAAGTCCGCCACCGCTTGATATCCATGACGTCTAAACACCAACAAAAGACCACTCGCCAAGACACTGTTCTACGCAGCTTTCCCAACATGCTTCGCCTTCCGGATCATGTGCCTGAACGTGTATCTCCCCCACCCCCGATTCCCTCCTTTCCCACCAGGCGCCCATTCATCAAGATCGTAATCGTTCCTCCCGACCTCCTGAAATCCAGCCCTTTCGTAGACAGTGTAGCTCGAAGGCGAAGCGTGAATCCAGCACGGAAGGCCATCTGCGTCGATCCCCTCGAGCCCTTTCTCGATCAGCTTGGTAGCGATTCCGCGTCGTTGGTAGAGCGGATCCGTAGCCAGACCCTGCAGAACCATGTACGTCTTGCCCTTGAGATGATTGTCCTCCATCGACACCCTGTCTTTGTACATGAGCCCTCCCAGAACTCGAGCTGGATCCTTTGGCTTTTCCCGGGTTTCCTCCGCCGGCGTATCGGGGGCCGGTTTTGAGTCACTCGTGTCGCTCACCAACGTGGCCGCCGGATCCTCGGCTTCGCTTTCAGTCGGCGTGGCTTCCTTGAGAATCCAGCAAGACCATCCCAGCACTCGCCCGTCGGTGTCAACGGCTTGCATGAGCTTGGCGGTTGGATCCGCGATCCATTCCTGGATGGCGTCTCGCATGAGGTTTGCATGTGCGTTTTCGTCGCGGCCGAGGAGCATCAGGTTCGAGAATTGATCTGTTTTGAAAGCGGCGGTGTGGACTCTGAGCAGAGCTGGGACATCGTCGAGGGTGACGGGGACGATTGAGACGTCCAGTTTTGGGTTGCCGCTCGTGTCAGATTGATCTGTCATGGCTGGTGTCATGAGATCTACCCCTCATCACCGCCGGGCTCGTATTCAACAAGAACAACACTGGATACAATGAGTCTTCAATTGATTGCAGTGTGCCCAATCTGACAATAGTTTTACAACGGTGGTATCTTTCTGCTGTATTCTGCTGGAGGGAAGCAAGGTATAAGGAGGTTATATTCCGTAGCCTGAGATGAAATGATAACTTGTTTCTTGTTTTTAAACACACAGGTTTGATATGAGAGGAACTTTGGATCGCTTAATAAAATGTGTCAAGAAGCAGGGGTTCTAAGGGCTAACGCTTTAAGGATGGTGATATCGCCGTGCCCCCCAGCTTGCATCTTCGCGATTTCATGATAGCGAATGCCAGCCCGAGTGTTCGCCTTCCTGCCATCTCTTGCCACTGCTGGCATTTACAATAATCCAATTTTATCTCTTGATGAATACTTGAGGGGCAATAACGACAACTGACAATAAGCACAACACTAGACCTACCAACAACGATACTAGACCTACTAGCGGCAAGGGCAATCACAGAGGTAGCGAGAACCCGAACCGCGATGCGATCACACAAAGACAATACGTACGAAATTTATAAGAATGAAGTCCAAGATCTGCTTTGACAATAGCGTTGTATCGATTGTCTTGATCACGTGGGCTTCCTAGCGCTCATTCCTTCCAAGCGGTGGTAAGATGGCGGAACGTTAGCCCGGCATAAGTGTCTTGAACGGAAACATCTCACTCGTCATCGCTATTTCGTGGCTTGGTTTAGTCTCAAATTCGTGTCTGCATTTCAACACGTGATTGGCTTCGGATCAATGCGGAAGAGGCGTTGATTCAACGTCGAAGCAACAACAACAACATTGCCCGAGTCTCATCCATCGTCATTGTACTACGTCGAGTCACGCCAGCTGCGCTACCCGGCACTTGATACCCGGATCCCTCACTCAAACCCTCACTTACCGTCTCGCCCTAAGCCCAATCGTCCTCGGAGACCACCCGAAAATGGCCACCACGAACCCGCCTCCCGGGTCCTTCCACACCTTCTGGAAACCGGCCGCCCTCCCCGTCTTCACAGGCCTCCTCTCCCTCCTCGGCGCCGGCGACGGCCTCCTCAACCTCACCCAGCCCGAGACCGGCGCCGCCAACTTCGGCCTGATCCCGCCGTCGCGGGCCTCCGTCTCGCCTGCCCAGTTCGACGCCTTCCACCACGCCCTCATCAAGGTCAAAGGCGCGCGCAACTTGCACATGTCGACGAGCATCATCGCGCTCATCCTCTACGGACAGTTCTCGGACGTCTGCCGCTCGTCCCCGGCCGCCGCGACGGCGGTGAGGAGGTGTATCGGTCTGGTGCTGACGCTGGGCACCGGCGTGGGGTTGAGCGGTGCGTTCGTCATCTGGGAGTACGTCAAGAGCGCGGAGAGCTCGAGGAAGGCGGTCGAGATTGGGAGGGCGAAAGCGAAGGCGCATTTTCTGACTAGTTTGCCGATTCTGGCTCTGGGTTTGGCTTATTTGTATTACTGAGCTCTTGCCCGCTTCGAATTGGGAGGAATGTGTATAACTATGACCATACTGATCTCTCCTTTGTTAATTTAACGGCTGAAACCTCATGTTGTAGAATAGAGTTCAACCCATTTTAGTGTTCTATCATGAATGAGACTCATATTGGCCGAGAATAATTCTCATGGCGGCTTGTATTATGAGAAAGTAATGTACCTTCATGTTGGATGAACGCATCATTCTTGTTAGATCCTCTTGTCTCTTTTCAAGATTCCTAGGTATCTTGCTGTGAACAAGCTTATTGATGCGCTCTTCACTGTCGGTTCCTTTAGTCTCTCTCCAATTTCAGTCTCGGTGTTTGCCTCCAGATCTAGTTTTCATCTTTTCAATAATCTGTGCCAGAGGGTTGCTGCGGGCTTCGTCCGGCACAGGAAGTGTTGTGCTGGAATGAGCGAGTTCCTCATCATCGCACAAGTACGCTACGTAGTCCTTTAGCATCTCCGAGTCCCATGCTGTTCCTGACTTCTCGGCCGCAGTCTCAAAAGCATCGCGATTTGTCACTGGCTTCTTAATGCGCGGATCAGCTCCCTGCTCAAGTAGATACTCGACCATGTCCCACCATCCATGGCCTGTAGCACCCGTCAACGCCGTACCTCCTCCGTAGTTGAACTTATTGACATCAGCACCGTGTCGTATAAAAAGCTTCATTAAGCCAAGCCAGTCATACTTCTCCAATGTCTCACTATCTCCGAGACGACCCAGTTGAATCTTGAACCGGCGTAAAACGATGCCATTCAGCGGCCGAGCGAGGTTGGGGTTGGCGCCGTGAGAAAGAAGAAGCTCCATACTGTCTCGCCAGTTCTCCCTCACTGTCCGGTCCAGACAGAGGCCCGACGATCGATCCATCAACGGCGCGGACCGCAGACCCCAGTTCATGCACCTATTGTCACAAGAATGCGAGATGTCCGGATCTGCTCCATATTCGAGGAGGAAGCGAACGACCTCCGCGTTATCGAGACAGTTCTCGAGCGCTGTGCCCATCCCACCATCGTTGCTGGGTATGCTTTGGTCGGGGTGATAGCCATGTTCGACGCAGAGCTGGAAGAGAGGCAGTGAGCGACGGTTACAGGTCGCGCCGATGACCATGCTGGTGATAGTTGTCCTGCACTCGTCCAGGAGATAACGGGCAACCTCGACTTGGTCTCGGAGAGCCGCGCACACGAGTCCATCTCGCAGTCCAATTGGGCGGAGGATGTCCCGTTTGTGGACGAGCCAGTCTTTGACGTCATCGAGAGACCCGTCGTGGCATGCCACAAGAAATGGTCGAATCCCCGGGACTCTGTACTTTTCTGGTCTCCTCTCTAGCGCGAACCAGAGGCTTGACTTTGGCAGAGGCGGTGGGAGAGGGGCCAGATGGGCGAAGTGGCTTTCGTGATCTCGTCGGAGGGCCGCGCGCTGTTTCTCTTTTCGATCTTCCTTTCGACACATGAGCTCCTCCCAGAGCTCCATGTCCTCTTGTGTGCAATCTCGACCCGGCATTTGCTCGATGGCATTTATCTGAGCTTCTTCCTCCTCATTTCTTTCCAGGGCTGTCTCCCGGCACTGCCTCCACGCCTCGGAAGAAAAATGTCGTGTCGGCGGCGCGTTGATGAACCTGCCATGTCTCCTGGGCGGCGGCATAGTTGTTGACTTGTGTAGTAAGGTGCGTTATGAATATTTCAGATGAAATTGGTAGCTTGGACAATCGTTTGCTTCTTTAAAAAGTCCCAAAGTCCATTGTTGACGACCAACAACACTGCTCAGCCACAATATCTCAGCGTTGGTGCCTATCGATGTGCGGCCCAGTCACTTGCAGTTGGCTGTGGTTCATGCTGACGGAAAACGGCATTTCGCCAAGTGGATTATGCAAGCCAAGACAGTTGATCCTTTGGCTACCCCTGGCTAAAACCTAATGGGTATATTATGTTGTCAACCCTTGATATTTCATACTCTATTCTCCGGGGCGGGCTATGGAGATCTTTCATTCTCTATCTTTACCCCCTTGCAACTGGTCGACGGCAGTAAACCTTGAAGAGTCCCGACATCACCGGTACCTTCACAATCGCTGTTTTTATCATCGGAGTTCTTCAACGTCGCCACTAGAAGACGCCGCCTCAAATAAAGGCAATAACCAAAGCAGAAACTACCAGCATGTGTGTAGTTTCACACCTTGTCTGGTCCCTCGTGGGCGCCTCAGCCTACCTTGGGGCTATTGCTGGCGCTACAGGCGGCGTACTGGATATCGGCTTGGTCTTCCCGCGCCAAAACGAGACTTATGCACCGATGGAAAGATTTCCCTTCGTATTTGCGCTCCAGAACGCCAAGTTGGCCGAGAATCTCAGACCCCTCATTGAACTCAACGTCCTCAACGCCTCCATGTCCATGCTTGACAAGGTCGTAGACAGAGAGTTCGACCTCATTTGGGCCAACTACTCCACGGAGCCCTACTTCGTCTACGGCTTCGCCGACTTTCGAATCGAAGGCCCTCTGAGGCTACTCTGGAAAGCCTGGTGGAGGAATTGCGACGAGAGCGGCGACGAGGTCAGCATCGTCAGCAACAGCAGCGATCGCTTCGTAGTCAACTTCGACATCAGACAGGGCGCCCCAACAGCCGATGTCGTCGCTACCACGGCTGAGGAGGATACGTGTCCCGGGCTCACCATCGAGGTGACGGACAAGACGCACGATGTCCCCGAGCCCCTTTCCGGCATCAACAAACAATGGGGGATGTGCGCGGTCGTTGCCTCCTCATCTCCGACGCCGACTGCGAACCCCTGCAGGGTCAAGATCGACGAGGCTACGGTTGAGAGCATGAAAGCCACCGAGCTCGAGCGGTGGTGCAGGAAGGCATACCCTCCACCTGACTGCCCTGAGAAGGATCAAGCTGTTCAAAAGTTGGCTATTGCTGGCGGCGCCACATTTGCAGCTGTTCTTGGAGTTGCAGCGTTTCTCTTCGCCTAATCAGACCACCGGTGGCGTGTTATGATATCTGCTGCGTCACCTACTGCCATATTCCATCTACTTAATCAGTTTTGTGATTATGTAGTAATTGTCGTTAAGGAGGCAAAGCTTATCCACCAGTCACTTCTCTGAGGAAGCTGTCTTGCGTGAATACAAACACTATACTGGTAATATATACAGTTCCTTTCAACCCTCCGAGAAGGTAGCTAAAGTTGCCTTATGTGAATTTAATAGCTCCTAGAACCAAAAAGGTGTTTAACTTCTATACCCTCTTATTCATTTGGTTTATTATATAGCTTATGCTTTATATAGCTCTTATATCTATTTAGTATAAAAAGTAGTAAAATATAAGACATTAATAGTATCTTTAACCTATACTAATATATAGTATTATATAATAATAAGTAAAATCTCTATAGCTACTAAATAAACCCTCTTGTTTTTACTGACTATCTAAGCATTTAATGCCTTCGATCCATCAGACGCGCCCAATCTCCTTTCGCACCACCCCCATGAAACGAATCTATCCATCATTGCCGAGAGACCGGATGATCGAGCAGATTCCCGTTTCCCAATAGGAGCTCGCTGCTGCCTCCAGATCTAGTCGACATGAAGCCTTTCCACAGCCTCCGGAACTCCCTCTCCGGCTCCTCTTCCAAGCCCGAACCTCTTTTCATGGAAGTAGCGGAAGGTACGACCCAGTAACCAAAATGAAACAAGGCCGAAGAAAAGAAAGGCGAGGACGGCGTGAAGAGCGACGTCGCCGATCAGGGACAAGACCAGTAGGATGGCGAAAGCGAGGCACATCGTGGTGCCCAAGACGCAGACCTCGTCGTACATGCCGTCTTGGACGTTGCTAGTAATCCGCATAAAGTCGGGGAGGCGCAGCGTGTCGTGTGTCTTCCGCACGCGTCGAACGATGGCGGCCTTGTGTGGGAGGATCAACATGGCCAACAATTCGTATTCTGCCTCGCAAAGCGCGTCTTCGGCTTGCATGTTGATGTCCCACGCGACCAATGCAGCCACGATGCTGAAGAAGGAAGAGATCACGTGAGATCCTTTTGTTGCTGGTGGCTCCATTTGAATGAGAAGTATGGGTCCAGAAGACCTTCTGTGAGCTATTGCTTCGGAATAATCGGCTAGAGATGGCGTTGCAGAGTGTTGGTGGGATATCGAAGAAGGTTTGATAGTGTTGATGTGGTACTGGAGGTGTAGTATTGTAATGTGTGAAAGTTGTAATACACCGGAAGGGACAGGGTGCAGAGAAGAGGGAGGACTCAGCAGATATTTATAGGTGTCAGAAACGGTCTAGTGATTTCGTTTCCTGCTCAAAAAGTCTCGGCCAAAAAGATGGGAAAACTTACCGGAGATACCTTACGAAAATCTAAAATTGATCAACCCATGAGACAGGCTTGAAAGTAAGGTCCGGTGGCCCAAAAGATTAGGGACAAACGTCTCGAAGGTTCTTGAAAGGTCGGGCGGGCGTAGTCATAATCGCATTCTGCACGAACGATTCCTTCAGTATTCCAAGTCCACCACATCCGCTGCAGCATTTCACTGCTGGCAGGAGGGTCTCGCCGTACCAGTGCTTGCTGGCCGCCTTGGTGAACAATCCAGGTTCTCACAGGCGTACGCATTGCAGCATTGCAGAACCCCATCTCGTGGCTTCAACATTTCACAGTCACTGGCCCCGAACGATGTCACGCATTTGCTACTGTACCAACCTCTGCACCTTGAACCTCGCCGCGGCGCCGCCCTGTGTCCCTACGTATCAGAAAATGCGCCGTGTGTTCTCGTGACCTCCCGACCTGATGCCATTGTTACCTACGACATGGAAAAGTGACGACCTTGTCGAGATCTGCGATTTTGGATGACAGTCATGGACAACAGTTAGTCGGAGCGTTCATGAACTAGAGGGATAGGTAAGTACTTACAAAAAGTCAACAGGCTGCCCCAAACACATGGTCGGGGCAGCCCAAATGCCCCTAGGATCCAACGGTGCAACAAGAGAGGCCACGAGCAAACCAGAGGTAGTGTAGTACCAGCTGCCCAAGAAACCATCGTCGAGACGATGCCAACCCCAAAAATTGTCGAGGGACGGGAGGGGACAGGTTCCAAAAAGTGTGCCGAGAGAGTGACCTCATGGACTCGAGTTCGCGTCTTCTGTCGAGGAAGAAATCAAACATCGTTGAGCTACCAGATATGTCAAGACTACTTCTTCTGCATCCACGCCTTCCGCCTTACGCATCACACCCGCCGTCTATCTGTAACTCGCCTAAACCCTTTCCGCGATCACGTCGACCCTACTTTTGTGCGGATCACTATCGGTCTGCCGATGGCGCCCTTCAGGTCGGAACAGACGAGCTGCGGCTTTCCAGCCTTTCGCAAGCACCGGCCGGAGCTTCGTGAACTGGAGCCCGAGCACGAAGATGGCCACGGTGATGGGGACCGTAGACGCTATGTAGGTGGTCCAGGAGTGATCGTCCGTCGCGAAGAGTCCGGCGCTGAAAATCGTCTATGCAAAATTTGTGATCAGCCAGACCCGTTATTGCAGAAAGAGGCAAACTGAGGGAAACTAAATTTTGTCCGGGGTATGCATAAACGTACAGCTATCAAACTCGCAGGTGCGAAAATCAAGGCTACGATGGCGATCATGGTCGTCTGCGAGGCCTCTTGGTGCGCCGTCATGTTGTGAATCTTGGAATGTTTCGTTAGTTGAGTACCGACTAGATGCGCAAAGAGCCTGAGGGTCTCGATGACAATACGATAGGAAATCTTTCTGTCCAGCACTCACCAAGTCAATCTGCACAGCAACACGCTCCTTCAGCCCCTGAATCTGAGTCTTCCTGCTCTTGGTGTGAGCCAGCTGAAACTTGACCGTGTTCGACATCGCGGCGCTGATTTTCTTGTCCACCCCTCCCACGCCCTCCCACATCGGCTTCGCATCTTCCAGAAGGCGCTGCAACTGCCTCCACGCGTCGATCTCCTCGTTGACGGCCCTGGCGGCGAAGACCAACTGGTTGTTGCACTTGTGCAGGAGACCCATGCTCGTGTAGTGGTCCTTGGGCCAGCGGACCCTCTTGGTGAAGGGGACTTCTGGCTGGTCCTTCCGCGGTGGCGGGACGCACGTGTTGGTCTCCATCTCGACCTCGACGATGTACCCGTCCAACTTGTCCCGCTTCTCTTCCGATGTGCGCCCGATGTCTTGGAGCAGCGTGACCAAGAAAGCCAGGGGGTGCCGCCAGTCGACGCCGATGGTGGGGGCGAAGGTGTTGTTGACGACCCGGCGGAGGTCGGACCTTTTGTCTTCCAGAAGGAGGCAGGTTACGGAGCAGTTCTTCTGGGCGAGATTTATTCTCATTGAGAGGAACGATTGCCTCATTGGAGACTTGGACGTGGATAAGGTGATGACTATCGAGAAGTTAGAGATGCTGCCGAGATTACACGTTGGTCTGCGTACGCAGAGATTTAGAGAGGCCGTTGGCGCTTTCCTCTTGCTCCTCGACGAAGCTGTTAAACACTCCGTGAATCGACTGAGCCACTTCTTCGCCAGTACTTGCCAGCCCGAAATCTTCGGTGATTTGGCGGAAGAGGAGGCCGTCGAGGCTGATGGGCTCGTGGGTGCCGTATCCATACCCATGAGCGCCGCTTTGGTCTGTCAGCCTGAGATGTATGTGGCTAATCCGGCGAGACACTTACATGAGGGTGATAAAGGGATATGGGCTGCCTTCGGGTTTGCATTGCATACGATTTGTCGAGTCTTGCCTGAAATCCTGTGAGACGATGAATCGTCAGCTACAGTACAATCTCGAGTTACGAGGCTCTTGTTCAGACCGACCTCTAGAAACCTCAGAGTCCCGTCTCTATTGGAAAGCCATGCCGACTGGCGGTTTGCTCGTGTGTAGTCATTGGCTTGATAAATCAGCAAAGTCTCGTCGGGGAGACGTATAGGTCACTCACCAAGCCCAGGCTGGCTACTGTAACAGCATAGATCTGCTTCATGTCTCAAAGAATAAGGCAAGAACACCTCATCTTCGTCTCCTGCTGATTCGGTCGGGACCCTCTCGACGTGCGTGATCACACCCCCTGATTTCTTTTTATTCTCGACTGATGCCGACATGGTGGTCAAGCGCTCAGAAGATGAACCATACACTTTCGTAGTAGGATCGGTTGTTTGGGAAGTGATGGAGTTCGCCCAGGTTCCAATCAGCAATTCATGGTCCAGTTTAGTGCGAACAGCAACCGTTTTATCATTCCCACCGAAGTACGCATCCAAGGCCGCTCGAATGGCAACCACGACCTAATCAGGCGGATCAGGCTGTGGAAAGGTCTCGGCTGCCGCAGAATTCATGTCGGTTTTCAGAGCAGGCCGTCACCATTGGATGCCTCGTCGTACTGCAGCACTCATCACACCCCGCCAAGTCGACGAGGTGCCAGTCTACTGGCCAGCTGTCCAATATTTGAAGAGAAGGGTGTCAGATGGAAGACCAGGGGTCAGCTGTATCCAGAAGGTGATGCGGCGCCAATAATTCCTTGTTGGCGAAGCTGCAGTTCAGCACCCGGGAATGGGAGCGGGAATGCGCCCAGAACGTGGTGTTGCGATGTGATGAATCCTTTGGAGTTGCCTGCTCACGGGCGTACTAATGAACTATTGCAGCTCAACCCGTGTATTGATTTATTGGATTAGAGCGAGTGCAAGTAGTCAGGTAGTTGGGTGGAACCATCACATTGTGGCTACATCGAACGATGCACCTCAGACAGCCCCTTGTAAGTTGTATGTTGAAAGCAGATGCTGTTCCAGCCGTTCTGACCCGGAAGACAGCCGGTCAGAACACCCTATTTAAGAATCCATGTGTTGGGAAGAATGACTTTCACCACCAAGTCAAGCTAGCGCAGTAGACTATGCGAAAGTTGAAGAAGAGTCGATCGATGGAAACCAGCACGCCTTGTTGAACTGCATTTGCCGTAGAACTCGACGCTTAACATACATGAGGCCGCATGAATACTCCTGGAATAAACGACTACCAATGGACAACGATGATGGACGGCCTCGACCGACAACCATATCTACGATGAATCGACGGGACGATCCCCAGCGTCAGCTTTACTGCGGCACCTCCTCCCCATTTTCTCCATAGGAACTAGCTTAGACGTGAGACATCGAGGTCGACATGTCAGTGCTTGCTGGCTGTGGCGGACATTCGGGATTCACATAGGTCCAGGCACCAATGTAGGCATACTGTTTGTTGAATTCTTGTGTGTTCCAATCAAAGCCTTCTATAGGCGACTTTTCGTCCTGTTCTTATACTACTCAAAAGGAATAATAACAATGCGCCGACAATGATACCATGGAAATGTAACGCGCACTCGTGGAGGGCCACGTCTCCAGCAGTCTCCAAATGGGAAACCGATCAATGAAGCTCCTCAACCAGTCTCAGACGGGGTTCTAACCGAAAACGATGTTCTTCAGCTTCTCCTTCTCACCACTCTCTTCGCACATGCCGCGGAAAACACCATTCTCCTTCTCCCAGAGCTCCTTGGGTGTGCCGAACTCGGCGACGGAGCCGTCGCTAAGCACCAGAATACGGTCAAAGTCAGCAATGGTGCTGAGACGATGAGCGATGACGATGAGCGTGGAGTCGTTGAACTCTTCGCGAATGGAACGCTGGATGAGGGCGTCGGTGTTCATGTCGACAGCGGAGGTGGCCTCGTCGAGAACCATGACCTTGGGGCGGGAAACGATAGCGCGGGCAAGGCAGAGAAGTTGACGTTGACCTTGCGAAAGGTTACCACCACCCTCGGAGATAGCAGAGTTGAGGTTGCGGAAGACGTTGACATTCTTGGCTCCGTTCAGCGAGGGGGCCGCGCTGCTTGACGGCTCGCCAGGTGTTGACGGCGATGAGTCGATGAGGTGCACGCGCTGAAGAGAGTCACGAAGTTCGACGTCGGTCTGATTGTCGAAGGGGTCGAGGTTGGAGCGGACAGTGCCGGAGAAAAGGACAGGATCCTGGTCAAATGTTAGTCTTGGAATTTTAGGGGAATTCTCGCATATCTTACCTGAGGAATAATGGCCAACCGGGACCGCAGGTCGTGGAGTCTGATCTTCGAGATGTCAAGGCCGTCGACGAAGATGCTGCCGGATCGGGCCTCCAAGAAGCGGAACAATGCCAGTGTCAGCGACGACTTTCCAGCTCCGGTGCGACCAACGACACCGATTCTCTCGTTTTGCTTGACGCTGAAAGTGAGACCCTTCAGAACGGGAGACAAATCCTCCGCATAGCTGACGACGAGATCCTTGACCTCCAAACGACCCTCGGTAGGCCAGGTGGCAGGGGGCTCGACACCACCCTGGTCCTCAGTCTTGAGGTCAGAGTACTCGACCACACGCTCGGCCGCGTTCATGTCAAGCTCAATGTTGGCGTAGTGTCGAATGGACCATACGATGGCCTGCGAGAACTCCAGTGCGAAAGAGAGCGTGAAACCGGCGAGAGAGGCGCTCATGTAGGGGCTTCCCAAGACAACCAACCCGACGGCGGTAGAGAACAAGGCGCCGATGAGCGACATGCGCCAACCCATCCAACGGTTGAACAGCCACAGGTACCAAGATGCCATCCCATAGTCATCCAGCCTCTTGTACATGGCGTCAACGTAGGTCTGGGCCTTGTCAGCTCCGCGAATGGTCATCATACCAGTCAGGGTCGAGCCGAAGAGATCGAAAATCGGGGACTTGACGGTACTCTCAAGTCGCTTCGCCGGTCTGGCGCCGGCCAGGTAGCGTCTGCCGATCCAGATGGCGATGGAGAGAAGCACGACAGCCAGAGGGATGATCATGGGGGAGACAGAGAACGCCGTAACACAGATACCGATGACGCTGAGAATCGCACCAAACACTCCAGAAAGATCCATGCCGAGTCTGTTGTCGATGACATTGAAGTCGGCAGTGAAGCGATTCAAGATGCGGCCGGTAGGAACAGTGTCAAGCCATCGGAGCGGGGTCCTGAGGACGGTTCTAGTGATACCCTTGAACATGCTTTGACTGGCCTTGTAGCTCATGCAGAAGAAGTAGAAGAAGCGACCGGTGCCCAGAATGGCGGAAAAGGCAGAGATGCCGACGTAGATGCCCAGGTAATAGTAGAAGTCATCGTTCTCGTTTTGGATGGTGACAAATCCGGAAGGCTTGTGCGGCGGTGCATGGAGCAAGCTGTCTTGGAGAGTGTAGGCGTAGGCATGCTGGTGAGTCGTCGTCAAGGCGTTCAGGGTTTGCTCTTCGTAATGGCCGGTCCAAAGACGCAACCACCACGAGCGGCCGATAACGATTCCCTGGTAGAGCGCGAAGAGGAAAAAGCCAAAGCCCCACCAAGGCCAACCACCACTCTGACTAAGGTATGCGGCGTAAACGTGCTTCTTGATGGCGCCCTGCTCGCGAGCTTCGTCTTCAACAAATTGGCGAGTTGCTTTGGACGGCACCTTCTTCAACATTCCGCCATCACCGTTCAGTTCTGCGACCTCGGGAGCTTCGATGTCTGATGCCTCTTCAGAGTTCACAGCCGTAGCGGCCTCCTCGTCGGCGATCTCCTGCGCGGATTGTTCGTGGCTCTTAATCAACTGCAGTGTTCCATCCTCGTCAAGATCCGACTTGAAACCGGAGTGCTGAACGGTACCGTCTCCGAGCTCAACAATGAACTTGGTCTTGGGCTCAACAAGAGCGACGTGGTGAGTGACCAGAATGCGGGTGCGTCCCTTGCAGAGTTCGCCCGTCAAGCACTTCTCGTAGATGTGGCGACCGACGTGAGCATCGACGGCGCTGAAAATATCGTCCAAAACAAGTATACCGGCGCGAGAGTAGATAGCTCTGGCCAGGGTGAGTCGCCACTTCTGACCACCACTGAGGTTGATACCGTTGGCTCCCAACTCGGTCTTATCTCCGTCCGAGAGCATCTCCAAATCTTTCCTCAAAGCGCAAGCATCAATGGTCTTGTTGTATCGTTCCTCGTCAAGAGGAAGTCCGAAGAGGATGTTCTTCTTCAAGGTGGCGTTCTCGATCCATGGAATTTGGCCGACGAATGAAATGCTGCTCGGAATGATCCAGTTGTCGCGATTGGCCTTGTCATCATGACGCTCCGTCAGAGAAGGGGGCTTTGGTGCGTAGATTGAGCCAGACAGCACGTCGGACTCGCCCAGGATGGCCGCCAAAATCAGACTCTTGCCAGTGCCTGTCTTGCCAGAGATCACGGAGAGCTCGCCGGCAGGGAAAGTCACATCGACGTTTCGCAGAATGAAACGGTCCTCGTCCTTGGTCTCTTCATCAACAGGCCAAGCAATGGACGCATTCTCGAAGGCAACGTCAGGGCCTTCCGTGACAGTTTGTGTCTTCTCCGGTCCGTTCAGGTAGTCTTGCATTCTCTTGATGGAAACATTGGCATCGATGACATCTGTTATAAGCTCGGGGATAACAGCCAGGGTAACCTCGAGGTTCTTGAAGACACCGATACTGACAAACGCGACCGATGGGATCAGGTTGCCGTTGATCAGGGCGTAGACAGCCAGAGAAACGGCTGCAAGGGCGATGGGACTGGTGATCCACATGCCAAAGAGCACGGTGTCGCCCTTGAACACCTGCCAGATAGCACCGAGTTCCTTCTCACGCATATCCAAGATTCGCTTCTCCCACTGAGGCTCCAAAGCGGAAAACTTGATCTGGCGCATACCCACCAGGGCTTCGTTTACAACGGCGAGCTTCTGGTCTCGGATCTTCATCAGCTTATCCTGCGCCCTCGAATAAACCTTGGCGTAGGTGAAGTTGATGGGGAGGAGAATAGCCCAGGCCAGCAGTCCAGCGCCGAGGGGTCCCCATCCAAGCAAGTAGACCAGGAACCAGATGGCGACTGCCAGCTTCGCCGTACTACTAGGGAAGAGGAACTGGAAGGCGGCGAAGTCGGAAACGCGCTTCGCATCCACGCCAATCAGGTTGATGATAGCTTGCCGAGACTTGAGGACGGAGTCGTCTTCACCCTCCTCGTCGTCTTCCTTCTCTTCCTTCTTGTCGTCGGCCCCGGTTGCCTCGCCGTCTTTGGAATCATCTTCGGTCTTGGAAGCTGCCTTTACGTTCTTGCGGCGCATAGACTTTTCGAAAATGAGAGCCGACAGAACACCTCTCAGAGGGATACACAATTCCGCCCAGGAGAGCCAAAACATACAGGCCTCAACCCATGCGTCAGCGAGAATAGCGAGCCCTAGCCAGAAGACCAGAATCCAGACATCAGCCGAGAGCTGTTCGCCGGGCTGTCTCTTCTCCAAGGCCGTGAGGATCTGCAGAGTGACGAAGGATGGAGCCATGCTCAAAAACGACTTAGTAAGAGCAATGGTCCATTGGACGGCCAGAGGAACTCGGAAAGCCCAGACCAGAGACCACCACAGGTTCGCACCAGGCTTGAAGTTGTACTTTTTCCACGTAGCAGAAGAATCTCCGGATCGAGTCCAATGGTCCGGTTTGGGAAGGTCATCCACCTCGAGATCGCCCTTCTTGGTGGCGTTATCGAGCAGATCGCCACACCAACCCCACGTGTAGCGGGTGTAAGCGTTGACGGTGTTCAGACGGTCGACGATCTTGCCGTCGAAAAAGACATCAGGTCTCCGGGGAAGGAAGATGCCAGTGATGGTGATGGCGATAGAGGCGACCAAGCCTCCAATCTTGAGGCCGAACGAGACCGGGTTGTTCTTGAGCAAGTGGGCAAGAACCTCCGTGTTTTGCAGAACCTGAACGGCGGAGAAGACCAGTCCAGAAAACCAGACGAGCAAGCCGAGGTTGTAGGTGTGAACCGAGTCGTTAGATGCGGCCAGAGAGACGGCCTGCAAGGCCAAGAGGGCCCAAATACCAGTTGACAGCCATTCTGCTATAAAAAGCTTGTCGTATTGGCCTGTGTGAAGCGAGAGGGTGGCCAGGGTGGAATTCGCTACAGAGAGGGCGAGACCGGCGAATGCGAACAAGTTGATGAAGGTCTTGGGCCAGCGATTTGAAAAGGCGGCCGATGCCTCGGGAGTGCTTTTGCCATCTTTGTCCTCGTAGAAGTGGTCCACCGGTTTGCGGGAGCGAAGCTGGAAGCCTGTGAGGGCCGGAGCTGAGGTGAGAGCAACAAGGCCCAAGGTAGCTCCGACCTCAATTAGCAGGATTGTCTCATCTTGCATGGTGACTCCGCGAGGAGGTTGGAAGTTCGCGGGAGGTCTCTCAGGGCAGGTTGTCGTAAAGACTGAGATACTGAGATAAGGCTGTTGTTTGTCGACAGAAAGGATTTTCTGGCGGTGGCGGTGTTTAAAGGCGACCTGGTCGATGGCGCAAAAGGGCCTCTGTCAGGATCCAGATGGAAACGGGCAAGGTCCACAATGAAGTCGGGACCGAGACCAGGACCAGGACCAGGAACAGGACCAGGACCGGATTGGTTTGTAAGCGCTTGCCGGGCGAAGTGAAAATGGAAAGGCGGCAAGGACCCCCGTTTCCCGTTTCCTGAAGCTAAGATGACCCCAGGAAAGAGCTCCACGACGTTTCGTAGCGGCGTTCGCTGCGGTTCGCTATTGTAAATATTACCGGACGGCAGACCGCAGGTGGAAACACGCAAGTCTGCTTGCACGTTTCAACGTATTCAGACCGGAAATGCCAGCCAGAGACAAGACGGGACGGGACGGATTTGGACGTCGGCAAAGGTGGTCGATGTGAGTCGGGTGCGCTCTCGGATTCAAGATCGGAGAGGTGGCGGCCGAGACGGAGCCGGTGGCGTGTCGCGGCAAGGTTCGTTTCGTCGTGACGTGACGTCTTGCGCACTTTCTCGGAATTCCGATGTCGATGCCCTTTTGCTTGCAGTCCGGGACGGGACAGCCAAGCTTTCGGTCAAAAGATGAGGGAAGACTGGGGAAGGTGAAGACGCGGCGAATGGGAAAGACGAGCTAAGCCAAGCCAACATCCAGATCTGACTGCCACGAGTCTACAGATACAAGATCCCAGAACTAGGGGAAGGACTGGAATGAAACAATCCAATGGTAATAGAAAAAGAGGCGCCTGAGGTTTAGAGAGAAGGAAGGACTCAGGAATCAATCGATGCGAGAGGAGCCGCTTACTCTAATTCATTATATTTCCCAGAGCTGCCTTACAATGGCTGACGCCTATTGATCATTGGTAATCAGAAAGAGAGAGTCACTTGTGGTAAGGTGAGGTAGCGTGCAGCTATCGCAAGTTCGCACTCATGGTACTTTTTTTTTCTTTCAACCTGGCACCCCCGTCCTCCGCCATCCCATTCCCAACCCACCTCATCCATCCATCCCCATTTGGGCCTCGTACTTTTCTGCCTCTTCGCTGACCAGGATCATTTCTGCACTGGATCCCATCCCATCACCATCCCGCCATCTGACGCTTCTTGTCTGCATTTCACCCCCACTCGTCCTGCAGTACCTGGAGTCCTGGGATCTCTCAAATACTGCAATTCGGATCTGCCCCTCGCGCGCTTCGCAACCTTCGACCTGCATCTGCATCACCTTGCCGCGCCATTGCAGCTTGATACCTACCTGACGATGGCGTTCTCGAAACCTGCGACGCTGTGGCCTGGAAACTCCAGGCAGCCGCCCGCCACGATGACGTTCGACGAGTCCTCCTAGCCGTCGACATGGCTACCTCGAGAATGGTGTCCACGGTTCAACATTGAACAAGGGCCTCCTTGATCGCCGTCACCACCATGGCCGCTCCCGCGACGGTGGTTGGCCCGCGGCCGCCGGTTGACTCATCGGCGGAAAGAGATTCCTACATTGGAGACGAAAAACCACACAAAAGAGTCAACGGAAGGGGTGGCAGGTGGGTTCGGGCTTGGCAGAAGTTCCTCTGGACCCTGGAGGCATGGAGCACCGGGGCATAAACGCCGGACCATCACCAACGACCTACCGCCGCGGGGATTGCAACCGTGCTACATTCGGTCTGGCAACCGTCAATCTGAGAAGCTCTCACCCGCCTGTTAGTGCATTAGCGCGACTGCAGTCATCATGCACTAACATGATGCTAATGCCTATCTGCAACATTCCCTCCACCCTCCACCACCTCCGGCGCGAGCTGACCCCTCTCGACCCATCCGCTTCCGACTCGCCGGTAGTCATCCTGGCATGAACTTATCCTCGTTCATCGATCATCGGTGCTGGACGCCCGTCCTGCAGCACGTCTCGCGACGTACCAACGGGAGGACCAATACCAGCTACCGCTGCTGGCGCGCACGGCGCATTCGTACACACTCAGACGCCAGCCATGAGATTGGAGAAAAGGGCCCAGACTCAGGCAGATCCAGACTCGGCTTCGCGACGATTTGAACCCGAGATGAGAAAAAGTTCTTACGTCTTGAATAGGCAGGTAAGAAGTTGGTTATCCGATCCCAGGCTGGAGGCTCCTAATTTGCGGGATGCGGGTCTTCTGGGCAAGCTCCAAACCCGTGCCGCATCATCAGGAAGGGCGGTCAGACTAGCAAATAGCGGCCGGTGATTCTTCGCCCGGCGCGGCTCGTTGAGTCGTGTGATGGATGGATCCCGCCCGCCGCTTTTTTCGCTCCTGCATTCCCGCCGTTGCTGACCCTCGCCGACTGGCCCGATGACTGCCGTTTTCTCTCGGTTGATAATAGCTCACTCTTTATGCAGAGCTAACAAGTCTTTGTACGAACGCTTTCCTCTAGTTGGAGATACAACTGGCAAGCCTGTCTGTCCCAGCTTATCAAAAGACTTGACGCCAGGGAGGCAGAAACATTCAAAGGTCGACGTCTCATCTCACTTCACCTTACCCTCGAGCACCTGCCGTAATAAGTCCCAATCCATCAGGCAGCGGCTGACACACCACCTCGGTTCGCGCACCTCCATCATGCAGATGAAGGCAGCGTTGTGTGAACTGGTTCTTGACCAAGGTATCTTGGTGCCTGCTCATGATAAGAAGCGATTTGGAAACGTCCTTTTTCAAGCCTTGAATTGCCCCCCTGCAGCAATGACCCTTTCCTGGCCCACAGGGAAATCTTCAAACCATGAACTGCAGCAAGCTCGACTCAGTCTGCAACGGCCGTCATCACGATATCCAAGCGACTTCGAACCCAAAACAGAGGGTGTTCAACTCAAGGCCCCAATCTACCTGACCGTGTGGCCCGCGCCCTTCGGTAAGTGGGATGTTCCTCAGCGTTGCACATCAACCAACATCCAATGTTTCGAAACGCCGTTGACGACGACATAAGACGGGTCATCATTTCGTTCTCTTCTCTTCCCACTGGTTAGCCGTTCGGCAGGCAGCACAACCTCTGTATGCGGCGACACAAGTCGTATAGCATTTTTGAGGCCCGAAGTCGGACAGCGGCGGCACATCTGGCGCCAGCCATCAGCGATCGTCGTTGACCCAAATGCAAAAAAAAGCAAGCGAGCAAGCAGACAAGCCATGCAGCTGCCGCGGAGTCATCCAAGCAATTTGCAGCTACGGGAACGAGGTGCCGACGTGGTGTAACAGCCACAGATGAGGCTCCTCGAGCCCTGCGATTGGTTTGCGAATGGGATGCACCGTGTCGCCCTGGTTCACCGCCAACGTCGGGAAAGGTTCAGACGAGACTTTGACGGTGGTGGTTCAGAGATTGTGTGATTCACTGTTCCCCACCTGAGACTTTGGCCTCACTTTTAGCGGGCTAATTCCAGCGGGCTGCGATTGTGTCAGAAATTGGCCTCCTGAGGTAATCATCATCTTGATGCCCGCCATGACTCTTCAGGACGATGGTTACCTTGGGAACGTGCGGCTTTTGAGTTGACTCAACGTACAGACGAAGATTGGCTTCTTCAACGCCTGATACCGACGCCCGCGGATGAGTGACGGAGCCGAAGGTGTCATGCCCGGCTGTCGTCGTCCGTTCTCGCAGCACCTTAATTTCCCATCTGCAAGAACTTGGTAATCCATCAAATTGCAGAAAGCCATGCGCGAAGCTTTCCTGAACTCAAGCGAGTCGGCGGTTCACGGTTTTGCGATGCGTCCTGTACACAGTGAAACAAGGCTGGTCGGGCGCCTTAAACCAGGGCAGCGTCGATCGGGCCTCAGCAGGGCCTGCAGCGTAACTAACCTTTGAGGCGGTGCCTCATTAAGCCAAGTAAGTTGACGACAACTACTCCGAGATGGTCGCGTGTTGGAAGTAAGGTGAAGTTTAGAAACAGGCGAAAGTACTGAAACATTAAGTTTCCTGCTTCTACTTCTGCCAAACCGTCGTGGAGGTTGATGATTGCCTACTCAAACGCAGTTTCCTGAGAGGGCCAAAGTAAAGGCTCTAAAGGACATGGGTGTCGGAGTGGATATTGCGTACCGGGACGCCAGTGATTTCAATTAGCCAGGCCGTCATTGGCACGGGGACGTGGACCTGTCAGCCCTGTAGCAACCACAGCTGAGGCCGACGTGCAAGAAGTGAGGCTCCTTTGACCGGTCACGATCCCTTGCCTTGGCTGAGGGCGGCTCGGTGATTGACGCGACAGGCTGGACTGGAGTCAAAGGGCGAAAAGGCTTATTTACCTTACTCGAAAACAACGACAAAAGGAAATCCTCCCTGAGGGACGCGATGAGACGACACACACACAGAGGAAACAATCCGGCAAACCCTGCCGAACACGGTTACGCCAGGTGAGCAGAGTAGGTACCGATAGAAACAAAACAAAAACCACAGAGGATGGTGCAAACCGAAGCATACACCATGATGAGATGGAACGTCTGAAATGACCATCGTCTCTTGTCCTGATCGCGGGCCAAAAAAAAGGCAGGGGAGGAAAGAAGGAGTGCAGTTTTTGTTTCGACGTGTTGCGCCCACTGCCTCAAGCCCGGCCCAGAGTTGCGTCGATCACTCTTTTCTGAGGACCAGGATGTGTTTCCCTGTTTCTCACTCAACTCTGAGATGAGAAAGACAAAAGGCTCGTATGTAGTCATCTAAGCTAAGTTTATCTTGGTAATTGCGTGTCTTCTGGGGCGTTTTTCGACGGGCATAATGATGATAATGCAAGCTGCAGGTGACAGAAGAGAGACAAGAAATGGAAATGGAGTAAGTACTGCTGATTGCGGATATTCCAATTCGTACAGATGCAGAAGAGACCTCATAAACAGCAGCCGTGAGAAGGCGTGAGAAAGCGGGAATGATTAAGGTTGGCCTGGTAAGGTGGACGCAGCGTCCAATGGGAAGGGATCTCGGTGAGCAAAACAGCGGGCTGGCTGTGACCCGTCCGAGCTGTCTCATTGGCCGAGTCGCGTCAAACACGGCTTCCCGTCCAGCACCTTCCCTGCCGGGCTCTGCCTTTTCTGCTGCCGCTGTTCTGTTGCTGCTGCTGCTGCTACAGCCGCCGCTGAATTACGGTAATCTCAGCTAAGACGATACCGATGCTGGGCGCTGCATTGCCTGGCCACACACAGCAGGTGGTGGATGTCTCACGCCTCACTTCAGTGTCTGAGCTCCTGCCAAACAGTGAACCACCCTCCTCAGGTGCATCCACTGCCCAAACCAGAGCGAACCAAACTCCACCCGACGCGGCAACGACCTTTCATCCATTATTAGGTAGATCCTCGTGACAATTACCCTGGACTGTCAGTTTGATTTTTTTTCTGTCTGATTATTTCCATTCTTCCTTTGTTCATACCTTACTCGTCAACCAACATCTCGTCGTTCTGGTATAAACACTGCCAGTTCAACACCAACCAACGAATCGACCAGCCTCCCGCATCTGCCCTGCACGTCCGCGCCTATCGAACCTGCAAAGAGCTGCTTCTGCTACCTTAGCCCCGATTCCGTCTCCTCCACTCAAATCCCAAGCTATCTCTAGGTACTATCTGCCGATGCTAAGCAACCAAGCTTGAACGTCCGCCTACCTTAACCGCCCCTCATCCTTCCATCCAGCCGCGGACGCTGCCAATTCACAACGCGAAGCTTCCCGACTCGCCTCGAACCGTCGTTCATCAAACCTCTTCGTCAACAATCGACCCCCCCTCCGAGGCGAAATCCCTTCCGACCACACGTGCCTCCCCGCCGCGCATACATCGTACGAGTCGATTGCGACGGGCCACTCTACCTCTCGATCCCGCACATGTGTCTCAATAACCGCCCACGCGAGCAGTCACGATGAAGAGCACGCCTCTGATCATCAATTGGCATGATCAGAATGCACCCGTCTACTCGGCTCATTTCGAGCCCCAAGGCAAGGGCCGCTTAGCCACGGCTGGAGGAGACAACAATGTCAGAGTATGTCGCATCCTCGCATCCTTGACCCCCTGGCCATGCCACCGACCTCCCACCTCACCTGGCCTTGCGAGGCTGACACCACGTCCAGCTCTGGAAAGTCGAGAGTGACGGGGAGGATAGGAAGGTTGACTACCTGTCCACCCTGACCAAGCACACACAAGCCGTCAATGTTGTCCGTTGGGCACCCAAAGGTACGAATTGTTGTGTATCCGTGTTGCTCTTCCATCAACTGACCATGTTCCTGACAGGGGAGGTTCTTGCTTCTGCCGGCGATGATGGGAACGTGATCCTCTGGGTCATGTCTGAACACAGCGGACCTGCCTTTGGCAACGAGGGCCTCGAGGACAAAGAGACATGGCGGACGAAGCACATGTGTCGGTCGAGCGGCTCCGAGATCTACGACCTCGCCTGGTCTCCCGATAGCTCCTACTTCATCATTGGAAGCATGGACAATATTGCCCGTATTTATAATGCCTCTACAGGTACGCACCGCTAGCATCAATCCCCGTGACACGCAGCTGACCAGTCAGGCACTCTCGTGCGCCAGATCGCCGAACACAGCCATTACGTCCAGGGAGTCGCGTGGGATCCCCTTAACGAGTACATCGCGACCCAATCGTCCGATCGGTCTGTCCACATCTACTCGCTGAAGACGAAAGATGGCCAGCACACCCTGAGCGGCACTCACGACGATAAGCCCTCCAAGATCGCGAGCCACAACAAGAGTGATCTGCCGCCTCGACGCATATCCTCCAGCAGCCCCGCACCGCCTGACTTCACCGGGAGAACTCACCTCACAGTCGAGCAAGCTGTTGGCTCCCCGGTGCCGTCCGCTCCCGGGACCCCGACGTCCATAGCCCTCCCGATGAACCCGCCGAGTGCCATCAGCCATAGTAGGCGGTCGTCCTTTTCCTCGAGACGCTCGCCTTCTCCTGCCCCGTCCATGCCACTTCCAGCTGTCATGCCGATCGAGCCTTCGCCGAGTACCAAGCCTCATCCCTCGGGCGGCCTTGGCATGAGGAACTCGATTCTCTATGCCAACGAGACGTTGTCTTCCTTCTTCAGACGTCTCACTTTCACTCCAGACGGCAGCCTTCTTCTGACTCCGGCCGGTCAATATCAAACTCAGCATGCCTCGGAAGGCAACTCCAAGCCGACATTCGAGGTTACTAACACGGTGTATATCTATACCAGAGGTGGCATCAACAAGGCCCCCATTGCGCATTTGCCTGGTCACAAGAAGCCTTCAGTCGTAGTCAAGTGTTCGCCCGTGTTTTACACACTGCGAAACTCACCCCCGGTCACCAAACACATCACAATCGACACATCTTCTGCCGAGGAGCCCATTCCGGCGCTGCCAGAGCCAGTTGCTAAGCCCTCGCCCTCCACGTCGGTGATGGAGCCTCCACCGCCGCCGACGTCGAACCCTGAACCGTCAAGCACACCCAAAGCCGAGACGGGCGTTTCTACTCCGGGACCCAAGGCAGCGTTTGCTCTGCCATACCGAATGATCTACGCAGTTGCCACTCAAGACTCTGTGCTTCTGTATGATTCTCAGCAGCAAACTCCAATCTGTATCGTTAGCAACCTGCATTGTGCGACGTTTACTGATCTCGCCTGGTAAGTCATTATGACAGGCCCTCTTCTGGTACAGTTCTAACGAGATCAGGTCGAGTGATGGGTTAACCCTCCTTGTGTCTTCCTCGGACGGGTTCTGCTCAACCCTCTCATTCGCCCCAGGCGAATTGGGGCAGATTTACCAGGGAGACTTACCTACCGCCAAAAACCCGTCTGTGCCCGGCGCTACACCAGCAGCTTCGTCGAGTCAAAGCACTCCCATACCTACCCCATCGTCCGCGTTCGCCCCTCCCTCGCCGTACCGCAACGGGTCGGGCCATCATCACCGAAACTCAACGAGCTCTTTCACGGCCCCTTCACCGCCGCCCGCCGGCTTCGTGAATCAGAGGCCCCAATCACCTGCGAGGTCGAACTCTACGTCGTCTGTAGCGACTCAGTCATCGCAGGTCGTCACTAACCCCAACCTAATCGTCGGTAGCGTTCCCGGCATTGCGGTCGCGAACTCTACGAAAATCACGGGCGTGCCCATCACCACGCCGCCCGAAACGCCGCGGACCAACGCCGCGGCTGTCTCGACGGCCGCTGCAACGGGTTCCGCGGCGACTGGAACCAAACGCGAGGCTAGCGAAAGTGAGAAGGAGGAGGGCAGCGGACCGAAGAAGAGGCGAATTGCGCCGACGCTGGTCGAGCAGAGGCCGTAGTTGGCGCTCGCTCAGTGAATGCGGATGACCCTCGTGTACAATGAATCATGGAACAAAAGCGTTGCTTGGATGGAGAACATGAATTTGAGGCAAATACTGCGCGATTCGACGACGGGGCAGAAGTAACGGACACTCGCGGAATTTACACTCGCGAACGGACTTGTTTGCATGGCATGGCGTTGCTAGGGTTTACCAAGGACTTCGTTGGTCTCTTGTTCGCTGGAATGGGATGCGACGTTGATAGATTTCATTAGCAATATTCTCCAAACCAATTGGTCTGTGACATTGAGGATGACTAAGATAATTTGGCTGACCGACACTTTGAATTGGGACAGCAAACTAAGAATCTGTGAATATGAAGTCGGGATATCTGCTTCATCAGTGATACAGAAACGTGCGCCATTTGAGGCCGCGCATCCGAAGTCTCATGCTGGTTGGCTAAACCAGCTGGATCTGAATCCCGACGCAAAACCTCTCTCCTACATCAACCAATACAACCCCATCACTCATCGAAGAAAAAAACATGACCGCCAAAAGACCTCGAAGCCCAGATCTCATCCCAAACCCGTTTATCAAGAAACGCAACCTCGAATGGTCCCTCGACGTCCCTCACGCCGATGATGAGGAAGAGGAGGAGGAGGAGGTAACCCCCGCGCGCAGCAGCGACCGCCCGGGCCCGAGCCTCTCCGCAACCCTCGAATCAGGCGCCGCGACGCACCCGGACCCGGCGGCGCACTTCTTCTCGCACCTGGCGCGGCACACGCTCTCGCCGTACCCGGCCTCCGCGGCGCGTCTCGCCGACGGCGGGCTCGAGGCGCTGTTCGAGTCCAACGCGGGGCGCCGCGGGGGCGCGCACTTCGTGGTGCACCAGCACGACCACCCGGTCGCGGGCCCGCACTACGACCTGCGGCTGCAGGTGAACGAGAGGAGCAGCGTGAGCTGGGCGGTGATGTACGGGCTGCCGGGGGACGCGAATTCCAAGAGGTTGAACCGGAACGCGACGGAGACGAGGGTGCATTGTTTGTGGAATCACGTCGTGGAGACGGCGAGTTGGTATACGGGGAGTTTGGTGATTTGGGATTGTGGGGTTTATGAGGTTTTGGAGAGGGGGAGGGGAGGAGGGCCGGAAGTTGATCCGGATTCTGGGCGGGAGGATGAGGAGGATGATGATGTGGATGGGAGTGGGATGACGGAGCAGGAAAAGTTGGCTAGGGCTTTCAGGGAGAGGAAGATTAGAGTGAGGTTACATGGATCCAAGCTTCCGAGGGGGTATGTGTTGAATTTGAGGTTGACGAGGGGGGAGGATGCGGAGGGGCGGAGGAGGAGTGAGAAGCTGCTTGCGGGGCCTGCGAGGAAGAGGAGGAGGAGAAAGGGGGAGGGTGCGGGCGTGAAGAAAGATATTGTTGTCGAGACCAGTTCTGAAGAGGACGAAGACGCTGATGATGATCTGGTCCCCGATGCTGAGACCGGGGCCGCGACGGAGACGAACGTCACGGACGTGGAGAGGGAACTGAGGGAGCTGGAGGACGAGACGGTGCGGATGACGAACGCGTATAAGGGGGCGGAGAACAGTGTTGGTAGTGTGCACCAGAGGAGGTGGTATATGTCTCTGGACCGGGAGGCGAGCGGGTTCGTGAAGGGTAGTAGGGGGGAGGGATGGGTTCTGCGGAGGGAGGAGGCGGGTGATGATAATAGAGAGGATGGGGATGGGAGGTTGAGGTTTCCGTTTTATGTGAGGGGACCGGAGTTCGAGAGGAGTGTTGTTACGGGACGGAGGGGGAATGAGGTTTTGAGGGATGAGGGGGTTGTTGGGTTTGTGAAGAGGAAGGGGTGGAAGCCTGTGTTGAATTAGGGGGAGACGCTGGGGATTACATGGAAGGGGTTTCTGGTTACTCGTTTTTCATGGTGACTGATTATAAGAAAGCGGGTTATCTTTGTTCTCCCTACTGTCTTCAAACGCCCGAGCCGTTGCCAAAGCCGCAGCCGGAGCTCGAGCCGATGCTGGCTGTGTCGGGACTCGACCCTGAGCCAGACACCACACTGGCTGAGAAACGAGACGCACTTGATGTCTTTCTGAGCGAGCTTGAAAATCTTCTTTCTAACCTATAAAATGGCTTATTGAACTTCAAGATGGGAAGTGGGCGAGTGTTCTCAACGTCAGTCTGGAGGATCAGTCAACATCAGGAGTCCGGGCCCGAGTCTTTCGGCATCCGGCGCAAGTGGGGCCGTAGATGACCCACCCCACCGCCATTCAATGCATGCTCGACACCCACGACCACGGTTCATCTCATGATATCTTCTCACTCCACAAAAACAATAATGTCTACGGTGTCCGTGGAGTTCTATCCGATGACACACGCAAGCGGGTTGCATCGCCGTCGCCCACGTATCTGTACCTGCATTGAACAGCGCAACAGTGGGAATCGCAAACCCCGCCATGTCAAGGCCCAATTAGGTAATACATCGGACGATCGCATGGCGTCGAACGACGCGCGGGGCTGGGTTTGCCCTTGTCGCCTTCCAGCTCGACCAACCTCACAAAACCGGCCTCGGCCGCAGGAAAACGTGAGGTTTTCCCGGGATGAATCCCTGTGCGAGCTGTGCTTAGCCCCGAACCACCCCTGAACTCGTGCAGCTGGACGAACGCAACCCAATCGAAATATTGTTTCCAGCCAATGGACGTAAACAAGAGAGGAGTCATTGGCAGAGAAGTGTGCCTTAATTGACCGCCCTCATGGCCACTTTCTTTCCTCTCCCACTCCTCCTGCCGTCAGCCTCTTCACTCTCTTTTGTCTTCACCACTGCTGCCGCCGCATTTCTCCCCTCGTAATTCCGCTCTCTCTCTCGAGCGATAGAGAGAGCGTGTACGTCATGAGCGACTCCCGCAGTATCCGGTCCTCCCGCACCCGCCGCAGCGGCGGCGGCGGCGGTGGCGGCAGTAGCAGCAGCGGGGCCCCGCGACACTCGTCCGAGCGACACTCTTCCGAACGGCACTCTTCCGAAAGACACTCCTCCGCACGGCACTCGTCGTCCGCCGCCGTTGACGACAACTCCTACCTCCGTCCCTCCAACCGGAGCATGCGCAGCAGCGCGCGCAGTGTGCGCTCCGTCAACTCCCAGTTCGCCGCTACCCGCCGCGAGTACGATTTCGACGATGACGACGAGGAGTCCATGGTAGACCGCATGACGATCGCCTCCGAGGCGGAATTCACCGGCGGCGACGATAGCACCGTCACCATCGGCGACTTCGCTCCGCAGGAGGACGCGGACGGCCTCGAGGGTGATTACTACGACTTGCTGTGTCTGCCGAAGGACCCCACCATCACGCCCGACCAGGTGCGCAAGGCGTACTATCGGCTGATTCTGTATCTGCACATGGACGGCCTGCCGGAGAGCCTGCACCCGATCGCGAAGCCGTGGTTGGACGAGGTGCAGAGGGGGTTCGAGACGCTGATTGACCCGCACCGGAGGGCGTTGTACGATGCGAACCAGATGCGGGACCTACCGGTCGACGAGGACTATCGATATGGATATGACGTGTCGTTGAAGGAGCAGTTGAGACAGAGGGCGGCCGATGTCGTACAGACGTCTTCTGATTTGGGGATACGGTTTGATGCGTCCAAGGCAGTGAGGCAGGGCGCCGCATTTACGCCATTGGACTTCACGCTCAGTCATTCCGTCACTGTCGGGCTGCCGCCTTTGGGTCGCTTGATGGGTCGGTCGACTCAGTCAGGAGATTGGGCGCCGTCCGCATCGAAGCGAGTTCCGTCTATTGCGGTGAACGAGAAAACGAAGGTTGAGCAGAAGAGAGAGTCGATGCTGTACCTGCCTCCCCCGCAATTGACTTTGACGGGTTCGGTGTACGGCATCGTGGAGGAGATTTATCGCGTTCCGTTGCCGCTGCTTGCAGATCGCTACCAGCCTCTCCTTCCCCTGACTATACCTCGGAAACGTATCATCCAGCTAGCAGAGCAGCGACCGTGTCCTCTGATCAGCCTGAAGTTCCGCCAGGATATCATTCACAGGAATGCCGAAGACCGCATTGCGAAGACCACCGTGGAGGTGGAAAGCGAAGTCCTCCCGGAGTCGTCATTGACAACGAGACTGACCCACCCTATACACCTCCCAAACAGCTCAAATCCGGTCATCCTCGAAGGAAGCGTGCGGACCGGACGCCCCTGGTTCCGTGAGCCTCCACGCCTCGCCGTCGGTCTGCACCGTTGGCTCGGCGCCGGAACAGCCTACGCTTTCGCCGACAGCGGCGACTGGAGCATGTGGCCTGGCCAGACGATTAAGCTGATATCCGACTTCTCGCAAATCAGCAAGACTCAACTTCTCACCGAGTTCCCCATGAAGACCTCTGCCAGCCTCGAGATCGGATACACGACGTCCCCGGAGCGTGTGCCCTCAGCAGGCCACGAGGATTCTCCGAAGGGAGAGTGCGGCATCCGCGGCCTCGACAACGAGAACAGAAACAGCAGCGATGACTCATGGACCGTCTCCACGTCCCTCACAGCCACCGCCGTCGCGGGCTATCTCCGCTATGGCCGCGATCTGCCCCTCTCCGGCTCCAAGGCCACCAGGCTCGAAGTAGAGCTGTGCTCCAACACCCTCCTCGACCGCTACGTCGCCGTCCGCAACCTCTGGAACATCGGCCGCTTCTCCAAGCTCGGCCTCGAGGTCGGCGTCAGCCTGCACAGCCTGCACCTCTCGCTCTACTGGTCCCGCCTCAGCCAGCGCCTCAGCATCCCGCTGCTCCTGTCGCCTCGCGCCGAGTACAGCCCCCAGGTCTTCTTTTACGCCACTGCCGTGCCCCTCGTCGCCTTCGCGGCCAAGCACTTCTTCGCCAAACCCAAGCGCGCAGTAGCAGCAGCAGCGCTGCCATCGGGTGTCGACCTACAGTCCTACATCGCCCGAAAGCGCGCCGCGGCGGACGATGTCACCGCCTTGCTCGGCCCGCCCATCGAGGCGCGGCAGCGCGTCGAGAAGCAACGCGGCGGACTCGTCATCCTGAGCGCCAAGTTCGGCGTCAAGGACGGCGCGGATTGGGCCGCCTTGGAGGAGGTCGCGGACGTCACGTTTGCGTTGGCGGCGCTGATCGAGGACGGGAAGCTGAGGATCCCCGCGGGCGTGCGCAAGGGCTCGTTGCTCGGTTTCTGGGACCCGGCGCCGTTGAGGCGGAAGGCGCTTCACGTGCGGTATCTGTATAGGGGCAAGGAGAGGACGGTGGAGGTCATGGGGCGGGATGAGCTGGTTCTCCCGCCTTCTAAGAGGTCCGTGACGTGATGATAAATGAAGGAACGGTGGGGATTTGCATTGGAAGGTGTCGATGTGTTATATATATCCAATACCAGCTTTCTTGACTGGACATTGACAGACTAGGTAAACAGAATAGTTATCACATGTTGATGCCATTTCTTGCATCTTCAAGTTCGTCAACGAAGGAAGGTACCAGACACTCTCTGCTCCCATCTCCTCAGCTGTAGGCAGGTCTCGCCTTGCCATCGAGTATCTCTTGGAATGCCTCTCGAAATGTGATCGGGTTGAAATCCGGATACAGGTCCGTCGCGAGCAGGTACCCCAGATACTCCGCATACTCCGGGCTGTTTTCCTGCCTGACGCCCGCGGCAAGGAAGTACTGCATCATCAGCAGATTCACAGTCACCTTGAAGTCCGTCTCCCCTTCGGCAATCGCCCGACGGTAGTCTTGGATCCTGCGCTCCATGTCCTCGGCAGACACCTAAACACCAGCAAACACGCATCAGCAATGTCCAACCCGGGATGACAGGAAAGTCAACAGCCAAATATGACTAAGAAGAAGTGAAAACTTACGTAGGTCCTCTCGATCTTTTCTCCCGACATCTCCTCCGCCAGGTCGTAAAGCTCGTTCATCCTGTGCGCGAACCCGCTCGCCAGCACGCACTTATTCAGCGTCCTGGGGTCGCGGATGATGCGCGCGACGTAGCGGCCGATGTCCCGCGTGTCGACCACGGCGCAGACGGCCTCGCCGTCGCCCGGGATCAGGTTGTCTCCCGTGATGTAGGCTGTGAGCACGTGCGGCGCGGTTCGCCCGGAGGGGAGGCGCGGGATGAAGCCCGCGTACCACCAGCCCACGTTGATCACGGTGTAGGGGAGGTGGAGGCGTTTGATCTCGTCGAGGACGTCTGTTTTCTTTGGGGGGTTCGTGTGTTAGTACATCATTCATGAGGTTACGTCGGACTTCAAACTCACCACGTCTTGCGCATCGTGAATACCCCTGGGAGGCATCGCCATGGCGAACTCGCTGGGCACGAAACGCTTCACGCCGGCTTTCTTGGCTGCTCGCGCCAGCGGGATCTGGTCCCTCAGGGAGGGGACGCTGAGAGGGGCGATGACCACGTCGATGCCGGACAGCGCCGCGACGAGGGCCTCTTCCGGGCCGGCGAGGTCCGCCGCGACGACTTTCACGCCTCGGGCGCGGAGGGCTTCGTGTTTTTGGTTGTTTGCGGATGCGGGCCGGGCGAGGGCTGTGACTTCCTACGTGAGGGTGGGTGTTAGCTGGCTGTTGCTTGTGTGGTGTTAAATGGCTCTGGGGGACTTACGAAGTTCTCGGCATCGTCGAGGAGAGCTTCGATTATGGAGCGGCCTGTTTCGCCTGTGGCTCCGGCTATGGCTACGGTTGTTCGTGTCATTTTTGAGGTGATCGGCGGTGTTCTTAGCGTTCAGTACTTGTTGAAATGGATACGTTTCCCGTGGCTACCACAGTTTCTTCTGGTGACGCTTTATATCTAGACATCGTTTTACAAACACCGCGCTCCGCCGACGTACTCCGATTGCCGACTACATAAGCCGCAGAGTTCAATGTACAAAGGCCGTTCGTCCGCCGTCGATCCGCCGATTTATTGCGGGGTTGCGGACTTCAATGCGGACTCCGTATGTTCGGGGGCGGAAAGGTTTGTCGGCGGAATCAAAAGCGGATCGGAGTTGACGATACCCATGCCGCGATTACTGTCATTTAGACATGTGTGGCTAGCACATCTGTCGTGGAGATTCGCAGAGAAGTCAGATATTTCAGAGCACGACGAGCCTATGCAACAACAGCAAGACATGCCGATTCAACGTTCGACCCCATCGACTAGACTCATCTTCGAGCAATTTGATAGCCTTTCTGATGCTGTGGTTGGTGTAGTGCTTTCGCGCTCTCACTACTGAACAGAAGCCACGACACCAAACACACCTTCAAAAGTAAACGGGACGAACTGATCAGAAGACCGGCCTGAAAGCATCAGAACCGTCTAGACGCCAACATTTATGTTATAATGGGGAAATGCACGTAGCTTTGGAGCGTAATTTGCCCCAGCCTCGGAGTTGGGGTGGGAAGCTGGAGGTCGCGATTGGGCTGTGACACCCCAAATCCCGGGTGTTGGCTCCAGGCCCGACCACAACGACAATGTCGATTCCGAAGGGTTCAAATTCCGTCTGTAGATTGATGCACATCCAAGTCGCACCGACGGCAAGTGAAATGTTGGGATGCACTTGAGACCCCGGAATCTGGTCTCCGAATATGGAATGTCGGCCAGGAAGTCAAGCTCGAGCTTCTTCGTTCGCAACCTCATAAGGGGTAACATCCGGACAGCATGACTCTTGACTTGGGCAAAAAGTTCAAGCATATTGTTAATTGATTGATGAAAAGAACATTACCGAATACACATTAGCCCCTATCCCAAAGACAACCATGGGAAGCACAGCAGCAATCATGTCCGCCCAAATCAAAGCCCAGGTCCTCTACGAGCCGAAGGACCTCAGGCTGGTACAGTCATTCCGACCTCCCGTCAGATGGATTAGAAGGCAATTTTACTAACGGAACTGCTTCGAAACAGATAGACCGGCCAATCGAACCCCCCGCCGCCAACGAAGTCCAAATCGCCATGAGAGCCACGACGCTCTGCGGATCCGACCTCCACTACTACACGCACTTCAAGAACGGAGACATCCAGATCAGGGAGCCGTTGTCGCAGGGCCACGAGTGCGCCGGCGAGATCGTGGCGGTCGGCCCCGGCGTCGACGGATGGAGCGTGGGCGACCGGGTCGCGGTCGAAGCCGGCGTGCCCTGCGACGCGTGCGAGGTCTGTCGGGACGGGGACTACAACGTGTGCGAGAAGATGAGGTTCCGCAGCAGCGCGACCGCGTTTCCTCATTTTCAGGGGACGCTGCAGGAGCGGTTCAATCATCCGGCCAAATGGATTCACAGGTGGGTTTATCGCGAGGGCCGGGCCTCTCAGGACTGGGTATTCAGGGGTACACCCAAGCTGACCATTGCTGAATCAGACTCCCGGACTCGCTATCTTTCGCCGAGGGGGCTTTGCTGGAGCCGCTGGCGGTAGCAATCCATGCCGTCCGCAAAGCTGCTGCCAAGCCGGGATCGTCTTGTTTGATACTCGGAGCCGGTGCGGTTGGTCTTCTCTGTGCCGCGGCGGCGAAGAACTCAGAGTATGGGAGGGTCGTCATGGCAGATATATCGACAGATCGACTCGACTTTGCTGCTAAGAACGGATTTGCCGACGAAATCGTGTTACTCAGCTCGAAGAGGGCTACGAGCACGGAAGAGGGACTTGCTATGGCGAAAGAGATTGCGGAAAAGCTAACGCAGAAGAATTCCGGAAACAGATTCACCAGAACCTTCGAGTGTACTGGGGTTGAGAGCTGTGTGAGAACGGCTATCTATGTAAGCGCGTGGCGCAACTATCAGCCTTGCTGCTGTTTTGTATTCGTGCTAATCTGATCTGTAGGCTACGCGCGGAGGAGGAAAAGTCCTTCTCGTGGGTATGGGCACGCCCATACAAACTTTGCCAGTAGCTGCGGCGGCTCTTCGGGAAGTCGACCTCGTTGGAGTATGGCGATACGCCAACTGCTACCCTGAAGGAATGAAGATCATGGAGGCAGCTGGGAAGACGTCCTCGATCCCAGATCTGAAGAGTCTGGTGACACATTCGTTCAAAGGTTTGGATCAGGTTCCGACGGCCTTTTCAATGGCTGCGAGGACGAGTGATGATGATGGATCACCGGTAATCAAGGTAGTTGTCGAGAATTGAACATTGGAAGGTTTGCAGTTGCTTCCGCCGTTCAACCCTAGGTTACCCTCGACCATGATTCATCTACTGCCACGGTACTGTGATATCTGAGGGCTTGTCGCCAAATTTTTTGACTTTGAAGGCACATAAATCCATCACCTCGGCGTGCGCGCTTCGGGGTCACCCTGGATCCTACGCTTCGACTGCGACGAATACGTCACAGAAGATCCCCTCCTCTTCGATCCGGCCGACGCAGCAACAAGCCGAGCCTGCCAAGCCCTCTTGATCTGCAACAAAACGTCCAAAGTCCGCGTCGCATTGTTGAACGTAGCCCCCAGCTCCGCCAGCGCACGGCAGCATACTTCGAGGTGGCACGACAGCTGCCGGTGGCTCTGGGCGTCGTTTTCCGACACCGAAGCGTAGACCAAAATTAGCGCCGCGCTGAATGTGATCTGGACGACCTGGATGTTGATATTGCTGAGCGAAAAGCGCTGCTCGTACCAGGAGAGGAGGATAGAGATGCGGGACGCCGAGCGGACGCACATCTCTCTCGCGTGCTGGGGGCCCTGTCCAACGCGTGGGATGGGCTGGATGTAATTCTTAGCCACGAAAGGCCGGTGTAGGACGATGGCTAGATACTCGAAAATCATGCTGCAGAAAAAATATCAGCAGCCCGTCTTTTACGTGGTTTTCTCGCGGAACCTACTGTAAAATCAACACGTGCGGACGGCAATCTTCCGGCATTGGCTTGTCCAAGTCCAAGTCGAGCTCACCCGGTAAGCATTGCCTCCAGGATAAGAGTCTTTGCCATGTTTCTTGTCCTATCTTCTGCAACTCGGTGTTTGATGCGTCGGCACGGAAATATCTGGGCAAATCAGCAGTGTTATCTGAGAAAGCCCGACAGGCCTGCTTACAGCGAGCTCTCAAGAGGAGACATTATTCTTGATAGCTGAATCCATTGCTCGACCAATGTTTCCTGTAAAGCCAGAAGCCTATCGGTTGAGCCAGGCTCTTTCGGTACAGCACCAGAGGCGCCACACCCTCGCTCTCGTTGGGAGAGAGACATTGGTGTTTCTACCGTGGCAATCTGAAGTATATTATGGAAAGGTCTTCCGAGGTATAAACCCCACATCCTAGCAGCAAAATTGTTAGCTTTCAACTTCGAGCGCATGCTGAGAGCATGTTTACCGGGCGAAATTTACCTATCTGTAGCGACAGCGCCCCAGAATGCAACGCTTCGGCCTCGAGCTTCCTCTATCGACATGGAACCGGCATCAAGGTAGGGCTTGACTCCGCTGTGCAATCCAAAGTCTATAGCGAGTCGAACAGCCATGCCTAATCAGATTCGGTCATCAGCGACGCTCTTCGCAAGAGAATGTCAGAGAATAAGGGCGCAACACACCGCTAAAAAGCCATCCTTGAGTATCCCGGGTGAAGGCTGCCTCATGACTGCTCAGAACTGCCAATGCTTGAACGGTAGCGATTTTGGGGTGTTCCAGCTCGATATCAAGCAAAGTCGTCGCCCGGCTGGCGAACAATTCTGATAAGGGGTTCGGAAGATTTGCATGCTTCCGAGACTCGAACGCCGCGCCAACGGCACAACTAGAGCACCTGTCAGAACTCTCAACTTTGAAGCACTCGTATGTGAAGAAGAGCGCACATAGAATTGAGAAGAAACGGGGAGAAGAACGGGGTGTCTTTGTTTCCGTCCTCGTACTCCTTCCGGGCCTTGTCGAAAAGCTGTCGATCGACGGTATAGAGACTCGGGTTGTGCCAGGTGAAGAACAAATCGAGCAGGTGATCAATCAGATCACCACCAAAGTTTTGATTAAGACCAGTAGCTTCCAGACGAGCTTCGGCTTGTCTGCCCCTGTTGCTTGATTTCGGGTAGAACACCGAAGCAACTCTTCCTCGCACCAAGTTGAAGTTCGAAGTTGCGCCGTAGAAGTGATGTTCGCCGTTGTCCATCGCAAGCAGGGAACCGAGCCGAGCGGAAAGCTGGTTTGTGACTTCCGAGTGGTCTTCGTCGTCGGTCGAGTCTTCGTCCGTGAAGAGTGTTGTCGGGGACGGGTCTAAGGAAGTGCAGTTCAATTCTGGCGCAATGGGCAATATTGGGTCCACAGCTTTCTGAGCTGGGAGACCGAGATCCCCTAAGTCGATGTTCCCATCAATTTGGGGCATCAAAGAATGATTCCAGACCCAGTCGACATCAAAACCGTTGTTCAGTGGCAGCGTCGTCTCCGATAAACTGTGAAAAGCCGCAATATCCATTGATATACTTTCAAGCGAGCTGTCCGGTACATGCGAAGCTGCCCATAACGCTGGATCGTCGAAAGGCTCATTTCCGTTTTCTTGTGGGCTCGTTGTTGTCTTCCCATGCTGATCGTCTCCTGCGGCCGTTGTTGAATCAAGAGCGACTTCCTGTAATTGAGTTGCGGCGGTATTTGGAGATTGCTCCGGCGGAACCGGAGACTTCGGTCGCTGGGGACCGTAAAGCAGAGCAAGTTGCTCTAGCATCGTCGCATTCTCTGAGTCTGGTGGAGGTACATCGAGGCCATGTGATGTTATGAAGTCTTCTAACTGCTTAACTCGGTGCAAATAAGTCTCGACCGTCTTTCGAAGCGATAATCTACTGTCATCAGTTTCCTACGGAAAGATTCACATATAAATTTAAGACGTAGTACAAAGAGGCGACTCACTTTCTCCGATCTACATCGGCATACGTACAATCCCTGCGCTTGGTGGTACACTGACGACATATTGGAGTCGTCCCATCGCACTGCATTCGCCAGAAATTGGTGAGCACATGCCATCTAGATGGGTAGATGTAAAGACAATCCATAGGACATACCTTGATTTTGTCATTGCGGCAGGGCCAACATGCTATAGCGATATGTCGCCGGCTCTTTGAGCGGGAGGCCGAGGCAGGCATTGTAGATGGTTTTGGCGGGAGGAGTAACGACCTGTGAGACTCCTGAAGACGGCCGCCGCTATGTCACAGCCCTCGATCTACGGAGGCGTCAACCAACGTTCCGAGCCAGGAGAATCACGAATTTGAAATCCTGGGGAACCCCGCAACTCGTCCCGGGGCCGTGACCAATCTTGGAACGAGTTCCAGTGCGGAACCTTTTCGCCAGGCGACGGATGATCTGGGAATTGAGGCAGCCTCGGATCAACAATCGGAACGTGTTGGATGAAGGAAAATTCGGTTACCGATCTAGCGGCGACGCCCTTGGCGTAGAGAAAGAGCGACGGAGAGACTGGCGGCTTTACCGCCAGCCAATCATAGACTTGACTCGGGATATGGTCTCCGAGTATAACAATTTGTACGAATACGTGAACGCTGTAAAGACTTTTCCTACGTCATTTTCCAATGCGTACAGACCGGAATACAAATACACGGAAGATTCCATTGAACTTGGTCGAGGCTTTTCATGATGGATGTCAAACTGAGACGCCCGTTGAACAAATAGTATCTCATATCGCCACGCACGAAACGCGGTAATATGCCAGCGAAAACAAAACCGCCTTGCACATGTGTTGACACAAGTTCCTAACCCTGCCTGACTGAAAATATGCGCGCCTAATATTAGTTGCGCATGGGAGATACAACCACTACAGCGATGCTAGACTCGCACGTAGTAAATCACTTCCCGGACTCAAGTAAAATTATGTTTTCCGACCTCATTCACATAGGCTACAATATCATCACGATTACAGCTTATTCGTTGCTTATTCGTTGAAAGCTTGACAGTCTGCTGTGTCAAGAATCGAGACAGCAAATTCAGAGCCAAGTTCTTACCAAGAATACAATTGAAACTCTTCTTTCAAAATTCGATTAGGCTCGGGGCGATAACAGAGACAGTTGAGTAAATAGAAGTGACAAAGTTCTGGCCTTTTACAAACCGGCCACATACATTGCAATGAGATAACCAAATTAATTGACTTATCCACTGGATCCAATCAAAATAATCAGCATGCCGATAATGTTATTGATCAGGGAATTGTTTCCTTCTACTCATAATTATGTCGTATTCACCTACTAATAATATCTTTATACAAGATCTTTGGTATTGTTTTAAACGGGTACCAGGGGGTGTGCTGCCTTGCAGACGTTGGGAAACCAACTGCTGCATGCTGATTTTCCCCGCTACTTGACGTCAAACATCATATCCGATGCCTGATACATAGCTACAACACTTCCTTGATTTGTAGACATCCTTTCAAAATGGCAGAGCAGCCTAACCCCAGCCTTGGTTCCTTCGTACGTTTAGGTAAAAGAGACCGAAAGTAACGATCAGTCGCCCATCAGGCCCTAGCCAGAGGGTATATGCTGACTGAGTGGCTACTTTAGACCTGGATCTCCTCGCCTAAGCTGGAAACTTGAAGCCAGCCAGCAACTTTCGCTCACCACACCCTACCCCCTTATGAGCACCATACACCGAGGCATAAATGATGACAACAAGGCCAGAAAATGTACATTCCACTGGTGTACGTATTCCAATGCGTTTACCGACAAGGGTTTTATCCTCGTACGACACAGGGAAGACGGTAGCTTCGAAAGAGTTCCAGTAGACAACACTACCGGTCGCGTTGCACTACCAGAGGAAAGCACAGACAGCCTTGTCATCGCCGCCGGATGTCACAATGCTGACTTGCATGATCTTGCGCCCGGACAACAGACGACGACACGCAGATTGGACCTCCCAGAGAGATACTACCGCGCACTCCGCGAGGGGGAGACATACTCGCTAGTATTTCCTGGCACAGAGGTTGGCATGTGGGCCTGGGGTAACATCGAAGATAACACAGGATTGGAGATGAAGGCCGGAAGGCTGCTCTCATCCGGCTATAGGTCGCGACCGCGTGCGAAGAAGGGCCAAGGTCAGCCTCGGCTGGTGATGCCTGGGGGAACCCTTGTCACCTTTTCCGTCGTAGAAGAGAAGGTGGCATGGCCTGAAAGGGCAGCCAGAGAATCCAAGGTGGGGTTCTCGATGGCAAATTTGGAAGAACAGAGTTGGAGATGGACTCTACAGCAGACAGAAAAAGGCCCTCGGAAGTCCTTGCCTGCTCCACTGATACCGTCTAATCGAATGTGAGTATTCATTCCCATGCAGTTATGTCTATGTGGGCTTAAGAGTGAGTCCTGAGAGCAGTCCCGGGGCACCAATATTCTCCGCCTCGCTCCGATGCCCACAGAAACTCCGGGGCCGTGGGTACTTGGATGTCGAAGTCACGATCACATTCGAAGGACTTCAGGGAGATAATGACCGACAGATGTCAGAAACTCTGCCTGTGACATTTCATTGGCTGTCGCTGGTGTCTGGACAAGGGGAAGATAACGCATACCAACTCTATCGCCGCCGGCGAGACGATGGCGCTGGCGATACCGCGAATGAGAGCAGCCTTTGGGATCCTTGCGAAATTGAAGAAACTAGTGCTGGGTTTATGGTTGTCGACGAGCCGGACGTTGCAGTTCGTGTCGGACATCACAAGCATTTTACAAGCTTACGCCCCGGAGAAACTTGGACAACAACCGAGACACTTTCAGGGAACGATACAGAGCTGCCTGGTGACCTGGCACCGGGTGATGTCTTTCGTTACACGTTTGAAGGTACTGTGGTTGATTGGTGGGACTGGGGCACTATGGAGGATCACTCCGAGACTATAGTCAAGCTGCCATGTTATGAGGCCGGAACTGTCACTGAGCCCGCTGACAATGGAGGTCGACCGAAGCTAGTGGTTCCTGCCGCAGAGCCGGTTGAATTTATGATAGAATAGTCGAATGGTAGTCTTCTCAGACTCTCCTGCATCGTCTTTTAAGCAGACAGTTGTACCAAGCAATTGAATAAACCACACTTAGTTGGCTGCATACAACTTGACCTCGGAATCGAATGAAGACGCACACCAAGACGCTCTATGTTGCTCAAGGTTCAGGATTCTCGCGGACGCTGACGTGTGAAGCCCTGGGCTCCTTCTCCTCGTCTTCCTGACTGGCGACGCGCTCTGAGCCCTCTCTGCCGAGGCTTCCGTCGCTTCCCACAGTCTTCTTCTCGAAGATCTGATCAATCTGCTCGAGGCTCATCCGTGCTGTCTCGACATAAAACAGTTGAACAACCGGAACGAAAGCCGCGTTGAAAACGGCGAACATCAAGTAGAACTTCCAGCCTAGGTTGGAAATTCCAACCGGGGTGATCAAAACTACCACATAGTTGTTTATCCAGTTCGTTGCGGTCGATATGCCCGCGCCGGCGATACGCATGCGTTGAGTGTTGATCTCGGCTGGATACATCCAGGGAATAGCTATCCAGCTGCTTCCGAACGCAGTAAAGTAACTAAGTATTGCGCATTAGCTCATGCTTCCTGCTGTACGGTCAGGGAGTGACTTACCCGAAAATAAAAGCCACTGCTACAGACTCCCATTGCTTGCCGCCGATACCAAGACCGATAGTGACGAGACAAAAGCAGAAAGATTGTGCGATTGCCCCCCAGAACATCAGCTGCTTCCGGCCGAAGTTCTCAATGAATAGTGGGCTAAAGCATGTCGAAAACAAAAGGTTCATTGCGTTACAGGACGAAAGAATGATCGACAGATTCCGACTCAGTCCCAGGGATGCGAAGACGACCGGAAGATAGTAGACAATGGCGTTGACACCGCTCCATTGTTGCATGAACTGCGTCCCGGCACCTAAGAGAACTCGACGAGTGGTGTGGAGGCTGTCCCTCTTGAAAAAGCTCTTGAAGTTGACCTTTCCCACAGACATCTCATGGGCGACGTTCTCTCGAATCCGGTTGAGCAGCTCGAGGTTCTGTTCTTCGGTTCGGTTCGTTCCTCCGAGCCTTCGAATGACTTGCAGCGCTTCTTCGGTTCGGTCCTGCATAGCAAGCCAACGAGGTGAGTCGGGTAACCAAGGTATGAGTACCATTGTCAAGAAAGCAAAGAAGCATTGGAAGGCGATAGGAAACCTCCAAGAAACGCTGTTGGAGGCAATGAACGTCATTCCGTAATTGAGCCAGTTCGCAGTGACGTTGCCGACTTGGTTCAGGGCCAGTTGAAGCACCATGATGCGGCCTCTCTGATGGGCAGCCGCTGTCTCTGATTGCCATACCGGGATGGCCGCTGTGTTCATGCCGTTCCCGACTCCGCCCACAAGCCTTCCGATGATCATCTGGGCGACATGATACGAGGCTGCTTGCAGAACAGCCCCGATGATCAACACGGTGCAGCCCAGGAGGATAGTCTTGCGACTGCCGAGCTTTCCGCCCCATATCATGGTGAAGATGGCACCAAAAAAGCATCCGAGATCGTATGTGGCAGTGATGTGGCCTTGAAGCGTGGGGTTTGGGTTGTTGAATGTCTTGATGAAGGATTCGTTGCCGAGGAATGCACCGAATACACCCTGCCCAAATCCGAAGGAAGCAAAACCAATTCCGCAAGCAAACGTAATGCTGGCCGCGAGGGCTTTTCCTTGAGCATGTTGGAGCCACATGCCTGATGATGTTTCGTTACTATGAGTGCAAGTTATCAAAGATTGTATCGTTGTTTATTGATAAAACGAAGAAACCCAATCGAGCCCGTTGAGGCTTTATACAAACTTCAGTACTACCGGACAATGGCTCCCGGATTGTCTATGGTATATTTGGGCTTATTACTTCAGTTACAACCCTGCATGGCTGTTTGCCAATGCAACCGGCATGGACACGGGGAGTGCAGGGTTTGGGAAGGCCGCAAGGACACCCTTTAGACTGACCAGGAACCCCGTGGGGTTATAGCAAGGAATGTCTGGGGTGTAAGCTAACCTGGGGAAGTTGTGGGGGTATTACACAGCTGCTAGCTAACTACCGTCTTTATAAAGTTGCATTTATAACTACTATTATTATTATTTACTAAAAGAATCAGAATAAAGGGTATAATAACTTAATTAATTTAACTATATTTTAAGTCTCTAAATCTAATATATCTATTAAGTCCTATTTATTTAGTTAACCTCCCCTATTTTATTACCCCCTCTATATTATTATTTAGAGTAATAGTCCTTTTAATTTAGTTTAAGTATTATAAATAGTTCTATTTTATTAATAAATATCTTTAATATCTTAATATTAATTAATTTACTATTTATTAATTTAATAAGAGATTATAAACTCCCTATAATATATAGTTAAATTATACTTTATACTATAGTATTAAGCTCTTCTTAATAATATCTATCTCTATTAGAAATAATATTATTATTATAATCTTTAGAGAGGAGTAATTATAATATAATATATTTAGTCTATATAGAGTAATAATATACTTTTAAGCCCTATTATATTTATTTTAAACCTTAAAATAGTTAGTAAACTACTAAATAAGCTACTTTTTTTTAAGAATTTATAGAAAGAAGTCTAAAAAAGAAAGTACTATTTATAGCTTTTAAGTAGCTAAATAGGTTTTTTAGACTTTTCTTCTCTATATTATTATTATAATATATTTATATTATTATTACTATTAATATTATATTAAGGTTATTAATATTATAAAAAGAATAAATCTTTAAGACTCTTATTATAACCTTAATTAGCTTTTATTTATTATTATTTATAACGTGGTTGATAAGCGAGTGGATCAGACAAGCAAGTAGATCAGCCAACCGCGTGAAACCGTCTTCTAACTTCTATATTACGTTACACTATAACTAAATATATTATTATAGGGTAATAAAGGTTAAACAAACTTAGCAATCTAAGCTATTAAGAAGATATTAACTCTTAGTATTTAAGCTATATCTTATATCTACTTAGTGCCCTTTTTAACCTTACGCTATTATTTAGAGGGAAAGGGATTATAATATAATATTATACTTAAGTTATAAAATTTAATTGCACTTAAAGAAGAGAAGCTAGTTAAGTATATTTTTAACCTAGATTCCTAATTATTTCTTCCCTATATTAGTAGTATAGAAGATATAGCTAATTAACTACTTATTAACTGCAATATACCCCCTATTGGGAAGTATTAGGCCTTAAACTTTATTAAGTAATAACTATAGCTCTAGACGTACTTTTTTTATAAGTATAACTATAAGAGGGCTTAATATAAAGACCTAGACGTAATAAATATATAGTTTTAACTTATAGTAAATATAATTATAAAATATAGCATTATAGACTTAGATATCTATAACTTTAATAAGACTAGGTTTATAATAGGCTAGATTACGTCTAGAATAGTTATAATAAGCGCTAAGAGGCATTTAAATATAAAAATAATATAGCCTAGTAATTATAAATAGGTTATAGTTATTTAGGCTATTAGTTTATTAGGCTATAGCGTTCTACTATATATTATTATTTTAGGGCAATATTACCTCTCTACCTAGTATATAGAAATAGGTCTCCTATATAACTAGGTTATTATAATGTCTAAAAACGGATAGATAATAAATAAAAGAGGCCTAGATTAGCTCTAGCACTTTAATTAGTATATAAAACTATATATAAGTAGTAGATATTACCTCCTTATTATTAATAAGTATAAAAGTTACTATACTACTAACTTTAAGATATATTATAAGGAAAATAATATTATTATACTTTATATATTAGCCTATTCCTCTTATTTACTTTAGCCCTTAGACGTTAGGTATTTTAGACTACTAAAGAAGGCATATAGTTAATAAATTAAGGATAAGATACGCTAGGGTAATACCTATATTATAAAGGAAGACTTCTTCTCTACGTTTTATAAGGCTTTTATATAAGCCTTTATAGTTAAAAATATCTAGGGAGGTTTTAGAGGGGCTAGGCTTATCCCTCTTAGTATAGAAAGTATACTATTAAAGCTTAATATTAAGTTATACACTCTAATACCTCTAGGGTCCCTCCTAATAACACCCCCCGTATAGACTTCTTAAACGCTAAATAACCTAATAGAAGTATCTTCTCAGTCTAAACTTATTAAGAAGAGAATTTCCCACTATTAAAATAGCTTACTAACTTTAATTATTAAAGCTATAGAGTATCTATTAAAGGGGGCGTACGGATTTATATACTAAATTGCTTTATTAAGGTCTGAGGTCTAGATCCTTTAAGAGGAGAATAACCTACTTAGTAGACACTAGAGGGCTAAGAAAATACGTCTTAGATAAGGAGGAAGTCTCACTATAGCTGAGGTAGAGGACCTTTAATTATAGAGAGAGGCTATAGCTTAGATTGAGGAGGAAACGCGCCAGAGTAGTGGTTGCTAACTAAGGATAGAGACGGGCTAATAGCAATATAGCGTCTATAGGAACACTAGTTATAATGCGTAAATATATCAATTTACTAAAGAAATGTCTGAAGAAGAAGATCTTAACTAGTTTATATTAAATTAATTTGCTTAATATTAGTTATTAGTTATGAATGTGCTGTAGTTACTATTGGCTGATCCACTCGCTTATCTAATCCACTTGCTTATCAACCACGTTATAACTTATACTATAGAGTTTTTAATAACTTTAATAGTTAAATACCATATTAACTAAAGCTATTATCTATTTAGTATAACTTATATTATAAAGTATTTATTAACCTTAATAGTTAAGTATTCTACTAACTAAAGCTATTACTTGTTACGGTCAGCTTATCCGACAGTAGGGTCTGCTAATAGAAGCTAAGGGATAATACTAATAAATAGTATTATATCGTTATAAGGTTATTAGCGTAGTTCTAAATAGATTAGAGTCTTAAGGGTTATAGTAATTAGTTATAAGCCTAATAAGATATTTATAGTATAAGATATACTAAAAGTATCTAAGAGATAAATATAAAGTTAATTACTAAAGAGCTATAGAAGTCTATCCTTAAGCTGGGCTTAAGTCCATCCTATATATAAGTCCTAAGCCGTTCCCCTATACCTCTACCTTAAAGTTATAGAAGTTAACTACTAACTCTTATTAACTTTATATTAATTAGTATGCTTAAGAGTTGCTAGAGTTAACTACTAACTCTATTAACTCTTATCTTATTAGCTAAGGTTATATAACTTATTCTATAGTTCTTCCGTTCTAAGGTAAGTCCTTTCTATTCCTATGATCCTATATATAAATATAACGTTCTAGCCGCCTAGTTGTCCTTATAGGGCTTTTCTCTACTAAGTATACCTAATAGGTTATAATATTAGGTCTCCCCTCAGATAGTCTTATCCCTAAGACCAATATAAATAGGTAGTATCTCCTAGGTTGGGGAGTTATTAATTATGCTTCCTAATTTCCTTATAATATTAATACTATATTAGGTTATATTTAAAAATTAAAATTAAAAAATCCTATTACCTATAAAGAGCTAGGTTAATTAGTCTCCCTTTTTAGATATAAAATGCCTTTTCCTTATTCCTTATATACTGCCTTAGGGGTTAACTATATTATATTGGAGGTTAATTTATTACGTTATTCCTATTATATAGGCTAGAAGAAATCTTATAATATCTATAGTCCTTTAGCGTTATTACTAATCTAGGTTTAAAAGCAAAAGGTTAAAGTAGATAATAAACTTAATAAGTTAGAGGAAGAGTAGCTTGCTCTTATAGTAAAGATATAGCACCTTTATTATTATTAAAAGGAAATTAATTATAAGGCTATAGACTTAATCCGGTTAGGTCTTTAGTATATAGAGGAGGTTGAGGAAGAGAATTATGAGGTAACGTTAGTTTTATAGAGTGTGGAATCTTCAGCAGTTAGGGCCTATAGGCTACTAGCGCTTTTAGTATAGTAGATTGGAATGGCGTTAGTTTAGAGGATTAGTCTCTAGATTTCTTAATAAACGGTACTAATATAACGTCTATTAGGCATACTAGAGGTTCTTAATGGGTTCCTATAAGTTATCTTTATATCTATATCCTTTCTACTTAATAAGATATTCTATATTTCTATTATTATTATAGTAGTCTATAATTTATTTAACTTTATATTCTAGTTTAAGAGGTTCTATAATAATATAATCTTCTATATATAAACCTTATAGTGCTTTTTTGAGAAGTAAAATATAAAAGACTAAATAGCACTTTATAGTATCTAGTAGTATAAGTTTAAAGTTAATATTAGATACCTTCTTAATGATTTCAAAAGGTCTAAGTTTCTTAAAGTCTAACTTATCGCTTAGTTGCTTTATTTTAATATTTCATTAAGTAAGATAGACGCTATTATTACGGCCAGCTAACTGATAGTGGGTTTATATTAGCAGTAAGTTAGGGATTGAGAACTATAAATAGTAATTAGTTATTTTATAGGTCTAGTTAAGTAATTATAGGTCTTTAAAGGTCTTAGTAATTAGTTAAGGCCTTAATAAGAGTTATAGAGTAATTATTACTTAGGTATAGCTAAA